TGGCGGGGCTGCGATGCCTTGGCATTTTGCATGGCATTGTACTCCGTACTGTACATACATATGTACTGTACACGCCTTCGTTCAATATCCGCGCCTTATTTCCTTTGCAATGCTCATCATGATTCGCATCGACGAGTGTTGGCAGGGGCGTCGTCTGTGACTTGTTTCCCGTCTTTTTTTCGTTCTGTCGTCTACGGAGTATCCGTACCAGTCGAGGTACTATTATACTCCGTGTGTACGGGTTATGGTTATATACCTAGATACCTAGGTATCTATCTAGGTACATCGGTACCTTGGTAGGTACCCTGCTCCGACGTGCACACACATGTGCGCATAACATACTAAGCCAGGAAGGAGGCCGTACCTTGCATTAGCCTGGGGCCCCCTCGGGGACTTTGTGCAGGATGAGAGAGATGAGAGAGAGCCAAGGCACAGAATCGGTTGGACGGCGGCAATCATCATTTGTCCGTCCACGACTCATCGCCATTGCACCATGGCAGTGGGCCATCCGAGGCCGCTGCTCGTCTCTGCTCGTCTGTGCTGCACATGATCACAGGATTAGTGCCGTGCTTTCGGTACCCGGTACTTCCAGCTGTAAAACTTTGTGCACCCTGTCGACGACGCAGGTACGCGGATGCAGCTATTCTACCTGCTGCATGTACTGTACTCCGTACTGTACGCACAGCTCAACCACCATCACCGTCAGTCAGTCATCATCATCTCCACCATCGTTCTACACAACACCTACTGGACAGCTTGTTGCGTGCGCCTGCATACGCTCCTGCACATGCACACCTCCTCGCTCGCTGCTTCATCCCTCCTCCTCGCAGTGCCCATGTCAGGCATTCGACCTACGACGCCCGCCCCCAGCTGCCTCTCGTCGTCTCAGCCCGTCACTCTCTTTGTCCAGCGCCGACACAGTCCTCAACACCCGGGGGGGTTCCATCGCTTTGGGGGGGGAAGAAGGGTCCAGCGCGCGAGAGCAGAAGGGTCCGCTGATCCTTCACGGGGGGCGTCTCTCTCTTGAACTCTCGCCACGACGCAAGTGCAATTGGGGCGCAGGTGCAAGTTGCATCTGGTCATTTCGGGGGCTTGTCGTTCGCCAAAAGGGCCGGGATGCCGAGCTCATCAACAAGTCTGCGGAACCGGCGGCTTTTTCCAATCCACCCCCAGCGGCGTCGGGGAGAGCCCTCTCTTGTTCCTTAGACGACGCTCGCTCCACTTGTCACGGCCGTAGGAATAGCGTCATGCTAACCTCGTTTGAGACAGAGCCGCTTGCCACCGACCGACACTGGTGGTTGGGCCGTCGTCTGCTGTTGGTTACCCTGGCCCATCTCTTCGTTCGTCCGCGGCCGCCCAACCGACTGTCCGGGGCTCAGAATCCCGTACCGAGCACTGCCGGGCTATACGAGGGCGTGAAATGAACAAGCAGAAGAAGAAAAACTTTCGATGGCTCTGCCAAGCCTGCATAGTCGACGCTTGCCCATGTGCGCCGTTGCACGCCAACTACCGGCAGCCCAGCTTGGTCATATGTGCTGACGACAAGACATGCCATGCCCAGCATTCAATGGCGGGCCTCGCATGGTCGAGCGTCGTCGCCTCGGAGCTCTGGTCAATGCACCCGGATGGGAAAACCACGACTGCTATAACACACCAAACGCTAGCCCGCCGTCTGGTTTCGCAGCTCCCACAGGTCAAAGTGGCAGGGGCCGCTTGGAGCTCATGGTCATGGGCCTGTCACTGTCAACGGCCCGGATGCGCAGCCGTGTGGCCAAGTTGTCGCATTGAGACATGAGAGATCCCCCCCCAGTCGACCGGGGTCGGGGCTGGCCCTGGTAGTCTGGCCCTGCTTGGTCTGATCCCCGGATTTCCGAGCCAAATTCAAATTGCAAATTGCAACGTGGGTCCGGTACATGGAATTTGGCATGACTTCTGGAAGTTTTCAGTGACAAAACCAGTTGTCGTTCTGTTTCACATGCGAGGCTCTCTTGAAACGAGTGGCGCAAACAACTCCAACCGACGCTGAAGCTCGTTGACATACCGCCACGTCCGCGGTTCAGCACACGCCTGCTGTTCCTCCCGTTCATCACACACACATGTTTCATTGATGGATGGATAGGCCTATTGGATTGGAAAACGGCCAGCCGGCCCGCGGAAGCACCAGGCCAGCTAACGCAGGCACTAGGCCGTCATCCTGGCTTAGGCCCGTGAAGCCCCTTGTCTGCGCCCGCACCTGTCTTCGTGAAAGGTTCAATCATCTTCACTTTAGCCTTTTTCCGGACGACTGGGTTTCCCGAGGGTCCACGCCAATCTTCAGGCTAGAGCAAATCAGCCTGTCTCTGGCCGAAATCTGGCAGCAGCGCGGGCGTCCCGTCGTCGAGTCCTCACCGCCGGCACGACGATCGCTGCAAGTACACGCCAGATTTCTTGCGTCCATCGCTGCACCCGAGATCGATGGCTGATCCTGTGACGAATCAACCGCCGGTTCGCTGACTACCAGTACCGTTTTCCGTCTGCTCGGAGTTGCGCACAGGCTGTCCCAACCCTGGTTGAACCCTGAAAGTGCCCTGCAGTTGTTCTTCTCTCGCGGGCGGCCCAGGATGGACTATTGAGCGCTCTCGATCCCTGCTTATCCAAGGATTCGGTTGCTGGAGACGGGCGCGAAATAAGGAATTTTCGGATACCATGTTTCTGCTGGCCCGGGGGCGTCGTCTTGTCTACACAATAGCTGCGAAAACTAACGGATTCGAGTTAGTTTTGCACGACCAAAGCCGGTTGAAGTGCAATGGCTCGGGGAAGTCGTCCATGTCTGCTTTCTTGGGCGCAAGAAGAAACGAGCAGCCGTCGGCTTCAGACGAGCCTTGTTTCTTCATCCCATTGCGCCCTAGGCTGCTGCGCCACCCAAGGCCTCGGAGAAGTGCGATGCACTGTCAGATTGGGGGGACTATTGCTCCGAGGGCCGCAGGAGGTGTTTTTTGGGTGTTCCGAATCGGCATTTCCCGGGCCAGTATGAATGAAGTCGCACAAAACATTGCGTCGTAGATTTGCCGCCGAACCAGCAACACGCTTGCTCAATGGATGCCGTGGGCTCCTGTCACTTGTGGGAGAGGGTGCGATGCGATTACCAAGGCGTTTGCGGACCGCGGCTTCGCCATTTTTCGACGCTCACGGCTCACCCGGCTAACCCAGTGGTGTTGAGCTAGGAAAAGCAAAGCATGTTGCCGCGGCCGATGCGCGTTTTTGCGCAGACAGTTGGGCAGAGTAAAAAGTGTTGGCAGCATATGTCTCTCCCTCGACCCTTTCCCCCCTCTCGGCACGCCGCAACACGTTGCCAGTTGGTGTGGAGAGGCCTTGCTCGAGGTGGTCAGACAGTCCACTTGGGCTTGCCCGTTGCTTTTTGGTTTCAATCTCCCCCTCTGGCTTCTTTTTCCAATGTTTTCTCTTGCTGGTTCAGGACCGAAAAAGCATCTACGCCCGTGCTAGATTCTGAGAAGCCGTCATGGGAGGCTTGGCCAGACTGGGCTAGTCACGATCAGCAGGACGGCGACGAACGGGGCTTACGCGGCTGTCGAGCGACAAAAGACATCCTCTTCCGAAAGGCAAGAGAAGGGATGGCATGCAACTGCGGACCAGTGCCCCGACATGTCAAACGCCGCGCGGTTTTTCAAACAGAGCTTGTCTTTGTTGGCTTGGGCCCCCAAGGTACCACCGGTGGCTTGCAGACGTCCCATGGGGGGGTGCGTGAGGGGGGGCGGCATGGCAAACTTCCATCCTTTGCCTCGGGTGACGGCGAGAGGATGGAGGATGGAGGATGCGAGGGGGCGATGGTGCAGCTTCTTTTCACGCGACGCTTTGCAGTCAAGCGTGGCTCGGTTGAGCGGCAAGTGTCCACCCGGGGCGGATCGCGAGTCTGGCGTCCACGATATGGTTGCGGACGGACTCGGGACGTGCGCACGCACACCCTCCCTTGCTGCCTCTCACTCACCCCGCGGGCAAAGGGCATGGCTGCGGGAAGCAAGCAAACGGGCCTCCCATGGAAGCAAGGCGAGATGCAATGCAACGGGCGTCTCGGGATGGAGAGAGCCGTGCTGGGGCTCACGGGCCAGTCGTTGTGACCCCGCGAGCGAGCGCTGCTTTTTGCCATGGGCATCTATCAAAAGGAAGCGGGGGAGGGGCGCTCCGGCTTGGCCTGGCATGACATGACAGCGGCGACGCACGGGCTGGCTGCCTGGTTCGACGATTCTTCTTGCGTGATTGTGGTCGTCGCCAGCGGTCCGAGGCGCTGTGAAAGGTGCTGAGCGGACGCCGCTCGTCGGGCTTGGAGAGGATATGGAGAGCTGAGACGCATCGCAAAGGTGCTGCTGGCCCGAGTCAAGTTGGCTGTCAGTGTGTGAGACGAGCCAAGTGTTGCCATATCGAGTCTGGCAGTGAAGAGGGGCTCTTTCGTTCCTCAGACGCTGTGTTGGTTTCAACAATGGCTTTGTCTCCCCTTTATCCGAGTTGGACAAGGGCTCTAGGGTAGCTGGCCGTCAAGGTTCTGAAGGGCGCGGGAGCTGCCGCCGCTTCGGCCCCGCCCCCAGCCACCTCGGCTTCCACCAGCCACCGGCCGGCCCCACTTGCCCGTGTCCGAGAGCATCGACAATGACAATGATTCAATGACACTGACATTGGGCCTCGACGATGACCAACCCCCAGCCCCCTCTTTGTCTTGTTCGTCCCGATAACTGGGCGATGCCTCGAAGCGAGAGACGGGCGAAGCTGAGCAACCCCGCCGCCGTAATTGCAACATGCCCCTGCTCTACGCCTGGCCAAGGCACGGTTTCTTGGCAGCCAGAGACGGCGCAAATGACGTGGCTCTCAGCTGCACTATTGCTTTCCCTTGAACCATTGCTTTCCCCTGATAAGCTGCAGGCTGCTCTTTCTCTCTCCTGTTCCTCACTCACTCGTCCATGCTCGAGTAACAGCAACGCCGACACACATCGAGACGCCCGCAGTCCGCCATGCGTCCCCGCTTTCTCCGGTCCGCCCTCGGCTCGGCCCTCGCCGCCGCCCTGCTTCTCCTCCCCGACGCCGCCTCAAGCCGATGCGATCCCCTCAGCGGTAAGACATCCCGAGCCCCTTCTCACCCAACTCGATCCCTGACCTCGTCTTTGTCTATAGCCCAGTGCCCGCCCGTCAAGGCGCTCGGCGGGACCTGCAACGTCGACTTCCGCAAGGGCGCCGCGGCCGACTCGTTTAACGCCTCGGGCACGCCCTCGTACGGCGGCGACGGCGTCTCCTTTTCCGTGGCCCGCGGCGGCGACGCGCCCCAGCTCAACTCAAAATTTTACATCATGTTTGGCTACGTCGAGCTGACGGCCAAGGCGGCCCCCGGCGCCGGCATCGTCTCGTCGCTCGTGCTCATGTCGGACGACCGCGACGAAATCGACATTGAATGGCTCGGCTCCAGCCCGGACGAGATGCAGTCCAACTACTTTGGCAAGGGCCGCACCACCAACTACAACCGCGGCATGTTCCACGCCGTGCGCGCCACCCAGGACCGCTGGATCACCTACGCCATCAACTGGTCGGCCGACGGCATCGACTGGCTCGCCGACGGCGTCAAGCTACGCTCCCTGTCCCAGGCAGACGCCGACGCCGACCAGTACCCGCAGACACCCATGCGTATTCAGTTCGGCGCCTGGGCCGCCGGCGACCCGGCCCACAACGAGCCCGGAACCGTCGATTGGGCGCACGGTCCCACCGACTACTCGCGCGGGCCCTTTGCCATGCACGTCCAGTCGCTGCGCGTCGTCGACTACTCGACGGGCAAGCGGTACCGCTACCTGGACCAGTCGGGCTCGTGGGAAAAGATCGAGGCCATCGACGGCGCCGTCAACGGCAACAAGGACAGCGCCGTCGTCGTCCCCGGCGGCGCCCCGGTCGGCGCCGCGCCCCCCTCGCGCTCCGGCGGCGCCGGCGCCGTGCCCCCCGGCGGCATCGCCCGCGACGGCAGCCCCGCCGCCCGCACCCAGACGGGCTATCCCTGGGTCCCCGGCGCGAGCCCCACGGGCGGCACCATCCCCAGCGGCTGGCACATGACGTCCGATGGCAAGATCGTGCGCGACTCGTCCTCGGGCTCGCCCGCCGCCGTCCGCGCCTCGTTACCGCTGCTGCTGGTGGCTGCGCTCTTGACCCCGCTGGCTTGCCGCGCTGTCCTCGCCTTGCCCGGCGCGCTCAGATGAGCCCCGACGAGCAGGAGAAGGAAGAAAGAAAGAAAGGGGAGAGTGAGAGGGGAGCGAACCGAATCACCGAGCAGTCGACACTCTGCTACGACGGGTGGCTTGATAGTCACGTCACGGCTCTATTCCACCGCTCTAGCCCGCCGTTCTTCGTTGGACCTTATTTACGGTTCCTCTCGACAAGGCATGTGTATGACCACAGACCCGGGACTCGCAAGTCAGCCGTTTGCGCACATGGCGATTATATCAGGCACGCGAGAACATATACATACACACAGACACAGACACATACACACAGACACAGACAGACAGACAGACAGACAGACAGACAGACAGACAGACAGACAAACAGACAGACAGACACAGACACACAGAGAGAGACAGAGACAGAGGGAGAAAGAGACAGACAGACACAGACACAGACAGACACAGACGCACCACAGACACACCACACACAGTACAGAACTTGGGCAAAACACGGGGCGAGGCATGCATGGCTCAGGCGTCAGCGCGGAATCTGCTTTGCTTTGCTTGGAACGGGATTACATAGACTTGGATGCATTTACGACCATGGTCGTGGGCGACAACTCCCCACTGAACACGACCACGATTCTCACCCCACGCGGGGACGGGATGAATATAGAAGACGGACTCTCAGGAGTCTCTGTTTAATATCTAAACTTTCCATCGACCCTGCCCGACGTGACTGCCCGACTGCTCCAAGAGCCTGGCAGCCCCCTCAACAGCGGCATGCGCCGAGAGGGCAATGCCGTGTTCACAGAGCCTCTCGCCTCTTCAAGCCCTCTCTTCAAGCCGCCGCACTAACAATGCAGTGCAAGACCTTCCACCGTCGCCTGCCGTCGCCAAACCTCCGCGCTCCCCCCTGTGACGCCCCATTGACCCAAGAAGCCCTCGACCGCGGACCCAAGACTCGCGTGTTCTTGGGCTCCTGTCCTCACAAGTCGACCAACTCCCGCCCGCAAACCACCCATCGCAGCATCCCACCCGAAAACTAAAACCGTCTTGTCCATCCTCCAGAGACCCGCCCAACTCATGCTTCGTCAAACTCTTGGTAACCTAGTAGCCGTTGCATTGCGCCTCTTCCCGAGATAAAATAGAAAACATGTCTTTTTTTATGTCTTTATCTTGTGTAAGATGCTCCGAGCCCTGGCGGACAATAGAAACAAATAAGCCCTCGAAAACAAGCAAAAGACTGCGAAAGCAAAGCAGGTCGGTTTCGAAGGCTTTTACTGAGGAGCAAACTCAACGTCCAAAAAGGTCCCCGTTGGGTGACCCTCAAAACTCCCAGTCGTCTGCATCTTCCACCGACTTGATGGCCCACCGGAACTTGTCCCGAAGCGTCTTGGAGAAGAACTTCTCAATCGGCACGTCAAACTTTTTGGAGAAGACGACCGTGAGCCGAGGGTCAATGTAGTTCTGCGACGACTGTTAACCTCTGCGCCTCGGCACTTCCCGGCGGTCTTCAACTCACAATCTTGGACGTGCCCAGGGCAACTTCCTTGTTGCCGTCGCGGTCCTCGGCCTGCGTCTCCAGCACCTTGATCCGCTCGTCGAGCTTCTCAATGGCCTTGACGAATTTGTCCACCGTGGGACCCCTGCCCTCGGCCTCGACCTTGCCCGTCTTGTTCTCCTTCTTGAACCTCTGCTCAAGCTCCTTGACCACCTGAAGTCGCTCCTTGAGCTCCTTGTCCGGCAGAACCTTCTCCTTGTTGCCCTTGAGCTTCTCATTCTCCTTCTCAAACTTCTTCGTGATCTTGGTGCGTTGCTCCTCGATCAAGAACTGCTGATGCTCCTGGATCCATGCCTCGTCCAGATCGTCGTCCAGCTCGAACCACGCAGCACCCTTCTTCTTCCTCTGCGTGGGCTCAATGTCTATAATCATCTTCTTTGTCCGCCACTTTTGGTACCGCAGGCCCTTGATCTGTTGGCCTGGTTAGCAGCCTCGTCGCCTCGAGAGCGCCATCTCTGCTTACCCTGTCTCCGAGCTTTTGCATCTGCTGATCGTGCCCGGCCCCGACGGTCCTCTTGTGGTTGCAGAGAATGGCAACTTTGCGGTTGCAGTCGTTGTAGAGCTTCACCTTCTCGGCCACAGTGCCCTTGGAGCGCGGGTCGTTGTGCAGCTCCTTCAGGAGCTCGGACATGGTGAACGACGCGTTGTAGGTACGGAAGACCTTGGCAGTCAGGCCCGTCATGCAGCTGTTCAGATGCTTGTTCAGTTGCGAAGTCTGCGATCCAGGTCAACAACGGGCACCAAGTCCGGCGCAGCCCCATCTTGCAACTCACGTTGAGGCGATCAAAGAGGTCGTCGCCGTCCGACTTGGGGGGCTTCTTGAAGAGCTTCAAGTTCTTGAAGACTTGGGCCTCGACATGAGCCGTCTCGTTGTACCTGATGCTGTCCTTGCCCAAAAAGTCAAACGTCACCTTGTCCGGCGCCTCGAGCGTGATGTGCTCGTACTTCAACGAGCAGCAGCCCACAGTGTCGGCCTCGTTCTCCGTGTCCTTTTCGTTGCCGGCTCGGAGAGCGAGCTTGTCAATCAGGTACATGGCAGTGGCTCGTTGGCGGTCAGCCATCACCTCGCTCTTGAGGTCCCGGGTGTAGTCCCTGCGGATCTTGTCGATGTGCTTCTTCAGTTCTCGGGCCTTTTCGAACTTCTTGAAATCACTCTGGCCCTTGACATCGCTGGCAGCCCCCAGCATCACGTATTTGTAGGCCCCGTTGATGTTCTCCTGCCACATGGCAAGCCAGGTGGCCTTTTGATCGTGCTGCACAGCCTTCCACTTGTGACCCGCGGGGGGTTCCGGCACCTTTGCACCCTTGCCAATGTTGATGGTGATCTGCTCCGGCATGACTCGCGTCTTGACTCGGCCCGTCTTGGGATGCTCGCCGCGGCCGCGAAAGAGGCTGGGCGGTTCGACCCTGAAGTTGCCGACCTTTTGTTTCCTGCCATCCCACAGGCAGTGAACGTATGGAGCCTCGAACGCCTCTTTCTTGGCCTTTGCAGCTTCTCTCTCTTCCTTGGATAGGTTCTTGTTCTTGTTAGCTTCCGTCTTGGCTGACCAGTAATCATATATTTTCGAAAAGTCGCACTTGTCGAGGCTCTTGATCTCGACCTTGTTCCCTTTGAGGTCAGTCACGCCAGACTTCTTCAAGTATTCCGAAAAGTCGGCGAAGAAGTTCTTGCGGAACACGGGACTGTCCAGGTGATGGGAAGAGGCCGGTGTCATCATGGCGACCCAGAAGGTGGCGACTTCCTCAGCGTCCCTGCCCAGGTTGACGGGCTTCCCGTCGTAGAGGAGATGGACGTGCTTGGGAAGAGGCTCGTACTCTGGCGCGAACAAGACTCCGTTGTGCTCGAGAGTTTGCCACTTGATGCTGTCGTCCTCGCGCTTGGGTGCGTTCCACCACTCGTACTCTTCTTCCTCCTCGCTCGCTTCTTTGGATTTGGCCTTTGCCTTTTTCGCATCATTGGCAGGGGTTGCTCCCTTGCCCCTTTTTACGGGAGTTTCCGTCTTGACATTGCTCCTCTTTGAGATGGGAGCGTCAGAGTCAGATTCCTCCTTCTTGACGCCATTTGATTTCCTCTTGCCGGGACCGCCGTTGGACTGGCGCTTCTGCGTCGAGGACCTGGCCAAGGGCTCATCGTCGGACTCATCCTTGACGGCCTTTTTGGGCGTTGCCTTCTTTGCCTTCTTTGCCTTTGCCTCCTTTGCGCGGATTGCCTTGGCCTCGGCCTCGGCCTTTTTTTCTATTGCCGCCTTCTTGTTGGCGAGTTTGATGCCTAGTGGCTGATCGTCATCCGAGGAGGAGACGGGGAGCGCCGTCTCCTCGTACGAGGGAGGCAGCTTCTTGGCGCGAGACTTCTTGATGGGCTCGTCGTCCGAGTCGTCGAGGACGGGCTTGCTCGCGGACTTGGAGCGCTTGGCCTAGCAATTGATTTTCCATCGGTGAGCACGGGAGGTGTACTATGGGTGTGCTGTGGCTCCGCGGGGAGGCTGCACGCCACTTACCAGAGGTTGGCCGTCGCTTTCCGACTCGTCCTTGTAGTTGACGTTTGAGATGGAGGAGCGGGACTTGCGCTTGTTGGCGCCGTTTGTGGGCGGGTTGTCGACATCCATGGCGTCGTCTATGGGACCGTTGCGCACCGACAGACCTGCTAGACCGGTGGTTCCCTTGGGGGCGGCGCGGTCCATGGCTCTGTCGTCGGCGCGAGAAATGTTCGCCGACGAGACTGCGAGGGAACAGAGTTTGTTAGCTGGACGGCGCTCCAAGGCGCGAAGTGGGCGGTGGTGGTTGTGGCAGGCTTTGAGCGAGCAACAATGGCGGACAGCTGCGGCGGGCGAGCGCCGCCAAAGGGGGGCAACAAAAGAGGCGAGAATAGAGGGCCAAAAGGCAAAGGGAGACTTACGACGGCCGTTGGGTCTCGCGAGAGGCATGTCGTCGTCGGAGCTGTCGGAAGCCATGGCGGGCTGGTGTTTTTTTTTCCCTCTCTGGAGAGGGTTTGCGGCTCCACGGGCTGGCTGCACTTGGAAAGATCGCGGACTGGGATTAAGTAAGTGGTACTCGGACACGCGGTCCAAACCGATAGGCAGAGGAGAGCTGCTGGAGGCGAGAGGCGGAGAGTGCGGGGCCTGAGAGTGATGTGAGCCGCCCCCCCAACGCCTGCAAAAGGTGAAGAGGGTGAAAAATCAACTGCCCGGGGCGAGAAGCGGGAGGAATTGGGGGAGAGAGAGGGAAAGTCTCGAGTTGGAGGGATCTCAGCCTGCGCCGGGAGAAGGCGCTCTACAGGCTCGCCCCGTCACGTGACCCGCCCCGCTAGCCGCCGATTTGCCGGGAAAATAGCGACGGGCTAACATAAACCGCAAGCCAATTCATTCATTCATTCACCTCGTGTCTGCATCGGCACAAGTCCTCGTCAATTGACCCGACCAGCCACCCGCCGTCAATTGGCTCTCCGCCGGCCTCGACTCGCCTCCTTTTCCCTAAATCTCACACACGATGCTGTCACGGGCGGCCAGACCCGCGCTCCGAGCTGCGGCCTCAGCTCCCACCCGGTGAGTAGCCGGCGTCTCCCGAGAGGGGGCAGCGTGATGTGGCCGAGGCCGGCGAACAAGGGGAGGATTGCAGGAGAGAAAAAGAGGAGAGGGCGAGGGACAGAGAATGCCCGAAGCTAATGCTGGCTTTTGCTTGCCCCGCCCACAGAGCTGCCACCGCCGGCCACAATGCCGCCGCCGGCTACGCGACCCTCCGCGAGATCGAAAGCCGCCTCAAGTCGATCCGCAACATCGAGAAAATCACAAACACAATGAAGATCGTCGCCTCGACCAAGCTCACCCGCGCCCAGCGCAGCATGACCGAGTCCCGCAAGTACGGTCAGACGTCCAACGAGGTCTTCGAGTCGGCCGAGACGGCCCCCGCCGAGGCCGCCGAGGACGCCAAGAAGAAACTCTTCATTGTCTGCTCCTCCGACAAGGGCCTCTGCGGCGGCATCCACTCGGGCATGAGCCGCAAGATCCGCGCCCTTTACGCCAACGAGGGCCCATTTGACCTCGTCATCGTTGGCGAGAAGTGCAAGGCCCAGCTCCAGCGCACAAACGCCAGCAACATCCAGCTCACCTTTTCTGGCATCGGCAAGGACGTCCCCTCCTTTGCCGACGCTCAGGCCATTGCCGACCAGATCGTCATGCTCCCCACCGAATACACAGAGGTCAAAATCCTGTACAACAAGTTCCTCAACGCCCAGAGCTACGAGCCCACCTTTATTGAGGCTTTTTCCGAGGAGGCCATTGCCCAGTCTCGTACGTATACGATACGAAGCCCGAAGCACAGAGCACTGACTATCAGCAGCCAACATCTCCTCCTTCGAGGTCGAGGATGAGGTCCTGGGCAACCTCCGCGAGTACAGTCTTGCCAACTCGCTCTACTGGGCCCTGGCCGAGGGCCACGCCTGCGAACAGTCTGCCCGACGCAACGCCATGGACGTGAGTTTTCTGCAGGCCTCACCTCTTCCCATGCTGCGTGATTGCTGACGCACAACCCCCTCCCTCCAGAACGCTTCCAAGAATGCCGGTGAGATGATTGGCAAGTACCAAATTCTCTACAACCGTACTCGACAAGCCGTCATTACCGGAGAACTCGTCGAAATCATCACGGGAGCCACCGCCTCGGAGGACATGTAAATGGTGCAGAGGGACGTCCTGGACTCGAGCTGAGCGGTTCCCTTTGTCTTAAAGTTAGCGGGTATAAGCCATGGCATCCGCACTTGTATCAGAACCCAACCAGATTCCCTTGCCCGTCACGTTACAAGAAGACACATCTTGCCTGCCATGCAAACGCCCCTTTGAGCACTACGCCTGCCTGTCTTTGTAGTAAGAAGCTCTTCTACCCATCAGAGTCTAGCCAAACCCCATCCCATATGCACTGTCGACGCCGCAATAAGGCTGAATCACAATGCGCCTCCAAGGGCCTTTGAAGCAGGGTACAAATGACTCGCTTTTGTGAATCCACAGACCGCTTCCTCTCCTGCCGCCGCAGCCACCGAGAAACTTGAGGCTCAATGATATATCGAGTAGAGATACAAGGTGCATCTACACAAGGGGCGGCTTATGGCTCGGCCGCTTCCTTGCTACGGCCCCCCGCCGCATAATTGACAGGCTTCGCACGGCGGTGCTTATGTGACATCCTGGCATCGTGCGTCGTCTCGTCCGGGCCTGGGACGCTCGGGTGATCCTTTTCGTAGGCCGCCCGGAGGCACGCGGCCTCTTGGTCCCACTTCTGGGACGTGTCTGTGAATGTCCGCATCGCCTCCGCGTAGGCCCTCTTTTGTTCCGCTGCCTGGTCTTCAAATGGCTTGCGCTCATCTGGCGTGGCGTCCTTCCACATCTTCGACGTCATGACCCGGACCTCGTTGGGCATGCTCCGCGACTTTCCGGGCTTGCGGTTCTCCTCGCATCGCTTCTTGGCGTCCTCAAAGTGCGCTTTGCTGTAGAGGAGGTAGGCGTTTCCGGCCACCTTGTGCGGACGGGCTGGGCGTTCGCCTATTTGCGAGCGGACGTGGTCCCAGACCTCGACCTCATACGCCTCTAGCCGTGCCTGCCGAGGGTTCTCTGCGGCTTGTTTGCGTTTGTGCAACAACAGCGAGTCTTTTGGCAGGATGAGAGGCGTCGGGACCTCGATGGGGCCAACCATGGCCTCGAGAACTTCTGTAGCCGCGCGGAGACCAGAGAGGTATGCGCCGTGTACAGTTGCCGGGTGCGTGCCAATAGTGTGTTCGCCGGCAAAGAACAGGTTGCCCATTGGTCGTGCCATGGTATCGTAGTCGTCGGGTAGCATGCCTGGAGCGGTGGACGAGTAGCTTCCTCTCGCAAACCGATCGGATGCCCACCGTGTCACAACCGACTCGACTGGATAAGGGACATCCTTCCCAAACACGTTCCTTAGTATCTCCGTTGCCTCGGCTATGAGATGGTCGTTGCTCGAGTGCTCCGTCTCGAACCCGGCGTCTCCGGCCATGAGCGCAATGAGACACGGCAGCCCGGTCGTGTTTGACACATTAAACCATTGAAAGAAGCGACCCCTGTTCACGCCATAGTCCTTTTGCGTCGTACTGTGGCGGCTGGGCGCATCTCGGACAATGCCAAATATGTGTCTGTCGGGTTCCCAAAACACCCTTTCGTAGACGAGCACAACCTTATTTAGGACACCAAAGCCGAGGCGTTCAATGACGCCCGTCTTCCACGACGGCAGCGGAGGGTCAAACGCTATGCTGCCTTGTTTCAACACGCCTAGGGGTACGGTGCAGACGACACAGTCCGCCTCGACAGAGGTGCCGTCCTCGGACTCGATCGCGGCCGGCCCGGTGAAGCTGTCGGCGTGATAATTGATCTTCTTGGCCGCAAACCTGGTAGTCAAGTCTAGCTTGGTCGGGCACAGTAACAAGCCACGGGCCACGCCTTGGTAGCCCCCGACGACCATTGTATGCCGCCCCTCCCACTCATTGCCGGCGTCCATGTCCCAAAGGCCGAGGCTTAAATTACGCAGGTTGGTGGCGTTGCTGTACTCCAAGTTGGCCACGTGCCAGTTGAGGAGCCGATGATCCTGGGCACTTAGGTCGACCAGGTGTTTATACTGAGATATGGCGTGGTCGAGGACGGAGCCCAGAGTCGCCCCCTCGATAGTGGCGGCTTCGTTGAGGTCGATGTTGTGCTCGTTTGCAGCCACAGACCTCAGGCTCCATCCCATCAACCTGGCCTTGTCCGCCGCCCTGAGGTTGGCTGGGATACCGGGCTCGTTGTGGACGCGGCCGGTAAGCTTGTCCGCAGAGACAGGAACCATGTTAACCTTTTCCGGCACGCTCTGCTGCGAAACCGGCGGCGCATGGGGTAGGGCCGCAGCCGCTTCCTCTGCCTGCATGATCGACTTGCTCCCGTCCGCGGGGCTATCGCGGCCTTCGGTGAGAAGATCCCGGTTACCCTCGATCAGCTTGGAGGGCTGGGGTTTGAACTTGAACTCGCTCACTCGGTCTAGGCAGTCGTTGTAGAGCTTCTCGACAAGCTGGTCGCGGACAGGGTCTACTGGCTTGCCGTTGCTGTCATAGATGGTCGTGTCTGCCGTGAGAGCGTGGTAGGGCAAGCCGAGCTGTCCGCGAACCAGGACATTCATGGGGTTCCCGCGATCGAAGCCCGTGATAATCATGCCCCCCATCTCGGCTGTGTGTCTCTTGGCGGGAAATTCGGGTTGTTCGCCAACGGGCTTGCTCTTGAATTCGCGAGAGTACACTCTGCCCCCTACACGACCCCTCCCTTCGAAAAGCACCACCCTGGGCACCTCTTGGCCGTTCTCGTGATACCGATCGGCATACTGTCTGAACAGCCCCTCCAGCTGCCTTGCGCAGGCCAAGCCAGAGATGCCTGCGCCGAGAACCGCGACGGTCTTCCGCCTCTTGCCTCGGGGTAGGCCATGACCGCTCGTGTGGGTCTCTGGGGGCTGTACGCAACCAAAGTTGATGTACCCGCGACGAAGCAGCCAATCGTAGCAGACGCTTGCAGCATCAAACCAGCGTGCGTTGGCACAGCCAACTGCTTCTTGCCGAGTGACGCCGGACCAGGGGCGCCTGATCCAGATGCGCAGGATGCCGTTTCTGATGTTCAAATAGGTCGTGACTTGAGCATGCGATATATGATGTCGGAGGAGATGATACTCTTCTGGGTGAAGCGCGTAGGGGTTGAGACGCGAGGACTCGGCCGCGTCGATGCACTCACTCGCGTACTGGTGCAAGGGGATGTCGGTGGGAATGGACGACTTGGGCCTGATGGTGTAGTTGAGTCGTTCGATGTTGTGATGGTGCGAGAGCGGCTTGCGGGGCAGGCTTTGTTCCGGGCTCTGTTCCTGGTCTTGCGCTTGACTCTGATCCTCGCTCGGCTGACGCTGCACTGTGTCCGGTTCGGCAGGGGTTGTAGCTTTGCTCGAAGCGTTTGACCGCAGCGACGAGGCATCTGAGAGTTCCGTCAAGGCCGAGAGGGACGAGGTGAATGAGTTGACGGCATCATTGCTATTGTGGGACGCAGGCACATCGTCATCACCATCGGGTTGAGGCACTTCATCACTGCTCAAGGTCAAAACCAGGCCCCTTTTGGAGGAGATGCCCTCGGCCGGGGCAAGACTTACTCGGAGCTGGTATCCATCGCATGCGGCTCTTCCGACTCATGACAAGATGGCGATGGCTCGAAGTGCGCGTGCTCTGCCCAGACTATGCTCTCGAAAGGACTGCCCGGCGGCTGCTCCGGAGAAGGCTCTTGCCGAGAGTCAAATGAGGAAGCGAGGCAGGGAGAATGGAGTGGCGACTCTCCCCCACCTTCTGAGAGCGAAGCACGCATCGAGCTCGCCGACGACAGCGAGGCTGCTTCGTCTTCATCGCTGACGCTGCCGGTAAGAAGACGGCTCTCGACGCTGGTTTCCATCTCGGGATGCATTGACCAGTGAGGGTCAATTATCCAGGGCGCGGATCCGGTCGGCCTCGGTGCCTTGGGTTACGTTATAATATCGACGACAAGAAAAGTTGAAGAGGAAGAGGCATCGTGGATCGCCCTTCACCGCTTGGCCTGTCTGCCCTATCGTGTCAGCCAGCAAGACCCCGTCTCTCTCGCTCGCTCTCGCTCTCGCTCTCTCTCCCTATCTCTCTCCCTCTCTCCCTCTCTCTCAGAGTCTTCTCAGTATAAGCGTCCGGGCGCTACTGACCAGGACACTCCTGTCTTATCGACATGTAATCAATCGGTCGGTGCAGCTGTGAGCCCGGCTCGCGACGGCACCTATCCATCCGCTGTCCCGGAGTGGGGGGAATTGGCTCAACTGCGTAATTGGTTGGTATAAAGCTCATCTAGGCACGGCCAAATGAAGCAAATTGATGCCATCAGCCACCTCCATGACCCCCCCTCGAGCGCCCCCGAAACCAGAGCCGGGCTAAGGTGGCCAGTCACGTGCGCTCAATATGACCGAATCACAGCCGTCGCCGGGGTGGGCCTTGGTCTATCATATATGTACATTCCGCCCACTCGCGGTGCATCCCCGTCGTTACGGCCACGGTTACTGCAAACATTCTCGGCTTTGGCCACCTGTCCACTGCCAGGTCAACCTTGTGAGCGCCCTCGTCAAGGGCCGGGTTGTTGCGCAAATGACGACGGACTGATTCATCGAGCCCGCTCCGAGGGAGTGCCAAGGTATGCATCGTCGTGCACATCCGGCCGCTCAGCCCGAGATGCCTGCTCCTGCCTGCGGCTGCGCAAAAGAGTCCTTTTCAATGGCCGCATCCATCATTCTGTTGCCGCTAATGATGGATGTGGTGCAGATGACAATGTTCCGTCGACCTGCAAACTCGCGTCAGAATCGTAGCCCGGCTGTGCGACGACCAACTTACCCTCTTCTTGCTTGGCCAGGAACCGAAGCGCTGCAATCTCCGTAAAGGTGATTCCACCCACGAAAACAACAAAGACCGTCTGCTTGTGCCCGCTTCCCGAGAGCAATGCCCGTGCCTTGACGGCCTTGTCCTCGCCCTTCTGGAGCTCGTAAAATGTCTGTCCGCGCACGTGCTTGACGGCCTCGTCGAAGCCGTGCCAGCCCTGCGTCGCTGCCCCGGACGACGCGCCGCCTGCGCTGGAGACACCGTTGCCTTTTGTGACGGAGAGGAGGTATTGCTTCTGGAGCACACACTGCACGAGTCGGATCGAAAGGGGCGCGTACCCGCTATACACGTATGCTACGTCGTTTGGGTCGTCCTCCTGGACCTCGTCCACGATCAGCCGGAGCTGCTTTCGCAGATACGTGTAATTCGTCTTTGTACCGGTCCCCGTAGCGCCGCCCGTCATCGGAATCATGCCGGCGAGCGGCGAGGAGCGCGACAGGAAGAGCTGGAGCTTCTCCAGGTTGTTCAGGGTCAGAATATGTTGATAGCCGTAGCCGTGAAGAACCAAGCGCCGAAACTGGTCATACTCCTTGGGCTTCACCCCCCCGGATATGCAAGAGTAAATGCACAGCAACCTGAGTGTTTCACGCAGTGGGGTATCGCGGGCGATGAGTTCCTCTATCCCGTCGAGCTGGGACGTGGGGTCGGCGCCCGCCGCCAGGTTTTGCTGTACCTCCAGTAGGCCCTTGAATTGGTCGGTGCGGGTGTGCTTGATGATTTCCTCGGCGAGACCCGTATGAATCCTCGCGCTCTGGTGCTCTTGCTGGTAGCCGGGCAGTCGTCCCACAAACTCCTTGAGCTCGGCCAACGTCTTGGTCTTGTTCTTGCTTTCGTAGTCGCTCTGCACTTGCTGCAGCCGCCGCGCCACCTTGTTGAGTAGGCCGCCGACAATGGCAAAATTTGCGTCTCGCAGCTGGTCGTATAAGCTGTCACTCGAGTCTAGCTGTATCGTCCGTTTCCTGCTCTGCGACGTCGCCGCCGAGGACTGCGCCGGTGCCCCGACGACAGTCGTATCGACCTTGGCCTGGTTGTTTTGGATCCCAAACAATTCGTCGATGAGACCCTCGTACGTCAGCTGCGTGAGGAGGGGGGTGACAAAGTCGACCTCTCGATCGATGATGATGACGCTCTCGTTGGTCGTGCTGGGCGTGAGGCCCGTCTTGCCCGAGTCGGTGGCGTCCTCGCCTGCAAGCAGTTCCTGGCGCAGGCGACAGAGCATGTCGGCCACTCGTTTCGCATTGTCGCCCTTGCCGATGATGCGCGGAAACAGACCGTGATTCTGCTGGACCTCCATGAGGGCCCTGGCCAACAGGTAGTTGGGCGTGACGTCCTTGGACAGGTAGAGATCTCGAAAGGAATCATCGAGCTCCAGGGACAAGACGTCCTTTTCGAGCGGGAAGAAGAAGAGCGGCAGTTCGGCGATGTTGACGTCGCCCAGCACGCCGGCTTCCTCGAGCAGCTGATCCGTAACCAAGGTCCGGCGGGGGACCCAGAAGATGTGGAAGTCATGGGTGGTCTGGCTTTCGCGTTGCACTCGCTTGATCTGGGCTGGAGGGTGGGCACAAGGCCTGTCAGCCACTGTCGCGGGCGCGAAGGAGCTGGTCAGTGGCTGGGCATACCTGCTATGGCCTCGATGTGCTGGCCGCATTCGCCTCTTGCGACGAAGACGACGTTGTGCTGACTCGAGTCGACGTTGTCGTTTTCGAGGATGAAGAATTTGTCGACGCCGTACTCCTGAAGGGTCGCGACCTTGACAACGGTGCCGATGGGCCCGACCAGGGTGCGATCAAAGACGAGGTTCTTCTTGCCGCGTACCTGTGTGCTCGATGGTTCAGCTTCCCGGGCCTGACAAGCACTGGTGTCGCGTCGTGAGCCTTACTTACACCCTCCAGCAGGTACAGCAGGTCCTTGCGAGCTTTGCCCCGGACCTGCTCGGAGCTGAACTCGGTGCGAGGCGCCATGACAGCTCTCACCTGTGGTCGATGGGGAGGGCTCACGAGAGAAGCTCTCGAGTTTGGAGGGCAAACAGAACGGGTGGATGACCAGGAGCCCAGCCCAGGCAAGCTGGCGCTCCAAAGTGCTGCGCCTGAGCACTCGAGCACGCGCAATGACGCCTTGTCTCTAGTACCTGGTGGAACAGGGCATGGAGGGCGTCTGGTCATGTATGGGCTACAATCCAACGAAGCTGCTGGCCCCGAAAAGCGCCTCGAAGGGACTTTTTAGCGAGCAGGGTACCTGGGACACGCCCGTAGGCGAGCAGCGGAGCACAACCCGGCGGGGAACCCCGCCCTCGGCTGCCTCGACCAACCCGACGTCATCACAGACGGCGAAGGCTCCCGGCTCGGGCGACTTCAGCGTCCAACTTCGTCCAGAAGCAGTTCGAATTTGTCTACGATGGCCACCTGCGCGGTTGTACGGAAATTCCATCGCTGTGGATGTTTAGGTCGGACGTGGACATATGATCGTGGACGAATCTGCCGAGTGAAGCGGTCGTCGAGTTGTTTCCGGAGAGCGGGTCAATGAATGCGCATCAGGGCTCTTTGACTCTATGCCGGCATGCCTCGGCTCCGGTGTGTGTTCTCGCCCACAAGGGCATAAGACATCACATTTGGCTCGGTAGGCATGCTCTCGTGACAGAGAGATGCCATTGGAGTGGACGTGCGAGCCCGTCCCCTCGTGCATGATGGATCAGCGGGGCCCTCTCTAGCGTATTCGGCAGAGGTTGCTCCATGGAATAAGATACAGCAAGCCCGTCTTCTCGTCCGGGAAAAAAAGACTTGAAGGGGGAAAGGGTTAGTCAAGCGAAGCCTCTCCCTCTCAAGTCGGTGAAATTCGCCATGCCCGTGTCAACTTTCGAGCAATAGCAAGACGACGGCTCGCACCTCGCTCGCGGTCCTCCCACGCCGAAAGCCCATCGTCTTCGTCTATTCTTAAACAGTGTTGTCGTGATATAGAAACTCAATGTCTCGCGGCCGTAGTCTGTTGCCTCGAACAAACTCCTCGTCGCCGGGGGGCCTCTCGTTCTTGGAGTTGCTGGTGAGCATGCTCTGTATGCTCACGCAGACGCTCTCGGCGCTCTGGACCGGGCTCCAGCCCTGTTGCCCCAGGAGGTCGAGACATATGATGCCATTGGAGTAGATGTGAGGATGCATGGGGATGGGGCGGTTTGGTTTTGCTTCAAAGGTGACCTCGGGGGGTTCTGCGACCGACGTCAGCGCGAGGCCTCGTCATGCTCGGAAGGCGGGCCTTACCTATGGGGTACGAGCCAGGGAAAAGAAACTTGAGCCGGTAGGTCTGGTCCTTGTAGAGCGGGTTGGTGTCGAGGACGCGTATGTCGAGGGTCCATTCCTTGAGGTTGTCGCCGTTGACGAGTTCGATGCCGGGAGGCAGCCCATGCTTGTTGATCTGCGCGGCGTCAGCTTGCATCTCGGGCAAGAGGGGGTAGGCCAAAGCCCGCCTTTTGGAGCTCCTTGGACACGCGCTTGTCACGCATCTGTGTTGCCATGTTGGACGCCGCCGGGCATCGTCCTCGCGATGCGGATCCGGTGCAGCGCGAGTTTGGGAAGAAGCCTCGCCTTGAGGGGTTGGCAGCCAGGCCCAGGAGGATGAAAGACGCCGGGCAGCGAGCGCGCGCGCGCGCCAAGAACAAGCCCCAAGGCCGAAAGTGGAGGCTCCGGGCGGTGGCGGTTCCAAGCTTAAATGATTGACTTTGATCCCGCCTGCTCGTCGGGGATCCGGGAGGGACAGGTTAGTGGCGAATAACAGACGCTGTGAGTTTTTGTCCGTCTTGCGCAGGGCATCAGGCAGAGAGGTGGCAGCAACTGAGCGAGGACAGGAGGGGTGGCAGATGGCACGGATTCGCCGAATCCCCACTGCCTCAGTCTAGCCGCGCAGGTCGAGCGCCATGACGGCCAAATAAGGCAGTGGATGAATGTTTCCCCCTCCGCCCCCTTACGAGGAACCGCCGCTGTCGCTTTTGGGGGAGGGGGATCCGCCTTGCCGGCGCAGCTTGTTAACAGATAAAACAGATGACTGGAGGCGGCTCCAGCCGGGGCGGGTGGCGGAAGAGTCGGGAGCAATCCTTTCACTTCGGGTTGGCTTTTGATGCTCCCTGGGCCGTTGGATGCCGCACGGGTACGGGGTTTTACTGCCGACAGCGACGGGCGAGTTGGGCAAGCATGTCTTTATCCCGTGTGGCGCGACGCTTGTCCCGTTGACGCTGTCCAGTTGACGTTTTCCAGTTGACGCTGTCCCGTTTCGCTCCCCCGGACACATGGACACCGAGGCCTCCGAGAGCTACCTTAGGTACCTGGCAGACATGGCCGACGACTGCGATTTGCACACCGATTTGCAGGCCCTCGTGGCCCATGAGGACAAGAAAATGGGGAGTACCGGTACTGTACTGCGACTTGCTGGGGCTGGGTAGCTCAGCCACGGCCTGCGCGGTCGCCTTTTTGCCTTGGGGCCCCGGATGCACTCACCCCCACTTCCGGCAGTTGGCCTGTGCCAGTGGTTTATATGTATGTACGTTTGCTCGTCCCACCAGTCGGTGCCTGACAAAAGACGTCTTTGGGGTAGGAGCACAGCCGCAGCCTCTTTGTGCCTGCTGCAAGAAATCATCCATTCGACCGTCATTGGCTCCACTACTAATTACTGGGTAGTAGTTACTGTCCAGCAGGGCCTCGGGGCGAGGGAGGGGCTGGCGAGGGGAGCGGGGGCCTCTGCTGTAACTGTACAGTAGCGCTGGCTGGCCACTGACTGGCCACTGACTGGCCAGGGGGGTGTCCAGTACTAAAGGAGCCTGTGGCCCCCCGGACCCTCGAGTGGGTTTGCTTGGGCAGCCTTGCTAGGTAGGTATGTACTGTAGGTAGACAAGGTAGACAACCATATCGTTGCTGGATTCGTATTTATTACTCACCCTTACCAGCCTATCCTCCCCTCCCCCCGCCTACATCCCACCTCACCATCATCGTCCCCTGCCTTAGACATCGCCGTCGGCTTGTCGCTCGCTCGCCCTCGCCTCTCCTCCAGCAGCGTCGCCGAGGCCCCCGTCCGCCCTGCCAGCAGCATCACGTCTCTTGTCTGCGGCGCCCCAAGTCCCCCGGCCGCAACGCCCCGCGCTCGCGACCGCCTTCTCGATACCCCGCCATCCGTCGCAATGAGCTGTAAGTTGCTTTGCAGAGTCGCCTTGGTTGCGCGCCAAAGCGCAATGCCTTGTTCGCCACTCTTGGCCAACCCCTTCTTCTCTCCTTGGGCAAGGGCAAAATCCCTTGCCGCACGTATCTTGTGGCTAACATCGTCCTGCAGTAGTCTCGGGCATGCTGAATCGCCTTCACGGCCAACCCGAGAGCTACGACAAGAAGTGAGTCGCCAAACCTGCTTGCAGCTGACCTTGCTGCTGAGGCCTAACGCTGTATCAAGAGCAAAGTACAGATTCGGCCGAACGCTCGGGGCCGGCACCTATGGCGTCGTGCGCGAGGCAGATGGCCCCACGGGCAAGGTGGCCATCAAGATCATCCTCAAGAAGAACGTCAAGGGCAACGAGAAGATGGTTTACGACGAGCTCGACATGCTGCAGAGACTCAAGCACCCACACATTGTCAAGTTTGTCGATTGGTTCGAGTCAAGGGTGCGCCGTCTCGTCATCCCGCCCCCCTCGTCGCATGGACAGGAACTCACCAACGTGCCCTCTACAGGATAAGTTCTACATCGTCACCCAGCTGGCCACGGGTGGTGAGCTCTTCGACCGTATCTGCGATCAGGGCAAGTTCACGGAAAAGGATGCCTCTCAGACCATAAAGCAGGTCCTCAACGCCGTCGACTACCTCCACCACAACAACGTGGTCCACCGGGGTGCGCTCCAGCTGCCGCCTTCCGTTCAAGACTCACCAGACTGACATGATATTGCTATGCGACAGATCTCAAGCCCGAAAACCTCCTCTACGTAACCCAAGACCCCGACTCGGACCTGGTCCTGGCCGACTTTGGCATTGCCAAAACGCTCGACAGCGGCGAGGACACACTGCGGACTATGGCGGGGTCATTTGGGTATGCCGCTCCCGAGGTCATGGAGCAAAAGGGTCACGGCAAGCCGGTGGACATGTGGTCGCTGGGGGTCATCACGTACACGCTGCTCTGCGGCTACTCCCCCTACCGGAGCGAGAACCTCAAGGACCTGCTCAGGGAGTGCACTTCGTCCCAGGTGGTGTTTCACGAGCGGTATTGGAAAGACGTCAGCGAGGATGCCAAGGATTTCATCACTCGACTGATTGTACCCAATCCTGACAAACGATGGACCAGTCAGGTAGGCTCGAGACCGCTCTCTGGGTGACCCCATGGCCGCGGCAAGTTGCAGCTCTAACGCGAAATCTCACAGCAAGCGCTAGGGCACATCTGGCTCACGGGCCAGAACGCCAACACGGAGCACGACCTGGTACCCGAGCACCTCAAGGCCCGAGACATTAGGAAGAAGTTCAAGCATGCCGTGTTGGCCGCGAGCCTTAAGAAGAAGATTGAGCGGCTCAAGGAGGCTGAATCGGATTCCGAAGACGACATGAAGGACGCGCAGCAGGCGGTGGGCAGGAGCTTTGAGGGCCCGCCGCGGAGCGACTCCAAGCCGACGTCTCTACGGGACGTGGCCCGGGATGGCTCTCTGTTTCACGCTGTCGTCATGGCTAAGATGAAGGACGAGAAGCAGAAACAAGAGGCTTTGGAGGCCGAGCAGGAACTGGAGAAGGAGGGCGGGCATCGCAGCTCCAACAGCGGGTCTTGATCGTTTCCGATCTTCAAGCGGGCCCTCTTCAGTTGGTGGTGTGTTTTCTCACAGCTTGTCTAGCGGAACGGTGCATGACGGAGGGAGGAAGTCAAAGTTTGCGAGGGAAAGCTCTGGATCGTCTCAGGTACTGGCCCGGCTAGCCGCCCTTCTTTTTTATATTTATTCTTGGAATTGGGACATTGACAGCAGCGTCGCGAGGCCGGCATGTCTTTCATATCGGCAGCTGGCCCGGAGAGCCTCCCTTCTTTTTATACTTATCTTGCGAACCCAGGATATCGGCAGGCAGCGTCATGAGGCCGGCATGTTTTTTTTGTCGGCAGCGATGGGCAACACTCACGGGGACGAGGGGGGACGAGGGGTATGCTTTAGAAGTATGCATCTGAATAAGATTAAAGAGGACAAGACGCCCGTAATTTGCGATTCTCATGTGCGTCATTCATCCATCCAAGGTCGTTTATACATACAGGTAGCGCGGCCGTGGACGATGGATGCTTCCCCTTCCGAGGCTAATGTACAATGTGCAAGAAGGATCATGTTAGGACGCCGGTGAGAAGCGACGCTGACGCTGTGATGCTTCTCCAGCGCAAGCAAAGACGGAGAAGAACATTATACTGAGGGGTAGAGGGAAATAAGACGAGGCTGCTCCCGCCGCCCATGTGCCTGACCCGATCATAGCGCCAGGTCGGCCAGGGCATTCTCACGCAGCGTCTGGTAGCGCTGGGCATCGAATCGAGGACGCCGCCATCCGTTGGTGCGCAGCCGCTCAGCTCGAGCCTTCAAGTCCCCGGCATGTTCCTCATGCTTGGACACGGGTTCAGCCTGGCAAGCGGCGATGGTCGTGTCAAGGGCAGCGACGCGAGCGAGCATGTCATGACGTAGCCCGTCGAGCAGGCTGTGGTAGCGGGGGGACCTGGAGGCGTCGACGAAGGGGTCATCGGACACCTCGACGAGACGGGTGAGCTGCGGAGCGGCGGAAGGCGGCATCTGGTTGAGCGACAGAGCCTTGTCCTGCTTGAGGATGGACTCTGGCGAGGCGGGGCGGGAGGGCGTCGGGGCTGGCCAGCTTTCGAAGCCGAGGGTGGGGGAGTCGGGCCTGATGAAGGGCTCGACGTCGTCGCGAAAGGACACGCGCTTCTTGGCCTTGACGGGGGCCGGCTCAGGGGTCTTGGGGCCGTCGTCGGGCCAGCCAAAGGACGGGTCGGGCGAAGACATGCGGGACGAGACGGGCGACCAGGAGAGGTCGGAGGCGGTGGAGGAGCGGAGACTGGGCATGGGGGACGAGTTGCGAGAGAGGCCCGGCGCCAATGGCTGCTCAGCGAGAAGCGAGGCGGCGCGGTAGTGGGCCTGGGCCTGTTGGAGGAGGGCAATGCGGCGGGGGCGCGAGGGCTGGCTGCTGGCCTGGGCCTCGAGGGCGGTGGCGGCGTAGAAGCGGAGGTAGACCAAGTACGCTGGCTCTACCGGGTCCGGTGCCGCGAGGTCGAGGATCTCGAGGCAGCGGGAGGAGCACTCGTCGTACCTGTTGCTCAGACAGGCCCTCTTGACGTCGTCGAGGGCCCTCGTCCACTCGGCGGCCGAGGAGGGGAGCTTGCGGCGGGGGGGCCTAGGAGGAGAGAGGCGGGGAAGCTTGGGCCTTGAGGGCGAGGAGTTCAGAGGCGGCGACATGGTGTTCTGTTTGCTGTGGAGGGCGTCGCAGGCTGGGAGGAGAAAGGAGACGCGACTCTTGGAGGCCGAGTCGGAGGTGCCGAGGGCGAGGGGGATGAGGCCGGTCATGGCGCCGAGGGACGAGGACCGTATCTCGTACGAGGGCGAGGATGTGGAACAAGAGGGACCAGCGTATGACGATGACGACGACGAGAGGTGGCGCGGAAAGCGCTCGGTGAGGCACATTGTATCACTTTCTTAGTCCCCGGTGCCTGCTCGGGCCGAAGCCGCGCCAGTTTATGTGCGACAGCCGGGCGGCCGGGAAGGATGAGGAAGAGGCCGAAGAAGGAAAGATGGCGGACAGGGTCCAATGAGCCGTCGTGCGGATGGCAACTCGCAGCCACCACCGGACACAGCAAGGGACGGCCTCGTCGCACAGGGCAAGGATGGCTATAGTCCGGGTCCGCGGCGGCGTGGGTTCTGAATGGAGCCGTTGGAAGCGAGGCAGAGGTGCAAGGGTGCGAGCGGTTTTGGTTCGTCGGCCGGAGGGGGATGAGGCGTAGGCCGTAGCGAGATGGATGGCTTGGTGGTGGTGGTGATGATGATGACGATGATGGCGACGGTGATGAGTCCACCAAGGGGGTACAGTAAAGTGGGTTAGTCGTTGGGGCTGAGGTTCGTCGACGGGGCGTGATTCCCCCTTCTTTTCCCTTTGGTTACAGCAGGATCTTTTATTGATTCGACAGAGAGAGATATATAATCGAGAAAGACGGGCGGGGAGAGAGCGAGAGGCAAGGGGAGATATAGGAGAAGGATGGACAAGGGCTGGCCACACCAAGATCTAGGTACGGTACCACCCTTGCTTGCTGCTGCGGCTTGGGGGGTGGAGAGAAGGGGAGGGAGTGTTAGCCCAAGAAGGGAGAGAGTAACTTGGGCCCCGGCACGACTGTTTGCTTTGGCTTTGGCGCGGAGAGGGGGAGAAGATGGAAAGTAGAAGACGATGCAAGACAGACGGGGGGGGGGGAGGCAAGACAAACGTGGCGGAGGGCGAGGGCGCCGTTTGTACGGAGTATTGCGAGTGAATGGCAATGACAGAGTGATCGATAGAAGAGAGATTTCTCAAAGTAATAAGACTGGGAAACGACGTGTCAGTCTCGTCTTCTCCCCTGCCTTTTGGTAACTTATAGATGCATCTTCCAGTTGAGTTGCACGGGGGCTGGAGTAGTGAGCTTCATCAAGCTCCAGCCATGCCAGCCCGCACGTCCCTCCGAGGATCATGGTCAAGCCTTTTCTCGTGAGGCTCTTCCGTGACAATGGCAGCAGCAGCAAGGCAAGGAGCCCTGGTGCCGACCCAAAGGGTCCGTGAGCGTCACCACCGACTGACTGCACTGGAAATAGCGCCGCGGGCTGTCACTGTCAAGTGGTGTAGGTACTCTACAGTGGGTATACTCTACAGTGGGTGTGTGCGGTGGGCTTACAGTGGAGATGCCCCTCCCCCCCGTTGATTGCCAGGCCCAGCACTGAGGGGAATGCCAGTAATTAAATGGAGGGAATGGGAATGGATGGACGGATATTCATGCGTGGAGCACGGCAATGTGATGAATCAACCCAATCGCCCAAGGGCACACGAGAACTGTCATCTGCACCCGAGCTCACTCAGTCTCGTCCCTTGCGCCGCGCTCCCTTGGCTCGACTACGGGCACGGTATCCGTAGTCCGTCGCTCAATGCCGGCCCTCGCTCCTTTGATGCTCGTCGCCGGCCATGCAAACAAAGCGCACGACCCCTATGGGGAGAGCGGAGAGACAGAGCGCCGAGACGAGATGATGGACTGAGTCGGTCGTGCCTTGGCCACAATGCAGCCGAATGATGTCTCCATGCACAGTGCCCCGTAAATAAATCCCCCGCAGAGCCCCCCGCAGAGGGCTCGGACCTGCGTTGCGTTTCGCCAGCCGCCGCCATCCTGTCTCAATTTGCGGCTTGCCCTCGAGGCTCGGACGCTGCTATCTGTCCATCAGTGCCATGCAGCTTTCTACCTACGCCGTGCTGTCCATACACGGGGACGCGGAGGGAAGAAGAAGAAGAAGAAGAAGAAGAAGAAGGAAGAAGCAGACGAGGAATAAAACGACAAAGAGAGTATGAAACATGACGGAAAGGGGGAGGAGCGAATAATTACTGCACACACTCGCTCCCTCGCTCCCTCGCTGCGTCAAAGAATGTAATACGGATAACTTACAGAACCTGTAGTTCTTGACCGTTACATGTTACATATCCACGTGGCGTATCTGCCGCAATTGAGTTCGAATAGTCCCGCGGGTCTCCCACGGCAGCATGAACTTGACCCGGCTAGCCACCTTTCGCATCGTCACTGCCGCTACGCTTCATCACTGCTGCCGTCGTGGACACACGTACGGGGTACAGACTAATTAATGAACAAAAGTCTAGCTAGTCCCTAGGCCTAACGCCGGCCGTTGTCCCCCTAGTCTGGTCCCCCCCCCCCAGTCTCCTCCTATCGCGTCTGCGGATACAAACCGCTCTATCCCCGTGCCATTCCACGCCCAAGCTTCCGGCTTCTGCAAGCTCGAATTGGGCTAATTAACGGCAGGGGTGGTGGGGACCAGCGTGGGCTCTCCCATATTAGGCGAGTTATTATCATTAAGGGGTCCGGCGCCGGCTCGCTTGAGGTCAAAGCCGAGCCCCGTCTGTCATTCTCACGGGCTCGCTCCCCGTTTCTACAAACACGTCAAGCCCGCCCCGTCCGCCTGTCCCAAAAGCGGGAAGCCCAAAAAAGGAAACGGGGACGGAAAAAAGCAAGGCTCAAGTCAAGGCAAGGGAAAGGCAGTGAGCGCTGCAAAGCGATTGGATCTGGGGCAGCGCGTCGTCTGTGCGTGGACGGCTCTGTCCCGTGGGCTCTCGGATCCCTTTTCGGGCCAGAGAGAGGCGCGCGTGCCTCCTGATCGGGCTTGGGTGTCCATCAGAGCTGGTTACTGTACTGTGTGCACCTTGGAGACAGTCGTCGTCGTACTGTACGGATACGTAGGACTGCGCCCATGTGTTACTGTACAGCCGGATTTGCGCCTTGACCCTTTTCCCATGGGAGTGCATCAACAGGCCAAGCACCTTGCTGCCTGTCACCTTGCGGCGTGTGGAGAAGCAATCTCGTCGTGGCGAGTCTCGAGATGGGCCCATTTCCGCTGCCGAGAGGTCATGTCGCGGCTCAGTATCCAGATGTGAGTCGTGGATGATTTTTCTCCATCTCTCGCTCTCGCCGAGCTGATCGCCGTCCCTCATTTCTGAACGGACCCTCGAGAAGATAACAAAGACAATGGTGCTTCGGTAGGTGAACTACTAATGGCCAAGAAGGCCAACCGCATGCGTGCCTACGACCCCACAGCGTTTTTGGACACGAGCCCCCCCACAAAGATTGGTCATGGCGAGGCAACTGTCGGCAGCCGTCGCTGTGCCCCTATTTATGAAGGTATGTATGCAGCAATGAGGTTCCCCAGGCGGGCCGTGATCTGTCTTGGATGAAAAAATCGAGGTGGTGCGAGAGAGGGAAAGGGGAGACGGGACGAAGAGAGCTTCTATTGGCGTGCACGTGATGATCCGCAAAGATCAGCAGGGCCAGGCCGGGTCATACATCGTATGCCCGCACGGGAGCGGAGCCGGGAACGGCCTGGTGAGTCGTGACACAGTACCGGCCAGCATTGAGCGGGGCGCCGGATCGGCTCCAGCGACGGCCCGGCGACGGCCCCACGACGGCTCGGAGCCGAGCCGCCGGAACGAAACAGGCAGTGGGGCCAAAGTAAAACGTTTCCCCGTAAGCTTGCCGTCGGCGATGGCGTATGAGTGGCTGCATAATGCGCGTGTGCGTCGTTTTCCCTCCGATTGGTCCAGCGGCCGCCACATTACATGCTGTTTTGGGGGCCTTGCAGTCTGTTTACTGTCAGAATGCCCGGCTCGGATTCTCGGGCTCTTCCAAGGGTCCGGGGCGGCTTCCGGAGAGCCACCCTGACGTTGTACATACACATGGCTGCTGACGACTGAGATGCGTACAGCGTCAGATGAGGCACTGTGGTTCTTTCGAGCACAAAGAACAAGTGAGTCACGGCCTGCAGTACGACACCTTTGCAAAATGTTGTCTTCTTCTTGCTCGGCCTTCCCTGGTCCACGCAGAGCGTCTCGAAGAGTGTCTGAGCCCAAACCACGTTTCAGAGCCATTACAGCTGCGGCTTAGCTGCGTAGGGACTTGTTATGATCCTGAGTGGCGAGTGCCTTGCATGCGAGCTGCGTCGCCCGCCGTAAGCAATTACTTTTTACTTAGCGCGCGACAGGGAAAGAAATAAGGTTGAATGCACACGGCCGTTTCGCCTGGTCCGGTGACTCACAACTACCCGAGGCAGCCAGTAATCCGTAATATTATCCCAGCACGTTGAGTAATTTCGTCGCCCAAGGTACCATTTACAGTACACAGCAGGGCAGGCGCCATCAGGCAGCAGAATCCAGGGGGCAGGGGGCAGGTGGCAGATGGCTGCGGCATATATCACGGCAGGTGCATCCGACTTGGATCTTTCCCAGCTTCCTCGTCCTCGTCTTCAGTGACAATCACGCCCAAAATTCGACACCGCCGGCTTCAATGGACGTCGCACCCGCGCGCACGACGATAGCATCATGAGCCTCGACGAAAAGGCCGTCTCGGCCTCGACACCAACCCGCCCCGCGAACGGTTCCCCGATCCCAGAAGCCCAAACCAAGCCCCGACCCGAGCGAACGGCAACCTTTCAAGACTACCTCGTGCGTCTCAACCTCTCCCGAGCCTCAAGTCGTGCCCCGTGGCCGCTGACCTCTTCCTCCCTTTGCTTTCTGCGCTTTAGCGAGTCTTTAGCTATGCCAAGCCATGGGATTTCGTTGCATACGCTGCCGGCGTGCTGGCCTCCATCGGCGCGGGCATCACCCTGCCCCTGATGAATGTCGTCTTTGGTGAGCATGAGCCGCTCCACGACGACGTCTGGGCCTTCAAAGGCTAATGGCCACCGTTCCGCAGGCAAATTCGTCGGCAACTTCACCGCCTTTGCACCGCAGACTGAAGCCGACAGAGACCACTTTCGCGCCATGCTGAGCCAACTATCGTGAGCCAGCCCAGCATCCACTGAGCACGCACATGCTGACCGGCTATTCCTTGCCAGCCTGTACATGTTTGCCCTCTTCGTTGTCCGCCTCGGACTCAACTACATCAACAAGGTATTTCGCGCCAGTCTCTTCAGCCGATGGTAAATTTGGGTTGCTGATGCCCGAGCCTCTGCTGCCACCAGCTGTGTTTCCGCATGATCGGCATCCGCCTCTCATCCGCCATCAGGCTGCACTATCTCGAGCGTCTCTTTGGCCAGAGCATCCATGTCCTTGACTCTATGCCTCCTGGCTATGCAACAACTACAATCACCACCACCAGCAATGTGCTGCAGCTGGGCATATCGGAGAAGCTCGGCGTTTTTGTCGAGTTCATGGCTACCATTATTGCCGCCATCGTCATAGCCTTCGTCAATAGCTGGTCTCTCACACTCGTCACCTCTGCAGCCATCCTCTTCATCCTGTTGACTGTCAGCTTGCTGTTACCCTGCATCGTCAAGTATCAGGGCCGCGTGGCAAAGGTCAGAGCCCTTCACCCCCATTCTTGACAAGAGGGACAGTGGGTGCTCCTGGGCCGAGTTTGTCTCGCCGAACAATCAACCCGAGTGAGATACAAGTGAAAAGCAGGAAAATTCAAACGCTGACCATGCTTGCCCACTGCAGGCCGAATCAAAGTCCTCGGCCGTCGCGAGCGAGGCCTTGGCCAGCGTCCGGATGATCATGGCGTGCGGTGCCGAGTCTCGTATCGCCGCCAAGTATGCCGTCCATGTCGAAGAAGCCAAGCGACATGCACGAATCACGAGCCCCTTTGTGGCTCTCCAGTTTGGACTCATCGTAAGTCGCCTCACCACCTACCTCCCCTCCTCTTGTTTCGGCTGCCAGTCTGGGCTAACATGCTTCAGTTCTTTGCCGCCTATGCCGCCTTTGGCCTCGCTTTTTGGTACGGGGCAAAGTCGTACATGGAGGGCCGCCTGGACAATGTTTCCACGGTCGTCATGTGAGTTTTACATGTCGGGTTGTGGTGCGATGCGGACATGCCGCTCACCGAGATTTAGTGTCCTGTTCTCCGTTATGATGGTCGTTTTCTCCCTCGAGCGCGTCTCCACGCCTCTGCTGGCCGTCAGCAAAGCCACCGTGGCTGCCTGCCAATTCTTCACCGTCATCGACGCTCCCCAGCCCGACAAGGGGCATCTTAAGGCTCCTCAAGTCTCTGCAACGGATGACATCGTCTTGCAGAACGTCACCTTTGCTTACCCGAGCCGGCCACATGTCAAGGTTCTGGACGACCTGGACCTCCGGATCGAAGCCGGCAAAATCACGGCCATTGTCGGTCCTTCAGGCTCCGGCAAGAGCACGATAGTCGGGCTGATTGAGAGGTGGTATAATTTAAAGGAACAATATGTCATTGCCAAGGCCGTGGAACAGAAAAAGGACAAGAAGGGAAAGAAAGACAAAGACAACCCCGAGGACCAAAATGATGAAGACGATTCCGGCGCAGCTGAGCCCGAGGAAACCGGCCCCCCAATCAAGCTCAATGGAAGCATCTCCACCTCGGGCCACCTTCTCGACGAGATCAACCTCAAGTGGTGGCGCTCGCAGATAGGACTCGTCCAGCAAGAACCCTTCTTATTCAACGATACCATCTACGTCAACGTGGCCTACGGACTCGTGGGCACCGAATGGGAGCATGAGCCCGAGGACAAGAAGCGGGATCTTGTCAGGGAGGCTTGCAAGGAGGCCTTTGCGGACGAATTCATCGACAAGCTCCCGACGGTGAGTCGACAATGACCGCCCCTAGCACGAGTGGGAAGCTGACGAAACCATCAGGGCTACGACACAGTCGTCGGAGACAGTGGTGCCAAGCTGTCCGGAGGCCAGCGTCAGCGCATTGCCATCGCCCGGTCCATTGTTCGGAAGCCCAAAATTCTCATCCTCGACGAGGCAACGAGTGCCATCGACGTCCGCGGCGAGCGCATCGTCCAGGCGGCACTCGACAGGGTTGCTCAGAACCGCACTACCATCACCATCGCCCACCGTCTGTCAACGGTCAAAAAGGCAGACCGCATCGTCGTAATCAAAAAGGGTCGTATGGCTGAGTCGGGCACGCACCAGAGCCTCATTGCACAGGAGGGAGGCATCTATGCCGCCCTCGTCAACGCCCAAGCCCTCTCCCTAGGCGAGCCAGCTGACGAGGCAACCGACGATAGCGACGGCAAGGATGGCGAGAACTTGCCGCTGTCGCGCAAGACAAGCCGTGCCATGTCGCTCGTCCACGAACCAGCCGAGGGGAAGCAGGAGAAGCAGCGAAACATTGTTTCGAGCTTCGGGCTGCTCCTGTACGAGTCGAGAAAGTACTGGTGGCTGATGGCACTGACCATCTTCTTCGCTGCCTGTTCTGGGGCTGCCGTCCCGCTGCAGGCCTTCCTGTTTGCCCACGTCGTCATTGTCTTCAACTACACCGGCTCTCAGCTGGCAGCGGAGAGTCTGTTCTGGTCCCTGATGTGGGTGGCACTGGCTGTTGGCGTCGGCCTCGGGTATTTTGGCTGCTTCCTCTCTTCGACGCAAATGGAAACGATTGTTCGCGCAAAGTTTCAGAAGCAGTACTTTGAAGCCATCCTGCACCAGAAGACGGCCTTTTTCGACGACGAGGACAACTCGCAGGGCACCATGACGGCGCGTGCCTCCGGCGACCCCAAAAAGCTCGAAGAGCTCATGGGCTCCAATATGGCCAGCGTGTACATTGCCGTCTTCAACCTTTGCGGATCCATTGCCATTGCCTTTGCCTTTGGATGGAAGCTGGCGCTCGTGGCGTGCTGCGTCGTCATGCCCATCAGCATTGCGACGGCGTACTGGCGCTTCAAGTACGAAATCGAGTTTGACAAGATGAACAACGAAGTCTTTGCCGAGAGCTCCAAGTTCGCGTCGGAAAGCATCGGTGCGTACAGAACCGTGACGTCGCTTACCCTAGAGGGTCCGACGTGTGAGCGCTTCGAGAAGCTTTGCCGTGGCCATGTGGCCAAGGCCTTTCGAAAGGCGCGATGGGTCAGCCTGCTGTTTGCGCTGTCTGACAGCACGACCATGGCCTGCCAGGCCCTCGTCTTCTACTACGGCGGCCGCCTCCTGGCCACGGGCGAGTACCAAGCCCTCAACTTCTTCGTGTGCTTCATGGCGACGGTGCAGTCGGGCGAGGCAGCCGGGCAGGGGTTGAGTTTCGGGCCCAATGCCGCCCAGGCCACGGCTGCGGCCAACCGCATCCTCAACGTCAGGGAGTCGCGCTTGAGTGACGGTGCCTCAACAAAGGAGACAATTCCCGATGCTCGAGGGGGCATGAAGATTGAGCTGGACAACTTGCACTTTACATATCCCACGCGCACCCTGCCCGTGTTCCAAGGGCTCAGCTTGACGATTGAAAAGGGGCAATTTGCGGCCCTGGTGGGCGCCTCGGGCTGTGGCAAGACGAGCATCATTTCGCTCCTGGAGAGGTGGGTTCTCTTGGTCGTGAGCCGCCGACTTGATGGACTGACTGACGGCTGCTTGATAGGTTCTACGATCTCGATAAGGGGCGAATCCTATGCAACGGCAAAGACATCACTGAGGTCAACCTGCATGCTTACCGGGGTCACCTGTCGCTCGTCGCCCAAGAGCCGACTCTCTTTCAAGGTGAGAATAACACAAGTTTCTGTGACAATCTCTGGCTGAGGCGTGTGTTGACGGGTCTTGATGCAGGCACCATCCGGGAAAACATTTTGCTTGGCGTCGATGAGACGACGGTGACCGATGCGCAGCTGCACCAGGCTTGCCGGGCCGCATCGATACACGACTTCATCGTCTCCTTGCCCGAGGGCTACGGTACCAATGTCGGCTCGCGCGGGGTGACGCTGTCTGGCGGCCAGAAGCAGCGCGTCGCCATTGCCCGCGCCCTTGTGCGTGACCCAGACATTTTGCTTCTCGACGAGGCGACCAGCTCGCTTGACTCGGAAAGCGAGAAGCTTGTGCAGGAGGCCTTTGAGCGTGCCGGCCAGGGCCGCACCATGGTTGTCGTGGCGCACCGCCTCGCCACGGTCCAGAACGCAGACGTCATATTCGTCCTCGGCGAGGGGAAGCTGCTGGAGAAGGGAAGCCACGCGGAGCTACTCAGGCAGAACGGAGTGTACTGGCAGATGGTAAGTTGGCCGGCTTTACTGGAGCTTCATCGCTGACGTGTGTCATGACAGTGCCAAAGCCAGGCTTTGGATCGGTAGATGCCAAGGACGGGAGTAGGGGAGGAGAGCCGATCACCCTGATGGCTCTGCTAGGCAAATGGCCTGGCCTTTGAACGCTATTCGCAACGTTGGCACACTAATGATGCTCTTCGCAAACGGCATACCGCGGCACACCGCATGACCAGTGGAACCACTTGAGCGAATAGAAATGGCTCATAGGGAGTTGATTCACTGACAAGTTCAAGTATGCAAATGACGGCGCAGCGCCCAGCCTGACTTTGGCGGCTGCAAACACCCGCGCTGTTGGGTATTTTAAGGGGACATGCCGGTCACTCGCCCAACTTGGCTTTCTTCATCCTTCAGCCATCGTCCATCACGATGCATATCACACACTTTGCGCAGCCTTGCTCAGAGGCAGGATGGCCTGGTCTCTTAACCCTCTTTCCAACGTTGGCACACTCATGATGCTTTCTTTAAACTAAAGAACAGCTCAGGCAGCTCATCACCCTCGACGGAGAAGGGAACAAAGCCGAGGTTGGGGCCATCAGAGAAAAGGCCATGTTGAAGTCGGAGGAGTGGGATGGCGTCGCACCCAGCGAGACCGATCCAGCACAACACCTCATGGCAAACCCGCTTCGACCCAGTGAGGAGCAAAGGGATGAAACCCGGCGAAGTAAGCGGCAGCTTTAGAGGCGTTGCGCCCGCCTTCGGTGCAGGACGGCTTGGCAGAGCACCCCGACCCACGCCTACCCGAGGGCGCCTACAAGTTGGGCCATATATTTCCCGAGGCCATTGACCGGTTGAAGGCCAAGCTGCCTGGGCGACGCTTGTCGTCGAAGAAGTCTTTAGAACGGGAATCGGGATCGGCTCAACACCCGACGAGCTTCGCTATCCTTGGGCTGAATGACGAATATCGGGTATTTCACTCATATCATGTCTTTTCTCGATCTCAGGCGTTGGCGATTGGATGGGATTGTGCGAACGGAGCACTCTGGCGAAAAAGGCGCTACGGGCGATGAGGACTTTCTGCAATAAGCATGGTCAACGACCCGGTCTGGGCGAAGACTTGGTGGACGCGAAGGCCTTCGTTTATTGGATAACGGCCCGCTTCTCCAGACAACTTCAATATCTGAAGGAAAGGTTCGAGTCAATCAGCAGCTGCGACAATATGCGGAACCAGACTGTCCTAGCAAGGCTGGACCGACGGGGGCTACCGATCATCCCATGACTAGATCTCCTCTAGTAGTATCCGTTTGTAAAGGTCCCGACCATGGCATTGCCATGCTCTTTGGGGCAACGACCAAAGAGGGTACGACCTTCGATCCACTAGAGCATATCGATCTTGCCAAGTGCACGATTACCGTTGAGACCACCATCAACCGCGGCATAACCTGGGACATGATCCGCTCCAACACCAATAAGGTCCCTCTGAGCCATCCACTCTGGGCATTTTAAAGACTTACAATGTGTAGGGTTAATTGACTTCTATAATCAAGGCTATCTACGACGTAATAAGAAGCCCCTTGCGCAGCTTTACGCGGCGTACCTGCGCTCTTTGGTGTGAAGAAGTTGGTTTTACGAAGTACGTCTGATTACTATCAATTGCTGCATATGTACTAGACAAAAATAGATATAACGAGTCAATCAAAAATCGCATAATAATACTAGCCCGGTATTTAAAACTCAGAAGAGTAGGGCGTTAATTCAATGCTTTCCTTTACCTTTTCTTGTCTTGGGATAATAACGAAGATAGTTAGGAAGTTGTCAACACCATGGTGAATAAAAAGACATCCATTTTCGCAATTCCTCAACCTCAGTGCAGCCAGAGTGCCTTGCAGTGTCACGACACCATAATACCTCAGGAAAACGCGGTAAGAAGCTCAAGAAGTGGGAAGAAATCGTTGCTAATTAGAGAATATCACAGAAATATACCGCGACATTTATCAAATGCATGTATAGAGAAGCACATCTAAAGAAGTACTTTTTCTTTCAACGTCACTAGTAAAGATTCCTGTCCATGACTTGGCCCCCAGGCGCCCAGCCAACGGGTAGCAACTGGTGCAGCGACAGCGTCCATAAGTTGGTCGCATATAATATGGAGACCCCCGCGAGAAGAGCAGGAGGCCCACTTACGGGACCAACAATCGGCATGCCCGGAATGTTCCCAGGTCTTTGCCGGTAAGAAGAGCCTCGACAAACTGGTCAACGTCGTCCATTCAAGCCAACGACGATTTAAGTGCGGGAGAGGACAAGGGGGTTTGGAGAGATGAGCTGCTCGGTACAGTCCCAGACCAGGACGTCTCATCACTACTAGAGGAATTTGTACAACGTAGTGAGACGGCACAAAAAAGTGGCACGCCTGAGAGGTGGTGGGCGATGCAAGCACGCGTGGGTACGCGCAGTGTGGCCCGTTGGCCACCGAGTGTCATTGGCTAGTTTTCTCCTCCACCTCTTTCCGGAGCGCCCTCATCGCGCGCCCTGATGCAAAGCCGCCGACTTTGACGCGTCTGCTGCAGCGTTGCTGCCCAAGGCCGGCCTGATGGCCTCCCAAGCCTAGGTAGGTAAGTCCGAGGTGTAGCCAAGGACGGCGGCACTCCTTCACCCGAGGCCGACAGCCCAAGCCGCATTGCCGAGCTGTCGCATGACATGGCAGAGATTCTCGACAATAGGCGGCAGCTCCTGGCAGCGCGAAAAGTTGGAACGCAGGACGTCCTGAGCAATCTCCATGCACGCCCGCGGGTCCAGCAGTGACGCTTCAGCCGCCGGTGCCGATACGCCGCCGCTCCCCCGAACCGCCGCCGCTGGCGTAGGGCCTCTGATCAGCGGGCGACCCTGACCGAGGCTGACGAACCTCTGGGTTGCGACGGGGTCGGAACCGTCGATAAAGACGGGCTCGGCGGCAAACCGCGTCGCCGGCGCGGGCTGGCGGCGGTTAGCCCTGGCCACGACGCCGTACGTCCACAGCGCCAGAGCGGCGTGGTGGACGGCGACGGCGTAAAAGTCCGTTAGATGGTCGGGCGGAAACAGCTTGGCGTGCCGGAGCACCTGCGCCGCGCACCACGCCGCCGACCGGGACTCGCCGCTCGCCGCCCACTGCTGTAGCACCGGGTAGATGCGCCGCGCCTGGTCCTCGCCCTCCTTGCCCGAGAAGAGCTGCATGTCGTCGAGCGAGACGTGCAGGTTGAGCATGAGCAGGTTGAGCAGCAGGTGCTCCCGCGCCGACATTTCCGACCACTCGGCCGTCATGAGCTGGAAGCTCTGCAGGTCCTTGACCAGTTCCTGATGGCGTGAGTTCAGCAGCAGGATGGCGTTGCCTCCCCCCCGGCCATTGGCGTAGGAGCGGGTCCGATGCACCGAGCTCAGCTGGCGATACTCGAGGATGAGCGCCCAGAAGCCGTGCAGGAAGATGGATATCGAGTACTGCACGTCCAGGCGCGAGTGGTTCTGCGTCAGGAGATGCACGTCGTGTAACAAATCGCCCACCGACGGCGCTCTCTTGCTCTGCTCCGCGTTCCTCTCCAGATATCGCTCCTTCCATTGAACCGCATTTTCAGCCAGCCACAGCTCCCTTGCTTCCGGAAGCGGGAGGGAGAGTTCAGAGTAGGAGATGCAGAGGTTCGTCAGTGTCGTCATGGACGTCTGCGCCTCCCGGACGTAACAGTGGAAGACGAGCCTGGAGTCATGTCAGCCAGGGCATTATCCCGGGCGTTTCCTGACAAACCGTTTCCACTGCTCCCGCTCAACCCACGATTTCCACTTTTTTTTCAGGACCTCTCCTTCGTCGGAGGGATCCATCACAGTCATCGGGTACTTTGACCGCTGGAACGTACCGCGATAGCGCATCATCTAGAGAGATCATGAGATGATGTCGCGGAACACCGGGAGAGGAGAGGGCGAGTCGGGGGGTCCCTTACCGTCACCGGAATCTGGAGATGGCACTCGGCAATCTCCATCTTTCTCCGGTTACCACTAAAGAGACCGAGGTCCTGGACCAGAATCAGAGATTGCACGAGGCCTAGCCGCTGAATGGTGGTGTTGTTTTCCTCAAACTGCGCTCGGGGGGTCAGCCTCCAAGACGAGAATGGTAACGGGGTGACGCATTGGACACTCAGTTTTCGTACCCGGGTTGGTATGGTAATTCCTATCCGATGAAAATGTGAGCATGCGGCGCCCCCAGGCAGTGGAGTTTTACCTCGACAGACGACTTACGGACGGCTTCTTGCACGGCAAACCCAAACTTGCGCAGAGTGGGCATGGACGTCAGCGCCGCTCCCACGGCCGCCGCCATGGCTATCCACTCGGGCCACTGGTCGTTGAGCTTGAAGGTGGGAAAGTGAATCCATTCGTCGGCTTGGCAGGCCTGGGCGGCGAGGAAGATGTGCACCAGCGTGTCCATGACCTCGACCGTGGGGAAGGACGCAGCAACGCGGTTGGTCATGGCGTTCTGGCGGCACGTCGACAGCACAATAGCCAGCACGCGGTCGCGTCCCGGCTGCTCCAGCGTCTCGGCCACGACTCTCTCGAAGCCCCTTCCCCTCATCTGAAGCTGGGCGCTGCACGTGTCGGTGGCCGGGACGGGCAGGAAGCTTTGCTCCTTGTACCCGCTGTCGTTGTTCTTGGGATCCCAGCGCCAGGGAGACTCGGTCCATGCCTGCACCAGGTTCTGCCGCATCTGAGATATGTCGGCCGAGTTTGCCGAGCCAGAGGCCACCTCCTGCACGGACAGGGTGCCCTCGACTATGCCGTCCAGGTTCCAGTGATCCAGTAGCCCAAAGTCCATGTCGGTCAGCTCCAGGTTGGCATTGTTGCAGAAGTCCAGGGGAGCGAGGCCCTGCGAGTCGGGAAATTTGGACGGGTCGTAGGGCTGTTCGTAGAGAACGTCTCGCAGAAAGTCGAAAAAGGGGTCCCAGTCCATGTCTACGATGACGTTGGGCGGCTCGAGGGACTGGGGGTTGTGATGGACGATGTTGGCTGCGGCCGGTCAGTCCATGTCCAGGCGGCCGCAGCGACGATGGCGAAAGGGGGCGAGACCGCCTTGGAGCGGCGCATAGCGTACCTTGTTCGACAGCCGTGTCTGGCGTCGGTAGCCGACTGTTGCTGTCATCGGGTTTGTAGGATGTCGAATGCGACAGGGGAGTGCTCTTGGCCGTGGCAGCGTCCTGGCTCGACACGTAGCCGCCGAGGACAGATCGCACTTGGCCCTGGGAGGCGGGCGAGTAGGATCCCCCTCGGAAGTCTCCGGAACTGGAGACGGGGTTGGGGTCGGCAGTGGAGGTGTGAGCGTTGGCAGAGAGGTGAACAAGGTGCATGGCAGCGGCGGATCCCGACTCGGAAGAGACGCAGACGAGCTTGCGGCCGAGGCAACGGCGGCAGGGCTTGGCCTCGTCGCACTTGACACGGGCTGCTGCACACGGGCGGCATGCCTGGGTCACGCGGCCGGCTCCAGGGGAAGAAGCTGTGCGGCGGCGCTTCTGAGGCGAGTCGTTTTCGTGGTTGGCGACGTGCCTCCGCAGCAGGTCCTTGCGCGCAAACGACTTGTGGCAAATGTCGCAGATGAAGCGGCGGCCGAGGGTGTGTGTCTGGACGTGCCTGACGAGATGCTCGGGGCGAGAGTAGGAGCGGCCACAGTCGCGGCAAGCATAGAAATTGTTGCCGTGGCCCTTGGCGGCCGACGACGGCGAGGACTGCTTCTGCTGCTGGGCAGGAGGAAGAGCCGGGGCTTGGGCCGACGAGGCGGGAGCGGCAAAGGTCGGGGCGGGGACGGGCACGGACTCGGCAGGAAAAGACGTAGCCGGGACCGACGTTGGCTGGGCAGCAGCGGGGCCACCGGGACCAGGACCGGCGATGGGAAGGGCGGCCGACAGTGCTGTGTGGTGGGAGAAGACGGATGCGGCGTCGAGGCTCGTCGGGACTGGCGGCGGTGGCCGAGGAGGATCGAGGATGTGGGAGAGGGAGGGGCCGGCCATGGCGAGGGCCTTGGGGGGTGGAAGCAGCAGGAGAGGCCGGCCGGCAGAATCGGAAAGGAAGGATTGGGCGAGTTCGGAGAGGCGATGGTCCGGAGGCGGCGAGAAAGGAAAGGCGAGTATAGAGGGGGAAGAAGGGGGGAAGAAGGGGGGAAGAAGGGTGGAGAGAAAATGAAGCCCGGCGGGAATCACATGGACAATCAATCAATCAACCAGCCTGCCGGGAGAAAGTCGTGGTGGATCGGACGCGCGGCTGGAGGAGCTCTCTGAAGGAGCTCAACAGGGTGAAACCGCGATGGTGTGGTCGGTGGTGCCGTGGTGAGAAGCGCAGGTAATTATGTACGGAGTAGTAGAAGTCGACGACGACGACGCTCAGGTGGGGGTCCCAGTGCATGGGCGTCGAGGGGCGTACGGATAGAGGACCATGGATTGGGGAAGAAAACAGGAATGGAAAAGGAAAAAAGAAAAAGAAACCAAAAGGGGAGGCTTCTCGCGGAGACGAGGTGAGAGACGAGGTCCAGAGCTGACGAGGAAAGCGCCGGACTCGCACCTGTCCAAGGACAAGTTGCAGGGGGCCAGGTACTACGTGTGTTACCTTTTTAGCGCCTTTGGCTCATGAACGATGAAGCCTGGCACCACCAACGCCCGTCCATTGCAGCGCATCCACAGCGGGCGAACGGCGGGCGGGCGCTACGTACAGTGGGTTGGGTGCAATCGCGCCAGTATGTACATACAGTACGTCGGCCGGCTGAGCCAATGAGGCCGTTGTGCGCCCGCACGGTAACTCAGATCCTTTTAGATCCAAGGTAATTAGGATAGATAGATCTGGACCTGCCACCTTTCTCCTTGGGCTGCACCGTAACTTAAGGTAATTACTGCAGCGCCCCAGAATGGGTATTCGCCCCTGACATAGGATGACATCGTCGAGGATGACTACAAATCCACTGACGCTGTACTCCTTCCACGTCTGTATACCAGTAGCTAGGTAGTTAACTTACCCATGCAAGCGAAGTGAAGATGGACAGCATCAAGGGTGTACTTCGAAGAGCGCGCACCTTGCGACTCTAGGTATATCGTACATCCAACACGGCACATCCAGCCCTAGGACGCGGCTGCGGGCAGACGCGGGCCATCGTGCTCCGGGCCCTTAGTATAGAGAGTCACTCATAAAGGGCTCCTTCGTGTCGACAGACCTGTGGCCCAAACGTCCAGGAGCTGCCATCACTCGAAACCTCGTCTTGCTCACTCGAAGCCACGTCTACGAGGTCCCATCCCGTCCCATCCCGTCCCGTCATGTCGCGGCAAGCCGTTGCCCTCGGCGCCGCCATGGAATCAGATGCCGGAGCCGAGAGATCCCTGGGTCGGGGCTGCCTTGGTTGGCCTCGTCCTCGTCTTGATCATCTTTTAGAATCTCGGAAACAGCCTTTCCCCGCGACGAGGGCTTTAGTGAGAAGAACTCTGGGGCGTCTGCCAAGAAGCTGGAATCTCACCCTTCTTCGCTTCACTCTTGGGCGAAATCCGAGATTGAGACTGAGGTCAGGCCAGGGGGTACCGGGGGCAGAGCTATAGGAGTTCGCTCAGAGTCTTCAACAGGAAATGATGGATGAAGACCTGCTGAGGATGATGATCCGACCGTTTGGCCTCATCGTTCTTCCGCCCGTCCTCTGGGCAGCGCTCGTCCAAGCAGCCACGATCGGATTCCTGGTCGCCGTCACGTCCAACGTCGGTACGGCCTCCAAACAGGCCTATTCTTTGAAGCCATACCGGGGTGGGCTGTGCTTCCTCTCGGCCATTGTCGGGTCCCTGCTGGGGGTTCCTGCAGGAGGCCGACTAGGCGACAGGTAGCCGACCATCTGACCAAGCGAAGTGGGGGCGCCAGGGAGCCCGAGATGCGAGTGCCGGCCATCATGGTCTCGGCCGTTACCTCTCTTGCCTCCCCCTTGGCCCTGGTCCTGTTTGGTGTGGGGATGCAGCATCGACCACACTGGAATTGCCGGACCATCGGCCCGGGCCTTTGTAAGTCACGGCTACGCTGGGCTGGACAACGACTGCAGTTTATCAGACGACGACAGTAAACTTTCAACCACGCAGGCCACAAACGTCTGCCTGATATACGTCACTGTGCCCTCGTAGTCATGGGCTCCACATGCTGGGAGGGTTGGAGGGGGTTCTGCCGCCGTGCTGACCATGTGGCTGCCCCTGCATGTCTGGGGCAAGCGTACCGGGCATAGAAGGCGACCTTCCAGACATCTCGACATGCATGCCGTGTCGGTGTACTCTGCCGGCAAGCGAGCCGAGATGTATGGTCAACGAAGCTGGGCCATCACCAGCCTTCAAGAGAAGGATAGCCGCGTGGTGTTTGCATGAAAAGGTGGCGTGGCAGGGGCGTAATGCAAGTATCTGTATCCGTACCCTGCTCGCGCTATCGAGTTATCGATGGGCACTTGATCTTAGGCCAGTATCTCTCTTTTCTGCTCCTTCCGTGGGAGTCCAGCAAAGCGACCTAGGTCCTTTTGACGGGCAAAAGGCCTTTCCTCTTCCTCCTACCTGTAGCGCCATAATAGCACGTGACTGCGGGCAGCTGCCAAGCAGAAGGACAGGACCTTCACGGCCCTAGCTAGGTACCTAAGTAGATACTTAGCTTAGCATCTCTATCTTCAGTCAACATCACGATGCACCCATTTGGAGTCGCAGCCTCGCGGCAGCAGCCCCTTTGTGCACGACATCACACATACGACCATCTTGGTTGAAAGCAATACTCAATTTATCTCACTTAAACATTACGAAACTCTTCTTCACGCCACCCCAGCTCCTGCAGCTATATGTCCCTACCGGTATGGAAACTCTTCCCATCGACAAGCTTAGGCTCCCCACTCAGCTGCAGGTAATTCGACCTGCAAGAGTAATAAGTCTTTCTGTCCATAAATCTTGGCTGTTTAGGATATGCATTAAATGCTAAGTTCCTTATAGGCATCGTGCCGATTTTTGCGACCTGGAATCTTGATTTTGATAAAGATTAAACCATGCGCAACACTAATCGAGAGCACCAGGCCGAAATCCCCTACAAAGTTTCACTTCGACGTGTCCGATATCAAATTCTTGCTGAAATAGCTCGTTGGGCAGGGTGCGCACTGAGAGCAGACTGGGGGGAAATGGGTGTCGTCTCGCCGACCACCCGCTCTGCCTAATTAGTAGGAGTCTTACTATTTGCACAGACATATTTCTCTATTTGCATAGAATTTCTTAAAATCCTCTCTTTTAATTAGTGGCTAGATCCGCTTAGTAATTAGTACTCGACCTCGTGTATTTTTTAAGTCCCTTAAAAGTCGCGATCTTGCACGTCGCACTCACCTCGCGCGGGGGATAAACCCCCACAGTAGGGCCCCTCCCCAAGGGGGTGCTCGGGTGCGCTTGTTCGTAATCGAGGCCTTCTTAGTAGGTACGTACCTAGGTAAGGCAGCTAAGGGAAGTATAGGCAGTACCTTAAAGTGACTTTAAGGTACTTTAAGTTTAGGTGCTCTTATATGACTATATAAATAGAGAATTTTGTCTATGCAAAATAGTAAGACTCATTAGTATCTGGCCACCTGAAAGTCCGGGGGGGGGGGCATACCTAAAAGGTACAGTAAGGTCGGCGACGTAGGTATTGCTTCTCAGTACGGATAAAATAGTATACTCTCTAATTCGGCCTACGGCGCTAAAATATCAATTGCCTATCCGGCACAGAGCATGCTAGCGTGCCGGACTCAAAGGTGCTCAATTGGCAGCCAGGTAATTTTTCATTACAGTACTAGATGCAAGCTACCTCGGTACGTAGCTTGTCGCCTTTCCCTTTTAGGTGCGCAGTCACCAGCCCCCCTCCCCTCTCCCTCCCCCACTTTCAGGTGGCCAGATAGGCAGAGCGGGTGGCCGGCAGCGTGTGTACCCAGATACCTCACGCAGCCAGTCAGATGACCATTAAGCCCCCTACTACAGTATACGCCAAGGCAGGCAGGCAATGAGCCGAGCCCCGCCGCAAGCCAAAGGTACTAAGAGTGGAGGGGGGCAGCAGCTCAACGCAAGGGTCGTTCCGTCACCTGTCTCCTCACACCACGTCGCTGTCATCCACCATCCCGTCCGCCCCTTGGACGACAAAGCTACCCGCCTCGCCGCCGCCCGTCGGTTCTGACCATGGCGTGACTCCCGGGCGGAAGCCATCGTTGGCCGTGCCGTATCTATTGGCAGTTACTCATTTAGCTTCCGGCAGGAAAAGGCGCAGCGGCTGATGCATTGCTCGGGCCCCATCTGAAGCGCCACTCCAGAGGCCCTTTGATCCAGCGTCCAGGGAAGCCTTTCGTCTGTCCTTCTCTCCGCGACCGCACCCAGACGACTCGGCGCTTCATGTCCCAGTATGGCCAGCCCTTCTGGCCCGTCACGGCCCATCCCCATCGGTGAGCCAACTGCCATCGATGAAGCTGCCGATACTCTTTCCCCTACCACGTCTTCCTCGACCACCGATGTCCTGCGATCCACCCAGGATTCTTGTCCGTGGCGAACGCATGGGTTTCGCCATCAAGAGTGCTCTCGGTATTTCGACTGCCCGTCTCATATTCTCGAAAGAAGAAACTCGACAGCAGATGTCGGTCAGGAATCGACGGCTCTTCACGGCAGCCCCGCGATGACTACAGGAGCTTCTGACAACGGCAGAGATGCCTCGAGAGACCCGGCTGGTAATATCGGAATGCCTGACGTGCAGCGGACGGAAGACATTCAGTCCCCCCGGGATACAGTCGCGCCTCGGTCCGTCGAGACATCTCTACCGACTTCGTCTGGAATCCTCAGCGGTTCGGCGAGCATAGAACACGGACAGCTTTCTCTCCCTTCTCGCACATCCTCCATGACGCAGAACAACGGTGGTCCATCACGGCCGGACTCGAGGCGTCGCTCCCAGTCTCACGATACACCTGACGAGTACAGGGGGTTAACTCCGCGTACGAGCCGGAGCGGCTCGGCCTTCCGCACGGGTCAGCCATCGGAGGACGACAGGACACTACCTCAGACTCGCGAGCAAGCTGTTGACGGCGGCTCTACGGAATGCATGCTTCCCAGATGGCAGCCGGATGCAGAGGTCACATACTGCCCCATCTGCCATACGCAGTTTAACATCTTCGTGCGTAAACATCACTGCAGGTTCGTCACTCTCGGTATGTCCCTGTTTTAAGGGCGAGATTGGGCTAAATATCAGGGCAGGAAATGCGGACGAGTGGTGTGCAACTCATGCTCCCCACATCGGATAATCATACCTCATCCGTACATTGTGCGGCCTGCGGGGTCGGAATTTTCCATGCCCCCGAGTTTACTGCTAGATGGCCTCGGGGCGGGATACTTTGAGGCCAACGGGCCTTCGGGGGGCGAACGGGTACGACTCTGTAACCCCTGCGTGCCGGACCCGAACACGGCGCCGCCGCAGAGTCCATTGTCGTCTGCGGCAGCATCGCCTCGGTCCTCTCACCAGAGATCGCGGAGCAATCACGGAAGCGTTTACGGAGTTGCGCATTCTACCAGCGCATACGCAGCGCCGTTTCCCGCAGGTCGCGGCGGCGACGCTTATCAGTATTACTCTCCCAGATGGAGAAGCGTCACCATGGTGAGAAGGAGTGCCGCGCAGAGTCACATTCGAGTGCCAGGCTGACATGTCGATGTTAAGAGTCCCGCCGCCCATGGAGGTTCAACGGGCACCAGCTCCCGGATCAGCACAACGTACCATTCTCCCCTCGAGCGCTACCTTGCCGGGGCGTCCTCTAGTACGCCGGCGCCTTCTCGTCGGAATCGGCACAGCTCGTTCGGCGAGGCGGCGTCATCATCGTCGCGGCATCGCGCATTGCCGCCGCCGCCTCAGATTGCCGAGGAGGACGAGTGCCCAATATGTCACCAAGAGCTGCCGTCGCGAGAGCTGCCCGACTTTGAAGCCCTCCGCGAGTCGCACGTTAGCTTGTGCATCCAGGCGCATAGCACCTACGGCAGCCCTCGAGCCGGCGGTGGAGAATCGGCACCCCACCCGGCTCCGCGGCGGACAGGCATGTACACGTATGCAGCGACGGAGAAGGACTGCATTGACGATGCGGAGTGCACGATATGCCTGGAAGAGTTTACTGTCGGAGTGGCCATGGCTCGACTGGAATGCCTCTGCCGCTTCCACAAGGTGTGCATTTCAGCATGGTTCGTCAACCACCCGGGCCGGTGCCCCGTCCATCAGCATGACGGGTTTGGGTTCTAGCGTGTAGATGCAGCGGGTTCTCATGATTCTTTCTTCCGACGACGCTGGTGGATCCGCGCTGAATCACTTATTGAAACTGGAGCAGGCCTCGTGGGCAGTTTGTCGGACGCCACGGCGGAATGGAATTGCGGTAGATGGGCTTGGGATGCATAAGGATCCACAATCACGGCGTTTGGGCGGCCTTTGCCCTCGGAGAGGGAGGGCAAAGGGCGAAATTTGATGCCATGGGCGTAGTCTGTCATGGCCGCGGCTTTTCTTGATGACGAGCATTGCATGCACGGGCTTCATGAGGGGTGGGGGGAGGGCAGATGGCAAGAAAAACCTATACTTTGTAGTCAATTCACCCATTCAGCCATGTCTACCGATCTGGCCAACATTGCGGCGCGTGTACAGTAGATATCGCAGCACAGCCACTGGTGTTGAAAATACGGAGACGTAATCTGATATTAAGTGATGCACAGAAGAGGAGAGCTGAATGGAGGGTGGCTGTGCTCGGCAATCGAGAGCGAGCCGGGCTGTCAAGTATCGCTACGGTACGGTACATACACCACCACCACCCAACGAATGGTCAATGGTTCTGCTGGTGATGCGGGCCAGAAAATCGACATGAGGATCTGCAGAGATGGCGGGCATGTTGTCGGCCAGCATGTCTCGTGCATGCGGCACTTGGCCCTGTCTGTGTGTATCCGCATGTAAGTCATGTCCGGGCTGTTTGTACTACACGCCCTGGAGGTACCAGTGCTCGTACGGATAGGGAGGCAATGGATTGTCTGGCGTTTGCGCGACGGCATTTGCGGCAGGCTAGGTATCAAGTCCAAATGTCCGGACCCCTGAGTTCGCAGCAGACGATGCTATCCAGCGGTGGAAGAGAGGAAACACGGAAGCGGAACAAAGGATGAACCAACAGCTCAAGAGTAGGTAAGGTACCTTAGGTGTATAATGTAGACCAAAGTGGCTGATAGTGGGGAGACAAGTATCTTGGCCATTGCAGCACCAGACCAAAAGGGGTTGTTGCAACAACACTGACGGACGACTCGCCTCAGACTCTACTTATAGGTGACTGAGTGCTCTTATTTTACTGTACAGTACCTACCTAGGTACCTTATGAGGTAGGTAGTGAGTGGGGGCGGGGAGAGAGAGTCGGAGAGGGAGGAGCTGGAAACTGCGCCAGCGGGACCCACCCAACAAAGAGGCCCCACCGTGGCTGGGCCGGAAGCGCGCTGAGGCCAGCCAACCAGGCACGTCGATTTGCGCTACGGGATGCAAATTACGTCGTTTGTTCAGCAGGGCAGGGCTTGGAAAGCTTGCTTTAATCAGGACCCTTCCCCGTCTTTTTCACTCCATTGATACTGTAGGGAGCAGGAAGAAAAAAAAGGTAGAGGTACAGCGCAGTCACCTGTACACCTTCGGTCCATGCATGCAGCAGCAAAGGCAAGCGACGCCATCATTGGACACTACTCTGCATGTACATGCATCGTCCCTCGGGCACAGTCACCTCCAGAAGGCAGTAGCTGCCTTGTTCTGGCGACCGCCACGTTGTCGCGGCACCACCACCACCACTCCATGATCCACTGCCTGCCACAGTATCCGCTGCCTCTCTTCCCGTCCTCCCCTGGTCCGTCCTCACCCTCCCTCTCGGCTGTGTCAGTCCGGCACCAGCTGTCGTTATCATTAGCGAGGAACTGAGTGGCTGGTCGAGCAAGCCACCCGTCGCCCGTTGGATCCAAACGATCAAGGCAGAGAGATAGGAGCTTGCACTTCTCGCCAACGCCCTCGTCCCAGCCCTCGCCACCCACACCGCAGTCACCACCACCCGACTCCCTCGACCGTTGCGCCGCCGCCTCTCCAGAACGAGTCCACGGCTTTGAGCCTCCTCGCTGCCCTCGCCGCCCTCGACTGAGCATTCCTACGTCCTTCCGGCCTTGGCTCTGCCGACGCTCGCCGTCTGCTGGATGCCTTCTGCACGCCCGGCTCTCCCCAATTGACTTCCCCGCTCCCGGCACCTGGTGACGACGCTCGCGCCATTGTCGGCGACATGTCTGCCCAAGAGGCGAGCGAGCTCAAGGCCCGAGGCGTCATCGAGGCCGCCGAAAACCCAGATAGCCAGGTCACTGCCGACGATGCGCGGAGGGAAATCGTCGAGCAGTCGAGAAACGCAGGCGTTGCCGCCTTTTCCTTCGATCCGGATACCAGTCCCGAGCAGAAGCGCGCCCAAGCTCGAGCTGTACGTTGAACCTCTTGACGCCGTCGACGGGGAAGCAGCTGCTAACCGGGTCCTCGGCGCAGGCCATCCCCGCAGAACTCCAGCAGAGCAGGCGTGAAAAGGGCGCCGCCATCATCACCGACCAGGACGATGGCACCGGCCCGGACGAGGACCTCCCCGAGCCCAGCAAAGCCGGCGTGCTCGACGTAGCCACCGACGCCGACGGCAAGCGCCTTGCTGACGGTACCGACCCCGAGGCCAACGAGGCCCCTTACTCACGCACAGGATGGTCGCCCATGATGGGCTGGCCCACCAACAGCTCCATGGAGGGCGAGAGCTTGCTCGATCACGCTACCTGGGTCGAGGATAAGCTCCCCGACCATCTCTTTGGGGGTGAGTATGGCTTGAAGCCTACCCGCCAAACCCCATGCTGACGACGCCGCAGACTGGTATCACAACGCCGCCCTCGTCGTCTTCGCCTGCATCTCGTCGTGGCTCGTCGCTGTCCTCGGCGGCGGCCTGGGCTGGGTTTCCATCATCATGGCCATCTGCGCCACCTACTACCGAACCTCCCTTCGACGCGTGCGACGCAACTTCCGCGACGACATTACCCGCGAGTTAGGCCTCAAGAAGCTCGAGACGGACAATGAGTCGCTTGAGTGGATCAATTCCTTCATGGTCAAGTTCTGGCCCATCTACCAGCCCGTCTTGGCCCAGACCATCATCAACACGGTCGACCAGGTTCTCAGCTCGGCCACTCCGGCCTTCCTCGACAGCCTCAAGCTCAAGACGTTTACCCTCGGCTCCAAGCCCCCGCGCATGGAGCATGTCAAGACGTATCCCAAGACCGAGGACGACATCGTCATGATGGACTGGAAGTTCAGCTTCACGCCAAACGACACAGCCGATATGACGGCCCGCCAGGTCAAGAACAAGATCAACCCAAAGGTCGTCTTGGAGATTCGCATCGGCAAGGCCATGATCAGCAAGGGCCTCGACGTCATTGTCGAGGACATGGCCTTCTCGGGCATCATGCGCCTCAAGATCAAGCTTCAGATACCCTTTCCCCACGTCGACCGCGTCGAAATGTGCTTCCTCGAGCGCCCAACCATTGACTACGTCTGCAAGCCCCTGGGCGGCGATAGCTTTGGCTTCGATATCAACTTCATCCCAGGTCTCGAAAAGTTCATCCTCGAGCAGATACACGGCAACCTGGCCCCCATGATGTACGCGCCCAATGTCTTCCCCATCGAGGTGGCCAAGATGCTTGCGGGCACCCCTGTCGACCAGGCGGTCGGTGTGCTTGCCCTGACCCTCCACGGCGCCCAGGGCCTCAAGAACACGGATAACTTTGCCGGAACCGTCGATCCGTACGCGTCAATCAGCTTCAGTCGGCGCCAGGAGCTCGCCAGGACAAAGACCATCGACGACAACCCCAACCCGCGGTGGAACGAGACGCACTACCTCATTGTCACATCCTTCAGCGACACGCTCGACATTCAAGTATTTGACAAGAACGGATTCCGCAAGTCCAAGGAGTTGGGCGTGGCGTCGTATCATCTCGAGGATCTGGAACAGCTCAACGTGCACGAGAACGAGCGCCTCGAGGTCATTTCCGACGGCAAGGCCCGCGGCGTCGTCTCGTGCGATCTCCGCTTCTTCCCGGTCCTCGAGGCCAAGAAGCTGCCCGATGGCAAGATTGAACCCCCGCCGCCGTCCAACCAAGGCATCTTGCGCTTTACCGTGGAGCAGGCCAAGGACCTGGATGGCACAAAGAGCCTTGTCGGCCTCCTCAACCCGTATGCCGCCATGTTCCTCAACGGCAAGGCGGTTCACCAGACCAAGAGGCTTAAGCGCACAAACAACCCCATCTGGGACAATGGGTCCAAGGAGATCCTCATCACTGATCGCAAGAAGGCCAAGCTCGGCGTCACCATCAAGGACGACCGGGAACTTACGGGGGACCAGGTACTGGGCAAGTATCAGATCAAGCTGGATGAGATGCTTGACTGCATGGAGCAAGGCAAGGAATGGTACCAGCTGTCCGAAACCCATATGGGCCGCGTCAAGATGATGGCGCAGTGGAGGCCAGTCGCCATCTCAGGCGTGGCTGGCACCGGAGGCTACGTTACGCCGATTGGTGTGATGCGCTTCCACTTCAAGAGGGCGACAGACCTGCGCAACTTTGAGGCCTTTGGCAAGTCGGATCCGTATGTCCGCGTCCTTCTCTCTGGAATCGACAAGGCCCGCACCGTCACCTTCAAGAACGACCTGAACCCCGAATGGGACGAGGTCCTCTACATACCCATTCACTCGGCGCGCGACCGGCTCACCCTTGAGGTCATGGATGCCGAGAAGGTGGGCAAGGACCGGAGCCTGGGCCTGATCGAGGTCTCTGCCAGCGACTACGTCCAACAGGCCGAAAATGGCGAGTACCTGGTGCACGACAAGAAGGCGCTTCGGGAAGAAGGCCTGCGGCTCCACGGCAAAGGCATCGCCAAGGGCACCGTGACGTACACGACGGCGTTTTACCCTTGTCTCAACATCGCAGATCCCGAGGAGGGGGAGGAAGAGGAGGAAGGAGCCTCGGTGGCAGCCACTGATAAAGGAGCGAACGGGGCGCCAGACGCGGAGAAGAAGAGTAGCGAGCAACCCAGGACTTCTCTCGACCGATCTCTCAATGCCGGCAAGTTCAAAGCCAGCCTGGACAAGGAGAGCGAAGGGCGGCCGCGGAGCTCGCACTCAACCGCAGGGACGCCACCTGCCGGAGGCCAAGGACCTCCGAAGGTCCGGCTCAGCCCCGAGGAGCTCCTCAAGTACGAGAGCGGGATGCTCATCTTCCGCCTGCTGGAAGCGGAGATGCCAGAGAGCCACAGCCGCCTCGAGGTGTTTGTCGACGACATGGCCTACGCATCGTACGTTTCGTCGACGGCGCCGAACAGGTCCCACAAGTTTGACGAAATTGGCGACTGCGTCATTCGCGAACTCGACGTGTCTCGCTTGACGCTCAAGGCGCGCAAAAAGGGCGACGACAATGACCACACGCTCGCACACTTGGCCGGAAACACCATGGAGACGCTCAAGCAGTGCCTGGTAAGTGCTTGGGCGGCTGAATGCAGACGCCGGGCGCATGACTGACCTGGAAACGCACAGAACAACCCGACGACACTCAAGCTGAGGACCGAAGATGGTAGGGATGGCTGGGTCAAGGTCAGCCTCAAGTATATCCCAATCAAGATGCACCTAGACCCGAGCGAGAGCATCAACAACATGGGAAAGCTTCGGGTCGACGTCTTGGACGCAACCGACCTCCCATCAGCCGATCGGAACGGGAAGAGCGATCCGTACTGCAAGTTTGAGCTTAACGGCCACGAAGTATACAAGACCAAGGTGGTGAAGAAGACGCTGTCACCGGCGTGGAACGAGTTCTTCGAGGTCAATGTGCCGTCGCGGACGGCGGCAAACTTTATAGTCAACGTCTACGACTACGACTTTGCCGACAAGCCCGACTTTCTGGGGTCTGCCATCATCAACCTCGAGTCGCTCGACCCCTTCAAGCCATCCGAGTCCCGGTATCTGCTGGATGGCAAGTCGGGCAGCGTACGCATCCGGATGCTCTTCCGGCCAGACTACGTGACGCGGACCGTGCAAGGCTCGTCTACCTTCTCGGGCACCTTTGCTGCGCCTGGCAGGATCGTCACGGGTGTCGCGGGCGCCCCCATCAAGGGCGGCGCCGCCGTGGCCGGAGCCGTGGGACACGGCGTCGGCCGCGGAGCTTCGTTTTTGCGGCGCGGCATCTTTGGCAAGAAGGACGGGGATGAGATCAACGGGTCGCTGCCTGAAGGGATCGAGGCGCCCGCCGTGACGAGCAACGGCGGCGAAGTCGTGGTCGGCCGTCGGGTGACGAGTGAGGCTGCTGCCGTCCCCACGATTGAGCAGCCGATGTCGCGCAACAACTCGATGGGCCACACTAGGACCAAGAGCATCGCGGCTTCGTCGATGCACAGCGCCGCTCCGGGTGGCGGGTCGGCCGGAACGGCAACCTTTACCGTCGTTGGCGCTTCTGGATACCCGGCCTCGACGGACCTCTATGTCGTGGTCTCGCAGATGGCGCCCAAAGAAAAGGCGGTGGGGAAGACGAAGCACTACAAGTCGTCGACGTCCGAGTGGAACTTCGACGAGACGTTTACGGCAAAGTGCAGCTCGGATGCGCAGTTCAAGATTGAGGTCAAGGGTGATCATTTCATCGGCAGCAGCGACGACCTGGGCGAACACATCTACTTTGTGGACGAGACGGGCAGCGCTGCGCCAAAGGAGCTGGCCGTCGGCGGCGGCACCGTAACTATCAAGAGCAACTTCCAGGCGGCCGAGTTGACTGCGCCCGACACGCCGAGGTCACACCTGCGGCGCAGCTTCCTGGGCAAGCGAGAGGGCCGCTCAAGCAGGGAGACGACTCCGAATCCATAGATTGGGGCAGCCGTCTTCTGGGTCAAGATTTGAGGCGGCGTGGCGTGCAGACGGAGAGGTGGAGGGACAGCCAGCATTGCCTCGCCTTGTTGGAGTAGCGTTTCGAAGTTGCCATTGCCGAGTCGTCGGCGCTCCATGCGCAAGTCTCCTTTTTCTGGCTTCGTTTGTCAAGGTTCTTGTTGTCTCGTTGGTTTAAGGGATGAGGAAGAGAGGCGGAGAGATCCATAACTTTGTTAGTTTCGATATCCTTGATTAGTAGCTGCTATTCACGCCACCTGGCGGTTCGTCACGAGTCTACGCCCCCGGCCATTTTCCAAGTTTTGTTCAAGCCGTGCTCTGTATTTCTCTTACCCCAGGTCGGGGTCTGGAGTGCGGACATGGTAGAGGAGCAGTCACGAGGTGGCCGATGGATTGTTTTGCCTCAACTGCGTCTACTTGTCTACCGCATACACCGCCTACCTCATATATATGTCTTTATATTCCGGGTTAGGGCAAGTGACCGGGTGGAAGAGGATGACTTGCGGCGGGCTTCACCGTTTCAAAGTCGCTACTAGATGGCTCGAGCAGAGAGGATGGCCGGGCGTAGAAGAATTCAAAAGCAAGATGTTTATTCAAGAGCCCGGTCGTAAGGACTCGGGTCTGTGAGAAGCTAAAGCACCAACACGTTCCTCATTGAAGTCGTCATGCCTGTCATTTGCCATTTCACATGTCGGGCGAAAGTGTCAACGAGTTTTCGGCCGCGCCATCTAATAGCCGGGGGTGGGGCCGGGCTCGGGGTCCTTGGGGCCGGGACCTCCATAGCCGGGACCATTGGGGCCGGGACCTCCATAGCCGGGACCATCGTTGCCGGGACCATCGTTGCCGGGACCATCGTGACCGTGACCATCGTGACCGTGACCATCATGACCGTGACCATCATGACCGTGACCATCATTACCGTGACCGTCGTGACCATGACCATCGTGGCCGTGGCCGTCGCGGCCGGGACCGTCATGACCAGGGCCGCTGTGTCCGTGGCCACCATTTCCGTGACCGTCGTGGCCGTGACCATCGTGCCCGTGACCATCGTGCCCGTGACCATCGTGCCCGTGACCATCGTGCCCGTGACCATCATTACCGTGACCATCGTGACCGTGACCATCGTGACCGTGACCATCGTGACCATGACCATCGTGGCCAGGGCCTCCATGACCGGGGCGGCCTCCGGGGTGGCCGTGGTGGCCTCCGGGGCGACCGGGGTGGACGGGCTCCGGAATGGGGCGGATAGGGCCTCCGGGGTTGATGGGGCCGGGGCCGGGGCGGTGGGGACCGGGACGGCCGGGGCGGTGGGTGTGGTGGTGGTGGTTGTCGCCCGCGTAGGCGCCGCACAGGGCGCTGAGGCCGAGGCCGCTGACGTCTGTTTCCAACCGCATTAGCAGACGTCATGACACGGGCTTCTGGTAGTTAAATTGGGGAAGGGGGGAGTGCTCACCAGCGCCGACTTCCTGGATAATCCTGCTAAAGGGGGCGTTGGGCTCGACGCAGACGTCGAAGTTGCGGCGGATCTGGTGGGCAACCTGCTCCTGGTTGCTGCAGACGCACGAGATGAGGTTGCTCTCGCGCCTGTTGCCGGCGCCGGGGGCACACTTGCCGCAGTTGATGTGCTGGGCGTCGTTCCAGAAGCGCTGGAGGAAGCAGCCGCCGAAGCGGGCGAGGTGCTTGCCGAACTCCTTGACGCTCTCCGGGATGGGGCCGCCGCGGTGGTGCCAGTCGGGCCTGCGGTGATCATGGCCGCGCCACTCGAGCTCGCGGTGCTCGTGCTCGCGGTGCTCGTGCTCGCGGTGTTCGTGCTCGCGGTGCTCGTGCTCACGGTGCTCGTGCTCGCGGTGCTCGTGCTCACGGTGCTCGTGCTCGCGGTTCTCGTGCTCGCGGCGCCAGTCGGGCCTACGGTGCTCGTGCTCACGCCACTCGTGCTCGCGGTGCTCATGGCGCCAGTCGGGCCTGCGGTGTTCGTGGTCGCGCCACTCGGGCCTGCGGTGCTCATGGCCGCGCCACTCGGGCTCGCGGTGCTCGTGGTGCCACTCGGGCTCGCGATGCTCGTGGTGCTCGTGGTGCTCGTGGTGCTCGTGGTCCCCGTAGCCGATGTCACTGGGGCCGTGGGGGCCGTGGGGGCCGTGAGGGCCGTGGGGGCCGTGAGGGCCGTGAGGGCCGTGGGGGCCGTGAGGGCCGTGAGGACCGCCGGGGCCATGAGGACCGTGAGGGCCGTGAGGACCGCCGGGGCCGTGGGGACCGTGAGGGCCGTGGGGACCGTGAGGGCCGTGAGGACCGCCGGGGCCGTGGGGGCCGTACGGCTCCGGCTCCGGCTCGTGGTGCTCGGGGCCTGGATACTCAGGGCCGGGTCGCCCGCCGTATCCGCCTTCGGTCTCTTGCGGGGCATTGGCGCTCTCGGGTTGCTGCGGTGCCATGTCGGCGGCCTGGGCCAAGGCCACAAAGGCCAGGGCGACGGGGACAGCGACCTTCATGTTGACTGGGGGTACGAGGATGCGGAGACTGAGAAGCAGGCTGGACTGGATTGAGTGGAGAGAGAGGCGGTGAGAAGCGAGTTGTGGATGAGGATGATTCGAATTGATTGATGGGAAGAAGCAGGGCCATGTTATATAGTCGATTTGCTTTGCCTCCTATTGCCCCGTCTTGACGCTGGCCATCGTCTGGCTGCGGCTCCCGCCATCTCTGTTCCTGTCTGTTCTCTCTTGGACGAGTGTCCCAACCTTGGCATTCTTCGCGCCGTGGGCTACATACCTAGCCATGCCTAGCTGGGAAAGGGAGAGTGAAACTCGTCTGCGCACCAGAAGCCGAGTACCCGTATCTGACCAATCTCGCTTCATGCCTCGGAAACTGACAGAGTCAAGAATAACCACTTGTCTCTTTGTCCATATGGTAACAGTTTCCGGTCGAGGACTTGCGTGGCTGTAGACTCGGTAACCCTTTGCACTTGGGAAGCCGGCTTGTTCGTCCAAGGAGCCGAGGAAACAAACTAACAAGCTGGACTCGGCAAGGGAGGAAACGACAGGCCAAACTAGCCATCGGAGAGACGAGGGCGACACCCGCTGCAGAGACACCAAAGGGGCGGGAACTAAGCGGCCTAGAGCTCTGAAACCCCAGCCCACGTCTATAGACCATGCCCAAAGGGAGCATGATTGGCAATTTCGAAAGCTTCTTCGATGTCTAGACAGATGGTGCAATAGCCAGCCACCATGAAGCATGCGGCCGCTGTCTCTGTTCGACATTCAGGGTCTGGGGGAGGCATCGCAACGGTCCCCCTTTTTTTTTCTCCATATCGTCCTGCCCACGGTCTCGCTTAGCACGTTGAAGGGGAGATGGATAGCCGCCGGACTGTTTCTCGAGCGGTAAAACCAAACCCCAGAGAAAAGGCGCCGCCCCCCATTCCTGGCCGTTGCCCTCCTCACAGATTCCTAGGGAATTCCCGCCAACTGCTCCCGGCACTTTGAATCTCTTGCCAGGCAACTTGACCGTTGCTTCTGATTGGCGAGGCAGTGGTTCTGCGAAGAATGATGGCTGGTTCTGCTGGGGGGGGGGGATGTGGTGAGGGGATCTAAGAACCAGAGTTGAAGAGAGACCTGATGTGACTCGGCACCTAGATGGCCCAGTTCTAGGCTGCAGAGGATATAGAGATGTTCATATGGCCACATTTGCCGTTGATATCGTTGCCATTAGCGCTCGTGCTGTCTGACAGACGGACCTCTGCTTCTGTCCGTCTGCTGATTATACACGGAGTACGTTGGTTGTAGTTACCAAAATGGCCACGCCGGCGTCCGATATCAATGCCATTACCCTAGACGCTTGATTCCCCCCTTTCCGTATAACTACTACTGCTCCTAGCAGCCAGCCTCGGGCTAATGTAAAAGGCAACATCGCCCGCGACAGCGAATGAGAAGAGCCAACCCGTCCGCCGGGGGCAATTATCACACCTAGAGCCTATTTGATAAGCGGTCCCCTTCAGACAGAACAAAGAATAGAAGAAAGGGCTCGTGGGGTCCGAGAGGAATAGAAGCCCATCCGCTCTTCTTCTTCCATGAATTCACAACCATACATGTTGATATATCATGCTCCGTACTGTGACGCTTACCAAACGGTTCGGGAGCAGATCTTGCTCAGCCGCCGCAGACCGCCACATGTCCGTGTTTCGCACCTGGCCAACGGCTATTGGTGAGCCCAACTCCCGCAGACGGCGCGGACCTGTCACCTTGCCGTCAAAAGCAGATCATATACTATTCCGTCTTGTCCTTGGGCGGGGGTGATCCCAAGGCCGGCCACGAAACGTACATGCACCAACCCACAGCTCCTCTTCATCGCAGTGATCATCGTCACTCCTCGAGGAGACGCCACTCCGCTCGCGTCCTGGCAGTCAAAAGAGGTCCAATGGCGGGCGCAGCGTGCATGTGCACCACCCAACCCATGCCGAGAAGTAAAGCCTGGGCGCGCGAACGCGGCGCGGTTGGGCTTCAGCGCCCCCGCGCGGACATCCAGTCGGACGGCGATCCAGCTGGCAATCCACGACACTATAAACGCCGGCAACAAGGCCGTGGCCTTCTCCGCTCCTACACGTGCATGGCAGGCTCTGGTGATGACCACTTTTCTCTGTTTTCTCAGATGCTGGTCTCAGACACATGGTTGCGCCGACATGACACGGCATACTCGTCCCTCGAAGCTTATTGCACCACGGAAGTTGACGGAGGGGAGGACAGAATCCAGATGTGACGCGAGGATCCATCTGTCTTGATGTTCGTTGCCCTATGTAGACACAGAGAGGCAACGCGGACCACGCAGGCGCCCAAGGGCGGCCATTCTCTCATCTCCTCGAGCCACTCTCGCGGGCCATGCTCATGCAGGGGGCACAGACAACGGCCTTCCGGATACTCCCGGCCTCGGGTCGTGAATATAAAAGCCACGGCCGAACCTGGCCTTCTCATCGATGCCCGGCCTCTATATCATCAGCTGCCTTCTATTCCCATAATCCAAACCACACCGTAGACGCGATACTGCCCATCAGAAGGTACAAATGTCCCCCTTTTCCCTCGTGGGCAACCTCACGGCCGTCCTGGCCGCCTTGGCCATCGGGTCTCGCCATGCCTCGGCCTCGCTAGACGTCCAGGCTCCAGACGGCGGCGACGTCGCGCCAGAGGTGGCCCAGATGGACATGGAGCAGCCAGCAAGCTCCTCGCTGCTCAGGTACGGCCACTGCTACTCCATCCAGACGACAAGCGGCCAGGTCCTGGGCCACCAGCCGTCGGCGTGGAACTATCTGCGCTTCGGGACCGGCACCAAGACGGCCCATTTCAAGGTCTGCCAGAACGTCGGCCACTGCACCGCCCCAAACACCCACCACCAGACGCTGCCCAACCGCTCGCGCTTCTGGCTCTTCGACGTCGGCGGCAACCGCTACTCGCCCAACGGCCACCTGGTCGCCGCGAACTCGCCCCCCTTTGGCTCCAACCGCAACACGTATCCCGCCGGCGGCGCCTACCGCTACTACATCAACTTCTGGGGAGACAACGACTGTGCCGATTCCGACACTCGTCTCCTGGGCAGGTGTCCCATCAAGCTGCGCGTCGACAACCTCCGTGACGACCAGGGCTTGACCATTGTCGATCGGTATCTCAGGACGGCTCCTTCAAAGGACAAATACATCACCGTCACTTTTCACGAAGCAAGGTGCCCCCAGAAGCAGGACGTTTCTGACGTGTCAGACGCGGAGCTTTAAGGGGTAAGCATATTCGTATATATATATATATATATATGCCTCTGTACGAAGTATATATATTCGTCCTTGACAGATGTATGGAGCCATATGGCTGGACCTGCAGAAAGCGGACTTGGCTGCCAGACGGCACAGATATTTGAGCATGGCCTGTTTCGGGAATGATTGCAGAGTCGCTCTTTAGCTGTAGAATCAAAAACTTTAACGGCCGCCCTGGTCTACACGATCCAAGAAACAGAGATTCGAGAGCAAATTAGTGTTTGCATTATAAATAACCCAGCTACAGGCAGTGTAAGTATATGTAGTGTGTATCTATATTAAAGCAGCCTAGCCCTTCCTGTTTGCTCTCGAGATATTAACTCAAGCTAAAAGTCAAGAGATTTTGATGTACCACGTAGACGCCGTGGTCGAACCGTACATCTTGTTTAAGGATCGCAGGTCAATGGCCCCTAGGAGCGCGGGCACATGTAGGACGAAGTAGCCAGGCAAATTAAGATCCTATAACATGGCATAAAGAGCCAACCTATGGAGTGCTAGGCAGACTCTAGAGACATTGGAGACGGTACTTTGGCCAACAAGCTGGCTATTCTAAGCGATATTGCTCTGGCAAGAAGTACATCCAAGTTGGATTGCTTGTCGTACATGTTAGCAGGAACACGACTGACTGTAAGCCAGATAAAGCATAAAAGAAGACTGACTTAAGAGGAGCTTATGCTTGGCTCTTAGGACTTATATCTTTAGGCGGCATGAGAAACAGACGCAAGAGCAGGGGACTGTTTCAGAACCTTACTAACCAGCCTGGACAGTCGTTTGAGAACAGAGTACGCTCTGCCTTTAAAACTACACGGGCAACAAATAATGCGAGTGTATACAGCACTTGAATAGAAGAAGAATAGTCGTTTGAAAGTGTGGGCAGCATAGTACAGTGGTTAATTTGTTCCCCAGCTGCCGCGCCTCCAGTAACAGTAGCGCAACTACACTTGGCCAACACTTTATCTATACAATCACCCACTCGGTATTCCAGCAGACCATGGGCGGCCAATACAGTACAATAGGGAGGATAGCTAAAGCAAATGGAATTGGCGCCTTCTGTTAGTGCCCAAGTATTAATTACCGCAGAGTCTTTGGCGTATCCCAGCTCTCATTCCCAAGCGACCCCAACACCATGGCCAGTCTTCGCCGCAGCAACACCGCAAAGAACAAACTGCCAATCCTTAATCTGTATTATAATGAACTTAGCTATATACAACGTGATTATATATCTTACGTATCCCATATTAAAGCATCCTTAGCCTTTAATCTCGACTCTCGAGAACTGGCTCGAACTAAGAGTCGAAAGATTCGATGTATCCGAGAGCTGCCCACCGCACAGCGACATTCATATCATCTTGGTCGAGTGCTGGGCATCATTTGTACCGTCTGTTCTGCCGGGTTGATGCACCGAGACAATCGACTCCTCCGACTCATGCCCCCCGTAGCCGTTGGCATGGCCCATGGCGTTCCTGGACTTGCCTTGACCGGACTGCTTGTGCGACGACATCGCCGAGAGCTTGTACACGCCGGCGCCGCTGCGGGACTGGCTCGATCCGCCCCGGCTGGACCCATCTCGGGTCCGCCGCACCTCCTGGCGTATCAGCGGGAAGAGGATGGGCACGTTGGAGATGATGACGGCGACAAACGACTCGCGGGACGACCACCTGGCAGCAAACTCGGTGTCGCCCGAGTCGTTGCGCAGGATGAAGGCGCAGCGGGCGGCGCCGAAGCCGATTGTGATGAGACCGCAGCAAAACATGGCACCGAGGCCGGCTTTCTTTCTCGCCGAGATGCGGGCACGCCAGACCATCTGTTTCGTCTTGTTAGGACCAACAGTCCTTTGAACATAACAAGGACATGGAAACTCACAGGAAGAGGTATCGTCATGATGTATAAATCGGTCGTCAGGTTGGTGCACACGACGACCCACGCCTGGAGCTCTGCTATTGCCGGGTAGCAGCGATCTGACACTCGGGTTAGCCACCACGGATCGGAAGACGCTGTGTATGAAGAGGGACGTGGCATACTTCCGGGATCCGGGTTGATTTGCCAGTGCTTGGAAATGGGCCAGCATCCAAAGAGAATGGTGGCGAAGACGGCGACGTAGGTAGAACCAACAAGCACAAAGCCTAGGTTGACCTTGAGCGTCATGCGGTTTACGCGATCGCCGAGGCGCTTGTAGAAGAAGAGCCAGCACAGCTTGAGCGTCCACAACAGGGCCGTGTAGAGGAGCCAGCCCGACAGGTGCAGCTGAGAGCCTTTGACTCGCAGGCGCCACTCGAGGCTATCCGGGTCGAGGGCGGCGCGCTCCTCGGGCGTCGGCCTGTTGCCAATGTTTAGCATCTCGAGTTGGCGGCCCATGTTTGGTGAGAGGTGGCTTTTACCCGTTGTTGGCCAACCCATGCGCGTGCACATTGACAAAGAACGCCACTACAGTTCCGGCCCCGTAAAGTGGCTGCTTAATTCTTGTTAGTAAATACACCAGCTCGTGAGAAAGACGGGTTTGCCTATAAGCGCTGGGTGTTCAGGGTGCCGTACCGCGGCAAGAACCATGAGGTAGTCGTCGGCGTCCAGGCCGCGAAACCCCTCGGCCCTCCATCGCAAGCCGACTCTGACCAAGATGACAACAAGGCTAATGGCAAAGTATGTCCACGTCTCGACACCGGTAACTTCGAGGCCTGCCATGGTCGTAGGCTGACATGCTCCCCCGTGAGATTATGGTCAAAGTTTGAAGTTGAAGATGATGCCCCGCCAGTCGACGACTTTCAAGGCCGTTGCTGCCGTGTTTAAATCGAAAGCGAATGATGGGGATCAAACGACAAACATTGATGGGACAAGAGGCAGGCAAAGAATCCGATCTACTTGAATGTTCCGCACCCTGGCCCTCGGCCCTGCTTGAAACAACAAGCGTTTTCCCTTGCAATTATTTCAGCCTTGTCTCGCAAACAATGACAAACTCTTTTAGCTTCCAGGCACAACCAAGGGCATTCCTGTCCGAGGGTCCTGTGGTACGATTCGTGTATAGAACGTGCCGGCTGCCGGCGCCATATTGCACGGCCGTCAGCTTTAAATGCCAAGTACCGGCGTCTAACCGCGGACTGATGGGGAGACCGGAGTCTGAATATTGGAGTGTGTGGACTATCCCAAACTGAGCTGCGAGTTGATGCAGAAAATCCACTTGATTAGGTTTGCATGGGCGAGATTCAGCCCAGTTTTTTGCCTCCGGTCAGACCCGGGGGACCCTTGGCTGCCGCGCCATCGAGGCCCTCGCGGATACAGGCCGGGCAAGCAGTAGGCCAAGCTCGCGGGGGTGAGGGCCTGTGCCCGGAAGGGGACTAGAAAATCCGGGAAGCCCGCAAGTTCATCCCCAGTAACTGTAACGCTTGGCTGCCCCTGGGAGTCGTGCCGTTCGGGTGCGGGCTGGCGATGGATGCACTCGTCAGCTGTTGGATCGCCAGCATCAGGTGCGCCCCCGTCTCTCCAATTCTGGACGAACGAGTCTGACAATGTCGATTGGCTGCCTTGGTCGCTTGTGCTTTGATGTTGAAGAAACCCGGACCGGATCATCCACTGCATGTGCCTCTCGTTGTCATGAAAGCCAGCCACAATCGAGGCAAGCAAGGACCAGCGGTCTCGATAAAGCAGTGTTCAGCTTTGCGATATTACGCAGGTCGAATAGAAGCTGGATATCCCAATCGAGCAGCCAGAGCTCGTCATTTTGCAGATTTGGAGGAGTAAGGTGAGGGTGATTGATTACGGCCTTGAGGTCTGCAACTGCCGTCACACTAATGCTCGCTTGTCTTGTGTTTGAACTCCACGTCATGGTGAGTCGAAACAAAGCTGGTTTCAGAGCCAGAAAGGCAAAATATCCCCAGATTTTGCTTCGGGGGCAGTCCAAACCGAGCATCCAATCAGAACGACGCGAGGTCCCCGGTTACTAAAGCTTTGGTTGCCGTCGACGTGTGATGAAACGGCGTGGTTGCAGTGTCAGGCGCTATGGCGCTCTCCAGCCCGGGTTCAACCGGCCCGGCTCCAAAACAATCCATCGACCCTTTTCATGATGACGCATGCCATCTCTGCTTTGTGTGTTTACAGCTTGGGATGTCACTTGTCAATGCTGGTAGCTGGGCAGCCGAGGACGAAGTTGTCGAGACTCGTGAGAAGCTGTCGTCGTCTGCGGTTGCAACTGTGCGAGTTGGGAGAAGACAGATGGAGCAGGCATCGCAGGCATCGCAGGCCATGCTCGCCTTTATATGTCTTTCAAGGAAGAGACAGAGAATGGCCATAGTTTGATGGATATTTTAGCAGATGTTCTGCGTATTGATAAAATTGAACGTCGTTGAAAGTTGATATTGTCCCTTGGCAGCTGGAACACGTGCCTTCCCATTCATTAGGTAAGCGCCCTAGGGAGCCGATGGGTAACTTACCTGCTTTAACTAGGTATCAACCCTTATGTAAGGGGCAGAATGATTATATCAGCAAGACCGGAGCTCGCTGTCTGCAGCAGCAGCTTGCTTGGGTGACGCGCGATCCGGAGCTGCCTGGTCCAACGCCATCTCTGCCTCCCTCGACCTCGTCTTCAGCAACCACAACCGTCCATCAGACGGCAGCCAGCGACGACCTGCACTTCCGCCAACGACTGATCCCCCCCTTTGCGTGGCCATCACGACTCGACAGGCAAGCGAACTCGAGTTGTGAAGCCTCTCCCACATCACCATAGCTACACCTTTCGTCTCGCGCTTTCAAGTCCAAAGGCAAGATTTACAAAATGGACACTCTCGTCGCAAGATACAGCCGGCCGGCATACCAACAGGATGAGCCCGTCGAGGATGAGGCCCACGATTTCATGAACCCGGCGTCGACCCTCGCCGGCAAGTTTGCCATGCCCCCCATTGCCCAGGTATGTCGTGCCTCTCCCGTCGTCTCGAGCCTGCGCCATTCTTTGACTGACTGCTCCCCTCGAAAGCCCTCGTCCTGGCTCCGCGCCGCCACCGACGACCACTCCAACCCCGACTGCCCCATCAAAATCGCCCACGGCACCACGACGCTGGCCTTTCGCTTCCAGGGCGGCATCATCGTCGCCACCGACTCGCGTGCCTCGGCCGGCAACTGGATCGCCTCCCAGACGGTGAAAAAGGTCATCGAGATCAACAGCGTCCTCCTCGGCACCATGGCCGGCGGTGCCGCCGACTGTCAGTACTGGCTCGCCTGGCTCGGCATGCAGTGCCGCCTCCACGAGCTGCGCCACAAGCGCCGCATCAGCGTCGCCGCCGCCAGCAAGATCCTCGCCAACCTCGTCTACGGCTACAAGGGCATGGGCCTCAGCATGGGCACCATGTGCGCCGGCGTCACAAAGGAGGAGGGCCCCGCCCTCTACTACGTCGACAGCGACGGCACCCGTCTGGCCGGAAACCTCTTCTGCGTCGGCAGCGGCCAGACGTTTGCCTATGGCGTCCTCGACGCAGAGTACAGCTACGACCTGAGCGTCGACGATGCCCTCGAGCTCGGCAGGCGCAGTATCTTGGCGGCCACGCACCGCGATGCCTTTTCCGGCGGCTTCATCAACCTCTACCACATCAAGGAGGAGGGCTGGGTCAAGCACGGCTTCAGCGACACCAACCCCATCTTCTGGAAGACGAAGCTCGAGAAGGGCGAGTTTACCAACGTGACGAGCGAGCTGGTCTAGACGGCGAGAAAGGGACAAGGGCATGCGAGGTCGCGGGGGCAGCTAGCAACGAAGTCGTCGGGAGCAGCACGACTGGTGAAAAGGGCTGCCGTTGAGTGGTAGGAGAGAACGGTTGGGGATATTGGCCGACTCGGTAGGGCTGTGGCGCTGCGCCGGCCGCTGTATCATGTACGACCACACAGCTAACAGGGCTCTTCCATCTGCTCCACTTGTTTGCTCTTCCGTTCTGCAATGCTTCCCACGCCACTTGGATCTTGAAGAGGAGGTGTCGTGCCGTCCAGAATCGCAATGTATTCGGAAGTCATGGAAGTGGCATCTTTGTAAATATTGGATGAGATTCGTCTTTAGATCTAGGAGCTCTTTGCAAGTCCCGTCTACTTTAAACTATGTCTTCTCGACTAGGCTTGCTTGATATCATACAGAGAGGCTCAGTGCCACCAACAGGGTATCTCGACTCTTCCTTCTCTCTTGCTTCTCCTTCCCAACGCTCATCTTTTTCATTTATATCGACTTATCCACCCCCTTCCTTTTCACCCACCCCTCCACACCCAGCAGGCCCTCCCCGCCCGCCGCAGGATCCATGGGCCACTTCCTAATGGGCGACACGGACAACTCCGTCTCCCAGCCGGCGCGGTACATCTCCGAGGCAGCCCAGGCAACCATGGCCGCGTTGTCGGTGCAGAGGCCGAGCGGCGGGACGACGAGGTCGACGGCGGGGAAGCCGCGGGCGGCGAGGGTGGAGCGCAGGACGTGGGCGAGGAAGCGGTTGCAGGCGACGCCGCCGGCGACGACGAGGGTGGGCGGCGCCGCGGCGGTGGTGGTGGGCAGCACGTCGCCGCCGTCGAGGGCGAGGCACAGGCGCGAGGCAATGTGCTGGAAGGCGGCGCGGAGGGTGTGGCGGGCGAGGGCGCGGCGCTCGGGTAGGTCCATGTGCGGGCGCGCGGCGGCGATGCGGTGGACCTGGGCGTAGATGCCGCCGAAGGAGAAGACGAGGCGGCGCGAGTGGCGAAAGGGCAGCGTCACGGCCCAGTCGTAGCCCGACGGCACGTCGACCATTTCGTCGTGGCGCGAGCGGGCCGGGCGAAAGAAGGCGCCGTGCTGCGCGGCCACGACGTCGTCGCCCTCGGGTCCGGGGCCCGGCGCCGGCGGAAAGGCAAAGGCCTCGAGCTCGCGGCCGTACATGACGTCCGGGCTGGCCTCCATCACCTCGGGCGGCAGGATGTGGCGCGCCGCCTGGTCGAGCAGGTTGCCGACGGCCACGTCGCACGTGTCGACGACCATGGCGTGTTCCGTCAGCGACGCCGAGCGGACGAGCTGCGTGTGCCCGCCCGACACGAGCAGCGTTAAGAAGGGGAACTCGGGGCCCGCCGCCGCGCCGCCGTCGGCTTCCAGGGCGCGCGCCAGCCGGGGCGTCAGCGCGTGCGCCTGCATGTGGTGGACGCCCAGGAGCGGCACGTCCCACGCCACGGCCAGGCCCTTGGCCGTGGAGAGGCCGACGGCGAGGTTGGTCGGGATGCCCGGCCCGCGCGTCACGGCCACCAAGTCCGGGATCCGCTTCCTCAGCATGGCCCCTTTGTTGTTATTCGTCGTCGTCGTCGTCGTCGTCGTCGTCGTTTGCTGCTCCTCCCCCGACGCCGCTGTGCCTCCCCCCACCTCGACCACCCTCGTCGCGTCATCGGCAGCATCCGGGAGAGCCGCCAGCGCCCTGCGCACAAGCGGCGCGAGGGAGGCGTTGTGGCCCTGCACCGCGACCGAGGGCTTGACGCCCCGAAACTCGCGGTTGTCCGACGAGATGCGCTCGTTGAAGAGCAGCGCGGTGCGGCCCGTGCTGCTTGACTGCGACAGGACCGCCACGGCCGTGTCGTCGCACGACGTCTCGATGGCAAGCGTTAGGAGCGTCCGCCCGCGCGGGCCCGGCGGCTCGAGGCTGCAAGCCAGTGGGCGGCGCCGGGCCACGAGGCCGCGCCTGGGGACGAGGGTCCGTGGGCGCAGCAGCATTCCATTTCTCGTCATCGGCGGCCAAGCCCCTGTTCTCCTCGTGGCAGGTGGGGAAAGGGGGGAGTCGGGGAAGACGGCGCACGACAAGGAGCGATGGGGGAGGCGAAGCGAGGAACAGCCTTCAAGGTGCTGCTACGGTGGTACCGAGCAAAGATGGCCGGAGTGGAAAAACTGCCGGGTCGTACCTCCGTGGGCCCCACCCAGCCGCAGCCCGGCCGTCGGCCGGCCCGTCTCCGGCCCATCGAAATGCGCCGAGCCCTCGTCCGTCTTTGCGAAAGTCATGTGCGCGAGTCAATTCCGCCTCTGTATATGGGCTCGTATCATCTATGTGACCGTTCCTGGCTCTAGCTGGGGATGCCTGCTCCAGCAGCCTAGTCCATCAACCTCCCTTCTCCGGCAGGCCACCAAGCATGCAATCCAAGCTTCATCTGATTACAGCCATCCCTGTAAAGGGCTCTAAACCAGGCCTGCGTGTCAGGATACTCGATTCACCCAGTTCACCCACTCGCACCTGCATCCTCCCGAGCCGCCGTCGAACCCACCCATCTTCCCGTCTCCCGTGCCTCGAGGGTTGATCCACGTGCCTCCGACGCCCATGTTGTTGGCCAGGAGCTCGGCCTTGTCCACACCCACGGCCTGCCGCTTGTCGAGCGGCCAGCTCCACACGAGCTTCTTGATGGGGTCCCCGCCGTGCGTGTCCAATGTCACCGTCACCGGGTACGGCATCGTTCCCGGCCGGATCAGCTCCCCCGTCCCCCCAATGCCGCGGCTTTCGTCGGGCCTCAGCAGAGATGACGTGTTGAGGCCAAGGGTGCGCGTCCAGATCTGAATGAGCACGCGCGTCTCGCCCCACGTCACTAGATGGTTCGCCTCATCCTTGCGACATCCGCCGCCCTCGTCCAGGGGAATATTGCCGGCGTCCGTCTTGTTGAGGATCGTGACTGACTTAAGGAAGAGCGATCGTTTGAAGTGCGTGTAGAAGCCATAGTGCTCCGTCGGCAGACCGCGGTCGAAAAGTCGAACGGGTTGCTGGACGGGACTTGGGAGCATCACGGCCGGCGCGGGGGTGCCATTTGCTTCCAACTCTGGTGCCGGCAAGAGCTTCTCCAAGCTCTCATTGCCGATTCGCGTCCCAGGCTGCCTCCGGCTCAGCACAGACCCCTTCACCGGATCGTGGACCGACTTCAACAGGCTGATATAGAACGGAGTCGGCTCGCCGGCCTTGTTTTCGGACTGGATACTGTCCGTCGTGTTGCCCAGGAACCATATTTCTTCGCGGCTCGGCGCGCCAGGCTCAGGGGTAAAGCTAGGCGTCGCCTGTCGCCGCCCAAGCACGTCGTGCGCCCAAGACGCAGCCCCGGTCCCTCTGCGAACCATGTTTGCCTCCACTGGTTTCCTTCTGCTTTGAGAGCTGTTGTCCCATTGGATCTGCATGACGACGGTTGGCTGGTTGGGCTTGTACGGGACGACGGTATCGTGCTGATCTTTGGGCAGCGAACAGCTCCACAAGGTGGACGGTTCCGTGCACGCACTCCTTGACGCACTGTTGTCCGGGCCGACGACGGTCAAGACACCGGTTGGCATGGGCGGAAAGTCTGTGAGGTTGACCCAAATCGAATGCGACTCGCGTGGCGTCTCGTGATGGCGCCGCGTGAGCACGACGGCCAAGATGATGATGAGTATCATGAGCGAAATGATGCTCACCCACAAGACCAAGCATACCCTTCTCCTCTTGCGTCCTTCTCGGCCGGTGCGCCCGAAGCATCCAGTTGCGGACACGCACCCCCGTCCTCTCCAAAATCCGCCGAGACGCCGGGCTACCACCTCCTCTTTTTCGTGACGACGTCTTTGCCGCTCAACTTTGCAAGCACGTCCCGTGGCGGCGGTCTGATGATCCGGGGTGCCGTATGAACCCAACGGACGCACCGGAAGGGGAATTCTCAGAGAGGATTCAGCCCGGCTATGAACGGTCGGAGTGAGAGGTATATCCGTCATCTGCGTCGCCCCCTGGGAAGTCATGGTGGCAGCAAGACCAGGAGAGGCGGGACAGGGCGAGGGGGGAAACTGAGAATGTAGCGGATGCTGGGGTGGGAAAACAGCCCGGTATCGAACAGGAGCAGCGAGTTGCCTCTTTGGTGGAGAGTAAGGCGGTGGCTGGTCCCTCCGGGCATCCTCGGCGGCAAGACGGACGTCATTCTTTGCGGGAGCGCCCTCTGCAACGGCCTCGGGTCTTGCCTGCGTTTCCGCATCCCTTGATGCCTCCACTGCTTCAATGCTGGGGCTCGGCGACGAGCACTTTCGCGGAGTGGGTTTACGAACAATGGGCGCCTGCACGGGTAGCAGGTTCCTCGTGCTTGGCCGCCCCTGGTCGCGATTCTCGGTGATTTCGCAACAGCTGCGTGGCGATTTGGCTTCTGACCGGGGCGAGCCGGCTTTCATCTTTCGGCTCGAAAAGGAAAGCTTCTTGTCCAAAAAGGGGGTGACGACATGATCCCACCAACCGTGTGACCTCGACGTGGCACTGTCGGGTGACATGCAGAGCCCCTTTGCCACTGTTTGCTTGTGGGCAGGCGAATTGCCGTCCTCTTCGAAGAGCGTGCAGGGCGTTCCACTGTCGTCTTCACTTTGGCTGGTCCCTCCCAGGTCGATGCTGGCGAGTCCCTGCTGTGGCGTCTTCTGGTAGCTGGCAGGGAGTGCCGGCACAGGCGGGGCCTTGTCACCGCCCGCTAGGCCCGGCGTGAATGCCCGTGAATACACGCTGGATGCGGCTCGGCAGTAGCTGAAGGAGTTGATGCTGTCGGGGGTGTCGGGGGACCACACTGATGTCTGGATATTGGCATTGGTGTCCCGGTGGCGATGACTCGCGGCCCCGGTGCCTTGGGTCACCATAGCTCCTGTTGGGGCGGGGATTTGCGCCTTTGAAGTGTCGACGCCCACGCCCGCCCGCTGTGGGGTTGCTTCAGGCGAGCTCACCTGGTCAGGAGGAAGAGAAATTCCAATGACGATTGGCCTGTCCTCGGGCGAAAGCTCTTGGGCCGGCGCGGGAGCAGGCTGGCGGGGAGGGGCGGGATTGGGACAGTGGCCGGCGTCCTTGTTCAGCCAATTCCAGTTGCCAACGGAAGCCGAGCTGGGCTCCCCTTCAAGAGCTTTCAGGGCTGCAGCGTCAACGAATTTGACTGGCCTTGGATCTGCGGGACAGGCTTGTTGTCCGGCGTGGTTGCCTCGCTTGAAGACGGCCATGTCAGTGACGAGCTTGATGCCAGCCTTTGCATTTTGCGCCTTCTGTCGCCGCCTTGACCGGAGCCTCTTCATCTTGGCACTTGAGTGTCTCGAAGCTCTTGAGGCTGCCGATTTTGTTGATGGCCGTTCTCGCGTATATACGGGAGGCGGCGGCTGGACGACATGAGGCTCGTCGGCATGGACGGGGGTGACAATGTGGTCGTCGTCCCAATCCTCCCAGTCCTCGACGAGACGGTGGTGGGATGTGGCAGGGAGAGGTCGCTTGGCGGCATTGGAACCATCCATTGGGGGCTTTGAATGATTCCGGGAGGTCTTTGTCGAGTGTTGGTGCTGTCAAGTGCTCAAGGGTTCGCATCGGTCCGATTCCGTGGCTGATTAGAGAGACTTGGGCGAGAAACAAAGCATGGCAGCCGTGAGCATGGGGAAACAAGTGGCGAGGATAGAGCTGCGGTGGCGGCACGGGGAGGAAGAGAGAAAGGCCGGGTTGGCCAAGGATGAGATGACGGTCGAAGGCGAGAGAAAACAGGCGTCAGGTCCAGTCTCTCGGAAGCGGACGGTGATTCTTGTCGAGGTGTGGAAAGGCAAGCGGCTGGGGCGACGAAGCGGGAGAGGGAGGTGGATGAATGGGACGACAATGGGCAGTTGCCTGGCCTCGGGCGCATTGTTTGGCGCATGGCTGTTGCTGTACTCGGGGGCTTCTCCCAAAACAGGAGCTGGCGCGTCGACGATGAGCGGCCTGATGAGTGGATGGATGAGCTTCGGGGACGATGGCTGGACAGCATGGCGCGGTGCCGGCGCTTGCAGACGGGCCTTTTGCGCCCTCATTGGCCGTTGCTAAGCGCCGTCGACGTGGCTCTCAAACTCACCCCGGAGTGACGCTGCACACGGAGCAGTACCCTGTGCAGCGGCGGGGCGTCGTTTGATTGGCCGGCAGGCGCTCCATTGTCGTCCAGGTCTGTGTTCCTTTGTCCCAGTACAAAGTGCCCCGTAATTTACCCGTTTGGTGAAGACGGGCTTGCTTCTTCCTTGCTGCAGCAGCTCCTGTCGTGCGGTGCCAGAGACGTTTTTGTGGCGCCGACGCGCATCACGATGCATCACGGTACAGCAGCCAAGGCAAGCCCGGCGGCAAACGGATCCAACGGCAGTCCACAAGCATGCATGCACCCCGACGTTTGTACGAGGCCGTGCTCGAGACGTCCAAGTCGTCTGCAGAAGCTACCCTGCACCACCTTGCGCATCTTTGTTGCACTCACTCTGCCATCGTCCGTTCATGGGATACCCAGACTATACAACCTGCACAGGGTAGTCGAGGCAGACCTTGCATCTTTTTTTGGTTCACACAGGGGACGGCTGTTGTAGATGTCGGGACAGACAATGGATATTGAGAAGCCCAGTGTGCCCTTACCCTACCCGTTACGCAGCCACGATAATACCACTCGAGCAGCATGGCCACTAGGTACCTACTGTTCGTACTCGATACGAGGTACCCTGCCCTGCGCAGTCCTGCCAAGCCGACGTCCAAGGAGCCTGACAGCCGTCGGCACGAGAGAGGGCCGAAATCCGTCTTTTTTCCGTGATATAATCAAAACAAAAGAGTATTACTATTAATTACTATTCGACCAAGCGGAAATACCTAGTTAGCCAACACTAGGAAAAGCGGGGCACTCTAATATCTCGCATTAATATCTAATATATACTATCTTTTTATTATTCCTTTAGCGAAAAATCCACCAAAAAAACCCTAGATAGCTCTAACTACGAAATAGCGTACTCGAGCGCCCGAGCCAGTAGGGGAGGGGCCCTACTATGGGGGTTTACTCCCCGCGGGAGGTGAGCGCGACGTATTAGACGAGTTTTTAAAGATATTTAAGATTTCTCTTTAACAATTAAGATTTAAAGCGACCAATTAAAAGAGGGGATTTTAAGAGGCTCTTGGCCAAATAGAGATTTCCACTTGGCCGAATAGTAATACTCAAACAAAAAGCATAATCTAAAGAGTAACCTAAAATCTGCGAGCCCCCCCCTCTTTGCAATAAATGCAGTAACTCTGTCCCGTTGGCCGCAGAAGATGGAGAGGTACGCGAGATTGGACACGGTGGGGAAAGTGGAACCCGCATGAGCAAACAGGCAGGATTATGCCGACTGTGGTTGATGGCCCTTTATTTCGGCAAACTCTGGTGTCTTTGCCTTCTTGCAACTCCTAGCCGGTACTAAGTACCGGGTACCTACTGTACGCCCAAGCACCTGGCCCTCCCCAGCTGCGGGCACATGTGTTCGAAGTGGCCGTTCGTATTGCGTGCTCGTTTGCCAGGGAACCCCGTCTGGCTGCCCTTGCCCACTCCATAGGGCTCCAGCATTTTTTATAGGCATATGGACGCTGTGATTCCTCGAGCCAGACTGCGAGAAGAGGAAAAGAAACAGTATTACCTACTGTACGGAGTACCTACCTACCTAGGTAATAAGCGGAGGCAGCCCATCTGCAAGGTAGGTACCTGCAAATGATGTAAGCCGGCTTGGCTTGGTGCTGCTCCAGTTGCAGAGAAAGAGAGACCCCTTTTAATCACCTCTGGCTCACCACGCGAGGCAAACCTCGTACGTAGCAACACGCTGAAAATCTCATCACGGACATCTACTGCACAAAGTCGATGGAGTATTGCAGTCTCGCCTCGTATCGGGCTTTTAACCAAGTCGTTTCGCAAACACCAGGCTCAATACGAAGTACCGATACCTCTTGGCCCTCGTGTCTCTGACTAAGGCACGCATGCCACTGCTAGTCTCGCCGCCCAGCCGCGCTTCCTCAGCTTCATCGCCGTCGAATCCAATCGCTTCTCAGCTGAGGGCTGACGCGGCGCCCCGACACTGCCTGCCTGCCCGCCTTCGCCTGTGACGCCCTCTTTCGTTCTCCGTCGTCTCTCCCCCACGGCGCGCGACCTCGCCTTGTTTTGACGCGCTCCGCCCGCGCCTCGTCGTCGTCGACCCCCCGTCTTCCCGCCGCGAGACACGCCAAAGAAGCACAGACATACATGACCGGGGAATAGGAGACCGAGAGACAGAGCAAGACACACACGGCGACAAGAGACAACAGGACAATCGCCCCCGTCCTCCCTCGCTGCCAGGGCCCCGACGAGGCGGAAAAGGACACGCTTCCTTCCTTGCACCCGCGCCGTCTCATCGGTCTGGAATTCTGCGACACCGAGAGGCTTCAACCTTTCTCGCGCACACCCCTTGGCTGGCCCGCCTCGCTCGCTCTCTTGTCTGCATTTCCCTTCCTAGTCGAGCTTTAGCTGCTCGCCAAGCGTGCCCCACCAGAACACTTCATCCTGGCGTCCCCAAAGCTCAAGGCCGGCTCTTCGAGCTCCTTCAGCGATCGGCCTGCGCCCTCGCACCATCGAAGGCGCTCGTCGGTCGGTTCGCATGCTGGCAACAAGCAGCGTCCTGCCAACCTGCTCCAAGTCTACCCCCATCAAGCTAATCAAGCCCCGCTGTCACCCATTCTCGGTACGTTTTTGCACCGCTCCTGTTCCCTCGTCCTATAAACCCCCCCGTCGCCCCCCGTCTCGCTCACCCCGTCTCAGGCACGCCCGCCGAGCCCATGTCTTTGTCCCGCAGCCCGTCGCCGGTCCCTGGCGGCGGATGGTCTAGCCCCGGCCTCGACGTCAACAGCGGCAGGAACAGTCCCTCCACCGCTGGCGTCCCCACCGTGCATTGGGAGTCGGCCAGGATGAGGCATCTCGGCGTCAACGGCTACCCGTCCTTCTCGACACATAACCAGGGCTTCTTCACCCGGCACATGCGCCACCTATCCAGTGGCCTGCCGCGCTTCAACTCGGGCTCCGACTCCCCCCCCTCCGAAAAGGACAAGCTGGCCCACGGCCAGTGGCCCGGCCAGTGGCCCGGCCAGAACATACCTCTGGTCCGGAGAATAATGTCCATTGTCGGGCGCATGGGGCGCAAACTCAAGCTGAGGCTGCTCATCGGCTTCGCCGTCCTCTTGTGTCTCTACATATTCTTCCACTCCCGTAAGTAATGCGTCGCCCCCTCTCCCTTTTGCTGCCCTGGCATCATACCGTGAGCCGCCCATGGACTCGACTGACAGCCGTGACTAGCCCTGATCTACCACTGGCGGAGAGCATCATGGGGAGGTGGCGGCAACAAGTTTGTCATCATCCTGGCCGCCAACGTTGGCGGAGGTGTCATGGAGTGGAAGGGGGCCCGCGAATGGGCCATTGAGCGCGACAGTGTGCGCAACAAGCGCAAGTACGTTTCGAGATGGGGGTACGACCTGGAGATTGTCGACATGAGCACCAAGAAAAAATACGCGCACGAGTGGCGAGAGAGCTGGGAAAAGGTGGACTTTGTGCGCAGCGCCATGAGGAAGTACCCCAAGGCTGAATGGTGAGCAACGGCCCGGCGGTGACCTGGGGACAACAGCAGCTGACGGTGCGCAGGTTCTGGTGGCTCGACTTGAACACGTACATCATGGAGCCGACATACTCGCTGCAGGATCACCTCTTCGACAACCTCGCCACCAATGTTTACCGCGACATCAACCAATACAACCCGCTCAACTTTACCCACCCGTTCCGCGATCCTTATCTCGACGCCGAGGCGCTGAGCCCCGTGGGTGATGGAGACGTCAACTCGGTGAACCTGGTGCTGTCGCAGGACTGCTCGGGGTTCAACCTGGGCTCCTTTTTCCTGCGCCGCAGTGCTTGGACGGAGCGCCTCCTGGACATTTGGTGGGACCCCGTCGCGTACGAGCAGAAGCACATGGAGTGGGACCACAAGGAGCAGGATGCGCTGGAGCAAATGTACGTGAGCCATCCATGGGTCCGGAAGCACACGGGGTTCTTCCCGCAGCGCAAGATCAACAGTTTCCCCCCGGCGGCCTGCGGACAGGCGGATGGCAAGAACCACACACAGTTCCACTACAACGAGCACGACCGCGACTTTGTCGTCAACATGGCCGGGTGCGAATGGGGCCGCGACTGCTGGGGTGAGATGTACCACTACCGAGAGTTCAGCTACTGGCTCAACCGCAACCCGTGGGAGCGCTTCAAAGAGGACCTGATTGCGGTCATCTGGTACAAGCTCACGGGCCACTGGGTCAAATTATAGTCCAGGCCTCGACAAGGTCGCGAGCCACGGGAACGACGCCGCATGCGCCGCTCAGGCCTTTGCCTGCGCCATGCGGAGCGCATTTCCTCAGAGGTCGCTCCTTGATGCTGGCCGACAAGAGACGGCGGCCTGGAGCGCCGGCAGGCTGACAACAGGAAGGCCTTTGCCCAGACGGCAGTCTCTCACCCATCTACCCCACCCGTATCTTGTTTATTTATAACTTTCGACATGGAGTCATCGTCTTCTGCAATGCAGGCTGGTCTTGGCCATGGACAGACGACGGCCTGTGGGGGCAATGCGTGGGCAGGGTGGCCTCGAGCGCACCATGGATGAGCTGGGGCTGATTTGACCCTACGGATTGGTATGGGCTGAGCGGGAAAAAAAGGTTAGAGTGCAACGCGGCCAAGGAGCAAGGCCAGGGAGACGGGGCATGTGCCTCATGACGGGACAGGGTGTGTTTGGCGGCTGGAGGAGAGACTTGCAAGAGATGAAGGGTGCATTGCGGCCTCGGATAGGGCAACGGCAGCGTTGAGCAGTTTGGAGCGTACAAGGCTCGAGAGTGGACTTCCCTCTCGCCTTGTCGGCCCCTGTTTTTACCTTTCTCCTTGTTTGCCCTCGACGGGAGTTTGACCGTCGGGACATGTACAATTTGGTTATATTGCAATATAAAGAATCACCACGAGGGCCGCCTCTGGGCGAAGGAGAGGTTGAGCGATTGACGGAAGCTGTGAGAGTGAGTTGGCGCGAGCAAGCCGGAGGTGACTGTCACGCGTCGAGAAAGAACTCAGAGGGGCCAGGAGTGGTCACGACCACTGGCCACGTCCCCCGTCACATTGGCAGTCGGTCCAACGGCTGGCGGCCGAAAATAACGATCCATGTCCAATCACGCGTTGCAAACACACATGGTGTGTGGGATCGGACGACAAGGGGGGGTTGGTTGGTTGGTTGGTTCGCCGGAGAAGTCTGCTGGTGGCCCCCAAAACCCAATGGATGGGAGGGAGGGGGCAGCCAGACGAGACGAGATGGACGGTAACGTACAGGGGCGGGATGGCGTGCATTGGACATGGGATGACGACCGGCGTGGGGCGTTGTTTCGAAACCCGCGCGGGTGGGCTTGTTTCAGAGGGCTTGCAGGTTGCAACATGGTCAAGTTGACCAGGAAGCCAGCTACCGTACAGTACAGATACACACGTTGAAGCCCATCACCAGACAGGCAGCATGCGAAGGAGTGAGCGAGACAAGGGAAAAGGGGAGAGGGAGAGCAAGGAGTCTGGTCCAAGAAAACGACGTGCGGCTCTTTGGTGGCGGAGGGTGGCGAGGGCTTTGTTCGGCGGTTTTTTTTAATGTGGAATTGGTGAGACGTTGGGGCGGAGGACGTGAGCGGCTAGGAAGGGCTAGGATGGAGAAAATGTCTGGTGGTGGATGAAGGGCGAAGATGACTGATGTTCTATGAGTGTGCGTGGGTGAGTGAGTGAGTGATGATGAGTGAGTAAGGGAGAGAGAGAGAGAGAGAGAGAGTGGGGATGAGCGGTTCTGAGCGGGCGACAAACGCGGAACGGTAGGCCAGGAGACGCCGAGCTACCACGTAGGTAGGAGGCGCCTACGAGGCATTGCGACGCTGGTTTTACAGCGGGTGGGTGCTGGCACGGTGCCTTTGCCAGGGATAAAGATGGAGGGCTCGTGCCTCGGAGCAGCATCTTATACTGTACACTCACGCACAACACGTACGCCGCACAACACGCGCTCGGCCAAACCGCCAAGCAGGAAAGCGTGCAATTGTGCATAAATACAAAGTTGTCGCGGATCTCGGAGAGATACAGACTTAAAAAAACGCCCCTACGATCTCATGTCTTGGCTTGACGCAGGGGGCGTGGTTGGCGGGGACCCTGTGGAGGAGGTACTTTGCATGTACTTTCTGTCGCTCCGAGCGTCGGGTGCAAGCACGACTGCAACTCTTCGACAACCATTGGACTTGGTGATCAACAGGATTAGCACTTTGGCCCATCCGCCAGACCGCCGACCTTTGCCAAACCGAAGCGCCGCCTCGTTTCACCGTCCTCTTGGGGCATGGCGCCTCGTAGGGTCCGCCTTGGTACTTGCAAGTACCGCCCCTCCCCAGGGGCCTCAGGGCCCTGCAGCAAGCATCCTCTCCACGGGGGTGGTGGCGGCCCAGGCACGGCCGTCCAGCCCCGTGATTGGCCCCCCCTTCAATCCACTCCCAACGACCAGACGCGGCTGTCCAAGTGCCACCACGCGCTGGAATTCTGCGAAAAGCGCGAGCCCCCATGGCTGACGACCAACCTAGGGAGTAGGCTCCGACAAGACGGACAAGGAGTAGGAAGGGACTGTGCGCGCGTGGAGAGGAGAAGAAGAAGCGAGGACAGGAGCGGACCGACGAAAATGGCAAGTGCGCGGAGGATTCGCTTGCTGGGCTGGGGGCAGGTGCTGTCGTCGACGTTGCCTTCCTTTGTGATAAAGGATGCATGCATTCCCCCGCAAGGCCCTGATGTCTCTCCTTCCCCCGGTCTTCTTCTTTTTCTTCTGCCCCTTTTCCTTTCCATCCATCCTCCTCCTCCTCCTCCTCCTCCTCCTCCTCCCCGCCAGCCTTTCCTTTCTTCACCCCCCCAGCCTTTCTTTCTCTTCTGGCGCCCAGCCGCCGTCGATGTCTCGTGTGTCTTCGCCGTTCAATCCTTCCGGCAGCTGGCTGTTTTCCATTGACATCATTCCCTGTTCCCAATATACAATGCCCGCCATCCTTTATTGTTGAAAAAGAATAGAGCACATATCAATCCCTTTATCTTCCCGTCGCGGACACCTCTTGTTCGATTCCGAGGGACGTCTATCATTGTTCCAATATCTTCTTCTTCAAGAAAACACTGCCTCTTCTTCCTGCCTATCTTCTCTCTCCGCTGAGCGGCCAACCTTCAGTCTGATTTGACCTCTTCGGTTTCACCTTCTCTCTCAACCGGCTACTTCTTTGCATACAGCTCCGGCAGCTTCAACCCACGACCTTGACTTTGCAATCACAAAAAAAGCGACACTGCTTTTCTCCATTCGTCTTCGTTCCTTGATCGACTTGCTTAAAGCACCCGACCCTCGTCGCTCACTTTGCAGCCCGACATCGCCTTGATCGGTTCGCGCGACGATCCACACCTTTCGATTCGAGAGGAATAGAAAAACGGAAAGACACAGCGCACAAACAAAACACGATGCAATTATCAGCTCGTTGTCTCGCCACGGGGCTTGGAGGCCTTCTCTTCGCCGCCGGCGCTGTCCAGGCCGGGGCTCAGCCCCAGTCCCAGTACTCGCTCGACACCACCTATGACAGGAAAAACTTCTTCCAGGCCTTCGACTTCTTCACGGAGCCCGACCCAACGCACGGCTTTGTCGAGTACGTCGACCAGGCCACGGCCCAGCAAGACGGCCTCATTGGCTACGGCCGGGGCAACAGCAGCCGCGGCTACGGCAAGGCCAACAACGGCACCATCGTCTTGGGCGTCGACTACAAGACGGTCAACCCTGCCAATGGCCGCAGGTCGGTCCGCGTCACCTCGCAGCAGTCCTTCACCCACGGCCTCTTCCTCGCCGACATTGCCCACATGCCCAACGCCGCCTGCGGTGTCTGGCCCGCCTTTTGGATGTTTGGCCCCAACTGGCCCACGTCGGGCGAAATCGACATCATCGAGGGCGTCAACCTGCAGGACAAGGGCACCGTCACCCTCCACACGTCGCCCGGCTGCACCATGTCCAACGAGGGTACCCTGTCGTCGACGTACCTCAAGGATGGCGACTGCGGCGCCAGCGGCACCAGCGCCGGCTGTGGTCAGCAGACGGCCGACACGCAAAACTACGGCGACGGCTTCAACGCCATCCGCGGCGGCGTCTACGCCACCGAGTGGACCTCGGAGCACATTGCCGTCTGGTTCTTCCCCCGCTCCGCCATCCCCCGCGACGTCGCTTCGGGCCAGCCCAACCCCGAGACGTGGGGCCAGCCCATGGCTCGCTTCGCCGGCGGCTCCGGCTGCGACATTGACTCGCACTTTTCCAACAACCAGCTCGTCTTTGACACGACGTTTTGCGGCGACTGGGCGGGCAACCCCGACGTCTGGGGCTCGGACAAGACGTGTGCCGCAAAGGCCGCCACCTGCAACGATTACGTGGCCGCCAACCCGGGCGAGTTCCGCGACGCCTTTTGGGAGATTAACTCGGTCAAGGTCTTTCAGCAGGGGCAATCTGGCGGCCAGAAGCCCCAGCCGACGCAATGGCCTCCCAAGACGACGGGGCAACCTCTGCAGACGCAGCGGCCCCAGCCGACGTATCAGCCCCCGCAGCCTCATCATACTCAGCAGCCGCAGAGCGGCTCGGGCGACCAGGGCTACGGGTATCAGCCCGCGCAACCCTTTCAACCGCAGCGCTGGAGGGCTTGAACTCAGGCTGACAAAGGCATCCCCGGGCGAGGGCGGAGAGCAGGACGGCATGAGATAGCCGGTGCGGACCGTCGAGGCGCACCGATGTCTGTGCTAGAAGACGACGACATGATGAGCGATCCATGGCATTGCGGATCTTTGCAGCCACTTCTTGGGGCTTTTTGTTCTTTGCACTCTACTTCTTGTCTCCCCTTTTCTCCCTCTTCATAACCTTTGTTTCTCTGGTACTTTATTGCCGAGGCATTTGATGTTATATGGCTTCACACAGCATTGCCGCCGGCCGGGCCACATTCACTCTATATATGGTAGCTTTGGATGTTTATACTTAGCATAGAGCGTAACGCACCGAACACACGTTTGAACCTTGCAAAACAAGAGCATTTGCCCGAGCCAACTCTGGCCGCGTGAATGAGAGGCTTCTGTTGCTCCCCACCGTTGCTGGAGATGTCGACGATGGATGGCGGTTAGAAGTAGACAGCCATCCCCTTGAAAGAGGAACACCAAGGAGCGAAAGGGAAAAGAAGCAGAGAATGCAGCTCCGTCAATTGGCCACAGAACGTAGACGCACAGAAAGTAGCCCCACGAGTTCGTGCCTTTTCGCCGGCGCCCTTGGCGACGTTTGCTCACGGTACTCGGTACAGGCCAGGGATCCTCCCTGTCGGGCTGCAGATGTACTGTGTGGCCCAATATAAGAGATAGGGTACCGGGGCTCTGTCCATGACCGAGTATAGACACATGGATATTATTTACCTACCTTAACCTACTACCTCTACTCGCCGAGGTCCCTCGGCTTAAGTTAAATTATTAATAGTGCATCGCCGCATCCATCTACAAGTCATCTTTCCTCCCCCCACCCCCCCCCGTCTTTCCGCTCCGTCGTCATCATCGACTCATCGTCAATATCTTCAGTATCATAAGCATCAACGTCGCATAGCCCATCTGCCATTGTCGCTTCCGTCGGTCGGCTTGCTCTTACCCACTCACCATCACCAGCCTCGACAGACGACACCATGAGTTCCGCCATCGGCTTCGACCTTGACAGGAACATGTCCATTTTGACGGTATGTGTCGCAAGACACGACGACTCTCCCCTTCTCCATACTGTGCAATGCGCAGGAGGCGGCCAATGGATAGAAGGCTTCTTGACTGACGCCCATGGTCTAGGTCCCTGTCGCCTTTCTCATGTGCTGGGCGCCCCACGCGTACGCCGGCATCTTGGCCGGCAGGGCCTTTGACAATGCCAACCCGCGAGGATTCCGCGACAACGTGGCCAAGAGCGAGGCCCTCGACAAGGCGGTATGTCTGACCTAGTTCCGCAGCTTCAAGTTCCGTCATGCCCATTCCCCCCGTCTTCACGTCCCGGTGAGCCGTGGGCGGCAGCACTAGGATGAGAGAAGCTCACGCAACCCAACCTCGTTAGATGAAGCAGCGCATCCTCCGTGCCGAGGGTGCCTCCCTCAACGGCTTCGAGACGCTCGGCTTCTTCGCCTCGGCCGTCGTCGCCGCCAACGTGGCCGGCCTCCGGCCCGCCCAGCTCAACGTCCTGACCATCGGCTACATCGTCTCGCGCCTCGCCTACCTTGTCATCTATATCCACCTGCAGACCAACCGCAGGCGCTCCTGGCTCCGCAGCGGTGCCTGGCTGACCGGCGTTGGCCTCGTCCTGACCATCTGGATCCGGGCCGGCCTCGCCATGTTGCGTGCTCCGTAAAGAGCACAGCATCGAGTCAGCATAGACGCTCCTCATCCTTGTTTCCCTATCAACATGTTTACTGCAGTCGCCCTTTCAAAGCTCGTTTCCTCTTCCCGCCCCTCCATCCTTTGTGTTAGCGGCTGCTCGTATCTGCACCCTTGAGAGTCTTTTTGCTGCTGCTGCTGTTGCAGGGAAGCCGTCGATGGCCTGGACTTGGGATGATGTGCCGTGAATGATAGTGCGTGTTGTGTTGTATGCATGTATGCATCTACATACATATGCGGGCATGTGTGCTTGCGCCTTGAGGTCCGAGATGGAGGTTGCATGCGTGTGTCTGCGCCGTGCGTGCGAGCGGACTGAGTGAGCGTGGGAAAACGGCTGCTTGTCAGGAGCTTCCTCGTGCGACGGAATATCTTGGGCCATTCTTTGAATGCCTGTCAATGAGACTCATTGCCCAGCGAATGGTACAGCCACGGGAAAGGGGTAGATATCCTGATGGACGGAGAGAGACACAAGATCTACGTCGTGTAGCACGGCAAGCAGACTTCATCACCGCCAACCGTCGTCGTCATCATCATTATCTTGCTCATCACCATCAACACATGCTCATGCGCGTGCGTTTGTGTAACCCACGGCCGTCATCTCGGCCCCCACCACCACCCAACCCCCCTGAGCCTCTCTCTCTCTCTCTCTCTCTCTTCCTCAACAACTCGTGCTCCTGCTTGGAAACAAGAGGCTTGCTTCGCCTCCCCAGTCGAGCGTCTTCCATGGGACAGGAGGGGGGTCCGCGTAACCGTCGGACAAGGCGTGTCTTCTTGTCATGCCACCCGGCGTGGGCTCACGCAGCACAAGATGCTCTCCCCCAATCTCTCCAGGCTGGTGTCTTGGTGAACTGCAATTCACCCATCTACCCACCCCCTTGTTGCTCAGCCAGCCAGCCAGCCAGCCAGCCTCCTCGCCCAAGTTCCCTGGTCCAACTCCCATCTCTCATCGCCACCAGTCTCGCCGGCCTGCGCCATGCCCTGAGTCGACGGAAGCGATATACGCAACCGAGGCCGGGGGGGTGCGGTTCGACGGTCAAGCCGCGCGTGTGCGCGGGCGTGTAAGCCGGCCCCATCACCCCCGTGGCTCTCGCTCTCGGATTTCTCTCCCTCGCTCATACATGCTCGCTTTTGAAAGATACAGAAGCTAATTTCGAGGATGAGGAATCGTCTGTTCCTCGGGGACTCTGGAGCTCTCATCACGGCGGTTTGACGTGGAGCCACCGCCGCGTACGCGTTGTGGTTTATGGGCCGCCCCCTCCCCGAGACCGCCGTCGGCTGGTGGGCTGACGTGGGCTGTGCAGGGGAGCCGAGGGCTTCTTCTTTGCCGGGGAGTCTGTGATGTATGTCGATCTTCGGAGTGTGTGTGTGTGTGTATGTGTATGTGTGCGTGCGTGTGTGTGCGTGTGTGTGTGTGTGTATGTGTGTGTATGTGTGTATGTGCATGAGAGATGGGGATATATAAAGGGCCTCCCCCCCGGATAAGTGAGGAGCGTCGTCTGCCTACCGCTCTACCGAGGACACACTTATCTTCACCACTTTAATCCACCATCGACTCTGCCACCTTGCGTACATCGTCGTCGACCTCTTTCGTTGTTTGATCCGGGTCCCTCTGCCCCTGCCGCCACCGTCCTCTCCTGTCCTCACTCCCCGTCCCTTCCGCGCCACAGGACAAGAGCACCGCGAGCGCCCACCACCGCCATCTCTTCACCTGCTCCCCGCGCCGGGACCTTTCGTCCTCCGTCCAAACCCGGTCCCGCGTTTCCCATCCTGCCTTGCCTCAGGGGGACTCTTCCGCTGCGGGATAAAAAAAAAAGGGACAAGAAGAGAGAAGAACCAACCATGCCGTCTCTCAAACAGCGCCTCCTCACCCTGGCCCTGCCCCTCGCCGCCGCCGCCGCCGCCCTGCCCGGCGCAACCCCGTCGTCGGGCCCGGCCCCGGCCCCGGCCCCGGCCCCGCCCGCCGCGACCACCCCCGCGCCGCCCGCCGAGGTGAGCATGCCCGCCACGTGCGACTACAGCTACTGCGACGGCACCTCGTCGTGGTGCTTCTACTGGGGCGGCGTCACCTCGTACGACGTCGACCGCGGGCCCGTCCCCGGCGAGATCAGGGCCCCGCTCGGCCCCTGCGCCGCCCCGCGCCGCACCCCGTCCGCCACGCCCCCGCCGGCTCCGGCGCATACGCGTGCTGCCTGATCCCGTGTGGGCTGGGGACGGGACGGGGGTGTTGGGGGGGGGAGGGGGGGGGCTGCTCTGCGGTTGTGTGTACGAGATTGTGCTGTTGGGGCTGGACTGGGCGTGTCATCGGGACGAGGGAAAGAAGTGCGAGGCCACTTTGGTCTGTGTATATGTTTGACAGCCTTGGGCGACAACGTGCTGAAGCAGATTGGGAACAACAGGCTGTTTTGGGCATTCTGGGGAAAGAGAGAAAAGAGACAGCACGGCATGCAGCAGTAATCAGTTGACCACTGGCAGACTTGCGAAGTTGGAAACGGCCATGGATGATGTTCGTATATCTGCTGATAGATGTCTACCCCTTCTTCCCGTATCCGACCGTCGGTCGTATAGATAGACAGCCCATGTAGATGGCCAGAAATCTAGACACACATATTCCCTGCTGCAAATACATGCCTTCCCGCTCATGCATGAACCCAACCGGAGAAAATCTCCGCCGCACCCACGGCGCGGCCTCGCGTCCTTGCTGCCGGATGGTACCTTGTTGTCTCTCAGACAGGCGAGCCGCATGTAGACAGCAGCATCCTATGAGCGGCGGACTGCCCCACCCCTTTCTTCATCGGCAGCCTCGCCCACCGCCGCCGAGGCGTCGTCCTTGATTCTGGCCGCAAAGACCACCGAGGCCAGCACGCAGACCCCGCCAAGGGCCATGACCGTGGCGATGCTGTGGTCCCCCGGCGTCCCGCGAGGCTTCTGCCAGATCTTGAAGATGATGCTCGACCCTACCGTCGCGATGATCTGGGGAAGGGCAATAGCCATATTGTGGATGCCTAGGATGACGCCAGCCTGGTCCGTATCCGCTGGGCTCTCCTGCTCATCGCTCCCCGATCCAGAGCCAGGGCTCCAAGAAGACTCACCAGAAGCGGCGGCCTGATTCGTAGGACGGGGAGCCATGTTGGCCTCGAGCTTGCGAGCCCTGTCGAGAGCATCGCGCCGACTAATCTCGGCGCTGATGATGGCCCACGGCGCCCACAGGGCCATGGCCCAAGTGATGCCTGCCACTCCAATCAAGACCGTCGCAGCCTCGACGGAGCGGACAAAGGGCGTGCAGAACATGGCTCCGGCGAAAAGCACCAGCGAGCCGAGCCACGCCCGCTTGAGCGAGAAACCCGGTATTCTCAGCAGCCCGAGGAGGGAGCGCGGCGCCTCTTGACGGCCCTTGGCTGCGACAGGCCGGCTGTCAAAAGTGGGCGCGATGAAAAAAGGCAGGAAGACGTTGGTCGACAGGCTGACGACGGCATTCACGAGGAGCGCAAAGGTCCCGATCCGTGTTGCCTGCTCGTACAGGGCGTCGAGCTCCTCGGGCGTCATGTTTGGATTGGCGCGCAGGTAGGGTTGGATGTATATCTCGCCAATGTACGACGATGTGTAGAAAAGCAGAGGGAAGAAGCCGACCCAGGCGCAGAACTGCACCTGACAGACCCGCCTGGTCTGGGGTGGAAGACGCTTGATGGAGCGCAAGATGCCCCAGAAGAAAGGAATGATGCCGGGAGTCTTTCTCGCCCGGAGGCCATCTGTCCGAGGATCCCTCTCGTGGACGATAGAGGTGCTCAAAGCCACGGTCAGGGCCAAGGCAACGGACGCAATGGCGCAGAGAATCTTGAACTGGGTATTGCCCAGAAACCAGAGGTGGGCGGGAAGGTTGGCGTATCCAGCCATGTACCCGATGATATTCCCAACCCCCGTGAAGCGACTGGCCATGGAGTTGGCGAGCTCCTGTTGGTGGGCGGGCGCACAGTCAACCATGAAGGCGCGGATGGCGGCCTGCACCGTGTTGATGGCAATGTCGAGAATATAGATTCCGAGCACAGCAGCAACGACGACGGCCACGCGCACTCCTTCAGAGGCCGGATCGGCGCCAAAGACGGCGAGGATGCCGGCGACAATATCCTTGACCCAGGCCAGAAACAGCAGCGCAGCGACGGTGGCGACTGTGCCGCCGACCATAAAGGGCCTCCGCTTGCCCCATGGAAGGCGGGAGTTGTCGCTCAAGATGCCGACGTAGGGAACGACCAAGGTTCCGGTCAGGGGGCCGGCGATCCAGACCAGGGCCATGAGCGACTTGCTGAGCCCCAACGATAGCAGGTACGGCGACCCGTTGGACAGCTCGACGGACCACGCTATCTGGAGGCCGCCGATGCTGAGGGTCAGCATGGCCATGTACCACAGGCTCTTGGTCGTCTGCGTTTCGTCGACGGGCCTGGGTGCGGCGTGTTCGTCACCGTCGTTGCTGAGGAGAGGCGAGTTCTCGCTCATGCGGTCGGGAACCTGCTCCGTGGAGAGCGGCCGGGGTTCCGGCGCCGGGTCATCTTCGTGCGATGGATCATGGGTTCGCGGCGAGGCAGCCATGCTGGGCGCGAGGCGAGGCGAGGCGCGCTTGCAGGTCGAGACAAGGATGGAGGAGCAGAAGCGAGGTTTCTCGGAGGCGTTCAAAAGGTTGGCCACGACATGTCACGGACGGCTAAGAGGCGGCAAGAGTCTTGCAGAGTCCGTCGCGGGATCAGCTGCTGTCGAGAGGCAGGCGGCTTGCTCATCGTTGGACAAGGCGACGAGGCTGGCCGGTGACCAGGGTCTTCGGGCGTCTAGAGTGTCGTGATGCCGTCACAGGGCCAGGGCACGCATGTCACTGCCAGGCCGCCAATGGGAGCGGTGCGCGGCAGAACCCGTGCACCCGGTACGTACCGGTATGAGACGGATTATCTCCGGTTTGGAGAGTACGTACTATATGGAGTAGGTAATATCATGTAATACTGTACGGAGTATCCCGGGAATCCTCGAAAGCGGGGCTCGCGAACGGACAGACGCTGAGCCGAGCTGAAACTACGGTACAGCAATCGTGCTTGCCTGCGCCACGCCATTGACGCTGACTTGTCGTGGCACCTCTTTGACCTGTGCCCGGGGACCATTGCTACGTCATCTTGGGCGCCGTCCATGAAGACCGGGGGGGGGCCGCAGTCCAGCATTGTCCAGGCGCCGTTCCGACACTGTGCCAAGTCCCGGGTCCGATGCAAAGCCCGAGTCCCCTCCCGCACCGACACCGATGTGCAGCGCTGTACTGAAAAGGAAGCGGCTGGGCTTGGGCTCATGACGCTGGCCCCAAACAAAACGTGAGGCGCTGTTTTGTGGTCCCGGCCAACGGTCGACGTCACTGGCAGTTGGTCTGGCCCGTGGGTCATGCGCCATTCCAGCGGCTGCTTCATCAGCTTCTCACCGCCGTCGAGCAGAGTTGCGGAAGCGGCCGCTGAATGGGGAAAAGATCAAATTCTATCCCCGGATCGAAGCCTATCGATTGTGTTTGCCTGGGCGATTCGCCTCGTCGACGGCTCGTGCTGGGACTAGTCTGTCTCTTCTAATGTCGTATGTTTCATCTCCCAAGGCAGATCCGGGTCCATCGGCCGGCTTTGGCTCCAAGGCGAGGCACAGCGTGGCCCCTCGAAAGCCATGTCGCCGTGTGTGGGCAAGAGAAGTTGTTTGTGGGGGCCAGCTTGCCCGACACAACAAGGTGCGTCCATGCGGCAATTGCCTGCCGGCGGGGACCGTTGCAGAAAGAAGCAGGATGCCTGCTGCTCGCCAGGCATCCGTGCACAAGTTGGGCTGCTTACCTAAAGCAGCAGCGTCATACTCGGGACCTCGGCAAAAGATTGCGACATTTGCTGATCAAATGGGTACTGTAACTTCAGTAGATACCTGCATGTGCACATGCTTTACGTTGCATGTACGGATATACAATAACTATACACGATAAGCTACACTACGAGGCTGGTACGGCTCATTGGACTCATGCAACTGTCGTGGATGCCTGCTGGTTAGCAAAGCCTTGGTCTTAATTACTCCGTAGTTTCTACAGAGTGGCCTGGGCATACGTCAAGTGTCTCTCTCGGCAGCAAGCAAGTCCACTCGGTCCGGTACGTGCACGAGATACCTCGGACTTGGAGCCGGCTGCGGCCGGTGGCCCCGGCTTGGCTGAGCAGACACGGCGGGAGTAAATGCCTGTGTGTTTTTTGTTTTCGTTTCTGGGCCCGGCATGACTTGATTGTGCGGGATCCCCGGACCTTGGCTGGGGGAAGAGGGGGCCGCCGCGGTGGTGTAGCAACCCGCCCGTCAGCCAGGCTAAAAACAAATCAGGGGGGCTTTCAAAGTACATACAGTATGTACGGAGTACCTTTAAGTTAGGCAGTGGCCGGACAAGGTCACGTAGTATTTTCTTCTTTCGGGACATGGCGAGTGCAACCGTTCCTTGGCGACATTTGCTTTGGGAATGCTCGAGCTTGTTTTCGCTGTCAGCCGGACAATCAGTTAGACCTGGACAAACAAGGTACGGCACGCAGTACGGTACAAGTCGTTTGCTTGTTGCTCCTCGAGGCTGCTAATTTCCAGTTTCCACGTTGGTTGCAGAAGCCAGGGGGGCAAAATATGGGGAGTCTCGGCGAGCCCAGAGGGGGGGAGGGAGCCCCGCAGCCCTTCTGGAAGGGGGCTACTGCAGGCACTGCAGGCATTGCGGGCACCGCAGGCGCCTGTACTGTAGCTACCCCGAGCCGAGTGCTGCGGTGTAGGTACAGTAGGTGGTGGGTAATTACTGTACTGTACCGCTGTACTGTACTGTACTGTACTGTACTTGCGATGCTGCGGCGCTGGCCCTCCTCCTCCACTGCAAACGGCGCTCCCCAGGCCTCGACTCATGCATCTCCGCATAACTCCACACTCCTTGCGGCCTCCACTCGCAAATGGGCCGAATCGTCGTCGCCACTATAACACGCGGGCAGTTTCATCCACCTGCTCCTTTATTAAATCTCCAGATCTGCCCTCTCTTTTCTTTCTCCCGCGCGACCTAGTCATTGCCATTGACGATCGAGTCTCTGTTTGTTTTGTTGCTGTCAAGACGTTGTCAAGACATTTGACTCTCCACCTCATTGTCTCGTCTCAACACTGTCCGCTCTCGTCGCCCCTTGGCCTTTGCCCCCTTTCATAACCCTCTCTCGGTCCAAGGGTCTCGGGAGAGCTGCTCGCGTTACATATACAAGCCATTGTGCGCTTGCAAACCAAATTCTACATCCGCTCTCCGCCATCTCCCGCAGACAATGGCCATCAGAGCCCGCATCCGCCGCGCCCTGCGCAAGTCGGACTCGTCCGACACCATCTCGCAGACGGGCAGCAACACGACAACGGCCACGGCCGCAACCAGCGAGACGTCGTCGCTGCACAAGCTGCCCACGTCGGCGTCGGCCCTGTCGCGCATCTTCGCCCTCGGGTCGCGCGACAAGGACAGAGACGGCGGCAGCAGCGGCAGCAGCGGCAGCAACGCCAAGGAACGCAAGAGGGCCAAGGGCGGCGGCAAGAAGACGATGCACCCCAGCCAGCGCCCGCTGACGCTGCAGAATCTCAAGCACCAGGAGATGCTGAGCCATTTCACCATGACGTTTGGCGCCTCGGATCCGGACCAAGTCGAGAGCCCGGGCTTTCGCGGCGTGAGCCCCTGCTGCACCCGGGCCGGCAGCGTCGATCTCGACGGCGACTATTTCGGCGCGCGCTCGGCCGCCGACACGGTGAGGGCGGCGCCGCGACGGTGAGCGTGGTCCTTTACAGCATTGGAAATGCCAACGCTCGCACAAAAAAAAAGAAGAAGCAACAACAACAGGAACCACGCACCGATTTCCATTGGAAACGGCCGCGCCGACGCTTGGCCGGCGCAAGTCGTTGGATGGCCCTCGCCCTCAACCACTGGCCCACCCAACCCAACCAAACCCCCCCCCCCCCTTTCTCTCGGCATCCAACAGTGGCCCCTCGGCCGCTAGTTTGACGCGCGCACCTTGAAGCGGCCTGGTGCGATGCATGCACCTGATTGGGCGCCGTCTCTCCGAAAGAGGCGGCAGTGGGCGGCCAACCAAGACAGCGCCACGCTGCTGCGCAACCCTCGCGGCGGCTCCCACTCGCGCCGCCGCGCCTCCGGGCAGGCCGAGTCAGTCGCTGACCTACTACCACTTACATACGTATTGTACGTAGTATTGTATGATATTCACGGGACACGAACATATTGGACAAGACCTTGCACATAGAAAGAACCTGGTTACATAGAGCGAGCACACCACTGCAACCTTACATAGGGTGAATCTGGAAGAGAGCAATCGCTGCCACGCCCAACGTCGCTTTCCTGTGCATGCTTGCTGTTTCTCCTGTTTCTCCTATTTCTCCTGTTTCTCACTCGTCCATTCTCACTCGTCCATTCTCACTCATTCATGTCGCCCTTGGCTTCTTCTGTCTTCCTCGGCCGAGCCCATGGCATGTCGCGTCTGGCAGCTCTCACGTCTCACGTCTCACCCCTCGACCTCGGCAGTTGTGCCCGGCGGTGCCGTTCTGCAGAGACTGCAACAACACCAAGGTCAACAGGCAAGCTGCTGGGTCGACGAGCCTCCTTTCCACTTCGACGAGACTGACAGAGGCACAGACTGGACATGCTCACACGTCCTCTGCCGAGATGCACACGCACACACTTCCTCTGCCGAGATGCACCATGGCAAGGCTGTGCGTGCATCTGCCTCACGAGTGCCTCGGAGGTGAGCCAAGCTGTCATGTCAGGCCAGGCGGTGGGTTGAACGGGCAGCAATGGACACCGCGATACTCCAGCGCCTGGCAGTTACCCGTCGCAACATGACCAGCGCCTGCCTCAGGCTACTGGCACACGCCGCTCAAGGAACACCCCCAAGGAACACCCCCAAGGCACACGCACAGAGTCCCTCCCGGCTGAGGTGCCCAGTCAACAAGAACATCTCCGAGTCCCCCCCCCAAACCTCGCCTCTCGCCGCCATCGCACCCGCGCTACTTGCCTCCCCGCCCACGCGCTCGCATCCATTCAGTCCCATCCACGGCGGGTTTTTCTTCTACCGCACCCGGCGCGAGAGGCTTGCCCTACCAACGCGAGGAGGCCTTGCTTCTGCCCTCTCATCACCCTCTGTGCACCAAAGCATACTCGGCGGCCGCCTTGGCCTCGAGCCCACGTCCACGCCTCGTCTCTGCAGCGCCTGGCCATTGCACCTCTCACCGGCGCCATGTCGTCTTCCAAGTCGTGGTACTCGCTCAAGTCAAAGGCCATCCCATCCCGTTACGGCCTCTCCAAGAACATCCAGACCCTGCTGCAGAGCCTCGAAGACTACCAGAACGGGTCGCTCGATGCCACCGAGCTGGGGCGGCTGGTGCGCCTGAGCCCCCAGCGCCGCTCCGCCATCGCCAATACAATCACAAAGTGCGCAAACATCATCAAGAAGCAGCCCTCCGAGATCAAGACGTGCGTCGACATCATCGAAATGTGCACCGAGATTCTCGAGATTGCCGGTGCGTCTGTGCCTTTGCCGCCGCCGCCGGTCTCGCCCGGTGAGGCACGCCTTCCGCTGACAGAGGCTCAAGATAAACGCCCGCCCATCCAAGCCTTCCCCTTTATGAAATTGCCCGTCGAGATTCGCGACAAGATCCTTGACCTCATGATCAAAGCCGTCTTCCGCATAGACTTGCTCGTCCCCGCCACAAACGCCAGCGCCTGCAGGTGCCCGTCGATTGACCGCGGCTCCGCCTACCAGACGGCCCAGATGAAGGCGCTGCCTACTCTGCTCGGCACCTCTCTCAACCACGAGTTTTGCCGCAGCTTTTTCCGCAAAAAGACGTTTCGCTTCAGATGTGCCTGCGAGCTTCTCGTTCACCTGTCGAGGGGCGGCACCTTTAAAGACAACGTCCGCCACGTCAACGTTCACTGGTGTGGCCTCGACTCGGCGACCGCATTCAAGATGCTGGCACAGTGCCCATACCTCGAGAGTCTGACCGTTAGCATCTCCAAGTCGACATATACCCATATGAACGGGCAGGGCGAGCTCATGCGAAGCTTCTTCCATCTTTCCTTTCGAAATACTCGTCTCATGGACGTCCTTGGCTTCGAGGAGCTTTTGGCCATCCGTGGCCTCAAGAGTGTCCGCGCTTCGCATGCCCAACCCAAGAGCAACACCTCTTTTGCCGCCGAGCTGGAGCGCGCCGGCCTTTCCAGCCTGCTCTCGAGCAAGCTGACGCTGCCCCCCGCGGTACGTTTCCTCAATACCGGCAACCTTGGCTCAGAAGCTGAAATTTGTTTGCAGGAACACGACGACTCTGATTAAATTCGCTTTGACGAGGGCGAGGAACTGCGGGACAGGGCAATGGCTTTCAAGGGACAGCGTCTTGGGGGTGTGACGGTGTTTGGTGCAACAAGTGAGAATAATCTTGATGGCGACGACGTTTCGTCGCGCACATCACAATCGTGCTTTAGGCGTGCTGGAAACGAGCCATGATGCTGCTCGAGCTGGTCGACATGTGAAGCAGTCACAAGCATGGTCGAGGAGAATGTAACAACAGATAAATTACGAAGGCCTCCATCTGGTGGCATCACTGAAGGTTTCGCACTCAAAAAAAAGTTGTTTGGGATGTTGCTCTTGTCTTGTGCCCACGCCGTAGCAACGAGCATCCGGCTCAAGATCAGCCTGGGTGAAGGCGGCTGACCGAGCATTGGCATAAGACGACGGGTGCAATACGCGACTTCACGGTTGGAGGCCTCGTCCGACAAGGCGCCCCTTCACGACGTAGCCTTGCACTTGGAAAGCTCAGTGAGGGAATGGCCGACAGGCGGTCAAGTAGACGGCTCCTTGGCTCGAGCTTTGGCACAGGGAGCGCACGCATCGAGTCCTTTGGCAATGATCGGAGGGGAGCGTCAAATGCTTTCCTTGAGGTCAAGCTGGCCTCTAGATGTAGGCAGAGCGTTCCCAGGAGCCAAAGCATGCGCTGGACATGGCGTGTTCCAACCTACTTCAGGCCGCAGCCATGTTATGGTCGACGTGAAACGTGGAGGAAAAGGTTGTGTGAACTTTGAAGTCTTGGACAGGACGTTGGTTAGGGTCATCGGATAAATTTTTGGGCGTCCCGACTCAGATAAGTCGCGCAAATAGTTTGCGGACTCGGTCACGGCTCGCAGCACGTGACTGGCCGCACAGCCTGTAGCGGGCGCAACGCTTTGCCCTAGTCGCGCCCCCACAGGGACGAAAAATCCACCACGTTTAGCGAGCCGTCTGCAATTTCTCCGTCCTCCCCTCTTCAACCCCCGAAAGCCATCGACCATCCAGCGAGCACTCGGCAACGACCGTTACAGTTGCCCAGCATGTCGCTCGTTTCGGGAGAGAAGACGAACTTCCAGTTCGTAAGTCTTGCCCTCCTCTCCCCCGCCTCGACGGCGCCCTCGAATCGGGCATGCAACGCCAGCGCCCACCGACGGCGAGCTCGGGCGTCGCCTGTCTGCCATCGATTTCGGCGCTGGGGGCTAACGCGCGAGGACAGATCTTGCGTCTTCTGAACACCAATGTCGACGGCAAGCAAAAAGTCATGTACGCCTTGACCAAGATCAAGGGTGTCGGTCGCCGATACTCCAACTTGGTCTGCAAGAAGGCCGATGTCGACCTGAACAAGCGGTATGAAGCACCCTCCAAAAATACGAGATGCGTATCTGCAACGGGGAGCAGAGGGAGCTAAATTGAATTGCGTTCCCAGTGCCGGTGAGCTCACCACCGAAGAGCTCGAGCGAATTGTCACCATCATCCAGAATCCGACCCAGTACAAGATCCCTTCCTGGTTCCTCAACCGACAGCGCGACATTGTCGACGGCAAGGACTCGCAGGTCCTGGCCAACGGCGTCGACTCCAAGCTGCGCGAGGACTTGGAGCGCCTCAAGAAGATCCGCGCCCACCGTGGTCTCCGCCACTACTGGGGCCTCCGCGTCCGCGGCCAGCACACCAAGACGACTGGCCGCCGCGGCCGGACTGTCGGTGTGTCCAAGAAGAAGGGTGGTTAAACAGCGTGATGATTACGGTGCTGGGTGGACAGGCGTGACGGCTGGGTTCTCCATCTTTCTGAGCATTTTGCCAGGATTCCTTTGTCCTGCACACGCGGCCGGGGCTGCTCTCTAGTCCAGAGTCATGAATTTAAAAATGGGACATTGAAATACTATGCTTGGAAATGACAGGAAGCCGAACGCCTTGTCCTGTCGTCTCGCTCATCCGGGCCAGTAGGGTTGTTTCAGCTGCGACGAGGCGCATACCAATGGCCTTTCGACGCCGAGGGGTGAGAGGAAGCTTCGCCAAGCGAGGGGTATCGTGCGCTCTCAGTTAATCTTGATGCGTGATTGCCATGTCCAGCACCTCTACTCGGCCTTGGCCTTTGGTCTCGTTGGCAATGATATCAGACAAGACTTTGAAGGCGCCGGGCTCGACGAAGCCCACCACCTCCCACTCGGATCCCAACACGTCCTGGCTCTCCACCTGCTCGACGTATGATAGAATCTTGTCCTTGACCGTCCCCGGCGTCTTGTGCTCGGCCTCGTCGTCTTTGGACGACGGCGGCCCCTTGGCTGCGGCAGAAGACTTGACGGCCTGCTTGAGGACGTTTGTGGCGCACGAGACGCGCAGGCGCATCCTGGCCCTGGCGACGGGGATGGGCTGGAACGCGATGAGGGCCTTCATGGCGTCGAGAGCCTGGCTCTTTGCGCTCTTTGTGGTGACGACGCCGGTCCAGCTGTGCTCGCGCGTCCGCGGCTTGGCCTCGCCGTCGTCACCCGTGGCCGGGGTGCCCGCCGCGCTGGTCGTGTTGCTCCGGTCGCCGCCGTGGGCCTGGGAGCTGAGCATGTCGAGGGCCTTCTCGATCATGCCCGACGTGTAGACCCTCTTTGTGCGCGGGTCGACGAGCTTGCTGGCCACGATGCCCACCACCTCGTTGTGGACGCGCTCCAGCTGCGCGGCGCGCTCCTTGTCGCCGACCTGCAGCTCGCCCTTTTTCAGTATCTCGAGGATGATGTCGTTGGCCGGCTTGCCCTTGCCAAACGCCTTTTCCAGGTCCTCCTTGGGCGCCGTCTGGCCCTTGGAGACGTTGAGGAAGACGTTTGGGATCTGCAGCACGTTGTCGAGGTCCGTCTCGATGCCGGAGCGCCACTCGAGCACCTTGTTCTTGTAGCACGCAATCTCGAACCGCTTCTTGCCCTTTTTCAGCCGGACGAGCGACACGTTGGTGAGCTTGATCTGGTTCGAGGGCTGGTTGATTTGACGGGACATGGTGGCGGCGGGCGGGAGGAGGACGAGGCAGAAGAAGACGAAGACGAAGAATGTCGAGCAAGGCCTAGTCGTCGCATGCGTGCACAGAGTCTGGCCTCGCCTTGTCCGTGGTTGTTTTTCGAGGTTGAAGAGTGTCAGCTGCTGTCAGGTCAGTCATAGATGGACCCCGCCATCGACATGCGACAGTGAAATATTTCGCCCGCCCCGCCTTCCTCCCGCCTCGAGGGATTGAGTCACCAACCACCAATAATATCAGCTCCCTTTTCACCCCCAACTCCCACCCTCCTCGTGCCCCTTTTGTTGTTCTCGCCAGAGGCCGGGATCGAATCCGACGTCTCTGGATCTCGATCGAGTCTGCCATCCTGTTCCCTTGCCATGGCTTCTGCGTCCGGAATCCAGGCCGCCGAGCACGACGCCACGTCGGCGCCGGCAACGTCGTCCAAGCAGGACGTTAACCCGTGGTCTGTTTCGGGAGAGGTGGGTGAGGACGGCAAGGTCAAGGCAATTGACTACCGCAAGCTGGTCGAGGACTTTGGCACCGCCCTGATTGACGATGCGCTGTTGCAACGGTTCGAGAAGGTGACGGGCCACAAGCCGCACCGCTTCATGCGCCGGCAGATTGTCTTTAGCCACCGGGATCTCTCCCTCATCCTGGACCGTTACGAGAAGGTTGGTGGAAGAAACTGCAATCCCCGGATAAGGAGATGAGCGACTGACTTTGGTCCCGCAGAATGAGCCCTTCTTCCTCTACACGGGACGGGGTCCCAGCAGCGACAGCATGCACATAGGCCACACGCAGGTCTTTGACTTTGTCAAGTGAGAGGCCCCGGCTGAACTTTTGCGGTGAGCCTCGACTGACCCGTTCGTCTAGGTGGCTGCAGGACGTCCTGGACGCGCCCCTGATCATCATGTTGACAGACGGTCGGTACCCAAAAGGCTGAACTCGTGTGAGGCCCAGCGCCTTTTTGCTGACGAGTTGCGCAGACGAAAAGTACCTCTTCTCGGAAAAGAGAACCGTGGACGAGGTCATGGGATACTGCCGGACCAACGCCATGGACATCATCGCCGTCGGCTTCGATCCCAAGAAGACTTTCATCTTCTCCGACTTTCAGTATGTTGGAGGCGCCTTTTACAAGAACATTGTTCGCTTCGCCAAGAGGGTCACGTACAACACGGTCAAGGCCATCTTTGGTTTCGACGGCAGCTCCAACATTGGTAAGATTCACTTTGCCAGCATCCAAGGTGCCACGTCGTTTGCGTCGTCGTTCCCCCACATCTTTGGTGAGGACGAGTCCAAGACGGCGTCGATTCCCTGTTTGATTCCTTGCGCCATTGATCAGGACCCTTACTTCCGTCTGACGCGTGACTGCGCCGCCGGCCTGCACCTGGCCAAGCCGTCCTTGATCCACATGCGGTTCCTGGATGCGCTTCAGGGCCCGGGGTCCAAGATGTCGGCCAGTGACGACACGTCTGCCATCTTCCTAAACGACTCTGCCAAGCAGATCAAGACCAAGATCAACAAGTAAGTTTGTGGGAGACAGACGGGCCAGGGGAGGCCGTGCCGGGCTTACGCAGATGCAGGTACGCCTTCTCCGGCGGCCGAGAAACACTGGAGGAGCACCGGCAAAAGGGCGGCGACGCCGATGTGGACGTTTCCTATCAATACCTACAATTCTTCCTGGAAAGCGACGAGGTAGGCCAACACACCGACACTAGCGGGCCACTGTGCTAACGCCGCAGCAGGAGCTGGCCAAAATCAAGGCTGATTACAACAGCGGGAAGCTGCTGACGGGCGAGGTATGTCAAACTCTCCGTTGCGCCAAGCCAAACGGATCAGGCTTGGATTGACGTGTCAACAGCTCAAAGCAATGTGCATCGACCACCTGCAGAAATACGTCGGCGGCTTCCAGGAGAGACGGTCCAGGGTGACGGACGCGGTCGTGGACGAGTTCATGTCTACCCGCCCGCTCGAGTGGAAAGGAAACCCCAAGGTTCCGAGGGCGGATCTTGTGGTGCCGGATATCAAGCCAGGGGAAGACGGAGCCGCGGCTGGCGAGGCGGGAAGCGGGAAGCTGTCCAAGAACCAGCTGAAGAAGATGCTCAAGGAGCAGCAGATTGCACAGAGGAAGGCGGCCATGGCCAAGGACAAGACGGTTGATTCGGAGGCGGCGGCCAGCGGCGGCCCATGACCAATTGACGAGGGTGTTGGTGCGTGGACTGATAGAACCGGTTAGTAGGTGTTGGGTGTGCCGTGTCTACATGCTCTAACGGTTCCAGGCTTGTAGGCAACAAAGGGCGCTTGTGCCGAGGCCAACGTGTCCATGGCGTTTACACTGGCGTTTGATTGTTGTTGTTGCCATCTTCTTGGCCTTTGGAGGAGGTCGTGACTTTTGATACTTGTCGAGGGCCAACGCGTGCTTAGAAGGGGGTAAGTTACATGCCAGGCAAGTCGCCCGGGCAAAACATGCAACCAGAGCCTAATAATAGGTGGCACAGTGTCCCGTCTTGAACAGGGTAGGTACTTTAGGTAGGGCAAGTTGCAGCCAGGTACTCCGCACAAGGCCTGTTTGGTGTACACATGTACAGTGCTGGCTGACGGAGAGGCAAAGGTGACCTGGGCTGCCCTTCCGGGTACCTAAGTAGGTACCTACCTAGATGCCAGCTTGCGATGACGCAAGCCGTCCGGCACTTACGTAAAGTACTTCGTATCGGAGCACTGGGAGCTGGGGCAGAGCTCTCTCGCACTCCCTGTGCCGCAGCTCGGGGTGTACGACCTGCGCCATGCCACCTGAGCCGAGAAGCTTAACTAGCTTCAGCCACAATCCAGTACAGATCTATTAACCGACCAATGGCCCATGGTGGTGACGAGGTCACTCGGCGTTACCTCCGACTAGCTCGGTTTCGGTAGCACTGCAGCTCGTCAGCGCGCTCCCTGTTATTGCTCCCTCTCCCTCTTCCTCTGTCCACTTACTACCTCCCCCACACCCTCCCCCTCCTAAGCGCGCGCTCCCTCTCTCATCCTCTCCATTTCCCATCACCATCGACCTTTTGCTTCAGCTCTCCATCACAAACTCCAGACTACAAGAATCCAGCCACCATGCGGTTGTCGACCTCGGCCCTCGTATTGGGCGCGGCATCCTCGGCCGTCGGCCTTCAGGACCAAAAGGTGCTAAGTGACGACTCGTCGAAGCCCCTCATCGACTCCAACGGCATCCACCTCGACAGCTTTGAGGCATGGACCAAGCCCCTCACCGACGCCTTTGGCGAGATGAACTCGGAGGCCAAGGCTACCTGGCACGAGCTTTCTATGATGGTGCCCGGCGCTGTCGAAGCCTTCAAGAAGCAACTCACCAACTTCCAGCCCAAGAAGCACTCACGCATCCCCGACAATAAGTGGGACCACGTCGTTCGCGGAGCCGACGTGCAGCGGCTGTGGGTCGAGGGCGAAGACGGCCAGTCTCACCGCAAGGTCGGCGGCAAGCTCGACAACTTTGGCCTGCGCGTCAAGAAGGTGGATCCCTCGAAGCTCGGCGTGGACAAGGTGAAGCAGTACAGCGGCTACCTCGACGACGACGAAAAAGACAAGCATCTCTTTTACTGTAAGCTCCCCTTCCCTCGCATCTTGACGGTGCTGGTCGACTGCGGCTGCTCTCCCGACTCGACGCTGACCTTGACAAGGGTTCTTCGAGTCTCGCAACGACCCCAAGAACGACCCCGTGGTCCTCTGGCTCAATGGCGGCCCCGGCTGCTCGTCGCTGACGGGCCTCTTCCTGGAGCTTGGCCCGGCCTCTATTGACGAGAAGCTCAAGATTGTCGACAACCCCCATGCATGGAACGCCAATGCGTCCGTCATCTTCCTTGACCAGCCGGTCAATGTTGGCTACTCTTACGGTGGCGGATCCGTCAGCGACACTGTCGCGGCTGGCAAGGACGTCTATGCCTTGCTCACCCTCTTCTTCCACCAGTTCCCTGAGTATGCCAAGCAGGACTTCCACATTGCCGGCGAGTCGTACGGCGGGCATTACCTCCCCGTCTTCGCTTCGGAGATCTTGTCGCACAAGCACCGCAACGTCAACCTCAAGAGCATCATGATTGGCAACGGCCTGACGGACGGCTACACTCAGTACGAGTACTACCGCCCCATGGCTTGCGGTGACGGTGGCTATCCCGCCGTCCTTGGCGAGGACACTTGCAAGTCCATGGACAACTCTCTCAGCCGGTGCCAGTCTCTGATTAAGCAGTGCTACGACACGGAGAGCACTTTCTTATGCGTGCCTGCCAGCATCTACTGCAACAACGCCATGATTGGGCCTTACCAGCGGTCTGGCCAGAACGTGTACGACATCCGCGGCAAATGCGAGGATACGTCCAACCTGTGCTATAGTGCCCTGGGCTGGATCTCAAGCTGGCTGAACAAGCCCGAGGTCAGGGAGGCACTCGGCGCCGAGGTGGAGAGCTACGACAGCTGCAACTTTGACATTAACCGCAACTTCCTGTTCGCGGGCGACTGGATGAAGCCGTACTTCCGACTGGTGCCCGAGATCCTCAAGAAGATTCCTGTTCTTCTCTACGCGGGCGACGCCGACTTTATCTGCAACTGGCTCGGCAACAAGGCTTGGGCCGAGGCGCTCGAGTGGCCCGGTCACAAGGATTTTGCGGGGGCGAAGACGAACAAGCTCAAGATGGAGCTGGACGACAAGACCAAGGAGTACGGCGAGTACAAGACGGCCAGAAACTTTACCTTTATGCGCATCTTCCAGGCCGGGCACATGACGCCCATGAACCAGCCCGAGGCGTCGCTCGACTTTTTCAACCGCTGGCTCGGCGGCGAGTGGGTTTCTTGAGTCGGATGATTGCGTGTCACAGATGTACAAGTTGAGTGTATGCATTGGTTAGTCGCATAGATGGCTGAAGAGTGTAGAATAGGTTGAGGCTATGAGACTTTTTATCAGCTTTGCTTGATAGCTTACAGTGCCGAAGACGTGCGGTGTAGGATGCTTGACTGCGTGCCATGGTGAGCCGCCCGCTGATCGGTCGATGAAACACACCTACCTAGGTACTGTACTGTACCTAGCTCGGCGAGGGTCTGTACCGTACGCGGACGAATACAGGCCTCTCGAGGCGTCTTTGGCTTGTCGCCCCAGCTGTGAGGCTGCGGGTCTGCATGCATGCATCATTGGGGATTTGTTGGGTCGCGTAGCCGCATTCGGCAGGCCGTGCGACCTTGAGGCGTGCTGTAGGATGCCAAGAATGGTGGATGGGTTCGTCGTCAAAAGTCCGACGTCGGCAGGTTTGCTAACCGAGAAGAAACGAGAAACGGTGCGCATCTCTTTCGGCCAGTGTGTGGTAAAATGCTTTTTTCATCATTCAACCAGGTTTTGCTCAAACACGCCAGCAGCAGGGCGGGGTTTCATCTTTATACACCGTACTAGGTATTGATACAGAGATGATTTACTCGGGGGAGCGGCACGTCCCCAACAAAAATCAGCATCAACAAAAGCTTGGGCCAAGGTACCTGTACTTGGCCCGCTCGCGTCATGCAATGGCGTGTTGAAGCCACTGCTCGGCTGGCGATAGGCTATAGCGTGCTTCGGCAGTCGTCCCGGTGGGCGGGATTCTGGTGCGAGGCCCATGTCAGGGACCGATGGAGAGAGTACGGGTACATGTCGGGGCGCATCTGCAGCACTCGGGTCTTGTTGAATTGCACCCCTCGACACGGGTGGAATGAATATGAATGCATTCTCATGTTCCAGAATCAACAAGATAAGAGAATCGACATTGTGCGCGCCCATCTGAGACGTCCATGTCTTGTGTGCCCCTCTCGACTCTGCCTACCGCTTTGGCCGGCTGGCTTGGTGGCTGCAAGATTTGGTTTTGTCTGCCAAGTGCATGAAAACGAAGCCGTTGCTCAGCGGCATGACGCCCGTGCAATCGGCCATACGAGATGTCGATATGATGAGGTACAGTACGGTAGGGCAAGGCGCAAGAGGTCAGAAATGGCAGCTCTTGATAGACACACGCCCATGCTTATCCGCTCCCGTTGTGTGTATCGAAGCGGGCCGTGGTGTGGGTAGAAAGAGTGAGCGGAAACCCAACAACCTCATGCTTGCTCGCTCGCCTGCTCGCTCGCTCGTGGACGTCGACTCGATGATGAAGCGGTCAACCTCGGCTTCGATAGATTACCGTACCTAACAGGGTACGGAGTGCAGTGTACAGTACATGCAATGCATCATGGGGAAACTTGCCTGCTCTGAACGGCGTTTCCAACGTTTCCAACGTTGTTTTTTTACGTGGCATTAGACAAGCTGCAGGGCAAGGAAGCTATTATCCCGCTCCGCCTCTCTTGCCTCTCTTGCCTCCCTCACCTCTCTTGCCCTTGCCCTTTGCCGGAATTTCCGCGTCCGTCGGGACGCCTTCTCTCCTCCTCCTTTTCTTCAACCCTTCTTCTACCCCCTCTCATCCTCTGCTTGCTTGCTTGCTTAACGGCTTCTTCAACCCTGCCTTGGAACCTGGATCCATTCACTCACACCCCAACAACTGGGGCCCGCTGCGTTGAAGTCAAGTCTGCGCCACTCGTTGCGGCCCACAACGCAGGCGGTTGGAGCTTGCTCTACCCACCTCTTGCTCTCTCCCTTTGACAGAAAGCTTCACGCTTGAGCCATCCCTTCTCTCCCCCGTCTTGGTCTAAGCTTCATCACCGCCTCGAACCGCCGCAACATCGCAATGGCCGCCTCAAGTGGTGCTCACATCGTGGCAGCCTGGCCCGAAGCCGGCCTCTTCACCTTTCCTCCTCCCAGCCAACCGCTTCCACTGGCCCCGGCCCCGGCGCCCGCCTCCATCATGCGCCCCTTCAACATCCCCGACGACGTCTTCACCGCCGCCCTCGACCCCAAGGTCCCCCTGACAATCGCCGCCCTCTACGCCGTTACCGTCAAGGCCCTCAACGTGTACAACCGCTCGCGCGCCAAGCGGCCCTGGGCCGTCAGCAAAACGCGCCCCTTCTTCGTCTTTGTCGTCTTGCACAACCTCTTCCTCGCCCTCTACTCGGCTTGGACCTTTTGGGGCATGCTCGGTGGCATGCGCCGGAGCATCGTCCATCCCATGGCCCACGGCGGCCTGGCTGCCACGGCCGACAGCTTCTGCCGTCTTCACGGCCCCGCCGGCCTTGGAGCCTCCGTCTACTACAACGAGACGTCTGGCCTGTGGAATAGCGCAGACCCGGCCGCCGTGGCCTCGGCAATGGATGCTGGCCGTCCCAGCAGCGCTCAGCCCGGCCGCATCTGGAACGAGGGTTTGGCCTACTACGGCTGGATCTTCTACCTCAGCAAGTTCTACGAGGTGCTCGACACCTTCATCATCCTCGCAAAGGGCAAATACAGCTCCACCCTGCAGACGTACCATCACGCCGGCGCCATGATGTGCATGTGGGCAGGCATGCGCTACATGTCGGCCCCCATCTGGATGTTTGTCCTTGTCAACTCCTTTATTCACTCTCTCATGGTGAGCCACTCTCCCTCGTCCACGCCCCTAGCCGTACCGCGACGACCTGACTCTTTTCTCTTTCTAGTATGCGTACTATACCTTGACTGCCTTCTCCATCAAGGTCCCAATGGCCGCCAAGCGCACCTTGACCACCCTGCAAATCACCCAATTCCTAGTGGGCGCGTCGTACGCCATCGTTCACTCCTTCGTCACCTACGTGGCCCCCGTCACCGTCACCAGACCTGCTGTCGACCAGCTCGACGTGGTGGCCGCCCCCGAGAACCCCGTCGCACCCGTCCCCAGCGGTGCCTTGGACGCGCTCAAGAGGCTCTTCCTCGGTTCCACCATCGAGATGCCCGCCGTCGCCGTCGCTTCTGTCCAGGAACCGACGATGATCACCGAAACAGTTCACGTCACCCAACCCTGCATTGTCACGGCTGGCGAGACTTTTGCCATCTGGCTCAACGTACTCTACCTCGCTCCTCTGACGTACCTCTTCGTCAGCTTCTTCATCGCCAGCTACGTCAAGCGCAGCAACGCCGTCCACAAGATGAAGGGCAAGACCCACGCCGGCGAGAGCAACGTGATGCTGGCCGAGAAGGCCGGGTGGGATGCGGCCCGTGGTGTCGAGAGAGAGGTCTACGGCGGCGAGAACATGGTCGGCGGGAGCGCCAGCGGCAGCAGCAGTCCCGTTACAGACGGAGAGCTGACTCCCAAGGAGGTCAACGGCAAGCCAAGGCGACGGGTCTGAGCCGGGAGACTTGCTCGAGACTGAAATCAAGAGGAACCTTGGTGGGCCAATGAAGCTTGGGTCGTCGTCATGAGAGACGTGTTATGAGGTGGAATGCGACCACAAGTGACAGTCCAAACAGTGGCGGCTATGAGAAACCCTGTTCTCCACGTGCACTCCGCTTTAGCACAGCGAGCGCACGCAGCCACTGCCCTGGAACGAGCACCTCTTTTTCCTCGGAAGAGCAGCTGTACGGTGGGTGCTGGGGTCGGAAATGCCGCCGAGAGAAGGGGGGAGGCGTCGAGCAAGACTCTGGCCTGGGCGTGGTGACGACAGCGCCTTGCCACACCGCTCCCTCGCACGCTTTGCACAAAGACCGCGTTTACGCATGTTTCGGGCGAGTGTCGGGTGAAGACATGGCAGGGAGACGATCATCGACAGCTAATACCCGTATTTTCAAGTTGGGACACGGCATATCATACATAGACTGGTCACTGTGGTGGCACAAATTCAGAGGCTCGTGGAAAGAATTCAATCTAGTAGTAGGCTGGGGAATCTAAATTGATACCGTGCATGAAATGAATCTATCTCATCGAAGGGGTATTCCCGGCTCTTCGGCTTGACAATGAGGGAAGAAAAAAAAGAGTCGATAACCAACCAAATCATCAACTCAAAGTGCCTCTATCCTCGTGAGGAGAGCAATCGCGACTCCGCCAAACTCCGTGCTCCAAAAAAAAAACCGCCGCCCGATCTCGTCGGCAGCAGGTCAAGTCCCCAAGCGGGGGTACCGCGACAAGTTCCAGGCGAAGCAGGCGTTGTTGGCCCGTTCAATTGGTCGAGCGTGGGCGAACTCCAGAATCCGGAATGCTCGCCGCTCGTGAGTGCCAGTCTTGGCCATGTGTATTAGTAGTGGTAGGGGCGTCAGATCGTCGAATTAGTCTGGGTATCATCCGTGGTGTATCATCTGTATCGCGCCGCGGGCGCCAAACGTGGCGTCGTCGGAGACCGAAAAGCAAGGCCCCAAAGCATCCTGCACAAGACTGAGCGTAGCGCATTTACCGTCGATGGTTTGTTTGTTTCTCCACTGCCTCTTCAATTATTCATGGATGCCCTCAAGAGAAAGAACTAAAAGGTGCTCCAGTTCCAGTCGCGCGGCACGCTGGCGGCCACGTCGGGTCCGCGGAGCGCTGTCGGTGTCGCGCCGGCGAGGGGCGCCGTCATCGGGATCGAGGCCGTCGTCTGCGGCGTGTCGGAAACGGTCGAGGCCGAGGAGTGGCTGTTGTGCCTGGTCTGCGACACCTTGACCTCCTGGAAGCAGTGGTTGCATGCTCGGGAGAGGGCGGCGCGCGGGTTGAAGTTGGCGTCTTGGTCGAGAGGGAGGACGAAGCTCGAGTGCCAGTCGCAAAAGATGTTGCCACACTTGCGGCAGTGGTGTCGTCGGACGAAGTAGCTGAAGCTGCGCTTGCACGTCGGGTCGTCGCAGACAGAGGATTCCGAGTCGTGCTTCCAGTGGCGTCGGGTCGGCAGAGCAGTCACGTCCGGGAAGGAATCGAGGTTCCATTTCCCTTCCAAGGCCATGGCGCTTTCGCCCGGAGCGCGGCGGCTCAGGCGATTGCCCAGGGCGCCGAGTCCGGGAAGGCTCATGATGTTGGAGTTGACGCGACGCAGGGGAGGCTCCGAGTCCGACTCGGACGTGGAGCCGCCCGTCTTGCGGCGGATGATTTTCTTGGAGGGAAACTCGTCGCAGGGGCGCAAGACGGCGGGTATGTACATGGGACGGCCCTGGTGGGTGTAGTGGCCCGTGGGAGACGGGGGGGTCGAGTTCGCTTGGTTGCTGCTGGCGTCAGAGATGCTGAGGGGGGAGATTTGAGGGCCCGAGGGGACGCGAAATGACTGCGATCGGCTGTGGAGGGGGCGGCTCGGCGGAGGGAAGTGCCAGGTCTGGTGTAGGTCGCCGGCGCGCGGCGTGGGCATGGCAAGGTCGGCGGCCATGGCGAGGGACGGCGCTCACGAGGAGAGGAGCCAGGCAGCTGGAGAAAGGATGTCGTCGGTCGACGAAACGAAAGGAAAAAGGACCAGAGGTTTCGTTTGGTCCTGTCGCGGTTCCCCAAAAGCGTCGCAAGAGACGAGAGCCAGAAAACGGAGACTGCGAGAATAGAATAGAGGTTTGGGAGGGGGGAAAGGTGAAGGGGAGGGGAGGAAGCCGGCGGTTTCTTTTCGGATGCGCTGAGCGGCGGCTTATGAGAAAGTCCAGGCTGACTATCGTACAGCAGTAATTGGCGGAGGGGGGAACCTTGGAGGGGGGGGCGCCGCAGTGGCGATGCGAGTCAAGGCCTGGCGGGCTGGGGACCAGGGGTGCAGAACGGGGGGTGGGGGGAGGGGGCACTGTGCGGTACTGTGCGTTCTGTGAGCTCTGGGCGAAAGCAGAGTCGGGGCTGTTGCTCGAAAAACTGAGATCCGGGGGTGGTGAGGGTGTCGTGGACGTGGGAGCAGAGCTTGCGAGGGGCGGAGATGGAAATCTATGGGTTATGGACGTGAGAGAGCGGCAGAGCCTGGGAAGACGATGAGTTGCGCCGTCGGTACTCCGTACTGTACGGAGGATTCCGCGGCCGTACTGTCAGGGAGGGTCTCTCTGGGTACTGTGCGCCACTCGCCAGCGCGCCTGTGGTGTGGGAGGCGGTGCATCATACAGTGCGCAGAATCTCGTCGCGTGGCGAATCACGGGCGGGTCGCGACGAGTTGACACTTGACAGACACCATGAACGGGGCCTGAGATGGAGGCCAGAGTCCGGTTCTCAGGCCCAGACTGCATAAGCGCCAGGGCAAGCTCCCGCAAAGAAGCAACACGCCTGCCTGCGCATGCGGCGCAACGGAAGCTTTCGTCTATCAGGTACAGAGTCTATGCTTTTTATTATATGCTGCGTACCTACATGCAGCATACAGCATGATTACAGCATACAGCATAACTGCGTACAGCACGCAAGGCAGCAGCAGCAGCCTACATTGTACAGTAGGCGTGTCCTGACTGTGCTGCTGCGTCCGGCGGTGAGCGACGCCGCCGGGGCCGCACTGTGGCCCGGCTTGGCACCCGCGCGTCTGGACAGTGTTCATTTGCGGCACGCTACACGGTAGAGTATCGGCCTACCTGCCATTTGCAGATTGCACCGCCCACGATAACTAACTAATCGAACCTTCCTCTCTCCAAGAGAAACCAAACCACCGATCGGCCGAGAGCTAATGAACATTGGGCCCAGCGACGACCGGCTAACCCTGTTTGGCCGAGGCTCCACGCCGGTCCTCATTTAGGCCAAGCGCTCCGACCCCCGAGGTCGTTATCGCAGGCGCCCGATTGGTCTGCGTCTGCTCCAGAGTACGGTACACGTTTGGCTTGCCAATGTCTCTGTGTACAAGGGTACAGTATCGGTATCCGCACCCTCTACTGTACTGTACCCTCCGCAACGCAGCATTTGAGTCCCGATAAGACACGAGAAGAGAAACGGTCATCACTATGTGCGTACAGCGAGGAGAATTGGGTCAGTCATGACCCAAAGCTGTTACTCTTGTCCGCGAAGAACACCTGCGGCTCATCCGGGCCAGGGGCATTCGCTCCGTCTCTCGCGGTGGACCGGCCCATGTATGTACCTCTGCACTCCCAAATCATCGCTGCCGACGGTCCGTCTTCGGCAGCCCCACTGCCTCGGCTCTCGCCTCCCCCCGAAGCAGCGGAGGCAACAAGCCATTTCTAATTTTGCTTGCTGCCTCGTCTTACATCGGCTTTCGTTTCTTTTTCCGTTTTGTCTCAAACACCAGCTTGCATGGCCACATCTGATCCAGATGCTGTCCGAGCTTGCATGTACTGTAATTAATACGGCGGGTGGCTGCCCCCTTGAGCTCGGCAGGCCCCGGGCTGGCCTGGCGCCGGCCCGACCCCTTTTCTCATTCCATCTCCCATCTCCCACTCCTCCCGCCGTCCTTGAGCACCACCCGTAGCCCCTCGATGCGCATGCCCTTGTCCACCGCCTTGCACATATCGTAGACCGTCAGCGCCGCCGTCGAGGCCGCCGTCAGAGCCTCCATCTCCACCCCGGTCTTGCCGTCGCACGCCACCGTCGCCCGGATCTCAATCGCCGCCGTCCCCGCCGCCGGCTCCACCTCCACCGTCACGCGCGAGATGGCCACTGGGTGGCACAGCGGTATCAGCTCCGCCGTCCGCTTGGCCGCCATGATGCCCGCCACTCGCGCCACTGCCAGCACGTCGCCCTTCTTCATCTGGTTCTCCGCCACGAGCCTGACGGCCGTTTCGTCCGAGAAGGTAACCGTGCACGCCGCCGTGGCTACGCGCGACGTCACCTTCTTTTCCGCAATCGACACCATCCGTACCCATCCACACTCGGACACGTGGGAGAGGCCAATGCTCTCCTCCCGCGGCTGCTGTTGCTGCTCTCCCACCCTGTCCTGCTCGTCATGGCTTCTCCCGTCTGTGGCATTGCCCGACAGAGTCTGCGCCTTGGAAAACGGGCGATAGTGCTCCAGTGACCCGTAGAGGCGGGGACGCGTCCAATGTCGACTAAATGAGCCTTCACCGACGCCCTGCCACAGCTTGGCCGGCATAGGATTCGCCAGGGATGCGGAAACAGGATCTGCCGCAAGGCTGCTCAGCATGCCTTCTGGCTGATGTTCCAAACCAACAATAACAAACTCCGTCCCCCGCCATGGCCGACATGACAATGCAAACGCCGCTCAAGATGCTGTCATGCAATGGAAAAGAGATGCGTTCACCCACCTATCAAGATCATCGGTCGATTCTTCATGTGCTCCAGCTCCCCAATGCCCGCGTGCTTGGCCTTTTTCCCCTTCACCGCCATGCCGATGACGTCGAGGAGCTCGGCTTCGTTAGGGACCGCGCCCTGCCGCCGACCCATGCTGGTCTGCCTGATGGCCTCGAGAGCCTCCTCCTCAATCGGCTCGCCCTCATTAGATTTGCGAAGGATATCCCGAAGCGACACCTCGGCGTTCCCAAAGAGACAGACCTTGAGGTTTCCGTCACTCGTGATCCGGAGACGGTTGCACGTGCCGCAGAAGTTGTGTGTCATGCTTGTGATGAAGCCGATGCGCCCCACAAACCCGGGAACGTGCCACGTCTTACTCGTGTCGTTGGCATGATCCTGCCCTCTCTGTATGTCTGGATGCTCTGTCCTGATACGGTCCAGCATGTCGGCATAGCTCAGCATCTTGCCCCGATTCCATCTGTTGCCGTCAAAGGGCATGTATTCGATGAACCGAACCTCAATGTCCTCGCTCCGGGTCATCTCGACAAAGGGGAGGATTTGGGAGTCGTTGACACCCCGCATGACGACACAGTTGATCTTCAACTTGATGCCGGCACCCAGCCTGTTGAGCTCCAAGATACTGTCGATACTCTTGCGAACAGCGTCGAATCCCTTTCTTCGGGTCATGATCTGGAACTGCCAGGGGTCCAGGGTATCGAGGCTGAGGTTGACGCCAGTCAAGCCTGCCTCGACCATGCTGTCCAGCTTTCGATGGAGGGAGATTCCATTTGTCGTGATGCACAGCTCCTTCAGTCCCGATGGTTGCAGGGCGCCGATTTGGCGCATGAGCGGCACAATGTCGCGCCGAACTGTCGGCTCGCCCCCAGTCAAGCGAATCTTGGTGACGCCTTGGGCGACGAAGATGGATGACAGGAGCACAATCTCGGGGGTGGTGAGCAGCTCCTTGTCGGGGGACAGCGGGACGCCTTCCTCGGGCATGCAGTAGAGACAGCGAAGGTTGCAGCGCTCGGTCACGGAGATGCGCAGATAGTCGTGTTGTCTATCAAAGGTATCGGTCAAGAAGTCGGAAAAGGGCTTTGCGTGGCGAATGCGTTGGCGGCGCGAAGCCCCGGCTTCAGAGCGCGTTGTGACTGCTGCCGGATGCTCGTGGGCCACAGCCTCGGTGCCGAAACGCCTCGGACCGAGACCGAGAGGCGGCGACTGGGTGACGAGGCGCAACAGTCGTCGGCGGCCGGGCGACCAACAGCGGGATGCGGCCAACATGATGGGCCGGAAACCGACGGGGACGAGCCCGGACAATTCAGCGCTGTGGAAATGCGGCATACGCCGGAGCCATGCTGAGCTATCCGTGAGCTAGGCGTGGATGTCGTGCAGGACAAGGCGTGGTTGGGCTTTTATGTAGACTGGGCGCCATCTCGATGCTAGGGCGCGCGGAGGTGGCGTCCCCGTAGGACGGCAAAAGGTGGTCGACATCCAACGGCTCAGAGATGAGTCAGCTGTCAGTTCGTGTGCGACACCGGCCGCCGGCTGTCCAGCACTGTGTGTGCCGCCCAGCCGCCACTGCCCAATACAGTGTGTTTGGTCGCACGCACGGACTGTCGTGACAGCGACGGACATCCAATGGCAGACACCACATTGTCATTGGCGGAAGGAACGACGGGTACCGAGGTAAATTTTTTGTTCGCGTTGGAATGGAGAAGGAGCAGTTGAAGCTGTCTGCTCGGAGTACTCCATACCTGCTGTGGCCTCTGCGGTAGCGACTGGTACCCAGCCCCCCTGCATGCGAAGCGTGTCGGCTCCTGTAGTGGCACGCCCCGTATCTGGTCATAGCAGGTACCGCCGACCTACCGGTCTGTCAGCCTGGCCCATGCCTCCTAAGCCACTACATCTCAACAACTTCGCGCCTACACTCATGGACCGACTCACTCACGATTCAATCCAGCCAACGAATCCCGAGCCCGGTTTTGCTCGGTAGGCATCTGCTCTGCTGCTCCTCCCCCTCCGCGGCTCTGCTAATCGACTAGAGCTGCTTTTGCTCGCCGCCTTGGCTCTTCAGCCGCTCCTAAACAAGCACGCCTTACTCAGATTTCAGCCAAGACAAGAGGGCCTGTGGTCTCTCTAATGCACGCCTCTCGGGTTTTCACATGTATGTGGCCTCTGTCCTTTCCCGACGGCCCATGATGCTCACGGCTTCGCGTGTCAGCCTCGTCACACTGCAAGCCGAGCCCCGACGGTCGATATGTTGCTACTGTACGCTCTTCGACCTTGAGCGTTCGCTCAGTCGAGACCCTGCAGCTTGTCAATGTCGTACAGCTTGCGCAGGCCATTAGCGGGCCCATCTGCAGCCTTCTCTGGGCCCCGTCATCTTCCAAAGTACTCGTCTCCACCGCCCATCACATTCATGTTGTCTCGGCCACCGACGCTTCCCTGCATGCTTCGATTCGCAGCCCTAATTCTGTGGGCGGAAAACCTGCCGCCATCTATTTCGGCGCTCGGGACACAGAGATTCTTACCTCTTCTTCCTTTGGCTTAAAGTTTTCCGTTCTAGACCTGTCCACGTCCAAGGTGGTGGACATCAGTAACCCAAAGTTCCATCACCCGTCTACGGCCTCGAGGGGCTTCTGCCTTCGCTCAAACACTGGACATCTGGCACTCCTGACCCGTGCTGGCGGCAAAGATTTGGTTAGCATTCACCATCCGACCACCCGTCAAGTGCAGAGATCATGGAGCCCAGACATGATCGATGCCCAGGGGCTCATCTGGACTCCCGACGGCCACTGGCTGCTCATGTGGGAGTCCCCGGCTCATGGCCACCGACTGTTGCTCTACACGCCCGATGGACAGCATCTCCGTACCGTGGGCCCACCGGGTCTCCCAATCGGCCAAGGTCCTCAGTCGGAGCGTGCCTTGGAACTAGGCATCAAGGCCTGTCAACTGAGCCCTAACGCTGAGTTCTGTGCTGTCGGCGACCATAGCAGGGGTGTCATGGTTTTCAGCACCCAATCATGGCGTGAGAGTATGAAGCTGATACATCCCACCACGATTGTCCCGCGCAGCAACGTTCAGGTCAGCTGCTAGTTGCATACCTAGCCAGGTTGACAGCTACTGATGATTATCTAGGTGTGGCAAGAACAACTCGCTACTGCCGGCGCAAAACGGTCCCGCCAACCTTTCCTATGGGCGACCCTGAATGTCTCTCCTCCTGGGCCGTCGTCCGATGCCAAGGGGGCCGCGCCGGTGAGCCCTGGCTGTTCCCTGGCCGGCTTCGATGCTTCTTCGACCCTCCTGGCGACGAGGCTTGACGACTCGCCGAGTACGCTTTGGATTTGGGATCTGGCGGCTGCGGAGCTCCGAGCTGTGCTCATCTTCCATTCGCACGTCACTTTCAAATGGCATCCGACCTCTCGAGAAGTACTCTTGGTGAATAGTCAGGACGAGGCCCGGCGAGGAGCATCGTTTGTATGGGATCCCCTGTCGAATGGGCCTACGTCAGTGAGCCCTGAGGACTATCTCCCTATTGTAAAAGCGGGGGTCAGGCCTCAGGTGGCCTGGATTAACCGCCCATTCGAGTTTCCGAGACTTCTGTTGGCTGATGCAGAACACTACGTGCTTTTGTCTCTATCGGGGACAGAAGAAGGGCCCAACCCTTGGCATAGTGACGACTGGGACGGCGCATCGGCAATTCAAGACAGGTCCGCAATGCTTGATATGGACGACACGTCGGCCCTGGACGATACCTTTTCCTTCAAAAACGCGTGAAGCGCCAGCATGGCTGGTCGGAGCCACGCTCGCGCACTCTGTACGTATTTCGTACATATATCGTGCCAACCGGCCCAAGGAAGCGGTTCGTCAGCCAGACCTGACCGGCGGCTGTGTTTTGGCTTACCCCGGTCTTTGCAATATTCCTAGTTGCATGGTGGCGCTTGGGTTCGACAAACAGCGTTAGGCCTCGATTCTGTTCCCTCTTTTCTCGCCCTTGCTGAGAGGACCCTGGCCACGCTGATCCGCTTCACTTCATACGCCGACCCTCGGGCTGCTGAGAGACAACTAAACTGAAATGCCGGCGACACCTGCCAGCTCACGGCCAATGCCTCACCAAGACCGAGGTCTTTCGGTGGCGTTTTCCCTCTAAGGTCGGCAGCATTTATGACGAGTCACCACAAGATGCAGGGCGGACCTACAGTAGAATAGCGCTCCGGATGCTACCCCGGACTCGCGTCACTTGTTCCTCACCGTCGAGAGGCTGAGTACCCATCTTGGACAGGGGGGGACTGTCGTTTCATGAATGACATGGGACAACCCAGAGTCTCCACGCCAGGGACCTTGACTCTTCTTTGTCTTCATTCTCGAGCCTGCTCCTATGTTAAAAGCTTTACCGCAACCCGTCTATATCTCAAGAGCCGTCGCGGATGTGCATCTGTCGACGGGCAGCACAACGTTCCGACGGTGGCTGCGAGCCCGCCGATCTCTTCAGGCCCAGCTACCTGGGACATGGATCACAATCACGGGCACATCCGTTTGCATGCCGGCATGTACTCGCACGAAGATTGGTGCATTATACGAAGTACCTCGGGCAGCCTACGGCGCCTTGTACGTCGTCTCGCACTCCTTGTTGCGCTGGCGGTGACCGCCTAGGTAGCAGGACGACTCTATTAAAGCGTCTTGCAGGCCAGGCCGCCAGCTTCGGATGCACTCGTCCTCCCCTGTTCCTTGTTATCGTCAGATTCGACTATAAATCTATACTTTGCGGTCGGCAACTGTCCGTCTTGGCCACATAATAATCCCTTTGTCCGACTCGTGCAACGGTCGGCTTAAACGGCCTGCTGGGCTCACAACAAGGCTTCTTTTCCACATTCGGTAACATTGCGAGGACCTATCCTCGACGGCAAATCTATCCTCCGGCCCGCCTACCGCCTTGGGGCTCGTTTCTAGAAAGAACGAAAAAGGGAGACGGAAAGGGGTTCGGACATCACGCAGGAGATTCTTTCTTCGAGACCAACACGTCCACCCCCGAGCAGTCGGTAGTACCCAGTATGCCCCGCAACGAGTCTCCCGAAAACACCGTCATGAGGGACGCCCCACCGGGAGAGGAGAGCGGGATATACTACATCATCATCAGCGGCGTACGTCGTCGTGTCCTCGGTGTCCCTGATAACGAGCTTGGCAGTTCCTGACTTGGCTCGACGAAGCTGCCCTTTGCCACCATCTGGCAGCTCCTCAAAGACTGGCTACGGCAGGCCGGGTGCGATGTCGACCACATTGAGGTGTTCCAGAAGTCTACGTCTGGATGGGTCCGCCTGATTGGCAAAGAGAACTTTGAGCGAGCATTGCGTCGGTTTCCCGCGGCCTGTCTGTTCCGCGACCGTGTTACTGACGGAACAGCAGATCATCTCCAGACAGTCCCGTACAACAACCGGCTCCTCCTCTACTTGGACAAGAACAGGACGGAGCCCGTCAAGATCATGGAACTCATTGACGATCCGCCGCCGAAGCCGAAGCTCGGTGGAAACTCTCGGGCGGCCCGCTCGAAGAGCAGGCACAACACCAGGCTGAGAGACCAGGTATGAGTGCCGAATGCTCCATCGTTCTCCGCTTAGACGCTCGGTCAAAGGCCAACGGATTGTTACTGACACGCTAGACAATGGCGAGCGCAGGAGCACGGCCGCCCTCAAGCCACTGTTTGTGCCAACTACCCCGGTGGTCCCGTGATGACAAGCCCGACCTTGGAAGTCCCATCTGCCGCGTGCTATCGTGGGACATCGGTGACAGAAGTGACAGAGTCTTCTAGAGCACAAAATGTGCCGCGAGATCGATACGCCGTACCGACAGAACCCATCGTCAGGGGCGGCTGGAGCTTGGAGTACGGTTCGATGCACACCCCAGACTACCGACCCTTTGAACAACCGGGCCATGCGGCCTCTCTGAAAAGAGATCGAGAGGCTTTGAGCCGCCGCAATCTTCGCTTCGACGGCGTCGGCAGCAGGCAATTCAAACCACCTTCCCGAATAGGGAGTGCCACCACGCTCTCCGATTCCGACCAGAGGGTGCAAAACAGCAACGATGAGTGTTTCAAGGTACAGATCATGTCCCTAGGGCAATGGACCAGCCCGAGGGACGTGGAAGAATGGATCCGTCGCAGCATGGGAGAGTGGGCTTCTGCCATGAACAGCATCGACATTCCGTCGGGCCATCAGAAAGGTTCTATCCGAGATTCGGGCTACATCACCTTCCTGAGCTCGGCGGCCGCCAAACGAGCCGTCGAGCTGCTTAACCAGAAGCCGTTCCTGGGGCGTGCCGTCAGCGCACGGCTCGTCGACGAGAACAAGCAGAGCAGGGGCCAAGGGGAGCAGAGGGGTCGAGACGACCCCGGCCAGTCAAGTCCAACCGGTCGCTCGGCGAATGACAACCAAGGCGCCGTCGCGTCTGTTCCGTGCGATCCTAGAGACAAGGCGGACGCCAAGCATGCGCCCCCGGTCATCGCACACGGGACCCACTACAGGCCAAAGTGACGCAGGCAGCCCGGCTGTGAGCCAGCAGCGGCTCCATGGTTTATAACTCTCCTTCTTTCACCCCTGACTAGCTTTGCGGCTCTACAGTGGCGAAGTGTCGGCGACAAACGCGAGCGAGACCGGTTGTTTTTCAAGATGGAGAAGGAATGGAAAGGGAAAGGGAAACGAAGGGGAGCGCGAAGGGGGAAGAAACGGCGTGGGGCCGGTGACAGGGAGGCGCCCGGTGCAGGCCGGGATGGCGGTCCTCTTGCACATACGCGGCGGCTAGGTATCGCCACAAAGGCCTTGTTCGGCAAGTGGCCTGTGTATCCATGTATGTATGTGGGTATGCAAATATGCATGCACGATACGGGTGTGAAATGCGGCTTCGAGCATGGGTCAACGGAGACGGGCCGCGACGCCTCGTCGTCTCCCTCTTGCTCTTGCTTGAACAGCCTATGTGTGCGTCTCGATGGCACTTCGCCCCCCTTCCTCCCTCGCCCTGGCCGCCTCGGACCGCGGCTCGCCGTGGGCGCACGTACATACGGCAGGAAGTTTCGGGCTGCGGTGTGACTCGAGACACGGCAACACGGCTCGGTCGAGAGAGCACTGCATCCGCGGACAAACATACGGACGTACGTATACATGGGGCCGAGGTGGGTAGTTTTGTGCAAGTCTAAGCATCCACGTCTCGGCACGACAGGGACGTATGCGTGTACAAAGTATACGTGGTTGCGAAAGGGTAAACACACAAGGCAGAGGCCACAAAAGAGAGAGAGAGAGAGTGTGTGTGTGTGTGTGTGTGTGTGCGCGTGTGTGCACACAACGGAACCGTCAGCCAACTTCATCAAGTCCGATCCGTCGTGTCAACACAACGCCCAATGTTATTTGACAGCTTCCACGCATGCATGCTCCCCTGACCCCCCCCCTCCCCCGTTCGTCATCCATGCATCAGCAACCATGTGCTTGCCCTGCCGCTCCCGGGCCCGGGAGTCGATGCCGGCTCCACCACGGATCCGCCTTCCACAAATCCCGCCGTAGGGATACAAGGATGAAACACGGATGCTGTGCAGCGCAAAACCGCCATGTACGAGTATGCACATGTTTTCGCCCGTCTCTCTCCTTCTCTTCTCCCAAATTAGTTCGCCCCCTCCCCGAGCTTCCAAGCCAAGCCGAGACAGGCCCAGGTGCTTCGACCAACAGCCCGGGAAAAGGCACCGCTGCACGCAGACCGACCACGCGCGCTGCAGGCAGGGTCGGGGACAGTTTGCTCGCGGGCCTCGTCGCAGCGGCCGCGAGCCTCCCGAAATGGACGGGGGTTGACTGTCGAGCAGCTGTGCACGTTGCTGCCCAGAGTCGAGAGGGTGCCGTGGGCGCCTTTGTGCGACGGCGCCAGACGGCAGGGCTCGAGCGACGCCCATTCGACGACCAAGAAAACTTCCTCTGCAGAGGGGCGTCAACCGCCAAAGTCCATCTTCAGCGTGATGCTCGGCTGCTGAGAAGCGTCGGCCGAGGCCTTGTCCGAGCCGTTCGCAGCCTGCCGCCCTGACCTGATGACCTCCTCCAAAAACGCCCTCTGGCTGCCGCTCATGGCGCCGACAACGGCCCTAAACGCGCCCTGGTCGACGGCCGCCAGCTCCGACAGCCTCGCGCTTGTCTCCTCGTACACCTCTTCGCCCTCTCCGGTCGCGCGAGCCATGAGCGTCGGGATCACGACAGACATGGCCACTGTCCTACGGTCTAGCTGTAGGGATCCGACGTAGAGACAGAGCGTGTGTGCGAGCAGGGCGCGAGTCCGCTCCGGGTCCTCGGCCTCGACGTTGGTCACAAAGGAGACCAGGCGGGGGAAAAGGTAGCGCGCAATGCTCAGGTCCGCTGCCGTCGGCTTTGACTGCAGCAGCAGCGATCGGATGCAGTTGGCTGCAATCTTGGCCGTCTGCGTCAAGTGTTGGTCAGTTGAATACGTCTCCGAGTTTCTCGTCTTTGATTCATGCGGGCTTCATACCATTCGATCCGTGAGGCAGTCCAACATCTCTTCCAGATAGCGCCCAACAAGAGGCTCCGTGGCAGGCAACTGATTCTTGCCGCTCGTGAAAAGTATCGTCGTGGCCAGGAGACAGTTCTTGACGCACGCCAGAGACGTGGGCTCCTCCCGCTTCTGTGCATTCAGGTAGACCGACAGGAATCTACGAAGACAGCCTTGCAGCTGCACGGGGCTAAAAGAGCGTTCGTCTACTGCCTTGGACATGCTCGCCATGAACCGCTTGAGCGTCGCAAGGGACTGCGGGACGATCAATTCCTGGCAGCTGGGTGTGGCGAGAATCGTGGCATAGATGTGAGTGATACAGGCGTAAAGATCCATCTTGATAATCGACGGGAAGACTTCGGCGGCGTCGACAAGGGCATCGAGCGACGTGCGGATGAGGGCAATGGCCTCTTCGTTCATCTGATGTCGCACAGGCTGGTTGCCTTCGGAGAGGTTGGGCATCAAGCCGGAAAGAACAAGCACAATGATTCTCGTGAGCTCGAACAATTGGTCAATGTCTTCGGAAAGATCGCCTTCATCCGATGCCTGTCTCTGAGCCGAAGGATGAGTGACGCACAGAGCTCTGGCAATCTCCACAATTACGGCTTGGATATTGAGGCCGTCGGTGAGAACAAGGCGATCCAACAGATCCATCGTCTCGGAAAAGACGTCAGGCCGGTAAATAGCATGGCCGGAAACGCTTGGGCGCAGGATCCTCTTCAACGCCTCGAGTATGTCCAGAGTCTGTTCCTGTGACTCCAGGGACTCGCTCTGGCCCGGTCTGGTGGCGAGAGCCTCGAAGGCGAGGCCGAAGAGCACGAAGAAGAACGCCACAGGCTCGTCACGATAATTGATTGCCGGGGTCTTGCTGCTGCCATTTGGCGCCGACTCGTGGGATTCTTTGCCGTCGAGTGCATCAAAAACAAACTCGCTATCCTGTTCGATGAGGCTTGCAATGGCATCCACAAGCTTGAGCCAGGATTCTTCGTAGAATCGAAGAAGGGTCTCGCGGTTGAGCGCCGCATATATCGTGTCGAGGCTGCCGGAAAGCGACGGCGGGCCTAGTGTCATGGAGATATCCGGCTCAAACCGGAGCCTGGCAAATTCGCGCAACGACTCAAGCCAGAGTGGCGCCAGCGTCCCGATGTGAGGCTTGAGCACCTCGAGGAGGTATTTCTGCTCGGAGCTGGCAACCTGGAGCTCCGCCCAGGCGGAAAAGACTGATATCTTGACCATGACCTGGGCATTGGAGCTGAGCCCTCGCAAGTCTCCGATGCCCGCATTGTCATTCTCATTGGAGAAGTTTTCCAAGGCGTTGACGAGGGTCTTGAGAATCCGGCCCATCCTGTCGACGTCTGTGACGATTCCTATGGAGATGAAGCCGGCGCACACGTTGACGGCCTCCGAGGCCAGTTCTGGCGACGAATCCGCGGCAAACGCCGGAGTCAGGGCCGAGCTTATCTGCGCTTGATACTGCTCCAACAGCATGGCCTCTTCAAAGTCCGGGTCGGCGGTCTTGCCAAACATCTTGAGGACTGCACCAATGATCTTCAAGCCCCAAATGCGAAGCTCCAACACGTTGGACGTCGAGGCGGAGAAAGCCATGCGAACGACGTCCGCTACTCTGCTCTGCAGGGCCATCTGCGCTTGCGACTCTCCGTTCGCCGCGACGTCCTTGGTGACAATGGCAAACATGTCGCTGATGCAGTTGATGGCAAATGTCGTCACCTGCCATCGCAAAGGCTCGGCCTCGGATTGCGCGGGATTCCCTTTTTCTTTCGCGGCGCCGGCCACCGCTGCAAACCCAGCCACTTCTTCGTCTTGCAAATCCGGGACCCCACTGGCGGGCTTCGAGATGTTGGTCTCTTCCTGCTTTGACCGAGTCATCTTGAGAACCGCCTGGAACCTGTGCAGCCAATCGCCCGTTTCGGTGAGGCAAGTTTGGTGCATCCAGTTCCGGATAATGTTACGGATGCCGTCGTGAGAAGGAACGGTGTCAAGCACAAGCCAGAGCTGCTCTTCGAATCCTTTGTCTGCTTCCCGGAGCACATCTCGCGGTTCCCTCTTCATGATGTTGTAGAGCCCGTCCACAGCGACGTCCCTGAGTGTTGCGTTGTCCGAAGAGAGGTACTTTTGCAAGAGCATGACGTAGTCGGCGAAACGCATCTGATTAGGGGCATAGAGGGATAAATGTTCCAAGCAACCCAGGGCAGCCTTTTCGACCAGCTCATCGCTTTCGGTCTGGAATTGGCCAACGAGGCTGAAGATGAGCTCCCGAGACTTGTTGGCATCCTGAAGGTCTGGTCCGAGAACATTGATGAGAGAGTCGACACATCTTGCGAGCGCCGACGTCGTCGGGAGTCCCATCTCGAGATTCATGGTGATTGCCGACGATATTTCCGAGTGATGGGTCTCCGACACGTATAGCTGAGCGAGCATTCCGAGGGTGCCAGGGACATAGCCGGCAAAGCTGAGCCCAGCTGCATCCGCAGCCAGCGACAAGGCTTCCAGTGCCCAGAAATGGACAATGGGATGGGGGTCGTTGCACAATGACATGAGAATACCGAGTATCGTCTTCAGATGATAGCCAGCCGCCATGCCGCCTACTTTGGTCTGGATCGAACCGAGGGCCATGGCACAGCCGGCTCGGGCGCTCGGCTCACGATTGCCGACAATGGTGTCGACGAGAAACTTGATTTCGTTGTTCGTAAATGCATTCCCGTACACGTTGCAAAGCCTCGCGACGGCAGCGTACCCGAGCCCCCTCACGTACTGATCTGGGTCGAGGACGAAGTCCCGTACAATGTCTTGCAACAGTCGCTCCACCGCGGGATTGGTGATGTTGCCTGGTGGCGACCTGGTCTCCCTGACCGCAACTCTCATGCTCGAGAGAATTGCCGCCGCGACGTTGACGTTGATGGCTGCCTTGCGGCCGGGATCTCTCTGAAGGGGGCCTGCGGATGCAAAGGTTTTGATTTGCTCCAAAACGCTTTCTTGGACCTTTGCCGGTGTAAGGGGAAAGGCGAATGCGAAGAGCTGGATGGCGTTGTTGATGACCTCGGTGGCCGGAGGATCGGGTAGCACCAGGGGCCCTTCATCTATGTTCCCAATGTACAGCATCGACGCATCATGCTCCAGGCTGCCACAGACGGGAGACATAAAGAGACGATCGATGGCCTCCTCCGGACCGACGTTCCCCACGTCGCCTTCCGTTGAGCTGTCATGCTGGCCCGGCAGCTTCCTGACTTGGAACCCAGAAACCAGCCCCGTGATACCAAAGCCGCTGTTATCGCCAACCTCCCAGATCGACTCAAATGTAGCCGCCGCATTGGCTATCGAAGCACTCAGCGAGTTGGGCGTGTAGTTTTCGGGGTCCGCAAACAGAGAGATGGCAAGCGTGAGCAGATTCGATTGCAGCAAGGCTTCACTCCCACCCGCCGGGCTGAGGTTGACGAGCTTGATGTAGCACTGCAATACACGGCGCTGCACCATCATGTCTAGGTCCTGCAGCTGAAGGGCCGGCGTCAGCCTCTGTGAAATATCGTCCGTCGTCTTCTTGGTTGGCAAGGCTCTCAAGAATGCAGATGTGCTTTGCAACATGGCGGCAATGCGCTTCGAGACGTCGACCGTCAACAGGCGGCTATTGAATTGGAGAAAGGCCAAGATGGATCCCAGCGCGCACTCCCTGACATGGGTGAGAAACGACGCCTCGAGCAGGCTCCTCGTCGCGGTGTTGTCTCTGGCCAAGGGCTTGGGCAGCGCATTCTTCCACAAAAGCAGCAGCTGCGAGAGATGGATCTTGACAAAGTTTGGGCCGAGCGACATGAGTCCGCCGATGAGGGTCCAGGCGACCTGGATTTGGGTGCTCGAGGTGCGCAGCTCCGACTGGCCGCTCGACTTGAGCAAGTTGGTGGCCATTGTGAGCACACGGCTGTTGATGTCGACAGACCCGTGCAGGGGTTGTAGGGGGCTCGCGCTGAGCGCCGCCGCCAAGCCGTGCGCGAAGCCGAGACAGCGTCTCGGAGAGCTGCGTCCACCCCCTAGCAGCGAGAGCTCCCGAGTCAGGCTGTTCATGCAGACGGACATGCAAGGCAACAGCTGCTGAGGGCACGCAAGCACAAACGTCTTCATGCAGTAGGATGCAAAGACTTGGATCGAGTAGCTCGGGTGCTGAAGCACCTGCAGCAGCCCATCTCGGCAAGAGTCTGCAAAGCCGTTGGCGGCAGATCCGAGGGAGTCGATGAGGGAGGCGACGGCGCCAAGGGCGACAATCAAGGTATGCTTCGAGGGCTCAGGTCGCTCGGTCAGCGCTTGTGGATAGTTCTTCAAGATGTTGTTGATCAGCGACTCGGCCACCGAGGTCTGCCCAGATTCTCCGAGGATCTTGCGTCCGATGATGTCTTGCAAAATAGTTTCCACGATCCTTCTCGACATGAGGAGACGGAAACGGTTGTTGCTCACAGTCGCATGGCCCAGAATGTCGACAGTGAGGCTTTCCACAATCTTCAAATAGTTGCTCTGGACCATCTTCTCACCCAGGCGACGAAACAACCTCCCGTAGCAGACTCCAATGGCAGCCCGAGCCCTGTTGGAAGCTGCCGGCTTGACATACTGACTAGACAAGAGCTTCATCATGTCCGGTAGCGTCAGCGCAAGGTCTTGAGCTCGCCTACCGGACGGAGCGGGGCTTTCCGAGCGCGCCGGAATCTCGTCATCGTCAGGTGCGATCCCAGTGTGAGCCGAGACGAGCTTCAGCTTCCCCTTGTTCTTCTTCGTCTTTACGACAGCGGCAGCGGCGTCTCCGTCACCGGAACCGACACAACCTTGGACGAGGGCTTCGGCAAAACAGTCGGCGGCGGCATGACGGACCTGAACCGAGGGGGAGTCGATTGCCTTGAATACGGCCGTCTCAAGCTTGTCAAAGTCGGTCGAGTTGAGGAAGTAGGGTGTATGCTTGGTCAGAGTCTTGAGGCACCGGCATGCCGCGACCACGACATTGGCGCCCTTGTCAATGGCGGCGTAGTTTTTAGCTTGCTTCCAAATGTCACGCGCGAGCCCTTCATCCACGGAGCCCTGGACCATGCCCACGATCTTGCCGAGCGCCGTCAGAGCGGCGGCGCGCATGCCGGCATTGTTGGACGATGTCTTGAGGACCCTAAGCAGGGTGGTGCACGAAATCTGATGCAGGCCAATGGCGCTGTCACCGGCAGCGGCAAAGACATCGCCCAAGCAACTCACGGCGGCGTGCTTGGCGCGCGTCTCGCCGTCCGACTTTTGTTTGCTTCCCGAGGCGACGGCCACAAGGTCGTTGATGGTCTCGAACAACAGCTTGCGGTCGCCCTTGCTGAGGATGTGCGCCAGACATGGTCCAATATTGTTCCGGACGACTCGCGACGGTTGAGGCGAGGTGAGGTTGATGATCTGGAAGATCTCTCGTTTCAGGTAGAACTGCTGGGCGGTGCAGTCGTCTGCGGCAAGCGCCAACACGTGTTTTCTCAAGTCGGACACAAAGGAGAGCAGAAACAGGTCCTGCTGCTCGGGCGGCAAGGACTGCAGCTTGGCGAGATCCAGCTCGGGCGTGTCGACCTTGGACTCGGAGGTGGGTTCGGCGGCAGCATGCTGGGAGGCCGTTGGTTCCGCCGGTGGGGCCTCAGCTTCTTGACCCGACGACATTTCGAGGCGTTCTGACTGCCATGGGCAGCTGGGACCTGGTCTCGTTTCTCGTGGTTCTAGTGGGTTGTCTTGGCGCGCGGTGGTGAAGGCTGAATGCGCGCTTTCGCGTGGTCATAATAGGGGTCTGTCGAGGTAAGGTAGCGCCCGACAGTGTTTGGTGGGGGCAGGACCTCTCAGCGCCAGCCAACCAGAGAACCGCGGTTGGGAGCTGAGGGGAAGAATATTAGCCCGTCGCGGCTCGAGGCCAAGCTCCAGGTACAATTTACAAAGTACCTACTCCGGACCTATCTCAGCTTTCAGAACGCCTTCATTCTCGCGTCGATTCACCCGCTTGCCATCAACCCCTGATTCGGCCTTCGCTTCGATGCGCAAAGCACCAGCAGCCTCGGAGCGGCTGGCGTACTCTGTGCTGGCGCCTTTGCGCAGCGCATCGTCTCCCACAAGCCCCATCGTCTGCCGACAATGTCTCCTCCGATCGTTTGCGACGACGGCCGCGCCGCTCGCGGGACACAACAAGTGGTCCAAGACGAAGCACATCAAGGCCGTCACGGACAAGAAGAAGATGTCTGAGCGAACGGCCTTTACCAAGCTCATTGCCATATACTCACGCAGTCAGCCGCCTCCACCACCCCAGCTGCAACCCGGCGTTGCCAGCGCGCGTGTCTGACCACCGGTGCAGTGTACGGAGAGGATATCAAGTTTAATCCACGAATGGCCAACGTGATTGCTGCTGCGACAAAAGGTATGCATACGTGGACTCAATTCTCTGCGAGTCACACCACGGCCGCTTGTCAGTGCCTGCGCCATTCAGCCACTAACGAAGCCGACGTTGATTAGCCAGCGTCCCCAAGTCCCTGGTAGAGGCCGCCATTGCCAGAGGCCAGGGGCGGTCGGTCACCGGCGCACAGCTCCAGGCCATGACGATGGAGGTTCTCTTGCCTCCCAACCTCGCCCTCATAGCCGACATCGAGACAGATAACCGACAACGTACCTGGAACGATGTAAGGTACGCCGTTAAGAAAAACGGCGGAGTGACTGGCTCAACTGCATTCTTTTTCTCGAGACGGGGGCGCATCCTCCTCAAGCCCAAGCGAGCCGACCCGACATTGTCGGACATGATAGAGGCAGCGATTGAGCTCGACGGCACGGACGACATCGAGCGGTTGCCAGACGGCGTGTTCCTAGTGTGGACCCAGCCGACCTCCCTCATGGCAATCACGGAAGCGCTGTCGGACCGTTTTGAACTGGAAGTGCTCGATTCAGATATCATATGGGCGCCAAACGCGGACACAACGGTCTTCGTGGAGTCTCAGGACATGGTGGAAAGCCTCGAGGCTCTTTTGTCCGGCATCAGAGAATTCCCCGAAGTCAAGGCGGTATTCGCCAACGTCCGGCAAGGAGGCATTGCCTTTGACGAATGGGGTAGAGTAGCCAGGCTAATAGATGGATGATAGTCCCGCCAATGCTCTCTATCTCGTGCAAACAATTATCCCGATAGGTAGAGGCGGTGTTTGTTTCCCCTCCCCAATCCAAGCCCAAACGCCGGCCCATGCATTCACAGTATAGTGGCTGGCATCAGCCGCGCGTACAGCATGCCGGTTCACATCTGGAGCAGCGTGAAGCTGCCGCCTGGCCCCGCGTGGCGCCCGTCACTTGGTCTGCTGCGACTGGTCCTCGAGTTGCTGTGCCCGGCGCTGCTGCTGTCGCGCGACGATGCGCTTGTACTCGGCCTTGACCTCGTCCCTGTCGCGGGGCACCTTGTTGCACTCCTCGGGTCGGGGCCAGAAGTTGCGCACGGCGAAGCGGTTGTCGAGGTTGGTTCCAAAGTAGTACATGATGCCAATCGGGAACATGACGTACACGCCGAACTGGACCGGTCAGCGCGCCATGCTTTTCGACGGAGAGTCGGGCGCGTGGCAGCCTCACCTTGAACACTTCCAAGTTGAGCCCCCCCATTTTGTGTCTGTCTCGGGATGGCGCGTAGGGTGCTCAGTCGATGAATTGGCTTGCGAAGCTTTTTGAAGGTAGGGCAACGAGCTGAGAGGTCTGGATGTCGGTACTTTCGCATCTACTAGTGTTTAGCGTCATATACCCGATATAGCGATACTCTTCAAGAATCTTGTAACAGAAATGCTCGGGCGCATCCCCACGGCTCCAGCTCTGTTTCCCGCCAGTCCAGCGTCGTAGACAGCTTCTCCTCCGTGGCCTGGGGGTTTGACTTGAAGCACACGTCTGGCTATTACCAAATACGTTTCGCGCTCGGCGCCGTCGGCAGTGCTCATTAGAGAGCAGGCAAGCATCGTCACATGTGATATGAGCTGGGGGGGGGACTACAAGGATGAATAATTGAGTCGCCGCGTAGGCCTTATCCGCTTGATGTCGAGATTCCATCCTCGACCTTGCTCCAACGCCTTTATTGTACCCCCATGCCCCCGGAGCCCCCCTGGCGCGTGGCCGCGTGGTCCGCCTCGGGCATAAAAGCAGCACCTCGTGTCGAAACTCCCGACCGAGCTGGCAGTGAGCTCGAGAGCATCCTGCCTGTATTACCCTCCACTCTCGTCCTTGTTTGACTTGGCCCGTTCCATCATTTCCTCCATAATGAACCTCTCCTTGAAGCTGAATGGCGTGCTGGGAAACCGAGGCGGCGAGCCCTCCTCCATGGCGGTTTGGTCGTCGATGCCGTCCACGCGCAAGTCCGACAATCCCACCGAGCCGGCCTGAGCGAGGAGTTCCGGGTCGCGCACGATGGGCATCATCAGCGGCTGTCCCTTGTACGAGCCGAGAGACCCTGGCCGAAACTTGCCTCCCGAGGTCGTCGAAGGCCGCGAGCCCCACGACTGCCGAATGGGAACGGCTGGGGACGTTGCATATGCGCTCATTTGCTGTTCCGGTGTCTGCGTCTCCAGTGCATTCGGTTCGTCGTCGCCGTCGTCATCTGTCGCGGACGGTTCGGGGACGTCTTCTTGCCTCGATGCTGGCCTTAAACTCGACCTCGGATTTATCGACGCACTTCGCCCTCCCGTCTCGAAATGAAACACGTCGTCGTCGTCGTCCACTTCTGTATCCTCGTCGGTAATTGTCCGACCGTGCTCGTCTTGATCTGCACTGGGGCGAGGCGACTGCCGATTCGTTGGGCTCGCTGACGTTGTTGCGCCGTCATGTGCAGGGTTGATTGGTGCCTTGGGGGCAGGAGCCGTAGCCTGCAATGGCTTCTGGCTGGACGATCTCGCCTTGGCAATTGCTAGAAATCCGTCATCGGAGGAGTTATCGTCGTCGTCGTCGTCGTCGTCTCCGTCTTTGGTCGGCGTGTCGCCGCTACTTAGTTTGGGTGAGAATGTCTTGGTGGGTATCGAACCATGCGTCGTCTTGGGCGACGTCGGGGCGGCCGTCGGCGGCGTGGCAGCCAATGCATCGTGCTGATCGGGCGGAACTTGGTCGACGTCTGCGTTGACCACTGTCCAGGCGACGCCCTCCTCACGGGGCGTTCGGGAGAGGGCTCTCAGGGCATCCGAGGAGGAGACCTTGCGAGGGGGCACGCGGTCATCGTCAGCAGTGTCGGCGCCGAGGTTGGAGGCGAAGGCGCCGGGGTCGTCGCCGTCTGGGCCGGGGGAGGAGGGACGGCGACGCAGAAACTCGGAGGGCTGGGGCGAGGTGGTGGGCAGGACCTCCGCACCCATGAACTCAAAGCGGACGCGTCTGGGGCTCTGGGGCGCCTTGGACATGCTGGAGGAGCGTCGCAGGGCGCTCCTCGGGGGCTTGGAGTCGCTCTTGTCGGAGGAGACGGAGGACCTGGTGTCGTCGGTGGAGCGGGCGGTGTCGGCGGGGAGGTCAGGGACGGACAAGGGCTGGACGGGGGGCAGCAGGCGGTGCTGCGAGGCGGCGTGGCGGCTCGTCTGGTCCATGCCGGCGTGACCAGTGCCTCCCTCGGGGGGCAGAGGGGGATCTGGCACGGTGCGGGCAAGGCCTAGGACGGGCGAGTCGTCGAGCAGGGGCAGATAGGACGGGGTAAAGAGACCGCGGAGCTCGAGGTCCCTTTGGCGCGCTCGCTGGGGTCTTCCGGAGACGGCAGGCTGGAATGCAGCGGCCGGGGTGGTGGGGAGAGCGGGCGGCGGCGGCGGCGGCGGCGACGGCGCAGGAGGGGGGGGAGGAAGAGGTGGTGGAGGAGGTGGAGGAGGAGGAGGACCAAGACTCGGTGAGTCAGCGTCAAGCTCGGGGCGGAGGGCGGGATAGTTGGCAAAGGAGGCGGCCAGGACTCGCTTGACGTCGGAGGCGGCGTCGGGGGTGACGTCGCGGAGCAAAAGGCGGCAGTGGTGGTGGAACTCGGCCAGCAGGTGGCGGCGACAGGCCTCGACCTCGCGCTCGAGCTCGTCGAGCTTTTGGCGCAGACTGTCGACCAGCCGGGCCTCGTCCATTGCGTGCGAGAGTGTGTGCGCGCCCAACAGCAGACTGGGCCTTTTTCGGGGCGGGCCCGTTGGTTTGGTTCCTTTTTTTTTTAATTCTTTTTGGCCTTTGGCTTTTCTCTCCTTCACGCTCTCTGGGGTAGCAGCATGTGCATGGCGCAAGCGATGCAGCCACGATGCGTGTGCTTTTGCAGTCAGTCCCACACGCGCCGTCCGTGGGGGAAGGGAAGGGGTGGTGGTAGGACAGGACGAGGCGAGGCGAGGCGAGGGCGAGGTCACGGGGTGGGAAAACTGATGGGAGAGTGAGATATGGGAGACGCGCATCGCACGACGGGTTTTGCGCAGCGCCAAGAGGGCCTGCGATAACGGCGTTTTGCCTTTGCTTCCGGCCTTCGACCACCAAGCCTGCCCCCCCTCCCCCTCATCTGCTAACCTGCAGCTGTTCCTACTCTGCCAGGATATAACTTAGGGCGTGTACGACCTAGGTAGGTACGCACGTGTACAAATATCCACAGGGCTCTCTTGTCTGCCTCTTTCTCCCTCTCCCTCCTTGTCCTGCTCTGCTGCCTCCCCCGCGCCGGCACGAAAAAGAAAGCAACACCAACGACTGTGGATAGCTGTGCTCCGTACGCAGTGACAAGTACGAACCATCTGCCTAGGCATGCATGCTCTCGTGTGCTTCCCGAGCCAACGACGGAGAGGGTGAGGCAGGGATGATCAAATGATGATGAGACTGCGCCGCCAGCCGTGCCCGCAGCCAGTCGCCCATTGCCTTACATTCTAGCCAGGCATTCCTCTCGGCAGCCCGCATGCAGTCAGTCGTACCATGGGGCCGGTCCGGTGTGGTCGACGGTGCGAACCCGAGGCGAGGCTGTGTCGGGCCAGGCCTCGTCCTCGTCCCCGTCCAAGCCGCTGGAGGGGACTGTACTCTGTCAACCCAACGACCATCCGCCCCTTCGCCCCTCGAGGCCGATCCTCAATAAGCAAGCCAAGGGTTACCGAGAAACCCCGTTTACCCGCCAGCGCCAGTCGCTGCTCCGTGCTCGTGCGCCTCGACCGACCATGTGATGCTTGGTGCGACCGACGAGCCCGTACTCAGGCAGCTCGCATTCGCCGCCTCCGCCGTACTCCCACCAGGCGAACACATATCTGCCGAGCTCACAGGCGGTTGGCTACCGCAGCAGACGGAGCAAGAGGACCGAGCCGGTCACGACGCTGTCCATCCATCCAGCGCTACCTACCTGCCGTGTTGGTATAAACGCGACGAGCCCGACGACGACGACAACGTGTCTGTCTCAGTGTTTGCACGTCGACGTGCCGGACAAGGTGCTGACAGCCTGGCATGCCTCATTCAGCCATGCCTGACTCGACTTCCTCCAATCGTCCTATTGTTTCATATGGTATCCCTGCCTCCAACTCTGGGGGTAAAATGTACATATGTGACCTCCTTCATACACCACGAGGAAAGCTCTCTTGGAGTCCTGCAAGGTTAGTCGCCAGCCTCTTTCCCGCCGATCCAAGAGGCAGACCACATGCTGGCCTCTCGGGAAGCCCTTGCACGTGCTCCCGTCACCCTCTCTCAACGGCACCTGTCAAGTTGCACAGTATGTCGCAGTCCCAATAGTTAGATACCCCGTGTCTCGGCTCCGCATCTTGCACACGCTTCCCCGCAGGAACACTACCAGTGCTGTAAGACCGTGGCTGGGACTGGCATGGGCAATTTTGATTCTCCATGGACGAAGCGAGGATTAGAATTCGCCTTGAAGAGGACAACGGAGCCACCAAGCACGCCTACAAAGCTTTCTCCTGGAAACAAAGGTAAACCCATCGACTCTTTGCACGGCGCAAAGGCAGGGATGCCCTCAACCGCTTACAGGACATAACTCCTAGTTGCAGGCCTCTTATTACCTACCGTAACGCCATACCTATAATATAAAATTCGATCCAGTGTACATATACCCCCAATTCGATGTTTTCGATCGAGTGAATTGTCATGTGACAAGGTTCCCCAACGCCTCATATCCGTCGTCGTCTGGAGACTGTTCGGCTTCCTCGTTCAATGCGATTCCAGAAGCTGGCGATTATGCGCACCCTCCATGCGTACCAGAGCCATATGGCGATATGAGCTGGCGGTGTTGCGGGGGTCGTCGACAAAGCGATGAGCTCGACGAGGACCTCGGCCACGATGTGAGCGACAAGCCCTCGGAGTTGCGGCTCGGCTGGGCGTTGATGTGCCTTGGGAGAGTCTTAAGGATGGCACAACGGGGTGGCCTCTTGGCTCCTACAGACATGGAAAGGTGATGGTGAATTTGAACTTGGTATACTGTCTGCATGTGCTCTAACGTGCTCCGCCGAGGAGAGGAACTTTTGGGCTCCATCATGTCTTGGTGTAGTGGTTCGCCTTCCGGATTGATGGGAGTTGAGGCTCAAGGCCGGTTGAGAAGTGGGCTAGTCGTCATTAAGCACGAGAGTTGAAAACAAGACGTCTCCGAGAACTACTTCGGTGAGATGTATAGGATAACTATTCAAGTTGCAAGGCTTATTTTGCCCTTGGTGGGTGACGGCAACTCGGGACGACCTCCCGTCTTGGAGAGGGAGAGCTGATGTGTTCAAGGTCGATCCAGGGTCGCCTCGACTCCTTCTGAATGCCAAGTGACTGATAGACGACATGTGGTCCGTTGGTCCGTCGCCGTCTCGGTTCATATCCCCTGCAATAGTGGTCGGCCGTAGCCGCCGTGTGTTTGTGCTTTTTGGCCTTCGCTCTTTTGGCTTGAGTATGTAGATGGTCATTGCCGTCAAGATTACAAGACACGGCGAATTCTGCCCTCCAAGCAGATGGGACAATCAACACTTGTTTTTTGAATTCCATTAGCCTCTCCTTTCTAGCAGACGGCCTCGCTGCACCAAAGAGATGCGCGCACCCAATTGTCAGCTTGCTGATACTCTGGGCACAACCCCGCTCGGCCGGCGCGCGATGGAGGCAGCTCCTGCTCGGCGCCACCGCCTTCCCGTTTGGCAGCAGGCTGTGAATTCATCGCGCCCACCTCGACCGCCCAGCCCCAGCGCCGCTCTCCACCTGTGGCACCGACGAAGCTCTTGCAGGGAGCGCACGACCTGGGACGGCCATATTTGCTCAGTCGTCACAACCACCACGTCCCTCGCCCCTTCAGCAAGCAGCACCATGTCGACCATCCCCCCCCCGGCGCTCCGGTCGGGCCACCCGCCAACCATCCCCCTGTCCTTTAACTCGAGACAGCCGGGCAAGGTGACGCTGTATCCGCTCTCCAACTACACCTTTGGCGTCAAGGAGACGCAGCCCGAGGAGGACCCTTCCGTCATTGCCCGCCTGAAGCGCCTCGAGGAGCACTTTGCCGACCATGGCATGCGCCGCACCAGCGAGGGCATCCTCGTCTGCCACGAGCACAACCACCCGCACATCCTCATGCTGCAGATTGCAAACGCCTTCTTCAAGCTGCCCGGCGACTACCTGCGGCCCGCCGACGACGAGATTGATGGCTTCAAGACTCGCCTTGACGAGAGGCTGGCCCCCGTCGGCAGGATCGGCGAGGGAGAGGAGGCGGGCGATTGGGACGTTGGCGAGTGCCTTGCCCAGTGGTGGCGCCCCAACTTCGAGACCTTCATGTATCCCTTCATCCCCGCCCACGTCACCCGGCCAAAGGAATGCAAGAAGCTCTACTTTATTCATTTGCCAAAGACCAGTCAGTCGCTCGCCCCATTGACCTCTTCCTTCCATCGCTGACCGCCTCGCGCGCCCGCCAACACAGAGGTCCTGAGCGTGCCCAAGAACATGAAGCTCCTCGCCGTGCCCCTCTTCGAGCTGTACGACAACACGGCCCGCTATGGCCCGCAACTCTCGGCGATCCCCCATATCCTGAGCCGGTACAACTTTGAGTTTGTCGACGAAAATGGCAACGTCGCCGCCATGACGCCGGGCGCCGGCGCGCCGGACGGATACGTGCCCAAGACAAAGGTCTTGGCCGGCGAGGATGCGGAAATGAGGGAGGAGAACGGAACGCAGTGATGACGGGGCTCGACGCGTTGGGTTACATGGCGACGGTGTTTGGCGCAACGGCGAAGAGGGGTGCCTCGTAGAGAGGAAATAGGTCTTCGATTCTATTGATTAGCCATATGCGATGACTACCCATCCGTGGTCCAGCCTCAGCGTGCCCGCTCATGCCTTTTCGCCCTGGATGGTGGCCATGATGCGTCGTTGATGCTTGCTTGCCCGGAACTCGAGGTACCAGATGCCCTGCCACGTCCCTGTAGCCTGGGAGAGCGTCAGTCTGTCAAGGTACTCGCCAACTCGCGCGCGGCCACGTACCAGCTTTCCATCTTTGATTGGGATCGTGACGCTGGCGCCGATCAAGGCAGACTTGATATGGGCCTGTGGCGGCATGTGTTATTAGAAGAAATTGATGCGGCGGCCCAAAGTTTTTACTTTGCTTCTTGTAACTTACCGGCATGTCATCGGGTCCCTCGGCGCTGTTTTGGAGGGGGGGGGGGGCGTTGGTTATTCCAGTTCGCAGACCCTGGGTGGGCAAGATGCGCTTACTCGTGACGATAGAGAGCCTCGCCCTTGGGACCTTCGGCCGGGGCGATGCGATCCAGCGCATCGCTCATGTCTTCTCTGACGTCCGAATCCCCTGGACGTGTCGTTTAGCCCCGCGATAACACGCTTGACGAACTACAGCTTCCTACAGTTTTCATTCAAGCTCAGGGCACAGCTCGTATGCTGCACAAAGAGGTTCAACAGGCCAACCTTGTAGCCGCGGATCTCGGGCATGGCCGTGACGACCTGGTCGGTGATCAAGTACGAGCCGCGGGCCTTTGCCGGGAGCGTGAACTGCTTCTGGAACCAGCTCATGGTAGCTGCCGGCTGCTGGATGGGCGTGGGCGGGCAGTCTGGCTGGGGCGGGCTCGGATAGGAGAAGCGGAGGAGGCTAAAGGGCAGGGTCCAGACGAGGTGGAAGAGGTCTGGGAACAGGGCGATGAATAGGATGAGGATGAGGGCAATGGTGGCCGTTGTAGAAATGCCGTGGGTTGGTTGAGGCATCATTGCACCTTTTAAGTTAGTGTGCCGCCGAGTTCGATGATGGAGGGGGTGGGGCGGAGAAGGTACCAGGCACCTGCCAGGCAATACCACCACACAGGCGACCGAGATTGATAATCCTCTCAACTGCCATCAACGCGCACTGCACCAATAGTCTCCTCGCCATGCATCAACGCTTGCTTCAATCACTGCAAACAGACTTGCTCTCGGCGGCCACCTGCAGGCGCTCTGATTCAAGACACACAGTATTCGCACTGCGAATCAAACACAGCCCGGCCAGGGCGTCGGAGTCATCACGCAGTCTATTGTTGCGATATGTACATGCAACGCTCCATTCGCCCTGGCATGAGGGAAAGCCCCCTGAACAAGGCAGCTCGCAATCCCCGGCCGGCCAGGACCACTCTCCGTGACCTGCAGCTGTCCCGTCTCGCTTCCATAACTTGGCGCCAACATCATGACAGCGGGTACGATGTCTCCGCAAGGGATTCGAGATGCTTCCTGTGGTGCTCGTGGGCCTAGTTCAAATTCGTCAGTGTCTGAGATCAACCCGCCGTGCTGGTGGCTGTGACATACAAAGGGCAGGCCGCAGTAGTTGCACACGGAAATCTCGGGCTTGTCCGTGTTGATGAAGATCCGGGGATGCCCAGCAGGGCCGCCGCCGCCCTCGCACGCCACGACACGCTCGTGCGTCCACCGCACAGGCTGCTTGTGTATCATTTCCATCGCCGACAGAGGTTGAGGCTATCGCGCCGTCAGCATTCCCCGAGCCGTAGCCCCTGAGCAATCCCATCCGTGCCTACCTGCAGGTCAAAGTCTGTTTGCTCGAAGCGCGGACCCGTCATGGCCGTTGACCGCGGTTTCTGACTTCGGGACCAGACGTCGGCTCGATTGGGTGCCTGGCTGACTTGCTTGAGTTGGGCGTCCTCGACGGCGGTTTCGGTATCGGGCTTGGTGGCGGGCACGGCGGCTTCGAGGAACCGACTGGACGTGCTGAGTGCCCGGCGGGGAACGCACAATTTGCGCAATAAAAGGCCAATTGGCCTGGCTGGAGAGGCGGCCATGATGTGAACCGGTACCTTGCGTGAATGCGACAGCTAAGCTCCAATTCAAGCACGGAACTTTGTCGCGGCTGAGAGGGAGTCGTGGAAGACAGCCATGGGAAGGTCGGAATAAGGTATTTCCGTCACCGCCGAAATCAATTACTGGCGGGGCCGAAGCTTGCATCTCCCCAGCGCTGATTCACGTTTTGGCGATTCTTTTCTTGCGCAAGCTGCAAAAGTCTACCCACAAACTCGCCGCGCCTCTCTCCCCTTACGAGGCTTCTTCCTTCCGGGCTTCAACAGGCGAACTTCACTGGCACGTCGCTACCAGGACCTTCTAGTTTCTCCGCGCAAACTGCCGCGGCGCAACCCTAGCGATGGCGCCGGAAACACCCAAAGGCGTCTCGTCGAGGCTCTTGACGATGAAATTCATGCAAAGAGCTGCTGCGTCGGCGTCTTCTGCAGCATCTCCCGACTCGGCGGGTCCTTCCAAGAAGCGAAAGCACCAACACTCGCCGGCGCAAGGTCGATTCGACGCCCAAATCGACCAGGCCTTGATCCAAGCGGCACTCGACGACCAGGAGGCCACTCGTCAAGCGGCCCTCGAGAAACACGCGGCTGCCGACACACACTGGACTCTGGACAACACATGGGACAAGGCGGCGACTGCGGATGCGACGAGCACACCGTTGAATGTTGTTTATGTTGGCTACGGCGACATCGACTCCGATAACGAGTCGGGTGCCAAGGAGGACGCGCCTGCAAGAGGCCGCACCTCGACAAAAGTCGAAAAAAAGCCAGCCAGCAAGGCACGTCTTGACGACGAGCACGCTGCCCCGCGAATGAGCCTTGGGCTAACCGTGCTGCAGCACCGTGGAAAGAAACGCGAGTCGCCCGATGACAAGTCGGGCTCCCATTCATCCGACGAAAGCAACGAAGCCTCCCGCAAGCGAAAGCATAGGGACGTTAGCAGTGATGTCGATTCGCCTCTATCGCAGGATCGATCGCGTTCAAAGTCACGAACAAGGCAGAACCAGGAAGGCGCCAAGGCCAAGGAATTCCGCGACAAGCGGAAGAAGAAGGAAGTCCGTCTGGACCAGATTACCTCGATCTCCTCGGGAGGCGGAGGAGGCTCGCCCAGCGGCGGCAGAGGGCTCACGTGCTATGCTTGCCAACAAACCGGCCACAAGTCATCAGACTGTCCCAAACGAAGCAAGGGGAGCTCCAGGCGCAAGTCATGATCCGGTGGCTGCCTGGAGCTTCTTTTGTGTCGTCGTTTGAGAATATCAACCGGGAAACGGTGCACCATCATTAGCTATGGTATCGCGTATCGCTCAGCCTTTGTCACTGTTCCCACGGCTGCTCGATGGCGCCGGAGGACTCATGTATACCCACTTGTTTTGGTAATTGTTGGACACTCCCAAGGACTTTCATCGATGGGTTTTCCACTTGGGTATAGCGCAGCAGCGGTCTGCTTGCGCTTTATTCATCCGAATTGTCTGCGCCGCGTGCATTCCATCATGATTGGGCAGGCAGCTGTGCGATTCCCCGTGGCAATTTCACAAAGAGCGCCTCTGAGACTCGGTTGCGGATTCCTAATCACCGGTGGACAACGGCACACGAAACTACGGCTCGGTCGTGCGACGGGTCAGTCCCGGGCTGGAATCGTGAGGGCAGGGCCGGGTATGACCGTCCAAAGTGGGAAAGGAGTAGCATGCAGCGGATGGAATTGGACCTTGATTACCAAGGACAGCGTTGGGTTCAGTCGAACTGTGGCGCGCTCAAGCAAGGCGTGAATGTCTGAGAGCAGTGGCTGTGGGCCATCATCTTCTCCCCGGGGGAGCAGTCGATGAAGAAGTCGAGCTGACGCAAATGACGATCGGCAAAGCAAGCCTGCACGAACCGTTCGGTTCTTGTGTGGGATCGTGGATGCAGTGATGCATCACATCATGCCGGTCGAGGACATGTGCGTTTGGAAGCCACGCGCTGATTGGGAACAGATGGCTGACGAATCCGGGGGTTCAAGGGTGTGCCCGTGAGTTTCCCCGAGGAGAAACAAAAGCAAAAAGGCCCGTACTCTGTATCGTGCTGGCGGATGCTGTTGCTTTTGAGATGTCCTCGGCGTCCTTTGGCCAGGATAAGGCTGTCGCAGGAGTGAGGTTTCGATGGGTGCCTCCGGACAGCACTCGAAGAAAGCGCCGAGGAGGGGGGACGAGCAGACGAATCAAAGAGCCTTTTGCTGGGTATCTCGTATAGCGTACTTTGTCAAAAATATCGTCACCACCTGGGTCCCGTCTGCTGTCGGCTTTACAATGTCTCCTGGCAAGGGACATCAACGAGAAGAGGAAGAGAGAGACAAACAGGGGTCCATTGGAAAGTCTCTGCCCCCACACACGGAGACGATGAAGACACCGCCTTTCAGATCTGCAAAGCATGCAGCCACGCGGTGCAGCGACGACAGGGACCGGGATGCCGGAACGCCGGGGGGGACTGGGCCGGCCTTTTGGTTGGGCCGCAGGCGCCTTAACCTGCTGCATCCGGAATCAAGAGGTGTCGCGATGACTAGGGCTTTCTCCGTCGGGGCTGCGTGCAGCATTTTCCGTGAAAAATGTGGTGAGCCGCCATTGCAGACCGCCTCCCATGATACTTCTCTGCTGTCCAAGGCAGCTGGCAGGCTGGCGGGCTGCCTGGGCTGCGTCCTGACCCTTCCGTAGGAGAGGAGAGAGTGGAAGACGGCAGGTTTGGCGGTGCCACCCACCGCCACATGGGATTCTCGCATCCAGGCAACGCAGCCTTTTCCTTTCTTTCGTGGCTTTCCTTCGGCGCAGATGATGTTGGTGCCCGGCCTTGGCTTGACCGACACTCTCATCAGCCTTTCCGGGCGCCGGATATTGGCTAGCATGTGGGCCAAACAGAGCAGCACAACGCTGGCGTTGGCGCGACAAGAGCCGGCCGGCATGGCGCGCGGGCTCAAGCTTCCTTGGACCAACGGGCTCGATGGAGGTACAGCCATGGTGCAGGCCCATGAGTGCACAGCGTGTCGGCAAGGGCGGCCTGATTTAAATGGGGGAGAGAAGGGGAGGGGAGGACTGGCGGGGGGCTGCATCGGGATGTTTCAACGCCTCGGCATTCTTCACTCGCTTGCTTGTGGAAACGACGTCTCGTATTACCCTCTCTGCCCCAGCGACGTCGTCTCTGTCCGTCACGATTTGTTGGGATCCTAGGACGTTTGTACGTGCAGGGCAGAGCGTTGTTCCGCGCCGTTCCGCGTCGAGCAAACGCCCACGGTCACGATTGCGCCGCGTGCGCGAGTCTTTGGAGGGCGCGGTTCAGGGAGCGAGCCGCCGTGTGTGCGTGCGTGCGTGAGCTGACGGTCGTCTCCGCGTCTTCCCCGCCCGCTCCCGGGCCCGGTCCGTGCATCACGAGGGCACGTTGCGCATCGTCGTGGGTTCTTGCCGATGGTTGTTTTGCGCGTGCCTGTGTGTTGGAATGTCATGTTGCGAGAACGCAAACCGGCCGTGGTCGATGCTTACCGACCTGGGCATGCACCCTGGCCGAACGTGCCCAGCATCAACTCGTTGCCTCGAGCGGACTCACCAGAGGCCCACCAGAGTCGAAAGGGATGAGCTCGTCCAGTTGTGCGGGCTCCGAGGACGGCAATTCTCCGTGGGAAGCCTCCGAATATGCAGGGGAAAGGTACAGTAGGTACGAATGCTGCATGCAGGCCGCCGGGTGCATGGACTACCCTATACGGACGACTCACCGCACCGTACAGTGTGTTCGCCGCGGGCTTGGCCTTGAACGTTATGACATCCACCCAGCACGATCTTGGATTAAGCATAAATGATGGAAATATCGGGCATGGAACAGGTCCCCGACAATGTGCTCGATCTGCATGCCTGCTGCAGGCTGCAACAGGCCAAGGCGATAACATGACGAGACGTTCATGTATTCTGGTTAATAGAATTGTACAGCGCAGAGCATGGCACCAGCGCTGGCGCTGGTGAGGCGCCGCACACCCGCCTCTCTGTGCTTGGCCCAGTTCGTGATACCATCAGCCGCCGCTATCCAATGGGTCTCGACGGTGAGTCGGTAGGCAGGCAGCCGACAAGACCGGAGTGCCCAAGACAGTAGTACATTGGTCCAGGCACTGTGCAGTCGAGTACAATTTACCGTGGGTGCACGCCGAGTTCGTGCAGAAACCACGGTGTGTGCAACTACCTACCACCTACGGAGTACCCAGCAACAAAGACGCCTTCCTTTGTCGCAGCAGTCCGGCCGCTTTTTTTGCCTCCGTCACAACCGACCGACTCCAAGGCAGCATCCGTCCGTGTGCCGTGTCAGGGCAAATATGCCTGTTCGTTTCTCGTCAAGCACGAATCTGTTGCCAGGCAGCGCCTTGTACACCCAACCCACGAACGCTTTCCCCCCTACCTTGATGGGGCGCGTACCGGGGAGGGAGCACGCTTGATATAATAGTCGGCTTGGTCCCTCCAGGCTCATCCCAAATCAGTTGAGACAGTCTACCTCCAACACACGCCTCCACTCCCGACTCTCCGGTCCGCCATTGCTTTCTCGACGAGTACCGCTAGGTACCTCCAGCACCGAGACAGCACCACTGTGCACTAGCCGCTACCGCATCGCGTCCCCTGAGAGCCAGCCGCATCGCACAGACCCCACCGACTCCGAGTGGCGTGCCGACTGTATTCGCCAGTCTTCAGAGCTACGCGGTAGGTACCGATCCGTACCCAGACCTGCCTTACCTTGGCTTTTCACCGTGGCCGGCCTGACACGACCTTAGCAAATTATCTCCGTCGTCGTCTCCCGCCCTTTGCCTTGACCTTTGCATCCTGTCCACCCCGTCAGTCCCTGCCCGTCCTTGATCCACCCTCCAGACTCTTCGCCGCTTCCGCCCCGCGTCCCGGGACGCCTCCCCCCTATCCTCACCCGTGGCCTGGCTGCCGTCCTCTCGGTCCCATGTCTCCCTCTCAGTCGTCCGGCTTGGCCCCGGGCCGCCAGAGCCCCGTCGTCGTCGTGACGGATTGTCTCGAGAAGCCGTCGCTGGACGATCGCGACTACCGGGTTGTCCGCCTCGACAACGAGCTCGAGGCCCTGCTGGTTCATGACCCCAAGACAGACAAGGCCAGCGCCGCCCTTGACGTCAATGTCGGGAACTTCAGCGACGAAGAGGGCATGCCCGGCATGGCCCACGCTGTAGAGCATGTGGGTGGCCTCCTTTCCTCTCCCTCTCCACTGGCACTGTGCGGGTGAGACAACTGATTGCCGTGACTTTGCAGCTGTTGTTCATGGGGACCAAGAAATTCCCCATCGAGAACGAGTATGGCCGCTATCTCTCTGCCAACTCTGGCAGCTCCAACGCCTACACGGCCTCCACCTCCACAAACTACTTCTTTGACGTGGCCGCGAAACCAGCAAACGACAATGACCCCTCGGATGCTAACCCGTCGCCCCTGCGTGAGGCCCTGGACCGTTTTGCTCAGTTTTTTATCGAGCCCCTCTTCCTGTCGAGCACCCTGGACAGGGAACTGAGGGCTGTTGACTCCGAGAACAAGAAGAATCTGCAGAACGACACCTGGCGTCTCCACCAGCTCGACAAGTCCCTGTCAAACCCCGGGCACCCTTATTGTCACTTCTCGACCGGCAATTTCGAAGTGCTCAAGACGATTCCCGAGTCGAGGGGGGTCAATGTGCGAGATAAGTTTATCGAGTTTCACGCCAAGCACTACTCCGCCAATCGCATGAAGCTCGTTGTTCTCGGCCGCGAGCCTCTTGACGACCTCCAGAAATGGGTTGTCGAGCTCTTCTCCCCAATCGCCAACAAGGAGCTGCCCTCTAATCGCTGGACCGACGAGGTTCCCTTCCGTGCATGCGAGCTGGGGATGCAGTGTTTCGCCAAGCCAGTCATGGACTCGAGGGAGCTCAATCTCAGCTTCCCCTTTGTTGATGAGGAGGCTCTGTACGAGTCGCAGCCCAGCAGGTACATCAGCCATCTCATCGGGCACGAGGGCCCTGGTAGCATCATGTCGTACGTCAAGAGCAAGGGCTGGGTTAACAGCCTGTCTGCTTGCGCCTACTCGGTCTGCCCCGGGACGCCAGGCATCTTTCAAGTGCAGATTCGTTTGACGGAAGAGGTATGTCTGTCCCCGAGATCGGCACATGGCGGTACTGACGAATTGACTCTAGGGCCTGAAAAACTACCCCGAGATTGCCAAAATCTTCTTCCAGTACGTCTCCCTGCTACGTGAAGCCCTTCCCCAAGAGTGGATCTTCGACGAGCAAAAGGGGATGGCGGACGTGGACTTCAGGTTCAGGGAAAACACGCCGGCCTGCCGTTTTACGAGCAGGACCAGCTCCGTGATGCAGAAGCCTCTGCCGCGAGAGTGGCTTCTGAGCGGTCACAGCCGTCTGCGCACATTCGATGCCGAACTGATTGAGAAGGCCCTGTCCTTGATACGGCCGGAGAATCTGCGTCTGATGGTAGTCTCGCGAAGCTTTCCCGGCGACTGGGACCAAAAGGAAAAGTGGTACGGTACCGAGTATCGATACGACAATATTCCCGAGAATCTCATGGCGGAACTGAAGCGGGCGATGAACTTGCCTGCGTCGGAGCGGCTCTCCGAGCTGCACTTACCACACAGGAACAACTTCATCCCCAACAAGCTCGAGGTGGAAAAGAAGGACGTCGGAGAACCCGCCCTCGCCCCACGCGTGCTCCGCAACGATTCGCAAGCCTGCACTTGGTGGAAGAAGGACGACACTTTCTGGGTCCCCAAGGCCAATGTCATGGTCAGCTTGAAGAACCCCATCGTACACGCCACGGCGGAAAACAGCGTCAAGGCGAGGCTCTTTACGGAGCTTGTCAGGGACGCGTTGGAGGAGTACTCGTACGATGCGGAACTCGCTGGCCTGGAGTACACTGTATCACTCGACTCGCGCGGTCTATTTTTGGACATCTCGGGGTACAACGACAAGCTTCCCGTCTTGCTGGAACAAGTTGTCGTGACCATGCGCGACATCAAAATCCGGGACGAGCGGTTCGACATTGTCAAGGAGCGACTGACCCGCGGGTACGAGAATTGTCAACTGCAATCGTCCTATCATCAGATTGACGACTACGTCACTTGGCTGAACGCAGAGCGCGACCACATTGTGGAGGAGCTTGCGGCCGAGCTGTCGAACATCACGGCGGATGCAGTCCGGCTGTTTCACAAGCAGATGCTGGCCCAGCTGTACATTGAGGTATATGCTCACGGAAACATGCACAGAAGCGAAGCTCTCCAACTCACGGACATGCTCGTCGCCATGCTCAAGCCGCGCGCGCTGCCTCGCTCGGAGTGGCCCATTATTCGTTCGCTCATCTTGCCGCCGGGGTCCAATTACGTCTTCAACAAGACGCTCAAGGACCCGGAAACCGTCAATCACTGTGTGGAGACCTGGTTTCACGTTGGCACCAGAGGCGACCGGGCTGCTCGCGCCAAGACGCTGCTCTTTGACCAGATGACTCAGGAGCCCGCTTTCGACCAGCTCAGAACGAAAGAGCAGCTGGGGTACATTGTCTTTTCGAGCATCCGAAACTTTGCAACCACGTGCGGCTTCCGAGTTTTGATTCAGGGTGAGAGGACCCCGCAGTATCTGGACAGCCGCATCGAGGCCTTCCTGGCCCGGTTTGGCCAGACGCTGCAAACGATGAGCGAGTCCGACTTCGAGGGCCATAAGCGAAGTCTCATCATCAAACGTCTTGAGAAGTTGAAATACCTCGACGAGGAGTCTTCGAGACACTGGACCCAGATCTGCAACGAGTATTACGACTTTGAGCAAGGTAAGCAGAGTGCAAGCCACTGGGTAGCCAACAGGCAAGCTAACTGTCGTGAATAGCGCAACTCGACGCTGAAAATATCAAGCTGCTCACGAAATCTGAGATGATTGAGTTTTATAACGAGTTTCTGAGCCCGTCTTCGAGCAGCCGAGCGCGCATGTCGGTTCATCTACACGCCCGTGGAGCAGAAGAGCTCAACCTCAAGGTGATTGAGCTTTTGCGGACCTCGGGCCTCGAAGACGTGCCGCATGAGAAGCAACAGAGTCTGGAACGGCTCGGCGGCTACCTCAAGGATAAGCCAGACGTACCTCAAAGCAAACGGGAATCAATCATTTCCCAAGCCAAGATGCTTGGGCTGAGCCAAGCTGCGGAAAGCGCTGTGTACGTGGCGGATCTAGGCGCACCATCGGCCGTAGAGACTGCTCAAGGAATCACCGACGTCCGCCGGCACAAGGCCGGTCTCCTAGCTAGCCAAGGAGCCAGGCCGGTCAAGGAGCTGAGCGGGTTTGAGGAGTCAGACGCCAAGTTATAAGCAGGTTGATGGGCGTGGACGGGTCATGTATGTCCGTTGTGATGGGCTGAGGTGCTGAGCGGAAGAGGGAGTCAGCTCGGCGGAGATATTCCCGCGGAAGGGCCGGTTGAGAAACATTTTAAGAGTGGCATGCCGCCTCGGTAGGGGCCAGGAGAACCAGGCAGTGTGAAAAGGACGAAGAAGACGGCGAGAGACCATACATCAGAGGATTTGAGGACGGTAGAGCCTAGACGAGACTGACGGGTTGGCATTGCCCAGACCTGGTATATTAGCGACGAGGCCACTGGCCGTCTAATTGCAGCTGGATATGAACTCATGGATGACTGATGATGGTGCATGGCGAAAGTTGGACGTTTTGAGCATCGTAAGGTAGTTACCTACCTAGGTACCTTACCTATAGGCACCAGAATGAAGGTAGATGAAGGCCTGGATGAGTCAGCACCAGCGTGATTACCTCATCGTTGCCATCGTCGGCTACGACTTAATAGACGCCTCCGCAATTTTAGACTCTGAGAGAGACGGCTGTGGAGCCGCGAGTGCGAGATGTCTGCGCAAGCCAAGGCTAAAAAAATATTCGGGGGGGCCCGTCGCACCAGTCCAAAGGTTTCTTGCAGTGCTCCGAGCTGGCCGCTCCACGTACCGTGCCCGGGTAGCCAGGGGGCAGACGACGAGATGGGGTTTATTTCCGATGAGACTATCCGCGTCAATTGAATGCCTGTATTTGGAGATAAGGCAGGGCAGCCAGCCAAGTGTACTACCTAGGTACCTAGGTAGTATGTACTAATTCAAGTGTATGTATGTACCTGAGACAGCCTGGACAGGTACTTGGCACGGAGCACGCACAGGGCCTTTCCTGAGTGCAGCGAGTACATAATTATGCCCGCCGAGGTACTGAGCTAGGGCAGCAGAGCACCTAAGCTTGGACACTCTGGACTTGTCTCGAGGATCCCATTAGCAGTAGCTGCCAGCTAGGCGCGAGGTAGCGTCGAGAATTGGCCTTGTACCGCAGGCGCCGCCACGAGTACCTGGCCTGGTGGAATGCCGGCATCGACCAGGTAACGGCTGGAGACGAGGTACTGTACCTCGTGCTTGCAGCCCTGGAACTCGGGCTTGAAACCCTCCATCCGACTTTGCCTGCTGCTGCCTGCCCGCCCGCCGGGAGATTGATTTTCGAGACGGGCAAGAAGGGACGACCTGCAGACGACTCGCCGACACACCTGCTGTAGAAACGTCTTCTCGCTCCTCGTGAGAAGCGGATCGCCCTTCGCTGACGCTCGGTGCCGCGACCCTGATTCACGGCCGAGTGACGCCTCTTCTCAATTCTCTTTTTTTCCCTCTTCCCCCGTTACCTGGTCCCTCCACCCTTTGCGACGACGCCGCGCTCCCCGGCGTGCGTGCTGGGCCAGCCCTCCCCCATCGCAGCCTCCCTCTCCTGCTGGCCTCGCTGTGTCATGCTTGGCTGCCTTTGTGTCTGTTTCATTGTCACAAACGCTGCTACCGTTTACTCGTTGAGCACAGACGCGCCAGTTTAATGCGACGTTGCCGCCGTTTGTCGACCCCCTCGCTCGATTCGCCGACGACCCTAGTTTTGCCTCCGAGCTGCCCGGGCAGCTCACTGTCAAGACGTCTTCCTCAAAGAAGAGAAAGCTTGCCCGGCCGCCCTCATCCAGGGACCTAGACCCTTCCAGCTCTCCCTCTCCCGACACCGCCTTGCCCTCGTGCGAGCCCGACGACGACCAAGCTCTTTCCTTCTCCGCTCCGTCGGCAGCCTCTGGGCTCAGTACGCCTCTCTACCTCCGCGCCGACTCGCTCCCCGCCTCCAGCCTGCCCCCGCGGCTGCAAACCCAGGCCTCGTCCCTCGTTTCCGCCGAATACGCCTCCTCAGTGGCCTCGTCCCCCTGTGCCTCGGCCTACGCTGAGCTCTCCCTCGACAGCGACAGAGGAGGTGACGAGGCTGGTCCTGCGCTCAACCAGGCCAGAAGCCAGTCTCCCTTTCGAGTCTCAAGACGGGCGGCCATTATGAATGGCGATGACGACCTGCCTCGCCGCTCGTCATCTCCGCTCAAACGACGCGCCTCGGGCATGGATTCCGAAACAGACGCTGCTGCCAAGAACGGCGACGTAGACATGGTCAAGTCTCAGACCACAGATCGCGGCAATGAGTCGGTAGACAGCCTCCCTCGCGACATGAGCGTCGATGCCACCGAGACGAATGGCCATGGCGCCGCCGAAAACGCCTCTTCTCAACGTACGTACCACATCCAGACTCCCCTTCCTTTGTTCCTTGTATTGTCCAGAAACGTACCTGACACGAGCGACAACAGCTCCTCCTCCCCTGTCGGAGCAAGTCAAGATCATTGAGATACTGCTCAAGGCCTTTGCGGAAGCTCCAGTCAAAGAAGGCAGCGTGGCATACTTGGTATCGCGATCCTGGATGAGCCAGGCGCTTGCACTGCGCCCCGATCCCAAGGCGCCCAAGGCGAGCTCCGCCGAGGTTTCCCTGGGCCCCGTCGACAACTCCGATATAATTGGCGAGGTCATCAAAGATCCCAGCGGCACGCGCTTTGTGTGCCTCAAGCCTGGAGCCGGCCTCGAATCTTTCGAGTTGTTTCCTGACGACGCGTGGAAGCTGGTCATGGACTGGTATGGCATCAAAGACGGCCAAGCCCCGATTGTTCGCATTGCCGTCAATACCGCCGACAGCAAACAAGACCCACCCAACATCATGTACGAGTTCCATCCGCCCGTCTTCCGCGTTTATCGACTCTGGTCGGAAGTCAGCCCCTTGCCGATAGAGCAGTCGCTCAAGGCCCGAAACCCGCCACCCCTCGTTCTCGCCAGGAGCTCCACCGCCCACGCCCAGACCTTCCTCAAAGATCTCAAGGCTCTCACAGGCATCCCCATGGACCGCAAGGTTCGCCTGTTCACGATTCCTCCAGAGCTACCGGCAATCAGCGGTCCCTCCGAGTCACACTCGACTCTCACGCCCCCGGACTCTCCCGGACGGCAAGGACCAAACTCGAACCATTCCCAGCATGCGTGGCCAAGTCTCTTGCTGGATATTGCAACCTTTTCTCACGTTCGAGACTTGAAAATCGCGGTTCAGCTGGCGGACCAGACGGCCAACGAAAAATTCAATGGCCAAACGACTCTCCAGCACTACCATCTGACCACCAACCAGACGCTCGTCATTGACGAGTCCATTGGCAGCTACTGGGTCAGCAGTTACACCGGCCGAGAAAAGATTACCGAAAAGTCTATCCCGTCAAGAATCAACATGGCAGCTCTATCCTCCAAGGCTAACAGCAATAGGAGCAGCCCGTCTCGTGACGGCCCTCTAACTCGCGGTCGAGCCCAAAAGAAGCGGCTCGGCCGAAACACCGGGGCCGTGGGCTTGCACAACCTTGGAAACACCTGCTACATGAACTCGGCCCTGCAATGCGTCCGAAGCGTGGAGGAACTATCCAAGTACTTCTTAACCGAGTCACACCTCCCCGAGATCAACGAAACAAACGTTCTGGGCTACGAGGGCAGAGTGGCGGTAGCTTATGGCAACCTTTTAAGGGAGGTGTACGATGAAGGGAGAAGCACCGTGAACCCTCGCGAATTCAAGTCCACAGTTGGCCGATGTCGCCCCACGTTCTCGGGATGGGGCCAACAGGACTCTCAGGAGTTTCTCGGCTTCCTCCTCGACGCCCTTCAGGAAGATCTGAGCCGTATCAAGAAGAAACCCTACATTGAGAAGCCCGATTCCACTGACGACATGGTCCACAACCCGGAGGCGATACGGGAAATGGCCGACAAGGTATGGGACATCACTCGCCGGCGGGACGACTCTGTCATTGCCGATCTGTTTACCGGAATGTATAAATCGACATTGAGGTGTCCCGAGTGCGGCAAGATCAGCATCACGTTTGATCCCTTCAACAACTTGACACTGCCCTTACCGATGGAGGACATGTGGACCAAGGCAGTCAAATTCTTTCCGCTCAATGATATCCCCGTTAAGATCGAGGTGGAACTGCCGAAACACAGCTCAGTCGAACGCCTTAAGCTGTATATATCGGACCGAACTGGTGTCCCCATAGAGCGATTGATGGGATCCGAGGAGTTCAAGGATCGGTTCTTTAAAATGTACGACAACCACCAGGACATTTCCGAGGAGATCTCGCAGACGGATACGCCGACGATGCATGAGTTGGAGGCCGTCCCGACGAACTGGCCGTGCAAGACACCGCGAAAAAAGTATCGATCCATGCTGGACGTCGACTCGCCTCTGGATTCGGTCGAGTCCGACGACGAGCAATGCGAGATCATGGTTATTCCCGTTCTCCATCGCCGGCCGCAGCTGCTCGGGCGAGGTTTTGACGGAGTTTCTCCTCCTCACTTCATCACCTTGAACCGCAAGGAGGCGTCGAGCCTCGACTCGATACGGCGCAAAGTGCTCGAGAAGGTTGCCACCTTTTCCACGTGGTCCAAGCTCGCCGATACACCTGACGCGAACGGACACGCGGATTTTGTGGATGGTGACATGGTTCTCACCACAGCCTCGGACGCTGATTCTTCGGGGGACAGCAAAGTGGCTGCTTGCTCGGTGGAGGGCGAGGAGGACATGGTCGACATCACCATGAGGGACGCGCACGGCAATCTCGGCGCGCAGTCCAGAGTCCTCAAGCGTTTCAACGCACGCCGCCCCAAGTTTACCAACCCGGACAATTTCCTCGACCCGGAACTGCAGAACCTCTTTGAGCTCTGCTACTTTAGAAGCGACACGGACGGTACTGTCCCGACGGGGTGGTCCAACGTCGACAACGCATGTGCGTTGCCAAAGCTATCCGATCGCGTCCCTGACCTGAAGGAGGTGGATCAAGCCAGCCCCGAGAGTCTTGATAGCACCCTTTCGGGCAACGAGGACAGCAGCAACGAAGACGAGAAACGATCAGAAACACCCCAGACGCGCATGACGGAGGAGTCAAGCGATGAGGATGCCTCCCCGGCCGCCAGGGTATGCTCGCCATTCGGGTCAGAGCTTGAAGAGCTTGGCACAGGCTTACTGACAGCTCTGCAGTTTTCGGCTCGACCAGGGCGACAGCACCCAAAGTTCGGGGCCGGCGGCCGCAAGAAGTTCAAGGGCCACAAGACGTACAGTAAAAAGGGCAATAAGCGCCGCGACAAGCAGATGCGGGGCGGCAAAAACCAACAGCGTATGCCCCCCGCCGTCAGCCCGCAGCCCATGCCTGCCGCAGTCGCCGACGGCGGGCCGCTGGTCCGCCTCTACGAGGGAATCACAGTGGACTGGAGCGAAGAGGCTTGGGAGATGGTCTTTGGCAACACGAGACGCTTCGATGCTGCCCGAGGCGGGAAAACGTTTGCGGACCTCGAGACACTGCACGACCCCGCCCTCAAGGCCAACCAGAAAAGACGACAGACGCGCAGATCCAGAGGCATCACCTTGGAGGAGTGTCTCGACGAGTTTGAGCGGGCAGAGGTCCTGTCGGAGCAGGACATGTGGTACTGTCCACGGTGCAAGGAGCACCGACGAGCGAGCAAAAAGTTTGACCTGTGGAAGACGCCGGATATCCTGGTTGCGCACCTAAAGCGGTTTAGTAGCTCTGGGTGGCGCCGCGACAAGCTGGATGTGCTGGTCGACTTCCCGATTGAGAGTCTGGACCTCACCTCGAGAGTGATTGAAAAGGACGACGGCAAGGTTGAGGTGTACGATTTGATTGCCGTCGACGACCACTACGGAGGACTTGGCGGAGGCCACTACACTGCCTACGCCAAGAACTTTGTGGATGGACGCTGGTACAGTTTCAATGGTACGTGGCAGCCCGTGCATGCATGCCGCAAAGGCCGCGCTCGCTAACTCTTGAGGCAGACTCGTCGGTGCATGTCGTGTTGGATCCCACGTCGGTTGTCACGAGTGCCGCCTATCTGCTCTTTTACCGTCGACGGTCCAGTGCCCCCCTGGGAGGGCCGCGGTTCGCCGAGATCTTGGACAAGTACGACAAGGAAACGTACGGATCTGACTACGAGAACGCTGAATCGGGCGAGGACGGTGGCCAAACGGCCAAGCCTGCCAACGGACAGGACTCGAGGCCCGACGACGAGGAACTGCCGGCCTACGACAAGACGATCCGTCGAAGCATAGAGGGCGACGGAGCGGAAGTCTCGAGCACGTGCCAACCTCTGGAGTCAAAGTCTCTGGACATGACGCAGGGGTGGAACTTTAACGGGCTGGGCTCGCGTGGGGCCGGAGCGTCGACGGGGGGCGAGTGTGGCAGCGACGATGCCCAGTTCGACTCGTCGGGCGACGAGCGAGGACGGGACTTGGTGGAGCAGGACACCGACATGGCGTCGAGCGTGACAGTCGAAGACAAGGCCGCGTGGGAGGGCCAGGGCGTGATTGCGGTGCCGGCGCGGACAGGCAGTGAGGGTGACTCGGACGAGGTGGCCGAAATTCACTTGGAGGGCGACAAGGCAGGCCGCAGCCAGTGAGGGGAATGTGCTGTGAGGAAAGGCAAGTGGGAGAAGCGAGTGTTGACTGGTATCCATGGCTCGATCGAATTGGACTCGGCAAACCGATGGCTGGACAGGGACCTAGTAGAGAAGGGAGCCGAGCGACGAAAGGGCGAGAACAGCGCAGGCGAGAGTTGATGTAGATAGGAATAGAAGCCGGCCCGGGCGCTCGTGTATGCACAGGCGGATGGATGCAGGCACGGCTGCATGAGATGTGCGGATAGGGGAGCGGGCGCGGGCATGGGAATACATGTTGTACACTTACTTGTGAGCTCGATGATTGCGTGACCATGTGTGGTGGTCTGGAAAGGAGGTGTGGATTTGCAGATGTGCAGCATGAGGGAGCGGCGCGACCCGGATGGCGCACAAGGAATGGAGAGGACGATGTGTCTTGGAGAGGCTACGTTGGGCAAGAGGACGAGAGGATTTGGTCCTTCGGATTTATTGCGGCTTGCTGTGTGGTACAGTAAGACAAGGTGGAATGTAGGCGAGCGTGTTGTGTTGTTGTACGACAGACTTGTGTGTCATCTGAGACCGACTAGAAGCGCCATGGACGTATCCTGTGACTGACTGAGGATTTCGCTCTTCTTCTTTTTCTCTTGGTTTGGGGTGAGGGGACGGTGGACAGGACCTTTATTCTTTCTCTCTCTCTCTTTCTTTCTCTCTTTCTCTCTTCTTAAATTTCTTCTTCTTCTTCATCTTCTTTCCTCTTTGTACTTTGTTCTCTGCTTCAGTTCATGTCGGCATCTGGGCCGGCGTTTTTTTTTGTGGTTGGGCGGTTGGAAGAGGCGTGATGGAAGGCTTCGACGGCATGTTCTGGAAGACGTCCAGAAGCGGGCGTCCCCACCAGGGTGCGTGGCGTGGGTGGACTGGGTACGTACCTACGGATATGTGCCTAGCAGGCTTCTATAAAGTGGGCCCCGGGGAAGGTACAAGGAGGATACTTGTGCTCTTCCGTTTGCGCGCACCATGAGAAGGCGCTGGAGACGGTCCCTTTTTTGCGTTTGAGACGGGTGGATGTCAGTTGCAGCGGTAGCAGAGGCAAAAGACCCAAGTTAGCAAAGGTAAGCGGTGGTGATCATCCACCGGTGCGTTTTCGAGGTGCAAGGCCTTGCCTAGACTGCCTTTGGGCACGGCAGCACAAGCCTCGACCTACAGTGTGATGAGTGTGTGTCCGTGCAGTGGCGGCCCTAAAGGAGGGTTGTTTGGCGAGGTCGAATTTAGGTGCGTGCTAACGACGGGCTGTGCTCCGTGTTGGGGTATCGTGCTCGTCTCTGAAGCAGATACAGTAGAGTAGGTCAGTTCCTAGGCCAGAGTCAAAAAAAGAATTTGTGGGGGAGCAAGGATGGCGGGGGGGGAAGAAAGAGGGGGAGAGGCAAGAGAGGCTGTCAGATGATGATGATGACGGAATGGTCGGCAACGCGAGAGCCGTGATTGGCCCAGGACACAGAGGAGGCCCGGATCCGGGACCCAGACGAGACGAGACGCTGCTTGATCCCGAAGGCGCCGCAGACGATGATGGTTCAGTGCTGGTGCCGATGCTGGTGCCGATGCTGGTGCCGGTGCTGGTGCCGGTGCTGATGTTTTGTGCCGATGGTGCCGATGGCGTGTGCCTGAGCCTGAGCCTGAGCCTGAGCGGGAGCCCGAGCCTGTGCCTGAGCCTGTGCCTGTGCCTGAGCCTGTGCCTGTGCCTGTGCGCGCTGGCTGCAGTGACGGACGCTTTGCAAATTCCTTTTTGTTGTTATTGCATTCACAGGCACGGAGAGAGAGAGCGGGGGACAGAGAGACCAAGTCTCACCATGTCACCATGATACAGTATCAGTAGGCAAAGAGTGAGGGGAAAAAGGAGGAGGGGGAAACGTTGTGGCACACAGACTGCCTCGAGACGACAAGCTTCGCTCCACTCTGCTCTGGGAGCTTACGTACGGCAAGTGGTGGGCTAGCTTGTTTAGGCAGATACCGTACCTTGTTTGGTTTAGAGGTTTAGAGGCCAGAATGCCCAAGGTTAATAAGCTCTCTCGTTATCTCTCGTTATCTCTCGTTATACATAAGCACAGCGGCTCCATCGCTCGCTCTCCCACTCACCCACGCGTCCCGGGGACTGTTGCGATAGGGGCATCATCATCGCTTGATGATTCTCTGATCCGAAGCGTCGACATCCACTGTAGTGGATTGCTCGGGTAGGCAGTCGGCACGCATTGCCCGCCAAGACGTCTAATTTTCATACAACGGCAGCAATAACTGGGCCTCCCCTGCCTGAACGGGTCCGGTCCGCAGGGCTGCCAGCCGGAGCAAAGGAGACGAAGCTTTCGGAAATGCCCTTGACTTGCTTCGGGCAAGGACCGTGACGGCGAGCAACCTGCCGAGTACCAAAGCATGCGAAGAGTCGAATCAAAAGATCTCCCGCCAGATCCGGGAGTCCGATTATCCTTTTCCTTTCGACGTCCGGGTTCGTGAGTGCCTTGGCATTCCGCTGGAGCCGCTTTCGACTCCTCTTTTTTTTGCGGGAAAAGAGATCGAGGAAAAGCTGTTTAGACGCAGACACTGTGCCGCGTCCAGCAAAGTCGTTGCATGCAGATCGAGCTTCGGTGCTTGTTCGCTGCACCACCCGTCCAATCATTCTGGAAGCGCCCCCTGCGCTTTCGAAAAAAGCAAAGCCGGGGTCCATGTCTGTCTCGGTCCTCGTAACCTTTTCCCACACCCACACACAACCATTCTCTTGCCTCTAATGCCATACCAAGAACGACAACGGCCATGGACATGGACGCCAGCCACTAACAGTGGAGGTGCCTTGGTGGCGCTTAGGTAGCAGCCCACCATGGGCATTCTGACAAGCAACGCCCCCCCCCACACCCAGGCCGCTACAGTGCCCACTACGAACCGCCCTCCCCCGCCGGCTCCAGCAGGCCCAAAATCCCCGGGGCCACTGGCTTCCGCTGTCGCCGCCCGCCCACTCGACCCGCCCACTCGACTGCGACGAGCTTCGCTTCCACCCATGATTGCGCTCAACTCGCACCCCTCTCTCCTCTCGCCCTCTCTCGACCCGACGACAGCGGCCCTCCTCCGCCCGCGTCGTGCCTCTTGCCCCCCTTTTTTCCTTTTTACTCTTCACCTCATCTTTTAGCCTGCCTGTGCTTTACCGTGCTGGAACGCCGCCGTTGCGCAACAGCCGCCGTCTCTCCAGTGCGTGCAGGCGCATTCCCACCTCCTCCGTCCGTCCCTTCTCCCCCCCCCCCTCTCCCAACAAAGCAGCAGCGCAACGCAACGAGCCTTTCCTCTTCTCCTCTCCTCCATCTCTCACCCGACAAACCACCTCGCTGCTCCCGTCTGCCACCGCTGCAGCAACAACAACACCAACCAACGAGAAGTCGCGGCTCACCCTCCCGACGGCACTCCATCATCGCCCTCCCGACGAGCCCCCAATTCGCTTCGTCCACCACGATTCGTCTCGGCACCCGCCACCCCTGCTCACTTATCCGCCTGCGCCCGACCTCAGGCCCTCTCCCTTCCCTTGCCGTCGACTGGTTCGAGCTGGTCACACGGACGCGCAAAACTGCTGCTCCTCCTGCTCTCGACACTCACGAGCCCCCGTGCCCGTGTGGCCAACGTGCTCCAGTCGCGAGACTGGTAGCCTTTCGTTGCCACCATGGACCGACTCCCATGCCATGTCGTCTACGTCAACCGTGCCGCTGGCCACGATCGCCTCGTCCAAGCCGTTCCCGACGGCGGCGCCACGCCTCCCTCGTCCGACTGGAAACCCGACCACACCCGACAGTTGGTCCAGCCGCTCCTCGATGCCTTTGGCGATGGTTCGTCCAACCCCCTCGATTGCTGACCCTGACGCCCGCTCCTAACCTGGGCTCGCAGTTCACGTCTGCGCCTCCGGCCAAGCCTGCTTGTCCAAGCTCATCCAGCTGCAAGATCACTCGAGGACGGACACGACTCCCACCCTACTTCTCCTCGATACACCCCACGACGAACAATACTTCCCCCATCCCCAACCGCACTCGGCCACCTCGTCCACACACCTCGGCCTTCCCTCGCCTCCCGGCCACATGGACATTCGCACCCCGGACGAGGAGCTGTACGGCTTGACACTCCTGCAGAAGCTCGTCACCGAGGCGCACCTGCGCAATGTGTCCAAGCTCGTCGTCACCGTGCCCGTCATCAGCATGCCCCATACCGACGACGCCGCCACTAGCGAGCACATGACCGACGGCGCCGTCGAGGCCGATTTCGCCGCTCCCGGCATGCTCGACGCCTACCGCCCGCTGATACGAAAGTGCCTCGACATCGGGGCCGTCGACGTCCTCATCAGCCCCCTGAGCCCCAAGTGCATAGCCACCCTCGAGATATGCGCCTACAGGGCCCGCCGCGACGCTGCCCGGGAGCAGCAGGCCATTATGGAAATCACAAAGGGCCGCAAGCGCTCCTGGGTCGGCGTCAACGAGCAGAAGCCCTTTGCCTACCTGCGCGAGGAAATGGTGGCCGGTCTCATGAAGGGCATCTGCCGCCTCGATACCGAAGACGTCCAGATTCGCGGCGCCCATATTGCCGTCTCGCCCGAGCGCCAGGCCGCCGTCGCCGCCGCCGTCGGTCATTGGCACTTTAGCGCCCACGACTTTTCCGACGATGAGCTGCTCGTCGGCGCCGTCCTCATCTTCAAGCACGCCCTCGCCATGCCCGAGCTCGAGCAATGGCGCATCTCCACGGGTGAGCAAAGCCCCCCCTGCGCCGTGACAACGCCATGCAGCGCCTGTCCAACCGTCCACTGCTAACGGCTCCCCTCTAGGCCAGCTGATAAGCTTTCTCGTCGCCTGCCGCGCCGCATACAACACCTTTGTCCCCTACCACAATTTCCGCCACGTCGTCGATGTGCTGCAAGCCACCTTTAGCTTCCTCGTCCAGATCGCCGCCCTGCCCCCGTACGACCAACGCGGCCAGCAGCGAGGCGGCTTAATGCCCGAAAAATCCCCCATGGCTGACCTGGTGACTCCTTTTGAGGCACTGACCCTCCTCATCACCGCCATTGGCCACGACGTCGGCCACCCCGGCGTCAACGGTTTCCTGTCAACCCTGAATGCGCCGCTGGCTCAGCTGTACAATGACCGGTCCGTCCTCGAGTCGTTCCACTGCGCCGCCTACTCCCAGATACTCCGTCGATATTGGTCCGCCGTCTTTGAGGACAGGAAGATGCGCAACCTCATGATCAGCTCCGTCCTCGCCACCGACATGGGGCTGCATTTCGACTACATGAAAAAGCTCGGCGATCTGCAGGCGAAGCTTCAACATGAAAACAGCACCAATGGCTGGAACGGGCGTCAGATCGAGGAGCACCGGGCCCTGGTGTGCTCGCTGCTTATCAAATGCGCAGACATCAGCAACGTGGTGAGTGCGGCAGTTCAATGACTGCGGAGACGTGCGCGGGCAGACAGCTCAGACTGACCAATGCAGGCGAGACATCACGACACGGCCCTGCAATGGATGTTTATCCTGTCGGAGGAATTCTCCAGGCAGGCATCCATGGAAGACGAGTTGCAGATCAAGTCGTCGCTCATGGCGCCGCCCAAAAAGGACATGATGTCGCTGGCCAATGCTCAACTCGGCTTCATGAACATGTTTGCCATTCCACTTTTCCAGGGTGTGGCCGACATCCTGCCGGACATGCAGTATACGGTCGAAGAGCTCGATGCCAACAAGGGCCTGTTTGAGATCAAGGTGCAAGAGGAAAAGGCCAAGGAGCCGAGGGACCCCAGAAGCCGGCTGCGCCACGAGAGAGCGCGTTCTCCCAGAACGAGGAGCGCTACACCCGAGCCCAAGGACGACGACGAGGGGTCGGCGCCGCGGCAGGCCGAAGAACCCACGCCCAAGACGGACGTGGGGTCGAACGGCCACGGCGGCGCCCCACAGGTGCTGGCCGACGTCGAGCGCCGGGACGGCCAGCCCCTGTTGAGTGCGTCGGAGCGACCATCCAAGTCGCAGTCGACCGGTGACTACAAGGAGGCCAACGGCCAGGTGTTGCCGGTTGACCCGGTGAAGGAGTCTACCGACAGCGATCCGCTCCACAGCCAGAGCCGCGGCGACGGCGACGGCATAGCGGACGGTAAGATGTCTGCGCCTTCGGGCCTCCACCGCTGCAGCGAGACGACCGAGGGCAGCGCGTCGGCGGCGTTTGCAGGCGACTGGCAATCGCAGGCGACGAGCGCCATGACGGGGAAGTTGGCCCTGTCACCCAGCACGCAGGGCACCAGCATTGTTAGCAACGAGTCGCTGGATCGCACCCTCAGCGCCTCGGGGCCCAACAGTTCCCCCCCGAGCACGAGCAACCACGGCTCTCCGACGACGGCGTTTGGGCCGGAGGAAGAGCGAGAGGAGGAGCCGTCGCCGGCCAGCAACGTGGTCAGGGACGAGGGGAAAACGCTCAAGAAGCGGCCGAGCCGATTTAGGATCAAGGACTTTCCCTTTTTCAGGAGAAACAGGGGGCCCAGCCCACCCTTGCCGGCGGCGGACGCGACCAACTGAAGCATCGCGCCGGCCGCGTTGACGAGTCTGAGCAGCCTGGCGAGAAGGACAGCTGCGAAAGGCAAGGACTCGGGGGGTGAGGCGACGTCGTGAAAACAGCCACGAGCGGTCTCGGAAGGTAGTGAGAGGCACAGCGGCCTCTACCAAGAGCGCGTCTCGCGTCGATGTACACTTGTTTTACCGACGCGACTATATAATACTGTACAGTACATATGACAGAAGGGTTCGGGGCCTTGACGGCCAGGGGCTCGCGTGGATTTTGTTTTATTTTTGGGCTTACGGAGATGCGAAGAAGGAAGGGCTGGTCTTTGATTTCGACGGCGTTGTTGTGTGCTCCCGGATGGGCTCGGGGGTGGGCTGGACCAGGACGAAACGGGATTCACGTCTAATGGGAAAGGATGGATAGTACTCGGGCGTCGTTGCCAAGGATATGGCAAAAGCGGGAGAGGGAGAAAGACTGGAGCGAGCGGGCCCGAAAGACATTGGGGCGCGTCGTTTTTCGAGGGGAGTGTGGGCTTGGGTCTATGCCATATGCCGCCTGTTTGCCGGACAGGCCATTGGAAGAATAAAAAAAGCACGATAGGCTATAATGGTAGGTATATGCACATGGCTACTGCTGCTGCTACTGCTGCTGCTACTGCTGCTCGCAAGTTGTGGAGGGAGTGAGGGTGAGGGTGAGGGTGAGGCGTAGAAAGAGGTTGTTCAAGTTCGGCGAGGGGCGCCGCAAGCGGATGAGACGAGGATTCGGACGGAGGGCAGTGGGTCGGATGGCAGGGCGGGGAGGGAGGTGACGAATCGGAGGCGAGGTGCGGCGCGAGGTGCGGCGCGAGGTGCGGCGGTGGATGGTGGATGGTGGATGGTGGATGGTGGATGGTGGATGGTGGATGGTGGATGGTGGATGGTGGATGGTGGATGGTGGATGGTTGGATGAGATGGTGGATGGGGGGAGATGGTGGATGGGGGGAGATGACAGTGGTGACGGTGGATTAGGAACGGAGTCGGGACAATAATTAGCGGCCCGCCCAGCCCTGAATCTGTAACGTAATCCACCCCCTTCCCGGTCAGACCCCCTACTCGGTCAGAAAAAGTCTCCACGCGGCGACCCACACTTATGGCAAGACAAACCGAGCACTATGACGGCAACGGGAGACCAATCGGTTCCACGCGAAGAACGGGTCCTGCTCGCCGTCAGGGCCTATCAGCAGGGCCAATTCAAAAGTACCCGCAAGGCTGCGGCCGCATACGACGTCCTCAATCGACAGTATCTGATCGACTGCGCGGTGTCATTCGCCGACGCGACGCTCAGATGAACAACCTGAAGTTGACGGCGACGGAAGAGACTGCCCTGGTACAATGGATCTTGTCGATGGACGAGCGAGGAATGCCGCCGACAGTGGCTTACACTCGTCGGATGGCCAACTTATTGCTTTCCGAGCGAGGCAAAGATCCTGTCGGGGAAAACTGGGTGCGGAAGTTTGTTGGCCGCCACGGCGAAATCAAGGCAAAGTACTCTCGCCGATACGACTACCAACGAGCCAAATGCGAAGACCCCCAAAAGATCCAAGGATGGTACGATCGAGTCGCGGCGACGAAACAGAAATGGGGATTCTTGACGAGGATGTCTATAACTTTGATGAGACGGGGTTTCAAATGGGAGTCGCTGCAACGGCGAGAGTCCTTACCCGGTCTGACCGGCGAGGTCGGGCAGTACTCACGCAGCCTGGAAATCGAGAATGGGTTACTGTGATCGAGTCTATCAACTGCCAAGGTTGGGCTTTACCGGCGAAGGTTATCTTCCAGGGCAAGTTACACCAAGCAAGCTGGTACGAATCAGGAGTGCCCGATGACTGGCATATCGCCGTTAGTGAGAATGGCTGGACTTCCGACGACCTTGCTTTGAATTGGTTAAAGGAAGTCTTTGATCCGAATACACGGCGCCGTACGGTTGGTACGCATCGACTTCTTATTCTCGACGGGCACGGCAGTCACGTCACGCCGGAATTTGACAAGTACTGTACGGCCAATTCCATCGTAGTACTCCAAATGCCTGCACATTCCTCACATCTCTTGCAGCCTCTTGATGTCGGGTGCTTTTCGCCGTTGAAAACCATATACGGCCGAAAGGTTCAAGAGAAAATGCTCGCTGGGATCCATCATATCGACAAGCAGGACTTCCTTCCCATGTACTTAGACGCTCGCCGACAAGCACTTTCGCCGTCGAATATCCGAAGCGGATTTATGGCAACAGGCCTTTTTCCGTTTGACCCAAACAGAGTATTATCGCGGTTACAAGTTCAGGTTGACAAAGTCGGTAACGATCACGGCGACAAGAATACTCCAAGTCCCAACAAGAGCCTGGAAGCAGCCAAGACTCCGCATAACGTCAACCAGCTTACCACTCACGCCGAAAGGCTTCTTCAACGCCGGCCACAAAATACAGACTCGCCAGTTTCACAAGCTATCAACCAGCTTATCAAAGGATGTCAAATGGCCATGCACAGCGCCGCCCTCCTTGCCGACGAAAACCGGCAACTTCGGTCAGAAAACCAGCGGCGAAAGCAGAGAAAGAACAGCGCCGTGAATACATTGGCGACGGCGGTACTCTATCGGTTGCAGAGGGCACGGTTAGGATAAAGCAACGGAGAGAAGAAGAAGAAGAGCGGGTTAAGCGACGGAGAGTGGAAGAAGAGGAGAGGACTAAGCGCCGGCGAGAGAAGGACGAGGAGCGCCAAGCGACGACAAGAAGGAGAAGAGCGGGCCGAGCGACGGCGACAAGAGAACGAGGAATGGTTCAAGCTACGGCGAGAAAAGGAAGAGGAGCGGGTCAAGAAACAGAGAGCAAAGGAAGATGAGCGGGCCAAGCGACGGCGGGAAGAAGGGGAGCGGGACCAACGACTTATAGAAGAGCTGAGTGTTAGGGGTGATAGACGAAGGTGAATTTTTTGAAGATTTTGAATGAAGGATGAATCAAATGAATTGAATTTTTTGGATCTTGATTCAAAATCTTCAAGCTCCAATTTTCGCGATTCAAGTTGGGTTTGGGCCAATTCAGGCCATTCATGAATAGTTTGAAGGGATCCCCTAAACGAAGTGAATTTGGTGACGCGTTCGAATCCGCGATTGTACACAGTTACACACTTGTAGAGCCTCAATCCTCCGAAGCCTCCATTGTATCTGGACAGGGGGTTGATATCGCAGACTTATCGGCTTGGGAGGCAGGAGGTTTGGGGGGGAGGAGGTTCGGCGGGGGCCTCGGGAGTAGCCTCGGGGGGGACTTCCGCCGGGGCAGGGGGGTGAGGAGGAGGATTCTCGCCTGAACGCAGATTAGCATATACACAAACAATGAGGGTATATTCACACCATCTACCAGCTTGCCCGGAAATTGGAATGTGGTCTGGTCTTCAAATAATAGAGCGTGCCGTTGTTGGCGGCGTTGTCTCCCGTAATGGCGAGAAGCTTTGGCTTGAGCCTGAGCTCCTCAAGTGTCTTCTCAACTATCTCGTGTTTGCCAGTGTGAGATTTTTGAGCTCGATAAACTCAATAACCTCCTCTCTCCTCAAACTCCGGCGTAATCCAGTGCGTAATAATGGCGAAAATAGGCACCCGATTCGGTGCTGTCCAGATATCAAGGGTGAGCGAGATGGTAGCACAATTGTACTGAAGCTCGATCTTCAGCTTCTCTCTGCGTTCCACAAAGTCTGTGTAGATGTGATTGCGTAAGGTTATACGGCTCCTGTACACACAGGTTGTATTGTGAGCCAAGAACATCTCTTGGAAAGCAGGAGTCTCAAGTTCTCAACAACAGAGAAGGGTTGTCGGTGTTTTACAAACCACTGGCGGATAGACTCCTTTGCCGTGAGCCTTGCTCTTTGCCTGGGTCGACCGCTCCATGCATCTACCTCTGTATAATCTCCTCCACCAATGGCGCGGCCGTATCCATTGATTCGACCGTGGTGAGATTCCTTCGTAATACCGTGGATTTTTAAATGGTCTCCCATGCCAGAGGTAACCCCTCGGCGGTTCGATTCAAGGACCTGGAATATCTTCCGAAGAGTAGAAGGATTTTGAAGGCACTCTATACAAGTCCACCGGAACTCTTGGAATATTTTCGGTCCATCCTTGTACTCGAGTAAAAGCTTCTGTCTATGGCTTCCTCTGCATGTACCAATAAACGTGGCTATTCTTGTCTCTCTTCTTGCGAACATGCTTCTGTTTGTTGTCGGCCCACTTCTTGATAAGTCTGGCTTTCTCTGCGAGCGTCATGTGACTACCGGTACTGTTCAATGGCGGCTCTGATGTATCCGCGTCAGGCATGTCATCATCTGACTCACAGTCAGGATGGCCCGGGGGCGCGCAGACAATCGTATCTTTGCCAGTCGGAGGAGGGGACGAAGGAGCCGGAGTTGTGCTAGGATCAGGGCGCGCGCGCGCGGGATTCTGAGGGTTGAATTGAGGGCGTTCAATGCGGGCATAACTCTGCGTTGGCAATTTACGCCGGGTCCTAGGAGCAAAGAAATTCGCTGCGGCAGCTGTTTTCGATTCAGCAGGGGCCATACTATGTATCATGTTATAATTAGCTATCGGTTGGACAGTAATGAAGTTTTACCTGGTCTAGGCTAAAAGGCTCGAGAATGGACGTGAGACAGGTAGTCGGGACGACACCAAATAACCCACAATAAAGTATAACGGAGTCGAGGTTGAACGGGTGGGATAGGTCGTCGGGCAGGACGTTGATTCGGGGGCCGACCCGAAGCCGCTGTCGGAAACATCGAAGCAGGAATTAGGCGAGATCGTCGTAAAATAATGTCGTGACAGTTGTCGCGAAGACCGTTGCCCAATGCAGGCAAAAATGTGGGATGGGCTGACGACCGTGTCTTTCCGACAGTAGAATTAACAGGTGGTCAATTGAGCGCGAATAACGCGTCTAAACGCGGCTAGTTGGCACAACATATCCTTATCATGCAGATGTTTCGGTACTTTCTGATCGGGCTAGTTTGTGTGGACAAGCAAGTAGCAGTCATATTGGGCTCGATGAGTAGATAAGTCCCTAACAGTCTCCAAATCGCGAGATGACGCAATTCGTGTCACGTCCAATTGTTCGCGCAGTATTGAGACGTTGAGGGATCTGAACGCGTTTTTCTAATCAGTTTGCCGGAGGCTGTTTAACGGTATAAGTCTTGTATTATATTTCAAAAATTTGGGCTGCCGAGCTTAATCTGTGCTTGAGATGTAGTTTTGCAAGTAGCAAATGACCGATCTATTTATTGCCTTCAGGATGATGTGGCATTTCTTGAGCAAATGTTAAGCACAGATATCGAGAGTTATATCACCCGAACCAGAAAATCCAGAACATTCGAGTGATACTACATTTAAATGGTGTGCATTATAAAATGGCACTGTTCATAAGCTTCATGGTTTTTTTGATACTCCGTATAGGGTGGCAAGACTGCTGAAACGGTGGGCGTATCAGGCACTGTTAGGTCGTTATACCAACATATATGGACGCCCTAACTACCCCACTTCCAACCCACTGGGATTTTCCCAGTGGAGTGTGGACGGCGGAATCCAACTGAAACACGCACAACAGACTTTTAAATACGCAGTGCGTCATCGCATGGGCGGCCGATTTCGAAGTTACCATGTCCGCGCGGGCGAACCCTTGCTCCTGTCAGAACGGTGGTTCTGTGGCGTGCCTAATGGGAAAGTGCATTGTGGAATCTATTGGTATTGTGGGAATCATGCTCGTCAATTGTATCTAGATCACACGGTCAGCATGTGGCCTTAGGGTCACGTGTGCGGCTGAGGCTTGCGTGGCTATATCTTCCACGCTGGCCTCTCCTCCTAGATAGAAGACAATCCTCATAGCATAATACGACACACCGGTTGAACGACGTTCCCAGTTTGTCTCATGCTCGAGCCCTGCCAACAGGTATGATGGGGGTCAAAGCAGCTTGTTTCTTGATGTGTACGTGTGTGTCTGCTTGTTGGAACGGCGCAGCAGGAAGGGCGGCATGGGTCACCTGCCAGGTCACGTGGGGCATTCAGCCGAGATTTCTGCGGGCCCAAAAGGGGCACATTCCTAGCCGGAAGGGGGCACACACATCGCCTTTACACACACACAGCCGTGCATATAGCTCCAATTGACCTCTTCTGTGTGCCCACTATCGTTGCCACCTTCCTCATTCGGACGAGCCGCAGAACCGCTGTTTCTGACACTGCTCAGAAAGAAAAGGGAGGCCCTTGGTGGGTGGCTTTGGGCATTAGCCCATTCCTCCCCTGTATGCCCCCTTGGCTGGCAGCTGCGAAGCGGGGTGATCCTTTTTTTCACCGTATATTTCGACCATATCGCCATTCATTCAAGATTTTGATGAATGAATTGAATAAAGACTCCTGATTTTTGATTCATCGAATTTGAAGACCTTACCCGATTCGGCTTCATTCAATTCAAGGGTCCCGAGGCCGATTCGACTTCAAAATCTTCAAATATCAGCCCTACTGAGTGTCCCAAGACAGCGTGCACCACCACGGTGTAGTAAGTGCAGGTCTTTTGAACACACTGCCCGTACGTGTAATAGATAGTCCTAATCGAGTTACTTGTCTCTTGGAGTAAATATGTCGTGGTATTGTGCTCCGTTTGTCTCGCGTAAGGTGCGGGTCTAGTCGGTGGGGAATTTTTGACCGAGTAGGGGGTCTGACCGGGAAGGGGGTGGATTACGTTAGCGGCAGCCAGTCAGTGTTCGCATGTATTTACTAGGTAGGTACCTTAGGTAAGCAAGGTACCTAGGTACCTAGGTAGGTAGGTAAGGTACCTAGGTAATTACCTTCACCTCTGTACAGAGGTACATGCATGCGCGCACGGGTACCTCGTTCAAGTCCCGATTCTCACGTGCAAAACAGGCACCAACCGCCGCCGATTCGCACGGGGGTTTCGCCTTCTGCTTCTTTGCCTAAACACGCCTCGTCTCGGACATGATGGCTCGGCTGCACGTCCCGATGGTTGATGGGCTGTGAGGGCGATCCAATGGGACACTGTCGGCGGCTGGGGCAGCAAGCCATTGTGGCGACAACCGAGGCTCTCTTAAGTTTCTACCACCTACCACTTACCACTTATTACTAGCAATTCGAACTCTTCAACTAAAGGCCCCCTCTCCCATCATCCTCCATCCCTTTGACCCAAGACCCGGTCACAAGACCCCCTCACAAAACCCCTCACAAGAACCCTCACAACATCTCATCGAGGCAGGTCGGGCCGAGCTGAAACGCATCATCATCATCATCATCCTGTGCAGCGACGGCGATTCTGACAACAACGGCCGCATTGGCACCGCCATGGAGCTGCCGCAGGACCACAAGTCCGTGGCCACGCCCGTGCCGGATCCCCCCTCGGACGACTTCATGTCCAAGGCCCAATGGGACACTCTGTACGCCCTTTTGGACGCCTGTCTCCCCGCCATTGCCTCGTCGACATCGCCATCGACCGACCCCGCCGAGCTGCTCATCCTAGACGACGACGACTTTGAAAAGGCCCTGGACCGCGCCGCCTCGTCGATGCGCGACCCACCTAGCCGGGACGAGCTCAAGACGTTCCTCGAGTATAGGCCGACGCAAAACGCAAAGTTCAGGGCCGACTGCCTGCAGTCGCTGGCAAATGCGCCCCAGAAGGGCCAGCTTGTCAAGGTCTTGAGTCTGCTGGGGTGAGTTGAAAGAGGCTCCATCGCCCGCGACGTTTTCGGCGGCTGACGGTAGACCCCTTGAAGCACAAACTATGGCAGCCTGCTGCTGACGGGCTACTGGACGCCCGTGGCCCGACAGCCGACGAGGACGCGCGAGGCCATCATCAAGTCGTGGTTCTCGTCGCGGCTGCTCAGCCTGCGCTCACTCGCTAAATCAGTCGCCATGATGGCGCAAAAGGCAAACTCCGTGTCGAGCCCCTACTTCCGCGAGCTCTCGGGCTACACCGACGTGCCGCGCAACTGGAAGGCGACGCGCGGCTACGCCTTTAGCTTTGTCCAGCTCGAGGCCGGCAGCGGCGTCCACGAAATCACCACCGACGTCGTCGTCGTCGGCTCCGGCTGCGGCGGCGGCGTGGCGGCCAAGAACCTGGCCGAGGCCGGCCACCGCGTCCTCGTTGTCGACAAGGGCTTCCACTTCCCGCCCGCCCACCTGCCCATGCCCCAGAGCGCCGCCTGCAGGCACCTCTTTGACAACGGCGGCGCCTACATATCCGACGACGCCGCCGTCGCCATGGTCGCAGGCGGCGCCTGGGGCGGCGGCGGCACCGTCAACTGGAGCGTGTGCTTCCGCACGCAGGACTTTGTGCGCGACGAGTGGGCCGCCGCCACGGGCCTGCCGCTCTTCACGTCGCCCGACTATGACGACTGCCTCGACCGCGTGTGGGACTTTGTCGGCGCCAGCACCGCCGCCATCCGCCACAACCCCCGCAGCCAGGCGCTGCTCGACGGCTGCGGCAAGCTGGGCTGGCGGGCCGCCGCCGTCGAGCAGAACACGGCGTCCAAGGAGCACTACTGCGGCCAGTGCCACCTGGGTTGCGGCTCGGCCGAGAAGCGCGGGCCCGCCGTCGCGTGGCTGCCGGCCGCGGCCGAGGCTGGCGCCGAGTTGATGGAGGGTTTCGAGGTGCAACGCGTCGTCTTTGCGGCCGACGGCGTCACGGCGACGGGCGTCGAGGGGCTGTGGACGTCGCGCGGCGAAAACGGCCAGGTGCACACGCCCGCGGCCACGCGGACGCAGCGCAGAGTGCGCATCAAGGCCACCAAGGTCATTCTGGCCGGGGGCGCGCTCTGGAGCCCCGTGCTGCTGATGAAGAGCGGCGTCGAGGTCGGGCCCCTTTTGTCAACCACCCTTGCTCTCACCATCATGATGAACTGACAAGAAAGAGCAGAACCGGCACTTGGGGCGCAACCTGCACGTGCATCCTTGCAACTTTGTCTTCGCCACCGATAAAGAGGATGTACGGCCTTGGGAGGGCGGCATTATTACGAGCTACAGCTCCGAATTTGAGAATTTGGACTTGAAGGGCCACGGTGTCAAGCTGGAGCCCACGTGCATGGTGGTCAGTCCTTCCCCTCCTTGTTCTCTCGTCCTTCGTTTGTCGTCCCATTTCACGGTGACGTTGCATCTGGCTGGCGGGACAGGAGTTAAGAGAGAGGTCGCAAACTTCCATGGCGTGTGCTGACTCAATCTTGGTAGCCATATACGGTCTTCTCTTGGCATCCGTGGCAGGACGCCGTCGACGCTAAGCTGGCGGCACTCAAGTACCGAAACCTCCACGGCTTCATCTCGCTGGCCCGGGACAGAGACTCTGGACGCGTGTACCCGGACCGGCGGACGGGCCTGCCGCGTGTCGACTACACCATGTCCGATTTTGACCGCGACCACGTGCTCGAGGGCGTGCAGGCGCTGGCCAAGATATGCTACGTGACGGGGGCCAAAGAGATTCAACCGGGCTTGCAGGGGCTTGCGCCGTTCGTGGCCGACGACGGGGGCGAGCGGCAGAGGAAGCACGTGGCCGGCACGGACCCGGAGTTTACGGACCCGGCGTTTGGGGCGTGGCTGGCCAAGCTGCGCGAGCTGGGCAACAAGCCGCCGACGGCCGCGTTCGTGTCGGCGCACCAGATGGGGACGTGCCGGATGAGCGGCCTCGGGGAGGAGGCGGGCGTGGTGGACGGCAAGGGTCGGGTGTGGGGCCGCGAGGGCCTGTACGTGGCGGACGCGAGCGTGTTTCCCAGCGCGAGTGGGGTGAATCCCATGGTGACGGTCATGGCCCTGTCCGACTGGATCTCGCGCGGGGTGGCCGAGGAGCTGTCGGCGGCCAAGGGGCTGTCGGGGTGATGTGACGAGGGACGATGGGCGGCATGTGTTTTTTTTTTGGGGAGGGGGTACATGGCGCAAAACTTGGATGGCGAGGCTGCTGGCAAGCTGGTCTCGCAAACAAAGCTGGGGCGACGGCGGCTTGTTTTTTCTTCCCCCAGAGTTGTTGCGCCGACTCGGTCAGCTGGGTTGGCCGACGTAGGCGTTGTCGGCACGAGGAGGGCACGTGGACGGGTGACGTCGGTCGGGAATGTCGAATTCGGGGCACACGTGACGGCGCCACAGCCGGTCGGCTGCTTTTGGCAGGAAGAAGAGGAGGACGAGGGAGGCCTCTCTCCATTTTTTACTTTTTCAAGTCTTGCTTGTGCATATAGTCTGCATACAGTAGGCATTGGCCATGCATCAACGACCCCGGCCACACGGGGCTTCCTGACAGCCGTGTTGCTGCTGTTGGTACGGGGACCAAGAAATGCCAGTCCATCGATCGGGGCTGCATGTACGGAGTAACTACGTACCGACCGGGCCCGGTCCTCATGTGGCGCAACGTCGCAGTGCACAGCCACCGAGGCGGCCCGGCGAGCACTACTCCGTACATACATACATCATATCAAGGTACCAAGGTACCTACGGTGCTCTTCTTCGCATGTACTGTGTGAATACAGGGGATTGGTTGGCCGAGATCCCGTCCCTTTTTCCTTTCTTTGTTTCTTTTCCGCCTGCCTCGGCTCGGGCTGTCCGACTGCACACGTCTGCAGGGAGGAAAGCGCCTTCAGCTGCTCAGGGTTGCTCTTCTTCTTCCTTTCTCGGCCCTCCCCCCCGTCTTGACTACTGTACGTGATGCTCGTTTGATGTATATGACGCCAACGGCAAAGCATGCATGGCGACATGTCATGGAACGGTCCTCTGGTTGTTGGCCGCCAAACTGCCGCATCGTCATCGTCACCCTCATCGTCACTGCTCCTTGTCAGCAACGGTGGCGGGAGAGGGCCGGGAGGGCCGATCGGGCGGCTTTGGCGGGTGCCGAGGGGGCGGTGCGCGGCAACTCCACTTGGTCCAGGTATCTGGTACCTTGGCCAGTCGCATGTACATGTGCACACTCGACCCCGGGCTCGGGGCGGGACGGGGCGGGGCCCGCCGGCGGCCTCCTCTCCCTCCCCTCCCTCCGGGTCTCCCACGCTCCGTCCTCGCTGTTCCTTTTCGAGGCCTTCGTCAGGCAGATCGTGTCTTGCCTCTCTCATGCACAGCGGCATTGCCTGTTTGCCAGGCCCAGATCCCCGGCTCCCGATGCTACACACGGCTGCAGGTCCACGGAGTTGATGCGACGCAAGAGCGCTTGCCTGCCGCCTATTCTCTTCCCCCTCGGGGTCTTTCGTGAGAAGCACAGCGTTTTCCTAAAATAACACTAGATTAAAATTCCGGGAGAGTTTTTTTGGACCCTTGCTCGTGCGAGATGGGGGCTCGCTGGGCGCCTCATGCCACATCGTGTCACTGTGTTCTACTGGATGTGCAGTATAGGGCTTCGACGCATACGTGCTGTAATACGTACATACGAGATATGTACTGTACTAGAGGCAGAAGCAGGACGTCGGCAGCGCAAGGTTCAGACTGCAAAACTGCCATGTGAGTTACAAAGTGCTTGTGCATATGCTGCTTGGAGCGCAGCAGCTATCGGTAGTCTGCTCCCGAGGGGTGTGCGCGTGACAGTTGGTCTACTCCGCACCGATGTGGCAACTGTCCCCGGATAAGTCAGTCACGGATATTTTCTTTTTCTTTTTCCCATTTTCCTGTTCGTCAACATTGAAATGAAAATCTTCGAGCCGCCGAGTAAAGTACATACGGCTTCAAGCCTCAGGCAATCGTCGTCTGCCGCAAGGTCGCAGCCGCAGCCGCACCGTCTCATCCACCCCGGAAGGGGGGAAGGGGGCGAAGAATGAGAAGAGAGGGGAAAGGGGGGGTGGCGGGATGCAGCCGCTTTCAAGGGCCCGCCGAGAGAGCGCCGAGACCAGACAGAAGTTCCCTTGAGAAGGGGTGAGGGCATGGGATGACTAGGCCGGGCGGGTGTGAGGAGGAAGATTGCTGGTTTTTGAAATTTGGTTCTTTCATCTTGACGCCCTGGCTCTCATTTCGTCGTCGTCGTAGCGAAGATGGCTGTGGGAAGCCGTCGACGAACGAGCCTCTTGCTCGACGAGGCCCTTGGAGATGGAGTCTGCATGTCTTGGGCGCCCATGACGGTGGGACCTCGACACCACCTCCCCCCCAGACATGCAGCGTATTACCCTGTACAGTACGCAATGCCTGTACAAAGTAGCCGGGACGTCTTCATATATTCGAAATCCGATCAAGTGTCTTCGGCCCGAGATGATTGGCGCCAGGGTGGCAAACCACTCAATCAACTCAACCAAAGAGTCAAATTGAGTAGATTGACGGCTTACATCAGCGAACCTCTCGTTGAGTTGAGCAATCCAAGCCCTCGTTGAATTGATTGCGTTGATTGACGGAGTTGATGCCCTACCCTACCTATTAGTAAGCTACTTAAGGTCCTCAACACCATCAACTTCTCGTCCTTCGTGGGGCACCTCTTCGGGAAGACATCGTCATCGACTGAAGCATCAATAATCCCCTGGTAGTCGGGTATTAGCCCTGCCTTCAGCCAAGACCGAATTGCCTGGCCTGCATTGATCGTGTTAGCCTGAAGCCGGCTGCGTAGTCGTGTGACCATTAGCCCAGCAAATGAGAACGCCCTCTCGCACTCTGCTGACATTGGCGGTATAGATAGCATATCAAAGGCCATTCGAGCAAGTCTGGGATACGTTGACTCTTTGAGTTGCCAGTATTGGAACGGATCCGTGATGTCTCCGTCATCTGCGCCGATATCAACAGTCCAGCGATCGAATTCATCGGCAGTAGGTGGCCCACGACGGGTTGTGGCCGTCTGACCAGCTTGTAGCCGGTGCCTCAGTCGGAACTGTTGGAACTCGTTCAAGTCGTCAACCTTTCGACGTTTAACCATCGGAATAGCCTCGTCATCGCTGAGAATTAATGACTTATAGTCGCGTTCCCAGATGCCCCGAACAATCCGTCGTGCCTCAAGGACCCATTCAGGTCGATGAGCCCAAGCCTCCTCAAACCATTGCAGTCGCAAGGCGGGATGGAGAGCGACTGCAGCATAATATACCGGGCACTCAACCAACTTGATATAGTATTTCTCCAACTTCTTCCACCCCAATTCGACGTTTATCGCGAAATGCTCGGAATCAGGCACATCCTTGGCGAATTCCTTTGCCTCTTCCAATCGTTCAAGGAGATATTCGAATGCTTGGATAATATCCCATGCTGTTCCGTATGCCACGAGGTTGCCGCCCTTACGCACCCGAATCTGGGCATCTCCTCGAGGGCCTTGATGGCATTTTCGAAGTGCTTAAGAATATTCCGAAAGTGGCTGATCACTGTCCAGTCGTTACCGGTCAGCAGGTCAGAATCTCGGAGGCATGCAGGCATGTCTTTCTTCTTTGACCTGCTTCGTATATTCGAACTGTTCCAATGCGACGAGGTCGTCAAGAAAGTCGTGCAGTAGAAGGGCTCGATCCATCATCTTATAATGGGACAACCATCGTGTCATGTTATCCGTTACAACGTCAACTGGTTTCTTCGTACTGTCCTCTTGCGTTGTAGATCCCGAAGCATGTACGTTAACCTATCCGATTGATGAATCCAGTGGACAAGGTTGTGGAGCTTGCCAATAGGCCCCCTCTTCCGCCAGAGATCATGTCGAGCAAGGTCCAGGTCGAGTCGCTCTTCTGATTTGAAGACTTCATTATCTTTGCCAAAGAGCAGCGCTTTGGCCACGAGATTGATGATATGCCCAAAGCAGCGGACCCGTCTCTGCTTCCCTTCAAAATTAAAAACGTGTCCCAGTGCTGCTACCGCCGTATCGTTATTCTTCGCATTGTCAAGCGTGAAATACCCGATCTTGTCTTGAATCTCGAATGATTCGATCACTTCCGCCACCTGCGACGCTATATTCTCGCCAGTATGAGACTCTCGGAGTTCAGGGAGCCCAAGGATGATCTTCTGTGGCCGCTTTTCCTTAGAGAGATAGAACGCAGCAATCCCATTAAGCGCATAGCGATTGGGCGATCTCCAGCCGTCAAACGCAAGGTGTATCTGCCCGGGGCGCTCCCTCAGTTCCTTTATCACAATATGCTTGTACTGGTGGTATTCTTGGAAAAGCTTCGTTCGAATAGTCGAGTGTGTCATGTGGGCTTGAGTCAGGGCGATCGAGGGATTGAGGTATTCGAGAAGACGCCGGAATCGAGGGGCTTCAACTGCGCGGAAGGCAACATTCGACTCGGTGATCCAAGCAAGCAAGAGAGATTGGAAGACATCTTTATCGAATTGGTTTTTTAGCTTGTTAATGAATGCTTGCTCCTTCTGGTCATTGGCATCGAGGTTGAAGAATTGGGCAATAGAACGCTTGTTGGTTGTAGAACCCTTCGGTAACCGTCTACCTGATGGGTCAATAACATTGTGAGCATCATGTAGATGGCGCTCAATGTTTAGGGTCCCCTTTGCCGCGAAGCTCACGGGTCCCTTCGGCGATTTCTTCGGTAAACACCGCTCACAGACCCAGAGGCGATTATCTACGTTAGCTTGATGTTCAATGTCGAACCCAAAGCTCCAGATCCACGATTTGAGCTTGCCGGCGCGTTGAGACTTGGTATAGCCGCGGAAGTGATGCCAGGGAAGGCATCCCACTCGAGATGGGGAACGGGGCCTGAGTCGCCCGAATCGCCTGATGGCGGCAAGGAGTAGAAGAAGGCTCAGGAGATTCGCTCATTGCATATAGGAATGTTTAGATCAGCCAAGGCGTTGTGGAAGAATCGAGAAGTGGAAGTGGAACTGAGGCGAGAGATTGAACTTTGTTGTGAAGCGCGTCGATGCGCGCAGCGCGTCGACTCTTCCAACGGAACAGGGGGCCCTGTTCCCCGAAGAGGAGAGGAGGCTTACCTACAACGGGCCTGAGTAACCTGTAAGGTTAGTGGTAGCTATATACCCAATCCGTACCTACATTTCGCCTTGGCCACCTACCCTACAGGATCCCTGACCGTCAACGGCAATCTCATCAATCCATCAATCAACGGGAGCATGAATTGAATTGACAAGCTTATTCAGCAGACACTCGATTGAGTTGATTGAGTTGACGGTTGCTCAACTATATTGAGCAACCGTTGCTGGGATTGAGTGGTTTGCCACCCTGATTGGCGCGGGTCATGGCCCATTGGTGCCAGCCCTGTCGTCTAGCTCTCATGGCCCTCGGGCCAATGAGTGGCCGCGGATGCGCCTTTGGAGCCTCACCTCTTCCTTGGCCTGGGCTTGATGCTTCGGCCCAGACCATGCCTCTTCTAACACCCCCTCTTCTTCTTCCTTGCCCACTCCATTTCCCCACCCGGGTCCCGCGCCTCTCCTTCTGTGTCAAGGGCTCAGCGGCCAGCCCTCGTCCCGTCGAGGCGCCGACGTGCTGGATCTCTGTCCGGTAATTAATATCAAGAATTGAGATGGGCAGGGAGCTGTCCAACCACGGGGCGTCTCCCTCGTCCAATGGCCCCGAGCCCCGGCCGGCCACCCGCGCCGCGCCGGCCCGCGTGCTGAAGAGGGAAATGATGGAAGTCGACGCCCGTCCATCTTGCGCGGCGGTCGCATCTTGGGGCGGCGGGACCAGCCCTCTGTTCTTCCTTTTTCTTCGTGATCCTCCACGGCTCCTATTAGCTGCATGGTCTAGAAGGAGGCGGATTGTTCTTTTATCGTCATAAGTATTCAAGGGAGTGGTGGTTTCGTTTTGTTTCAAGCGTTTCCCATCTCGACGGTGTCTCGCCCCACACGTACGCGTCTACGGGATATACGGTAGAGCACTTGGTAATATGTACTCTGTACCTACCGAGAGCAAACGAGCATCGAGTACCGAGGCGGGGCGAGGGTCCGGGACTCTGAGTCGACTTGATTACGTGGCCAGGTCTCGACAGCTTGCCTTCTGTCTGTTCTGGGGCTTCTTTTCCTTTCTTTTGCTGGACCATGTTCTTTTTTAGGTTGCTTTATTTTTAACCGGGCATTTTTTTCTTCTTTTCCAAACGTCTTTTTCAACAAGGGGGCCTTGGGAGGAGTGAGGGCAAAAAGAAAAGTCCCATGTCCCTGCTGCTGCAGCAATCCACCTCGAGTGCTGCGGCGTGTAAGAGGACTCCTCTGCTGTGGCTCAGCACGCACCAGATGCGTAACCGTGCAGCCCGTCTATCGGACTGCCGAGGCCCGGCGCGCGTACATGTACATGGAGACAGGTGAGGCGGCCACAAGCCTGGCGGCCGGGACCGTGACACGTCCTTGGGGTGCTCGGGGCTGCCTGGACGCGGGGTGCCGGTCAAAGATGCAGGCGCGAGTACCGGTACCTTGGCCCCGTACCCGTCACCAAGGGACCGACCCGCCACGGGCTCGGGACGCCTCACTCCCGCCCCACTGGCCTCTGTGGCGCTGCACTGCGCTGCACACTGCGCTGCACTGCGCACTGCAGGCTGCGGCTTTTTTTTTCAGCTGCCGCCTCGGGCGACCGAGGTCTGAATTCCACTGCTCTGCTTCGAGACTGACATTGCACGGAGCAGGCCGCGGGGGCGTCGAGGCCGAGAAAAAAGGCGAATCAACGTGCGCACGGTGCATACACGACACACGTATCCCCTCCCGTATCCGCCTCGGGTAACCTCGACGAATGCGGTACCGATGCGCATACGAGGCTGCCCAGCACCTCAGTCCATCCTTGGGTGCCCCGTACAGCACGGTCAGCTGTCTTTTTTTTTTTACGTCGGCCAAAGGATGCAGTAGATGCCAGCTTAGCCCACCGACGACTGACCGAGATGTGCATTGTTCTCGCCCCCCCCCAAGCTGCAAGTCGGCAGCAGCTAGCGGACTCTGGCTAGCGCTAGCAGCCAAATGCACACGCCACCAAGTTAGCCGCTAGGAGCCCGGCATCTCTCTCAGCAGACGACAATACATGCCTAGGTAGGTAGGCGTGGGTAGGTAGGCGTGGGTAGGCAGGTACTTGCATGCCAAGGTCAATGAATGGCCTCTTTTTCCTGCCTGCAGTAGTCCGTAGTAGGGCACGAGTACCAGTACTGCATGTACTGCGGTCAGTACGAAGTGGAAGGAGTACTGGTTGTACCTGCCCGCAGAGGGAGCTCGCTGATGATCCTTCCACGCGGGACAGCTTCTTCCCATCCTTCCTGCCTTATATCTCCGCGCTTACGCCGCCCACCCTTCACCTCGCTCCCCTCTCTTGTCACCCTCCTCTTCACTCTCTCCTCTCGTCTCCTCTCGTCTCCTCTCCTCTGCCACCTCCCGGCCACGACTCCTCCCACCATTCGCTTCTTCTTCTTTTCCGTTGCCGGCAAGCTCCACGGGTCCCAAATCCCCAGAGACTTCCTTGTTGCTTCATCCCCCTTCCAACTCGTTTCTCTTTTCTTTCTTTTTCGTCGCTTTTTTTTTTAATTGTTTCGCCTTTGATCCGTCGTCTCCCCCCCACGGCCCCTCGTTTCCCGAGCCTGAGAGCAAGAGAAAGGGGATAAGACTTGCAAATCTTGCCCGCCATGCCCGTACAGTTGCTACCGGCCTCGGCCGCCGCCTTTGCCCCCAGGGCCTCGTCTGTCAACGTCGTCCTCGGCTCCAAGGTCGAGCCGTGGCTCACCCAGACGCTCAAGCGCATCAACCGTGTCAAGCGTCCCCTCAACAGCGTCCCTCAGCACCAAAGGTGCCTCACCGAAACCTTGTCGTCGCCCAACGCCATCTGGACCCTCGCCTCGCTCATGCTGCCCAAGCTCCCCGAGGTTGACATGCCCCAAGACCCCCTCGAGAACCTCTTCAGCCACCAGTTCATCCACGCCGAGGCATACATCGTCCACGTCGACATGGTCCTGCGCAACGAGGTCGCCTTCAAGCTCACCCCCGACTCCATCGACGCCCTCGTCGCCTACCACAAGGAAATCTACTGCCTCGACGCAAAGGCAAACACGTACGACTGGTTGGAAAAAGAGCAGCACTGCACAAAGCTCCACGACGACTTCGTCCAGGCCGTCAACAAGTACGTCTTCCGCACCCACGTGTCCGCCCTCGAGGGCCTCGAGGAGGACGGCGCCGGCGAACTGCTCGGCGGCAAGAGCCAGGACGTCAAGTCCGGCCTCCTGGGCCTCATGAAGCCCCTGCTGCCTCCCCCGCCCCGCGTCGTCGACGTCGTCCGCCAGCCTCCTCTCCTCCCCAGCTGCCCGGCAAGCAACCTGTGGTCGCAGCCCGGCATGCTGCCTGCCGTCGACGCCTGGAGAGTCCTGCCGTCCAGCCCAAGCGTGGCTTCGACGTCGGCCGACTCCATCAATACACCGCCCCTCTGGGCCACCATGGACATGAGTGATGTCCAGACGCCGTCCCCGACGCTGGCCTTTGACCATCCGCACTCGACTGCCGGCTTCTTCTTCAGCACCGCCCCCGTCTCGGCACCCATCCCGGCCTTGCCCTTGCCCAGCATGCTGGCGCCCTTTCAGTGCGGAGTCAGCGCCGGCATGGCCGGCTTTGGCTGGGATCGGTGCCAGGAGTATGCGACGATAATGTGACAACCAACGCCGGCCTCCGACAAGACACATCGCCCGCGTTGACCCATCGCCTGGCTGCCCTCGTGGTGCGCCGCCGCTCTCTCGCGTCATCTGTGACCGGAAGCTCGCAAGACACCATTGACTGGCCTCGGCAGCAGCTTGGCATCTCTCAACATGCATATCGGGATCGGCGTTTTACTTGCATCGGGGACGGAGTTTGAGCGGTCGGCAAACGTCCACTCTTCATTTTCTTCGACAGTCTCACTTGGCTTCGCTCTGGGCGGCTCGTATCTTTGCATTTCTTTTTCCTGTTGGCAACACAGCGACAGCGCGCATCGGGGTCTTGATTTCGTCTTTATTGCTCCTTGTTCATCAGCTCTCGGCTCTGGGAAACGATCACCCCCTCATCGTCACTGCTAGCTCGGTCTTTGGGCGTTTGCCCCCTCCAGCATCATATACCATGGCATGGCTGGCCTGGGGGCAGGGGCATTTGGCTGTGCCAGCCAGCCGGGCAGGGCCTCGACATACAGCAGGCTTGCAACTTCTCGCCCCTTTCTCATCTCTTGCATTTATCGCGTCTTTTTCTTGGTTTTTATACTTTTTCCTTCTTGGATCCTTTGGATTAAAGACAAGAGGAACGCAGCAATGCACGAGGCTCGGCACGGCCCGAGACAGACGCTTCCTTTGATTTCTCGATTCCCCAATTTGGTCGGTTTGCATTTCGTCTTCTTTGTCAACAGCGTGGAGTGGCGAGCTTGGTGTCTCTTATTGCGGCGGCTTGAAACTATCACGCCCGCTCTCGATATTTTCTTTGGCTTCCCTTCCTGTCTCAACGATTGAAACGACGACGACTTTGATGACTGGGCGGACTGAACACGTACGACTTTGCAACAGAAGCACGAGTGTCTGGCTTGATGCGAGACGCGGCTCCTATTCGAAAACTTGACAAATCGCTCAATGTAGCAGCTTCATCCGCCTTGAGTCGCACAACCCCGAGCAACCCCGAAACTGGACTGGATCCACGAATCGGTACTTACTGGGCCGTCGTCGCACACATCGCTGTATCTTTTTCACCGTCAACTATCTGGGATATGTTTTCGGTCAAGGGAGACACTGGCTGTCGACAGGAACAAAGCTACTCAGTCGAGTCACCATGCTCGGCTAGACTGGCATTCTCAAGGAGAGGCAACGTATAATCGTTCTGCTGTGCAGCACTGGTTGTATTTCCTCTTCAATGTTGCCGCACGGTCCTGGACCACGCCTGTTCAAGTGACGCCTTTCCGAACCATCGGATACATCGGCTCTTCGTACGGACGCAGATGCGAGACATCTCGTGGTGACATCCTGGTTTTTTGCTCAAGCACACCCTGCTAGCCAGGTTGTGCTGTGCCAAGGCCATGTCACGTCACCTCGGCGCGTGGTTGATACCCACCGCCGCGCCGTTTGAGTTGGGTGGACAGCCACGAGATTTGGTATGGATCAGGACACATGTAGTTCATCTCACTACACTCCTCGTGGTCTCTCCGCTTGCCGGGGATGTGGCCCGACCTAACTCCCGGCACAGTGGAAGCGCGGCCGAGGATCATAGCCACAAGCGGGCAGGCGGTTGCCGGCGCTGCGGCGCAGTGTACCGGCCCCGTCTTTGCCCCGGGACCGCTGTGCGGGGCTTGTGAGCAATTTCTTTCTTTTCGTCTGGGATGCTGGATCACATTGACTCCTCGGCCCTCTAGAAGGGAGGGTGAAGGCGATGAAAGGCAAGACAAAGGATGACAAGTACATCGTCACGTCCTGGGGGCGGCGATCCTTTGCTCGAGTCGTTCTTTACATATGGAAGAAGAGGGGAAACGCAACGCTGCTTTCGAGGGTTCTCCGGCTCGTCGCATCACCTGCTTGATTCTTTCCTAGTTGCTGTGGCATCAGTTAATGAGAGTTGAATCAACTCTTGAAACCTGCTTATTGCATGAACTTGTGGAATGTTCCGGGTTGATGTGTGTGGAACAACTGCTTATGGTTGAGTCTAGGCCAATGGACGCGTTTCCCATGTTTGGGTGCCTAGATATTGTCTACTTTGAATTTTGCGACCCTCTGTAGTCTGTACCTCTGCGTCTTTTCGCTGCTTCTCACCTTCTGCTCATGCCATCTCAGCCAAGTCCGCCTTGGACTCGTCAGGAGCCCCACGGCATGGCGACATCACCCACCTTCAGACTTCCTGTAACGGCCTAACGGGGACGGCAACCGGGCAATAGGCACTGTAGCTATGTATGGTGGATTATAGAGAACCCACCGCTACCTGACGGTGCATACCAACGGGCTCTTCTGCTTCCCTGTTTGGTGGCCGTACAGTTGTCATCATGCGACAACTCCTATCGAGATGCAGACGGCGGATCGGCCGGACCATGAGCTCCGGGCCCCGAGTCGGCCGCGGGTGGGGCACGGGGCTTCGGCATCTGCGATGCCTCGCAACTCCGACCTTCCTCCGGCGGGAAGCTAGCCTGTGCATCGGGAATGGCGGCAGCACACGCCCGCTCAGACTGAAGCTTGCAGCGGCATGTGGCGAATCGGCCGCGTCAGAGAGCTTGATTCGCCGTTAAGGGCATTCTCTTGTATTTCGCAAAAGTATTTCGCCCAAAAAAATATTCGGCACATTCTAGCCAAACCTGATTTCACCATGTGCGACCAGTATCACATACAGCTCGACAGTTCATAGTCTCATAAACATCAACCTCGATACAGTGTCCAAGCCCTCACTGGTTGGCTTGCTTGTCCGTCTGTTCCTTGATGGCCTTGCCGAGAGAAGCGTCGACGCGCGAAAACATTTCGTACGTCCTGTTGCGAGTGTCCTGGTGGGCAGCGCACAAGTGTCCCGAAACGTTGCCAATGAAGTTGTCTTGCTGTCCTGGGGTGCGGCCTAGGACATCCCACAGACCCTTGGCCTGAACGAAGTCGTCGTCATTTACATCCTGGAATAAGGCGTGAACGGCCGAGCCAGACCACTTCTCGTGGGTGGCGGCCGGCGTGACGGGCTTGTACGTGAGCTTGCGGTACGAGCTGGGATAGTTGGGGTTGGCTCCGTAGTTGCCATTGACAGCCATGCTTCCATCACGCTGGTAGGGGTTGAAAGCTCTCAGAGGCGCGTTGACGGGAATCTGCTGATAGTTGACTCCCAGACGATGACGGTGCGTGTCGGGATAGGAGAAGAGACGCGACTGGAGTACAGGGTCGACAGAGGGCTCGATGCCGGGCACAAGGTGAGACGGGGAGAAGGCGACTTGCTCAATTTCTGCAAAGTAGTTCTCGACGTTCTTGTTGAGGGTGAGCTTGCCGATGGGCCTCAGGGGCACCTCCTTCTGCGGCCAGACCTTGGTCAAGTCGAAAATGTTCCAGCGGAACTTCTCAGCCTGCTCAGGCGTCAGGACCTGGACGTAGACGGTCCAGCTGGGATGTTCGCCCTTCTTAATGGCCTCAAAGAGGTCCTGGGTGTGCCAATCGGGGTTCTCCGAAGCCATCTTGCCAGCCTCGGCATTGGTAAAGGTCTTGATGCCCTGGTCTGTCTTGAGGTGGACCTGGGTGTAGACAAAGGAGCCGTCGGGCTTGGTCCACTTGTGGGTGTGGCCAGAGTAGCCATTCATGTGGCGATAGGAGTAAGGAGTGCCACGGTCGGAAAAGAGTTGCATGACTTGATGGATAGCCTCCTGATGGGTTGAAAGATAGTCCCAGAACATGGTGGCATCTTTCAGGTTGGTCTGGGGGTTCCGCTTCTGGGTGTGGATGAAGAGGGGGAACTTGGTGGGATCTCTGAGAAAGAAAACTGGCGTGTTGTTGTAGACCCAATCCCAGTTGCCCTCATCCGTGTAGAATTTGACGGAGAAGCCGCGAGGATCACGGGCCGAGTCGGCCGAGCCCTTTTCGCCGCCGACGGTGGAGAAGCGGGCGACGCAGTTGGTCTTCTTGCCGACGTGGCCGAACATGTCGATGGAGGTGATGTCGCTGATGCCGTGGGTGACCTCGAAAACACCGTAGGCGCCCGCACCCTTGGCGTGAACGACTCGCTCGGGGATGCGCTCACCTGCGGGTGGATCACGATGTTAGCTGGATATCCAGGCTCCGAAAACGTGGGGGCTCACGATCGAAATGGGCGAGCTGATCGATCAGGTGAAAGTCCTGGAGCAGTAGCGGGCCCATGGAACCGGGGCGCTGCCAGCCCTCAGGGTTGTTGATGGGAGCGCCATTAGAAGTCGTGTAGACGGGCGTCTCGTTGTAGCGAAAGGTCGAGGCGGGAGCGTCGTTGGCCACCATGGCGGCGATGGATTCGAATGCTGACGGACACGGAACCGGCGGAAGGGAAAAGGTGTGGGATCAGTCAGAGGAGAGAGGCTGGAGCGGTAGTTGAAGCTTGGGTGAAGAGCTGCGTGGAGATGGGGAGAAGGGGGAGAAGGAGGAGAGGATTTCGAGAGGGACTCGAGAGGGAGGAGGGGCATAAATACTGCGTGGATGCACTCGCCTATATCAAGACTCGGCGGCTCCATGCACTGACAAATACAGCAAAGTACAGCAAAGTACGAGGTCGAAGCTACAGCTCTGGAGGAGGCAAGGGCAGCTCGCGAGTGCAACCCACTAGTTAATAAGGACCATAAGAGTTACCGAGCAAAAGCATAATAAGTATCTCCCTATACCGATTTCGCGGAGTAGATACCTGAAGGATTATAGGCCAATCGCATGTTGTAATAGGGCTTGTACGTAACGGGCAAGTTGTTACACCACCACGAGGGCGTTCCGGGAGCCGAAGCTCGGATGGGGGGCGAGGTTGGTGGGGGCTGTATGAGCCGCGAGCCAATGAGCGCCGGGCTATGAACAAGCCGCCAAAGATGGCCGGGAGGGGAGACTTGGGCGCACAGTGCGTGCGTCTGTCCCCAGCCAGAGATAATCTTTGCGTCATGCCTCCCCCTCTCCCCCCCCACTTTGCGAGCACGGAGGGAGCATCGTGTTGCACTCGAGTAACGATTCGTACAATTGTCTGCTTTCATGGCAAAGCATTCTTGGTTTCCACTGGATGGCGATTACATTCTGGCCAAGCATCTACTCCGTCCGTTTCCTCAACGCTCGGAAATCCCCCCTTTGGCAACAGGCCGGCTGTTGGCGAGTACCTTTTCACACAGTGCGAACACCACAATGGGGCACTCGCTTTTCACCACCCATCTTGACCATCCTCGTTCTGCTTCTTCCTCACCGAGACAACTCTCGCGGATGCCTCGTCACAATCATCTCGACACCACAACCATGTTCGGAGCAAGCGATGCCGTCACCAACCTCCGCATTGTGCAAGTCGCTGAGTCATCGGCCCCAGCTTGGACCTCGCAGCTTTGCCACGAGGCGTCGTCATGCATCCTTTGGCCGGCCGATCCCTGTCGACGCCAATGATACATCATCGACTTTCCGACACCGGCCTTGCCTTGCCTTCCTTGCCCTGCTACGGTACTCTAGTACTCTACCACTGCCCCGTTTCGCCACCGTCTTGGTTTCCTTGAGTCAGTCCCGCTGGCGGAAAGCTGCTCTCCACCGCCAGTCACTGCGGCTAGTAACCAGCGCAGCCCTCGTGCAGCTACTCGCAAGTGTTCCCTTTCGTACCTGTTCAACGCATTTGCCGGGTGGACGCTGTCGTCCTCGTGAATGACGTCCTTTCCCACGAGCCCCGACGGGCCCAATGCAGCAATGCTGGACGCATAGTGTATCGGCTTGGCACGACACGCCGTCGCCAGCTTCAGGATGTGCAGGGTCTCGAGGACATTAGCTGCTCGATGGCTGGAACACGGCTGGTTGTAGTTGACCTAGGCTCCGAGATGGAAGATGACACTTGCCCAGGCCGCCAGCTCGGAATATGCGTCGTCTTCGAGCCCTAGAGTCGGGTGCGAGAGGTCGCCCATTACCGGGACCACTTTGGACACGAGCTGTTCTTGCAGGCCATGCAAAAGGCCGTATTTTGACAGGTTGTCGAGGATCCGCTGCTTGCCCTGCGTGGCAGTCTTTGCTCGAACGAGGCATCTGACCGTCTGCACGAACGGCAACTCGACCAGAGCCCTCAGGAAAAGGGCCCCGACAAACCCAGTAACTCCAGTGACGAAGACTCTACCCTCGTTCTTGGCGGTCCAGTCGATGGGGGTGTCTTTCGGAATGTCGAGCTGCTCTGCCATGTCTGCGTCCCTCAACCACTGGCGTTTGGACTCGTCCCATCTCAGCTCGCCGAGACCCTTTGCTTCCTGGTCAATCTGACGAGCGAGGTCTCTCAGAACGGGGCTTTTGTAAAGTTTCTGCACGAGCAAGGGAACTTGGAATGCCTCCCGCATCATCATTGTGGCTGCCGACACGTCAAGCGAAGCTGCTCCTAGCGAAAAGAAGTTTGTCTCGGGGCCAATGTCGCCTAGGTCAACGGCACCGAGAGCCCGTTGCCAGATGGTTTTGACCCTATCTTCGGTACGAGTAGTTCCGGTGACGCTGGAAACATGCCGCTGCTGTTCAAGTCTACGGCGCAGGAGCATGGCCAACAGCTGGTTCTTGTCCACCTTTCCGTTACGGTTGACGGGCACATCCTGCAGGCAGACTACCCATGGCACCATGTATGACGGGAGTCTCGCTCTCGCCTCATTCTGGCAATCTTGCCTGGTCGTGGAACGAGCATCTTTGAGTACTACGCAAGCAGCTAACCAGGACGCGCCATCCGCGGAATCCTGAAGCTTCAGGGCCGTGGCCGAAGTGACGAGACCGGACTAGTGAAGTGCAGACTCAATCGCGTCGAGACTGACGCGATGCCCTCGATGCTTGACCTCGTTGTTGCGACGACCCCGCCAGAACAGACGTCCCTGACCGTCCCGTTGAACAATGTCGCCGGTCCGGTAAAGGAGCTTTACCTCGCCATCACCACCAACCCCCGGGATGTGCAGAAATGCCGAGCTCGTCTTTGCGGCATTGCCGAGGTATCCTCTGGCGAGACCCTGACCTCCTATAAACAGCTCGCCGGTGCCTTGTCCCCGGACAAGCCGGTGGGAGTTATTGACCAAGAATAATTCCGTGCTCTTCAGCGGTTCCCCGAGAGGGATATACCCTTGACATACGTCGTAAAGTGAGACTTGGTAAGAAGTTGACAAGACGCCGCACTCGGTTAGTCCGTATACGTGGAGGAAGCTCTTGGGAGGCCCCCTCTCCAAAACCTTCCTGATGGCAGCATGGTTGGGGGCCTCTCCGCCTGTGAGGACCGAGTTGCACTTGCTGAAAGCGCTGGGATATGATAGGGCTATCGCGTTGAACACGACACTCGTCAGGAACATGGCCGTGATGATCTCCTGGTCGAGGAGTTGTGTAAAGAGCTGTTGGTTGAGGAGGGTGTCGCGCTCAACCACGACTACGGTCGCCCCAATCATCAGAGTCGTCCAGATATCAAGCAACGACGCATCGAAGGAGACGCTATTGCAATGGGCCACACGGTCTTCGGGATCGAAGACCCCCTTGTGAAGACGAATGATGCTCCGTCCGAGAATCTCAACGCCCTTTGGCTTTCCTGTCGTGCCAGACGTGAAGAGAATATGGGAACGGTAATCCGGGGCTACAGGCACGGGAAAGCTGAAACTGTCTTGGGCGAGCTCGGCCGGACAGATCTTGGCGGGGCGCATAGTGATTTTGTGCCGCACTGAAATCTCTCGGCCTTTGACATGCGGGCTTGTGATGAGAATGCAGGCACCGGCCAGGTTGGCTCGGGCCTCAATATCAGCATCACTCATGGACGGGTCCAGGGGCAGGCACGTTCCCCCGGCATAGACGACTCCCATCTGAGAGATGATGTGCTCGAGTCCAGGAGGAGCCAGGATCACGACTGGCTCCTCGGCGTGGAACGGCAAGGCGCACAGTTTCTGGGCTAGCATCGTTGCCTGGGCGTGGAGCTCAGCATAACTGAGCTGGACAGGGCCGTGCTCTGCTGCCGTCTTGCGAGGCCGGCGGGCAGCCTGAGCCGCCACAAGCTGCCCGAGGTTGGCGCGGCGAGAGTGTAAAAGCATGGCTGAAGTGAGAAAGAGTTCAAGTAAGAAGCAGGTTGGGTAATGTGCTCATCTGTGCTGTCATGGCATGGGCCAAAAGCATGTCCGTTCATCCCCCTTTTATCCTTTCCCGAAGGCCTTGGCTCAACTTCCCCAGCTCTCTGCTTGGACATCCAACGACTGCTTGACGGCCGAGCATTTAGTCAGGCGAAACCCCTTCTGACCTGTCATCAGAAGCTGAAGTCAAGGTGAATCCTCCTGTCAGACAGAGCAGACCAGGAAATCAAGAATAATCCGCATCAACGGAGGCACCTGCTGGAGGGATTCACTCTTCCCTGGTCAGGCGGTATTTCAAGTGCAATAGTTATGAGTCCAGGAGGGAATGTTTGATCACACAATCTGCAGCTTCCAGTTACTGCTATAATGCTATACTGTCTGTTCGATTTACACCGGAGAAGTTAAAAGCAGTTGCCGCTGCCCGTATGAAAAAGTCGGGGAGGTAGATTTTGCCTCTCGAACCGTACGCACAAACACCCTATCGGGCCCCGGAGGTGATTAAGGATCTCGAGGGTAGCTTGATGCTCCATTTGGCGTACGATGCCAGATAATGATTAACTTAGGCGGGGGTGGATCAGACAAACCAGACAGGAGAGTTGAACTATAATCCGTACTAATAGAGGCCGGCACCTGTTAGAGCATTCTACTGTTGCCTAGTTAAGCGGTATTTGTCTTAAGTGCGTCCTTCTAACCTATAATCAGATATTGATGATCAAGGTGAACCCCCCCTATCTTTCTCCGGCCCCTTAACTAGTTGAAATGAGAGTCAACCCGGAATCCATTTCTTTCTGTAATAGCGGAGCAGCTATATTCGGCGACCTCCGAGGCCTCTAACTGCATAGGTAGATGTATAATAGTCATGTTTCTACGGCTGTTATCAAGCTCTCTCGGAGTTCGAGTCTCCCTTATTTGCACGGTTCACATTTATACTAGAATGCGCCACCGAGCAGCCAAGACAGGCAGGGCTCAGCAATGAAACAGGAAACGCCAGCCCCTATCCAACAGAATTAGAACCCAAGGCCCCGGACGTCCCGGCCATAGCATTATACGTTCGTACCAACAGGTTGTGTTTACCGCGAGCGCGCCACCGCTTCGTTCCTTGAGCGAGCGCACCTTCGCCATCGTTGCTCCGTCATCCATCCCGTCCAAAAGCACTTCCTCGCCGTTTGCTCCCATATTCAGTATGCCGAAAACGGTATTTCCTTCTCCATTAAACTGCCTCCCTCAAGTGTTTCCTCTGCCTGCGAAGGAATCACACGGACTGCTACTGTCGTCATGTCGTATCGGTTAGATGTTGAATCGAAGAGTCTCCCAGTCGTCTGTCGACGGAACTGCCTATTCCTGCGATACAGTTTGCTAGAAACCTGTCAGTCATGAAACTTCCACCAAGAGGACCTGTTAACAACTCACCACAAGCCAGTCCATGCCTTCATTCACACCGCTGCCGTCGACGGCCGAGCAGGCCATGATGCTCCAGTTGCGGTCCCGGAGCTCGCCCAGGCGCAGCACTTCGGAGATCTCGCCCGCGCCCTTGGCGCCGGGCTGGTCCTGCTTGTTGGCAAAGACCAGCAGCGCCGCATCCTTGAGCTCCTCCTCGTTCAGCATGGCGGCCAGCTCCTCGGCTGCCGTCTGTAGTCGTTCGATGTCGGTCGAGTCGACGACGAAGATGACGGCGGCTGTGTTGGCGTAGTAGCACCGCCAGTACGGCCGGATGCTTGTCTGGCCTCCCAAGTCCTGCGTGGCGTGAGTAAAGAGGTTCGGGCGACGTTGAGGGCAGGTAATTCGTACCCAAACATTGAAGTTGAGGTTCTTGTACGACACGGACTCGACGTTGAACCCGATGGTGGGTATTGTTGTGACAACTTCGCCAACCTAAATAACGATCCCCCATCAGCATGACGTCGGAGCAAAGGGCAGTTGGGTGACGGACCTTGAGCCTGTATAGTAGAGTGGTCTTGCCGGCATTATCCTGTAGAGGGACGTATCAGCATCGCGCCACCGTCGGATAGACAGGGGCCGGAGGCAGCGAGGCACGCACGAGGCCGAGAATCAAGATTCTGATTTCCTTCTTGGCCCACAGCAGGCTGGAGAGCCAGGAGACGCTCGCGCCCATGTTGCCACGCGTTGACTCGCTGCTCCCTCAGGCAGCATCAATCTTTTCAGGTCGCAATGGAGGTCCCGGGGCGGGCGGGCGATCTGCGCCGGCACTCTCGGCGGCGTCGTCGTCGTCGTCGTCGTTGAGCAGCGTCAAGCAGCGTCGCAGTCGCGGGAGAGAGAAGAAGGAGATGGGATCTGCAAGCTAGAGACGGGCGGCACCTCCTCGCCCGGAGGAACACAGACAAGCCAGGCACACAGAGAGCGAGGTTTGGAGGCGCGTGGCGTTGGCGGTGGACACGTGAAGGTTTCAGGCAGGCAGAGACAACAAGCTTCGTCAGCCGCGTGTTCCAGAAACTCTCCGTCGCTCGGTCTGTCTCTCAACAAAAAATGTTGGTATTGTCTTGAGGCCTCTGTACAGAGTACAGTACGGAGAGCGAGGCGTTCGCGTGGAAGAGTGGGCCCATCATTATCTGGCCTCTGGTTGGTCCGGTCCAAGCACCGCCGAAAACACCCCTTTCGGAGTTATCTACGAGTATTTGTTGCCACATTGCTGCAACGGTTTCAAGTTGCAGATGGATCACTATACCAGCTCGATTGTAGAGATTCCCCGAGACTTTTCGGCCTCGATGGTTTGGCTTTGATGGCAGCTTTCACGCAAAGCCGAGCAGGCGGCGCAAGCTGTCCAAAGGAACAATCAAGTAATGGGCGGCTCCATCTTCACGTGCTGATATCATCTGCGCGATTAGTAAGCTTCCGTCAGGCCAGCCGACGATGCGAAAGGTCCCGGCGTTTAACTTATCGGCGTACCAAGTACCCAAGTATGTACGGATACCTCGAGTCTGTGTTTGCTGCCTGGGGCACACTTATCTGTCTGGTGCCACACTCCTCAGCCACGCACCGCCCCATCGCACTCCCTCGCTAGGGCTTTACGCCCTGAGTTGCGTGCGGGTCAGAAAAACTCCTTTCCGACTCTCCCAAGCGTACTGAAATCCATCGCCATCAGCGACTCGACACGCAAAGCCATCAAGATGCCGGTATGACCTCCCCCGTCCAGCCCGCCTCGCTTCCGTACTCTCATCGCATCATCTCCCCGTTTCCCCGTCTTTTTCTTCGATCTCTGCGGCCCTCCCCGGCACCCGAGGCCGACGGCCGATGCCATGATGGAACCGGCGGGAAACAAATGGCTGACAATGTCGCGATAGAGCCACAAGTCTTTCCGTACCAAGCAGAAGCTTGCCAAGGCGCAGAAGCAGAACCGCCCTGTGCCTCAGTGGATCAGGCTGCGAACAAACAACACCGTCCGGTACGCCTCTCCCCTCGAGACTTCCTGCGCCAGACTCCTCTCGCTTGGTGCCGTCGCGATTTCCGACTGCTAACCCCAGAGACCAATAGCTACAACGCCAAGAGACGGCACTGGAGGAAGACTCGCCTCGGCATCTAAATGCTTGCCGCTACCATCTTTCTCGACTCTTCTACATCGACAGTCGCCGACAAACCCAACAACCACCCCGTCGACTGCTTTACCATTGCCTGTCACGACGCAAAGATGGATGCATGACGGGCAGAACTGTCATCGCTTGGAGAGGTGGACGTGGGCGCACGGATGAGGCACTTGTGATGCCTGGACTCTCGATTCTTGCTCTTACTGCATGTTACGGTCGGCCATAGGGAAAGGAATGCACAGGTTTTGACGTCCAACAGTCTTGCACAATGGTGCGCGCACGTAAGATCAGCCCTGGGATGTGTGCCGGGGTTCATTTGAATGACGCCATCCGTCGTTCACGATGAATGCGACTTGGAGCAACCAGGTTCCACCAAGCATAAATTAGGTATGGAACCTCGCAACTGGACCAAAGGCAGTAGAGCGGCGTAGTCTGAATCAAGGGGGGGACGGCAACTTCCGGGGGTGTGGTTCTCTGGGTGTGGTTTTCCAGGGCCTGTGCGGCCATGAACCGAACCGAGCAGGAAACAGTCGAAACGACGCAAGTTCGTGCATTCGTATATGAAAATTGATAGTAGACAGAGGAGCAGCGCCCTCAAGAGGCGAAGCCGTCGATGACCGCCCTCCGCCCAAATCATGCAAGGAAACCCAGTCAATCTCCTCAAACAGCCCGTTCAACGCCCCAAAAGCAGACGGTGAAATTGATGTTCAAAGGGCGCGTGAGCATAGCGTCATCCCTCAAAGTCAAAAACGGCAGCATGGTCCCTAGAGGAATCCGAGAGACTATCGATCCTCGGCCCATTCGTTCTCGCGGCGAATCTGCTCTTCTTCCTCGGGCGTGAAGTCGTTTGTGATGTTGAACGTCTTGCGGATCTCCTCGGGAGACTTGCCCTTGATCATATTGGCAACCGTCTTGCATCCGACGTCGAGGAGCGGCTTGATATCGAGGTAGTTGGACGCCTAGCCAAGAGAGGTTAATCTGGGTTCGCCCTGGGAAAGCGACCAGGCAATGGTCAACATACGAGGATGATCTCGAAAAGCATTTCCTGGTCGACCTGCATGAACTTTTGATCCCAGTCGTCGATGTCGGTGCTCTTCTTGCGGGCATCAGACTCCTCATCCTGAGCCTGGGGGGGGTCGTTGCGGTGCCACTCGCACCACTCAAGCACCTTGCGCAGGACGGCCTCGTTGACCTAACGAAAAGGGTAAGCGACTGTTGGGGGCCGAGAGGGAGGGGGTAAGGAGGGCTGGTGACGCACATTGGGGATGGGAATAGGCGTCTCCTTGGTGGACTTGGCCTCGGTGTCGCCCAGCAAGTTCTTGATTAAGACAGACCGCTCAATCACGTCCCGATCTACGGGCGGGTCAGCCTTGGAGCCAGCATGATACAGACACGACGAGTAGCCTGCCGGGAATGCGGTGCCAACTTACCAACCTCGATGAGGGCGTTGTCGTTGGAAACCAACCAGACCTTCTCGGGCTGCCCTGCGGCTGTGGTGGCTGCCATGTTGAAGGGTTGTGGAAAGAGGAGATGGAATGCTTGATTGACGAGCGACGGCGGCAAGGGGATGTAAGAGATGTCGGAGATGAGAAGGCGGCGGCGGCGGCGATTGTATGCAGCGGATCAGGCTGGTGACGAAGGCAAGGCGCCAGGCGTGGAAAGTCAGCTAGCAGATAATTATGGAGGTCAGAGCATTTTGGGCAAGCGATCGGGGTTGCTGAGTCAGACGACAAGGCAAGCCTCGAGAGGGGTTGCTGACCAAAGGAAGCGACGTACCTTTTTGGTGCAGTTGCGTAAAGGTTGGTGACGAGGCGCTGTTGCAGGATGAGCAGGAGCTTGAGGAGTGAAAAGATGGGAGAGGAGACGAGGTCTTTATAATTTATACCGTAGTCGACAATATTGGCACAAAGGCTCGAATCAACTTGGACAACGGGGCCTTTTTGTGGTTTCGCGCGTGCGTCGGAAAGTTGGAAGCCGCGGCTTCAGCCTCCCAGCAGGCAGAAGCGATGGACGGGCATTGTCAAAGTTCACAGCGCCACAGGCGCCATTCAGGGCTTATCACGCTGGACCGACAAGGGGGCTGCTGCGAAATGGACCTGCCTGTTAACTACCTGCCAAGTCGGCGGGCGAAAAAGCAAGCTGCAATCCTTCATCAGCTGTGCGTCGATCAACGATGACGCACGCGCCGTGTCCCCCCTCACCCTCCCCCCCCCGCCGAGACAGAAAATGGCCCCGGGTTCCTGGGATGCTGGGCCATTCACTTTTGCCTATCTGCCCGATAGTTACAGTTGTTGCACAAAGTAAGCCGACTGGCGAACCATACAGGCAGGGCAGGCAGGCAGGCTACCATTTCCTAATCGACATGTTCCACAAAGTACGCCAACGCTCTTTCAACGTCTCGATTCCAATATTTCAGGCTTTTCCATTCAACCCACGCGACAGGCTCTGGGGAAGACAACCTTAATCCATATACACTCTTCAATACATTTGAGACGTCTCCTCGGGATCGACGAGCGCTGCCTTCTGGCGCAAAAACCCCAACCTGGAGCGGCTTGCTTGTCCGACGTGCGACAGTTGCTTTGTCACCCTGGCCTGCCAGGGACGAGAAGCCAAGCCAAGGGAACGAAAAACGAAGCGGGTCGGGACATGCACCGGCGTTGACGAGGAACGGAGAAGGCCAGCTTGAAGTGATGTGTCTGTCCCTCGCCAAGACTTGCGCCGCGGCGAGGCTGCGGTCTTGTCCCGAGGGCCAGGGCCGATTGCTTGGCTGGGGTGAGTCGCGGCCACATGAAGACGGCTGCAGAGCATACATAGGTACTCGCCTACTGTACAGTACAGTACAGTAAGAAGAGAGGCTAGAGGATACATGAGCGAGGGCCGGCGACGCACGTATGATATCTTGCACGTATGTGCATGGGAGAAAAAGGAAACTGTACGGATACAGTACAGTATATGCCAGTACCTGCACGGCATCATGCTCGTCACAGTGTCGCATGCAAATCCAGCTCTGCTCGTCGAGGGGTGTCTGAGATTGATTGCAAGACAACGAGCCCCTTGTTGCTGAATGCCTGCCAGAGAAGCTCGTAGTAAGCTAACTTGTACGACTAAGCAAGCGTATAACCCCCGTTAGTGTGTGTCTTAGTGTTAAGCGCAAGTGGGGTCCATCTCTCCATCGTACGAGCCGAGCAGCAGGTGGCCCCCTCTCTTTCTCTCAGGACGTCCCTCCTTGACGCGGCGGTCCGTCCCACGGCGTCTCCATCCCATACCGGAAAGGTAGGCGTGTCAGTTACAGTTACAGCGAGTGCCCAGGTGGGTGGGTGCATCTCCATCGGCGGGGTCCGTCCCGCCATATTATGGCCCAGTCCGTTTATTATAGTAGTTATCTACCTACCTATTCCCTAAGGTACTTATCCTTTCACGTCGAAGCCGGGGTGTCTTTGTTTGTTTGTTGCATCTGTTGCCGCCCTTCGAGCTATGACGTTTTCCATTTCATGCCCTGGGTAAATCTCTTTTCCTTTGTATGCCGCTTCCGAGTTGCCGGGGAGGGCATGGACACCGTCGCAGGGGATTGGGCAGCAGCAGTGGCGACAAGCTTCTGTACTGTAATCAACCCCCCCCATGCCCCCAACGAGACACCCAACTGCAGAGAAGGCATGCTTGTAGCCGGGCCGCTAGCAGGGCCTCCCTGATTTCGACAGGGCCAGCGTGGCTGTCCTGTCAGCACTTCCCGATCCTTTCTCCCACTCGTGTCAAAGCCTGCATCTATAGAGCCTGGCCGCTCCAAAATGACGCGACGATTGCTTGGCCTGCGTCCCGTCTCGCCCACGTTTGCTTCGTCTTGACACGCCTCGTCCGCCTCTCTGCTCCCGCTTGGGGGCCCGCTAGGCCCCGTCGCCTTGCGCACTTCTCCTTTCCTCGACGACATTGCTTTTTCCAGGCCCGCGCATTCTTCGCCCTCGTCGCCCATGTCTTTTTCTCTCCTCTCTCGACATCCGTTGCCTGTTGTGCCTTCTCTGGCCTCGAGTCCAGCCGCTTGAACCATGTGGCGGCGCACCTATCTGCTCCTCGCCCTCATCCGGCTGTGGTTTGCCTTGTCGCCCAGCTACCTACATCCCGACGAGAACTTTCAAGGGCCCGAGGTCATCGCTGGTACGCCTCCCCGCTCTCCTCTCTTTCTCTCTGCCCGCTTGTGCTCCCCAAAAGTTGCTCTCTCTCCGCTGCCTGAGCTCTGCGCCGACGTCGTCAACGAATCAAAAATGTCGCCCTGCTCCTTTATAGTAAATTTTGCCTTTTTTTTTTGCCGCCGTCTTTTTGGCTGACTGAGACTTGCGAACCCCAGGCCAAATATTCAGCTATCCGATCCGGCGCACTTGGGAATTCACAAGCGACCACCCGATCCGAAGCGTTTTCCCGCTATGGCCCGTCTACGGCCTACCCATGCTGCTGCTTCGATGGCTCTGGATCGGTAATGGCCAGGATGGCGAAATCCCACCAATCGCCGTCTTCTGGACGCTCCGCGTCCTCATGTTCCTCATCAGCTTCGTCCTTGAGGACTGGGCGCTCCACGAATTGATACCCTCGCCCCGGCACCGGCGCGTCGCCGTCCTACTCGTCGCCTCGTCATACGCCACATGGACGTACCAGACGCACACGTTTTCCAACTCTGTCGAAACTTTGGTGGTGGCGTGGAGCTTGGTTCTCATCCAGCGCATCGTGGATTCTCGGGTATGCATGGCCATATCCCTTCTTCAACTGGGTCGTCCCTGTGCTGACAAGGTCTTGCCCAGCAACAATCGTCCCTTTTGGCTTCCACCGTGCTCGGAATCGTGGCCGTCTTTGGCCTCTTCAACCGCATCACGTTCCCCGCCTTCTTGTTAATTCCTAGCCTTCGCCTGATACCCCATTTCTTGAATAAGTATGCTGCCTCCTTCGAGCTCATGCAACGCAACGGAGTCGCTGATTCACACAGTCCTTTGTCTTTTGCAGTCCTCGTTTCTGCTGCGCTTGTTACCACTACCGTTGCCATTGCGCTCGATACCGCCTTCTACACCTCGGGGCCCTTAACCTGGGCACGTCTCATCGCACAGCCAGTCATCACCCCCTTAAACAACTTCCATTACAACTCCGCGACCGAAAACCTTGCTCAACATGGCCTGCATCCCTGGTACCAGCACCTTCTGGGGAACATTCCCCAGCTACTAGGCCCCGCAACCGTCTTGCTCTTGACCCAACCTCACCTCTCCATCAGACTCTACTCCGCCATCTCGGGGCTAGTCGTACTATCCTTGTTTCAGCACCAAGAAGCCCGCTTCCTCTTACCGACGGTGCCGTTGATTCTTTCTTCGGTTCAGCTCCCAAAAAATAGCACGGTTCTGCGAATTTGGGCTGTTGCCTGGGTTATCTTCAACCTTTTTTTGGGTGTCCTCATGGGCATCTACCATCAAGGAGGCGTCGTCCCCGGCCAGGTCTTCATGAGCAGCCAGCCCGATGCCACCCAGGCAATCTGGTGGAAGACGTACACGCCTCCCATCTGGCTCCTGAACGGCAAGAACGAAGTCTTGCAAACAAGGGACGTCATGGGCATCAAGGGCGAGGCGCTACTCGAGCAGCTGACGGAGCTTGCTACCTGTGACACCCCCGCCGACCGACGTAGTCAAGAGTACCGAAAGGAGAAGAACGGCACTTACCTTATAGCGCCTGCTTCGGCTACCTGGCTGGATCCATACCTGCCCAATAAAGGGCTGCAAGGACTGAGGTTCCGCGAGGTATGGCGGTATCGGCAGCATCTGAACCTGGATGACTTGGACTTTGAAGACGATGGAATCTGGAATACGATTTCCAGGGTCGTTGGGAGAAGGGGTCTGATTGCCTGGAGGGTCACCAAGAGCTGCTAGCGGCATAAAGCTGTAGAAATAAATCTTGGTATTCCTTCCCAATCCCGAATCTGCTGACTCCGAATGCGAATGTCCTATCACGGCATCCTGGAGCGATCGGGTCGGGATCTGGCAACCTCACTCGTAGATTGAAGTTCTAGTTGACGTTCTATTCCTAGCTAATCCTCTCGAGCCACCCAAACGAGAACGTCGAGGACAAAGTCGCAGAAGACGTCGTGCAACTTAATACAGACGCTTAGGGGGCGACATGCTGGCCTTGATGGTCAAGCTGCCAACGTTTTGCCAGCCCTTCTTCAGCAGAGAAACCAGGTAGTTGATGGCCAGCATGATGTTGCCAATGAGTTGCTCCGTCTCCATGGCCACGTTGCCGACGGCGACACCCATGCAGAGAACCTTCTTGAGCTGGAACTTGATGGTGGACTTGACCTCGTTGATCTTGCCAGTCAAGTCATCGGCGTGCGAGACGGGGGTCGGGAACTTGCCGGCTATCGGTGATGGATTAGCGGCAGATTCGTATACGCCAACCAGCGGAGGAGGTCGTCTTACCCTTGGACAGACCAGGACCCAGGATACGGGGGATCTGCTTGATGAGGGCCTCGGAGGCGACGAAGGCGTCGTACTTGCGGGCCAGCTTCTTGACGAGCTTCTTGTTCTTGTTCAGCTTCTTCAAGTCGTCGGCCGACATGGAATCGACACCACCGTGCTTGGCTCGGTCGAGATCGTGCTGATCACCGAAGATGCTGCATGCGTCCAGTCAGCCAGAGTCGCACCCCGCCGTAAAGAATCGCCGTACCAGATGGACATGTTCGGGCGGGGAATTGACGGCAGCTTGATGGTGCCCGAGAAACGCTTGTCACGCTGGGGATCATAGTTCTTCAGGCCGATCTGGAGCTCGACCGTCTCGAGGAAGTTGCGCTTCTTGGTCTCATTGGAGTACTCCAGGAGCTCCTGGACTTGCGTCCGGACATTAGCTGTGAGGACGGGTCAGCCGAGCCAGGTCTGCGTAGGCGACGAGAATATGGACATCGTCGGAACGGTTCCAATCGCGGGAGCGCTCGAGAAGTTGAGGGTATTTCGCATCGTACCGACTGTGATTTTCGACATCTTGGCAGTCTCCCAATAGATTCGGCGATATCTAATGGTGGTCAGGACGGTGAGTTGGTGAAGAGGGAGGGGAGGATCGCGGATTTTGGCAATTTTGAAATCGGTCGCTGTGGGCCTGCCTGACTCACCGCCCTCTGATTGGTGAAGATGGGCCAACAGGGCAATTTTCCCCCACGTGACTCAGCACCTGACGCTCGAGAGTCCTCCATTGACCGTTTACTTCTCCATGTGGCTCATCAGCAAAAAGTCTCTTATCGTTCCTGGACGGAGGGCCATGCTTGCGACTGGTGATTATTCGAAGACAAGCACGCATTATTCGGCTATGTGGAAAATCGTCAGACTTTGTCCCCAACCTCACCCAGACCATGGAGAGCGATCCTCTCCAAGTGCCCGCGGAGCTGCTGGCCAATCCGGCACAGACTCTCGAGTGGCTTGAGGCGCAAGCATCCGGGTTGCAAAAGAGGTGCGAGCTCACGGCCTCCTTCATCATATGTCGCTAAGAAAGCGATAGCTATGCAAGTACTCTCTTTGACCGGCAACTCAAGGCAGCAGGACAACCCAGGTCTGTCTCGGGCCAGGCCTGTGTGAGGCTCTGCGGGCTCGTGGAGCAACTGTCCAAGGCGAACTCGGAGGAGCTTCGAAGCTGGTCTTTCTCTCAGACTGTCACTCTTCAGCTCTTCAATTTCTTCGTTGACTGGAACGAGTCGGACCATCATCGCTCCATGAAGCTCGTGCTAGATCTCATTGTTCGGTCCATCAAGGGAAACCCAGACCGTGAGAGTGCTTCTAGCACAAAAAGCTGCATCCTTGACAATCTTTTTTCGATTGTGACTGGGCGTTCTGCCAAGCCAGTGGCCAAGTCAGCCATCAAGTGTCTCGACCAATTCTTGACCAAAGGAGTCTTCATCCTGAGCGACATATACGCAGGTTACAAGTCTCACCGGAAAGAGCTAACACAACAGAGCGACAACGAAGTATGGAGGTCGTTCACGGTCGACATCTTTAACTGGATGCGGCTCCAATTCGTTTGCCCAACGGCTGGCAAGTTCATCGTGAGCGTCTACCAGCGTTGGAGGCGAGAGGACAAGGATCAGCCGCCAAGTCCAAGCGTGGACGAATGGTATCAATGGCTCCTTGATTTCGCTTCTGAAGAACCCTCGCTCCTTGAACCGATCAAGAATTACATCTTCCTCCCGCTCTTAAAAGCTGACCGGGATGAGGGGCTGCGGTTTCTCGGGAAAATGGGTGAAGAAAGGGCAATCTCTACGGCTTGTAGCCTGGACCTGGACACTCCCGCTCTTCTGCAGCTGGCTGCACTGGAGACTGGAAAGAAGATTGGCCTGGTCGAAGAACCAAGTAAGCGTTGCCGGCTCCGTGCTGTCACATTCTGGGCTGACTCGGCCAAGGATTCAACGGAGACAGAGGGCAAAGCGACGAATCCCCATCCATTACCATCGACGAGCTGATGCTCGACAACGTTCTAGCCCATCCTTCTCATGATGTACGGTCTTTGGCTCTCTCTTTGCTGGTGACATCTCCCTCGACGACCAGACCATACTCAAGTACCGCTTTAGAGCTGCTGCAGAAACACCTGGGTACCTTCTTCGCTGATTCAGATGCAAAGTTCAGAGTTGAGGTTTCTGGAAAGGTGCGGGATATGTTCAAACGAGTGCGAGGCGCAATTCATGTCTTGAAACGCAGCATACCGAGGGCCCGGGCGAACGCTCTAAAGGCTAAGCTTGCTGGCAAAGTCATTAAGGTCGATTTGGACTCCGCTGCCGCCTCTCTCCCGCTCCAATACCGATCCAATCTGATTTCGCTTCCCGAGGCGCAGCTGGTTGCTTGTCTCCAGTATCATGAAGAATTCCTTGAATGGTACATTGGGTTCTTGTGTAGCGAGCTCACGCCTACCGCCTCATATCAAAGACACATTGCTTCCTTGAAGGCTCTGGGTTTTATCTTGCGCATGGAAGGAGACTCTTCAAAGACTTGGGAGACAGATGACGACCAGCAGCTTTTTTTCGATCTTTTTGACGACAAGTGGGCGCGAGCGCTGTTCGACTTGCTCATGGATCCGTTTGAAGACGTGAGAGACGTCGCTGCGTCGACGTTAAGAAGATTATACACCGACGAAAGGTATCGACGGCTCACACTGGCCGGTCATGGGAGTGACAGGCGCATAGCGGAAACCGTCAGTGAGGTTTCACAACGAGCCGAAGAACTTGCGCGTCGGACATCGAGGGCAGATCATTCCGACGGGGCTTCGAGAGCGACACAGCTGCTCTACAGACTACTGGATTCTGAGGCGCAACGGATTTCTCTTCTCTCTAAGATGATCAGCGAACTTGAGCGCAAGACCTCGATGGCAGAAGGCGACCTGGGTCGTGCTGTCCTGGACGCCCCATTGCATGGCGACTTTGCTTCGCTTAATCATATCTGGAAAGTGACTGCGGACCTGAAGCTCGCCGAGGCACACCTTGAAGCTGTCCAGTTGTTGCAATCCAGCCTTGTCTCGTGCTGCGAGCGGGTGTGGAAAGCCGTTATGCGAGTTCTCTGCGATGACTCGCCCGAGGGCCATTTACCTCAAGAGCTTGAGGAAGTCGAAGGCCTTGGCACTAAGAGCCTGTTGAGCTTCAGTTTTCGAGCAATACATGAGTCCAGGTGAGCACCTTCGACTGACAAACCAATGTTAATGGAATCCTCGACTAACTTTGGGCAAAAGTAATCTCATGCGGTCTATCGTACTCACAGCTCGCAACCGATCGCGAGGCGGCTTCGTGAGCCCTACTCGCGATGTATTCGAAAGGATCGGAAACCTAACCTTTGATCAACTCTCAAACCTGAGACATCGAGGGGCCTTTACAACAGTGGCATCGACGTTTGCGACGTGCTGCCAACAGGCAAAACACTTGGATCACGACAAACCACTACTAGATGTGTGGTACCAGGGGACATTGGATTGCATCTTCTCTCAAGCCTCCACCACGAGAAGGTCTGCCGGTATACCATCCATGATGACCGGGGTGCTATCTGCCAATGCTTTGCATCCCTCCTTTCAGCACGTCGTGGAGAAACTCATCGACATAGCCGGCAAGAAGGCGCGAGTCTCGGAGACGGATGGCTCCAACCTACCGCAGGTTCATGCATACAACTGCCTGAAGGACATCTTCAAGAATTCCATGCTGACATCAATGGGAAACAAGTCGGAGGAGTACCTGCCCCAGTGCTTGGAACTGGCTGCAAGCGGCCTCCGCTCCGAGGTTTGGGCAATTCGCAACTGCGGTCTGCTCTTGCTCCGCAGCCTCATCGACTGTCTCTTCGGCTCCCAGGAGAGCAAGGCCATGATTGAGGCTGGGTGGGATGGCAAAGCCAATCGCATCCCATACCACCGGTATCCTAATCTTCCGACTGTACTGAGAACGCTCCTCATGTCAGGACATCAAATGCTGGCTCAGACAACGGCGATCGTGTCGGCCGCCGAGTCGGTTTTCCCGGCATTGGACATTATCCGTCGAGCTGGTCCCCCTGAGCTACTGCGCGACGAGATCCAAGTACATGTCGCCGTGTATATGTCGAGCCCGGTCTGGCATGTTCGCGAGCTTGCGGCCAGAACACTCTGCTCATGCCTGTTGCACGAGGGGTGGTTTCCAATCGCCAAGAAATTGGTCCAGGAGGCCCTGGGCGCTCGAAGTAGCAACCGCTTGAATCATGTCCACGGTGTGCTTTTGACCCTGAAGTTTTTGGTTCAGAGACTGGGTGAGGTAGCCGCGGAGCATCTTACAGGTAAGTTTGCAATATAGTAGTTAACCGTCGACCCCTGCTAACTATTTTCAGCCGATCTCCCCAACCTAGTGAATTTCCTGGCCGAGAATTCGATTCCTTCAACATTCCTCCGGTGTCCAAATGTCGCAGCAGCTTATCTGGACGTGATCAACTCAATATGGGCATTCGAAATGGCCACCTCGGGGTCGTTGTCTCCATTGAAAGCCGCAACTTCCGCTAATTCCGAATTCGTGCTCTTGAGAAACTCAGCCATCGTACACCACTTATACGCGGCAGCCGTCAACGCTTGCCCCGTGGAGCTTTTGCGGGAGCTCCTGCTGGACCCAGAAGTTGACGCGGAGAGCCTGGTAACCGCTTTGGAAACGATACCGAGGCTATTGCATGCGGTGTCGACGTCAGATGAGATCCTCGTCGGGTTGAGTGCGCTGTACATGGACGTGTGTCGTGGGACGAGCTTCTCCGATGCGCAGATTCTGGCGACACAGAACTTGGCCGAGCTAATGGACCAGCTGATGCAGCGCGGGCAGTCAGACAGGCTCTCGTCGGGCTCCCTCTTGCAGTGGTGGACCGCACTGTCGTTACGACCCATGAACCCGGGCCTTTCAAGTGCGGTCGTCGGTGCAAGTGGACGTTTGATGGCTGTCTTGAGCCAATCTCAAGGAGGCCAGGCGGTTGATCTGCGAAGCTGGGGGCGCATGATGAGTGATGCTGGTCTGAATGACAAGGTAGGCAACAAAACACGAAGAATCGAGATGAGAAGCAGACGCTGAGCCTTCCTAGACGTTTGACACCCGGTTCGCAGCCGCCGAGTCGCTGCACTCGTTCTTCGCTGCCGCTGGGCTGCGCAGCACCTCGGATGAGTACCTGCCCGCCCTCCTTGCGCTCTACGACGCCCTCAACGACGACGACGACGAAGTGCGCGACGTGGGCTCCAAGGCGGTGACCTGTATCATCGGCAAAGCCCTCGTGCCCATCGAGGCCGCCAACCGTCTCCTCCACTGGCTGGCGCAGCACTTTGGCGGCAGCGCGGGCTTCAGGGCCGAGGTCGCGAGCCGCGTGGTCGGCCATTGCGAAGCCAAGGCCGCGGACGGGGCCGCGTGGGCGCCCGCCGAGGACGAGCTGGCCGCGGCCTTGCGGTTCGACGACTCGCTCTTCGTCGTCGAGGAGCAGAACCTCTTTGTCGACGAGGTCCGCGAGACGACGCGCTGGGTGCACGTGCTCAAGAGCCTGTGGTGGGAGGACGCCGCCGGCGACGAGATCCTCGGCAGGCTCGATGGCTGGATCAGGGCGGGCATCGTCCGGCTGGGCCGGCTGGTGGAGCAAGAGGACGGGCCCCTCGGCTGGGCCTCGAGCCCGCAGGTCTTTGCCATCTGCACCCGCCTCGTCCACGGCTCCGTCGCCATGATGGCCAAGGATCTTGCCAGTCCCGAACTCCGCGAGGCGACGCTGCGCACCAGGGAGGCCCTGCGGTCGCACGATTCTCACGTGTCGAGACTTCTCACCCAGGCGTGGGAAGACAAAACGATAGATGCTCAGATATAAACGGACTTCTGTCAGCGGCGCAAAGCGCGCCCTCATGCTAATCGCGCCGCTTCCCCTTTCCGCCTCGCCATGCAAAATGCCGTTTCGCTCGTATGTAGTACATGATGATCCAACCCATCCCGTCGCTTTGCTACAGTTCCTGCTGGTCCAAATTCGCCTAGAATCTGGGCTGGCTCTTGATGGAGGCCTCCTTCGACGACGGCGATTCGTCCCTGCTCACGGCCCCAATACGACCCAGCTTGGCCACCAGCATCGTGTTCTGCGCCTGGAGCTCGCCGACCTGGTTCTGCAGGAGCTCCAGCTTCTTGAGGGCCACGTCGCGCTCCGCCTTGACGCCCTCGAGCGCGGCCGACAAAAGCGACTTCTCCTCCTTCTCCAACGTCTTGCGCCGACGCATCGAGGCCTTGCGCTCCTGCTGCTCGCGCTTCTCCTCGAGCTTCTTCGTCTCGCGCTTGTACTTGGCCTCTTGCTTGGCCAGCTCCCGCTCGTGCTTCTCGCGCGCCTTGGCCAGCGCCGCCGCGTCCTTGTCTTTGCCGTCCTGCCGCTTAGACTGGAAGCGCTCCTGCGTCTTAGAAAAGTCTTCCTCAAGCTTCCGCCGCCGCTCAATCAGCTTCTGCAGTTCCCTCTCCGCCGGCTGTTTGAGCTGTGACCGCGACTCGTCCGAGTTGCTTTCCGTGGTGCTGTCGACGGCCTTGTCGCCCGTCATAGACTTTTCCACGGCCGAAGCGAAACTGCGTGCCGAGGATGCGTCGCTGTCGGAGTCCGACTCGTCGGCCCGGTTCTCTGGTCCTCGAGGGGCTTCGGCAAGGCTATCCTGGCTGCCGCTGCTCCCGAGGCTAAGGGGGGCGCTGAACTGTTGACGTAGGCCGTTGGCCACCGAGCTGGCGACTCCGAATGCGCCGGTGATGATACCGTAGAGCCCGTTGCTGCTGGGGATTCCCTCGTCTTGGCTTGCTGCTTGGTCGTCGCCTGCAGTCCTTGCCACAGCTTGCTCTGCATGCTCTTTACTCGGGCCATGTTCCACGGGAACCTCAGCGTTCCCATTGTCGGTTGAGCCATCGTGTTGAGCGGGAGAGTCCCCCTCGGCGGGTACCGAGGCGGCCCAGTCGAGGAACTTTCCGGCGTCGCCGACGATGCCTGGCGGAGTTCCCTTGTCTATCATGAAGCGCGGGACGCTGCCGCCCGGATCACTCCTGGTCACCATGAGCCACTCAATGGCTCGAGGGAGGTCGTCGGGCGCTGCTGAGGGTTCACTGGGCAGTCTCGTGGCGCCGGCCCTTCTACTATCTTCCGACGTCAGGTCGGCATACGAGAGGGACCTCTTGCTGGCCAAACTCTCGCTTGGGATCTCGCGGATAACCTCGACGGACTCGTACCGGCCGCGGATGATGCCCTGCCGCGGGGGGCATTCTGGGTGGGTGCACGGCTTAGAGACGACCATGTACTGCCGTAGGGGGCTCGCACGGCCTGACGGGTTGGTCGACGAGTCGGAAGTCAGGAGCAGGGTGATGAAGTCGCGGGGAGCCGTCGGGCCGGGGAATTGTGCCGAGAGTTGGAAGACTACAAAGCGTTAGTGCATGACCTCGTCGTCGCCTCCAAGGGCTCACGTCGATTGACGGAGGGAAGGGGGGAGTCAAACGAACCACTGAGGTGGCCTGCGTCGTCGACGACCTGGTGCTCGACCATCTTGTCCGCCCCGATGCCGCGAATGTTGCCGCTGCCCGGCGATCCCTGGACCTTCATCGTTTCGGGAAACTCCCTCTCCAGCCCGCTCCTCCAGCGGTCAAAGGAGAGGCGGTCGTGGACGCTGCGCCGGGCAAACCACGAGCCCTGGCCGTCCTTGCCGGCGAGCTTGTAGACGCGGATGCCGAGCGGGTTGTCCCGGGCGTTGACCTTGACCTCCTTCCACTCGTCGCGCAGCCGGTTGACGGCGTCTGAAGTGGTGACCCGTGCCTTGTTGTCGTGCGGTGGCGACTCCGGCGACTCGTGCAAGTCTGCGGGCACCGGGGCCGGATCCGTCTTTGCGCGAGCGCGTCCCAGGACCGTTTCTTTGGCAGGGGTCCAGGTCGGCGTAGGCGAAGGGACCGAGTCGACAACGAGCTGTGCGCGGGCGAAAACGCCTCGCAGGAAGTCGGCGAGGTCATCGTGGGGCACCGTGGCCCAGTCGGCCGGCCCGAGTGCTTTGAGCGGCTCGTGATGGATGTTATCGCCCATGGCAGGTTTGTTGTTGTAGTTTCCTTATCGGGGGAAGATGGGTTCAACTGTTACTTTGATCGCACAAAGGACTTCACCTGGTCCCCGAGCCACGAGGCCGACAATGGTGATTGTGGCAAGAGTGGAAATGCTTCAGGGTAGGCCGGGAGCTTTGACGTCACGGCAAGGATGGCAGCGATGCGGGGTTTAGTCAGCGGTGCCGACGCCGAGCTGCTGCAGCATGGCGTAATGATGCCGTGGAACTTGTTTCGCAGCATGTTTCTTCTGCCCACACCCGGCTATCCGTAGCCTAACCAATCTCTGCACGCGGCTATCGTCATGAAAAAAGCAAACGCCCCTGGTGGGACCTTCGAGGGTTGGCCAGGGAATGCTTCGTATTCGGCTAATGCCTCATTGGACATCCTGCGGTTATATATGATGATGGTATCAATGGCACCACGCCCGCGTCATACGTACTGGGGGCACGAGACAGACAAAAGAAAAGGCTCCCATACTCTCACAAGCGGCTCGACATCCTCGCCTCGAGCATGCCGTCGAGGTCGCTACGGCAGCTCCCGCAGTAGCTTTGCCGCCACTCTCCGAGCGCCTCCACGCCCCCTTGGCCCAGTGAACCCAGCACCCTTTGGCTCGAGGAAGGCTCCCTGCTTGTCCCGTCGGCGCCTCGGCTTCGGTCGCCCTGGAGCAGCGAGTCCAGCTCGTCGCACAGCGACTTCTCGTTGATGAGCCAGTTCTCCCATTCCGATTGCAGCATCTCTCGTTCCACGCTGTTGACGACGCGCATGGCCACCATCAGGTCGTGTCGGTACGACCCCAGTCGCTGCCGTGTTCGCCGCAGTCGCCGCGCCGTCGCTCGACTCGACGGCCATGTCAGCTTCGACCCGGCATCCTCCCACGGAGCATCCATGTCTGTCGCGTTCAGCAGCTCTTTATAGGCGCCGAAGCATGTGCTGTTCACGGGGGCAGACAGCCCGCTGCCCACGGTGCCCGTGGCCTCGTCCAGGTCTGCCATATAGATTGCCTTGCTCATCATCAAATTCGGTCCCACGCCCATCCTCTGCATAAATCTTGCCGCCCTTCGCTCTTTCCACCAAGCCGACGACTCGGTCGATGTCAGCATCACATTCGTCAGGGCGCTGAAGCCGAGCAACGTCAGAATCACACGCTGCGCTGAAATTACTTCAAACAGCTTCTTCAAGCCGGCAAATATCCACATGATGACGGACGAGACGGCACTTTCTGCAAAGGACCTCGCCGTCTCGAGCACCATGGCCGTCAGGGTACGCGGCTTCACGGCCTGCTTTCTGCTCGACTCGGTCGCAGCCGGCGAGAACAGCACCACTTGCGTCTGCTGGCCAACGTGGCCGTAAACCTGGATGGCCCTGTTGGTACGCCTCCGGGGCCCCAGCTTCCGTACCTGGTCTGTCGCCATCTCGGCCAGCTCTTCTGCGTCGTTGGCCGCGTCACGCAGGGCCTGCCGTTCCACCAGGTTCTTCCAAAAGGCCGGCGCCTTGGACCATTCGATGCCGGTGTAGACGGCGAGCTTGCACTTGGACTTGGCCACGTGTGTAATGACAATCGTCGTCACCAGCTTGAAGCTTCGCGAGTGCGGCAAGTGCCACGCCGTCTTGTTGTGCGTCACCACGTACGTAACGTGGTCGCTGTAGACGTCGATTGACTGGTCATCGCTGACGTTGGCCGATTTGGACCGCCCGAGCAGATCCTTGTAGTCGACCTTGAAGTTAAAGTCCCGGCGCATTTTCCCCTCGTCGACTAGCAGCCACGGACCCTGAGCTATTTGCTGTGCCCTATGCTCAAAGTAAAGCTTGGGAAAGACGAAGCTCTTGTCTCCAAAGAGGACGTGGAAACAGGCCTTTGCGCTAATCTCAAAGTGCCTGTCGGCAGCCATCTCCACCATGCCTTCCGGCTCGTACACGACTGGATGGGCAGGGAGATGGAGCTTTGGCGGACCCCTTTGCTGTGGCTTCAAAGGCCGCACGTGCACTCCGTGCTCGCGCTGGTGGCGGTGCTTGAACACGGGTCTACCAGTCAGGGTCCCGTCGTCCACCGGTGTGTTGGGAGACACCTCTTCCCAACTCTCGGCGCTGGGGCTGTGCCTTTCGTCGTCGTATCTCTCGACGTTGACGAGAGCCGAGATGATGTCCCTCGTGTCCATGGGTTCTTCTGCTTGGAGGTTGTCGACCAAGAGGTTGAGACGGGTGTGAAGAAGTTGAAGATCGTCGAGAAAGATCTTGATGCTGATGCGCGTGTAGCCCGTCGCATTCGTACCTTGGCCAAGGTGCAGGAAGATGAAGTCGCAGTCTTTCCCGGCGGCACTCGTCACCTCGGTGATGATGTCTAAATGAATACTATGTGCCGACACCATACCCATCTGCTGGCTGTAAAAGTACATGTTGTCTGGCGTGACGTAGATGCGGCCATCGCCCGCCAGTGCTTCCGAAGATGAATTGCGCTCCATGGAGATTGACCAGGCCGCTCTGAACACCAGCACCAGTTTCTCGCCGGCATGCGCGTCTGGGAACAGAAGCCGGAACTGCGCACTCTGGGCCCTTAGTTCCATGGGGTAATCTGCAGGCAGCGCCATGTCAGTCTGCTTCTCCGCGTCCCGGGTCAGGGATGTTTGTGAGCTCTCAGATACAACCACCCCGATGGCGTCGTCGTCGTCGAGTCGCGGGAGCCCTGGCTGCTTCGGGCCCTTGATGGCGGTCCAGATGTTGCTCCCCCAGTAGTTGGCAACGAGCGACGTGGGGAGCTTCCGACTGTCGCCAGCGGAACCACGCTCACCCGCGACAACAACGGCAGCGCGGCTCAAGTTCGTCAAGGCCGGAGGCTTCGCCAGTGTCAGCGGAGCGAGGGAGCCGTAAGCGCTATCGAGGGTAGGCATGGTGCCTGCTGCCGACCGCGAGGCATTCGGCGCCATGTTAGGGGGGTGGACAGGCAGGACTCTGTGGCTTGCCGAAATCAAGCTCGCGATACCCCCAGCCGAGTTTGGGGCGCCTGTAGGACCAGGATCGATGGCAGTGCTCGAATTCGATTTACGGTGAAGGTCAAGCTTCTGAATGATCCTCGCGGCGTGATCTCGTCCACTCTCGCCGTCCTCCCGCATTGCCAAGTCTCGTCCCAACGCTGTGAAGGATCGCCGGCCGAGGCTGCCGTTGACGTCAAAGCTTTGCCTGGAGGCCGGATGGCCGTCCGACCCGGGCGCAAGGGTCGCGGAACGCTCGAAGCCGGGGCCGATCTCATCAGCAGCGCTGACATGGCTATCTAGGGCCTTGGCAGAGAATTCGGGAGCACTCGGCGGTGAAATCGAAAAGGCTGGGTCGGCACTGCCCGGCAGATGGCCCATGCTTGCCTCAAAGGCCTCCTTCTTGTTGACTTCGAAAACCTGGAGCCACTCCATGAGCTCCTTTTGCGTCTCGGCCTGCAGCATCATGTTCTGGTTTTTCGTCTTCACCTCGAAGCAGAAGCGCCTCTCCTCCCCCACCGCCGGCTTTGCGTTGCACAGCAAGACACCGATCTCATCGCCCTGCAACACGCCCTGCGGTCCCTGGACGAGCCAGCCAAAGACGCCACCCCGGCAGTAGTACCATCTGCGGACCCAGTTGTACCTGACTGGTTTGCCAGACAGCATCCGCAGGAACAGCCATCCTTGCTTTTCCGATATGTGAGCGTTCTCGCCTTTGGAACCCATGTTGAGGGGCCCGCGAGAGCCCAAGAAGGGCACTGTTGATGTGCCGTAATCATCGAGCTCACGAGACGGTTTCAGTTCCTCTAGAGCGGTCTCGCCGATCTCCTTCCTTGCCATTTGCAGCTCGCGCTTGAAAAAGGCCTCTGTGAGTTCCATTTCCTTGGCCCAGCCACGCACTCGATCCATTTCGCGAGCCCAGCGCGTTGCACTGGTCCATGCATCCCGTGATTGCGACATTTCCTTCCACATCTCGCCGCACACCTTGACGAGGAGCATGTCCATGGTGTAGCGCAGCTGCGGCGCGAGCTGGCAATAGTCCATGGAAGCTTGGATGTAGGCCTTTCGGTTCTCCCACACGGAAAAGGCATCTTCGCGCAGAGCAGACGCCTCCTTGGTCTTGGACTGGCCGACATAGCGTGCAAGAGTCGAGTCGTATGCTCTTTGCGAATTCTCCATTATTCGCCGTGTCTCCTTGAAGTTGCGCATATCGCCGCCCAGGAACGATCGGATCGGCTCGACGACGACGCCGTCCAACTTCTTCATGCTGCTCAGGGTCTGCATCCAACACTCTCGTTGTCCATCTGCAACGCGTTTGAGGGCGAGAAAGGTATAGTCGTTTTCGATGATGCCGTCGGCGGCAGATGGGATGGTCTTGACGAGATATGTATTGACCGTTTCCTCGAGCGCGAGCATGTCGTGAACCAGTTTCGAAGTTGACAAGACATAGCCGTTGAGCCATTTCTCCATGGCGTCAACCTGATCGGCAAAGTGAGCCGCGGAGGCGCGGAACGTCGGCGAGTCGAGCGCAGCTTCGTTGAGGCCGACGGGGACGCCGCGGTCCGCCGGCCGCCGCGCAGCGTCCGCGGCTACTGCCTTGGACATGATCGGTATTGCGGAACAAGCTACGACTCTCCAGCGACTCTCGAACAGGCGCAATCAAGGCCATTCGAGTTCGCTGAGAGAAGAGTGCTCTAGGAGGGAAAGTTGCGACGAGTTGGCTTGCCGCAATGCGGGAAGTGTGGACGTTGAAGGTGTCGTACTGCGGTCCACCTCCAGGGGGGCTTAGTCATCGGGTCAACCTCGTTTTTGCTTGCGGCAAGCAGTTGGCGCTGAAACAGTCGAGATGATGGGAAACGTGACTGACATACTGCTATATTTCTTCTAGACTCGCTGCCCATTCAGGATATGGATACATACCATGCTCCGTCAATGCCAGATCCTGTCAGCGACCGCGAGCTTTTCCCGGATGAAACCTAATTACGGTCTGGAGAGCTCAGTTGTTCACTCGACCGATCAAGGCGTAACCGGTCGCGGGTGAGATTCATGGCCCCCAGTGCAACGCACAGCTTGAAACGTGTATTTAAATGAGTGGCTGCAATTCTTCCAGATTGTCCACCGCTCGACCGAGCAGCCCGGGGGCAACCAAAGCCACGCCGTGCTACTGGCCTCTGTTCCTGGATCAGAGCCGGATGATATCCAGTCCAAGGCAAAAAGGTTCACCGCCCACCGCCCCAAGCCGCCGCGCTACCGTGTCACTCACGTCACAAATCGTAGAGACCACCTAGCCCTCCCGTGAGACACAGTTTCGCGCGCATGTCGGCATGGATATCTCACCTCTATATCCGCCGATCATTGGCTCAAGTCGCCGTCATCACTGAGCGAAGGGGGCTTGGCCGCGACGCCTCATGGCCTTGCTTGTGAGGCGGGGAATCAGCCCTTTGCATCAAACACCGTTGAGTAAGCGACATTGGCGCGGCATCGGTCGACCTCGGCGCGTCGTGACTCCTCTCATCCTCGTTGTGCGCGGACGGTTGAACTTGAGCAGCTCCCTCGCCGATGACGAGGGAATCCGCTGGTCAATCTTTTACAGAATTAGTATGATGCCTGTGGAAGCTCCTGTGGGGGAACGGGGGGCCTACCGTCGTAGTAGTCATCATCGTCGTCGAGGTCATTCAGCTGCTCAAAGTTGACTTTGTAGCGAAGGATGCCGCCGATGCCACCAAAGCCCTTGACGAACTGGTTGCCCTCGGTGGAGCGGTCCGACACAAACTCAAGGGCCGTGCCAAAGTCCTTGTAATGCTCAGCAATCCATTCAAGGAATGACTCTTGGGAGACAATCTCCATCTCCTGGCCTGTCTGCTTATCGAGGAAGTTTTCTCGGCTGCCGTGTTCCTGCTGCTTGGTAGTGTGGAGTATGATCTCGCTGCCATTGCTGTCCTTCAAGGTCCAGCGCGTGATTTCGAGATTTTCAAAGACAATGAGGGTCTCGACGGCGCCAAGCTCGAGCGCCTTGAGAGTGTCGTCGATTCCGTAGCATACCTTGCCGGTGTCCTGGCTAATCTCCTCAAAGTATTTGCCAATGAGCTTCTTTTCCTGGATGAATTTGACGTTTCCGAGAGTCTCCGAGGACAATTCGATGGCCTGGTTGAAGCCGTTTTCGCCACCGTACGAGACGTCAACAACCTTGATGACTTTGGACTGCAGGCGGTTGTCGAACATGTCGGAGGCGTTGAGGTCGTTTTTGAAGTCGGCGGAACCGGCGAGGATGATGCCGGCCACGTTGACCTTGTCGTTGGAGATAAAGTTTTGCACGGCCAGCTCGGCCACCTTGCGCACGTAGTTGTGGCGCTTCTCCTCGCGAAGACGAGCGAAACGCAAGGCGGACTGACCACCACGGCCGTGCTTCTTTGGCAGATCGACGGAGAATTTGTGGACAACATCGCGCGTGTTGCCGCTGAGGGTACCAAAGAGAGCGCCGTTACCATCCATGATGATGAAGCCGAATTTCTGGTCTGACTCGAGCAATTCCGCCAATGCCTCGGTATGGAACTTGTTGTCGCAGAGGTACAAGGAGGTGTTGATGGGCTTGAAGGGCTCGAAGTCGATGTTGACTTTCCGTTCCTTGCCTTCCTGCGTGAGGATTTCACCACAGTAGACGACCAAGCCATTGGGGGGGACTTTATTGTAAAGCTTCAGGCGCTGTTGGGTGGACGTGATGGCAGAAAGGACCGACTGTCGATTGACGCGCGATTTGATGTTGGAGGCGGTGCCCTTTGACGAGGTTAGCTTGCACTGCTAATCGGGGCCAGTCTCGACGTACGTATTCTTCAGCCAACATCTTTGCCGCCCGGGAAACTTGGTCCTTGGGTGCTAGAGACGCGGTCAGTGTGGGAGCTCAAGGCGGTCTCGTGCGAGGGCGACGCACGAATGATGAGGGATATCATGGAGGTGCCATTTCCCCTGGCAGCCTCGAGGCGCTTGATCAGCTTCTTGACTTTCCAGATCTCAATCTACCGACCAGGACGTGTCAGTCGCGCTGTTTTGTGGAGTCGTCAAATGGCCGTCGTGCGTCGTGGCTGCTCGCATCGCGGGGCAGCGCACAACGAGGGGCTTCAAATGAGGGGCACGAGGTGGAAAATCATTTTTCGTGCAACAGCAGCGGGACAGGGGCTGGACTCACGTTCCTCTCGGCCTCGTTTGCCTGAGCGTCGCTCATGTTGCCGGCGGTGCTTGGTGCCTTGGGGAGCAGCTTGTCTGTCGTGGTGTCGCAGTTCGAGGGGGGGAATCTCTCTCTTTGCGAGACGGGGGAGACGAAGGCGCGTGCGGGTAACACGAGGTCCGAGTTGGATGCTGGAAGCCAGATTTTTATCTGGGGGAGCTGGGAGACGGGCGATGACCCGCTGCGGCTGCTCCAGGCAGCCCTGTGCAATGTGGATCCCTCTGACACGACCACGGCACAGCACTGCGGACAAGTACAGTACAGTGCCTAAATTACATGTCATCGCGCCGCTGTCCACCATCAGCCGGGCCAAGAACTGTGTGATTCAGCGCACCAGATGCGTGTGGCACTTTCCCGATGCCATGCCGGCCTTGGTTTTCTACGTGGACGGCGAAAAAGAAGGCTCAGAATACTTCGAGTAGAAAGGTAAGCACCCACAACCAGCACACGCACCGCACAGAAACATGGCGCCTACAACGAGCGCTGTAATCGGCCTGCAAGTATCCGTACTCGGGACAAGAGCCACTCACTCACTCTGGGTGTCAAGGCAGGTTAAGTAAGGTACCTAGGTATGTACTGTACCTAGGTAGGCCGGCGCCGGGACAACTTCGGTACTAGGGCGGTTATCGGCGGCGGAGGAGGGATGCGGGCCATCACACGCGTGCACCCTCTTGCTGCCCACGCTGCCTTCACCCATCCTCCTGGAACGCCCCACCGTACAGCACCGTGGCCGAGGATGATCCCGCAGACTCCCTAGCCCGCCAGCCATGTCTTCCGTCGCGGGTGAGGTGGCCGCGACCATCCAGGCCGCCCACATCAGGACCGACCCAGACCCCAAGCTCGACATTGCGCCCTCGACCGCTGCCGAGGAGAAGCAGCCCATGACCCTCGAGGAGTCGACGAGGTTGAGCCAAGCCGACGACGCGCTGCATCACGACGACGACGGCATCGACCAAGACGACATCCCCTACAGTGTCCTTCGGCCGACGCCGCGGAAGCGCAGCCTTCCTCCGCTGCCAGACCTCCGCTTCGAGCAGAGCTACCTCCACAGTATCTCCAATGCCGACGCTTGGTGGAAGGTGCTGCTCATCACGGCCAGAGACCAGGTGGGAGGCACATCCCCCCATTCGCTGACCTGCTCGTCCTGACATGTCGCAGATTGTGATGCCCCTGGCACAGGGCTTGGTGTACAATCTCCTCTTGTGCGGATGGCAACATTGGAATCGAAATGCCAGGCTGCACGGCAATACTGCAGGTGCCAGGCTGAGGAGATGGTGGTACGGTGTAAATAACTGGACAGTGCCCCGCAAAAGGACATGATATCAGAACCCAGGTTTTGAGCTTCAACTCGCGTCCTGTTTATCGGCGAGCGAGAGCGAGAGGGTACTTGTTGTATTGACTAAGATGGTCTCTCCAGGCGACCCAGCCTCCGCCCACGAGGTCAACAAGCAATGTGCCCCAATGCGGGCGCCTCTCCTCCTTGAAGCCCCATCATCACCAGGGTCTCGTGCCTATCTGCAGAACGAGATGCTGCACGTTTCGCTGCGCCGTGCTCTTGTTTGACTCCCTGGCCCCTGACCTTTGGTTAATACCCGCGAATGATACCTGAGGCTCTATTATACCATGCGCCACCTGTCACACCCCAACTCCAGCCAGACCAAAGCAATAAGTCTCTACTTCTCATCGGCACCGTCCCCGTTTGGCAGCCTAGGCTGCACCGACGCCTGCTCCGGACTGCCTCGGAAAGCCAGCGAGGTAGGGGCTGCCGCCGAAGGCGATTGCTCTCTGGCCTTCTCTGCATTGTCTGGCCCGTTCGAAGTCGGCTCGCCGGCAGCTCCAGGGAAAGATGAGGCGGCTCCCCTTGACGCCCCGTCAACAACAGAGATGGAGTCCTGGGCGGGTGCCTCGGGCGTCCCCACCGTCACTGTGTCCGCTGTTCTGGTGTTCCCCCTGCGACCTTGATCCTCCGACGTTGCAGACGTGTTGTCCACTCGGTTAGCTGGGGCGAGAACTGTCCGGAGTCTGGGTGGCGTCACAGAGAGTTTCACAACCAGGCTCCGAGGTTTCTCGTCCGAGTCAACTTCGTCCTCTTCAAACTCCTCTTCATCCTCAGATTCTTGCGAGATGTGTGCGTCAGCGTCGTGCTCGTCGTCTCCGAATCCTGCCTCACTCCCGTCGTCGTCATCGTCGTCGTCATCGTGCGTGTCGGCAGAGCCGTTACGATGTCGTCCAGTGCCGTTCAGCCCGTTGGCATGGTTGACAGCGGCAGATCGCCTGGGCCGTCCCGAGGCTCCCAGCGATTTCTCTTGGTCGTACTCCGAGCCATCACCCTGGACGCTCCCGGGCGCGCTTTCTCCGGCCACCATGTTGAGTCGAGGAGGGGCTCTGACCTGTCGTCCGCTCGAGGTGGTTACTGGACCTGTTTCGGCTGGCGTGTTTGCTGCCGTATTACGAGTGGAGCGTCTGTTTCCCGTCGAGTCGGACAAGAAGGTATCCTCGTCGTCCGAGTATGTATACTTCATCCGCTTACCGCGAGTGCGGCCTTCGTACAGCGAGTAGCCAGGTTCGGGTCGCTTGAACTGCTCCTTGCGCATCTGACGATAGTCCCTGCGTTTGCGTTTCTGCAGCCTTGTCAGTCCTCCTGGTCATGTCATCGCAGACCGTCGGTCCGTGAGAGAATGGACCTGTAGCCAGGGTGACAATGTCATGCTTACCTCCTCACCGGCCTCGAAACGCGGAACGGCTGTAAGGATCTTGTGGCTCAGCGCCTTGGCCTTGGGACCGCCATCCTTGGTCTCGAGTTTCCCTGCCAAAGCCTTGAGCTCCTCGATCGAGCCTGCTACACTCCACCAGGTGCGGGTAGCCCCAGCGGGGTTACTTTCCCTGTAAACGCGAAAGTTCGTATCGTCCTGGCCCTCGACCAGGAAATAGCGGCGTTTGTCACCGTCTGAGCCCCACGGCTTGACCGCCCTAGGCTGGTTTAGATCGTCCTCGTGACGGTTCTGCTTGTACGACTGGTTGATCAAGGCTTTGACGGTTTCGGAAGAGGCCATGGTCCAGAGAATCAGGGTGCGGAGTAGGGTAAGCTATGTTTTTATTGGCACAAGGTTAGTGGCATCGCAACGAAGCAAGGCGGTCGCGCACGTACTCTTTCGTTCGGGGTCATCGAGTTGAAGGTGGAGCCGCCTGACAGCGGGTTCTTGGTCTTCCAGGCCGATGGCCACTGGGATTTATGGGACGCGATCGCGTCCTCCAACGCTCTGCCGTAGTGGCCTGGCCTGTTGCCCGAGAAAGGGAGAGAAACGATTAGCGACATGTCGCGAGGGTCGCTCGATTACGCACTTGACGTCCTGTTTGCGATTCAGGAGTAGGCCGAGCAGCGCACATAGAAAGTGCTCGACTCGATCGCCGGGAATGGATTCCACCACATCTCGCTCCAGCTCTTGTGGCCCAAAGTGTGCCAGGGCTTTCGGAAAGGCGTCGCTGAATCGGCTTCGGAACATGACGATGAACTGCAGGACAGTTAGCAGCTTTCCCCGGTATGACGTTGGGGCACGCGAAGTCTCGCGTCGCACCGATCCGCAACGCGACAAGCCGCCCCGCGGCGCCGGGCAAGGGAAAAGATGCACGCCCGGCATATAAATGAGGGCAATCACGTACCGCAATGTCTGGATTGTCCGCGAGGACATACTCGTGTGGCGGTGATGGCGACCGCTTGCGTGGGGGCTGCGAGGGCTCTGGGGCGGGCTGCCCTGACAGCTTCGGGAAGAACTTGAGGAGCCCCGGCTTGGCCTGGGTCGGCGCGGCGGCGCGGTCCCCGTCCAGCTCGCTGTCCGAGGGCGCGGGCGACAGAGACGACAAGGACGAGAGATCGGATGAGTCGTCGTCTGGCGCCATGTTGGGCTTGTTGGAGCGCGAGGCGTCGTAGTATGTGGAGAAGAGGAAGGACAAGCGAACCTGCGGTAGTTGCTCGACGACAACTGAGTGCACGCACTAGCTAAACCCACGTTGATGAGCCGCAAATCAAAAATGTACCCCATCTGATAGGCCAAGGGCTTTATTTATTAGCTCGAGTAGCACATGCTCGACCCTCAACAAGCTACTTTGTGCTAGAAGACAAGAAATGAAACAGCTGCTTTGCCGAGCCGTGACCTCCGTCTTGTCCATTCGCATTCCTACTTGTATTACCCGGGCCCCGCAGCAAGATCATCCACCATTGTGTGGTTGAAGGGTTAGGCCAACGAGGCACGAATCCCAGACCCGGACCCTTGGCAGGGAGGGAGGCCCATGACCGAGGTGGCTCATCTGGCGGGGGGTGCCTCTCCCCGGCTGGACATCACCAGGCCACGACACAGCTCTCTGCTATGTCCATCGGTGCCGTAGATGCTGTTGCGACACGGGGAAACCCCGATGATGCACGTGATGTCGCAACAATGCGCGCATCTCTTAACCACCGATCAACTTCAGCGTCCACAGCCGTAGCCGCACCAGCCACCCTGGCGAGACTGCACAAAGTCAAAGTCTTGCCTAGTCTCGCGGCAACATTCTCAAAAGAGATGAATCGAAAACTCGTCTTGGCTTTTGTCAGCAGATGCGCAGTTGAAAAAGCGAAGCAGTAGAGCGACAGTGCTTGCCAGGATTCGACCATGCAAGGCTGCCTGGGTCCTCCAATTCCTCTTGCCATGTCTTACTCGACATCCAAGGTGCCACGCAGCTGTCTGCTACACCACCGTTTGCGAGACAACCGCTCGGTTGAAGGCTGCGCGTGCAGGCGCCTCAGGTATACAGAGCGTCTGCGGATCAAGACAACATCTTTTGCGACCGAAGATATCCAACAATCATTCACAGTTTTCAAGCCCACTTGGGCATTCTCTACCAGGACGTGTCGCACGACCGAGTCTCGTGAGGGCTTTGGATGCTGACAGCCTCGTTTCCCAAGTAGAGTTGAGGCCTGGAGCCCCACCGGAAACAGCGCGCATTCGGTCCGCCGAGCTCCGGTCACTCAGCACCTTGTAGTGCCTTGCAGGATGCAAAGACAGTGCCGGATGTCAAAGCTGCATTTGAAAACCACGCAGGTCGTGTCTGGCCTCAATTAGGGGGCGGTGCGAATGGTGCGAGCCGGTTTGTGCCTCGAGTGGATCAGGGTATGAGCAATGTGCCGCGGTAACTGTTGAAGCTCCTGCGCGGCATGAGGAAGTATGCCGTCCGTGGCGGTTCGACGGCCGTTGAGAGATTGTTCGCGCCCGTACGGATATATCGACGAGAGACAGGTTAGGTGGTGGTGGCGAGCCCAGCCTCATCGGAATAAAATTATGGGGACAGTCAATTGGGCGCTTCCTGTATCAATTCTTCGCACGAGGTACATACAGTACATGTGTGCCTTGGCTCAAGTACCAGGTACCCTGTAGCTAGGGATGATAGGACAGCGCACTCGCTTCCGCGACCCACCGTGAGATCACGTGGCCAGGGCTCCTCGGCCGCTCCAATGGTCCCGCACACAAAAAAATGTTGGCATTCGCATCTGCCCGGCCTCTTCGTCAAAACACCAAGCGGCCGAACCCAGGTAAGGATGCCCATCATTGCGCCCTCGGCGACCTTCCGCTTACAACCATCACTGCAGCAGACACTCGACCGACTGCATCGAGTCCAAACGAGCCGCCATGGGTAGAGTCATTCGCAACCAGCGCAAGGGGCGTGGATCCATCTTCAGTCAGTTCCCGATGGATATCTGCTTCGACCTCGCCTCGAAGCGGTAACCGTGCTGACCCTAGACGACAGCTGCCAACACGCGCTTGAACAAGGCCCCGGCCAAGTTCCGCAACCTCGATTATGCCGAGCGTCATGGCTACGTCCGCGGTGTAGTCCGCGATATCATCCACGACCCTGGTTAGTTTGCCGCCGCCGACTGTTACGCTATCGCAATGGGACGAGGGCTGACGGTGGACGGAATCGCAGGTCGTGGTGCGCCTCTCGCCAAGGTTGTCTTCCGCCACCCGTATAAGTTCAAGCAGGTCACCGAGACGTTCATTGCCAACGAAGGCATGTACACTGGCCAGTTCATCTATGCTGGAAAGAAGGCTGCCCTGACTGTCGGCAACGTCCTGCCGCTGGGGGAGATGCCCGAGGGTACCGTCGTCTCCAACGTCGAGGAGAAGATTGGTGACCGTGGCGCGCTTGGCCGCACCTCTGGTGGCTACATCACCGTCATCGGCCACAACCCCGACGAGGGCAAGACGCGCATCAAGCTCCCCTCTGGTTCCAAGAAGGTCGTCCACTCGGGCGCGCGAGGCATGATCGGCATTGTTGCCGGTGGTGGCCGAACAGACAAGCCCCTGCTGAGTAGGTTCCCTTGGCCGAGGCCGACACTAACTTGGGAGTGGATTCTCTAACTCGTGTATAGAGGCTTCTCGTGCCAAGCACAAGTTTGCCGTCAAGCGCAATAGCTGGCCCAAGACTCGTGGTGTTGCCATGAACCCCGTGGATCACCCTCACGGTGGTGTAAGTAGCCCTCGCGTGCATGGAGAGCAGACTGCAGATGCTGACGTCCGTAACAGGGTAACCACCAACATATTGGTAAGGCGTCGACCATTTCCCGATACGCCGCCCAGGGCCAGAAGGCCGGTCTTATTGCCGCGAGAAGGACGGGTCTGCTGCGTGGTACTCAAAAGGTCAAGGACTAAGGGGCATGATTTCGTGGAGGTCTCATTGGGATGGTGTTACTGTGGCTTGCTTGCATCTATTGATGGTACTGCTGCGAGCAGGAGTCCGGTAGCTCAGAAGCAAGCACCTGGACATTCGGCGCACGCGATTTTTTTCATGCTCTTGCTCGGCTTTGTTGTGACAAAGCGACAGTTTGGCGTGGAGGATAGCTTCGTATAGCCAGACGTGCGGCTTCTGCGTCGAAGCCTGGCTTGGTTGATTGGCCCAGTAGGTTGTGACTAGCAGACATGTCTGCTGAGCTCGCTCCAGCGTCATTGCGAGAGAAGCCGATAAGGTGAGCAGGTTGAACGGTAGCGTAGCCAAACCCGTTGCATTTCCGTTTGCACCAGGAAGCCGCCCGCCCATCCAAGACCCGTGAGCCCAATTCTGTCAATGGATCAACCAAAGGATCTTCAAGGAAGAGGAGTCGCGGTGTGTCTTTTTGACTCTACGGGTCTCAGACCATTTTCGATTGCGAGCTCTCCCCAGATGCTTGGAGTCCTTGGAAGCATTCTCAAGGCAGACAGGATATCGCCACTGGGTGTGTACCTTTGTATCCACCGGACCCCGCCAACAACAACCTCGTCAATTTTAAACCCTCCGAATACAACAAACCCCTCCCTCTCCTCTCACTCGACTTTCGGCTTTCCTCTGGTAATTTTCTCGAGTGCTCGAATTGGATTCTGTCTTTGTGCCTGTCGTCGCCAAAATCCTAGCGCATCATGGCTTCTGTCAAGGAATATGGCCTCCTTTGTCTGGAGAACCCTCTGCTCGGTATGTCCTGGATGCTGTCCTCCATCCCCCCCCGGGCGCGGGACCGGCCGGTCCTTGAACAAGAGAGGGCTCGTTGTTTGGCTTGCGCGGCACTTCACAGCAACCTCGGGTCGCGCTCTGCAACAGTCTCCTTGCTCACCGTTGGCTGTCGGTTGTTGCAGACATCCAAGCCGTCGGCGATCAGGCCCTGCTAGACAAGTACGGCCTCAAGGCCAATGACGCCATCCTCGCCGAGGACAAGCACATCCCCCTCTACGAGGACCTCCTCAACAACTACGACGCCAAGCTCATCGCCGGCGGTGCCGCCCAGAACTCGGCCCGCGGCGCCCAGTACATGCTTCCCCCCAACAGCGTCGTTTACCTCGGCGGCGCCGGCGACGACAAGTACTCAGCCATCCTGCACGATGCCGTCAAGGCCGCCGGCCTGCGTGTCGAGTACCGCGTCGACCCCAAGGAGAAGACGGGCCGCTGCGGCGTCGTCATCACCGGCCATGACCGAAGCCTGTGCACTGATCTCGGTGCCGCAAACCACTATGACCTCGACCACCTGAAGAAGCCCGAGATCTGGAGCTTGGTCGAGAACGCGAGCGTCTACTACATTGGCGGCTTCCACTTCACCGGTAGGTGCTCTCGACTCGTGACTCAACTGGCTATGTGCGGGCACTGACCGCTCGCTAGTTTGCCCCCCGGCCATCATGGAGCTCGCCAAGCAGGCTGCCAAGCACAACAAGCTCTTCGTCCTCTCCCTCTCCGCCCCCTTCATCCCCCAGTTCTTCAAGGAGGTCGTCGACGCCAGCGCCCCGTACTGGGACTACATCATTGGCAACGAGACCGAGATGGCCGCCTACGCCGAGTCCCACGACCTGCCCTCCAAGGACCTCAAAGACATTGCCAAGCACCTCGCCAACCTGCCCAAAGAGAACAACAAGCGGAAGCGCACCGCCGTCGTCACCCAGGGCACCGAGCCCACTCTCGTCGCTGTTCAGGGTGAGGACAGCGTCAAGGAGTTCCCCGTCCACGCCATCGAGCCCGAGAAGATCAACGACACAAACGGCGCCGGCGACGCCTTTGCCGGTGGCCTCTTGGCCGGCATCATGCAAGGACAGCCGCTCGAGAGCTGCATCGACATGGGCCAGTGGCTCGCCAGGCTAAGCCTTCAGGAGCTGGGACCCTCGTAAGTGAAGAGGCATCTTTGCATTGCAATCTTTCATCATTCATTCAAGGCATCTACCTGGTACTATCTGCGATTCATCAGAAGCAAAAGGCCAAATCCGTCGCTGCAGCCATACTGACCACGGCTCCTCCAGATATCCCTTCCCAAAGCAAACATACCAGGCTTCTTCCTGAGTAATCCAGGGGGGCCTTGTGTGGTATTCAAAGGGCCAGGGCTAGTGCTCGGCGTTGTGGGTAGGGTAGAGGGAACAGGGAAAACAGTTTCAACAACGGCGTTCTGCATCTCGGGCGAGGGTTCCCGGAACTTGTCGCCTTCTTGGCTAGCGATTCGGCATCCTCCACGATCCGATAAAATGAAATGAAAGTCAAGGTCAATGAAATTTTGCCAACGCTCAAAGGGACCATTGATGGTGGTGCTCCATCACATGAAAGCTTCAAAAGAGGTCTCGTCTTCGTTGAATCCGTGTGGGCGACTTCGTAGGACGGGCATCCTCGCTGCGCGTCGCAGCCTCGCAAAATTCGACGGCAGGCAAGTGAAGAGGTCAAGTCCGCAGTCGAATCACTGGAATTGGCCTTCGAGGATATCCAAGCGAGGACGTCACCTGAGAGAGAGTCTTGCGCCTTGCAACCCACAGTACGGTGCCAAAGTAGCGTCCAAGTTGCTGGCAGAAGCTCGTGGCCTCAGGAAATAGTTGTGCTGATGAAGAAGGGCTTCACACGGGTTGTGCCCGCGGTACGGGCGCCGACTGACGGCGTCAGCAAGGCGCTTACCTAGGCGTCATGGGTCAGAAAGGTCCTCAGTTACCAACCAGCCCATGCTGCACGGAAAATGGCCTCGTCATACCTTGATGCCGAGTTGCCGACGTGCATGCGGCGCGTCGGGGACGACGCAGAGGCACCGTGCGTAGGGCTCTGCAACTGGTTGCGCCCGAGGTCCCCTTGACCAGAAACGCCAGACACGCCGAGACCTACGCCGTCTGCCGGGGTGCCCATATAAAGACTACTCGGATGCGAGAAGCCAGAGATACCCGATGATGCTGGAAACTGGTCAAGGGCTCGCGATGTCCAAGGCGACGTGGCCATGCCCTTGCTCGGCCACGACACTCCACCGGTCTCCCCCCACTGACCAAATGACGAGGTGCGCGGGGCACCGTTGCCCGCAAAGGACTGCAGCAGATGACCCCGGTGGAATGGTTCAGCTACGGGACCAGGCACGCTGCCCGGATTGCCAGGTTTCGCAGGGTCCGGATAAACGGGAGCACAGCCTCGAAGGGCGTCTCCTCGTCCCGGAGTCGCAAAGGGGTCCTCGAGAGAGCTTCGTGCAGTGGTTGGCTCCTGAGGCGAGTTGTTGCGGCTCACTCTGTTGAATGCTTCTTTTCCGGCTGTATAAGCCGCGTCCTGGGAAATATCAGGCTTGGGAGTGTTGTCCCAGGCCCAGGGGAAGGGTGCAATCGGGCCGGAAAAGCTAGAGCCAGTCGGGCTGGAGTAGGACATCAATCCAAACATTCCAATGCCCGGTGCGTGGCCCATTCCGTAGTAGGACGACTCGTCGGGAGAACGGACGTGATGTTGCTGGGGCTGGGGTGTAGGCGGCTTGAGAAAGGGCGTCAGCATGGCGATGACGGTCTTCTCAGCTTGATCCTCTTCGGATATCTGGCAGTCAGTCTCGCTTGAAGTCTCTGCCTGCTGCTCGGGCACATCCATGTCATTTAGCTTCGACACCTGCAGCTCTTCCAAGTCTCGTGCCTCTTGGGGCGGCGTGTGTTCGGCAGGCTTCTCAACCTGCTTCACGGAAGCTTGTTCGACAGAGGTCGCCACGGCCTTTGCGTTGTCTTGTGATGTGCTAGGCGTTGCATCTGGCTGGTACTCAAATACCAGCCAGTTCTCCACAACCTGGCAAGATACTGGAGTTGAGCAATCCTCAGCAAGGAAATATGCGCAACGCAGAACGTCCAGAACCCTAGCCAGGTTTTCTTTTTCGCAGTCCAGGCTCCGTTGCGGGTCATAGAGGTACGGCTTCGCGTTGCCGTTTTCGTCGCAAGAAACCCTGCAAGCCTTCGGGATGTGATCTCCGGTCAGAGAGCGATTGCCGCGCACTTCAAGATCCTCGGCGAGCAAATATGGGCACGACGCTAGGTTGTCTTGGTTGTAGGTCACAGCACAAAGAAGTGTGAAGACCTTGACAATGTGGTACATCATGGTCGGGACCGTGGCACCGAATGCGTTGGATGGTCGGAGGAGCTCCTCTCGGCAAGCAGCGAGCCAAACGCAATAAATCCTCAGAGTCGGCAGGAGGCCTCCGACCGTGCTCGAAATCTCAACGGCCTTGGGGTCTGAGGAGCTCTCGGTTCTATTGGAGACGGCTTCCTCAAGATCCGAGTGCAGAGCGCGGCAGAAAGTCAGAATGAAGAGGGCGTTGAACCGCAGTGTGAACTGCCAGAAACGCGAGGCAGATTCCGTCTTTTCTTCTGTTCCCGTCTCAGCACAATTCGAACCTTGAATCAACGGGGTCGACTTACCAGTAAGCGTTTTGGACGCGACGTCGTACGCCGACATGTTGACCAATGCCATCTTGAGCAAAGTGCCACTAGAGCTCGCGTCTCGGCAAGCCATTTCCAGCCGATGCATGACTTCTTCCTCGAGTTCCTTTTGCTGAGAAAAGGCTTCGCCATTGTAGAAAAAGGCGTGGAGTTTGACAAACCAGGTGCTGAAAACATCTGCAGGAGCTGGCGGGTTGTTTCGAGCTTTGACGGCATGAGGAAGCCTAAGCGACTTGAACTCGGACTCCAAATTTGACTTGGCGTTGGGATGGGGAGTCTCCACAGCCCAGGCGCGGTAGAAGTGATAAACCACGTCGAGGTGGTTGGCTTGGTCAAGGTTGACGATGCCCATCTGGTGGAATGCGAATCCGGAGTTTGGCATGAGGTGACGGGCCAGGCCATAGTAGGTCAGCGCCGTCTCGAAGCCCGAGTTCTTGTGGCGGGCTTGAATCCTGTATCGAGCCAAGTCTCCGAGATGTAGAAGAGTCGAATGACAGGATTCGAGAACCATGCGGCTCAAGCTTCCAGGGACGGGGCTGATGGTGTCCTCGGCGTCCATCTGCTCAACGTCGATTCCTTGGGCCACTCTCCTGAGCTCCTGTACATCGTAGCGAGCCGAAAGGCGCTGGATGTATCCTTTGTAGAATTTCTGGGCGATGCGTAGAAAGTTGTTGTACATCTTCTCGGCCTTGCGACGCTCGACCGGGTGGGAGCTGTGTTTGAGGCGGCCCAGGTTTCGTCGATGCTCGGCATTAATCGAAATATGAAGACCCCAAAGGGCATCTTCAGTATTCTCCGTGACTGCGTATTTGAAATCCAGAAATATGGTCTGGACACATGCGAGGCGGAACCTATGTCATGTTAGTGGGCGGCCGGCTGGGGGATTCTGCTTGTGGCAACGTACTTCTCCAGGAGGCCATCGACGGCTTCGAACTGCGAGATGTCGATCCCGGAAGCGCTTTCGGCTTGCAGTTTTTCGAGCTGCTTCAGTAAATGCTTGCGGAGCTTCAGAGCGTAGCTGGAGAAGAGGCGCGAGTCAGCATCTTTCAAGTTGACGATCCCAACAGGGTGTCTTTGGGATAGCTTACTGCCAGGCCTGGCCTGCCTGAGAAATGTTGGAGGCCATGACGGCGTCAGACCGCGTGGTGACTGATCAGGAGGGTTTGTCTCTCGGACGCGAGCTTGTGCAGGGGAAATCAAAATGCGCGGTCGCTAGGAGTCCAAAGCATGCTCTTGAGAGGTTGCAAGTCGTGCGCTCGAAAGGTCCATCACTTGATATGCCGGCGGACGGGGATGATGTAAAGGAGGCTTGGCTCACGGGAATCGAAGCGTCGGGCCGAGGAGGAACTCATTGGTGGAGATGTTAATCCTGGCCGGACAATAGCTTGAATAGGTCAGGAGGATGGATAAGTTTTGTGGCAGGGCGCGGACAGCTGGCGAGATCAAGAAAGAAAAGTGGCGAGGTGAATGAACGAGCGCGGAGAGCAGCAGCCGTGCCCATTGCGATTGGGCGCGGCGGAAGCCCCTCAAGGTTAATGTCGAATGGCGCTGGATAATCTTCGGCGATTTGGTGCGAATTGGACCAAAGTGCAGCGTCACGCCCAAGGTATTTTCCAATCCACCCAAAGTATCTTAGATATGTCGGAGCTAGGACGAGGTAAGGTTTTCAGGCACAGAAGCTAGCTGCACCTAGCGCGAAGCCACCCAGGGAACCACGAGGCTACACTGGACATCGGGAGATCAACCCCGCCATCATATCGACTCTTGGTCAGTGACAGCCTCGATACTCGTCTCGATTGCTTCACCCCATCGGATCAGAACTAATTACCTACGACACTGCCTGTGATTATTCTCGATTCTTATCGACTATCAGGGACAGACAATCAAACATTCAATCTCCCTCTCCATCATCAGCCTTGCGCGCCACCTCTCGTCCGCCTCCCCCACCTCTAGCCTAACACAAAGTAATAACTTCTTGCCCGTCTCGCCTCCCACATGATGAAGCGCTTACGAGAGCCGCATGAGGATATAGGCTCGGTTGCCCCAGAGGCAGACGCGGGACCCTGTACCAGGCACGGCGTGGCGCTCCAGCCCCCCAGCAAGATTTCCGAACTTAATCCATCCCAGGAAGACGGCAGCCAAGACGAGCCCATTGCAATGAGATGCTCACTTCCTCCGCACAAAACCCCCATTGCCTTTAGCTCATACGGCGACTTTGAGCTCCACTACCACGCGTTCCACACCCATCGTTGTCTCGAATGCCACAAAAACTTCCCCTCCGACCATCTTCTGAGCGTCCACATCGAGGAGTGCCACGATCCTCTTGTAAGCATACGAAGAGACAGGGGGGAGCACACTGTGAGTTCTTGTCCCAACCTTGGCCACATCTCTCCTGCTAAGCATTTTGCAGTACTCATGCTTCGTGGACGGGTGCGAGAGGAAATGCCAGACCCATCAAAAACGACGAATGCACATGATCGACAAGCATATGTACCCTAAGAACTTCTTCTTCGGCGTTACTAAAGAGGGCATCGACGGCAGGCGCTCTCTGTTGATCGACGGCGGCCATCGCCGACGCAGGTCTTCCGCGAGTGTCCAGCCAAAGAACCCAAACCCTGCAGCTTGTGTGTCGGAAGAACCGCGGGCCGAACAGAACTCTGAATCTTCTCCCCGGGAAGACGGGTCTCAGCCGAACCAGGATCAGCAAGATGCGGCGGGCGCCGACATGACCGAGCTCGCAGATGCCATGTCCGCCCTGCACTTTGTCCCGTCTAGCATTCGATTCGGGCGCGGTCGAGCAGGATTTGCGAGGAGATAGGGTGATCATTACATATAAAGCCACCTGAACGGGGAATAGGGTCAGCATAGATGCCAACACGCGGTATCGACACCGCTAAGAGGTCCTCTACCTCACGACTCCAGGAATCAACAGAACCAGCCCAAAGGGCCGGGAGGGCAAGAAAACAAATGCTTCCAGAGCTCCACCAGCTCTGACGCAAAAACATGGCTCGTTTGGCGCGAATGGCCTCCGGCCTACACCTGTCCGGCGGCATGGACAGGCTAGTCGCTCGAGGCGCAGCCTCTGCAACCGCAGCTGACACACTGCAAGTCCTTGTCTTCCTTCATCTGTGCTCTCGGGACGCGGCAGATGCATGTGCTGTTGAAGTTGGTTTCCTTGGTCTGGACACATCGGAGGCAGCAAAGCTGAGAGATGGGTTAGCATATACTGAGAAATCAGAACCCTCAAAACGTGCCTTTTCGTATCCTTGCTTCTTCCATTTCGCTATGAGCATCGCGTCTGCATAACCGTTCTTGAGCAACCAATCGTAAAGCTGCTTGCTGATGGCCTCTTTCTCGTAGTACAAGTCGTAGATGTAGCGACTCCTTTGGTGAGAAATCTGGAAAACCTCCCACTGGGCTTGGTGTCTCGGGCCCGGCGGAGGTGGCTTGTTCTGCGCATCCTTCATCTTGTTTGCGAAAATAAGCAGGTCGTCCTCGATGTCGCTGAAGCCCTCGGGCGGAGGCTTCCGCTTCGACGCGTGTCGTATCGCAGGCATCGTCCTAGCTTCCAGCGAGCTGCAGCTTTGACCGAGTTCCTGTGGACAGAGGTGGGAGAGGTTGGGGATGCCGGCGTGATGGACCAACTTGTATGTACTGAACAGGACAAGATTGGCGATGAGATTTGTTGGAGAGGATGGGCTGTGGACAATGCTGTACTGGTGGCAAAGGCGTAGAAGCGTGGCGGTGCACGTCACGTGCTCTATATAGGCAAGCCGGGCTACGACTCCAACTTGCTCGCATTCAACGTCACAGCACAAGGGTGTCCCTGCCGAGAAGCACTGATTGCCCACCATGGCCATCACGCCGACTCAATTCGCCAAAAAGACGACGCAATGTGAGGCTTCTGCCAATTGATGGGTTGTTCATGTGCTAACTCGGTGAGCAGCGGCCAGCTGGGCGGACGCGAAGCGCCGAGTGCTCTACTCTTACCGCGAATGGATCCGAGCCGTAGGTCCCGTCAACGGCGCCCCTTGTCTACACTCAAGCTATCCGCAGCACTTGGCGTCGCTCCTGGATCACCTGCGGGCGCACGTCGAATTGGCGAGGGCTAACGGAGTCGCAGGCCCCGGAGATCCAAACCATGTACAACATGCCCATGCCCATCTCGGCCATCCGAACCCGGGTCAGGCAGGAGTTTGAGCGAAACCGATACGTGTCCAAGCTTCCCGTCGTGGATGTGCTTCTCTTCAAATCCCACGCTGAATACCAAGTACGCAGACGTCGGGATGATAATGCGTGAGAAGAATGTTCAAACGAGCTGACATTGCGCTCTGCAGGAGACGATGAATTTTTGGAAGCAGACCACCCACGTCATGTCCTACTTCAAGGAAGAGAATTTTAGAGGCGATAAGAGGCTACCGTCGAGCTTCATGACGGGGTTCTTGGAGGTAGGTCACGGTTCGCATGCTACGTGGGACGCATCACTGAGCCAAGTTCACAGGGTCGGAACTGATGACTGGAGCCGCAATTGGGCCTGTGTATATACCCTCTATTTTCGAATACCGTCCCTAACCATGACCTCGAAACGCCGTAGTCTGCCGTGGTGGCCCTGACCCAAATCAAAAGCGATGCGCAAGGGAGAGTGGCCATTGAACCTCCAAGCGGTACCCGGCACTGGGTCTCTCATCGCGTCAGGCCGTGCTGGGCGTTGAACGCGTTCCTCTTGGTCCAGAACTCATCTGCCACGACATCGCAAACGTCTTGCAGGTCGATCAGGCCCTTTTTCAGGGCATCCACAGCCGTGCCCTCTACACTCTGGGTCAGGAGACGCTGCTCGCTCTCTGGTATAGGTCAGGGCATTTGCCCGGGCGCTGTAGACTTACCGTATGTTTGAATCCTGATATTCATTTTGGGCTCGGAAGGATGGGGGATTGCATAGGCGCAGAACTCGACGTCGGGGCTTTTGATGGTCAGTTCTGGGCGCCACGGAGTCATGGCCTGCTGGCGCAGCGAGTCTACCTACTTCTTCATGATGACGTATCTGAGGGCATTGCCCAGCGTGTGGCCCTCGTCGATGAACTCGAATGAGGCTGCCGAATCCGTCGAGCCCGGGAGCTGCACGCAGTTGTTAGTGAGTAGAGCTATCCGAAAAGCAAGTGCAGATTTTTGATCGCACAATCTTGACCCGCTGGGCCTCGACTTCTTCTTCTTCTTCCTCCTCGTCGGCCTGGGCGTCGTCTTCCATGGCAGCATCCTGGTTTTCACCGGGTTGTGCAGAAGGCGGTGCGTCCTGCATGTTGGTGTCCTGCGAGGCGGCGTCTTCCGGGTTTTTCGTCCGGCCCGGCATCATGGGCTGTTTAGTGAGCTGTCCCTTGGATGAATGAATGAGAGAAGGGTTTGCACTAAGCGCTTGAAGTCTCGGGGTCGGTGGGGCACAGGCCAGAGGTAAGCGATCAAGAAATGAACCCCTTTATGCTTCACGACAACGAGCGACCTCAATCATTCACTTGACTGACGGCGCTGGAAATTTTGACGTGGGGTTGGTTGCCGGTTAGGATGGGAGACCCGGAGATTCCCAAGCGCAAGCCGCAAACAGGAGAATTATATTTGATAATAAGACCCTTGTCATCTAAGCCCGGGTAGCTCAATGGTCAGAGCGTGTGGCTTTTATGTTGAAGTCTACCTCAAGGTTGGGGGTTCGAGTCCCCCCTCGGGCGTCGTATCAGCTCTGTTTTTTGCCCAGCCCCCAATGCAGGGAGCAGTTCGCGTTCCAAGTAAGGTTCTTCCTAGCTTTTTGCCCACAGTAGCTCAATCACATCGGCATTTTCCCCTGATATCAACCCTCGTCTTCAACAAGACGAATTAGTCCAGTCCAGGGTAGCCTTTGCGCCGGCCGCCAATACGGGCCCAGCCGGCGGAGTGCGGATGGGATAAAGAAGTCTGGAAACCCTCTGACTGGCTTGTATAGGTGTTGAGTCTCGTGAGAGGAGAGGGCAAGAGTCGGATAGCCAAGCACAGCAAAGAACCTGTTTGATGAAGCTTTGCTGAGCATCCTATCAAGAGCAGCGTGAGATTCTTGTTTTGAAACGCCCTCGCTGCTAATCGTGTCGGCCGGTGGATTATCGACGGTCGTGGGCCAACGGGAGATGCCCACCCACCGCGACGACAACCTGAGACGACGAGCAGTCTCAGGTTTTTAGCTCACCGCCCCCTGCTCAGCCACGCTCCCTCAGCCTACCCTATCCCGCCGTCGGCCGGTCGGTCGATGGGGCGAGAGAGAAAGGATCGGCGCCCTCGGCGCCGACACAAGCTTTTGAGTGGTGCGAGCAGACGACCAGGGCGCCTCTTGTGCTGCAGCGCGCCCGTCGTTCGAAGAGCACGCGTCCGAATTCCGTCGGGAGAGCCCCGGCGACGGATGGGACAGCACGAGTTGCGCGCAATTATACGATGTGCTGCCTTTTCGGCGGTGGTGGTGGACGTGGCGTGGCGAGAGCCCTTTCAGCTACCACGCCGTATAGTAGTTGCGCGTGGACAGGCCAGATCGGCGCTGTCTCGGATGGGCAGCCCGTGACACCGCAGAGGTGCTGCTACCGACGGCCGTGATGGCTTGGGCCGCTCGGGCCTGCAAGGACGCAACGGTGAGGCTTGGTAGATGGCTCCGCATGGGGTATCGGGTGGCACGGAATCGACACATGGAGTGCTACAAGGCCTGCGTGCGTCGGTTCACGATGCGTATTCGCCCAAGGAAAGCAACCCCCCCCGGGTGCCGATGTCGCCGTGAACACGACGACTTAGTGGGGGAGGAGCGGCACAGCAAGGCTTGGCCGGCTCTCGGCTCCTTGGTAGTACTAAGGTACCTAGCACCTTAGTCGTGGTACCTACCTACCTAGGTAGGTACTTAGGTAGGTACGGTGAGTACAGTAGGTAATTAGGTAGTCAGCTAAGCCGGGCACTGCTGGCAAAAGTTTATGCCCTGCGAAGCACCAGCCAGGGGGTTCCGCCCGCGGGGCGATCTTGGCCCTGTCGAACCCGGTCGTGCGCTAGTACTGCAATGGATCTTCAGTGCTGGCGGGCACTGGAACTTAAACGTACGTATGATGTACTCCGTACAGTACAGTGCAGTACTTGAACCCAATCGCCTGGAGATGCAAGGCACAAACCGGATTCCCAGGGGACGCATTTCAAGGAACTGGACGCTTATTTTACCTATTTATAGACGCCGGGTTTTTATGCCCAGTAGCCATCTGCATCCATAGGCAGGGGGAGAGTTCGCGAGGGATGCGCCGCGGCGCCGGGAGACCGACGGCTTGCATTCGTGTTGGCACGCATCGACCGGGATGGTCACCGCAAGGTTGATGCGAACTCGAAAATAAAGCAGAGACTCGGGCTTCGGACTGCTAGGTCGTCGCTTGTGCCGGGCCAGAACACGCATCAAGTATAGCGAAGTGAGGAGAGAGGGGAGGGGGGCGAGGGTCGGAACGGGACACCTCGTCCGTCTAATCATCTCTGCAAGTAATGCAAGCAAAGAAACGGCTTGCGCCAAGAGCATTTCAGGCTCTCAGCTGCGTCGCAAGAAGCCTTGCATTGTAGGATGCCAGCTGCTCAGCTTTTACTGAGTAGATGAATGCATAAACCGGCAGTACGTACGGATACTTCGTACGAGTAGTACATACTAGACGCGTTGGAGGAACTACGGTGGGTGAGCACTGGAGATGCGGGCATGATGCTCCAAAGAAGCCCGAGTCGAGTCTTACAAGGGGGGGGAAGGGGTTCTTTATTCGAGCACGTATGGTTGCGTCTTCGTACAGTACGTGATTCTTGATCAAACAGTCGGGCTTACGCGACCAGCTCTTACCGCAAAGCGCCCTAATGCGAAACGATGGGTGCGTCAATGACGCCAAGGCTGCGACGCTGGTGGCTCGGACGGGAATGGACTGCCGCAGGGAGCTCTGCAGGAGGCTGACAGGTCCAGCACAGCATGGCTGGACAGTACGTTCACCAACTTGGGTTGCCCCGTGTTTAGCATGGCCCGCCCATGTTGGCCGCGACGGCGGCTGGCAGAAGAAACGGAACATGACTATCGTGGAGTGTCACGAGCTTCAACCTGATGACGACTATTGTAGCAATCTAGTACATACGGGGCAGCTCCCGAGAGACAAGAGGAGTAAGCGAGCGGCGGCGAAGCGTTCCGTGTAGAGGAGGGATCTGCGCTAGAAGCTTTGTCGACGAGGTGGATGAAGACGGGCCTCGGCAGGCGGATCGGGTTGGCGCTGGAAAATACATACAGTGAGTGATACAGTGCATGTGTGCCTGGACCGGTGGGTGGTGTGTGCCTGGACGGCACTAAAGAATGCATCTGTTCACGGGCTTGTTTCTCGGCCGGGTGACAGCGGCGGGCAGGGGATATGGACACCCAAATTTTGTTCACCGTCATCATGCTGTTCCGTCTTGCCTCGACTCTGGACGAGAGGGGCGGCGGGACGTGGCGGCTCAGGCAGGGGAACCCAGGGCTACCATGGTAAAACCCGTCGACTGTACAGTACCTAGCCTGTAGGCCCGGGCCTTTAATCAGTCGCTCGACGTGGGATGAATCGACATGGAGTTGCTCCCGCGAGTCGCCTTGGGCGCAAAACGTCTTTAGGCCCGAGGTTTCGGCCCAGCCCCCAGAGCGCCCCGCCGTCGCCAAAGTAGCACGCACCTGCGCAGTTGCCATCGTCTGGTCGTGTGTGTGTGTGTGTGTGTGTGTGTGTGTGTGTGTATGTGTGTGTGTGTGTGCGTGGTGTGTGCGCGCGCGAGGCATAGCCAGGTGGGTACCTAGGTAGGCAGGTATATTACCTACCAACCTAGGTGCCTAACCAAGGTTTCTTGCCTCGTCCGTCCTGATGGTCTGGGCATACCTGAGGTTCCAGGTGCAGTCTGTGTCGATGTGCGGACCTGGAGTGGGCCGGCGGCATGACGCACCGAGTCCCTCTTAAAGCCTGCCACGTGCATAGGCCAATGCCAGCCAAGTACTGCAAGTGTCTGGGGCTTCGATGAGCGACGGGGAAGGGATTTGATTGCGTTTGTCATGGAATTTCCATCGAAGTTTCCTTTTATATCCTGCAACCTGGGTGTTCCATGCCGCTGACTGCAAGTCACGCAACGGTGGTTGTGCCTGAACGGGGCGCAAGAAGTGGAGGCCAATGCCCTCTTTTCTTCTTCCCCTTCTTGCTTTGTTCAGGCGTCGCCGTCCCGCCATGGATGTGTTTTGCTACAACTTTGTAACTGACCGCCCGCCGACTCCTTACTGTACGGATGTTGGATGAAAGAGCTCTGCAGGTAGGTAAGATAATAAGGTAAGGGAGATAAGGGAGGCAAGGTCGGTAGGTAGGTAGGTCGGTAGGTAGGTAGGTAGGTAGGTAGGTAGGTACAGTACCTACTAGCTAACCTGCGGTGAAGGGCTCCTTTTAGTACTGTACAGTTTCGCCTTCCTCGACAGTAGGACACAGTAATTACGTAGGACACAGTAGTGTCGACACAGTAGGGTCTTTCGCACCTTCCCCGCCGTCCCATCCAATCCACCCACGACCAGTGGGCAAGTACCTCGAGGTACCCGTCATCCTCCTTGCTGTGACCGCTGCGACCCACCCTCCCCTCCCCTCCCCTCCCCTACCCTCCTGGCGCCTTCGGCCCCATCATCTCATCCCCCTTTGGCGGCAGTCCATTGCTTCAGATTCTCCTGCGCCCAGTCCGCATCAAACCTCTACCGTCAGATCCTATTGACGACTCCGCCGATTCCCATGCCTTACTTTAACCTGTAGCCATCCTGCCCGCCTGCACACACCTGCCTGTCCTGCCACTCCGCTCTTTTCTCGTCTTCTCTTCTCGATTTTTCCTTCTTGGCTCTATCGCCTCGCCGCTCCTTCAAGCCAAGCCGCCATTGCACGCATACGGCCAATCGCCGCTACCGTTTCATCGCCCGTCAGCAATCGTCGGCAGATAAAGACAGCGAGGAAATACGACGAGAGACTGATAGGCGTCGCCCTTCACCTTCTCGATTCAAACAATCGACGGCTTTGCTGCTTTTGGCTTGCTGGTAAGCTGCAGCGCTCCGTGCATGCGATTTGCTGCTCCTCAACCCTCTCGCCAGCCAACCACCAAGGCCACCACCACTCACCACTGGAACGCTGCGACCCGTGATTCGCCATTCACATTTCCGGAGCCGCCCCCCCTGTGCCCGCTCGCTGTCTCGTCCCCGTCCTGGTGCTTTTTTTGAGTTGTATTCTACTGGGTCTTTGACGGGCGCTTGCTCTCTGCCCAGCCCGCTCTCCCCTGTTTCCTTCTCCCACCATCATCTTCTCTTTACCACCACCATCCCTTTCGCCCTTCTCGCCTTCGATCCCCGTCGCCTTGGCCCATTGCGCCCAAGGAAGGCCGCTTCACCTAGAATTCCTCCCACCGCAGGCACAACCAATCGAGTCGGGGGCCCCCGATCTGACCGCCAAGGACAAGTCACAATCGCTGGCTCCACAAACGGCTGCAGGAAACCGCATCCACACACAGGTTATAGGCGGTTTAGTCCCAATATATCGCCTGTTTTGCCGCGCTACTCACAAAAAGGGCGGCTTTCTGCGGCGACGATTACTGAGCCTTTCTCTTCTCACGCTCCATTCCTGTGCGACTCGCTCACCGGACTTGCCAAGCACGCCAAGCCAGGGCGCATTCGTGCCATTTCACAGAAGCGGCCCTGCCGACGACTCGGCCACCTCCATTTTTCAACTCCCGACCCTCCAAGGCTCCTCGGGCGGCTCATTCTGCACCCCTTCTCCAGACTCACTATGAGTGCTGCCGTCGCCATGGCTCCGTCTCCGGCTCCCCACGAGAGACAGTCCTTCTCTTCGGAACTGCAGCCTCCCTCGACCGCCCCGGCCACCGGCCACCCACCCGCCCAGTCGCCCTCATCAGCCCAGAGAACCCCGCTCGTTGCTTCGCCGGCCGCGAGCGCCGGCAAGAGTGCCGCCCCTCGCAAGTTTGGCGGCAGCAACAGTCCCAAGGCCCCCGGACCCTCGGCTGCGGCCAAGTCCTCGCCTCCCGGCGCGTAAGCAAGCCTCCACCCGGTTTCGTCTCGTGCCATTGCAAACGCGAGCTGGTGCTGACATGATCTTGCTCTTTGCAGTTCTCGGGCGGACCCCAAACATCCCAAAATCGTCGTGAAAAAGGAGCCTGGATCGCCGACTCTATCGAACACGCGACCCCGACCCCGAAAACTGGACCTCTCCAAGAACACGAATGCTACCTCCAACGTACCGGCTTCCGCCGTGCCCATGTCCGCCCGCGACAATCTGGGCATCCAGGAGGTTGGCATTGCTTGTCTCTCTCCCGGCTTTGTAACCCAGGACCCTGTCATGAACCAACAGCTCCAGCGCAGCTTGAGTGTGCGGGAGCAGCAGCGCCATATCATCGAGGCCAGATTGCAGCAGTCTGCCAAGGGCGACGGGCCCTCAGATAAGGACAAGGAAATGCCGCCGCAGTTTGCCGCCAAGACCCCCGGCATGTCGCGCAGGAACAAGGCGCCTCCCGGGCTGTCCATCGTGGCCCCGTCGCATGAGCAGTTTGCCACCGAGAGGGTCATTCAGTCGGCTCCTCTGGGCCATAGCTTCACCGGGCGGCAGCATCCTGCCCCTTTGTCGCGCCATGTTGTCAACCAGCCCTCGAACCTGTCGAGCACTTCACACATCCATCACGTTCCGGCAAACCAAACCAACAATCGCCTTCCTCCTCTCAGCGACGTTTTTGGGCAGAGCATGTCCGCGCACCCGGACAATGCCTCAGCTTCGCTTTACCCTCATGCCCCGAGGGGCCCTCTGAAATCCCCGAGTCACCCGCCTCCGCACCGGCAGATGCCGACCTCTGGCCGCTCGCGGGAATTCAAATCCGCCGAGGACGCCCAGCACGAGCTAGCCGGCGGACGGCCGGAGCTTCTTCCAAAGATTGTTCACTACGGTGGCCACCAGCCTCCTACGCCGCCATCACCTGCCCCGGGAAGCCGACAGACGGAAGGGACTCGAAGTGCTAGCAAGCGTCGGACACGTGCAGAGTACGAGGATGGTGGCAGCCCTCCTCTCGGCCACGGCCCCGCCGCCGCCCGCCGCGGGCCCTTTGGCGAAGGTCGAGACAGCCCCGAGACTCAGCGTCAGAAGAAAGATGAGTTTCTCCGGCTCTGTGCAAGAGCCTGGGATCTTTTCCACTCGTGATTGACGCATTGCATACGCGAAATGGGATATGGCGGAATGATACTTCACGTTGAAACTTGGATGCTGTCGTCGACATGCGGATGTATACTGCGCTGATGCAAAGGCTCCCTCCGATTGTTGGCGCGGCACCCCTTTATTCTTGTTTAATATTTTTTGGCTCGCCAATGACCGAGTGTCCCAAAGCCATGCACCTTCCCTTCGGACAAGGAACCAGGAGACGACGAGAGAAGTTTGGAGGAGGAAACCGGCGAACATGGTCAAGGTCCACTACGGGCGAACGCGTATCAGCAACGGCGTCGTGCGCTAATTTTTAACTCTTGATCGCTCGGCCTCTCCTCCATTCGGATTGCATCGGCTCCTTTCGAAACGGGGGACAAAGCCGTATGTTGCTGGGCTTGCCCAATCGTTGTTGAGCAGATGGTGCGCGACACCACGGGTTTAATTTTTCCCTACTTATTTCTCACTCTCTTTCTTCCTCTTTTACCGTGGAATATCCCGTATTGTACCTCGGGATCGGGGCCTAGACGACCGTTCCTTGTGTGTGTATCTCGGTATGGCCAGCGTTCCTCGGGAGCAGACTTGTCGGTCAGTCGGGGCACTAGTTGTGTGGATGGAACGGCGTGATGTTGGGGGATACATTCGTGGGGAAGAAGCATGTAAAGGGCATTACCATATTTCCTGGGAGTTTTGGTTGCAAGTCGACGGGGATTACAATTGTAGCTTGGGGCAATGTCGTGCTTAGTACTGCCCGCCACACGCGGATAATGAGTGTTCTGAAGTGTTATACATTGCTGGCTAGGCAGTATAAACGAGGATCCGTTGACGTCTCAACTCGCCGAGGTTGCTTGTGGCATAAGTGGCAACAGCCCCTGTAGATTGGCGTCGAAAAGGCTTCGCGTCCATTCTGACCCCTTTGCTCTGGCAGCGCGTGATCGTAGTACGTACAATGAAGGCAGGTAGAGACACGAGAGCAAGGCGGAAGGTTGTTTGTCGCCGACAGCACAATGTCTGGTGCTCGTGCCCCTTTGATTTTTGTACTTCACATCCCAGGCCAGAGCAGATCCTCGGGGTAGAAGAAATGGATGATACTTGCAGCGGGCTATTCTACTCAAGAGGCAGGCGTCAGCAGGCGGGCAAGACGACGAAACCCACGCTCGCGTTCGCTCATCTAGCCCACCCCCTGGTTGTGAAAGCCACCAGACAGGGCGCCGTTTGTCCCCACAACAGTATCCAAGCCAACCAACATCAAACCCCCATTCAGGCCTCCCAGGACCTGCACGCAACCCCGTGTTCTCTACATTGATGCAAACCAGTGCTTCGTGAACAAGATAGCCTGCCAAACCCCCAACCTCTATCCCTTGTCCACCTGTACAAGGCCCCAAGCTCCGGCTCTCTATCCTGCGCGCAAGCTTGGAGCCGGAGACGGGTGGGGCCGGCGAGAGTAGAAAAGGTGCAAACAGATTGCCGCGTCTCAAGTACTCCCCAAAACGCCAATGCTCGTGGTGTATAGAATGAACCGAAAGAAAGCTCCAAGGTTGCGATCCTGGCAAACGAATAAGAGAGGTGCAAGAAAGCAAAAGCGTCCGTGGACGAGGGTCGTCGAATCGTTAACGTCGGTCCGGAAACACACCTGGGCGGTGCGCTGGCGGTCCCGTTTCCCCATCTCCGCCGGGTGTTAGGCAAAGAGTCGTCTGCAAGATGCGTGGCGCCGCTGGGTCGCGCCCGCAATCACATTGCAGTCCGCCATGCCAGTAGCATGACGGACGACGTGTTAGAGACCCTCTTCGCCGGCCTTGCATAGTTTTATCTCGCGGACCCATTCGGACTTGAGGACCTGAGCGGCCGTCAGGCGGCGGGTAGGGTGAGGGTCCAGGACCGAATAGATGACGTTGCGACACCGTGCCTGTTTATGCATTAGTTCTGTACTCGTGAGGAAGGGCAACGGGATCAAAGCATGGTGGAGCCAGGTTAAGGGGTGAACGGAAGAGACATACGCGGTGGAGAGACTCGATTGGGCCATAGCCCTCCTCGTCGCGGCGCCCCTCGAGATAGCGAGCATAGAATTCATCCTCATCCTTTTTGGCGACGCGCCAGAGGTGGCGACCGGTCCTCATGGCCATGTAGATGACGCCGCAGGCCCACACATCGACGGCCCGGGCGTCAAACTCCTTGTCGGTGTACTCTTCCGGGGCGATGTACGGGGCCGAGCCGCAGAGGCCCGAGACCATGTGGGCGTCCGTCTCCCAAGCCATGCGGAAGCATTCTCCGTTGCCAAAGTCAGTAATCTTGAGGGCGCCGCGGGTGGTGAGCAAGAGGTTCTCGGGTTTCAGGTCGCGGTGAGCGACGCCCATTTCGTGTAGATACTCGACGCCGCGCATCATCTGCTTGAAGAGGCAGTCGGCCTCCTGAACCTCTAGTTTTGTGCTCGAGAGGACAAGGGTGTAGAGATCGCCGCCTGCGCAAAACTCCATCACCTCACAGTAGTCACCCTTGGCATCCTTGAGCAAGTCGAGCGTGTGAATGACGTTGGGATGGCGGAGGGACGAGGAAATGCAAAACTCGGCCGTCAGGCGCTTGCTGTACTTCTTCTCCGTCTCCTCGGGCCGGCGGCGGAACTCCTTGACGGCAAAGAGCTTCTCGCCGCTGCCGCCAAGCTTCTTGTGAGAGATGCGGACAATGCCAAAGGCACCGCGGCCGACGACTTCGTGGCACTTGCCGTACTTTTCCACCAGCGTCGACGTGGCGTTGGGTCCGCCCCTCCTGTCGCCGGCCTCTTCCTTCTCCTGGCGAAGCGAGTCAACCCAGTTTGAGACGAGGGACAGGTCATTGTCGGGGACGGCCTCCTGCTTCTTGCCGAGCAGGCTGCGCCACAGGTCCGAAAGCTTTTCTTGCCGGCGGCTCGACTTGAGGAAGTGCTCGTGGCCACCCTGGACATCGGGGTTGAGGATGAAGCGCTGGCTCACATCCCTGCCGGCAGTGGACTTTGAGGAATTTGGCGGCGGCTTGTCGACCGACCTTTCGGCAAAGTCCTTGCGCGGGACGGGCGAGGAGCTGCCGTTCAACGAGGTGCCGCGCGGACGGCCGGCGTGGTCGCCGTTGGTGCTGGCAAGGCGGGGGGCGTCCTTTGTAGAGAACATGCGCGTTAGACGCTCCTTGACCGAGGACCTCTCGGGGGGTCTCGCATGCGACGAGTCGCTGGCGGCGAGGGAGGATGCATCGGGGATGGTGGCGGCGGCGGCGGCGTCCTGAGGGGACAATGCGGGCGACTTCCTGCTGTCGTGCGACGTGATGGACGAGGGCTTCGAGCTCGGTGCGGAATTGGGCTTGGAGTCGGCGGAGGCGGCAGGCATTTTCGCGGGAGCGGGCCAGGGGTGGCAGAGGGCCAAAGGGACGTGCAGGGTTGACGTAGCGCCCGAGCCGGAAGCGCTGGGGGGTTGGTCGTCGAGCGACCGGGCGCGGATTGTGGGCGCGCAGTGGCAAGCAAGATGTACCGATGGCTTGCTGATGGTGGAAGGTGAAGGAAGCCGATGCGACTTTTGAGGGAGCAAAAAACAAAAGCCGCAGACCGAGTCGACGAGATTGCGACCAAGGACGGGGTGGTGGAGAGAAATAGGTTGACGTCGACGAGAAAGGTTCGTGGCTGGTTGCGGATGACAAACCAATCTGGGCCTTGGAAGCCGACGGTGGAACCGGCGCTGGCGCTGGCGCTGGTGCGGGCGGAGCGGCGACCAGAGAGCAGCGGGCGATGTCGAGGTCTGCTGAGTGAGCGCTCGTGGTGTGGCGTGGTGTGGTGTGGTGTGGTGTGTGTGGTGGTGTGGTGGTGGGTGGTGGGTGATGGGTGCGGGGAGGAGAGAAGAGCGAGAGCGCGCGCGGGCGCGAGGCCAAGGATGCCGAGGAAGGGTTGGACGAGTATGGGCGAAACGAGGACGACAGGGATCCGGAAGTGGCGTGCCTGAGAAGGCCGAAAGGGTTGATTTGTTTCGCGGGCTTATTAGAGGCCAGAGGGAGAGAGGAGGAGGGGTGGGTGGACAGTTTCGAAGAAGCGCCAAACTCGCTTTGCTTGGTTTTCTCCTTGTCCTTTCCTTTGCCGTTTGTTCTCTCTTTGTCTCCCTAATTCCCCCTCCCCTGCGCTGCTGCTGTGGTATAAGACGATGGCGGTCGGCTCACCGAGCAAAGGATGAGGGTACCTTCAGGAGGACGGCTGGGTGGCCAAGAAGAAGTAAAGAGAGGGCGAGAGAGGAAGGAGATGAGGAGGAGAGATGATGTAGAAAAAGAATCAACCAAAGGAGGTCGAGGGAGGTCGAGGGAGGTCGAGGGAGGAGGAGGGAGGAGGAGAGAGAGCGAGAGAGGAGGAGGGCGAGAGAGGGCGAGCGTGGTGGGCGAGGGAATAAATGAGCCCGAGGAGGGAGGGGGATTGGCGGGCAATATTTCTTCTTTCCCCTAACTAGCGAAGCGCGGAAGGGTATAAGAGGGCAAGAGGGCAAGAGGGCAGGTCGAGGCTAGGTCCAGGCGGGTGGTGGAAGGAGGTAGGGCCGAGTGGAGCTCCAAGGGCCGCTGCGTTTTTTTTCCCTCTTGCAATTTAAATTTAAGCCGTATTTATTATTATTTTTTATTCCTTACTCTCGTCTTGTTATACCCCGTTGTGCACCCGTGCTGTACGGTACTCTAGTTAGCAGTGTTACTGTTGCAGGCAAAAGCGATGTCTCGAACTTTGTACCCGGCTGGCAAGGAGGAGGCGTGGCCGTCAGCACGTCGCGTACCGGGTACTGCCAGCCTCGAGCTTTGACCCGTGCTCAAGCGCCGTACCGTCGACCTGAACCCTTGGAGGCTAAGTACCTGCCACCCGGCGCAGAGTACGGAGTAATATACGCGCTCGGGTAGGGCCAAAAAGCTCGGCCACTAGCAGACGGCAAGGTACTTTTTCCTTGTTGCCCTATGCGCTGCTTTCTGGTCTGATCCCTCGGCGTTTTCTCGAGATTCATTTCCGATCTCTACCGGTCCTCGCTACGTTCTGTTAGTAGTTCCTGGCAGGCCAGCTCGAGGTGGCGGCTGCGCAGTGCCCGCGGCGAGCTTGTGCACAGAGAGCAAAGTGCATATGTACATCCTATCCACACGGCAGATGTACATACGTGGATTGCCGCATCGAGCATACAGATGCTGGGTGGCGGCTGAATGTCTCTGGTTGTCTTTGCCCGGAGCAAGAAGAGAGCTGCCCATGTCTCTTGCCGAGCCCCTGGACTTGGCATGTGCTGTGGCGGCCGGCCATGAATTGCCCAAGGGGTCCCGCCGTGTCTCGACAAGGCTGCGGGCAGTTGACACACTGCTGTGGCACAGCGGAATCGCCAAGGCCCGGCGCGCGTGCGACGACTCGCCGTCGAGGAGAATGACGTACCCGGAACCTCGCCCCCTTTCTAGTCCAGGTCGTAGTCCAGGTCGGTCCCAGCTTAGCCTTGGGGTGAATGTCGTCTGGCTCTGCTCTTGGACGAGTCAACAAGGCTAGACAGAGGCTGTGCAGGATGTGCAGGATGTGCATTCGCAGAAGCGCGAGCGAGATGACAAGGTTGCCTCCATTCCATCTGTGCCCGATCGTGGCCGAGCTTATTAAGATGGCGGGCATAATTCATCAGTCTCGACCTCTCTTACCCAGCACAAACTCTGATGCAGATGCAGACTGCCATCTGACTCTGCGACCATTTCCCCCCTCGTCCGGAAGCGTCTGCTGCCGACAGTGGTTTTGGGGCCGACGGAACCCCCCCCCTCCGGGCCGGCGGGGCTGCAGCAGCAGCAGCAGCTGCTGCTGCTGTTGCTGGTGGACAAACGCATGACGGACGTATAGTATATTGATTAATTCGTGCCTCGTCACCGCCGTTCAACAGGCGGACTCACGGGCGATTTCGGCCTTGAATCAAGACGGCTGGCTCTCCCACGCCGTTTCTTTCTCCATGCGACTTGCCGAGCCATCGGGGGCCGCGGGCGGCGAGTTCGATAACTGACCGTCAATGTTTGCTTTGTGGCGCCCTTGACCTTGGCTTCTCGCCGCAGCAGCCCTTGGAGGAAGAGGCCGGCTAGGACGGGAGCGAGAGCGGAGCAAAGGACTGAGCCGCACTGTTGTCGATGACGGCGTCGCGCATGCATGCAAGGAATCATGCATTCACTGATTCGCTCACTCCAAAAGATCTTTCCTTGCCCTCACTTACCGTACTCGGCGGTGATGCTCTGGTGCAGCGAGACAAGGCTCTGCGTCTGCGTGATGAAAATGACTCACTTCAACCTCTTCTCTTGCCTCAGTCCATCTTCCTCCTTTGCTCCTTCCCAAGAATCATCCCTGGTGCTCGTTTCCCCCCTCCATGGGGGAAAGATCCACCGGCCGCGGCTGCCGTTGTGGGGTACCGCGATACTTGCCTGAGGCGGCCCCCAACGGAGTGGCGCGCTTAAGACTCGGATGCGGCTATAGTTCGGCACCTGGCCGCTCGGCATTCAAAGCACCAACTTGACCAAGGAGCCAGGACAAAAGAAAGCAGGCCATGAAGATTGGGAAAGGGGCCCTGGTTCGCCAAGAAGGAAATCTCTGCTATCTACTCGGCAAGACGGGGCCGACGATACAGGCCCATCTCATCTGCCCATCTCATCGTAGACGCACATGAAAATGCCGGACAAAGTACCGAGGCATGCCGGCCTGGCCACGTTGTGTCTCAGACAGCCTAGCCTCTCCTCTTCCTTTTCTTCTTCTTCTTCGCCCTCCCGAGCAAGGCCGTGTGCTTGGGGCGTGTGTGTACCGGCATGCCGATAATAAATAATAGCCTTCTGTCGCTGGCTAAATGCCATTCAGAGTCCAGCCGTCTCAAGGCGTCCAGTCCCGGCCCTCTCCAGGCCCCAGACACATGCCCCTCGGCCTTGTTTTTTTTTTGCTTGTTTCATCAAAAAGAGGGGGAGACCCAGCTGACAGGTCAATGGATCATGGGCCACCGCATACATTCTCCGGACTGTAGACTCGATAAGTCGATATACAGTCCACTCGTCTCGAGCACATGGCGAGAATGAGGGAATAACGGGCCGCATGCAAGCCATTCCGTCCCCTTACAAAACCATGGCTATGCGCTGGCATCGCATCACATTGCATGGGCCGCCGATGGCAGTGCTGTATCGAGGCAACGAAGCTGACCGCCTTTGCCTGGATGTAGATGGATGCAGCAGCAGCCCCGATTCGACCCCCTTGGCCGCCTCGTCTTTCTTCGTCTTTCTTTTTCCAAGCCCTTCCAAGCCTTCCCTTGCCTTCCGTCCCTCTTTTCACAAGCCCACCCTCACGTATTCATCCCCATCTATGTATACCTCGTTTCACCGCGTCCGTTGACGATGGAGAAACCAAAACAATTGACTCAGTTGTATTAATCAATCGGCTGCCACCTCTGGGGTTGCATCCTGCATCTCCAATGCATGCTTATTCTTCTTCCTCGACGGACACGGTGAGAGAAGCTCGTGCTCGCCTCCTCTCCTCGTCGTGCTGCGCACCATCTCGTCCCCTCTCGGCCAACCGCATCACCACCCCGTCCGTCACTGTTCACCCGTGCTCGCACCAACGCGCCCAACCGTTTCAAGCCCGCCCTCGTGCTCTGCATCTCCCACGGCATTGGCTCCCTCGTCCCTGGATCAGGGGCCTCGGTCCGTCGTCCGTCGTCCATCGCCCATCGCCCATCGTCCCTCGTCCCTCGTCCCTCGAGGGAGAGATGCGAGCCCCTCTCGCCAATGTAAAAAGCTGCCTCGTTTCCTCGCGACCCAACGGAATGTGACTTCAATCTAGACCTCATCCCCAGCTGCCCTTCCCCCCTCACCCCCCCATCTCGCCCTCTCCCCTCCATCTGGCGCTCACACACACATACCTCTCTGCATGCATGCACAGCATACAGCTCTATTCCTACGCATGTCCAGACAGACCCCCGGCACCTGTCATGTCATTTCCCTTGGCAGCCGCATCTCGTTTGCAAAAACGCCACGATGTCCCCAGTGCGCGGGCACCGCAACGGGGCTGCATCCAGCGCCGCCGTAGCATCCACCGCTCGTGCCACAGCCATGTTGCATTGCCTTTTCCTGCCTCTCCCAAGCTGCGGCCACGGCAGCCAGTCTTGCCAACAAAATGGGCCGCTGCTGCTCCCCAGGCCCTGCACGCCCTGGCTGACGCCCGCCTGCCCGTCCAAGTCAGAGCTGGCCATCGCCGAGGCTCGCCAAGCCCGCCCTGTGCCTGTGCTTGCGCCTGTGCCTGCATCGGTGAGCGCCCATTGCCTCTGTCTCATTCCTCCAAGCACGGCACGGATAGAGACAGTTCCTCTCGGCCACCCGTGACCCGCACGCTGTCCTCCCCTCCTTTATCTGCCCCATCTTCTTGGCTCCATAAGCCATTTCCCCCCTGTCACTCTTATTCTTGGTACGTATTGACCTGTCTCTTGCCCTGCTGGGGCACGCGGGCTAAGACGCGGCCCTCCCCCCCGATCTGGTGGCAGGATCGATCAAGAGACCGCCTTCGTTCTAGACCGCGTAGGCGGAAACCACCGCCAACCCCCGAGCCATGGTTCGTCGCGTCCAACCGCGCGCCATGTCTCTGCTCTCACTCGTGCTGCTGCCGTGTCTCAGGGCCCCGTGTGTTCGAGTTGGAGATGCCGACCTTTGAGACAAGTTGGGCCAGTTTGCCACTGGGAGCCGACGAGAGGTGCTCTTGCAGCTGCCGCTTGGAATCCTTCATATCGGCCTTGAGAGCGAGTGGAGATAGTCCCCTGTCCTCCATCAAGTTTCCCAGCTTCCTCAAGTGCTCCGACTCCTTGACAAACTTGGTCAAGTACAGCGTCGGCTTGCTCGACCCGCTCCCAGCCTTCATCTGCTGCTCTATCGCGTCCTCGTAGGCACGGTCGTAGACGTCAAAGTCGACCGCCGTCGGCGAGTCCGCCACCACGTTGGGCGTTGCTTCATCCATGGCGAAGTCGTCTCTGGCACCGGTGCCGATGCCCAGAAACAGCGGCTCTTGGTCGCTCGTCAGCTCCGCGTGACTCTTGTCGCCCCTGTCCGCATGTTCAAGCACGCTGCGTCGCCGATGGAGGAGGGCCTCGATCTCCATCCTGGCCGTCTCCTCGGCTGGGTCTGGAGCCGCTTGGGGGCCTGCGTCGCCCGAGGATGCCGGAGATGCATCTGCGAGACCGCGGGCCTTTGATCGTATGCTGGCCAGTAGTGATTTGAACCGGTGAATGGCCCGCATGACGCAAAATAAATGATTCATTTTCCGCGTAAAGGCCCGGTTCAGCTCCAGCTCATTAGGCGGCTCTACCAGGTGCGCGCAGTTCTCCTCGGCCGAGAGAAGCGGATCCGTGCCGCTCTTGGTCACCCAGGGATGGTCCTACGGACTGGTCAGCCTTGCCGTTGTGCAGCCATGACGGATGGGGACGCTCACCCGTAGCTGGGACATGGTGATGCGCGTGTCAGGGTCCTTATCCAAGATGCTGCCGATAAGGTCGACAAAGTTTGGGTTCTCGCCCTCGGGGATCGAGGGGTCCTCCGTCTTGATGGCTTCGTATATCGCGAATATTCCCGGCCTGACAAATGGCAGCTTGCCATACTTGAGGCAAAACAGCGACACACCCATGGACCAAATGTCAGCTGCCTTGCCAGATATCTCCCGGTGTTTGCCGCACAACTCGGGGGCTGTGAAGGCCGGCGAGCCTGCTGACTTGGCCGTCACCATGATGTCCGTCTTCTCGAACATCTCCGAGACGCCAAAATCCACAACCTTGAGAACATCGTCTTCCGACAGCAGCAGGTTGTCTGGCTTGATGTCGCGATGAATCACGCCCTGCGTGTGCACTGCCCTGGAGTCAACCGCGCGAACTGTCTGCAATCCGGTTCGGAGAGGGGCCGATTTGACGTACAGTACTCAATGCCCAGTATGAGATCGCGAAACCAGTGGCGGCAGGCCTCGTCGCCGTACGGCTCTGCGTTGCCATCCAGCCCGATCCTCATGACGACGCCCTTTTTGCACATTTCCAAGACCATATAAAGAGAGTCCTCTTCCGGGTCGTCGAGCACTTCGATAAGCTGGACCAGGTTCGGGTGATTGATCTTTTTCATGATGGCGATTTCTTCCCGTATCAGGAAAAGAGCGTCGTTTCTTTCACCAGCGCGTAGACTCTTTAATTGCGGCGACAGTGGCCCGCCGCCCCGGCTGGTCCCAGGAAGGGCGTGACGGGGCATGCCGTGAGGACCTTGTCGGAGGAGGTGAGACTGGGCGCGCTTGCGCAAGCGGGTCTTGGAGAACTCTTTCATGGCCTTTGGGGCTGTTAGAGATGACGACTGAAACGGAACTGGTGACGGGTCCTACAAATTCGTTGCCGAACTGGTCCTTGGCTAGATGAACGGCGCCGTAGGAGCCCCGTCCAATCTCCTCCGCGATGACATACTGGTTAATCCTGTGGTACGTCCTGCCATCGACCTCGTCGCTTGTAAACTCTACGCGGGCGTCGAGCGTCTCCTGTGGACGGACGCGATCAGCCTCCTCTGTTTAACGAAGGCTTGTCAAGGACGGGCGGACCTTGATTTCGCGGTGGGCGCTGGGGGTTCGCCTATGCTGCCGTATGGGACTGGCAAGGCCCTGTAGGACGGAGTCGTCAGGCCTGCCGAGGCGTTGGAGAAGCTCAGCACTAGAGCCTCATGCCGTATATCAACGGCGTGATTTGTGTAGAACTTACGCGCCGGGGACGGGCGTCTTGATATCGCTGGGGCGGTCGACGGTGACCTGGGGGGACATTTGGCCTGGCGCGACCGGCGGGGTCTCGTCTTTGGAGCTGGCCATGTTGCAGAGCGAATACCGAGCAGAGTCTATGACGGGCAGCGGGAAAAGGACAGCAATCGATGGGCTGGCGTGCGTGCGTGGCCGTTGTACAGGCGCGGATGGGTGTCTTGATGAGCAAGGCGGGGAGTTTTGGTGCGAGACAGCAGCAGCAGTTGCCGTCTAGGGCTGACGGGGAAGTCGCTCGCTGGCAGGATGGGCTTTGGTCTATCCGTAAATCTTGCTCGATTGTTGTTGCTATGCTTGAGTAAGACGAGATGCTTCTTGCTCGCCAACAAGGTCCGAAGACACGGCCTGTGTGACGGCGGGCGAGCGCAAATCGGCCGGGTGACAAGGACGCACGATTCGGCTTCCAGCGCAAGCAGCCGGCGCTGGCCGACTTGGAGGAGAGAGCGTGAGAGGCTTGGTCGAGGATTTTCGGGTGCTGACGACGAGGAGCCTCACGCTGTCGTCGTGCGCCGGCCCTGCTGTCATGGCGGGGTGGACACCGGACAGGTGCACCCACTCCCCGTATCTGGCAAAGTACCTCGCAGTACCGTACCTGGGAGCTCCGTCTCCGGCCGCGAATCAACATCCAACACGACCAGCCTCACCCTCATATCATCGACGACACGTTGCCCCTTTCCACCACCTCCACACGTTTTCACGGATTCGCGACACAAGAAGGAGCACGCCGCTCGCCGCACGAGTCCCATCACCTGTCTCCGAGGCCTCTTGGCCACCGCCACCGCTGGCCGCCCAGCATGACCGTCTACAACTTCTACATCTTCGATCGCCACAGTACGACGGCCGCTCTCCCCATGCGGAAGCCTCCAAAGCTAACGCACCATGACCTCGTCCTTTCTCATCACCAGCCGAATGCATCTATGCCAAATCCTGGCTCCCCCCCTCGGCCTCCCGGCCCGCCCCCGCCAACACGACGTCGGTCGCCGCCTCCGACGACGCCAAGCTCGTCTTCGGCACCATCTTCTCCCTGCGCAACATGGTCCGCAAGCTCGGCGGCGACGACGACGCCTTCATCAGTTACCGCACCGCCCACTACAAGCTGCACTTTTACGAGACCCCCGCCAACCTGCGCTTCGTCCTGCTCACCGACACGGCATCGGCGAGCATGCGCAACGTGCTGCATCAGATATACATTAACCTGTGGGTCGAGTACGGTGCGTCTCGTGCCCCCTTCTGCTCCGCCCAACACGTAAAAGCGACTGGCCTTGGGGAGATTGGCCATTCGTCTTCGACAAAGGGCCCCCCAGTGCTGACAGAGGTGCCCCTGCAGTCGTCAAGAACCCTCTGGCGCCCGTCGAGCACAAGGGCGGCGACGGCGTCCAAAACGAACTCTTTGAGCTGGGTCTGGATCAGTTCATTCGAGGACTCATGTGAAATACCCTCGAGACTCCCTCCACGCCATCAGCATCGACTCGGACGCCCACGGGAGATATGATATCCCTTGCCGCCAGCGGGACTGGTCAAGGCCAGTCTCAGCTCAGCATCGCTGCGTTCCCTACGTCTTGCACCTAATGGTGCTGGTCGCCGAGCCTGTGGCCGAACCCGATACGATGCGAGATTACGACCTTTAGTCACACCTCACCGGTGCCCGGCTGCCAAAGCAGCACCAGGGTATTTCAAGATGAGGGATATGTGCCCGAGGGCTCAATGAGCCTCAGGTGGAGAGGTCTGAGGTCACTGCCAAAGCCGGGCCCTGCCGAAAGGATCACCTGCCTGCTCCATTAATGTCACAGGTGGCTGTGATACCTGAATGGGCATTTGTATCCATTCCCTCTTAAGGCGCCTGTATATCGGCCATAATATGAGTCAAAGGGTTAGAAATCCGTCACAGGTCGTCTAGGTAATACAATGCAGAAGAAGAAAGGAGGAGCTGCCGTCATCATCTCTTCTCAGTCGCCCTCTCCCATGCGCCCTCAAACCTGCTGGGTGGCTCGACCATGCCAATGCTCTGGTCGCCGCCCTGGCTCTGGTCGCCGCTCTTGGCTTGCGACGACGCACCCTCGGTGCTCACATGCACCGCGCTGTTCATAAGGCCATCGCCTTGAATCTCGTTTTCCCAGTTACTCGAGTAGACGACGGCGGCAAAGGCCTCGACGGCCCGGACCGTCTCCATCTGCTCGAGGTATTCGTTGGGCATGCCGCTCCCGATGGCATGCGCCTGGCGCGTCAGCACCGAGAGAATCTTGGGCAGCAGGATGACCTTAGACTCTCCTGCGTCTGCCGCGGCGGCGGCAGCCTGGCCTGCTCCTTGGGTGGGAAGGTCAAAGGCTTCGGCGGCGAGCTTCGTGTCGACGAGAAAGGAGAATCCCGCGTCGAGGACGAGCGTCAGGACGTGGGCAAAGGCGGGCGACTCGATGAGGTCGGCAGTCTCGTCGAGCAGCCGTCTCAGAGCGGCCGGTGACGGCTGAGAGAGGCCGCCCTGCATCGAGTTGTCGTCGAGGATGCCCGACTCGCGGATGACGTCGGCTTCTTGGTCCCGAGGCGGGAGCATGAGCTTCAGCCAGTCCGACGTCCTCCGCTCCTCGGGCGTGGATCCCTCGACGAGCTTCCTCACCTCCATCGTAAGCTCGCCGAACCTCTCAAAGCTCACCAGGTCCCGGGGGCTCAGGCTCCCGAATACGGTCCGCACTGCGCTCTCGACCCGGTGCATCATCTCCATCCAGCCCCTGTTGAGCAGCCACCAGCTAAAGGTCAGGTACTTGCGGTTCGTGTCAAAATCGTTGCCGTAGTCTTGCTCTGTGTTGTCGTCGTCGTTGTTCTCGAGGCTAATGGTGGCCTGTTGAGCGCCAGTGGCGAGGGAAACGACGCTGGACAGGTAGCTGCGGCGGCCGAGGAGGTTGAGCTGGATCCTGGTCAACATGGCGAGGAGGGCGAGGGTGTAGACGAGGGTAAAGGCCCTCGTGACGGCTGTGGGCTCGAAGGATCCTGGTCAGCCTTTCCATCCAGGTTGCCGCGGTTGGGGACTTGACGCACCGCTGATGGCCAGGCTATCCCAGAGTTGCCTCTTGGTCTTGCGAGTCTTTTGCACGCCCCCATCTTGCTTGGCCGCGTCGCCGGCGGGCGCAAAGGGCGAGGGCGTCGCAATCTGGCTCGCGTGGATGCCGCTTTCGCTATGCATGCTGGCCATGCTCTTGCCGTCCTCGTCGGTCAAGGTGGTGTCGGCGATGCTTGGGGGGCTCGCGGCGGCAGCGCCCTTGGGGCCCCTTGCGGCGCTCTTGGTCTGTTGAATCTCATACGTGATCTGCTCCGTGTTGAGGGCGGAAATGATGTTTGCCGTGGCCGTAGGGAGGAGAGCGAGGACGGTAAAGGTACAGTCTTCTTGGTTCTGCTGGAATCGGCGGCGCAGGCTGTGTCGCGCGCGGTCAGCCCCATCGTCTCCCGTATAGCAGGGCCGTGCGAAAGCTCACTTTTCCTTCGCGATGCGATCGCTGCTCATGCGCTCGCGGGCGTCGCTGATCTTGTTGAGGACATACTGGGTGACGACGTAGCCGGCGCCGACGACGCCTACGCCAATGGCGAGGGGGGTCCTGTTGCTGTGCAGCCAGCGCCGGGCCGAGGACAGCATGGCGGGCGCAGACGCTGAGAGACGGGGGCTGCGTCGCCGAGGGTCATCCGCCTTGGTCCTGGGCGTCGATGGCGAGGGGATACGGCAATGGCGGCGGCGGCGGCGGCGGCGTCGAGGATGCGTGAGGCTTTTCTCCTTGGTGCTGGCAAGCGAGGCCGATGCGCGGCTCTGGCTGCTTGATGCCCGCCAGTGTTTCCAGGTACATTTGGGGGTACTTGAGACTATTGAGTTGATGCAAAGTGTACGGAGAATGTGACGTACATGATACATTACTCGACGATGGTAGATTACTACCTAGGTAGTTCCTACCTGGGTACTACAAAGTACTGGGCACCTCAATAGTAGGTACCTACGTAGTATCAGGTAGGGACTTGACAGCCCGCCAAGGGGCCCCCGCCTCCCTCCGGTCCAGCACCAGCGGATAGCGCCGAAGCCTCGGTACAATTGCACTGCTACAAGTGGGTCGAGGCTCGGTCCAGCGACATAGGTACAGTACAGTACGGAGTGTCAATTATCCGGTTTACACTATTCCCAGCAACAATCATCCACCGTTGTGGGCATCGCGGGCCTCATATTCCCCCGACGCGGCATTCGGGCTTGCAAAAAACACAGGGACCAACTTTGTACGTGCAGTCAGCGCGTCGCAGGCAGGCCTGATGGCCAAGTCAGCAGCAATTCATCGCTAGGTAGCCATGAAACCTACCACCGGAGGAGGGCAAGGCCTCCTCGCCTCTGCCTCCTGAGCTGCCAGCCCCAGACCGGCAAAGACTGCCACGACAAGACCAATGACCTTCATGTTTGGCGGAGAAGCTTCCAAAAACCTGCGACAAGTGATTCGACGTCGGCGAGTCGTGTGAAGTTAGAGTAGATGGGGAGAGGATGGTGGCTCACGAGATGAAGGGAACTCGGCCGCTTTATATAACTGCTTGGAACCGGTCCGTGCCAGCACGACGGGCCGAGACATTTCCGTTGTGATGTGCATCTCCGAATGTGACGGATAGCATAAGCGAAATGCAGCTTACGGCCGACGTAGGTGATGCACGAGTGGCCTGGACAAGGGATGCCAAGACGTATGCCAGCAGGGGCTTGCTCACGGTCACGACCGGGGCTGGCTGCAAGGGCTTTCTGTGCCATGCAAGACATGCTCGTTGCCGTGTCCAAGTCGGTTGGAATATGGCCCGAATGGAACGTTTGTCGTTTTCACGACCTCCTGACATCAACATGACGGACGTGCGAGAGAAGAGGCGTCATGGACTCTGGCACATGGAGGATCACTCGGCCAGCCAACCACATTGTGTTGACGGTTCAGACGAGCATCTTTAAGGTCCGGTTTCTATTAGGGTTGCTTTCAGATGAACTCGTCAGCCTCGGGTCCTCGCAAAGCGGAAGTAAAGGGTGAGAGCGAGACATTGGGGAAAAAAGGTCCGGGACTAAGTCATTGCATACGCCGATATCACAACAAAGCTTGGCGTTGGACCAAAAAGTCTGCCTCTCACACGGAATGGGCATTGTGACCAAGCATTTACTTGCATAAAGAAGTATTCCCAGATCCAGGCGAACCTGGGTCAACGGCCGTAGAGTACCCTTTAACCGAGTGTTTGCTTGCAAAAAGAGTTCTTACCAGACCTAGGGGATGCGTGTAAGAAGACGGCCGACTCGGTCGCATTGGCGTCGCGGCGAGGCGTAAACTCGGTCCGCAGTTGTCTGGAGCAAGTGGTTGCGCTTCTTGTCATATATCCGTAGACGACGGCAACGAGGCCGATGCAGGAGCGAGGCAAGGAAGGGAAAGAAGAGAAAGGATTGTCGTTGAAATGGGTGCGCGGTACCGGAGTAGTTATTTTCCATCCAAGGGGCCTGTGCAGCCCTTGATCCTTGTATGGGAATCATTCACCAGGACACACCAGGGACACCAGTGCTCCAGAAGACGGGAAAGATGTTGTGTACCCAGACGGCGGCGCGGCAAACCCATGGCCAGAGAGTTTTTGTGCGACGAGGCCCTGCACGCGGGGCATGCGCTCACCGTCCGTTGGTTCCTCGTGTGCCGTGGCGGAAGCTTCGTCTACCGTAGATCCAGCTGGAGCTTCTCAAGGTCTGGAGTGTTTTCTTCCATCCCGGCCGGCTACCATTTCTCCGAGCTCTTCTCCGGCCTTGCCCTGGATATATGTTTCTACAATGTCCATTGGCCGAGCCAAACGTGGCGTTGCCGGCCGCAGGCGTTTGGCATGGCGGGAGAAAGATGCCCGGGGCGGCATCATGACCTCCGTGACATGACGGGCTGACCAAGTTATGATGGTGCCGCGCCCGTGACCTCGGTCAGGACCCCTCCAAGTAGGTACCTACGTACCTTGCTGCCCCGCCGCCGCCGGTCGGCATATACATACGTACATACATGCCCTGCTGTAGGTAGGCAGGTAGGTAGGCAGGCAGGTAGGCAGGTAGGTAGACAGGTAGGTACTGTAGGTAGGTTAGTAGCTAATTATCCTCTATTACCTTCTCGGTACCAACAAGCCCCCTTGCTTTCCCTTCCACCTCCTCCACCTCCTCCTCAACCCATCGGCCGCCGTCATCAAGAGCAACGTCAAAGAAACCACACGCCCCGCGATGCCGTCGACAATGGACCAGCAGCAAGACCCCCCCGAGTTCATCCTCGACGTCTTCAGCGACCCGCGCTCCGTCCGCGACGTCGTCAAAGGTCCCAGCCCTCTCTCTCTCTCTCTCCCTCTCTCTCCCGCTCTCTCTCTCCCTCTCCCTTTCTTTTCCCCCTCCCCCGCCCCCGCCCCCGCCCGCATCACAGCATCACCGTGTGCGTGCAACCACAAGCCGCATCATACATACCAAATCCTGTCGCTGCCCTCGCATGCCAAAAAAAAAGGACACTTGCTGACATGTGAAATGTAGGAATCCTCCACACAATCTTCTTCACCCGCTTCTTCCCCTCCCTCACCCCGCGCACCCGCGACGTCCTCGACCTCACCCTCCCCTACGTCGACGACGACGAGCTCGAGACCATGATCGACCAGCGCGCCTCGGCCCTCGAGCGCCAACTCGACGCCGAGCGCTCCTCCGCTTCCGGCGCCGCCGCCACCACAGCCAACAGTCACCACCCTTCTAGCAACGGCGCCAGGGGCCAGCTCGCCGTCCAGTTTTTCGAGAAGAGGCGGCGCAAAGCCTGGCTCTCGCGCGGAGACGAGGAGGTTTGCTGGGAATGCTGGACCGTAAAGGTCACCGTCGCCGAGCCCCGGACGGAAAGCGGTGCGCCGAGCCCCCATGCTTTTCCCTCCATTGCTTGCCCCATAATCTGACCGTGCTTTGTTGCATGCCGTCTAGAGCGCGCCAAGGTCCGCCGCGCCATGGAACAAACCCTTCTCACCACCGCCATGAAAATCGTCACCTTTGCCAACTCCCACAAGGACCACATACCGCCCATAACCACCCAAGGCGGCAACCCCTTCCCCTTCAAGATCAACGTCGACCAAAAGGAGACGGGCTGGGCCGCTCGAATGCGCATATACGGCTAGTCTCGCGCCCTGCCCTCACCTCGTCCTTTGATCCCATACAAATCAGCCGGGCACGTCCTGGCGCACCATCCTGACTCTATAGAATCTCCCCGCGGCTTTAGCTTTGACCTCTTTCCACCTTTGACGAAAGACTGGCGTTTGGTTTTGGGCGGCCATGCTCGCTTGCAAATAGATACCCATATTCGCACCATGTACATCAAGATGGCTTCAAGCACATGCAAATACATCCTCACATCGCCGACTTGTCTCGCACACTGCTCATCACCAACTCACGGATAGTCAAAGTTATGGCGACAAGTCAATTTCGTTTATGCTGTCTCAACGTGCCCCCAAGGCACGGCGCTGAATACCCCGTTTCTGGCCTAACCGGTCCGGCCATCCAAACCCCGACGCGAACCCGATTCAAACACGTACAGTATCCAACAAAGCCCTCGGCGGTCAAATCCAGACTCCGGGCGACCAAAGCGTACAGGCCAAAAAAGAAGAAAAGCCAAACCCCGTGTCCGAGCCAAATCAACCTCGTTTCCCTCCCTTGTCAAATCCTGTGACAGCACGCTCATATACTCCGTGTACGTTATCGTCAGCGAAAAAAGCCCGCCGTGGAGCTGTGGGTTGAGAACGCTGTCTCCGCCAAGCCTTGGGCCCTCTTTCTCTATTGCAACCGCCGAGCACAAGCTCAGCTGCAAGCTCGTGACGTCTCCATGAGTGTCTTCCTCTCATCAGAGTCATTAAGTCATTAAGATGCATGCTCGCTCCATTGAGGGGGTCTCGCTTGCCCCGTGATGAACGCTTCCTTGTTTCCCCCGTTTCTCTGCTGCCTTCTGTTTTCGCCTAAAATCTCGTCGTGTAGCTTCGCCCCATGGCGGGTTTGGGAATCTTAGGCTGCTTGAAAGCCGGAGCGTTGGAGCCAATCTTTTCGAACCCCTGCAAGATGTCCAGTCCAGAAAAGTCGGAGCCGCCGGAAACATCATGAGACATGAAGTCGTTAGGGTCCATGGCCAGGCTGGGCCAGTCGCCGTCGCCGGGCAGGTCGAGCATGAACCTGCTTGGCGAGGGATTGCGGAGGGGCGACTCGCCAAAGAGCTTCGAGGGTGACCCGAGGCCCTCAAACGCCTTGCTTGGCGTTTCCAGGAACTGAGAAGGTGATTGCTCAGCAAACTTGAGCAACGGCACATAGGCCGCTGGCTTCTTCTTTCCCGAGTTGGTAATGTCCGTGAGGGCAGACGTGGACACCGACCGGTCCCATCGGGCGCGCTTGGCGGAGCGCTTGATGGGCGATCCCGTGTCCAGAGGGTTCATGCCCGGAAACATGGTGTCATCCACCGACGTCATGTCCTGGAAGATGTCGAAGTCGGTCGTGGTCGTGGCCGCGTCGTCGAAGGCGTAGAGTGCATCGTCCAGGTTGAAGGCGGGACTCCAGGGGATGCAATCTTCGCCGACTCCAGTGACCCGGCGGAGAGGGGACTGCAGCATGTTGCGCACCTTGTCGCGATGGATGCGGAGGTTGGTGTTGGGGGAGGCCGAGGGAGGAGGCCGGACAGGAGGCTTCATTTTGATGACGGGCGTCAGTGGTGGCAGCATCTGGTGCTCGTTGGCCTGACGCAGCGGCGAAGAAGAGACAGGGCCGTAGGTCGAGAGCGAGCGCGACTTGGTCGGGCTGAAGGGAGAGGATCCGCGCAGGCGCGCAATCTCCTCTTCGGCGCGGCCGCGCTTGATGCGGGGCCGGTCAGCCTCCGAGGTGAGCAAGAGCGCTTTCTGGTTCGGGCGCATGACGGACGACTCGAGCGAAGAGATGTAGCCGCTGTCGTCCATGGACGCGAACCTGCGCTTGTGGGAGCGCGTCGCCGACGAGCCTGGGTTGCGGGCGGCAGATGGCGGGGTGCCGCTGCGCCTCTCCAGGTTCCTGGAAACAGGGGGCGACGAGTGCATGTTGGCGGGCAGGGGCGAGTAGAGCGACGACTCGACGGGCAGCTCGTGCTCGGCCGACTTATCCGCCGGCTCGTCGTGCGGGGCGTTGTCGGAGATGGGAATGGTGGCGTCCGAGGATAGCTCCAGGGGCATCGACATGGTGGCCTGGGACGTGGGCAGGGGCGGGAGGCTGCAGTGGTGCATGGGGGCCGGGGGAGGCAGCGTCGGCTCCTGCACGGGGGCCGTGGCGGGCCTGGAAGGCTCCAAGCGCGTCGACATGACGGGGATGTTCTCGGCCGTGGGTGCCGACTTCCGACTGGGCTTTTCCTTGAGGAACTGGAACTCTGTGCCCGGCTCGATTCCCCAGTAGTTGCCCTTGCCCGGGTCGTCCTTGGGCCGCTCAATCTTGATGAAGTTTTTGTGGAGGCTCAGGTTGTGCCGGATGCTGTTTTGCCAGCCAGCGTCATTGGGGTTGTAAAACGAATAGTTGTCGCTGATCCATTTGTAGATCTGGGCGAGGGTCAATCTGCGCAGGGGGGATCGGAGAATAGCCATGCCGATGAGCTGGGCGTAGCTGTGAGGGGGCTTGGTGCCGTCGTCTTGGGTGGGCGGGAAAGAGTCGTGGGGCGGGAGAGTGGCGTCGTCCGTCTTTGTCTTCTTGGCCGATCTCGCGTCCTTGATGGGGGCGGCGTCCATCAGGCCGCGCTTGCCGTTGGGCTTTTGGTAGTAGTTTTCGAGGGATAGATTGATGGTGGGGGGCGCAGGAAAGATTTGCGGGTGGACGTTTTCCTTGCCGAAATGGATACTCGGGGCGGAGGCAGAGCGTTGGGCGGCAGCCGTCTTGAACTTTGAGAGATGGGGTCGCTTTTGGAGGGAGTCGGTCGTGGGCCCCTTGCCCATGGGGGGAGCCATGGACACCATGTTCAGCTTGCTGCCGTTGGAGGACTTGAGGGGGGAGCGAGGAGACGACGAGTTGGTCTTGTGGGGAGAGTAATTGGCGTGGGACGCGTAGGGAGGGTTGAGGATGACGTTTGAGCTAGAGCTGCTCAGAGGGCGACGGGCGGGCTTTGTGATGGCGGGCATGGGCGCGTGGCAGGTCATGGGCGCCTGTCGCTCGAAGAAGTCGTCCTGGAAGATGTGTACGGGCTCATGTGGGCCGGGGAAATGGATTGGTTTGGCCATGGCGGCCAGGGCGAGCGAGCCCGAGAGCGAGGGCTGGCGCCGACGGCGAGCGAGGGCAAAGGACGGCAATTATTTCTGTCCGAGTTGTCAGTCGCATAGGTCAGTGGTGGTGGTGGTGATGGTGATGACGGTCAAAGTGGTGGTGGGTGGTGGGTGTCGCAGTCCAACGAGGGCGGAGCCCGGGGGTTTTTGATGTCCCCAGATGCCGCTGTTGCATGCATGTGCTCGCACGACAAGCAGGGAGATGACCAAAGACAGACAAATGGCAAACTTGGGCCTACCTGGACGAAAAGAGTGTACCGCTTTTAATGACTGTGGGGCAGGTGAATGCAGGGCGTCACTACTGGGGCTGGTGCTGGGGGGTGGCCGGCCGAGGATGATGAAGGAATATGCCAGGCGGGGGAAATGGCGGTGGGCTGCGGACGGTAGAGATGGACGGCGTTCAATGCGCGAAGCTGTTGGAAAGGCTATATCGGCGATGGCCAACGCTCGAGGGCCGTCTGGTGCGCGGCGAGGCGGGCGAGCGCGTATGCAGAGGTAGGACGGGTCCGAGGTGAGGAGGAAGAGAAGAGGGGAAGAGAGTCGGACGGAGGAGAGGGGAGTCGGAGGAGATGAATGGGCGACTGCAGATGTCAAGGGAGAGAGCGAGAGCGCGCGTGCCAGAGAGACGAGAGAGAGGGAGGGAGAGAGAGAGTGTGGAGAAAGCACACGGCTCGGCAGGCAGGAAGAGTACCGTACAGTGTCTGCAGAGTGCAAAGGTACTTTGCTCTGCAGCGGTAAAAGTCCTCGAGTCGTCGACCCTCGAGCGCGGCCGAGTGGAGCGCCGACGGGGGGGGGGGGCGTGTGAGGGTGTTGGGGCTGATTGGATTGGATTGGACGAACAATCGTCTTTTGGGCTGATACGACCGGGGTGGAGGGGGGGAGAGTCTCTGCTGCTTCAAGTGCGTGCATGCGAGGGGGGGGGGGTTTTGTCTCTCGCCTGGTGGTTGCTGAGAAATGCTCAGTGTGGTGAGCTCTACAGTACAACCGTCTCTCTCTGGATACCTATTATGAGAGCGAGAGGGGGAGAGAAACACACAGACACAGACACAGACACAGAGAGAGAGAGAGAGAGAGAGAGAGAGAGAGAGAGAAGCCCACCCCCGGTTGGACCCGTTGGACGTCCGTCCATCCATCCATCCATCCATCCATCCATCCTTCCGTCCGTCCATGGTCCATGGCAGAGCGGGGTCTCGGAATGGGACGACGAGATGGTGTCTTTCATGCATCCACCATCGACCCTCCGGCTCGTCGTGGCCGCCGCCGAGGATGGACCCGACGCGTCCGAAGTCTTGCCATGGACAGAGACATGGACCAACCACATGCGATCATCATCGCCATCGTCATGCTTCTTCTTCCTTTGTCCTTCTCGCAGCCACATTTGCGGATGCCTTGCGCACCCAACGTACTGTACAGTCCCTACCTACCTACCTTGAGGTAGCTTGCATGCAACATGCCCTTGGCCAAGTCATGTCCATCCACAAGTTCTATGTCCGTACTGTAGAGGATAGTCAAGTACAGTAAAGTACAGGATGCATGGCGATGCATGGCGACAAATCTGCAATCCCCATGGCTTCCTTCCCCTCGATTGCGCACGTCGTGCCGGCCCGCTCGTTGCAGACAAGAAACAAGAGAAAGCTCGTCTCCAAAAGACGGAAGGAATCCATCCGTCTTTTGGAGTCCCCTGTCCAGTTCCTCTCGCAGCCGCCATCTCAGACACGGCCCAACAGTCCTTTGTTCTCGGATCTCGTCTGGGGAAGCCACAGGGTTCATCGACGTCGTACAGTACAGTATAAGCCCGGTCTTGCTTGCTTTTCTCTGCCCATCCTCATCGTTGCTTTTGACTCTGCTGGAACAGCGGTCGGCACACAGGCGACGCAAGGGCGCCGCCGCCGGCAATTACGAGCCAAAAAGACGTTCATGTCCGTGGGCTCATTAGACTTTTGCGATGCGAGGGAGGCGGAACTCGAGGGAGGGAATGGAGGGGCGTGCGTCATTCATTGTACGGCACTGCTTGCTTGTACGACGAATGAATTGGATTATCCGAGAGCGAATAGCCCATCTCCGTGTCTCTCTTCCACACACGCACACACACGCAAGCACACACATTCGCTGCCTGTCTCTCTTCTTGATTCTCGCTCCTAACCAACCCGCAGAGCCTCTCTCTCTCTCTCTATGAGGTTGAGCCGAACAGCCCGACGCGTCCGAGACGCGCTTTTTTTTCTTCTCTTTTCTTTTGTTTACCTTTGCCGACGCGACTTGCCCGCCAATCATGGGGCCTCGTTTTTTTCCCGGCTATCAGAAGTACCGCGAGGTACATCCATAGGCGCGCGCCACGGCTGCCGCAGCTGCTAAAACAGGGTGGTGCATCGTTAATCCGCTTGCTACTACTTGTCAAGTCGTCATGATGCATCATCGGCCATGCCCAATCCACCTCTACTTGACTGTACAGCCCAGTCCGCCTCTAACTTACTTGACTGTACAGTACAGTAGACCAGTATTCCACGCCAAATGCCAGCGCTGCCGGGAAAAGGTGGCCGGCCCCTCCTGCTTCTCAAAGGCCCGCCGCCCGGGCTGTCTCGGTACATCTCTCGCTTGACTCTGAGCCTCCTGGCATGCAGAGGGTCCATGTCTCTCTCTGCATTCTCTCAACTCAACCATCCATCATCCTCTCTCACATGACGACACTCTGCCCCGAAAGACCGAAAGAAAGAAGAAGTCCAAGTGCGCCATTAAGAAACCCAACAAGCATCACCCCTGGCTGGGCCGATCGCTTTCTTCCCTGCTTCTGTCCCGAAGCCAAGCCGTCGGCTATCAGGCACAGAAACAGGGCCAAAGCTCCGCCAACACGCCCGGCCCATCGTGGCATCAACCGTGCAATCTGGGTCAAAAAGAGTACCGGTATCCTCCCTCTCAAACTACCGTGGTCCTGGTTAGCAGCCATGCATGGATCCGCCGCACACGTGCGCGCCTAGGGACCCAGGACCCCATCGCCAACCACGGAACTGCCACGACAGATGCCATCTCGTATTTCCCTTCTCTTTTCTTCTTGTCTATCTAGGCATCCCTTCCCGTCCCCGGTTCTCCGCAAAAAAAAAAAAAAGTAAAATCGTAAGTCTCCACGGCTCGTGCGTTGCTGCCCAGCATGAACTTTCATGCTCCCTCCCATGCCGATTCACACGAGATGCCTGCCCGCCTGCCGCTCGTCTGATCTTCCAGCTATGCGCTTCCTCCGCTCCGAGCGCCCGTATTGAATAGGTTCAAGAGAGGAAAATAGTCTCAGCTGCATCCTCGGCCCGCCGTGCGCCGCGTGTCCCTCCCGACCCCGGCCTGCTTCGGCCGGGACTCCAGGCAGTCGCCGTTGAATAGCTAAGCCCAGACCTCTTTTTTCTTTTTTTTACGCACGGCCAACAGACTTCTGGTCCAGGCACGAACTACCGTCATTGCCGTGCATCCGTGCCCCCGACACTCCCGTCTTCCGCCCAGCGACTCCAGCTCCGCCGTCGTCTCCCCATCCAAGCCCAATCTTGATCTCGACCCGCAACTTCCTCTACCAAAGAACCTTAAAGAGGGGACTTCGGAGACACAGGTGGGGGCTGGGACTGTACGTTCACCGGCCTAAAATTGTTCAAGACCGGATTTTTTGATATACCGCAATCGAAATTACACAATCATGCCGACTGCTCAGCATGACAACCTTGCGAACCGTCTCCGCTGACTTCATCCTAGACATGGACAGGCCAAGGGCGACCCAGCCAGGCCCGTCCCTCGCCTCGCCCTAATTTCGTCTAGTCCAGCACCCGACCAGACACAGACGCCCCGCTCTTGTCGTTGGTCGCCGTCTTCTTGAGCGATTTGCCCACTTGAATTTCACTCAAGAATCCCGAGGGACGTCCGCCCGTTGGGAGAGCCGCTGGAGCACCGCCGGGAGGCGGTGGGGGAGGAGGCGGCGGTCCACCGACATTGGGCATCGGGGGAGGCGGAGGAGCCCCCGCACCTGGAGGCGGCGGCGGAGGCGGAGGCGGAGGAGCGCCTGAAGCTGGAGGCGGCGGCGGTGGCGGAGGCGGCGGCGCCCCTGAAGGCGCCGTCGGGGGCGGCGGAAGCGGCGATGCAGGCTCCTCGCTCTCTGGCATTGGAGCCGGCGGCGGAGGCGGTGGCGGAGGGGAATCGGCCGGAGCATCGGAACTCGGCATCGGCGGCGGCGGAGGAGGTGCAATAGGGGTATCGGTCGCAGGTGCCGGCGAGTCCCTGCCGGCGGCCGAAAGCGGCCGCGGAGGCGCCATGGTGCCAAACAGAATGGAGGCAAGCTGAGCAGCGTTGCCGCCGCCGGGACGGTCGTCGTCCGAGTCCTCGTCGTCGTCCTCCTTGCTCGAGCCCCAGTCATCCGAGTCCGCTCGCCTCCTAGTGATTGGGCCGGTGGGCGCCGGGGCCGCCCTATTCTCCTGAGCCATGCGATGGAAAGGATTCGTCGAGGGATCTGGTGGAGGCGGCGCCGCTGGAGCGCTGTCTGACGGTACCGCGGGGGCTGCTGTTGCCTCGCAAGAGTGGGACATCATCTTGAAATATGGATTCTTGCTCTCCGTCTCGGATGGCGGCGAGGTGACGACCGCCGGGGGCGGAGGGAATATCGCGGGCGCTGCCGCTGGAGGGGGGCTGGGTTTCTGCTCGGGTTCCTGCTGGCTTATCTGGCTGCTGCCCAGAGTCGGTGTCGAGGCCTGGGGCGTGATCTGCTTCGGACCCTCGTCGTCGGAAGAGGAGCTGTCATCGTTCATAGACTCGAGTTGACGTTGCAGCTCTAGTTCCCGCTGCTTCGCGGCCTCGATTTCCGCTCGTCTGGCAGCCATCTTGGGCTCTTTTTCCTTCGCCTCCGCCAGCGCCGCCTTCTTCTTCTTCTTCTCTTCCTCCTTCCGCAGCTTGCCCTGCTGAACCTGCTCCTCAAGGGTTTTCAGGCGAGCCGCGGTCGCCTGCTGTTCCTTTTCAAACTCGTCTTCCTCCTCTTTGGCGGTTTCCCTGTCGCCACATGTTAGTTCAACACAGATGGTCATGTTTTGGAACTTGTTCTACTCACTCCATCTCCTGCGTCTCGCGCTGCTGTTGCTCGTGTTCTTCGGCTAGCCTTCGCTCCTCGGCGGCTCGGGCGGCCTGTTCTTCTTCCGACTTCTTAGCGGCATCGATTTCGGGCTTAACACCCTTCCTCGTGGGCGGCGGTGGAGGCTTTCTAGTTCCAGCTTTGGGGGATTCGGACGCCGGGGGCGGCACGCCCTGTTCCTCGGCCAGACGCGCCTGGCGTTCGGTCTCCCTGCGAGCGTCTTCCTCTTCGGCTTGTCGAAGCTTGGCAGCTCGCTCAGACCTCTCACGATCTGCGCGCTGCGCTGCGCTCTCCCCCAGTTTTGATGGGGCCTTGATTCCCAGAGCAGCCAAACGCTCAGCCATTCTCTGTTCGGCCTGTTGCTTGATAAATGCCGCGCGCTCCTCGGGCGTTTTGTACGACGCGTACGATCCACCAGCAGCGGCGGGGGTCGTGGTCTGGGGTGTCGGGGCAGGACTCTCAACTCGCGGGCTGTCAACTCTCTCTGGACGCGCTTCTTCAGCAGGAGCCGCAGGTCGGGCAACGCGCTTGTCTTGGGAGCGTAGACGAGACGCGCGACTCTCACGCTGGAGATCGAAGATGAAGTCCCGAACCTCATCCTCGACGCCAAGGCCATCTTCCCAGCGCCGCCGCTCGTGCTCGCTGGTATTGTCTTTGCCGCCCTCTTTAAGGCTGTCTTCAATACTTCGAGCAAAGTCGCGGACACTTTCCTCGACATCGCGGACCATGCTCTCGTTACTCTCCTTCTCACTCTTCGCACCAATGGTTTCTTCTTCAAGACGCTTGGGGGCATCGAGGTCTTCAGACCCAACGTCAATCTTCTTGCCCGTCAAAGCGGCTGTTCGTTGTTGCATCATGGCCTTGGCTCGAGCCTTGAGCCGGTCTGACTCCGTCACGGCTCCGCCAGCGCCGGTACCTACAATCGTAGTGCCGCTGCCCGGATGGGCCTTGGCGTCCTTGAGACGGAAGAGCTCCAGTCGTGCCTCCATAATGGCCTTCTCGGTCCTGCGAACTTGAGATGCAAGCTCCGGTACCTTATCCGTAAGATTCTGGAGCTGGCGCTTCAATGCACGCCGTTCTGCATCAGAGTCGCCGCTCGTCACAGCAGCGTCGGGGTGGGCGTCAATATCGTTCTGCATACGTCTGATGCGTCTGTAGAGCTCTTCTGCTTCTCGGCGATCGCGTCTATCCAGGATATCGTCTTCTTCATTGTTCTTCTCGTCGGCGAAGTCCATGGCGTCCAGTAGGACCTGCTTCTCCTTGATCTTCTTGCGAAGCTGATCCAGCGTCATATCATCGTTTGATCCCACGGAAGCCGGAGAGGCAGGTCGTGGAGAGCTGTTGCCTAGCCTGCGCCGGGCGCTGGACCTGTATCCAAAGTCCTCATCATCATTGCGGAAGACAGTTGCATCCTTGCGTCCAGCAGACGCTACACCACTATCTCCCCTAAAGGACCGGTTCTTCATATAGCTGACGCCAGTCTTCTGGGGCAGCAGCGCTGCTCCAGAGCTCTTGCGGAAGTCGGACTCTTGGTGCAACATTGACTTGAGCGTGCCAATAGATTGGCTAAAGTTGCGAGTCGAAGGAGGGACGAGCTCTGGGGGAAGAGCGTTAGGCAGAGGATAGCCGTTGAGCTTCCGGTAAATCAAGTGCATGGCAACGGCGAACTCGTCCAGATCAAGACGGCCCTTGTTGCCATTGTCCGATAGGGTCCAGACCCTTTCGAGATCAGGCTTTTCAAGACCACTTTGACCAAAAATCTCAATCGCTTGGTCGCCTCCGATATGCCCTTTCCCAAATCCATCCCAGGCCCTGAACAAGGCATCGTACCGGGTCTTCTCTTCCTTCGTGATGGCCCATGGAATGACGGCGTTACCCTGAAGACCCTGCGTGGTGTACGAGCCGCCCTCGCGGCCTTGCTGGGGCATCATCCTGGCCTGCAATGCGTCGATATTGGGCAATCCAGAGGCAGGGGCGTTGACGAGGCCCCATTGGCCCGGGCGGCCGGTTGGTTGGGCATTGAGAGAAGCAGCCATGCCCAGACCGCCGCCTGTATTTGGCGACAGGGACTGGCCGAAGCCAGTGGGCATGGGCGGCATCGAGGGCCGCAACCCCTGGAAGCCAGTGGGCTGCGCAGCCTGCATTGCAGGAAATCCCGTCGGCTGGGACTGTTGCATTCCTTGCGGCTGGGCTCCGAAGCCATTTTGATGCCCTGGAAAGCCCGTCATCTGGGACTGGAGCAGCTGAGAGCTTGATGGCTGGGGCTGTGGCTGCTGGATGGTAGGCTGGGAGGCATTCTGCGATGTATGATTCGCCTGAGCCTCAACCACACTAAACCCAATGATGTCGACCATGCTCGAGACTTCGTTTTTGATGTGTTCTGGCAGAGAAGGGGGCAAAGTCTTTCCCGTTAGCTTCAAATTGCACAAATACATGGCGAGGGCAAATTCGGGAAAGTAGAGTTGGCCAGCCCGTGTTGTGTCCGCCAGGGTCCTGTGATGGCTCTGGTTAACGACTCGTCGGAGCTGCACAGCGTCCTTGCCCGAGAGTGATCTCACCATATTTGGGACAGCGAGTCGCCGTCGAGGCGCGAGCGGAGCAAAAGATCCCGTGCCTTGTCTCCCGACATTGTTGTCGAATTATCCCCCACGGCAGACTTGAACAGCGTTTCAAATTTGGCCTGGTCTTGCGCCGTGATGAATGACAGCCTGATGTTGGGGATTTTGTTTGTCATCTTGGTCTCGGTCGGGCGGTCTGGGGTCCTGGCCGCGGCCCCAGTCTGGAATGACGCCGCCATCTCGGTGAATCCAGTCGGCTGCGGCTTCATCGGAGCAGGCGGCTGCGGAGGTCCCGATGACTGTTGTGGCAAGGACGAGAACGTATTGGACTGCGACAGTGGCGGTCCCGGAGGCGGCGGCGGCGGCTGCTGCTGCTGCTGCTGCTGTTGTTGTTGAAACTGCTGTTGGAACTGCGGCGGGATCGAGGGCATGGGGTTCTGGAAGCTCTGCTGCGTCTGCTGAGCTTGGCCTGGATATCCTGTGTACTGCTGCTGCTGGAAGGGTTGCTGCGGCATGCCCGTGGGCTGGGCTTGCATCGGCATGCCTGTAGGCTGAGCTTGCATCGGGTAGCCGGTATATTGCTGTTGCAAGTTTGGCTGGCCGAAACCGGTCGGCTGCGGTGCAAATGGACTCTGCTGCTGCTGACCTCCAGCCATGCCGTTGTTGAGAGGGGATCCGCCATACTGCTGGCCACCTGGGCGCTGGCTATTGCCCCCCAAGAAGGCACTCGAGTTGGAGTACATCGCCGCGGCACCCCCTTCAGGTCGATGCAGCGTCTGTGCAGCGGCCGGAGATGGTATGCCCTCGTCAGGGGATCGAGATCGTAGTGGGGGAGAGGGGGCTGGCCGCTTCGATGCTCTGCAGTTAAGGGGCCGTCGTGGAGTAGGAAACGCGACCAATGAAGCACGGTGTGCTCGAGTGGGAACCCTGAAAAGGACTCTGACGCGAGGCTTCGCCGCAGGCGAGGCGGCTGTTGATGATGGATGGCGAAGCTCTCGCAAAGTTTTCGCCGGGCAGATGGACAGATGCCTTGGTGCAGCGAGAACGAGGCGGCTGGGCTGCGTTCCTGTCCCTACCTCCGTCTCCCGCTAGGGTATCATGGCGCCCGAGGTACCTTGTACAGGAAGCTAGGGCATTTGCGTAAGCGCCGAGGGCACCGAGCCGGCACCGCTTTGAGCTGAGTCAGCGCACCGCCAGGCCCGGCATGCTTTGGTGGCTTCACCGTGCAAGTACAATTACGACCTGGTACTTCGTTTCTCACAAACTCCGAACAGTACACTCCCAGACCATCACAAAAGCCGTATCCCTCGGGAGATGCAACTCTTCGCCCGCAAAGTAATTGCGTGGTTTGCTTCTGGACTGCCAGAGTACGGTCACCGACTCGGCTCGTGAGGTCTAGCACGCTAACACCAATGCCCGCGGCAACCTGTCACCGCAGCCTCTAAACACAACCAACACTTGAGTTAATCGCATATGCCAAATACTACATGTTCGTTACAGACGACAAAAGAAATGATAAAACCGGGGTATCGAGCCAAACAGTCGCTCCGCGTGTCCAGCGAACGTCCCAAACTCCAGTCAAGACATGGCCGTGTACGAATCTGAAAGATGCAAATCATCTTCAACTCCCCTCAGGCAGCGCCCTCGCCCGCTCCGCCCCCCTCTTCTTCCTCGATACAGCTCGGGGTGGTATCCAAATAGCGTCGGTATCTCTTTATCTGTAAGCCGCCGTCGACGTCGAATCCCTCGCAAAAGGTGTAGTTGCTGTCGCGCGCCTCGTCGATAACCGTGATTGTGTTGAGGCCGTCCCCGAGGCTGTATTCTCTGTCCGGAGGGCTCTCTAGCTCTGGTGGGCTCGGCATGTCCGCCGTACTCGCACCGTCCGTCGAAGGGCTTATAGCAACGTCGCTTGAAATGGTTGAGGACGGCCGCCCGACCGCCTCTCTTACCCCATCGCCGCCTGCTGGCGTTACCAACTCGGAGACCGGCCGTCGCTGCGGAGACGCTGAGCCTTGGCAACCCCTGGCTCTCCAGCACTCCCACTCCGTGCGAGCCAGTCCTCCAAACGCCAACGAGAAATCACACTCAGCGTCGCTGCCCCTCCACTGCCCATGAGAGGCAAAATCAGCATCGTCGTCCTCGCTCTCCGCAAACGCCTCCCGATTCTTCCTCAGGAGGCGCTCCAGGTCTGCCACCGCGCCGTCCCATTCGTCCTTGAGCTGCTGCACCAGCGGCGTCCCAGACCCGTTTTGGGGCTTTTCATGTCTAAACCTCGATATCACTGATGCACGACGCAACGGCAGCGCCGTGCCCGCAGTGTGCATCGACTTTCGAATCGTACGAGACAGCTCTTGATCGGAGAAGGCCGAGAATTGACGGATCGTGGAATTGTCCTCGAGATGTTTAATGAGATGCCGCATATTAGACAGGTTAAAGTCGTTGCCCTCGCAGTCCAGCGTATGTAGGGTTTTGTTGGCCGAGATGGCTTCGGCGAGATCTCCAATGTTGGCGTTGAGCATTTGGCTGCGAACTCGAAGGTGTTCGATCCGTGTATTGGACTTCATGCCGCTCAGGGCCCCGGCAAACCCCCTGCCCAATCGTCCCTCGTCGAGCTTGGAGTCGTAGCCCGAGATGTCCAGGAAGCGGACCTTGTTGTTCTTGGAGAGGAAATCCGCAATGGCCTGGCAAGCTGTGCTACTCGCCGCATCTGCCATGGCCATGCCCGCCAGGCTCAGACACTCAATCGTCTTGTTGACAGTCAGGGCGCGCAGGAGCTTGACATAATTCGTTTCCAGCGCAAATTCGACCATCTGCAGGAAAAGACTCCAGGGGGCAAAGCCACAGGCTACGGCCCGGCACAAGTCATCAATGCCCTCGTCTAGTCGATTGGCGTTCAGGTGAACCGTCACGCGTCTTGCTTGGCCCATTGCACGAAACAGGCGTGATATTTGCCTTCCCGTGAGGCCGCAGCTATTGAGCCGCATGACACGGAGGCCGTGAGACTGCTGCGTACGAAGGTATGCCGCCAGCACATCGATCGTCTTGTCGTTGAGCTACCTGGCTGTTAGCCACGGCTTCCATCCACAAAAGTTGGTCTCACGTACCGCAATCCCAGAAAGGTCGATGTCCTGCAGTGCCCACGAGCCGATAATCGCCTCGTCAAACAGAGATTCGTCCGACGTAATACGTGTATTTCCAGCGATGTTGAGCTTCGTGATCCTTTTCAGCTGCCGTAGTGTGTTTTGCATCATCTCAAACCTGACGACACCATGGTTATCGGATGTGTCGAGCCATTCCAAGGAGTGAGCCTGGCCCGCGAGCCCCGGCCACAGTTTGGATAGCCCAGCATCCCCCAAAGCGCACCTCGCCAAGTCGAGTTTCTTGAAATGCACGTGATCGAGCACCAGGATATTGGCTGCAGCATGTGTCAGAAGGAGAGTCGCCACATCAATGCTTGGCCCAGGTTGACTTACCAAACTCATCCACGTCTGGCAGAGCCAGCGGGTTGCCGGACAGCGACACGCTGTGGCAAGCGCACAACTGCTCTCGCCAGAGCATCATCATAGGGCGCAGCAGCTCAGAGCTCATCGTGCGGAGACTGCCAAGATCGCACTTCAGTCGACTCTGCCTCCGGTCTGCAATCTGCAGTCCGAGAACGTTATTCAAGTCGATACTCCGGATAGACTCAGACGCAAATGTCAAGGCGTGCATTTCTTGTCCCAAAATGGGAGCCTGCAGAAGAACCTCATGGTGGTCTTCAGATATGCTCAAACCTGTCTCGAATCAGCACCCAACACAAACAATATTCGGACAGGCGAGAGGGGGGTCTCACCGTTCAACGACCTGTATGCCACGGCGTCCCCGTATTGGGAACAATCGTTCTTGCCAGTGAGTGGGGACAAGTCGACGCCGCGGAAGGATATCGCCTTGAAGAAGCTATTGTATCGCAAGGCCCGGAACACCGCGAGAAGCTGCAAGGACGAGTACGACTCGCCCTCGAGTGGCAGCAGCCGAAATGCCGGCTGTGGAGGTGTGCTCCACTCAATCTTCCACTCCGGGACCCGAACCTGGTAGGCTGCGCAATACGCCTGCAGGCTCCTCTTGAGGCCGCCAAGATCGTTCCCAGAGGTAAGCTGAAGAGGCGGCGGAAGTCCCTTGATGTCGAATATGGCTTGTTGGAAGTGCTGCGGCCACATGGGCTTCAGTATGCGGTCTGCTTTGGTCAGGGCCTCGATGATGCGCCGATACTGCACGCTGGCGAGATCTAGGCGAGATTCGTGGCCAAAGGGCGAGCTGGAAATGTCAGTCTGGGCGTCTGAAAGCGCTTGTTCGGATGGGCCGGGTTTAGCTTACCGAAAGCACATGATAAACCGCTGCTCATGCGATGCCACCGAAGCCTTGAATCGTGTCAGAGTTACGGTCCCGTATGAGGTGGCCTTGACGCGTAGGTCACCCGGGAGTGTCGAATGATCGGCCTTGAGCACTTCAATGAGATGGCACATGCACGGCCCAATGACAAAGTAGAAAGAAGATGAGTCCGTGTTGTCGTGGCTTTCGTCGGCAGCCGATGCTTTCTGGGACAGGCCGAAAACGCGCCTGGCGACGGGGAAGATCAAGTTCTGCGGTGCTTCGTCTATCGAGCCCTCGGTAGCCCGAACAATGTGATTAATACGTGCCTTGAGGTTCTCGGGTATGTGGGAAATTCCCGGCGTCTTCCTCAGTCTTGCCCTACACGCACGGTGGATGGAGGCCAGCCAGTCGTCCCTCTCCCTGGGCAAAGCAAAGTGCAGATGGGCCTTGCAGTATCCGAGCCGCGGCCACTGAGAGAACCACCAGATCTCGATCGCAGATCGATCATTCGAGCCATCCTCGTCGAAAACTGCGACGATTGCGTGTAGCGGAATCTCCAGCCGAATTTCGCCCGCCGCAGATCTGCCTAGCGGAATACGGTGAGGCGAAGAATCGCGCGCCTGGGTTTGGGCTCTGGTTAGTTGCGGAAAGGCGCTCCTGGCTGCCTCGCCGCTGACAAACTTGACCAGGCACTGGTCTGACAGCACCAGGTATTCGGAACGTGCTTTCAGAAGCGATATATCTGCTTTGAGAGGGCCGTACTGGACCACGTCCATGGTCGAAAATGGCTGTGACAGGTTGACAATGGGGCTACCAGGGGGGTCGGAAAAAGAACCGCTGGCGGGGTTGGAGCGCCTGGAGACCCGGCGATGGAGCCGGCCGATCATGGAGCCAGAAGTCGAGGGAGACTTTTGCAGCCGTCTCGTGGTTGACGAGCTTCTGAGCAAGCTCGAGGCCGTCGAGTCCATCGACGAGCTGCTAAGCGAGCGCAACGCCCTGGTGAGAACTCGGGGTGCCCTGCCCTCGACCGGCTCTGGTAGCAGCTTTTTCTCGGATTCATCGCGATGGCCCGGTAGCAGCTGCGATATGGCAAGACCTGACGAGCTCCTCCATTTTCGCCTGTCCAGACTCATGGTGTCCGCGTCTTGAAGTGGCGGCTTCCCGGAAACTTGGACGTCTCTATGATAAGATCAGTCAAATGCGAGATAAGGCGCATTTAGCAGAGCATGGCGCCCGTGCCGTCCATATGCCAAGGAGTCGAATGATGGGCCAGCCTAGAATCGACAGCAGGCTGATGTGAATAGAGTGAAAAAAAAAACAAGGTGGCCCTTGCGAGGGATGTCGTTGGCGCAGCTGTCTCAGCCACAAGGCAGCTATTTGGGATTTTTCGCGAGCTGAGAAGGTCGAGTCTCCCGCCTGAGACTTGTCTGCGAGCGTCACTCAGGAAACGAGTGGAAGCGGCCAAAATTCGTCATGGGCTTTCCGGGGGCGGCAGTGGCAGCCACGTGACGGGTCGCTCCAAGCCAGTTGTCGCAACAGCTGGCGGAGGATTGCAGCCCGGCACCAACAGCAGGCCAAGTCGACGGGTGGGCACACTCTTCGGAGTGAGGCACGAATCAAATCGACGTCGAGCAGCGAGAAAGCGGCGTGTCGAGGCGAGGTTGTCGTGGCGCAGGCGCAGGGACAAGATAGGGCGACAAGTGAGCTTTATCTCGACCACTCGGGTGCGTAGCTGAAGACGTGAGAACAGTGAATTGAGCACTGACGAGATGCTTTATGCATTCGTCGAAAAAAGCGTCAGGCACGTGGACTTTGGGTTTCCGGGGAGCAACAATGCGAGGGGAAAGGTGCGCGTTCCAGCTGGCAGCCCAATCCGGGCAGCCGAGACAGGCCAGAGTCAACAAAGGTCCAGCCAGCCGGAGAGGCAGGGAGCGAACGTCTCGACGCCGTTCACTGCTCGTGCGGAGGTCGATGGGCGACGGGACTTGCGGGAGAAGTGGACAGGGACTGGAGGAAGCCGGGGTGGACAAAGAAGGAGGGCAATGGCGATGGGATATGGCAAAGAGGGTCAGGAACGCGAGAGCCCGATATCCCTCTCCCTCCCCCGGACTGCCGTACATTGGCTAGGAATTAAGGGCGCCCCAGCTCAGGGCACGGCAAGCACCAGCCTCGCCAGGCAGTGGCACAACCGTGCATCGGATCATGGGCAACAGACAAGGAGGCAGCGAGGATGGAGTGGGCGGCTCCACGGACCGCCCACACAGCTCGACCAGGGGGGAAGTGGGGGGATGGAGACACGGCAGGTCGGCATCTGTGGAATATCGGAAGGACGAGTCGGTTCGGGCGCTAGGGCTAGAGACGGGCGTCGTTGAGCCGGGAAGTCAATTGGACAATGGTCGGGCTGAATCGTTTTTGCTCGCCTAGGCTTGACCTGTACGGCTTATCTTGCAAGGAGAGGTGGTGGGCGCGTTTGCACACGCCGTGGCGTCTCAAGTCCCGGAAGGAGGTGTGTTGGGTCGGGACAAGGCAAGTACGGTACCTGAGAGGAGGTACTCCGCACAGTTTGTTGGGTGTACATGCAGTAGGTATTAATTACCTAGGCGTCGAATCCGGAGGTTTGTTAATTATCCGCAGACGGGAAGGAGGACATTACTGTCCTGTGCCTTCCAGATTACAGTACACTACAACTACAACCTGGCATTGCTGCATCCGTAGCCCGTAGGTAGCACCTTAGGTGCAAAGAGGTACTGTACTGTACCGTACGTTGCTGGCTGGCATGCAAAAAGAAGGTGCAGCGGCCATGGGCCCGTGTCGTCATCACCCAGCCTCTGGCGCAACCGCCAAGCGGCCCGGAGCCTGCCCCGAGCCCCGAGACGCTCGAGCCCCGGCCACCACCTTGGCAATAGCAGTCCCCACGTACAGCAAGGTAGGTTTATTAATAAGTCGTCACGACTCGTCGCCATCCGCTACCACAGAGGCCTCGCCGTCGCATTGTTCAATCCTCGCCAGAGCCTTCCCCGGCCCACCCGGCGGTGCAACCCCGCGGTGGGGAAGCTGTGAGCAATTATCTCACCTCAGGCAGGTTGCTTGCTGCCGAATCAATCTGGTTTCCAGCTGTGCCTTGAAGATACAAATCCCGTGGCCGCACTGACGTGTGCCAAGACCAGCATGCTGATTTGGACGGTCCGAGAGGGGACAAGGGGGGCTTGACAGAAATGGTCCCGATGCTGCACTTCGCTAAGTGCGTGGCTGTCCCTCAAGGACAGCTGGCCAGGAATAAATTGCCTGCCTTTGGTCTTCGCCTTGGCGACAACGTGGCGGTCCAAACACGGTCTCGGGATACGGGCTGGATCCAGGGATGCCCCAGCTGACACGGCGCCCAATGGCGTGCATGACTTCGGGCAGAGTGAGGATCCAGACAAGCTCCTGCTGCATATCGGCGCCTCCTCGTCGGCACCCTCCAGGCCACATACGACGAGACTCGAGACTCCTTTGGGTTGACAGTGGGCGGTTGACTGGAATTGGCCGTGTGCAGTACAGATGGGGGGGAGGTGGCGGAGACGGCGAATTGAGTCGCAAGCAATACAGTAGCTGCACCGTCGTAATGTCGTCGTTTGAGTGCTTTAGGTATCCATCCTATCTACTCACCTAGTACCGGGTGGTTTGCGTTGTTCATCCGACCCCCAAGCGACTCATTTCTACAGTACGCGCCTTGCCAAGTTAAGGTAACGAGCAGAACCGCTGTTCCTGCAATTGGGAGGCATCTTGAGGACCGAGTACTGTATGAAGTGCGCCTATCGAGGGAAAAATCACGATGATGGATGCTCTAGGGTAGGGCAAAATCATCCCACGGCAATGTTGGAGTGACCGAGGCTGGCTGGCTGTCCAGTTCCAATATTTTGTGGAATATTGCTTAACTAATGTCTCTAGCCGTCATCGGCCGGCAGTAATTATGTACAGCACCAACAAGAGCCGGACCGTTCTCGCCGCACGCGCCCATCTTATCGCGCCTCGGGCTGCCGGAAAAATGGCAGATGACAAAGTACTTGATCAAGCAAAGTGGGTGTCTCCAGAGACCTGTAATAGCACGCCAGTTCGGTGTGAACCAGGGTAGCAGCACTAAGGCCTGCGTTATTTCCAGGTACCGCCTATCTCAGTGCCTCCGCCCGCGTCCGTCACCGCCTTCTTGGTACCGCTGCTCTAACTCGCAGAGTGTGATCTGCGGCAAAACCCTCAAACACACGTTCATCATCACTCGCCTTCTCCGTCTCCGCGACGAGACGCCGAGGCGCGCAAATTTGTAAGCACCTCCGAGCTCGGCCAGCCTCGCGAAGCCACTGCCAACATCCTGCCGACGTGCCCTCTTCCTCCATCTCGGCCAAAAAAAAAGAGGAAAAAGAAAAAGTGAGGAAAACAGATCGACTGGGTCAAAGTCCCCATCCAACATCATGGCTTGTCCCAACCCATCATCAGCCCACCCCGGCATCCATGGACCGTCGGCTGATCCTTGTGCCTTAATCTCAGGCTTCGAATGCATCTAGGTGTTCGATACCCCATGTAGCCGACCAAGAACGAGAGAAGAAGAGACAAGGAGACTTCACCCTCCCATCACCCGCAATGGCCCCCGCCGATACCCAGAACTCGTGGCTTGCGCGCCACTACTTCGACTACGTCTACATCCCCGGCGCCCTGCTTGTCCTCGGCACTCTCATCGTCAAGCGCGATTGGGCCATCTACTCGGCCCTCGTGGCCCTGAGCCTGGGAGCCTACAACATTTGGAACTTTCGTGAGTCTAAGCAGGGCCTTGACCATCGGCGACGAGGCAATTTGCTCACGCACGGCCATGCAGAGATCAAAAAGGTGCTCAAGCCAGATGTCTTTCAGCAGTTCGAGCTCCAGGAGAAGACCGTCATCTCCCACAATGTCGCCATGTGAGTTTGCCGCTCTTCGTCCCCGACGTTGACCTCCGCGACTCTCGTTCTGACCTGTCGCGCGTGCGCCTCGGACGGCTCCAGCTATCGCTTCAAACTCGCGTCGCCGCACTCCATCCTCGGCCTCCCCATCGGCCAGCACATCTCCATTGGCGCTCCTCTCGTCCAGCCCGATGGCTCTACCAAGGAGATAGTCCGTTCCTACACGCCCATCTCGGGCGACCATCAGCCCGGCTATTTCGACCTCCTCATCAAGTCCTACCCCCAGGGCAACATCTCCAAATACATGGCCTCCATCATCGTCGGCCAGACGATTCGCATCCGCGGCCCCAAGGGCGCCTTTGTCTACACGCCCAACATGGTTCGCCACTTCGGCATGATTGCCGGCGGCACCGGCATCACCCCGATGCTGCAGATCATCCGTGCCATTGTCCGCGGCCGCCCCGACGGAGACGAAACCCAGGTCGACCTCATCTTCGCCAATGTCACGGCCCAGGATATCCTGCTCAAGGAGGACTTGGATATCCTGGTCAAGCAGGACAGCGGTATCCGAGTGCACTACGTCCTGGACAATCCTCCCGAGGGCTGGACTGGCGGAATTGGCTACGTCACCGCCGACATGATTACCGTATGGCTTCACGAGCTCCTTCCCTTCGTAATATGTGGGCATCAGCTGGACCCGTGATTTGCTGATGGCCTTCTCCTAGAAATGGCTGCCCAAGCCCGCCGACGATGCCAAGATCCTTCTTTGTGGCCCTCCCCCAATGGTTAGCGGCCTCAAGAAGACCACAGAGAGCCTGGGCTTCAAGAAGGCTCGTCCCGTCAGCAAGCTCGAGGACCAGGTCTTTGCCTTTTAGACCGCCTCCCACCGACGGCGTACCGAGGAGATCCCAACGTGCTGCATCGGCTTCATGCGCCGACCACAACCCCTCCTATCGCCACGTTTTCAATACATTGGTGATTTTGCAAGTACGGGCATCTGATGTAGACCAAGGGGACCAGGCTTGATCACTGTACATGTGCTGCGATCTTGAGGCGTCAGAGCGTCCAGTCGGAGGGAGAGTTCTGAGCGAGCTTGACGAGCTCTCTGCGTGGACGCTTCCATCTACTGAGGAGAGGAGAGGGGCAACGTAAATGAACCGAAACAGTGTGAACATCAGGTTTACATCTTGATTATTGGCTCAAGAAGCCCGCATGGAGTTGCTGCCCCGCCCATCTGGACATGTTCTCGTAATTGACTGTACAATGCCACCGTTGCCTAGAACCACATGGCAAAACACCCCCTACTTCGTCGCGACGATGGCGACATTAGTCCTCGTCTCCCTCGTCGCCCGACAAGGCGTTCTGGTTGTTGGCTCCGTCCCCTTCGTCGTCGTCGTCGCTGACCACCACCTGTCCCCGGCGGGCCCTTTTGTGCGGCTGCCGCGGGGCGTCCTCGTCCTCTCCATCGCGGCCGTCCTTGTCGTCTCCGTTGTTGTGCTCGGGGTCCTCGTCGTCGACATCCATTTTGTCGCCGGCGCTACCGCCATCGTCGTCGGCCCCCGAGCGCGGAGATGAGTTGCCTTCGATATTGCGTTCGGCTCGCTCGAGCTCGTCGTCGTCATCGTCCTCGGCGTCGCTATCGACCACAAGCGCTTCCGACTTGAACTTGCTCGACTCCTTCTTGGTGAGGCGGCGTCTCTTCTTGCCGCGCGACTCTTCCAGAGAGTCATTGTCGTCTCCTTCGCCCTCCTTCTTCTTCTTGGGCGCTTTCCTCGGCTTGCCCTCGCCCGTCGCGCGCGAGGCGGGTTTGCGCTTGCGCTTCACCTTCTCACCCGTCTCCTCGTCATTCGTCATCTCGGCCTCTATGCGAGCGCGCTCCTTCTCCGCCCGCCGTTCCGCCAACGCCCTGTCGTCGGCAGCAATCTTCTCTCGATCTTTCTTGATCTTTTCCTGACGCTCGCGTTCCTTTGCCAACACTGCCTCGCGCTCGGTCTCGCGCCGCCTGAGCTCAGCCTCTCGCTGCTCCCGAGCAGCCTGGATTTTCTCCTTGTTCATCTCCTCCCATTCCTTTTGCTTTCCGATGGCTCTCTCGAGTTGCTTCCGCAGTGTGTTGCGGGCCATGTTGGCGCGCTGCTCCACGTCGTGTTTGGGATATGGGGTTTGGGGAAGGGCCGCTATCTTGTCCAGAGATTCGATGGCCGCCTCTAGTCCTTCTGCGGCCTTTGCAAGCTGTTCCGACGTCCGTCTGTTCTCCGATAGTCCCTGGATCGTGGTGACGAGCTGAATCTGTACAAAAGCCACATTGAACTTGTAGTGTACCTGGTCGGGGGCGACCTCGAGAGCCTAGGTCTCACCGGTCAGCATACTGCAAGCGGTAATTATCCAGGGAAGCCTGCTTACCTTTTCGGCGCACTCCAAGGACTTGCTGTAGGCCTCAATGTCCCGCTCCGCGCGCCCCTTATTGAGCCAAGTCCGACCCAGGCAAGAGAGAATGACGGGATCGCTGGACTTGCCGTCCTTGGAGAGTGCAGCTTCGTAGTGCTCGATTGCTTTTGAGTGTTGCTTGAGCTCGGAATATATGTGACCGAGGTTGACAAAGAGGTGCGAGTCCCGAAGCGTCTCCCGGACCTTGTTGAAGATGGGTAGGGCCGTCTTCAAATCCTTTTTGTCCTCGACCAACGCAATGGCGATGCCCTGTGCCGCATAGGCGTTTTTGGGATCCAAAGAGAGGGCCTTTTCAAAGAACTCGACGGCCTTGCAATAGATGGCACTTCGCTTCTGCTTTTCCGAGTCGGACTCGCGCCGCATCTCCCTCGCCTGCATGAGGTAAAGGTTTCCCATGCCGACCAGGGCGTACCGGTCATGCTTGTCGTGATTCTGCAGCGTGTGCTTGTAATGGCGGAACTCGTGGTCCTCAGTGACGTTGGCGGGCCGTTTCCTAGAGTGGACCTTTCCAAGGTACCAGCCATAGAGTGCTCGAACTTCTAAATCGCCCGTGTTTCCTTGGTACAGCTTGGCGACAGCATCTGGGCCCTCTTTGTTTGGATTCTTCCTCAGCTTGATGTATGCAAGCCTTGTGTGGGCATCGGTGTAGTCGTCGTGGCGAGCTAGCAGTCCCTCGTACACCTCCACTGCCTTGTCTGTCAAGCCCCTGGACTCGTAACTTCTCCCCAGGTTGAAGCTGATGGTGGAGACCAAGGCGTCCGTGTCCATCTCTGCGTCTTTCTCGCCGATTCTCATGCAAGCGCCCAGTGCAGCCTCGAACATGTCGCTCGCCAACTCGTGCTTTTCTGCCTGAGCATGGAAGCAGCCAATATTGTTCAGGAGCTGCGGGGGCAAGAGCTTTCTGATGGCCGCCTGCACTTCGGCATCCTCTGTGTCCTCAGGGCGTTCCGAGGCGGGTACCTGGTCCAGCTCGAGCTGCTCCACCTGCTGGAGACACTGGAGGGCCTTGTCCGGGTTATCGGTTTCGTATAATCGTGCCAGATTCAGCAAAACAGAAGAGTCGGGGGAGAGTGCTTTCTTCGGGTCCTTCCAAGCGCTCCGGACCCCCTCCAGAAGAGCAATGGCCTTCTTGATTTCAGTCGACTTGTCCTCTTTGCTGTCACTTTTTTGGCTGGCAAAGATCTCCTCTGCGTAAAGGGTTCCGAGGAGGATCATGGCCTCGTGGTTCTTGGACTGTTGAATCATCTTCTCCAGCCGAAGCTTCGCCTCACCCAGGTCATTCTTCAGGACAGACAGCTGGGCCACGCCGAATTTGGCGGGCAAGTAGCCGGTATCTGTGCCTCCCCGCGCGTCATCCGCACGCCGGTAATAGTCACTGGCTTTCTCAAGATCGCCGTGGTAGTGTGCCTTTCGCGCGAGCAGATACCAACCATCGCTCGCAATGGCGTTGACGTCTGTGTACTGAATGGCCTTGTGCGCTAGCTTCTCTGCGTGATCCCAAGCTTTGCGCGAGAGGAAGTAGCTGGAGAAGGTGGAGCAAGTAAGAGGGAGGTCCTTGTCCAGCTTGAACGACTTTTGAGTGTACTCGGTCATGGCCCTCTTGTAAAGCCTCAAGAAGTCGTCGCTGTTGACGGGCACATGACCGCTGGCGTCGAGGTAGAGAAGGCCCAAGAGGATGTTGGCAATTTTCGAGTCGGGGTTGATCTCCAGACACCGCTCCCACGCGACCTTGGCGTCCTGCTTGAAGCCTAGCTGCCAGAGGCAACAGCCGATGCCGATTCGAGGGTCTGGGTCAACCAGGTCGGGCATCTTCTGGAGCACATCCTGGTAGGCAGTCAAGGCATCAGGATACTTGTGCATGGAGAAGAATGCACGAGCCTTGCCCATGAGAGCCAGCATGTTCTTCCCTTGAGAGACTCGAAGGGCGTCATCAAAAGACTTGACGGCCGTCTTAAGGAGCTCGTGCTTTTCCGTCCCGATGCCGCCCGCGGTCTTGGCCGGCGCTTGCAGGGAAGCTCTCAGGAGGAGCAGGACGCCTCGGGCGAGAAAGATGGGCGGGAAGGAAGGGTTGAGTCGCGCGGCGTCGTTGAGCGAGGACGTGGCAAGCTGAAGGTAGTATTCCTTGGTCTTGGCCTCGGACACTCGTATGCCGTCTGGCGCAACTCGAGGTGCTTCTCGGCTTTTCCAGAGATACATCCAGCACAGGCAGCAAACAATGCTAACCTTGTCGCGCGGGTTGCTGCTGTTGCTGATGGAACTGGTCCCGCGGATGAGCATTTCGATGGCATGGTCAATCTTGCGCTGTTTCGCGTATGCCAGCGCAACGGTCATCCAGTATGTCTTGGCCGCATGTTCGTTTTCGAAGAGAGTGCAAAGCTCGGTAGGATCGTCCAAAAGGTCCTCGAGGTCGATCTCGACGGCCTCGTCTTCCTGGTCACCCTGAACGGGAATATCGATGGCCGAAGGGATGTCGGAAAAGCGGGTGCTGACGGGAGCAACCGAGGAGTCGCCGTTTGTGGTCCCGTTGGCCGTACCGTTCGTCAGAGATGTCGCCATGACTTAGCAGCCGCGACTCGGGAAGCGCAAGTAGTTGAGAGGCAGAGGAACAGCTGGGAGTCGAGACGAGGAGAACGGGAGGCGCGGCTCTGAGCGACTACCGTTGCGTCTCGCGAGAGGGTGACGACGAGGTCATCGATGGTCGGATCGAGTACCGCAAACCATAGGCGTCGGTTCGGGCCAGCCAGGGTGAAGGAAGGATGGTTCGAGATGGTTTGGCTTCGTCACAGAGACGATGGCATCGCGACGGAAATTCGAGAGCTCACAAGGTGGCTCCGGCTGGTGGCCCGTGCATGCAGCCTCAAATAGGTACGTACCTGTCCAGAATAACCTCTTCCAGTGCAGTAGGTACTGTGTGTGATTGGCTGCTTGTCTGACAATTCTTAGAGAACTGACGAGGCATTCGTACTGTGCAAAGTACCGCCCAAGCTTGCTGCGACTGCAAAGAACCTGGATCCCTGACATCAGCACCGTACTGAAGATGGGATTGGACAGTAATTAACTAACTACCTACCTTACCTAACTACCTACCTACCTGCCTACCTAGGTACTAACTGTAAACCTCAAGACGTGAACATCTGTGCGTTCTCACGAGACCTCACCTGGTTTTCCGCCTCTTCTCGACGGCGCATCGCTTTATCATCATCATCTCCCCTAGCATAGCGAGACCAGAGCTCTCTATGGAAGGCGCAGGGCAATACTCCCCCAACGTACTCCTCGATGCTCTCAGCAACGGTCGAGGATCAAGTAGAAAGCTGATGCGTGATCGCCTGGGCTCTAAAATCACCTACCGTCTTTCGTCGCGGGTCCAGGGCGTGGACCGTCTACTGGGCCTCTGGGCGCACCCTTACACTTGTTGCCAGGTAACCCGCTGTTCAGACTTGAGTCACTTGACCATGGAGCTCCTTAGGGGAGAAGCCGTCATGCGTTGCTGCAGCAATTGCTCTTCTATTTTCTACCCGCCTTAGCAGAAGCCTCGCTCTCCCTACTATGGCCTCTGTCGGCCGGTCGTCTTGGTCAGCAGAGTCCTTGAACCCCGTTCACGTGCAACAGGCCATCGATCGACCTGAACTGACCTGTTCACGCCTGGGCAGCCAAACGCCAGCTGGCAGCGGTCTGTTGCTCAAGTTTGGGTAGCCAAACGTCGAGGCCACCCAGCTTCTGTCGCACGCAGCAACCTGTCTGCTTCCTTTGCCGAGTTGCTCGTCTATTCACGCACCACCCGGCCACGGAGCAAACCCCGGGGAATCATCCAGGCCACGCACAACTTTTTCAAACTCCCTTGAGAGATCGCGAACTGTCCATCGTGATCGAGCCATTGGGAGCCAAGTCCATCGACATGACGCTTGTTGCTCACAGGTTTCGCCGTTGCGTCGGCTGGAATTGCCTAACCGAGGCCCAGAAAACAGGCATCATTGTCAGCATTGCAGTCGTCGCGGTCGCTTTTTTCCTGGCCTACATGCACTGCCTGGGCAAGGCTGCGATATCTCGCCGAGAGCGCGCCTCGGTACGGCTTCCTGGCGGCAGGCGAGTCCCTCATCCCCAAGGCCAGCTCCAGAGCGTCGTGGTTGCACAGCTCCCCGTGGCACAACAATGGCCGGGCGGCCCAGCCATGATTGCCTATCAGCCGGCCTTGTTCACTGTCCAAGGAGCTCATCACGCCATGGCACAGCCCGTGATGGTTGCAGGGTCCTACCCTCGTCCACCACTAGCGACCATGAACCCCGTCCCGCCCACTCGGCAGCAGCACGACCATCAAGAAGACTTCCTGCCAGACGCGACGCGTGCAGGAGATGGACCGGAACCAGCACCCCAAGCGGCGCCGGATTCGCCACCCTCAAGCCTCCGACGGCACAGGCAGCCAACGTGGCGACAGATACTCAGCCGAGCCCTGCGGCTGCCTGTGGGCAGGGCCTCAACAATCGAAAGTGTATCCGCTCCAGGGACGCCCAGCCGTATCGAATCCCACGAGGGCATGCACAGCGCACGGCCTCTTGAAGAGGCGGGCCGCGAAAGGGTCTCGGTGCCCCCTATTGCAAGTGGAGAGAACAGAGGCTACCAAACTCCTCCTTTGCGTACAAGCGGAGGGAGCGACGAGGCCGCTGGAGAAACCGATTCTAGCTCGCTGCGGACCAATGTCGCAGTAGTCCACAGCGATGACTTTCAGATGGTCGACCCGTCCTCACGGATCACCCAGCAGCCGGGTAAGCTTCAGGTCCAGGGATCATAAGCATTTCAGACGGCGTTAACTGACGTGGGCCTCGAGAAAGGGAGTGACGAGGTGGAGGGGCGCATAGAGGAGCTGTCACGCATCTACTGGATCCCTTCAGAGTCGTCCTTTCAATCCTACGAAGGATTACCTCTCAATCCCGACCGAGTTCAAGTCAGAGCAGCCTAGTCACGGAGACCATTCAGGGCTTTACCGGAGGATTCCGATGGGTCTCACGTTCACCTATAATGAATTGAAGGCTGAAATGTCCTGTTGGCACCGGTTGCGGAAAGGGCAGCTCTTTGCCTTGCGCATGTACGTTTAATGGAGAGTCTAAAATAAGAAAGAGCAAATCATATTGGTCTAAAAACAAGAAACGTGCTTTGAAGTCGATTCTGCAAACCTCACGTCTGTGTCTTTTGACTGTCGTCGTCATCTCGCGCTCCAAGGTGGAGGCACCTGTAATTAATTACACTGCACGCCGTGTTTTGTAAGCGGCGTGACGCCGCACCCTCTCCGCACACAGGCACAGCCCGGGTACTGCAAGGGACCCTCTGTTGGTGGTGGTGGCCTAGATCCGATCCGGAGCTTAGCCACCCACGCCCGCCTCCGTCTTCCATCGCGCAGCTCTCACCAAAGGTGCCGACTTGGCATCCAGCGTTCTCTGCGCCGCCCTTGTTGCATTTGTACTTGCTCGCCCTGACCCCACTGGAGGATGGCGACACGCCCCGAAGCAGCTTGCGCACTTTGACATCAGCCGTAATCCATCCATCCTCCGTCCCCCGCGCGACAGCACGCACCTTTTCTGGCAAACCACTTTGTCGCCAGCCAGCTTCGCATCCCCGAGCCGCGCTATCTCAGAGACAGCTTCCAAGTTGCGACCCATCGCAGGCTCGCCACCATGTGGAACGACGAGGATAACAACCCCTACGGCACCAGCTTTGCCCGCCGCGATTCGCAATCCTCGTCCTCGGCGAACCCGACGTCTCCATCCTCTCGCGACTGTAAGCTCGTAACCTGACCTTGCTTCTGTCTAGAGCTATCTGGCCGATACGATGAGCAGCTCTGTTACACCTCTGCGGCAACGCTAATGTTCAACGCCAGACCGACCCTTTGACGCTCCCCATACTCCGACGTCGGGCAGCGAGGACGACCAGCCAGCGTTCCGCAACAGCGTTGTTCACGACGACAGCGACCACGAGGACGTCACGACGGACAATGAACCGCCAAGGCGCAAACCGGGTGGCTACAACAGCCGCATCGAGCAGATTCTCTACGAGAACCCGGACATGCCAATCATCATCACCGATGCCGGCAAGAGCTTGGAGAGCGGTGGGAGATACATCGTCTACACTATCAGAACTGGGGTGAGATGTTTGAAATCTGGCGCCACGAGTTTGCGCTGACTTGCTGCTCCAGGATCTGGAAGTACGACGTCGTTACTCCGAGTTTGCGTCACTGAGGGAAGCTCTCACGCGCCTACACCCCACACTCATCATCCCCCCCATCCCGGAGAAGCACACCATGGCAGACTATGCTGCCAAGCCGACGAGCGCCAAGCAGGACCAACAAATCATAGACTTGCGCAAACGCATGCTGGCCGTCTTCCTAAATCGGTGTCGTCGCATGGATACCGTCAGGGACGATGGCGTATGGTGGAGGTTTCTCGACCCCAATGCAAGCTGGGTATGGCGTAGCTTTCCTTGTCACGAGTTATCTTGACCCTCTACGCTCGATACTGACTTGATTGCAGAGCGAGGTGCTGCATTCGCACCCTGTTGCGTCCATTCCTAAATCGGTGCTCAAAGCACCCCCGCTGGACACGGCGAATCCCACCCTTGCGCACAGCTATCTGCCTGTTCCTGCGAGCTCGGCCAAGCTCAGGACGGTGGCCGGGAGCAACCAAGATATCAGCTCCTCGGCCATCCAAGCGGGCACACACGCCGTTGAACGGTTCCCTCCGGAAAACAGCAGCCAGGACGAGCAGGATCTTGATCCTCACTTTGTAGTCTACGAGGCGTCGACCAAGGAACTGGAACAGCTGCTGATGGGACCTATGGAAAAGGTCAACCGGCGGACTCTCAGCCACTTGTCCTCCCTCGCTGCAGACTTGTGTGAACTGGGCTCGCGCTATAATGCGTTTGCTTTGTCGGAACAGGCGCCGTCACTCGGCCCTGCCATTGAGCGGGTTGGCCAGGCCGCTGACTTGTCATATATTGCGACCGAGGAGTTGTCAGGGTCGCTGGGTGCGAGCTTTGCCGAGCCGATGCGCGAGAATGCCCAGTTCGCCGGCGTTGTGAGAAGCGTGCTGCGATACCGCGTTCTCAAGCGTATACAACAGGACTTGACGACGGAAGAGCTCCACAAGAAGAGAGCGCTGCTGGATCAACTGGAACGCAGCGAAGCGGAAGCGAGACGCATTGAGCAATATCTCTCAAGCAGCCAGCAGCTTTCGCCCCCACCGAAGCGATCGACGAGCCTTAAGGAGCCCACGTCGCAGCACCGGCGGGAGGCCGGGCAAGAGGACACGGAATCGATCGATTCCGACTTCCCTACGACCCATGGGGACTTTCCGTCGCCGCCGCCCTCGGCGAGTCAAGGCCTGCCCGAGAGAAGCGTCAGTGTTTCGCACAGGAAGATGCCAAGCGGAAACTCGATTACAAACAAGATATTCGGACCCATCCGTCATGCGGTACAAGGGGTCGTTGACGTCGACCCCGAGCGGACACGTCGGGACACGATTGGCAAGACGAAGGAATCCATCGGGCAACTGGAACAAGCCAGGGTAGCGTCGGAAAGGGACGTGAGGGAGGCCAGCGCCAGTGTTCTCAAGGACATGAGGAGATTCCAGAAGGACAAGGAGGATGATTTGCGGCGCTACATGGTGAGTGGATGCTCCAAACCTTGTGACGACATGTGCTAATCGGTCTTGACAGCTCGCGTACGCGAAGAGCCAGATTGAATGGGCAAAGAAGAGCAAGCAGCAATGGGAAGAGGCACGGGCAGAAGTGGACAAGATAGAGGAGAACTAGCTCGTGAAAGCTTGTTGCGGGGACGTTTATTGCCGTGTCCTTTTCACTGCACTGCCTTTGCTGTCCTGCCCGAGAGAGAGCGTTACTGCGGAATCGACACATTAATGATGAATGAAATAGTCAGAACATAAAAAAAGGCCAAGACCGTGCCATTTTAAGGGCCGCATAACCATCAAGACGTTGCGAAGCTGTCTTGCAAACACGCGGATGGCGAGTTACGAGTAGACGTCATTCTGGATGCCGCCCCTTATCGATAAAGGATCGCGCGCAACCAGAAAAGGGTGGCGTGCGACGACCGATGTCGTTTGTTCCACCGCTGCCTCGCAAACCTCACCCTTCACCGCCCGCCTCCAGCGCGTCCTGCCATTGCATCGTACTATGATGCTTGGCATCGCTTGGCATCGCTAACAAGTAGCGGTCGCGTCCGCTTCTCACCTCGCTCTGTTTTCGCGACACGAGGCGCAACACTCCTTCTCGCCCGCCTGGGGAACCCGAAGCCGCCATGGAGCAGTCGCCGGACGGGCAGATTAGCTCCATCGACGAGCCGGGGGTCAAGGCAGAAGGGCAGCTTCTGTATTCGATGCGCAAAGAAGTGGCCGAGTTGCTGGGGAGGCACCAGACGGGCTTCCCGGGCGCCCAGCCCGTCAGTTTCGCACGGACGCACCTGGACGAGATGACGAAGCAAGAGTATGAATTGTGCCCACTCGACGGAGACTGATGCTGACGTGGCGTGCCCAGTTACTACGTGTGCGAAAAATCGGACGGCATCCGCTATCTTCTGTACTTGACGGATGACGAGGCCGGCGGAGAGGCGCACTACCTGATTGACCGTAAAAACGACTACTGGTTCATCACCAACCGCAATCTCCATTTCCCCCTCGTTAATGACCTGAGCGCTTTCCACACGGCGACCCTCGTGGACGGCGAGCTCGTGTGGGATAGCCTGGCAAACGGGAAGAAGCAGCCAAGGTTCCTCGTCTTCGACTGCTTGGTCATGGATGGAAACAAGCTAATGGATCGGACTCTCGACAAGCGCCTGGCATACTTCAAGGAGCGCCTCTACACGCCCTACGAGAAGCTCTTCGCTGAGTTTCCAGACGAGCTCCAGTTCCAGCCTTTTTTTGTCGACATGAAGCCCTTTCAGCTGGGATATGGCATTGAGATGATGTTCAAGCAGGTGCTGCCGAGCCTGAAGCATGGAAACGATGGGCTGATTTTCACGTGCCGCAACACGCCGTACAAGCATGGCACAGACCCTCACATCCTCAAGTGGAAGCCGCCAGAGGAAAACACAATCGACTTTCGACTCAAGCTCATCTTCCCAACCGTTGAGCCCGAGGAGTGGGAAAGGAGAGAAGGCATCACCGAGCCGTTTGTCGATTACGACAGCGTCCCCCGGGCCGAGCTGTTGATATTTCAGGGAGACAGCGGCCCGAATCGGTACGAGGCCTTCTCCGACCTCTACCTGACTGAAAAGGAGTGGGAGACGCTCAAGGGCCTCAATGACCCGCTCAACGACCGCATCATTGAATGCAACCAGGACGACCAAGGGCGGTGGCGAATGCTCCGCTTCCGCGACGACAAGTCAGAAGCCAACCACCGGAGCACCGTGACCAGCGTCCTCGAGAGCATCAGCGACCGCGTGTCGGAAAAGGACCTCTACCGGGCGGCCGGGCGGATCCGAGACAGCTGGAAGGCCCGCCAGGCGCGCGCTGACCAGGAGAGCAGGCGTGGGCGGTAGGTGGCCTGCGCTTGAGGCACAGACAGGCCAGTTCCGGAGGCAGTTCGATTTGATTGTAGCTTTGTTGTCAAAGTCAGAGGTGGCCAGTAGCAACGGCGGCAGGAAGAGGGCGTACTGGGCTCTGAATATGCAGTGGCGTTTTTGGTGCGAACGGCTGGTAGGACGAGCTTCGCGGTCCAGCGTTGTAACCTTGTCCTGGTGATGTGCCGCGGCACTTTTGGATATTCGAATGTATTCGTGTTCTTCCTATTTCAGTCTATGTCCTTTTTTTCCTGTTCGAAACACTGACCGGCCACGCCGGCTGATCACAGCAGCCCGGCATCACAGGTCATATTACTTGGCATCATGTGCAGCTTCATCACACAAGTTTCATTCGTATTCATTACCTAGGTGGCTGCGATGTGAGTAGAATCTCAACGTTGATACTCCATCCGATCCACCAAGAACCCCCCCCAAAAAAATCTCAAAACCAAGCGAGCCCTCTCCCCTATCCTTCCGGGTCGCGGTCCACAGCAAAACCTCCAAGTACTCGAGTGTGGCTTATAGCGCAAACATCATGGCCGCAATCAGCATGACGGTGCAGCTGAGGTTGACGGATCCGCCGCCACCCCAGCCCCGGGGCTGGGGCTGCTTGCTGCTCCCGGATACTTCGATGGGTGCCGTCGCCGCGGCGCTCCCCGAGGGATAGGGATAGCCTGCAGCAGTGGTGTTCTTGGCAGGCGTGATATGAACCGTGGTGATCGAGGTGGCCGGAGGACCTCCAGTCTGCGTCACGGTCACCGTCTCGGTGGTCAGGGCTTCGGTACCGGAAGCTGGCCCTGTGGCAGCATCGGCCAGAGCAGATGACGAGCCTGACGGCTTCGCCCCGGGGCCGTAGAGGTCCGAAACCGTGATGGTCACGACTGTGGGGCCTTCGGTGGCGGCGACAGTCTCTTTCATGGTGACGGTTGCCGTCAAGGTTCTGCGGGAGCTGCGAACAGAGTCCCAGAGATCCGTGATGACAACGGTCGTGGCCGCGGTGGTGGTCTTCGAGGTCAAACTCTCGCTGGTCTTGACATTGGTGACCGTCTTAGGGTTTCCAGAGACGGTGGCATCCGGGAGACCCGTCGTCGCGGAGACGTCAGTCTTGACGTTTGTCAGGGTCTCGGGATTCCCCGACACGGTCGCATCAGGCAGACCCTTGGTGAGGGAAACGTCGGTCTGCACTGCAGTGTGGGTAGAAGGCTTGCCCGGCAGGGTGACATCCGGAAGGCGGTTGGTGAGAGAGAGATCCGTATTGACCTGGGTAGCCGTCGACGCATCGCCCGTGACGGTCTGGTCAGGCAGCGGAGAGACTGTGACGTAGACAGACACAGTCTTGGTGGCAGTGCCGGCAGAGCATATGCCAGCGTCCGCCGCAGACGAGACGGACTCGGACGAGACTGGCAGTGTCACGGTGGTCGTGGCCGTCCTTGTCTTGGTCAGGTGGACAGTAGTGTTGACGGTGCTCCGGATGCTGTAGATAGTCGACAGGTTGGTATGCGTCCTTTCTTGTCAGCGACTGGAGAAGATATGATGTTGTGGAAGCCTATTGCAACTTACGAGATCGGAACGCTGACGCCGATTGGTGCCGCGTCAGAGCTGCCCGTATAGGAGTGCTCCTCCTGGGCAGTCTCGGCCGTGGACTGGCCAGAGGGCATCCGAGAAGTTTGAGCGGTGTCCGACTGCGTAGTCACAGCGCGAGCAGTTCCGCCAACGGTGCCGACGGTGCCGACAGGCTTGAATGCAGTTGCGGTGGCGGTGGAAGTGGCAGTGGCAGTGGCAGTGATGGTGATAGTCCCGAGTCCCGAGGAGCCAGCGACCTTGAGGGCCATGGCATCAACTACCGAGCGAAACACGATGCCCCTCTCGCTTCCCTCGCCACGGACGACGAGCTCATGAGCCGCCTCAGACACCATGTGCTCCGCCTGAAGGAGCTCGGCAGCAGGACGAAACGAATGCTCTGTATCGAGTCAGTAGAGAATTCGCGAGGCGGAGGAAGCGGTAGTGGACGTTGAACGAACCGCAGTGAGAAGCGAGGAGACCGATTCCGAAAACAAGGACAACCAAGCCCAGAGCGATGGCGCCTCCGGTGAAGACTTTGCCCGCAAGAAACGCTTTCTTGGGCCTGGCGCGAGGCGCAACGAAAAAGCCCATCTCGCCAGACTCGGAATCCTTCATGACGGCCACTTTGGGGTGATCAGTTTTGCTGACAGGAACTCGAGCGTTGGTGCACATACTTGACAAGTCTGCCTGGGAGAGCTTCACTCGAGGGAGCAGATCGAAGAACAAAAGGTAAATGCTGCACTGGTCAGTGAGGTGGACGAGACTTCCAGACTGACTGGCAGGGTGTTTGCCAGCTGGTGCGATGTGGCACAAGAAGCAGTGAAGAACAAGGAAATGGAGAGGTTTGATGATGCGTACAAGGACAGTGAAAGAAACAAGGCTTGCTTGTGCTCGATAAACGAGAGGAAAGGTTATGAGAGCAGTGATGTGGTTCCGCGAAAATGAGCGTACGAGGTGAGGTGTGGCAGTGGAAGAGAAAGGAGGAGGAAGAGGAGGAAGAAAAGGGCGGCGTTTGTTTTGAAAACAGGTCACAGGGGGTGGGAAATTTTCAGGCATCAGTGAATAATGCCTGGGAAACACGGGGTGAGTGAGTGAGTGAGTCTGAACAGGAGCTTTCCTGGCAGCTGATTCGCGGGTGAGGCTGCCAGCTGTTGCCGGGGCGAGGTCGGACGACAAGGCACGCATTTTGGACTCGACATATTGACCCGTTCTCGTGTCTGGATGCCGCAGTATCGCCCTGCGCTCTCTACGAGATGGAACGTCGCCGCCCTGTGGCAGATGGAGTCGACCAACCCACAGCCTGCCGTCGTGCAACTGCGCAACGTCGCCTCGGGGTTCAGGAGCACAGCGTGGTGCAGCATGGCGCGGTTCAACAGGCACGGGAACTGTAGCATGCATGATCTGAGGCAGGATTTGATACCCAAGGACGAAAGTCGACGGGTCCAAGACTGCCGCTGCCGGGAGAGGGACTGAAACGACCGAGCCAGGTCATCAGGCCAGGGCTCTGAATTTGCAGACTCCCTTGGCCGGCCGAGGCTGGCCATGGCTGCATCCCTCCGCCGATTACACACAAGAGGAGCTTCCAGTGGCGCAAGCGAGCCGCTGCCATCGGTTTCATGGAGCTCGAGAAGCCTTGATCGGAAGAAGGCGGCGCTCTCCTGGCGCAATTCTCAGGGGCCAGCTGCCACTGCTCCGCAAGGAGAGGCCACAGTCAGCGAGATTGAAGTCACTGAGCATGTCGAAGACATCCAGGTTGTCCAGTCACGATACTTGTATGACCCGAGGATTCGTTGGGGGATGAAAGGACTCCAGACGTAATCTTGAGTAACCTGTGTGACACGGCTCAGAGCTCGCCGGCTCGGCCCCCACTGAGTGCGACCGTTTGCGGCGGATAGGCGGCGATGACCGTATTCATGGGAGAGTCCTGTCAAGGGAGATTGGATCAGGGTTGTGCACGAGAGCGGTGTGGTCCGTGGTCTGTGGTCCTTGGACAGAGGAAGTTCTGACTCCTGAGCTTTGGAAAGGGCCCGCCAGCAACGGACGATTTAGTGTCTTTGGTCTTTGGTGGATAGCGAACGAGACGGCTTTTCGAGGCTTCTTGTTGAAGGGAAGAAGCGAGCGTCTGACGGGCTCCTGCGAGGGCTCAGGAAGCCGTCTGTCGAGTTGTCCGCCAATAACCCGAGGAAGGGATCTTGTTTGCTGGGGCGTTGGTTGGCCGCACGCTTGCCGTTGAAGCTTGACGCGGCGAGGCTTAGGATATTAGGTAGTAGACGGCTTACATAACAAGGCACTACAGTAGGTTCCTGCGTGCGACTCGACGCGCAGCAAGGTACGTACCGCTACGGCCCCGTTGGCCGCAGAGCTTTGCTTGCGCGGGGCCGCTGCTGCGCTGTGGCGTGGGCTGTGCCCGCTGCCGGCTTGGCGCCTCCATCGTCCCGCCTTCGCGTCTGCCCGCGTAGCGCCTCGACGCCAGCTAACAAAAGCCAGGCGGTACGGAGCAGGTGATACGAATATAATAAACCACCACCTCAGCTGCCCGCACCCTCCACCACCATCACCATCGCCCGCCCACCTGCAAGCCCACCATCGTCGCCCTCCAGAGCTCACAAGGCACAGCCCGTGTCGTGCCATGCAGTGAGCCCCTCGCGCCGCGCGACATCTCGACTCGACACGCGCCCGGCCTCGTTGGACTCTTTTCAGTCCTCCGACGTCCCCTCGCAGCTGCTCGTCATGCCGCGTCGCCGCGCTCGCCGCCAGGAGCACGTGGAGGAGGCCGAGGAGCAAGACGACCACGTGCACGACAAGGCCCCTGAACCCCCGCAAGAAGCAGACTCGGAGCCCGAAGCCGGCGACCAAGCTCACGAGATGCGCAGCCTCCGCTTCCGCGAAGAGCTTTCATGGCGGCCCGCCAAGCCCATCCCCAGCGCCACCCTCGTCGCCCGCCTCGAGAGGCTGTCAAAGGAGCTGGCCGACTTCGACCAGGGCGAGGTCCAGCTCGACTCCCTCAAGGCCGTCGCCGCCAGTCTGGCCCACCGCAACCTCCTCCAGCACAAGGATCGCGGTGTCAAGGCTTATACCGCCTGCTGCCTCGTCGACATCCTGCGCCTCTTCGTCCCAGACGCCCCCTTTACCGACGACCAGCTCAAGGTGCGTGCCCACAAACAAACGGACACGTGCAATCGCTAACAGTGGCCCCGCGCAGATGATGTTTTCGCTCTTCGTCAAGGACGTCCTTCCCGCTCTCCACGACCCGACCAATCCCTACAACAGCCAGCACAAATACGTCCTCATGTCCCTGACCGATGTCAAAAGCATCCTCCTCATCTCCGAGATCCACGGTGCCGACGACCTCTTGCTGCGCCTCTTCAACTCGGCCTTTGATGGTGTCTCGGCCAGCGCAAAGGCCCCCGCCGAGGAGCAAGTGGCCAAGGACATTGAGATACACTTGACCGAGATGCTCATGGAGCTCATAGACGAGTCTCCGGGCAGCATACCAGCCACCGTCATCGACGCCATCATCAGCCAGTTCCTGCGCGCGGCGCCCCCTGGGGGTGGCCGCACCAAGGAGCAGCACGACAAGCAGTCGACGCTCCTCCACAAGACGGAACCCGCCGCCTACATCATGGCCAAAAACATTTGCAACGGCTGCGCAGATAAGATGTCGCGCTATGTGAGCCAGTACTTTAGCGACGTCATCCTCAACGCCTCGGGCTTTGCCACAAAGGCCAATGGCTACCGCCAGGGTGACGACTCGGAAGACGAGGACGCCAATGCCGGCCCGTCCGAGGCAGACCTCAAGAGCCTTCGTCAGGCTCACCTGCTCATCCGCGAGCTCTGGAGGGCCGCGCCCGCAATCTTGCAAAATGTCGTGCCCCAGCTGGACGCCGAGCTGTCTGCCGACAACGTGCACTTGCGGCTGATAGCAACCGAGACATTTGGAGACATGATCTCGGGAATCGGAGCCGCAGGCCCCCCGCCGCCGCCGACTCTCGATCCCACGGCTTACCCCCCTCTCCGTCTGATCGACGACAGGACCCCCGAAGCCGTCGAAGCAAATGTGCTAACAAAGCCCTACTCGCCGCAGTCGTTTGCCCAAACGCACGCCGGGACCTACCGGAGTTTTGTAGGTAGAAAGAACGACAAGGTGGGCACCATCCGTGCCGCCTGGGTCACCGCCGCCGGCTACATCCTGTCCACCTCTGCAGGCGGCATCGGTCTCAGCAGAGAAGAAGAGAGGGAGCTCGTACAGGGACTCGTGGAGAAGCTCAACGACAGCGAGGAAAAAGTGCGCTTGGCAGCCGTCAAAGCCATCGAGCTCTTTGATTTTCGGGATGTCATTTCCAAGCTGGGCGTCACCGGCGGGGTGGACAAGGAGGGATCCATCCTCGCCAGCCTGGCAGACAGGTGCCGCGACAGGAAACCGGCCGTGCGCGTAGACGCCATGGTCCTGCTCGGGAAGCTGTGGGCGGTCGGGGCCGGCGAGATCGCCGAGGGCCAGGAGGCCGCGACGGCGTGCCTGTCCGGCGTCCCGTCGCGCATCATCAACGCATTCTACGCCAACGATCCCGACCTGAACATCCTGCTCGACCGCGTCATGTTCGAATGTCTTGTGCCCCTCAAGTACCCCCTCATCAAGGGCAAGGGGGCCAAGAACGCTTCCCAGTCTGCTCAGGGCAAGGGTGGCGTCGGTCCGGCGGACCAGGACAGGATACGCGCCGAGCGGATCCTCCTCATGCTTAAATCCCTGGACAATCCTGCCCAGAAGGCCTTCTTGGCCATGCAGGCGCGGCAACCTCAGTTCGCAAAGGGCGTCGCCATCTTTATTCAGCAGTGCGAAGCCTACAACGGCGGAGTCGTGGATGCCAACGAGGAAAAGGTCAAGGCAAGCCTGGCCAAGACGTTCCAGTGGCTCGGCGCCTTCTTCGCCGACCCGGCCAAGGTCCGCGGCGACCTTCAAAAGTTCGCCAAGCTCAACGATCGCCGTAGCTACCAGCTCGTCAAGTACGCCATCGAGTCCGAGAGCGACTTCAAGACGGTGCGGAGAGCCATCAACGAGCTCATCACTAAGATTCAGGCCGGCGCGGCGGCTGCCTGTCTCGACACACTCATCCCCCTTCTCTACCGCTCCAGCTGCCTCATGTTCAACCGCAGCCATCTCGCGACCATCATGGACTATTCGAAAAGCGACAAGGAGGGGTTCGCCGGGGTCGCCCATCAGGTGCTGAACGACATATCGCAGCGAAACCCCGACATTTTCAAGGCGCACGCAGAAGAACTGCGCAAGGAGATTATTGAGCAGGCGCCAACGGACAAGAGACGTAACGACCCGGCGGTGGTGGACATTCTGAAAGCATATTCATCCTACTCCAAGAGATACCCTCAAGACATCAACTACGACAGGGGCTTCACCCAGACGCTTATGAACTACGCACTCTACGGGTCCCCCCCAAAGTCTGCCAAGTACGCAGTCAATGTTCTTCTTGCCAAGAACGACGACAAGAGCAAAGTGACGGCTACGAATCTCTTGAGGAATGTCATGAAGGACTTGAACTATGGCTCCCCGCACTTTCTCACGAGGCTGGCCGCGATCAGCCAGCTCGAACGCCTTGCTCCCATGGTCACCGCCGACTCGGACGAAGCGATCCACGACTTGACCATCAAGAAGATCCTCCGTGAGGTGCGGACCGATGCAAAGGCCGATTCGGATCCTTCGTGGATCGACGACGCCGAGCTGGACGAGGAACTACAAGCCAAGTGCCTGTCACTCAGGATATTGGCCAACCAAGCCATGGCGACGGAGGAGGAGCCCGACGCCGAGGAGAGGATCAAGCCAGTTTTCAAGCTGCTAAAGACTTTTGTCGTCAACGAAGGGGAGTTTTGCAAGACCAAGGACACACCCTTGCACCACAGGAAGCGCCTTCGGCTGCTAGCAGGACTCCTCACGCTGAAGCTGTGCACTGTCAAGAAATACGACGAGCAGCTTGAGCCGACAAGCTTCAACAAGCTTGCCGAGCTGATTCAGGACAGCGAGCTTCAGGTCCGTCGGCGGTTCATGGAGAAGCTGCAAGACTACCTGACGCGTGCAAAGCTCCGGGCAAGGTTCCACACAATCCTGTTTCTGGTCGCCTTCGAGCCCGTGACCGATCTCAAGAACCGGGTAGAGACTTGGATTCGATCCCGGGCTCGTTGCTACGGGGAGAAGAAGCAGCAGATCTTGGAGGCTATCATGGGCAGGCTGATTCCCCTACTGGCACACCATCCCGACTACACTTCCAACACCGAGGATCTTGCCGACTTTGCAAACTACTTCCTCTTCTACCTAGGGGCCATTGCGACCGAGGAGAACATCTCCTTGATTTACAAGTATGCCGAGAGAGTCAAGCAGACGCGAGATGGCGTCAACTCTGACACGAGCGAGAACCTCTACGTGCTGAGCGACCTGGCCCAGGCGGTGATCCGCAAGTTTCAAGAAAGGAGGAACTGGAGCTTCCAGGCATGGCCTGGCAAGGTAGGGCTTCCCACTGGGCTGTACACGGCCCTGCCGTCCAGTGAGGTGGCGCAGCAGATTGCAAAGAAGCAATACATCCCGGACGAGCTGGACGAGCGTCTGGACGACATGATCCGGGCCCTGGATCGCAAGAAGGTAAGATTCTCGATTGCGTGCACGAGACGAAGAGCTCCAAGAGTATTAACTTGCCTCATCAGAAACGCAAGTCCATGAATGACGGGGCAGACCCGCCGGCCAAGCGAGCCAAAACGGCCGTCAGGGAGCGGTCTAAATCGAAGGCGAAGGCGACAAAATCAGCAACGAAGAAGACGCCCAAGCCAAAGACGCCAAAAGCAAGGAAGCAGGCGACGTCCCCAACGCTAGCACTGTCGGAACGTCGTCGCAGCAGCCGTGCTCACAATGTCTCTGACTACAAGGAACGGGACGATGCCGACGACGAGGAGGAGATGCTGGATGGCGTGGCAGTTTGGGACTATGAAAAAGACGGCGATTCCTCTAGTGATCAAGGAGAGCCGGCAGCCAGCGACGAAGGATCGGAAGAGGAGGGTGGAGGCGAAGATAGCAACAACGAGTCTGAGGAAGAGAGCGCGACTGCATCGAGGAGGAACGGGCAAAAGGAAGCAAAGGCCAAGGCCAAGGAGAAACCATCGGCGGCCAAGACCAGCATGGGGGACCAGTTGGAAACGAGCAAGCGAGGCAGCCGAGCGCGCAGACGGGGAACTGCCAGGGACTCGTCAGAGATGGAAGTGGACGACGATGATGACTGATTCGTTTTGCCCCGAGGACTGGGAGGCTGTCGCGGGTTTCATGTGGGACTCAACCCTGCACTCTGTATAGTTGTTTTGTTCATTCGGCTTCTTGTCTCGATAGGTGGCTGGAGGCGACAGGGTTGTGTTGATGGAGACTTGGAACATTGCTGCTCTTCTAGGTCTATGAGGTGGCATATTTCCCCCGTTCCATGACAATTGTCGGTTCTGTGTATGTGCGAGCTGCCATGAGACTGTGGCTTTTGGTGCATTTCCCTTGCCGTCTGCCCTCTGCTCCCATCTGACCCCTTTTCTCTAACCGATGCTTTGGCGGTTCGTGGCCCGTCGACTAATCTCATCTTCCTCCTCCTCCTCCTCCTCCTCCTCCTCCAAAAAGCCACGAGTTCCAGGCGAGCGGGGCAAAGAGAGGCAAGGCCAACGACAAACCAGATTGAACGGAGTCTCTCACAGAAGCAGGGGAAGAAAACCAGTGACAAGTTTGTTTTCGAGGCTCTCCGATGCACCGCCTGCCTCGTAGTGCCATCAAACAATTAACCCTCGCCAGACAACAAGGCTATGTACAACTGCGGATCCCCAAGTGCGTCCTTCTTTTTCATGTTCCTACTTCCTGTCTGGGAGGCGCACATACACGATCTCTTTCACCCCCTTGGCCTCGGGGAAATAGAATAGCCGGCGCTTGGCCACTGCCCAGTAAAACTGCCACTTTCCACGGGGACAAGGCGGCCCCGTTCTTCTTCCCAACTACCCATCAGCCAGACGGCCCGGCGTCGGCGGCAGCGCTTTGCGCAGCGAGCCTCTGCCTCACCTTGTCACGGTGGCCCGAGAACTTGAGGTGGGCCTCAAACTTCTGCGCCGTCATGTCCGGGCCGGGCGTGTAGAGCTTCGTTGTACAGTCGAGGCACCGGATGCGCGGCAGCCAGGCGTACTTGACGCCGTCGGGGAGCGGCTGGCTCTGGATAGGCAGCTCTGTCACAGGGTCGAGGTACGAATATTTCATAATGGCCTCAAAGTTGTCGCCGTTGGGGTACTGCGTCTCCAGCTGCTTCAGAGCCGAGATGAGCCATTCGGGGGGAGGGGGCTGCATGGGGGAAACAAGGTGAAGAGGAGAGCAAGGGCCGACGTCAGTCAAGCCAAGCCGCCGGGGTTCGGCGCGGAATTGGGGACAAAACTCACGGCGGGCGGAGGCGACTGGCCCGGGACGGGCGGAGGGGCGGGCAGGCGGCCGATCTGGCCGGGAGGATAGGCTCCGGGGGGTTGGGGAGTCGACGCGGCGGGGGCAGACGGCGGCGGTGGCAGCGGTGGCCTTGTCCGCAGTCCGCCCGAGGCGCTGGGGGCTCTGGCATGGACTGCCGGTAAGGGCGTCTGCGGCTGGGACGCCGTTCTCAGGTCGCGGTAGTCGCCCCTCATCACCCTCCGCAGCTTGTCTTTGTTGATCCTGAGCGTCACCCACAGGTGCAGAGGCTCCTCAGTTTCCTCGCGGAAGCGGCGCGACGTCCTCGTCTCGTGGTGGTGGAGCGCGGCGCTCACCTCGGGCGTCTCGGAGCGGCCCAGGTTCGCCATCCTCTGCTGAGCCGCCGAGGCCGCCCCGCGCATCCCCCTGGTCCGAGCAGTGCCGCCGACGAGGTATGATGGTGCAGGGGACTCGGGGGCCGAGTCCTCGCTCTCGTCTGAGTCGGATATCTCTCCGTCACGCGTTGTTCTCTTGCGCGATGCGCCCGCGGCCCTCTTGTAGAGCCGGCTCTCCTCGACGTCAGTCGCGGCACCGGGCAGGACGGAGGAGACAATGAGGGTGCGGATGGTCCGTTGCCTCTCCTTGAGGTCGGGGAGCTGCGGCCCGCCTCTCCTGTTGATGGAGCGTTTTTGCCGTCGCTGTTCCCTGGAGAAGACCATCTCGTTCCTCTCGAGGTCGGCCTCGTTGAGTTCGTACATGTATGGGGCGTATTCCTTGGCCTGCTGCTGCGGCCGGAAGACGGAGGGCAAGGGGGTTTGCAGAAAAGCGGACACCAGGTCCGAGTCCTCAACCGGTCTTCCGTCAAAGGGGTGGCCGACGCTGTAGAGGCTCTTTGTGAAGAGCTGCGACTGCTCGCGGATGCAGTGGGCAATGGCCGTGGTGAACTCGCCGCTCAGCGAGAGGTCGCGGGCCATGCTGGCGGCGAACTCTTCTGGCGAGTTGGAGGGGTTGTTGATCTCCCATTCGAACTGGTCGACGAGGGTGTGCTGACCGATTGTGATGTTGAGCTTGATGAGGACGCGCATCTCGTCGTTTTTGTATGCCGCGTAGGGGAGTTCGGGGTCCAGGGCGTCCTCGTCGGAAAAGGCAAAGGGGTAGAAGTCGTTGAGCTGCTCGCGCATCTGGTGGACAATCTGCTCGTAAACGGGCTGGGCGGCGGGGGGTTTGAGGCCCATGTCCTCGACCAACTGGGCGGCGAAGAGCTCGACGTGGAGGATGCGCTCGTGCAGGTTCCAGGTGAGGGTATCGCGCAGCCTGATCTTGTCCCACTCGACCTCGAGGCGCAGGGGAACAAGCTCCTCGTGTTGGTCTGCCTGCTTGAGCATGTCCTTGCGCGTGTACTTGAAAACCGGGGTGGTGCGGCGGCCAGGGCGGGGCTTCTGCGAAGGATAGACGATGCGCGACGAGGGCGGATGGGTCTGGTTCTCGGTGTAGCCGTTGGCGAAGCCGTTGTAGCCCTCGCCGTAGAGCCTGCTCGGGGGGAACCACGGCTTGTACTCGTTGCGCAGCATGCGGTACTCTTGGATCCTTTCGCGAGTCTCCTGCGACGACTTTCTCGTCTGCTGGAGCTGCTGGCCAAGGGCGGCGGCGGCGAGGGCGTCGCGCGTGGTGTAGCGCTCCACCATGAGCCTGCTGAAGGACTCCTTGGTGCGGACAGGCATGTCGGCGGCTGCCGAGGCCGAGGGGGCCAGATCCTTGTCGTCGGCCGCCGTCGCGCTGGCCGCCGTCGTCGCAGGGCCCGTCGACGAGGACGGCAGGGAGGCCATGGTCGCGTCGCGTGGCCGAGGCCGTGGCGACGATGCGATGCGACAGGCGTGGAAAAGAAGTCGGTTGGGGCGCGTGGCGGTGGGCCCGGCTCGGGGGGGAGGGGATGTCGTCCGAGCAATGGATGGCGAGGCGCGTGATGGGGTGAATGGGGATGCGGTGTCGTGATGCTGACCTGGATGGCTTCTGGCCTTAAGATGTTTGGCAGAGAGGAATCTTCTACTCGGCTGCGAACGGCAGGTACAGTACAGTCGGTAGGTAGCCTCCTAACCTAATTGCCGCCTCGGCGGGAGAGGCTGGCGGTGCATGTACTAGTACTTTGATGTGCGCGTGGGAACTGTGTGTCGGCGGGGTATCTAGACAGCACGCTGCTCCAAGGGTGCCAGCTGGGCATGGACGAATGATAGGCGGCAGAAGCAAGAGACGGCGGGCGGCAAGGCTGGCTGTCGACTTCATGCCTCGAGCATTAACTTGCACAGAACCAAACAATGCCAAGACATGTCACGAAACGGACTCGCGAAGCGAGGCATCGTGGCCTTGGTGTCCGGATCATAATGGTCTCGACTCTGGCCCCATCGGAAGCTTCTGTTGCGCTCCAGGTGAGTCCGAGCCCTACGGCTGCAGACAGTGGGTGACAGCACCTGAACTTGCACATGGTGGTCGATGGGAGCTGGAGAGACGCTTGGAGACGTCTTCCCTCCTGCGGCGGCTGGCCAATGGTGACTGCAGTCGGAACAAGCACCGGCTGCATCTCCCGTCCTGGGCTGTGCCTTTGCCGTTACTCATCTGGGGTCCAGCCAACGGCCGAAGACGGCCGTTGCCTCCTTCTACCTCGACACGGTACCGCCGGTATCATCCATGACCTGGTCGCCAGTTGGTCGCCCAGTGCCAATGCAGCTTGTCTTCCAGGAGAGACGGGGGGATGTCAGCGCGAAACTACTAAGTTGGTGGGTTGGAAGTGTAGGGTAGGTGTGGCTGGACTGCTTGATGTACTTTGGTACCACGGACGTCAGGCCGAACCATCGGCTGTGAATTGAGCGAGGATGGCGTTTCGTAACAAGGCAAGATGACGGCTTCCTTCGTCCTTCCCCACCATCAGAAGCCTGGAACGACCAAGTTGCAGGCAGGGGAAAAAAAGAGTAGAAGCTACTTGTGGCGGCCGTTCATGACTAAGATGAAACGACGCGAGGATGCTAGCCACTATGTGGTTGGGTAGCAAGGTCAGCAGCTGTAGCTCAGTCAATCAGGACAAGCCAAGCAGAGGCAGCGAGGTAGTAACAAGTAGGGCACAGCAGCAGCATATCCAGCGAGGGGTTTTTTTTTTTTGGTTCCCGTCCCGACGCAGGCCCGGGCGGGGGACCCAGTCTCGTGCGTGCCACATCAAGTAGCCCACACCAACCGCGAGAGTCTCGCTCCCATTCCTCCTCTCGCAACCATCTCGGCCAGCACAGGCAAATTCCCTCCATCTGACCAGCAATAAACCCTCGAGAACCGCCTGCCCATCATGTCGGAGGAAAAGGACGCCGTCGGTATTAACTTGCCCCTCTCCGCCCCTCCCCTTGCCCGTCCGTCCCCCTCTGTCGAGCTCGATATTGTCATGACATATTTTGCTTGCCCCTCTCTCTCCATGTGCGCGACAACTACCCCGCCATCCAGCACCACCAAGAGCTCACCCCCCCCCCTCCTCTCAGTCTAACCCCTCTCCGTGCCTCACAAGCACAAGGATGTGAATGGCAAAAAAGACAATGCTCAAGGGCCAATGCAATGCTGACCACCGCCCGCAGACTACTCTCTCAACAACCCCGATACTCAAACCAAGTACAAGACCGCCGGCCAGATCTCCGAGAAGGTCCTGGCTGCCGTGGCCGAGCTATGCGTGCCCGGGGAGAAGATTGTCGCCATCTGCCAGAAGGGCGACAAGCTGATCGAGGAGGAGATTGCCAAGGTCTACCGAGGCAAAAAGGTCAACAAAGGTACGCAACCAGGCCCCTCCAAGAGCTCGCATCGTTCTGACGGCAGAGGCCACAGGCTTCTCTCATCCCACCACTGTCTCGCCTGCCTCCTATGTCACGCCCTACACCCCACTGATCACTGATGAGAGCGAGGCCGCGCTCGAGATCCAGCCGGGTGAGCCCATCAAGATCCAGCTGGGAGCCCAGATCGACGGCTTCGGCGCCATCGTCTGCGATACTGTCCTGGCCACCCCCAAGGACAAGGCCGGCGAGGTCGTAACGGGCCGCCCTGCCGATCTGATGCTGGCTACCCACTACGCCAACGAGCTGCTCCTGCGGCTCATGATCCCCCCTGGCTTGCTCGCTCAGGGCACCGACGAGGAAAAGGCAAAGGCCGCTGCCCAAAAGGCTCCTACCCAGGCCAAGATGACGAGCCTGCTGGAGAAGGTCTGCGAGAGCTTCGAATGCCACCTTGTCGAGAGTACCACGTCATGGCTGTTTGACCGCAACGAAATCGAGGGTCCCAAGAAGATTGTCATTGCCCCTGCCGAGGGCACCAAGGGCGACGGCGTCCCCGAGACGGCCGAGGTGTGGGGTGTCGAAATGGGCGTCAGCCTGGGATCCGGAAAGGTCAAGACGCTTGACCAGCGTGCCACTCTTCATCGCCGCACCACGCAGACCTACGGCCTGAAGCGCCCCACCTCGCGCAAGATCCTCTCCGAGGTCCAGAAGAAGTTTGGCACCTTCCCTTTCAGCCTGAGACAGCTCGAGGACGAGCGCGATGCCAAGTCGGGTGTGGTCGAGTGCGTGCGAGGCAACGTCTTCCGCCAGTATGAGCTGGTCGGTGACAAGGACAATGCTCCAGTCGCCAGGCTCTTGACAACCATTGGTGAGTGCAAGATGTGATTGGCTGTAGCAGAGACGCCGGTGCTGACGAGGCCTGTTTAGTTATCACCAAGAATGGCATCACCAAGCTCGGTGGGCCGCCTGCTCCTGATCTGAGCAAGTTCAAGACGGACAAGAAGATCACGGACGACGAGGTGCTCAAGATTCTTGAGCAACCTCTGTCCAGAAACACTGGCAAGAAGAACAAGAGCAAGAAGAAGAAGCCGGCCAAGAAGACGGCGGCAAAGGCCGCAGGCGACTCGAATGATGATTCGGACGATTCAGACGAGTGAGCCTCGTCCAGAGGAGGATCTGGTCACGGCGGAGAGTTTTGACCACGAGCATTCAGCCTTGGCCGTGCAAATGACAACTGGCATGAAGCGGCGAGAATCCGGGTTGGAGTGACTGGTATGCGCCGTGCGGGTGTGACTCGACTGGACTGGGGGAACATGTTGTCCCACCAGGTGTCGCGTTGAGAAGCTCGCGGAAGCTGGCCAGGGGGAGGGGGGGCCGCGACGGCCACGACGCGCATGTGAGTCTAGTGAAGCCAGGTATATATAGATACCCACCACCGTTCCGGCATCACCAAGCCCGTCACGCCGGGCTGTCGAAGCGACATGGGTGAATGGGTGCACTGTGGTGGACGGCAGAGACAAAGGCAGGGAGCGAGAGTTTGGTGCAGCATTTCCCCTGCGGCGAGCGCGCCTGTGTGACCCCTTGAAGAGTAAACAGAATACCGAGGTTATTCACACTGGTGCGGCCACCAGGTGCCGCCAGTGAATGGATGCCCGTGTAGAAGAAACCAGGGCATGATACCCCCCCCCCCCTCCTCCCCCCTGGGGAGTTTTGTTCCGTAGTAGTAGGCAGGGAGCGGGGATGGCTGGGGGGGGGGGGAGGCGAGGGGGAGCAGTGTGGTGTTGGGGAACAATAAGGGGCACATGGTCAATGAATATGACTTTTTAAAAAAAGAGGGAGGATGCCAGACTTGTTGAACAAACGCAAGCGAGCAGCTGTGACGGAACGAGTTCAAGCATAGAGACAAACAACGTCTGGCTGCGGGCGGAAGGGCTGTGGTGGCGAGCGTGAATTGGGTGATGAGTGTCACTGCCTGCCTGTGCATAGTGCAGTGCCCACCCCTTGCCAGCCTGGCTCCTCCAAAAGCCTGTTCTGGACCTGGGCACCCACCGTCGCCTCCCCATTTCCTCCCCCCAACGAAGCGCGTCCAGGACTGCAAAGACACGCGATTTCGCAGCAAGAGCCCATGCTCTAGCTCAAGGGACAGGTGAGTTCTTTCCTCTGAGGCCCTCGCGGGCGCGTCCTGTGCACTCGTCGCTAACGCCCCGTTGTGCAGGCTGAACGAGGAGCGCCGCCAGGGGGGGGCACAGGCGACTCCCACCCCTCCTCTCCTCTCGCCCACTCTCCTCAGCTTGACTGACATCATGATTTCCTCCAACACGAGAGCGTCGCGCTCGGCGTCGCGCTACTCGAGCCCTGCGCAACCGCCTGGCAGGAACTGGAACGGGCCGTCCGAGTCAAAGGCCAGTGGAAACGAGGGCTCGAGGGCGTTGATGGCCAGGTGGCTGGAGCCTTCGGTGCAGACCAAGACGAGCTTCGAGGAGGCCGGGCTGATGCGATACGGCGTTCTGGAGAACATGGCTCCCCTCGGCACCATGCCCAAGCCCAAGAAGCCAGGGGGCGAGAATGGCTCGACGGTCCGCAAGATCATCCTGCGGCCGTCGGGGGCCGGGTTGGCCAACGCCGCGCGTGAGGCCAAGGCTGGCAGCAACCACCCACCACCGCCCAAGTCACCGCCCAGATCTCCTCCTCCACTGGTGCAACCTTTGCCGCCGCGGAGAAAGTCTCTTCCACCAAAGGACAGGGAACCCGAGGACGACGAGTACGATCCCAAGGGAGGCGCCCGTCGCAGACGTTCCAAGCGAGTCTCTCTGCCGGCCAAGAAGATGCGGCAGACGCCCGACGGGGACCCCAAAGACTCGGTCGTCATGGCCAAGGCGCCGACCCCCAAGGCCACGAGCCCCAAGAAGCGCCACGCTCCGCTCGAGCCTGAGGAGAGGGAGTTTGCCGACAAGGTGGTCGAGGCAGCTGTCGACGAGGCCCTCAAGCACTACCGTTATCCTACAGCCTGGGCTATGCGTACGCTCTACGATGAAAAGTGCGACGACGCCGATTTTGTGGCCATGGTCGAGGACGTCTTCAGGCAGACGGCCGACGCGGAGACGAGGAATGAGTTTTCCAGGCTCGTCGAGCAGAAGAAGCGCGAGGGAAAGAAGGATGACCAGGGCTGCTACTACTTTGTGCCGCCCACCACAAACAACCGCTTCACTCCGCACAAACCCAAGCCAGCCCCCTACGCATCGCTCCTTCGCGAAGCTGAGGGCGAGGAACAGACTGCAGGCGATAGGCGAGCTGCCAAGAGGGCCAGGACCTCGCACGCCGCGACGCCGCGCAAGACGGCCTCCTCGGGCGCCGTCGTCGTCAATGTCCGCACACCAAGATCGTCGCGCAGCAATAAGCACGCACGACGGGACTCGGGCTCGAGCATTTCGTCGTCGCTCTCGTCGGCCATGAGTCTGTCGTCGCCCGAGGGCAGCGCCGCAAGCCTCAGTCCGTCCCTTCGAGGGGCGGCCGCCGGGGAAGCTTCTGGGGCCCAGGCCCATCGCCATGCGGATGCGCCAAAATCCCAGCCAATCACCACCCGCGGCAAAACACTCGCCTCCAGCAGACCGGCCGTGTCCAACACATCTGAATCAAACACTCCCACCCATCACCACCAAGGCCGCTCTCGCCCTCGACACGCATCCACCGCTGCTGATGATGCCACCAGCATGCCTGGCCGACTCGCCGCAACTGAGCTCTTCCCCAACCTGCCTGCCAAAACGGCAAAGCACGGCACCGCCAAGGCGCCCCCCATGCTCGACGACGATGAGGATCCGTTCTGGGACAGGCGACGTGATGCACGCAAGGTCACAGGCGCGTACAGCGCCCAGGAGAGCTCGGTGAGGACGGGCCAGGAAGAGCGTGTCGCAACGCCCCCCAGGACCACGAGGCGGACGCGCCAGCTGCTTGCCGCTCCCGTCAGCACCCGGGCCACGCGTTCCGCCAGCAAGAGGCCCATCGCCGACGTCGAGCGAACCACGTCGCCGGCGGCCTTTTCATGGCAGGGCGACGGCAGCCCAGCAGTCGGATCCCGCGCCGCCACTCCCCCAATGCTGCGACCGGCCAAGAAGCAGCGGACGGGCCTGCGCGTTAAGACCTCGTGAGTTCAATCCCCCCATCTCCCCCTGCCCCAAAGATGAGACCACTCGCGCATCGCCCGCTCTCGCCTCGACGGCCCAAGCTCGGGCACCGATGAGCAGCATGAGCGCATCACGAGGTCCGACGAGCTGAGCTGTCCGGGCCAAGCCCGGATGATCGGCCTGCCCATCTCGCCGTCTGCCAATTGCCGGCCAAGGACGAGGCGACGCAAGGAACATTCTTGGCTGACTCGTTCACTTTCTCCACTGCAGGCCGGTCAAGAAAAAGGGAGGCACTGCCGCGGGTGTCCCCCGTTCGATGAGCGAGGCAAATTCGACGCTCAACAACGGAGCGCCCAAGGACCCGGTATGTGACCCCATTTCTGCCCTACCCGTCGTGATTATTCCCAACCAAGCCACGATGCGCTCTTGCCCGCCCCCCCGGCACACCCCCTCCCCTCCCTCGTCCGGCCTGCCGTTCCGGAGCAGATGGCCTGCTGGTTTCGGAGGCGCGTACCGTTTTTCTATTCCTCGTCCATTTCACCTTCCATACCCTGTTTCTCTCGGAAGCCCGGGATGGCGCACGCCCAGGCACGCAAGGATCACACTCCACGCTACGCCCGTTTCCCTCCCCAACTAGTGCCCAGTGGATGCCGTTGGGCTTCGCCACCCCGACGATGCATTCCCCAGTTGACGCGAGGGGCTCGTGAACGTCTGGGACGAGGGTTTGGTCGCTAACTACTGCTTCCCAGACGTCGGACAACGACGAGTATTGCTCGGCGTGCGGCAATGCAGGCGACGTCGTCTGCTGTGATGGCTGCCCTCGATCATTCCACTTTGAGTGTGTCGACATGGTGCAGTCGGACGATCTGCCCGACGAGTGGTACTGCAATGAGTGTCTCATTCGACGCTTTCCCTCGCGCGTACCCGTCCACAAGGGCATTTTTGCGGGCGCCCTGAACAACCTCGAGAAGAGTATCCCGCGCGCCTTCAGCCTGCCAAAGAAGGTGCAGAACCGCTTCGAGGGCGTCAGGGCCGGCGCCGACGGCGATTACGAAGATGTCATGTCGAGTAAGGCGGTTAAGTAAGTGACGATGCTCATTATTGCGCCTACTACCTGCGTGCACCGGCTGACGACAGGTGCAGGAAACGAAATGGCTACGATGAGCTGCCAGACTTCTTCAAGCAGCGCGAGGATGGCCACGCTGTGCTCTGCCACGCTTGCCAGAAGCCGGCCACGGAGATAAGAGCCATCATCCCGTGCAGCGCGTGCCCGTTCCACTGGCACATCGATTGCCTCGACCCGCCCCTGGCGATGCCCCCCGTCCTCAAGACGTGGCGCTGCCCGGCGCACATTGACGACGTCTTGATCGAGGTGCCCGGCCTCGCGCCGGCCCACCGCTTCCGCAGGCTCAAGGGAACCCAGACCATTGCGCCTGCCATCAGCCGAGGCCTCAAAAACAATGGCCATATCGAGATAGATTGGACGGACGAACCTGTCCAAACCGATCGTTCCGGATGGCCCGACCCATCCTCATTTGGACGAAGCTACAAACTGCCCGCCAGGGGAGTTGTCCTGGACTTCATTGAACAGTAAGCTGCCCGCGTGGATTCAATAGCTGTGTTCGGGCTAACCTTGTGCCTGCTAGACTGCGACACCAGGGCGCAGGCTATGGATCTCGTCGACACGAATCCAGACGGGTTCCGTATCCGTCGCCACCTGCTCAGCGCGACGCGAGCAGCCCCCTCCCCGGCTCTGCTCTCGAGCGCGACATCGACGAGATGCAGGCCTCCCTCACCTTGATCGGCCTTCGGCAGAAGCGGTCAGAACCGATCGACAGGCTCACGTCTGCACTCATGGTAGGTTTCCCCGCCGACGCGTTTGCTCTCACTGCTAACACATTGCACAGTCCGCTGCCGACGACAATATCTTGTCGCTCATGGCCAAGAGCAATGCTGATAATATTGCAGTCGGCCACCTGACCCAAGACGACAGGATGGGCCTGCGTGCTTTGCTGGCTCAGATCGATGCCATGGGCGCCCGGATCCGGCAGGTCCTTGGCGACGACAAGCCGGCTCCTGAACCCTCAGCTGTTTCGGCCGACGCCCGGACCCCGGTCTCGGAACCGCCCAGCATCAACGAGTCGGGCAAGCTGGAGCCGATTGCCCCGGTGGCGGAGCCTACGCCTCCCTCGACAGTCGACCACGCCGAAGGCTCGATGGAGCTCGACTAGATCTTTGGTTATGTCCAGACAGGCTAGACTGGTGGAAAAGGAGCATCGATATCTGAACACGACGCCCACACATCATCTCTCAACCTCTCCAGCGGTTCCGACCTTGACCGTCTCGGCCTCGTCACGGGATGCCAGCTATCCATGACTATTTGTCGTTGGTTGACCGATATCCATCACACGAAGGATACCTCTTTTGGTTGACGACGGCAAAAAAGACGAAAAATGAAAAATGCAAGAACAACATGAACCAGCAGAATTTGAAGGCACACGGCATGAGGCCAGCTCGTGTTGGCAAGCCCGATCGCGGTGCTCACTGCCTGTCCACCCTTTGCGCCCCACGGCGCCCTTTTTTCGCCTCTCGTGCCCTCGCCCCGAGCCAAAGCTTGCGCCGGAGGCAGAGGCGAAAAGACGGCTTGGGACTCTTCCCCGTGTGCCTTTTCTGCACAACACTCTAGGGTTACTTTGCACCCATTACGAGAATCCGCAATCAAGGAATCCTTCTCATATCCGACACTGCGTGCGGTCTGGGAAGCACTCGAGGATGAAAAAATGGATGTCTGCTCTTTTCTTCTCTTAGGGCGTCAAGCTCACGCTGTACCATATCGCTGAAATTGGTGGTGCGTGAGGAGAGAGACGGCTGGTTGGTCGATTTACTTTTTTCCCTTTATCCTTCTGCTTTGTCTTCTTTCACCTACTACACCACACCTATCTTCTCGCCTTGACCGTCGCACAGACGACTTTGGGAGGCGCAGTGAAGGAGGAGGCTTGGGGGGGGGGGGAGAAGGACGGAATGTCGCTACGCTCTCTCCCTCGTTGGTGATGGATGTGATGGTGGATCGGGGCTGCAGACGAACTGGGCGGCACTGGTTTTCTTGTTGTAATATCACGACTAGTATTGGGCCCTTTAGGCCGACCGACATGCCGCCAGTTTGTGTATTGCTGCCGCTGCCTCTTTGACCCGGACGAGCCGTGACTGAAAGCCAATGCCGCCGCTCGTACCGATCGGACGACCACCAACACACAGAGCTTGCCGGCGTTGCACAAAATCCTGTCGGTGGCTTGCTCATCGCCGAGGCGTCATTGACCAATCACTGAATATTTATGCAGACAGTCTCGTTTGTCAGGCTCCATCCTAGTATACAGCCGTCACGAAAGAAACGAGAAGATCCTGCAAAATGCCCTTTTTTTACCTCCCTCAACCGCCAAGCACAAATCCCTTCCATAGCATCGCTCACCCACCCTCCCTTCCAGTCTGAAGAGCCTCTATTGTAAAGCCAGATGAGCACCCAAGGGCTGAGCTCGAGTACATGTTTCCGGCGTGAGGGAAAGCACACGCCCGCAGCCCCACACTCTCCTTTTTCTCGTGATCCCACAAATCGTCACTCCTGTCGAGTGGTGTCAAATCACAGGTTTATGGCGTTCATTATGAAATGTCGAAAGAAATTGAATAGCAGTAGAATAGAGCCGCTCCTGCTCGACCCCTGCGGCGGTCTAAATGCACGAGGCCTGCCTGGCGCATTCGACCGCGGGAAGAGAGGGACAGAAGCCGGTAAGGGTGGCTCAAGAGCAACACGCAACGGTGTCTTGAGTAATCGCAGGACTCCGAGTCAGGTCCTTCTAGATTGAGATATTGAGCGCGGCCCTGCCGGAGTCGTCTACCACACCCGCGAATCGCCACCGGTGTCAGCTCCGGGGGTACCACTGAGCAACAACACACGCGCGCACACACCTCGAAGGCGTGGCGCAGCCCCTATGGCAGCAGCAACGTGCTGCCAGCGGGGGTGAACCTGTCGCATTGCGAATCATCTCTGGTGAATGTCAGCAAACGGTCTGAGCAGGGTAGCTGTGTGATTGAGGTTGACGTACGCGGCCCCGCCTAGCGTTGGCCTGTTCTTGCTGCATGTAGCCCATGCTCTGCATGCCCCCCATGCCGCTATATCCATACGGGCTACCCATGGGCAAGCCGAACCCTGGTGGACCATAGGGGGCCTGGCCGCCGGGCATTTGAGGGACTTGGGTCGAGGGAGGTTGAATGGGGCTTCCGTTTGGCATGTTCTGCTGGCGAAACTGGTCCACCGCGGGCCCGGGAGTGCCGTAGCCTCCGTACCCGGGCTGCATCGGCGGAAAAGTATAATTCATCGGAGGCGTCGCCCGGTTCATCATGTTCTGCTGATATTGCATCTGCTGTAGATTGACCGCTGGGGCAACGGGCCCCGTCGGTGCGCCGTACACAATGCCTTGGTTATATGGCTGGAAGCCGGGCATGCTTGCATCAGCACCGTCATTTCGCTGGGGGCCATAACCCGCATCAAAACCGGTAGCATTGGTCGTGGGGTTGAGGGGGTTAAAGAAGGCCTTGCTGCCGTGGCCTTGCTGCGGGTGTTGGCCATTGATGCCGGCTTGTCTCGAAGTTGGGCGCTGTCGTTGATCCGGGTGTGCGTTGGCCTCACGATTAGGCCCGGCGGTCCTTGTCGAAAGCCCAACCTCGTCCATAAGACGCTTGTAGCCCTGCCCCGGCTGGGCCTTGATTTTGACAAGCACGTTCTTGACGTTGTCTACGACTTGGCTTCGGATGCTCTCATCAAAGAAGGGAGTCGTCAAGACCTTGAAGATCAGGGTAGAGCCACACGCGTTGTCGTTGAGGATGGCCTCCAGGACTTGATCGTTGGGGGTAAAGAAGAGAGACTTGAGGATCGTGTCGCGGGCCTCGGCCTCGGCCTTCTGATTTATCACCTTGAGGACGGTGAGATAGGCGACCTTGTGGGTGCACAGGTGAACAAGGCACGGCACGAGCCTGGGAGACAGAACGGTGCGTCGCTGAGGAAATGTGCACGTGTCCAGGAACCAGGTCAGCAAGAGGGCACCGTTTGCGTTGGTGGCCAGCTGCACACTGTGCAAGGCGATGGCGGCCGCGAGCATTCGTTGCTGGTTCTTGCTGGCGTGGTGGCTCTCGAGGCAGGCCCGCATGGCGCGAGCGCCGAAGCGGCCCTGGGCAATCTCCCACATCTTGCTCAACATCGTCTCGAAGATGAAGTCGTTGTGAGGCGTCCCAAACTTGAGGCAGCCCTGCAAGACGTAGTTGCCGTACTGGTCCAGGAATAAGGGGACAGTGTACGGCCGGAGATGCTCGACGATGACGGACATTTGACCGGGAGTCTTGCACACATCAATGATCTTCTGGGCTGCCCAGGTGCCGTTCTTGTGGATGCCAATCTCAGCCATATGTGGTGCGATTTCGGCCAGCATGGCATCTCGTACGGGGTCGGTGCAATGCTCGAACAGCTTCTGGACGACGGTGTTGCCCAAGTAATCAGACGACAGTTCTGCGATTTCTGGAAGCATTTCCATGGCAACGCCCTCGATTTCTGCCTGAGACAGAAGCTGGTTGTCAATGCGCTTGCGGATATCCCTCAGCCTCGGGGCGTCGTGAACCCGCGTGTGAGTTGGCTCTCGGACCGCGGGGATATCCTCAACAAACGTGTCGTACTGGATGGCAGACTGGACGCTGCGAGAAGTCTGGAGCTTATCATCCTCGGACGCCCCGAACTGACCCACGATATCGACAATATCTGTGGTCATGTCACGCAGCGGCGGGACCGTGGGAGTAGTCTTTCCTAGGGCCAGAGCTTGGGGTCCGTCCGCGTTGGCAGGCGCCGCCCCCTGGACGGAATCTTGAGCCCTGGCGAATGGATCCGGGCTCGGAGAAGGAAGTACGCCATCGTGGCCGGGGGTGTTTGCCGCCGAAGGAGGTTTTGCAAAGTTGATACGAATGGGGCCTGCGCCGGGGAAGATCTCCTTGCCGTTCAAGTTCGACTTGGCGGAAATTGAGCTCTCGACCCTCTCAAAGTTGACAAAGCCGCAATTCTTATGGGTCAGCACACGCGCGGACAAGATGGGACCGTGTGCCTTGAACATTTCGATGAGAGTCGACGTGGTTGTCGATGTCGGAATGCCTCCGAGCCAGAGGGCACTCGTAGGACCCTCAAGGCCTTGCTCTTCGGCACTCAAAAGCCCAGCATTGCGGCTGTTTGATCTGCCGAGGCTCATGCCCGCGATGGCCTGAGGAAGATCATCAAAGTCCTTTTCATCTTGCATTCGCATCTCGGCACTGTTTGCGATGGGATTGGATACGGCGGTGTTGCCGGTCAGGTATGTGCGCATGAGGCGGCCACCGGGGGACTCGAGGACGCCGGCAGTGCGAGCACGAGGACGAGTGGCAGAGGCCTGGCTCGCAAAAGCCTGGACGGCCAGGTTGTGGTTGTGAATGGCAGCATTTGTGGCGGCCAGCTGGTCTTGCAGCGCAGCAACGTACTGATTCTCCATGGGTACACCGTCGGCTTCATACTCGTCCTCGTCATCGGCGTACTTGTCCTTGTTGTTGACTGAGTAGGACCGGAAGCGGCTGGACTGCTTCGCGTAGTCGAGGTTGCCCATGTAAGGAGTGGCAAGTTGAGCTCGAGGGGGTTGCGGCGTTTCGGCCAACCCGAGGTAGTCCAACGTTCGCATGTGCACATCCGACTCCCCCCCCCCTTCCTTGGAGAAGTGAGACTGCGAGGGGGAGCTTGGCCCATTGGACCCGACACTGGCAATACTGGCAAGTGTGGAACCTCGCTCACGGCCGACACCAGCTGGATTCCAGCTGCTGAAGATGGACGGACCGAAGGGAGAGGTTGTGCCAGGCATGGCGGAGAAGGGACTGCGCTGGGGCATGGATCCAGCCCGCAGACGAGATAGGAGGGCCGAGCCTCCCGACGAGCTGTCGGGGGGCTCCAGGCCCGGGGAGGGCGACTTGTTGAATGGCGTTTGAGACGGAGTGGCTCGCGCAGACTTGACCGCCAGGCTTGGGACGTTTAAGAGACCGCCCGGAGGCCCGCCGGGGGAGAAGCGAGACGGCACGGTACCGGCTCGGGCTCTTCGAGTCTGAGGCATGCTATCGGGCGTTGGCAGTTGGGCGAAGTCGGGGAAACCATCGGTGGGTGATTCGGGAATGTTCTCGCGGAGGGGCGTCGAGTTGCCGCTGGTGGGAGGGCCGCCCCATGGATTAATGGGCAGGCCAGGGATGCCTTCCTGAGCTTGAATCTCTCTTGCTCTGTCCATGAAGCAGTCGTTAGCGAGGGACGGGGGAAAAGGGGATGAAGGGAGCCCCAAGAGCTCCGGGTGGTGATGGAGCGGGGACGCGAGCAGGAAAGATTACGAACCTTTTCGAGTAGAGCCTGCTGGAGCCGGGCATGTCGTGCGACGGAGAACCAGCCCCGGATCGCGAGTTGGAGGCCATGATGCCGTTGTGAGTGAGAGCACCAAAATGAGGGCGGTTCGAGGTTTCGGTGGCGGAAGGTGGGTTGGAAGAAGGGGATTGCGAGCGATTCTGGGGCGCGGAATGGCGCGGGGAGTAACCGGGCGCCATCTGATGAGATCTGGACGTTGATATTATCAATTACCCGACCGGCCGCATGACACAATGGCACGCGAAATGAGAGGCGAGATGAGCTCAAGGGGATCAAGGGTTCGCGTGGCAGGTGAAGAAGTGCCGGCAGGTAGGGCGAGGACAACAGTCGAAGTCGTGGCCCGAAAAGGCATCAAGCAGCCAGCCTCGACGCAGGTTGGGGAGGGCGGCTGACGCAGCCAGCCAGGAGAGCGATGCAGAGGGCCCGAGAGCGAAGGGGGGGCGAGGACGGAGGTTCTGCAGTAGCCGGTATTACAAAAGGGATACTGTGAAGAAAAAGTCGGGTCGGGCGCCTCGTGGATTGGCGGCGGAAGATGACGGGAGGACAGCTGGAGGGGGAGGGCTGAGGCGCAGGCAAGGAGTGCCGTCCTGGGGTGGTGGAGATCAGTTGGGGTAGATCGGAGGCGGGAGGCGGCGGGCGGGCGGGCGGGCGGCAGCGATGGTAGGAAGTAGCAGCAGCAGCAGCAGCAGCAGCAGTGGAGGAAGAGGAAGACGAAGCAGAAGCGTGATCGTTGCCGCTAACAAAACAGTGGTGGTGGTGCGGCTGCCGAGCCGATGGGGGGGGGGGGCGCCCGAGGGAAGGTAGAGAGCGGGCGGGAACCGGGCGCAGACGGATCAAAGAACAGGCCTCATTGCTTCGGGCGGCGGGAGAAGATGAGGGTGAGAATTGGCGGGGATGGTTGCGAGAAGAGGCGACGCGGAGACAAAGCCGTGGAGGAGAAGGAGCAGAAGGAGCAGAAGGAGAAGAAGGAGAAGAAGGAGAAGAAGGAGGATGAAAAGACAGCGAAGTGAGACGACGACGGCATTGCCAGCTTGCTCTGGACGAGAGACTTGGGGCTCCACAGCTGGCTGAGCGTCGGCCTAGTGGGGGCTACAAATAGGTACTCGGTACTGGGACCTCGGAATAGAGGTAGGTGGTAGGTAAGGTAGTAGGCGCTGGGTGGGACCAATGGACGTCGGGCCGGCCAGTCAGCGGCTCGCCTTGACTGGTCTGAAACACAGGCTTTTTTCCCACCTTTGCCAGCTGGGGCAGTGCGACGACGACGACACAAACCTTGCCGTGGATCCAGGTCCATGGACACGCGCATCCGCAGACATACAGATGTACAACAGCTGCACGACGATAAACACTGCAGCCAGCCGGCGCCGTGGCAGGCATGCAACGCGGCTGGCAGGGCAGAGGCAAAGGGTCGAGTGGCGTTGGCTACAGTACAGTAAGTTTGTTGCCACGGCGGAGTAGGGAGGTACTTGTACTCGGTACGGACACAAATAGCGCCATTCACGGCGACGACTCGCCCCCAGACAAGTGCCGCCTACCCTGGACGAACAGGCACTGTGCGGTTGGCTGCGGAGGCGCGTCGGAAACACGCTACAGCGAGCACTATCCATTGTACGGAGCATCCCGAAAAACAAGACTCGTCGATACTCGGCCCCTCAAGAATCCTTTGTGGAAGACAAGAGCCCCTGATTACGTAACTGGACCAGAGCGTTGCCTCTAAGACTCGACTGTAAGAGTGTGCTGGAGACTGGCAAGACTGGCAAGACTTGCGTGGTTACTAGTAAAATGCAGAAGCGTTGAAAGCCAGCACACCTCTCGACCGCAGTGGCCCCAACACGAGATGCCCATGTAAGGGACCCGTACTCCGTGCTGCAGGTACCTTGCCTTAGTGCACTGGTACTCGCGCGGTACAGCACTGTACCTTTGGTCTCCCAAGCCTTCGGCAGACGGACGAGCTGGGACCTCCTTGCTCCCGCATGCCGTCCCCCCTTTGTAGGATTGCGTGTCGGTCGGGCACGTTTTGTCTGGCGCCGCGTGAGCGAGTAGCATTGCATCTCTTGCCCAGCCGTCTCCCCGCCGTCTCCCCGCCGTCCCCCTTCCGAGAGCCCCCTGTCGCTCGCTTCATGCGCCGACTGAATAAGGCATCTGCCTCAGGCTGCCTTGCCTGCCTGCCATCTGGCCAAGCCGACGCCGCCGAACGAGATGAGAGTTCGAATCTGCAGATGACACCCAGGTACCTATTACCTCCCAGGCTCCCTCCCGTCCCGCCAAGGCACTACCCAACTCTAGGAGGAGTGGCCCTGAATAACGTTCCCCCTTTCCATGTTTGGGTGCTAAGAAACTCAGTGGACGCGGCGCACCTGGTCTGTAGCCTGTACCTCGTCTCTGATGTGTACCGTAAAGGCGCGACTAAGTCCGCTGTACGGAATAGGAGTAAGATGAGCAAGGAGCAGTGTTGGCCGTCACTTACTCGCACACGGGGTTGACCGATATTCCTTCACGCATTCACCCTCGCAGCGCACGAAACGGGCCACGAACACACACACACATGCGTTGGCATTTCAAGTTACGTAGGTAATTCGGTAGGTAGGTAATTAGTTACCCTGTAGTAGTTACCCTGGTAGTTACAGGGTAACTACCTGTACATGCAACGCATAAAGCGCACGTGACCGCAATAGGCTCTCCTGACTCCTAGACCTGTCACTCTGTTCTAGACGCCCCAAGCGCGCCTCCTCGGCCTTCTAGACGTTCCATTTCACCGTCCCCTCGCCCTTGTCGCGTCTTGACACGGAGCTGTGACCATCACTAAGCAAGCGCTGTTGCCCCTGCCCAGCTCCGTCGACTGCTGGCTGCTGGAAACACGATGCCCTCGAACCTGTGGGCCGGACTCGTGCATCATCGACGAGGGGGGAAATGAAAAGAATAGTCGATCGACGGTGGAGACGATGCTCCCTCGTGGATCGACCATCTCCCCCCTGGAGCAGGCACCTCGACTCCTAAGGCATTCAGCACACCTGGCCGACACGATACGCCTCGAGCTGCTGCTGACCTACCGCGCCATCTACTTCGGCTTTGACGCGTTTGCGTGGCCCCATGCCGTTCTACCAAGGCGGTACTGTGCGCGGGCGCCCATCTCAACCATGAGTGCAGCTACCGCAGCGTCCTTCTCCCCAAGTAGTCCACCCACGCCAACCTGCGACAAGTCTGCGAACCGCCCCGGATGCCTTGTTCTGGCCCACCTGGGACCTGGGGCCATGTGCGGTGGATGAACGAGCACCTGAGCAAGACGGAGGCCGACTTCTGGCGGAGCCTCATCGAGAAGATGAGCGGCGGCCTCTTTTGAGAATCGGCTCGTGTATCACGCCTGGAACCATGGCTAAGGACAGATATCTCGGACGGCTCGCGCCCAAGATTGTGCGTAGAGAAGACACGAGATTCTACCTGCGCATGCTGTGGTTCACGGAAGATGACTCAGAAGAGCTTCAGACGCGGAACTTTGAGTGACTCTTCTTCCATCAAGGCTGGATCGACACTTTCCGGGCGGCCAGTGATGCGCTCAACCGTAATGAGAAGGAAACAAGACGCTGAGGAGTCGCGGCAAAGTCAGTGACGAGTCCTGTTTCGTGCGCAAGACGCCAACATTTGTTCCCATGCAAACAGCCCGACCGGAATCTATCGCCAGGGCTGCGGCAACACGCAGCACCTTTACTAACAACCACCAAAGCGTCGTGGACATGGTGGAGGCGCTTGGAGGTCCCCCAAGGTATGACGTTAATGGGTAAGGAATCCTCTTTTTTGGCGCCTATGCCCGCTTGCCGTTGGTGCAATTCCAGATTGGGCGTGCGGAACACAGCTGGGCAAGGCTGGGCCAAAGGGCATGTCGCGGTGAAGTTAATGGCCAGCCGCGGTAGATCCATGCCGGATGACGCCTCTCTCGAGACGCCTCAGCTGCAAACGGGCCGCTTCGACTCGCGCATTATTCGGCGGAAGATCGAGACAGACCCAATCACATTCCTCGACGTCGTGGGCGCGTCGAGGGCGAGTGTCTTGCAGCCAGTCCATCGAGTTCTGAACCCCCAGATCCAGACCCGGACCCCCCATCCGGGGTCTTGCTCCGGCCGCCGATTCCTCGCGGCCTTCCGGGATGCCAGGGGACCTGCAGAAGTCAACAAGTGTCACGGTCTGGTCTTGCCAAAATTCCAGCCGTGTAATGTTGCCCAGCAGAGCGCAGCGTCACGAGGTGCTCGGCCCTATCAGATTCCGCTTCGCAAGACAGGATTGGGAGGAGCGAGTCCAGAAGACAGGCGGGTGTGCGTGGCCAGTCGACGGGTATAAAGTGTCGACCGTCCGTTGCCAACACCTAAGTCTATCAGCAGTCGTCGCGAAGCCGTAACTAACTTTGTTGTTAAAAAAAAACGAACCTTTGTTGAACCACCTTGAAGCCGGCTCCTTTCCTCCAACCGCCCTCCCAACAATCACAATGAAGGTCAGCTTCGCCGCCGGGCTCCTCGCCGCCCTTGCCGGCATGGCCTTTGCCGCGCCGGCGGATACTCCCCAAAACCACCGGCGCAATCTCGATGTTTCACAGGCTCCCGCCGTCCCCAACCTCGCCCGACTAGACTCCCAGAAGCTCAGCCGCCGCATCGTGAAGATTGACAATCACAACGAACAACGGAGCATCTCGGAGCAAGAGGCCAGGAAGAAGAGTAAGGGGCTAATAGGCGACCTGCTCGAAGGTCTTCTTGGCCCCAGTGGCACCCGTCGTCCCAAGCCCAAATCGACCAAAAGGCCCAAATCACCCAAAAAGCCTAAAAAGCCTAAAGAGCCCAAAAAGCCCAGCGAGACAAAGCCCAGCGAGACAAAGCCGACGCCTACCAAACCGGTCGGCGGTCTTCCTACCCCGGAACCCACGCCCAAGACCACTTAATGTTGAACAATACCACGCCCGGGAAGGACAAGCCTGAGGAAGGCTTCTTGCGCGGCAGAAAAGTCGTAGGCCCATGGTCTCATTTGTGGATTAGAATAGTAATCTGTCACTTCTGGTAGGGAGGAATCAATCAGCCATCATTTCACTCACTATATTTCGTCAGTCCCGTGAAAACATAGCGAGCTGTGAGTATCAATCAATCATAGCTTGCTGCTGAGGGGAAGTGACCAGTGGCTGATGCATGTATCAAGAAAGCTTGAGTAAATGCAGGAGCACTTGCCAGCGAGTCCTGGGCCCCGGTTCATGCTGCCTTGTACATGGAAGGCGAGGACGAGATGACGCTTGCACTTCGCTCTCCCGCAGATTCATAGCTCGGAGCATTTGCCAGTGTTTCGTGACATGTATATATCGCACAGATAACGACCCAGGGCTTTGTATTCAGAGAACACAGGTTGATGCCCCCTGCAGCCTGACAATCCTCGGAGTGAGCGATGACCCTGGAAGTCGGTGCTGAAAGCGGGAAGCAACGCGGAGTCAAATCGACCATCGACTCAGCTACAACAACCTGAATCAATCCATCGTCTGCCTCGCAGCAGTGTAGCCTGCTCATCAGCAACAGAGACGTCGGGAGGACGAGTAAGTTATATCTAGTTGGAAAGGACCAGGTAGATCAACCCGGCCTCTGCAAATCGGATTTGTTCTCTCCCATCACAAACCTTTCCGTTCATGCCAGGCCCAAGCCACGTTCCTCTACCGATATGCCCGCGGTATCAGCAGACATTTCATTCGACATATTGCCAGAATATCCTGAAGAGGTTGAGCCAAACAGCAATTGCCTGTCTATTATACAGAAAGAATACCGCCGTCTAACCAAGCCGAGGGAAGCATCATCCAAGCGCCCCGTACATGAGAAAAGATCTTACACCACCTCGCATGCGTTCCATCATGTCGAACTCCTACGTCTCAGCCATGAGCAACAAGCTCGCACCATCTGGGCCCGGTTTGGCGGTGCCTCGAAGTGGACTCTCCAATAGGGGTAGATGCACTCGGGACGGTCATCTGCAAAGATCTAACGGGCATTTAGTTTCTCATTTTTCTTCTATAGCCATTAACCATGTGTGTCTCCCCGGAGTGAGTTCCTCGTGCGGGCTGCCATCGCGGCCGCTACCAACAAGTGACAGTCGATCCCCTTGATGCTGCCGAGGAGCAGCATCGTCGTGTCCCGTTGCTTCACGAGCAGCATTGAGACACGTTTGTGCCGCCACATCGCACAGAAAGTCTTCCAACTGCGCAGCATGATGCCACCACTCGCTCGCCTGCACGGGAAGACGTGTGAAAGACGTATAAAAACCTGACCTGAACGCCTGCCCACCTATTAGGGGAATATGTGCATCGCGCCCCTGCTTGGAAAAGCAACGACATGTCAAAAAAAGACAGTATTTGGTTCGAGTCCAAGCTTCAATGTTCCCTGAAAATAGTACTCGTCGTCGCTCATTTTGCGTGTTTCTTGAACGCCAGCAGCTCCGCCAAGCTTGCCAGTGGGCACCCGCGCTTCAAGAAGTCGTGCGCCAAGAGCTCGTCTGCCGAGGCTCGGCTCTTGATGTCGACGCATAGACAGACGGAAAGGAAAGCCTTGAGCTCCTTGCTCGGCTTTTCCGGCTTCTTCAGTCGCGGCGTCCCGTTCGTGGCGATGAGGTAGAGAGCCTTGAGGGGCTCCTCGTTCAGATAGGGCGGCTCCGACTCGATCATCTCGATGGCCATGATGCCCAGCGACCAAATGTCGACCTTGGGACCGTACTCCTTTTGCTTGACAACCTCGGGAGCCATCCAGTACGGGGTGCCCACCATGGTTGCTCGCTTCGACTTGGTCTCTGTGAGTTTGGCGCAGAATCCGAAATCAGCTGCGTCGCGTTAGTCCTATGTTTCTGTCTGAATGAGTTGGGGAACGGGGTAGATGCGTACTGATCTTAACGTTGCCGCGGGCGTCCAAGAGAACGTTGTCGCTCTTGATGTCGCGATGGATGATGCTCTGCGAATGGAGGTGCGCCAACCCTTGGCATGTCTAGATAACCACGTTAGCTTGAATTCACCCCTCGGACCACACCGGGAATAGTTTTACCTCGTGGCAAATGGTGGAAATCTGCTCCTCGGATATGGACGCGTTGTTATCAATCACGTCAGTCAGGGCACCACCCTCCATAAACTCCATGACGACCCAGAGCTCGGCGTTGTTGTTCCTGAGGAAGGCGTCGAGAAAGTTCACAATGTTTCTATGCCGGCTGTCCTTCATGACCATGATTTCGTTGACAATCAACTCCTTTCTCGGCTGGTGAGCAAGATCCATCTGCTTGATGGCAACCTGGGCCCTGCTGCCCTGCTGTCGAAGGACTTCGCGGGCAATGCCCTGGGCCGTATCTTTGATTCGAGCGACGTATACGGACCCGGATGCACCCTGCCCAATCTTCTTCTGCTTCGAGTACGACATGTTGGGGTCGTCCTTTGAAACGGCCTCCTTGAGCTTGGCCATGACTTCGTTCTCGGACATGGTCGACATGCGCACGTCCTGCTTGCGCTCGGTTTGCGGCGGCTTGGCGCTGAGCGCAGCCTCTGCCGCCTTGACGCCCTCTGCTTGCTGCGGCTGGCTTGGTTTGGGGGCAACATTGAGCGGCTTGACTGGCGCAGGCAGTCGAGACGCGCCCGGGCTCTGGGATTGCGGCTGCCTTGTCATGGAAGACTGGCTGCCGTTCGGTTGCCGCATCGGACTGGTGTTGGACATGTCGTTTCGGGGTGCTCGTGCCGCTTGGCCGGCGGGATCCCGGGAGGAGCTCGACTGCGTAGACATCGGAGGGCGGCCAATGGACGAGCCAGACGATGCAGGGGCAGGTGGCGCCGGTCTCTGAGCACGGAGACCGTTGGCTGGGCCCCCGGCGGGCTTGGGCGCCGGCGGAGCTGCTCTAGTCGGGTTGAACCGATCAGCCGATGGGGAAGGGCTAAGGCTGTAGCCACCGCCGATTTCCTGCTGAGCCAAGGGAACCTTGGTTTTCGGCAGCGAGGCGTTGTATTCTTCGAGTTCGCGCCGCTGCTGTTCCTCTGACTCTCGCTGCCTTTGCGCCTCCAGCTGCTTCTTGCGTTGCTCGTCACGCATGGCGTCTTGAGAAACATAGTTGGGCGACATGGCCTGCAATTTCTGGCGCTGCTGCTGTTGCTGCTGCTGCTGCTCGCTATGCGCCGGCCGCCTCTGAGAACTGGCGCTGGACTGTGGAGGGGTCGTGCTGTAGCTTGGATTACGGGGGCCAGGCGCGGCAGGGGCGGGACGGGGTGCAGCAATCGAGTTCCCGCTTCCATAGGAGAGTTGCTTGTTCTGGGAAGCCGGAGGCGTGGGCGTGAGGCTCGAGAACTGGTTAGGGTTCTCCGCCCTCTTGGCGAGATCGGTATAGAAGTCGAGGACTTCGAAGACAGCTTGGGGGTTGCGTTCATAATCTTCCTTGGTGATGGCCGAAGAATTCAGCAGCTTGGACCATTCTGGTGGAAGTCCGATGAACTCTCCGGTTTGCGGATCGAAGCCGACATGGACGGCGTGCGAGAAGTTGGTAGGATTGCTGACGCCGCCCATGCCGGGACAAGCGCCGTAGATGAAGTCAATCCACTCGTAGAGGTCGTCGTCGCTCTTGACCTTGATCTGAAGAGTCTTGGTTTGTCCATCGTCATCGCCGGGGCTGTTGGATGTGCCGTCCGCCTTTCTTTTGATCTCGAAGATGGTGCCGGCCTGCTCCACCCTGCCAACGTTGACGACATCCCGTAAGTAGAGTGTGTAGGCGACCTTGCCGCCCTCAGTCTTGTGGAAATCGAGCGACTCTTTGCGGAGTATCAGGTATTTGGATTTCCAGGGCTGAATGAAGTTCTTGCTCTCCTTGACCGAAGCCCAACCTTCCTTCTTGACGGCGACTCCTCCCATGCCGTCCGTGTTGTTCGTTTGCTGGCGTGCGATTGGCAGGGAAATGGTGGAGCCTGTGTAGGTCGAGGTGGCCGTGCTCCGTATGGGGGAAATGGCCATGCTTGCCATGCTTCCCGGCAGACTTGCGTTTGGGGTCAAGTTAAGGCGAGGCCTGTCGGAGCCGGGTGGTCGCGGCGCAGGGCCAGGATTCATAAATTGACCTGAAGAGTAGATGCTGGGACTTGGTTAGCATACAGGTGCATAGTCGTCGCAAAGCGTCAAAGAACGAGGCTATCGTGCCGGGGTCGAGACGAGCGCCCGGGAACACGAGGGAGCTTTCCGGAAGCCATGCAAACTTGTTCGACAGGGCGTTGACATCGCCAATGCAAGAGGAGGGAGCAGGCAAGCTAGGCCGGCCGAAGTTCATCGCAGACTTTGTCGCCGCTTTGTACTTGGCTGCTGCAGATGGGCAACGGCTGCAAAGCTGGACGGCAAGGCGTGTACAGGGGCGGGTGGCAATAACGCCCAGCGATATGAAATGAATGACGATGCGAGCACTCACCTATTCTGAGCCATTGTGTGCCAATGTGACGGCGAAACCGCATGTATTTTTGGCGCCGTTTAACGGATTGTCGTCGCCCGTTGAGAAGACGCTCCAGCGATGCGCCGGGTTCCGAACCGTCCAAGCAGCGTAATCGTCGCAGAGCTGACACAGCGCCAGGTCAGGAGATTTGATCAGTCGAGTCGGTCGCCGAGTCGTCGACAATGCAGGCGAAGGGATAGAAGCGAAAGGTTGGTACTGTCGCAGCCCGGCACAAGCTCTCGTCGATGAATGTCACCCCGTCTCTATCTGCTGTCGTTCACAGGGGGGAGGAGGACGAGGAGACGGCGGCGTGGTGGAGGGGGAGGGGCGCTGGCGGGTTCACCTCAGGAGGGGCGGTCAACTGGGCAGCGTCGCCGAGGACGGGGGGTGTGCGGAGGTGGAGAATGGGGCGGGCGGTGCTGATGAAGATGATTTGTTGAGGGCGCCGCAGATGCCGCGGCCGACTGTCGTCGCGATGTTTCTTGTTACAGGAGTCGAGCCAGTCGGCGAAAAAGCGAACCGAAACAAGCGGCCGTCGTGGGTATGCGGGAGGTTTGTGGGAAAGAGAAGGATGGTCGGCAAGGGCGTGACGGGAGGGGACGGGCTGGATTCGATGCGTGGAGGGCAGACCAAGCCAAGGACAATGAAGTGGAGCCGCGGAACATTGGCACGGGGCGCGGGATACAGGCGGCGTATCTTTCTCAAGTACCTCCATGTGTTGGTCATGCAAGAAGAGAAGGGACCCTTTACAGAGTACGGGGGTACAGATATAGGGCAGGTACCTGCAGCCATTTAAAAGTACTCCGAGCTAACAGGTGCCACAGACAAAGTACCGTAGCAGCTGGCACTTGTTGGAAGCAAGCCTCACGGTTGACACTACCATCAAAGTAAGTACTGTACAGTACAAAGCCCTCGCCCACCACCCTCCTAAGATGAGGCACCACCGGACAGACAAGGCAAAGCAAGACAAAGCAAGGCAAGGCAAGGCGAGGCGAGGCGAGGCACTGTTGGCTACCCAGGATCCTCGACGAGCACAGCAGCAAACGGTGCGCCTTGTCGTCTCCAGTGCGTGCAGCCGCCGGCCTGTCGCATGGAGCCTCAGCTGGAACGCAGAGGCCCTCCAATTTGGCTGCCGGACCCCGCCAGGGCCTGGCCAGCGGCCCAAAGTGGGTGCTTGGGAACAAGGAGAAACAGGCCATGGCCCTCGACTCGGGTCTCAGCGTGTCGGGGAAAGGCAACACCCGCGGGCTGGTGGTGGGGGCAGGTCTTATCAGGGGACCTGGGTACTAAACATGATTGTGGTCGCTGCGGTGACATCTGATGAAAAGGATAATTATTCAATCATCACTGGGGCCAAGGATGAAAAAGAGGTAAAAAGAGGCTGAACGCCCCCCGCTTCCCTGCCTCGCTTCCCTGCCTCGCTTCCCTGCCTCGCTTCCTGCCTCCCTTTCCTCCAACAATCATACGGCAGGCAAGCCCGACATGGCAGCAGCGCGCCCCAACACCACCTTCCTTTGACCAACCGACCAATGAGACCCGGAGAGGTACAAACCGTATGATACATATGGTCTCGGCCAGCCGTGACTCAGGCAACACGTCTCAAAAGAGGTAAAATTACGGCAGCAGATGACTTTCTTGGCATCTTAAATCAAGGACACCTTCTCCCGTCTCTGCATCCACCTCTCTCCATCGCCGCCCGTCACGTTTTGGCCAGCTTGGCCTTCCATGCCGTCCGCACCAATCGGCAGGCCCCGTCGACATCTGCCGCAGCATCGCCGCCCGATTCGAGCACGCACCTCTCTGGCCCATGCGGGCCGGAGTCGCCTGCCGACGTGGAGCCGCCAGGCGATATGGCGCTGTTTGGGATTCCCAGTGGCTCTTCTGAAACAGAAATCCCCTCCATGCCGTGTCCTGTTTGCTGAAGAAAACATTCCAGGAAACCGATGACGTCCCCCCAGCACTAAGTATCAGGGGAGGGGGAGCGCCGCAGCCGAAACACGAAGCCTCACGAATCGCCGCTAGCTCGCATCACAACCCCCGACTGTGCGGCATGTCGACGGCATGCCGAGCCCTCCGTTGGAGAGCTGCGCTCCTCCATGGCCAATGCAACGCTGGATGCCAGGTGCAACAAAGAGGAAAGCAGAGGACAGACAACAAGAAAGACAATGCACCCCTGCTGCCTCCACGAGCAGCGTCCAACGCTACTCGGCCGAGTCTGTGTTGCCCTAGCGGTGGGTCGGATTTTCAACCATCGTCGCATCCAACACGGCCTTCTCTTTTTAGAAATCAAGAGCGACCCCCTTGTGCTTCCCCACCTCCGTCACCACGTCACCCTCCGCCCTGACGCCACCCCTCTCGTCCTGTACGGTCGGTGAATCCCGTATCAACATCTTTCATCCATATGAGCTGGCTGCCTCGCGCGGCACACCAGGTCCCTGACCAGACAAAGCAGTACCCCCGTGATCTACCCTTCCTTCGGATCCAACATTACATCTGCCGGCCTACACGCCCCATTGCACCTTACCTATTCCCCCACGTGTGCCGTTTGTACTGCCTGTCACGGCAGAGACTGGCCGTGATGCACGGATCCGTTGCAGATCCCCTCGCTCCACGCATGTGCGAGCCCCTTTCCCCTTGTGAAGAACATAGACGCAACTTGCATTGCCATTATGTTTTTGTTTTGTTTAAGCACCCTGAGCTCGTGCCTTGCCATGTCGAGTGAGCTTTCGAGCCCTGACCTACCTTGCCTCCGTGTATGGTGAATGGTTTCAAGATTGCTAACTTGGACTTGGCGAACACGTCTGTCGCGAAACCCTTTGAAGGTCTCCCTACAGGACCCAGTTGGGGAATAGGCTCGGGACATGTTGCCAAGGCTGCTCGCGGTCAAGGCCACTTTTTCTCCTACGGCACATACCTAAGCTGGGCTAACAGCCCGCTCCCCTGAGGACGAAACATCTAGAATTTGACTCTAGCATAGACTTTTGACTTGCGCTGCTCAACCGCTCTGCAATGGGAAGTACAACAGTCAGTCAGTATATTTTCTGCTTCGCTCCAGCTCCACCTCAAGTCACACTTCAGCGAGCAGCCACCTCAACCTCTTGGCCCTCGAACTTGGGCAGCTCCGAAGCAACCTTCTTCCAGTCCTTGGCGCCATCCACAATCGACTTGATGGCTTCCAGGATCCTGCCCTCGTCGGCTCGGACCTGCGACGTAGAGTCACGGTCTCTTAGCGTGATGGTGCCGTCCTGCACGGTCTGGAAATCGACAGTGATGCCGAGTGGCGTTCCGAGCTCGTCGTTTCGACTGTACCGTTTGCCGATGCTGGCAGATGAGTCATCGACTCGGTTGGAGACGCCGAGGTTGCGCAGCTTTTGGGAAAGCTTCTTGATGATGGGCTTGAATTCAGGACTGGACGAAAGAGGCACGAGGAGCACCTTGATCGGGGCAACGGCGGGCGGAAAGGAGAGGACCTGTGGTTCAGCGTTAGCATCAATCAGCCATTCGCTGTCCGGGCATGAAAACTCACGCTGCGGGCTTCGTCGCCGGTGTCGATGGCGCGCGTCCAGAAGTTGTGCTCGATCAAGGCGTACAAGATCCGGCCGATGCCAAACGACGGCTCAATGACGTTGGGAGTGAATTCCCTCGTGTTCTCAACCCTTTTGCGGAACTCGATCTTGATGGAGTCACTGCCGAGGTCCACCTTTCCGTTCTCGACGCCGGGCACCTCGAGTGTGATTTTGCCGGCCTTGCCCAGCTCCTTGGCCAGCTTCTCGCGCTGCTCCTGGGAAGTGGCGAGCAGAGCCGTCTCGACAGCCTTGGCATTCTTCTTGAACATGGGACCAAACTTCTTCATCTCAATGTCCACTTGCCATTCGTCGAAGACGAGAGGCTCCTCACGGCGCTCCCGGACGACAAGAGGCGCACCAGTCTTCTTGGCGTGCACGCTCAGGTCGTATGCGCTTCGGTCGGCACAACCGACACACTCGACCCAGCCCGACGTGGTAAACAGCTCGGCGTCCCAACAGTCGCAGGCGTAATGCGCCATTTCGTTCTGCATATGTTGGCGGAAGCGCATCTTGGACAAGTCGACGCCAATCCTTTCAAGGAAGAGATGGATGCGGGCCAGGAAGTAGCCAAGAGTCTCGTTGTCGACAAGCCCCTCCTTGACAGCACGGCCAATGGCAATCTTGCGGGTGGTGGTCTTGCCGGCGAGCTGTGTGTCGCGGTCGAGAAGGACGAGCTCGATGTGCTCGACCTCGTGGAAGCGGCTGTGCTTCTTGCCGCCCTGGGGGTCGACGAAGTGCTCAATCTCGGCCATGAGGAACTCTCGCACGCGCAAGAGACCGGCACGCGGGGAGATTTCGTTTCTGTAGGACTTGCCGATGGAGGCCGAGGCAAAGGGCATCTGGCCCTGATTGAAGTCGAGAAGCTTGGCAAAGTTGAGGAACTGGCCTTGGGCAGTCTCGGGGCGGAGGTAGCCGGGGAGATTGCTGCTGGGGCCAATGGAGGTCTGGAACATGAGGTTGAAGGCGACGGGGTCCGAGGGCATGACGCCGGTAGCCGGGTTCTTGAGGTCGTACTTTTTGATGAGCTGGCCGAGTTCGGGGCCGTCGTAGTTGTCAATCCTGGCCAGGACCTCCTCGTATTCCTTGACGAGGGCGTCGTCGAGCTTGACGGCCTCGGCCTTTGTCTTTTTCTTCTTCTTCTTGGGGTCGTCCTTTTCCTCCACCTTTTGGCCGCGAGCCTCCTTATCGCCGTTTAGGCGGGCCTCGAGTACAGCCTCGACGAAGTGGTCGGCGCGCAGGATGTCGCCGTTTTTGGGGTCCTTGCACATCCAGTCGGCAAACTTGTCGACGTGGCCGCTCGTCTTGAGGACATTGTGGGGCGTGAGGACGGTGCAGTCGACCTCGAGCATGTCCTCCTCGAGGATGAAGTGCTTGCGCCACAGGTCGACAATGTTTGCCTGCAGGGAGCAGCCGGGAGGGCCGTAGTCGTAGAGGCCGCCGACGCCGCCATAGATTTCAAACGAGGGCGTGTAGAAGAGGCGGCGGCGCAGGATGGCGTCGAGGACGGCCTTGTCGAGGGGCTGGCCCTTGAGGGTGGTGGCGGTCGAGGTCATGGCGGCGCGCGGCGTGGTCCTCTTGAAGCCGGGCGTCTGGTATTTGCCGAGCTTTGGCGAGGCGGCGAGTCGGCGGCGGTGGAGGCAGAGGGTTGGCGGTGTTGGGCCACGGAGATGTGGGCGCGCGGCGACGAGGCTGGGTCTGAAGGTCGATGGACGAAGCACGAGGGGTCGCATTGGCCTCATCCAGGCCCAGCTGAGTTGTCGAGCGTGAGTCACCAGGCGGTGCAGGGCGTCAAACCGGAGGCTGGTGGGGGTTTTCGATTCCAGCGAGGTTCCCCGCGCAAAACTGTGGGCGGACCAACCATCGATGGGTGAGGTGGCCTGGAGCTGATGTGGGCACTAATATAAAGTGTCGGACACCATCAAAAGCAGCCATCAGCATTCAGCAAGCTCAAGAGCCGTGATTGTGTCTGGTGGTTTTGTTTTCCACCGGATGCCCCCATCTCGCTCACCCATCCAGTCTCATGTTACGAAGTCCAAGGGACTCATGCAAATGACTGGTATTTTCTACGTGCAGCAGGCAAATTCCTTTATCTGTGGCACATTCCATCGTCGTCAAGCACTTTTTTTATCCATGTAGCCATACTTCTCCCTGTAATGGTGGTCACTGGGATACAGCTTTTCGCACCGTCCCGTGCACGCGAGCTGTTTCAAGGCGTTTCTCGTGTCGGCGTCACTGGTTGGCTTTCTTTCCTGAAGAAGCCTATGTGCGAGCGATGAGCCACATACTCGCTATCGGCGTATCCGAGTATGCCCCCGATCTCGACGCTCTGGTGTCCCATGATTCTCTTGATCTCGGGAGCGGCATAGTTGACCAGAGCCCGCCCGACCTCCTGGGCGAGGCCTTCCCAGCGCTTCCCATCCGGCCCTGGAGCAATTCGCCTCTCGACGACGACCAGGCGCACCACCTCCTGCTGCGCAAATTGGCCTTGGACGTCCACGACCCCTACTGGCAGCAGGCCTGCCTTATCTAAGAGGGCCCGATGGCAGCCAGCATCAATGTATATTGTGCCGTGTGGGTTGGGCGTGTGGAGGAGCCAAAAGTAGCGATCTTGAATCGGTTCGTTGGATGGTAGAAACCGGGTATGCAGTGGGGGAGCCGGGACTTCGGCGACGCTTGTCGACGGCTCCGAGAGATTCAAGGATTGCGTGTTCTGCGCCACCGACTCGGCAGCCTCATCATCAGAGTTTGCACGCGTCAAGTAGCGAACAATGGCGAGAATGTTGCCAGGATTCGAGGACCGGGTAATGATGGTTGTCACACCGGCCAACGTGCCGAGCTTGGCGGCCACAATCTTGGTGCTCATGCCGCCTGTGCCCAAGGCTGAGCCAGCACTAGATACTGCGTCTCCGTCAGTACTCAGGCCGACGGTTGCCAACAGTCTCGAAACCAACCATCAGCCTCGAGATCCGAGATGTCCTTTACAACCTCAATGGGGCGGGCGTCGGGATGAGACCGAGGGTTCTTGTCGTATAAGCAGTCGACATCCGTCATGAGAAAGAGCATATCGGCGTGGATCATGGCCGCCGTGATTGCTGAAAGGGTGTCATTGTCTCCAAACTTGATTTCGGAGACGGCGAGGGTGTCATTTTCGTTGACGATGGGGATGACGCCCGTTTCCATGAGCTGGTTGAAGGTATTTTGCGCATTGATGTATCTCGTTCGCTGGATTCTTTGCATCAGCACACCGACTAGCCGTTACGGGAGCGGTCGGCTCCTACATCGGCAATGTCGTTACGGGTCAACAGAATCTGCGCAATCGGCTGGGACAAGTGGCCGAATAGGCTGTCCCAGAGACTGATGAGACGGCACTGGCCGATTGCTGCGAGCGCCTGCACGACGGGATGAGAATGAGGTCGCGGAATTGAGGTGTCTGGGACTTGGCATGCCTGTAACTGGGCGAGATGCTTCGGCCGCTTGTCGATATCCATACGGCGGAGGCCGACGCCAATGGCCCCTGAAGAGACGATGACGACCCTGTGGCCATTTTTCCTCAGCTTGACGGCCGTGTCGACGATCAGAGTCAGGATGGGCAGCAACGGCTCATGCGTTTGCTCGTCCACGATGGAGCTCGTCCCTAATGGTCTTTGTCAGAGGCGACCTTGGTTGCCCGAGCCGAGCCGACTCCACCTAGCTTGATGACGACTGTGAGGGCCCTCGGCCGCTTCATCGTGGAGGCTTCCAAGATGTCAGCCGATGGCAATCCGTCACGGCAGTTGCAGGGACGAAGAGGAAAAGGGCGGATGCATGTGCAAAGCAGTCGGGAGCCGGGCTGCATGAAACAGCAAGCGGGGCGCATACCTTGAGCCTGAGCAAGACGGGCCTCGTCGGCCGTCTCGGCGAGAGGCTCCTGTTGCACGGGCATTGCGCGACGCCAAGCGGAGCGAAACGGCTCCCCCTACGGATGCCGTCGACGGGTGCGGCGGTGTGCTTGACCTTTGTCTTGGCCGAACCCGACGTCGGGCGCGCCCTTGCGGCCGTGACAGCGCTTGGCGCCCCGCCCAATAGCAGCTGACTCCCAGTGGCCGGACACTGAAGGCGGGCCCGGAGACTCTTTCCCGGGCAGGGCTCGGCCGCGTGGGGCGGTACCTGCGCTGAGTACCCGCCTGCGTGGTCTCACCGCCTTGAGATGTCCATTCATGCTGGCGGCAGAATTTCATCGTCGTCCCGAGAGCCAATCCTCGTTTCCGCAGCCTCGTCACGAGGTCAGCGATTCAGATCGTATCTGGCAGAGATTCCCGACCGAGAGAACCGAGACAGAAACGTCACCATGGGGTCCGATGCCGCTCCACCGACGCCGTCAGGGGACAAGGCTCCCCAAGAGGTCGTCAATGACCCGGCGCGCACCGGCTTCGACCCTCAGATGAAGTGGTGGATGAACTACTTTCGGATCCTGAGCGGCCAGATGACCCGAGAAGGCCAGTTCCACTACCGCGAATGGCGCTACAAGGTCCACGAGGAGCGCGACTGCAAACGCTGCGACGAGTACCGCGACTGGCTCTTCACCTACTCGCCTGTCGTGCGCTTCCTGTCGGGCAAGCTTCGCGATCTCAACGGGAACCTCGACGCCACAAACGTCCTGTGTCGGCGCTGTCCTGCCCGGCTCGAGGACGACGGGCAGATCCGGCGCCAGTCGGGTGGCTTCAGCCCCAACCACGGCATCCTCATCTGCGCAAACGAGATGCGCGACCGCAAACACTTGGAGGACACGCTGGCGCACGAAATGGTCCATGCCTGGGATCACCTGCGGTGGAAGGTCGACTGGGCCGGCGACAAGGACTTGAAGCACGCCGCGTGCACCGAGGTGAGCTCTGCCGAGCGGGCATCCTGCGCCGAGACCGTGAGACCGCTAACGACTCGGTCCGTCCAGATTCGCGCATCCGCGCTGAGCGGCGAGTGTCGCTGGACGAGGGAGGCATTCACCAGAGGCAACTGGTCCGTCACACAGCACTTCCAAAGCTGCGTGCGCCGCAGGGCTATCAGCTCCGTCATGGCGCGCCCGCGGTGCAAGGACGAAGCCCAGGCAGCAAAAGTCGTCGACCAAGTCTGGGACTCGTGCTTCTCCGACACGCGACCATTCGATGAAGTGTATAGATGAGGCTTGGCAAAGGAGAGAGCAAGAAGCGCACCGTGTACGATAATGAGGTTGTCTCGTCCAAGTCAACCACGGCTCCCATGTTTTTGTTGTTCACTGGTTGAATAGAGGATACCCAAGAGGAAAATTACGCAACTCTTTATCGACTCGCTTCGTCTCGAGAGTTTCCAACGCCCCAAAACTCCTGCACATGCGAATCATCCTTTCAGATTACTGTAACGCGCCAAACTCCGATCCAAGCCCGGGTAGTTAAGAAAATTCAAAGAGACCAAAAAGAGACGAGAGAAAAGATGAGGAGAGAAACTCAAAAGGGCCTTGCTCTTGTCTGGTTCATGCCAAAGCCTTTTCTCGGTTGGCAGCCCTCTCGCCCTTGACACAGTGCTTCAGAATCCAGGGATGGAGTTGGAGCTGCTCGAGGGGAAGTCTCTTTTCGGGGTTGAGGACGAGGAGCTTGTTACTCCTTGTTAGCCAACAGCAAGTCTTGGGATGGGAGAGCGGCGACTCACCTTTTTGATGAGATCGCTAGCCTCGGCACTGACAAAGGATGGAATCGACATGTCTACACGAGAGATTCTCCGCTGCGTCATGACCGGCGTGTCCTCGAACGGCGCCTCTCCGACGAGGAACTCATAGGTCAAGACGCCGAGACTCCACAGATCGATCTTTTCGTCGTAGTAGTTGTCCAACGAGCCGGGCTTGACCATTTCCGGAGGCAGGTAGTCGAGCGTGCCGCACATGGTCTTTCTCCTGTGGTTGGGCGCGTGGACGCTCCACCCGAAATCCGAAATCTTGATCTCGCCGTGGATGCCGACGAGAATGTTCTCGGGCTTGATGTCCCTGTGGATAACGTGTTTCTTGTGCAGGTAGCGGAGGGCGGAAGCCATCTGGGAAATGTACTGTGCGGCCTTCCACTCGGGGAAGCGGTTCTCCCGCCTCAGGTGCTTATACAGCTCTCCCTTGCCGGCGAACTCGAGGATGAGGAAGACGCGCTTGGTGTCGTGGAAGTGGCCAAACAGCTGCAAGATGTTGGGGTGCCGGAGATTGCTCTGGATCTCAATCTCGCGGCGGACCTGACGCTCGACGCCGCCGACCTGCAGCTCGCTCTTGTGCAGCACCTTGAGGGCGCAGATGAAGCCGCTCGTGCGCTCCTTGGCCAGATACACGCGGCCAAACTTGCCCTTGCCGAGCGGGCGACCAATCTCGAACATGCCGAGATGGAACTGCTTGGGCGGGCTGGGCTGCTCGACCAGGGCGGAGGCGGCCTCGACCTCGTCGACAGACTCGCCCGAGTCGCGGGAGGAGCTCGAGCCCGAGGGGAGCGGCCTCCGCTGAGGCGATGTCGGCGGGTTGTTTCCCTTGCGCTGGGCCGGCTGGGACGGGAGCGTCACCGAAGCGACGGCGCCGTGGTTCTGCGACTGGAGCGAGACTTTGACGAGGTTTGTCCGGCCGTTTCCATGGGCGGGCTGTGATGAGCTCGGCGCCGGCTGTCGTCTCGCAAGTCAGCCATCGCGAGTTCGCCGTGGGCACAAAGGGCTTTTCCCCTTCTCACCTTGAGCTTGGGATAGAGTTTTGAGCTGTCGCCAGCGTCGTTGTCGTCCTGGACGGACATGCGCTCGAAGCGCGACTCGAGAGTTCGTGTGGCCATTGGAGCCTCCTGATGGTGCTGGCCAAGGCAAGCTGCAGAGAACCAAGGAACTGTGAGAGGACACGGAGGGAGCAAAAAGTCGAGCGGGATGGGAGTGCTGATGAAGACGGTGGGCTGGCTCATGGATCCCCAGTCGAGGAGGGCGGCCCAAACAGTTTGTCGTCCGGCCGTTGCCAGGGCAACCAGCCAGCCCTGCGGACCGTTGCTGACTAACCCACCGGACGACTTGCATGCCTCCAACCTCAACCACGAGCGATGCCACTCACACATGACCTTCCTTGCGTGCAGCGATTTGCTGGCTCAGAAGCCTTGTCGTTGCACCACCACCCTCAAGGCTCCCAATCGCGATTTGTCTGGATGAAACGGCGCAACACCCGCGTTCCTGCAGCGGAGGCCGAGAGGGCGCCGCCGTGAGAGCTTGAACGGCGGCCTCGTTGGGAGCGTGTACATACTCGAGCCAATCAGTCAATCCGGGGTCATCCGGTACCTGCTTATCTTTGAAGCTGCTTCCTTGCCGCCTTGCCATGCCGGGCGCACGTGCTGTGTGGCGCGTGGGCTTGCTTGCCTCGTCGTGAATCTCCCCGCCTTCACTGTAGGCCCGCCGTATCTGTACCTCGAGGTACGGATACGTTTCTGTACAGTACATGCGCTGCACCTACCCCGCCAAGTCTCGTCATCAGCCTTGCTGCCCTTGCATACTACAGCTGTAGTAGCGCAGAGAAGCTCCCCCTCTAGGCAATCTTGCTGCGAGAAGCTGCTCTCTCCAAGCCATCCCATTCTCCCATCCATCTCTCTCGGGGAGCCCCCCTTCCGCACACGAGCAGCCGCACACGAGCAGCCATGAACCACGCCCCCCACCCCAATGAGCCATTCCCCACCCCCCAGGACCTGGCCGCGGCCACGACGACGCACGCGCAGGGCCGCTTCCGCATCTCGACGCGCAAGCTGCCCATCTCAAAGGCCGGCGCCATCGACGCCATGACGGACCGCATCGGCATCCCCATGCCCGAGATGATCTTTGGCGACAACCTCGTCCACGTCGCCCACGCGCCCTCGGGCTGGTCCGTCGCCTTCACCACCCCCGACGCCCTCGACGCCGTCGACAAGACGGACCGCCACATGCTCAAGGTCGCCTACGCCCGCGACTGGGAGAGCACGCGCGAGAACACCACGCACAAGATCAAGGAGGTTGTCAAGCCCTACGACTGGAGCTACTCGACCACCTACTGCGGCACCGTCGGCGACGACGCGCCCCCGTTCCGCCCGACCGACCGCCAGATCCCCATTGAGCTGCTCAAGCGCCGCGACCCCATCCTCTTCTTCGACGAGGTCGTCCTGTACGAGAGCGAGCTCGACGACAACGGCATCTCCATCTACAGCGCCAAGCTCCGCGTCCACCAAAAGCGCATGCTGCTCCTCTGCCGCCTCTTCATGCGCCTTGACAACGTCGTCGTCCGCATCCGAGACACGCGCCTCTACGTCGACTTTGAGACGGACGAGGTCCTGAGGGAGTACACGGCCAAGGAGGCGACCTTCGCCGACGTCAAAAAGGTCCAGGACCCTCACTTTCTCATTCTTTCATCCGCATGCTCACTCGTATGTTTCGCTCATCACAGGCATTGCTCATGTCCGGAAGACTACCCGACGACGTGACGATTGGTCTGCGAGACCCCAACGTACTGGATCCGTTGCTGGCTGTGACGGAACGGAGATTAGAGGCCGTCAATCTCCGGGAGCAGAGTCAGGCTGGCAAGACTGTCGCCATGGCGGCGGGAGCGTGATTTGCAATGCGATTACGGCGTTGGGGAGTCACGGCCCTAGATCAGGAATCCAAGCGTCCCGGATGAAGCACTTTTGCCGCAAAGGCCAGCGAATAAAGAATGCCCCAAGTAAAAACATGAGTCATGCCAAGACAGCTCTAACTCGGGCCTCACTTCGCCTACCATGAACTCATGCAGAGTGGACACGTACAAGATGCCAGACGTCACGCCCCTTGCTCCCATTCGCTCCCCACCAACACAAGAAAGCAGACTATACAAGAATCCTGCCTCTTTCCATCCTTGCTCACCGCGCGTCCTGGGGCGAAGGCGGCTCCACCACCTCCTCAAACTCCAGCTCCCACTTGTCCACCTCCATGAACTTCCGGGCCGCTTGCTTGAGCTCGTCTGCCGATGCGTTGCTCGGACTCTCGCTGTCGCCGGTGCCCGCCTCGTCAAACGTGTTGTCGGGGAGAGGCATAAGCGCGCTCTCTCCCTCCTCATCCCCGTCGCTCTCGTTCTCCTTGTCCGAGGACCGCCGCCGATATGTCTTGTTGCTTCGAGCTGATTGCCGCAGACTCGCAGGCGTCTGCTTCGGCTTCAGAACCGAGCTGTTGGCTCGAGCACGAGAGGCTGGTCGGGCAGACGCGGCTCTGCTAGGCGGACGGCTGCCCTTTCTCCTCCGCGCTGCTCTCGCGTCTAGATATGAAAGTTCGTCCTCGTCTTGTGCCAGGTCCGTCGTGTCAAGCTCCTCGTCGCTCTCCAAGCCGAGCGAGTTTCGGATCCGCTTGTGGCGGCGCTTGGGAAGCAGGTTGGTAAGATCGGCAGTGGTAATCTTCGGCGACTGTTGGCGCCGCGTCGTAGATCGACCCCGTTGCCTGGTGGCTTTCTCTGCCACGTAGTTGGGCGAGTGCGTCAGGGAAGGCGGGGAAGAGACCTCGGAGAGGTTTTCGGCGCGCAGCGGCGAGTTGACCGACGGCCGCCGGCGCCTCCTCGCGAGAACGTGAATGTCGGGCCACACATCGACGTCCCCCTCGGAATCACTACTGGCTGGCGGCGCGTTGATCTCATCCTGGATGACCGGCGTCACAGGTCTCGGGAGTAGGCCGGGCGGAGGCGGGGATGGAGAGGCGAGGATGGACAGCTCTGAGTCGCTGTCGATCTCGGCGCGTCCTGCGTCTGGCTCCAGTCGGGAGGTCTTGTCCGGTCGATCACTGTCGTCGCTGGCTTCCACACTCTTGCGCTTCCTCGAGCTCGATTGCGCAGGCGAGGTCTCCCGCTCCACCTGTGGGCTGCGTCGTGTCGGGCGCCGGCCGTTGAGCGGAGTTGATTCGGCTTCGGGCTCGAAGCTGGCTTCGCTTCCCACGTCGGAGTCATTTGTCGTCGTCGTCTCAGCCTCGAGTCGCGGCTTCCGCGACGTGCCCAATATGGACGGCTCTCTGACGCGCCTTCTGAAGAGGCCAATGTTGAAGGAAGAGGCCAGGGCAGGTGTGGTAGGGCCTCGGCTGCTCGGGCGGATGGGAGGGTCGTTTCGTCCGACGATGCTCGACTGGCGCGACCGGGGCTTGAAGTGGCTCATGGCCAAAGACGAACTATCTCCTGAACGGCGTCCTCGAGGCATCTCGCCGTCTGCGAAGCTGTCATCAAGATCCCCAAAGACATCGTCGTCTGCCAGGTCCAGGCCTGTTGTGTCTCGACGCATCGCGGGCGTGGCCATGGCGCGTCGACCCGTCTCGATGAAGCTCCGCGTGTCATCACCGGTGGCATTGCCACTGGCTGTGGTCGCATCCTCGTTTGCGAGTCTGTCCAGAGCGGCGTCGCGGGTGCGGTTGGCAGCGCGTATAGCGTCTTGCTCGCCGAGGCTCAGCCGCGATGTGGGGTGGCGCGTCGTCCTCGTTCTTTTCCGCCCTCTGGGCCGGCCAGCATCGTCACTGAGGTGTTCGGTATCGCTCGGGGGCTCGGGGGCTTTCGCATCGCCGGGCGGCGCGCGTCGCGTCCTCTTAGGCCGCGGCATTGCCTACTGGCGACTTCGCAGACTGCCAGTGTTGGCTGGGTGGGTGGTAGGAGAAAGTCTCGGCAAGCGACGGATGGATGGGCGAGCACGGCGCGGATATGTAGAAGGGCCGTCGATGAGCTTCGGTCGACGCGCTGTCAAGGTGCTATAGCACCATTCATCCTTGGTCCGGAAGCGGACGGAAGCAGCGAGAAGTTGAGTGGCGACGAGTGGGGATTCGGGATGGAGTGGGTGAGTGAGAGGTTTGGGGTGTGGGGCGGGGGAGAAGAAAAAAATAACGACGGAGACGCGTCGCGACGCGGCGGCGGGTCGGATGGACGGGCTTACCCGAAATACTACCAGCCACATACCGGATAGATGCAACTACTCAATGTCCACCGCTTTATGCATTTACTGAATGTCTCCGCAACGCCATCACCCACTGACGAACAAAGGTCTCGACGAAGCTGCAGCTTTTGTGACAGGCTCCTGTGTTTATAATCCCAGTCATGGCGGGCAAGGTATCTGTCGTGTCCAGAAAAGCCTCCGTCGAATCCACCTGAGACCCAAGGATGCACAAACCTCTCTTAGATCCCGAGACGGCGTCCGGATCGGCAGACGCTGACCCCAGTCTCTCGACTCGATCCGCGCACCGGACGCCTCTTGCTCAAAAGACAGGGGTTCGCAATGCTGAACGCGAAAGGATAGTGATGAATCTTGGATGCCCAGTCGCCACTCCATGCGCCTTCTAAAACAGGGTCCATGAGGTCCTCTGTGTACAATGCACAAACAAGTCCCGAGATTCCAGCTCTGGTATTTATCCCCATGTCATCGTACAAGTATAATACACGTACCTCGCTGTGCTATTTCCAAATACCTCTCTTTTTCAGCGCCGGCTATTGTCATGCTTGAATAAGTTGTCTGCATCCATTTTCGATTAAATCAGCGCCTGGCCCATAAACATGCTGCGCTTCACCTCGGAAACGACATCTCTCCGGTCATCGTTGCCCACGAGGACAATGCCTCGTCCGCGTCGTCCCATTCGTCCTGCCCGGCCGAGGCGGTGGATGAAGTCGATGGTCGTGTGCGGCACATCGTACAGGATGACGTGCCGCACGGGCAGTGTGTCGATGCCTCGGGAAGCGAGATCCGTCACGACAAGGACCTTGACGTTGTGCAGGGCCCGCTTGCGTCCCGTGTCCTGCGGAGCGCGGATGCGCAGCGGCTCGGCCGACGTAAAGGTATCGAGCGTCTCGCCATGGCGTTTCTCTCCTGCATCCCGATGCAAAGCCTCGGCGTCGATGCCCTTGGATCGAAGATACTCGGCAACCTCCTCGGTCTTGGTGCGCTCGTTGACAAAGACCAGTACTCGGCGGACGTCGACCACGCCCTTGACAGGCCCCTCGTGCAGTGAGGCCTCTCGGCCAATGGAGTGGATGACGTCGGCGCAGGCGAGATCCTTGTTGTTGCGGTACGGATCCTTGCACACATCAATGACGCCCAGCTGAACACGCCGCGGGATGGCGTGAAGGTTTGGCGTGGTGAGACGGATCATCTTGGGGTAGTTGACGGCAAGGAAGCTGTTGAGCCTTCTCGGGATCGTCGCCGAGCAGCAGACAAACTGCTGCATGGATGGCGTCGCCCGTTCGATGATGCTCGTCGTGACGGGCGAAAAGCTCCGGTCAAATAGAGAGTCCGCCTCGTCAACAATCAGATGCGAGACGCGAGATAGGATGTTGGGGTCCGACTTGGCGATGGACGCCAGCAGGTGCGGTGTGGAAACGACAACGTCAAGGCCTTTGGGGCCGTAGAGATTGCGCTGGATCTGCTGAGGCTTGAGGTCCGATGACAGCATTTCCGTCTTGAACTTGACCACGTGCGACAGCAACTTGGCGACGCGCATAACTTGCTGGGCCAGCTCGGCCGAGGGGACAAGCACGATAACCTTGGGGCGAGCCATGGTGGGATGCGGCTCATTAAAGGGCTTGGTCTTGACGTTGGAGGCCTTGTCCATAGCTTCGATGGTCTCTTGGCGCTCTTTGTAGGCTTTGATTTCCGGGTCCTCGGCTTCGGCAACCTTAAGGGCATCGATGGCGGGGAGGAGATAGGCCAGCGTCTTGCCCGAGCCCGTCTCTGCCGCCAGCAAAAAGGACTCCTTTCCTTCGCTTCGCTTCTTTCGTAGCCGCGGGCTCGACTGCCCAAGAAGTGCAGGGATAGCCAAGCGCTGCACGGGGGTCGGGCGAATGTCAACCATGCCCTTGAAGAGCTCCTCCGTCACGCCCGTCTGGATGGATGGCAGTAGGTCGAACTGGTCAAACGTCTCAAAGTGTTGCAGGCGCTCCTTGATGGATGCGCGCTGCCCGTATGTGACAATGGCCAGCGCGCGCTGCATATTGAGTGCTTTCCGATCTTCCTTGGCCCGCTCCTTGTGGTCCCTTCGGCCGTCTCTCCTCCTGTCGTCTCTCCTCCTGTCCTCGGTGCCGAAGCGTGGCGCAACGCGTGGAGCTCGAGATTGAGGTGCATCGACGTTTGCGACCGTCCTGTTCATGCCGGCAAAGGGGCCATCGACGGCCGCCTGGCGTGGCCTGCGACCACCGCGAGGCGTGGGAGTGCGATGGACCTGGTCGGACAGGACCATGCGTGAGGGCCGGGGCTTGACCGAGCGAGCAAAGAAGCGCAGGCCGAGGCATGTCTGCGCAAAGCCGCGAGGCACTGGACGGTGCCCCAGCGCGACAAGGCACAGGGAGCAGCCCGTCATCGGAGCCATTGGGCGCTGCGTGGGGAGAGGTCGTTGCGTGGTGGGAAGGCTGGAGGATTTTTCTCCCTATGCCAGGTCGCTGCGCCATTGGTGGGTCCCGGAAGATCGGCGCATCGGCCCCAAAAGCGCCGGGTTTCGGTGGAGACTCGGAATGGCGGCCCGTCAAGGCCAGGAGTCCAACTTGTGCAACCTTGGACTCTTCCAACGAATGAGCACCACCTTGACGCAGAAAATAGCAAGTGGCTTCGGCGGCTGCTGCACGATATCCCACAGCATGACGGAGCACCCGACCGATGCACAATCACGTCATTCTCGAATGGTACAAACATCGAAATATTCCCTACGGCTTCTGTCCATCCGCCAGCCAGCCAGCGCCATGCTCTTCAACTTCAACCCCCCGAGCACCTCCACTCAATCTCATGCTTTGATCGGTCTCATCAACAACATCTCTTCTTCGTCTGTCGGCGGTGTCTTGTTTTCTGGGCTTGCTGGCTGTGTAAAGTCGTCGCCGACCCCGGCTCTCGGCTCCTCCGCGATAGACCCCAGAGACACAGCAGATCTGGTACGTCCTAAACTGCTATGCGATGGCCTGCTTTCTCTTCCTCCGGATCCCACAGCAACAGTGCCATCGGCAGAGTCGGCGAAGCCGCCCCTCAGTGGCGCAGTCCGAGGGGATAGCTGGAGATGCTCCAGATGAGGGTGGTTGTCATCGTGGCCGGACTGGATCCTGCGCAATGCGTCAAGAACTGACGATCGTTCGGACGGGAACTTTTCAAGTGTCGGGTCGTCAACGTCAACACGACCCACCCCGTAGTTGCCAAACGACAGCCTTGAATTGGGGCTGTTGACCGCGAAGTCCTGCGGCTCGTGATCGAAGCCATCGTCGGCTGTCTCGCTCGCTCCAAAGGCCTCGTGGGCAAAGAGTGGCGACTTGAAATCTTCGTGGTCGCCTGTTGCGTCACCTGTGTCTTGGAGCTTTTCGGGACGGGAAGGCATTGTGTTCTTCGGCTGGACAAGACGCAGTCAGTACTGTGTGCAAATGAGCGGCCATCTACCTAGATAGTTATCCTCACGTCATCGAACTGGGCGGCAGTGTCTGCAACTTCGGCCGCCGTAGATGAAACCACCTCGGTTGGGGTACGAGATCTTGCGCCATTCGTGGCGTCAGCGGCACTGGCCGCGCCTGGTTTGCCTTGCGCAGACGCGCCGCTCATGGTTCCAGGCAGACCAGGAACGGGCACCGACTCGATTGCTCTCTGCGGCACCTCGGGAGACGACTGCCTCTGCTTGGGGGCACGGTCCATCGCTGGCGCTTTGAGTAGATTGGTCTTGTTTCCTCGATGATCCGTCACTAGACGCCAGTCAAGTCACACGAAACCAGAACTTGCCGCGAGCCAAGAGAGCCTACCTATGCTGCTGTGCTCGTCCAAGAGCCAGTCGTCACTCTCTGCGGCCCTGAACCTGTATTGGTACTCGAGGCCGGACTGAACAGAAACTCGGGCTGTAAAGCAGTGCTCCCCCGCGCCATCTACAGTATACTGCATCTCTCGAGGCTGCCAGGCCGGGTCAGAGAATGTCCCAGCCAGGTAGATAGGGGGCTGCGCTCCCGCCCTGCGAAAGGCTATTGTCACGAGAGTGGAAGATTCCAACATAGTAGATATTGCCCGATGGCAACCTGGGTGCAGTCGTCTGCCTGGCGGATCGTAGGGCGGGGAGTCAAGGCGTGGTCAAGCACTCGTCAACTGCTTTGACAAGTTCATGTGGGAAGCGGCCGGATTGCCAGTGCGTCTCTCAATCGAGCGGTTGTGATACGGAGACGGGGATGTCATGGACAGCAGTCGGTGGGTGCGATGCGATGAATGGTTGGTGCTCCTCAACACAGGCTCGATGTCGATGGAATGACGGAGAGTTTGATGACGACGGGCTAGGAATCCGGAAGCAAGTTTGCAGGCTGGAGGGCACGTGAAGCGGGCAGTGGATCGATTCGGCGGTGGGCTGTGCTTCACGGGTGCAGATTTCGGTAGGTACAGTATGCACAGTATGTATGTGTGTCTGATGTTGAGGGAGGGAGGCGTGCTTTGCATCCCGGTCAGTACTTCCTCGCAGGTACTGCGACTTGGCAGAACTGCGTGTGCCTTTGCTTCCCCAACACGGTTGGTGGCGGTGTGCCATCACTGTATCATGCGAGACATAGCGTCTGGCGTCCAGTAGCGAAGATAAGGTATCTCGCAAGAGTCAAGAGTCGACACACGACTTGTACTTGAAAGCCTCGACAATATAGAATTCTCTCCCGTCTCTTCTCTCGTTGGGCTTGTCTTATTGGCCCGGCCTGGCCATCCAACCATGCCTTTCGACTGCTTCTGGACCCTTTCTTATTGTTCTTCCAGCTTTGCTCCCTTTCCGGGGAGATGAATAGCTTTCTTTCCCCTCATTCTTCCCCTCTTATTCAGACGCCACTCTTTTGGTTTTCCTCCGCTCATGACGTCAAGGTTACGACTTGCCGGTGCCCAACGAGATTCTTACACCATGATTTCCGTCTATTGGATACTCCATGCCCGTCACAGACGGCTGCATGGCAGCACGGAATCTTGATTGAATTTTGATATCCGATTGATCCACGTATCAATTCACGTAGCACCTTCATCTTGTCAAAGGTTGGAGGTTGGAGGATGCTTTCTTGTGGGTACCGGCCCCGTACAAAGTACAGTGGACTGGCGGGAGTTTCCAGTGCTTGTGGGCACGCTGACGTAACGGTGGTACGTATCTCCTCGACAGCGATTGGCTCCCTTCAACGACCGTCGACAAATGGCGATAAAACAACCAACCCATTTCAACGTTCCAACCCGCCGTCTTCCCTCGACCACTCGGGGCCTCAGGCTCTCTTCTTCCGACCCGACGCCTTCTGGACTCTGTCTTCAACCGTCACCCATGTCAATTCCTCCGCAGCTCATCCGCGTCAAGCGGAAACGGGTCGAGGAAGCCCCCGTCACTTTTCTTCGTCAGTCGCCTCCTCCGCTACACTGAGGCCTGGCTGACCAGGCGCAGAATTTGACGATGGCCAGAAGAGGCATCGTAGTGGCAGCAACTGGGCATACCAGCGTCGAGATCCCGCGTCTCAACCCGCCCCGCAAGCGAGCGACAGACCTGTCATCCACACCTCTCACCCGGAAGATGCCTCTGCCCCCGCCGACAATCTCGCCAGAGCGCATCCTCCACTAGATGCGGCCGCATCTCCAATTCGAGAGGCCGGCCTCGGTTTGGTGGAGCCGCGAAGGTTTCATCTCTCGCGGTCGACCCTGGCAGCAGCAAAGGGCCCAGCCCTCAATGCCAGAATCTCCAAGCAGGCACGGAGCGTGCCCACCATCTTTGTCGAGCGAAGCCGGAATGGCAAGCCCTCGAAACCCCGGATGGATCTCGCAGCACTACAAGTGGCGTCGCAAGACGAGAGTCAAGTGCCGATACCAAGTCCTGCTCCCCTAGACACGGTCGAGAGAAATCAATTGAAGCGGCCAGGCGTCGTAAGCAAATCTCGCCAACTTCGCCAAGATGCACCGGTTCACGCGCCTCTTCCGACGTCGCTCACGAACCGCCATACCGAGGACATGGATAAGATTGCTTCCGACATGAACCGCTGGGTTCTCAACGAGCTCGGCGCAAATCTCCATAGCATGGAGCAGGAGAAGCGACAAGCCAAGAAACCAAGGTTCAAGCCCAGGGCGCCCGCTCAGAGATATATAGAGCGTCATCCGGAATCTGCTCCAGCCAATGAGCCCCAGGACGTAGTCATGGACGAAGCCAGCGAAGAGGAGGGCGACGATGACGATTGGATCATCGAGGAGTATGTGCGCATCCCAGCGAACTCGGTCGCCTTGAACGTGTCTCCCTCGGACATTGGCGTCTTAGTCCTGGATGACGACGATGAGACCTTACTCTTCTTCGGATCCATGCACGAGGACGACGACGACCTCGAGGACGACGACGACGAGAACGGTAGGCTCACCCTTTCCCACAAAAGTGGGAGGTGGCTTGTAGCAAGCAACGTCCCACGTTTGCGGCCGGCACGCTGACATACGCACAGCCGAGAACCACTACACAGCAGACTACCCGGAGGACGAGGTCGAGTCGGACGATGAATACGGCCGTCAGCCTTACTGCTACCGCAACGGCGCCGCCTCCGACGACGAGGAGTTTGACAACACCATTTGCTCTGAAGGGGAGGACAACGACGACCTGCTCCTGGGTGGCGACGGGGATGATGATGATGACGAGACCAGGTTGGCCCGCATCCGGGCCTTTATGCAGCGCAACTCGGCTTTCGGATGAGTAGCCGCGAAGGTTGGGCCCGGCTTGACCATGTCGTTGTTTACTATATTAAGCCCCGCCAGCGGTTGCCAGCATGACCCAACCGTGAGTGAACGTGCGTCGCCACGTGAGACCCAACGTCTGCGGAAGACGCAGCATACGCCCCAGGCCACCGCGCCAGGCTCCCTTCTTCGTTTCCTCCCCTCCTGCCAACTCCGCCAACCGGCTCGAGCCTCGTCGCTCGCCGCCTTGCGTGATCCAATGGCATCAGCGATGGTCGTAGCGACGTCGTGCGCGGCCGGCACCTCGCCTCGACCACGTTGCCTTGGCCTCGCCCTTGCCCCTGCTGCGGCGACTTCGACCACGTGCGCACGGAATCATCCGGGTGCATCGACCGCCCTGCTTGTGCGCTGCGCGCTGTGCGTATGGTGCTGTATGTACATGGAGCTGCTTGTGCGTGTGCGAGTGTAGTTGGGCACCTTGAGCTGCGGCCCGGCAGCCTCGAAGCCATGGCCCGCCACCCACAAGCTTGGGTTTGTCGCCCTTTGTTTTTGTCCCCGCGCCAGGATTCCGGGGTGGACATCCAGAGAGGACTTGCAAATCCTCCCCATTACCCCCTCCCGCTGTCCAGGCAACCCGCCACAAGCGGTGAGCCCGTCCACCAGGCACGGTGGCGCGCACAGGGTCCGCAGAGGTCGGAGTGCGGATGGCGGAGAGAAAAGGGCCAACTACCCCGTCTCTCTTCTCTCTTATCCGCGCGCCCGGGTCTGTCGTTGGTACGCCAAGGACACCGCGTGCGCTCGTCTTTGCCAGGGGTGGCTAGGGCGGGAAGAGAGGCAAGAAAGGCGGAACTTTCCCCCCCCTCCACACCACAAGATCGGACATCGCTTTGTTTAGCATCGCTACGAGTGCACGGGGGAGGGAAAATGCCACACAAATGCTCTTGTTGGTATATTGTACACGGGAAAAGTCCCGAAAATGGCCCGCTATGGAAAACGGCCAACCAGCTCGCCAAATCCATTATCCGTCTCGACGTCATGCTCATGTTCCTCCTCTTCATTACGCCGGACTGGGCGTGCCGGTCGTCTAATAGTACACATGGTAAGCAGGGTGGGGTAACGACGCCGGGCGAGGGCGGTCAGCCTCTGGCCCCGTCCCCCCCCCATACCCAGCCCCCAGGCCGCAAGCAAATAGCCCAACGAGCCAAGCTGCCCTCTCGCGAATTTTGCTCATCAATGCCACGTTCGTGTGAACGTCTCGACATAAGAAAAATGATAGGCCAAGAAAGGATAAACAACGTGGTGCGCGTCGGGGGCAGGTTATAGTACATGGTGGGGCCCGTGGGCCCCTTTTTTGGTATGTGCGAGGTCGTCCAGTGATCATTTCCGTGCTCATTCGTATCCCGGGGAAAACTCAAAAAAGGCTCGTACTCCATGGCCTCTAAAGCTTGAGTCGTCGCTGCTCTTTTCTTTTTCTGCGCTCACGGCGCTCACGGTATTGCATTGCTCGTTTCGAGGCTGGGAAAGAAAGAAAAAACCGTCAGCACGGGTGGTGATACAAGGGTGCAGGGATATGCGCTGGATGAATGGATGGAAACCTACCCCAGTCTTGCGACTTGCGCTTCAGCTCAGGGTCGACCCATGAGTAGTGGATGGCCCGCTCAGGATATCGTTGAGCCAGACCCAAAGGTTCCATGGGCTTGTCCTGGCTGTCCCTCTCCCTGCACTTGATGCTGATGTACTTGGGCTCCAAGTCATCTTCGTTGTCGAACATGAGCCAGCCATCCTGGTCCCAAAGCGGGATTCTCTGGTTCATGCGGTAATACCAAGCTTGCAGGCCCTGGACAGTCCGCTCAGGGACTCTCCCAAACATGGCCGCAAAATCTTGCTTGATGCGTTGCCACTTGAGCTTCTTGTCGTGCCAGGCATAGATGATGAAGTCGCCTTCCTCAGTGGTGTACTTTTGGTTGATATGTCGGTTCTCCTCCGGAGGGGGGCTGGGATAACTGTCCAGGGCCGTCTGCCCATGGGCGAAAGGATCGTTGCCATGACCGACAGGATAGCCGTCGTGGGATATGTATCCATGAGCCATGTGTGGCGGAGGAAGGACCCCGCCTCGCGTCAGGCTGGGGAGAGGCGAAGGTGGAGTGTGAGGGCGCGGCGGGCCATGAGACCGGGCCAGAGCCTCAACTCCTTGGTCAAACTCGTCTAGGCTTGGAAGCCTGACAAGAGTATGGCTGTAAGGGTTGAGGCGAGAGATGCTGGGAAGCGGGGAGCAATCCCGAGAACGGCTCGAGTAGGGACCGGCGTACGACAAGCGCCGAGTTTCGTACAGTCGGCCATCGACGGGTGAGGAGTTGCCCTCGATCTTTAACCGAGGGCTGCCAGAAGCAGACTCAGGCGGTGTCTGCGGGTGGACGAGGGATCCGTAGAAAGAGATGGAGGGCAGGTCCTCGGGCAACTTGCGTGGTTGTAAGCCCTCGGCGTGGGTGAGGGCCCGGACGCCCATCCTACTGCCGCCGACCAGAGACGGCCCGCTAGACTCCCGGGAGCCGGTCGTCGTCGAGAACATATTCCAGGGTGAAGGAGCAGATAGCCCCTCGTCTCGTCGGCGTATATAAGACAGAGAGATGAGGACCCTTTTGCGTGACGGAGTGATAGTTGAGCGAGGGCGCGGACAGCTAACGCTGAGAGTGGAAACACAGGGCCCAAAGGAACGGGGCACGGAGGAGGGAGAAGGTGGGTTAAGTAACGAGGGAGATGTCGAAGGGTTATGAAGACGACGAGTGGAGGAAGTGACGACCAACTAACTTCATGACTCAATGAGAGACGAGGGGTAGGATATTCTTGTAGTCGACGACGAGGTATCGAGACCCTGGTGATCAATGGATAGCGTCTGATCACTATGCTAACGCACCGTGTTCTTCCTTTTTCTTTTTACTGCCCAGTACCTGAATCAAGTGATAAGTTCCGGACGATGGCAGCACAAAAAGATTGTTGTCTTGAGCTGCCAGAAGGGGGGGTCCGAGTGCCGCCCCTGCTCCAAGTTCGCAGAGACGGGACCAACAGAGGCGGAGTGTAGTTAGTGAGAAGCCAAGGTGGATCGTCGTGCAGAAATCGACAGAAACGGTACCTGCGGCGTGTGAAAGACAAAGGAGGGCTGGAGTTGGCACTGTCGACGCCCCAGGCCGTCAAGTTGCTTTGGTTTACCTGTGCTCTTGCATGCAGGAGGGCAGGCGGGGGGCAAGCCAGTGGGAGCATTTCCAAGCGACTGCGAAGCACCTCGGGGCGTTGTATAATTTGCTGCGGCGTCACTCGATGGGGCTAGTAGCGGGGTATGTCGAGGAGGAGGGGGCACGGAGACAATGAGCACTCTTGGGCATGCTTGAACGCGGATGCCGTACGGGTGTTGTTGGGTTGTGAAAGCCGAGGGGAGTCCCGATGCTGTTCTTGGGTCTTGTCGTCACTGCGGCCGCTGTTCTCGCCGCGGACAGTGAATCACGGTTTGGGCTGCAAGCAAGGGACGGCCGATCATCTCATCTCACCTCGGACACTGAAGACTCAGGAGTCGCGTAGCCCTTGGCTCGATGGCTCTCCCTCGCCGAGAGGTGTGGAGTAGCGGTGGTGTGGGTTGGAGACGTGCTGCTCGTCTCACAGGGGCAGCACGAACCGAGTACTTTGTACACTCGGACGATGGCTGTTGAGAGAACGGACATGCATGATCCAAGGGCAAGAGGAGTCGGTGCGGATCCATCAAGTCAGTCTCTGGACCCAGTACCAGGGTTGCCGCACCGCCGGGACGGCTGGCACCTTTTGCGAGGATAATGCCGCCGGCTGGCAACCAGGCTTTGGGCGCCAGCCTCCGTGTGCCCGGGCTCTGAACCTGCCGTGGAAGCCAACAGGCAGGGAGGGGGAGGACGCTTGGCTGCCTGGGACGAGGCACCATGTGGCTCTAAATTTGGCCCATGTCACGGCGAGGGACGGACTTGGCAGCGGCACAAGCACACACTGGCTGTTCAAGCGATGCCCAGAAGAGAGTGGCAGTTGTGCTGGGCGTCGGGGATCGGCACCGGCGCAGGAGATTTGTGAAAGGCCGGGGTGATGTGCATGGCAGAGCCTGCAAGGAAAAAACAAAGAGATCTGACGTGTAACCGAACTCAGACCTGGGGAAAGCTGACGGTCCGACCGAAAGGCACAGCTCGACAACGGACTACGCCGTCTAGCCGTGAAAGCCTGGCCCCACGAGACTTTCTTTTTCGCGCCCAAGTGTGGCGACTAGTCTCTGTGTGTCTGAAGCGAAGCAGACGCAGGGTCGCCGCAGAAGCTCAGCACTTGCTCGGGCATTATTATTTTTTAACAAGGCCCTGCTCAAGGGAAAACAAAAAAGGGAAAAAGAATATGTGTTCCGCCGCGGCGCGGGGGTCGTGAGACGAGCTGTCCCGAGCATGTTGTCCACCAATTTGTTTTTCATTGCCGGCGTTGCGAGGTTCCCGACACAACCGGAGCAGCTTGTCTGCTGCGTCGTTGGCAAGGCTGCCAACAAGAGAGAAAAAGTCGGACTGGACGGCTTGGAAGGCCAGGGGCACGCCGTGGACGATGGAGACCGGGGAGGCTGATGGACAGTGCTAGCAGCCTTCGTCATCTTGGTCCGTCGTCGTCGTCGGCCATCGCTAACGTGGCGAACGCTCGACCCAGTAGACTTTCGGCAAACGCGATAGTGTTGCTTTTTCTTCTTCTTCCTCTTCATTCTTGTCTCTGGGGGGGGGCGCGAGGGGTGGGTGTGCGTTGCTGCAAAGCTGTCGAGTAAGGTAGTAAGTAGGTAGGGAGGGGGATGAGAGCGAGGTGAAGTTGCGCAAGGGGCACCAAGAGGCACCAAGAGGCTGGAGCCGGGGTTTTTTTTTGGCCCTGGCCCAACCGCCTTTCTTTCTTTGCACTTTGCAGTGCCCCAACCTGGTTGCGTATCCGAGCATGTACCTACAGAGTACGTACCAAGTGGCTGACCAAGGCCCAATCCGGGCTCTTCTGCCCAAGCACCGCACGTGCACGCTCTTCATTGAATGTCGATACGTACTGTACAACTGTACACAGGGGTGACATGAGGCACATGAGGCACATGAGAGCAGCAAAAGATAACATGAGCGTCCGAAACCCTCTCACACCTCACGCTCCTCCTTTTCCTCCTCCAACTGCAGCCGCAGACAGTGCGCAACCCTCCCACCACCACTGCCGGGGCTCGCCTATGCAGCTGCTGCTCGGCGGCGGCGGCGGCTGCTGCGGCTGCCGCTGTCGCAGCTCCCACCCACCCATGCCACCCACACGCCGCGCCCACACGCCCTGTCGTCGTCGTCCATGCGGCTCTCCGCGATTGATTACCTCGGCCGTGCTAATCTTGCTCTTACGCCTCTAGCTTCAGCGCCGGCACAGTGCACATGGACCTCGCCGGGCCCGCACGCGGGGGTTCCCGTCCTTGTGTCTCTGCTCCTCAGACAGAGAGACAGCCCGCGCTCAAAACGTCATCCTCCCTTGTGGACGAGATGTGGCCCCCCCCCTTGTCCGATTACCCCCGAGAGCTCCGTCCGTTGCCATGTTTTTGCCTCCCGCTCTAAATCTGGAAGCCGTCGTTTCAGCCGGCAGCCTGTCACTGATCCGATGGCTGCAGTGTTTTGCTTGGTTCATAGGACTTTGCTTTTTGAGCCTCCCCCCAAGTCCCCTCCTACCAAGACGGTGCAATAAGACATGGCTCACGGACTTTCGCCTCCCTTGTGCTGATGTTATCGTATCGTGACCTCGAGGGCACCACGGCTCCTCCGACGACTCATCGTCGGCAACCGCAGACACTGTCATCTTCCTTTGTGCTCCATGCAAGGACGACCAACTTCAAACAAGGTCCTCTCGGCATTTCCATCTCTTGGCCTGCCCCGAGGCCTCTCCCCAGCATGTTTCATGAGCAGTGCCGACAGCTCGCTCTCCGGAGATCTTGGCTATCCGTCTCGGCCAAGGCCATCTCATTGTACGAAAACAAACGTTAGAGTCACTCCCACACCTCTAGGCCAATAACAGTCTTGCAGTGCGTGTCATGTACATGCAATGCATGGCCTCGCACAGACCCAGCACCTCATCATGGCTGCCTCCGCGTTAACACAGAGAGATCTGGCCGGTGGGAGATAATCGAAGCAAGGGGTGTCACGGCCTGTCCAGGAACGCTCTCAGCAGTCCGCCTCTCGCCAACTCTCGACAAAGCATGAATGTCCGTGAGGACTCTCGACCGCAGCTGAGACCTTCACGATGCAAGGTACCACATGAGCCATGAAACAATTGAAAGCAAGGGAGACGTTGCCCATGACTGAGAAGGGTCTGTGAGTGAGCTGGACAGCTCGAGGCCCTCTCTCCCCCTACTGACACCCACACGCGTCGTAAACATGCAGTCGGCGTAGTCAATATAACAACGACTAGCAAGCGTCGGCTTGGGAGATGGCTTCGGGTCCATGGGTTCGTCACTAGCCGCGACGAGCATAGGGTTGCTGGCAAAAACATGCCGCCGCGCAGCCCATCGATCCCCTACTGTTTGTTTTCTTGTTGACGTGTTCATTTCCAGCCTGACCGTGATAATCCCAACGTCAGACACAGCTTCGGTTGGTTGACGCACTTTGCGGGCCCCGTGATCCTGTCGTCGGCCTTGCTTCCATTTGCTCAGCCAAGCGAGTTGACGTGTAGCTGCAAGATTACCAAAGCTCACGCCCTGCCCTGCCGTCGCCGTATTGACACAAAGCGGCAGCCACAGATTGTCAACGGTGTCGGAGAAAGGAACCAACTCCCTCACTCTCGCCACCAATGCCGTCTTCCGGCGAGAGGAACTGTTGCCGATGGTGGCGGGGCTCGTCTCCTCTGGCGGGGGTCCCACCCTGACGAGACTGTATGTTGGTCGCTCATAATGTTTTCGACTTGGCGCCCCCCCTCCCCCCTCTTCTTGGAAACTGGGCCTGGCGTGACCAGGCGCCGACATCTCTCCACCAGGATCGCCTCTGCATCCGACTGGGAGTCGATCGAGGGCTCCTTGAGCGACTCTTGATGGTTCACCCGGGCGCTGCAAATCATGAGCTGGCCGCTGTTTCCCCCTGGTCTCGCCAAAAGCTATACTCGGGGCTCGGCACCCGATCTGCCTGCCAGACATTGTCTTGGCTGTCGTTGGGAGGGTGTTGTCCTTTCTCCTAAGCCATCTCCGCAGCTTCTTGCGGCCATTATGTCATTAACGTGACGTTGGAGCCGATGATCTTTGTCGATGCCTCTGCACATGAACCGTGGACCGACCTGGTCCGTGTCCTCCCCAGGCTCACCAGTGAGTCAAGGCTCCCTCAGGTCGCTTTGTAGTCTACAGCTTGGACTCGGCATCGCCTCGGGAGAGAGACCCTGTGCCTGGAAATGATTCATCTCCCGCAAACCTCCTGGTGTTGGTATTAGCCCGAGACCCTGGAGGGGGGGGGATGCCTCTGGCGGGCCGAGACAGCCTCAAAAGCGGCGAGGGCTCGAGGACATGAAAAACGTATCACGGGACGACGAGCATCTGCAGGATGTGGGCGTAAGCACATACCATCCTCTCTCTTTCCCGCCGCTGAGGAAGCTGCAGTCGCTGTTGAGCTCGCAGTTCCAGCCCCCGGTAATAAGGCTTGCAGCCGCATCTGCAAGTCTCTTTGTCAGGACAGTGGGGATACTGGGTATGGGATATCGACGCGGCCGGCCAACAGTTGGCATCGCGTGTTGGCTTGGCTTACCAAAAGAATCTGCCGACAGGGAGGCCTTGCCACCAGACGCCTCGCCCTTCCTCTGGAAGACGCTCAGCCCGCACGTGTACGCATCAAAATCCTCGGCGTCGACGCTGTCTGGCACCTGTCCGGTCAGGATGCGACCCAACACGATGACTACGGCAGCGTGGGTGCATAGAAGGGCGGAGCGAGCCCCCTGAGCGTCACACTGCTCGATGATGCCGCGCAATGCCACGGCCACTCGCTCCTGGAGCTGGGCCAATGTCTCCCCGCGTGGCGAGGGCACAACGACTGGCTGGTAACCCTCGTCGATGGCTGGAAACAGCGACTTGAGCACGGCGATCGCGGCAGGCTGGGGGTGGGTGAAGGGGGCCGAGCCAAACCACTCGCGGATGCCGTGCTCGGGACGAACCCTGGCAACCACGCCGTCGTCGCCAGCGGCGGGGCCGCTGGCTTTCCGGTCTCGTTGCTGTTTCCGCAGCTCAAGATTCTGCATAAAGGGCTCCAGGGTCTGGAGGCACCGGTAGAAGGGACTCGAGTACACCGCCTCGACGGGCGGATCAAGGGTCATGAGGTGCCTGGCCAGCTCTCTCGCCTGGCTGACGCCATGGGAGGTGAGGGCCGGGTCGGCGGGAATTCCTGTTGGCGATGGGATATAGGCAGAGTAGGTGCCAGTGGCAGGGTCGACGAGCCAATTAGAGCGGAACTGGTCATCGACAATGGCAGCAGTCAATACAGAGAGCCGGAGGTATTGTCCTCTTTGGCCGACGCGCACTTACCCCGTGGCGGATGACGTAGATCTTCTCCAGCGGCATGTCCGCAACGGATGGCCTTCAGCGGATGGGGGAAAAGCTTCTTTCTCTAGGTGTTTGAGAGGGGCGCCTCGGCGTGGCGAAGAAATCCTGCCCTCTAGATGTCGACGGTTTCTACAGCGAGGTGAAGCCGTAATTAGCTGGCGGCCGCTTTTTGATCCCGCTCCGGCTCCCGGGGTACGTACTCCGGAGTTACTTCTGAGAAAAATACCCACCCAGGTAACGACCACCTTGGTCTTGGGACAACCTCGACTTGCCGTCCATCTTTCCTCCGGTCTCTCTTGGGCAGTTGGAGGCGTGCTCTTTGCTTGCGGTTCGCCTACAGCATGCACATTGGTGCTTCCGACAAAGCCAACCACGACTTGGGCTGAAATCAACGCGAAGCCGGCTTCCAAGGCACCAACTGGGTGCTGCTGCTGTTGGTCCGCCTAGCGCGCAACAAGGGCATCAATTTCCGCCGATCAACGCTGATTCCACTCAGCCATCCATTAATCACGAGTTAGCTCTCATGAATAACCAGGCTACAGCTCGGTAAAGTGGAAATTAGAATTCTGCACCTAGTCGTGAGCTCACGGTGCGGGCCTCGGCACCCTCGCCACCTCCGACATCTCCGGATCTTCAGCGAGGGACGGTACCGTCTGATAAGGCGGGACTTGTCCGCAAGATTCCAATCCGTCCGTTTCCGGGCCGACGTATCCAACATTTCCTCATCTTCACGGGCTTAAGAAACACCGTCAGGTCCGGTAAAACTGTTGGTGATGTTATGCACGACTTGATGGGCCACCCGAATGTCTCGACTCTTACAGTAGAGGTAGGAAGCCATGCGTCAACAACACGACGGGCCAATGTAAGACTTCTATCCGACAGGAACAAAAGAAATGAGGGAGATCTGGCATTCCAAGCTGCCGAGGTCATGGTCGTAATAGACCTCCATCCCAAATCAACGCGAGGAAGTGGCCGCCCCAGCAATGTACCTTGTGGTCAATCGTCATCAAACTCACCGCCCTCGATCTTTGAAAAGAATATGTGCCGAAAAGGCCCCAAATGAACCCCCCGGGCACATTCCACCTTCAACCTCGTCCCTCTGCGACCTATCCCAACGCCGCCGAGACGATATGGGTGTCAAGGCTGCAGTCCAATTAATCGCAAACCCCACCGTGTTCAAATGACGAGTCCGCGTCATGTAGTCTCTCGATGTCAAATGCGTCAGTCGTCTTGCCGTTTTCCGACTTCCTCCCAGCATCGTCACATAACCGAGCAGGCTCCCATGGTTCGAGCCCGACGACGGCCGACGACGACGCCGTCTTCTTCGTGCAGGTGCAGTGCCTGAGCCTCCCTCGCTCGTCGTCTGCGTCTCCTGTAGCCAGCTCCGCCCATGCCGGCCTCTTCGTTGGCTTGCATGTAGTCTGCCCACTTCCTCTCCAGTCGACTTGCCGATGCCGGCTCGCCACGCAATAGCCGCTTTTGGTGCTCGTCGACGGTCATCTGGAAGCCGTAGAAGCACTTGAGCCCGATGATTTCGGTGGGATAGGTGACGCGCCCAGGCTGACCAGCAGCGGGCCTCATCTGGGCGTTGCGGAAGAGAACCTCGCGAATGCCCGTCCATGTGACGTTTTGACAGTCATACACGACCAGCTGCAGTGTGGCTTTGGGCCGCGCTCCCTCTTGCATTGATCGCTGAGAGCGCTTGGTGACCATTGCCGCGGCTTCGGCAAGCACAAGGTCGCTGATGCGCGTGTTGTCCATGTCGACGACCCTGAGCTTGACGCACCTTTGCATGACTGGGAGCATACCAACGTCGCTGATTTTCTCACAGTAGCTCAGCGAGAGATGCTCCAAGGTTGCGGCGCACGGTGCCTTGGCCAAATGCTCCGATAGAAGCGAGTTGGTGAGATCCTCCAAATCCTCCAGCTCAAGGTGCGTGAGCCGCGGCGTCGAGGCCAAGATGGGCTCGAGAGCCGCATCAGTCAGAGACTTGCAGCCAGAGAGCTGTAATCCTTCCAGGTCGGGCGTCACATGACCAATTGCCTTGACGCCAACGCTGGAAAGACGGTTGCAACGGCTGAGATCCAGGTGCCGCAGCTTTCGCAGTGGGACGATGGGGCGGTCGGTGAGGAGGTCGATCTCAGGGTCCACGCCATGCATCATGACCTTCAATGCCTCATCGGTGAGCTCCACGCATCCGCAAAGAACGAGTCTCTCGAGGTGGTTGGTCGTGAAGATGGACTGAGCGGTCGCGATACTGTCGAAGCCGCGGACTTCGCCAGCCCTCAGATCTCTCAAGTTGGTGCATGAATCGATGACGGCCTTGATGCCACGGGCCTCTACCTTTTCGCACCAAGAGACGTTGAAGGTCTCCAGCTGAGGGCAAGATTCGGCAATGATCTTGCACGACGTGTTGGATACAGCCGCTAGGCCCGTCAAGTTGAGATGCATCAGCTTCTCATTGCTCCTCAGAAGCACGTGAAGGGTGTTCTTTTGAAAGTTGCGGCAGCCTTCGAGAGTGGCATTCATGAGGTTCCTGCAGGCCTTGACAACGACTTCAGTCCGCTTATAGTGCTCGACCTGCACACAGCCCCTGAGATTCAAGTCCTTGACGAACGGACCAGCAGCAACGACGATTCTAGCCAGAGAGTCGGCAGGAATTTCTTGATAGAACTCCGAGGCATCAAATGAGGTCCAGAGCTGGCCGTCAAAGCAGAGCTTGTAGAACGACTTGCTCACCCTCGACGCTCGAACGAGTTCCTTTGGCTTCAGGTACGAGAATACGTGGACACAAACTTCGTGGGGCAGCTTTTCCCAGCGAGCAAAGTGCGGCCTCATAGGTGCTTTAGAGCCCGACCGGGTCCTTGTCCGCCCATCGTGCTTGTTGGACAAGATGAGCTCGGCCGGGAGCGGGGCTGTGGCGGCCGAAGGGGCAGGAGCTGCATTGTCAACTTTGCGAGTGGCAAGCTGGCCATCGGCGTCGTCGGGAAAGGGAAACTCGTTTGCCAAAGTCAGAGGCTTCGAAGTAAGCCCGCTAGAGAGGCCGAACGGTGACGGCTGGGGGGTGGCCGATCGGGCGGCGGGCGGTGTCTGAGACGGGCCAGCCGCCGCGAGACTGACACATGATAGGGTGCTCCTGGTGCTGTAGGGACTACCGATGGACTTGGAGCGCCGGGGGTTATTCAACGATGGCGACGAGGAGATGCGCTGCAATCCGCGGAGCAGACGCCGGCGGCTTCTACCCTTGGCCGGAAGTTCGGGCGGGGTGGGGGCATTGTCTTGGCCGGTCGGCATCGGGGCCGAGAGCTCGTCGACTACTTGGGCCATATTGTCGGGTAGCCGTCCGAGGGGCTACCTGCGTTCAGGCTGTCCAGGCTCTTGATCGCGTGTATTCTGGACTGGGCGGCTCGATTGGAGATGGTCAAGATTTGTGCGGTGTATCGGAGGGCGTCGGGGTTGGACTAGGGCGCTGAGAGTCGTGCAAGACAAATGGCGAATGACGGAGTTTTGATGAATCGGTGATGGATGGAATCCGCGCTGAATGCAAATCGAGTCATCTCAGGCTGCCAAGAGGGCCTGGTTGCCGGATGATTTCTCTCGGTCGTCGTGATGGAAGTCCAAGAGGGAGAGAGGGAGAGACAGGCGCGAGACACAAGGACCCTTTTGCGTCCAAGGGTAAATGAGAAAGACGATGTGTTCTGGCAGCACGAGCCGGGTTGGATCAGGGGACCTGCGGGATGGACGGTGGGGGCTGGTCACCAGGCCCCTACCTCGTTGGAGTGCCTCGAGCCAGAGGAAGACGGTCCTCTGCCGGCAACGCTCACCGGTACAACCCAGATCCCGGGCGGGCGGCGGACGGGGCGTCGATGCTAGCGAAGCTGAGGGCACATGTCCTCGGGCAAAGGCGGCGACATGATCACAGGAGCAGTCGGGTTGCGAGAGGGTCAGTTGGACGGCATCAGTCGAAAGAAAGCATGAGGCGGGCGGCGGGGGGGCGGAGGCTTATGGCTGCCCACGAGGCATCATTCGGAAAATGTCCAGTGTTTGTATACACACGAGAGCTTGAAGGGCAAAGCTACTCGTCGAGTACCTCGGTGTAGCGCCTACCTTGGCTCCGCCGAAAGGTACGGCCAAGGGAATGTAGGCAGTACTTTGGAGTTTGGACATGAATCTGGAAGGTGGGAGCTTTCCCTCCCCTTCCCCTCTCCGCGAACCTTACGGGATCCCCAAGGCAGGTGCAACGCGAGACTGCGCCGAGTCCAGGACTCACTGCGTGCTCGGCGCAATCCTTCGCGTCGCTCGCACATATGTAGGTAAGCAAGCATGGGCGGGTCGGAGACCTACTTTGTACGCACACACGGCACCTGTCTACTTGGATGCCTCCTTCTGCCGACTGTCCATTAACTTTGCCCGCTGACGGAACCATTAGCGGCCCCGCCTTCCCCTGTGCGTGGGGTATATCGATAAGCGACTGGCTGTGGGTAGGTACTTTGCGGGGCAGCCCAGCTTCTAAGGATCTCCTGGGTGCCTGGGATGACCTGCATTCACTTCTTCCACGGTCCTTCTAAAGAGAAATAAGCGTCCAGGAAAGGGGTGCTTGGTTTTCTTACGGTTCGAACAATTCACCAAGATAATGTAGTGTGACAACCTGTCCAGATCCGGCTCAGCCTGCTGTTCACGCCCGCTTCTATATGCTGCCCCGTACAATACGAAGCAACTGGGCCGAGTGGCGGCATTCCTTCTTTTCTTCTTTGCAACGCACAGAAACCTTGTTGCTGCGCATGCCCCGAGTGCCTGAGCTAAGCTGTATGGGTGCCTAGGGCCAAGTACCATCAGGTGATGGCTTAACCTTGGTCAAAGCACACGGCGCCGGCGGTCACCGTCCAGCCCGGGCGTTCGTCCGGACCCGACGAGGAGCAAGACGAGAAGGCTTTTTGTCGACGTGCGCACCTCTGTTCTGTACCAAGAAGGGCAAAGGCAGACATTGGTTCCCCCGACGTCTCACGCCTCTAGCCGCAGTGTGCGCAAAGTCCTCCCGGCCGCACAACGGAGCTCCGGGTCCAAGCCAAACCATTATACGCGCACGTCCCTCGTCTTGTATAGCTTGCCTCGTTGTCTTGCATGTTTTCGCCTCTAGGTAACTTACTGCACATCTCGTGTTATCAGGCGAGGAATCGGACCCTTTTTGACAGCTTGGCAGCCTGCCAATGTTCCACCGTGTCAGCATCTCTCGTGGCTCAGGGAGGCGTGCACGTCTAAAAATAGCCTGCAACGTCTTGCCTCGATACTCTGACCGAGCAATTGGTAACTGCGTGTTGCTATTGCCAAGACGCGCCCACCGAATCACACCGAAGAACTTCGTATATGCACGTGAAACGACGATCCGCGAGCTTGGCGGCCACGGTTAAGGAAGGGCGGCCCGCCTGGTTCATCGACGGCATTCTGCAGTCAAGCTCGACTCCACATACTCCGTAGTCGAGCTTTTGTTTAGAGAATTCACATTTTTAGCGGCGCTCCATCCCGGCCAGCTCCGCTAGCCGGGCCCTGGTCCCCGGTGATCTTGTGCTTGAGCAGATCAAATGACCAGTAAGACACGGCAGTGAAGGGCACCTGGGCAGACGATCAATCCATGTAACAGTAGCAATGGGCTCAGCCGCTGGCTGGGCTTGTGCTTTCCTGACTCCCGCCGTCAAGCACGCAGTAAATGACGTGCCTACCCTAGGCCTGTAAACGCACAAGGGAAGTGAGTTGTCTCGTCGAGAGAAAAGTACCGCTCCAGCCCTTGCGGCCAAGGGCGAGCAGGGGCGTCGAGAGGACAAGCGCCGCGTCGACCAGTATTCATTTCTGGAGGGATGGATAAGTTACCCGAGCCTCGTCCCGGTACAGCCGGTCGGTGAGGAGGGGCCGGGCTTTTCCAGATCCAACTTCGTCTCCATCTTTAGCGGTAATGCCTCCTCCGCCTCCCGGGTGCCAACGCGCGTCAACCGCGGCAGGCAGGCGACTGTTTGGGATACATACTCTTGATAGGACGAAACTTGGTGCTCCGCGTGGGACTCACATGCCCAAAGTATCTGCCTGCGAGGCCCTACCACAAGGGTGCGATACTTTGTACTTTATCGTCCGAGGCGATGGGATTAAGAGTCATGCACGATAAGGTGGTAAGCAGGTCGCCAAGTACTAGTACCCATTCGTGGACAAGGGCAACGCATAAAGCCGTTTATAAGTTACTTGGTCTGGAAAGGAGTCTCTCGCTGTACGGTTATCGGATGCCAGTCAGGCATTAGCAGTGTCCAGGAAACTTGCTGGGTAAGAGGCATGTACCGGGGGCAATGCAAAAGAGAAGAATATTTTGCGGCTCGAGGTACTCCATACGCAACGGCGGCACGACCCAAAAGTCTCAATTTACGCTGAACTACCGAGGGCGTCCCAAAATACAGGCCACAGCGCCGCCAAGGATAGGCTGGCACAGCTCGGCCAGAGCATGTACCGGTCGCACTGCAGCACGGGGCTCCCCCCTCCCGTCACAGGTTCCAGGTTCCCCACCATTCTCAAAGTCCGCCGCGCCCCTCACTCTGGTTTGCTTCCAGGTTCCGCTGCCCCTCGCCGAGGACTCACTTCTCGGTCTACGTACCCCCCCCCCAAAACCCTTCCTCCCGCCGCCAGCCAACGGGCTACACAAGACTCGACGATTTGCCTCGGAGCTCTAGCACGCAGGCCCCGGCATCCTGCTTCACCCTCCTCCGATCTGGCTCCTCGGTGACGCTCAAGTCGCGGGACCCGCGCCCATCGATTCTCGGACCGACTTTTAGCTCGTGCTCACCGACCTCCAACGCCACGACGTCCATGTCGGCATACCGCAACCCCGGCCGCGACCGATCCTAACCTCCATCCACTGCTCCCCGTCCCAGCCGCCGCCTCTCTAAAGCCCCTCACCTTGCCTCGACGCCATTTTGCCTGCCCTCGAGGATGCTGCACACGCATGGCGAGCAGCCAGATCAAAGTCCGTCTCGATACCCTCCCCTGGCACCCTACTTTTCCGCCACTGACCCCTTTGCCTCTCACCTCCCAGGCGCCGACAAAGCCAAGGGCCAAGATGACAGGGGCCGTGGCAAGCTCGCCCCGCCGCTGTCGTTGCCCAAGAACCGGAGCACCGGTAACTTGGCTCTTCAGCCCGACGCTCCGACCGACCGAAGCCGGTACCGCATGTCCTTTGAAGCCCCATCCCCTACTCTCATAGACTACGACTCAATGTCGAGGTATGTGCTCTGCTGTTTCTGGTGTTTGCCAATGCCGATGCCCGCCCGGTTCTAACTGTGCCGACACCCTAGGTCTGCTCACTTACCCGACCATGAACATGGCCCCGGACTGTCCGGTCTACGTCGCATACGCCAGCAGCACCCTCCCTCTCGCAACCCGACCATGCCAAACTCGACCGCCACTTCGCGGAGTCCATCGGTTGTAGCGCTGTCCCGGTCAACGTCCATGAGCGTCGCTCTCGCTACCCCGGGCCTTGTACCCCAGCCTGGCGTTCCTGCTTCGCCAAGTTTCTCCGAAGATCTGTCACGCTTCCCCTCCGAGTCTCTTCATTCCTTTTCCTTCGCCCACCAGTCCGAGGACTTTCTGCACAACCGCCAGAGTGTCCTCAAGCGTTCCATGGAGTTTATGAAAGACCGCATGGGATGGTCCATGAACTCGTCGCAAGCCGGTCTAGCCAGTGCCCAGGCCAGGGTAACGGGAGATGTCGATGCCCAGAACGTATTGGAGCTTCTGGCTCAGGCACAATTGATTGGGGCGGGCAACCTGCCCAACCCTGACCAGTCAATGGCTGCAGGCCCCTTGACCGGCCCTGCCGAGTTGACGGGCGAAAATGTCTTTGAGAGGCAGTTTGTACCGCGATCCCCCAATGCCGAACTACCGTCACCAGATCTTGTGTCTCCCCGGATGCCACAGCCCTCAAAGCTTCCGCAGGTTCGCTTTCAGGACCAAAGCAATGCGCCGCCGGAAAGCTCATGCATCGCGCCGCCGGGGAGCCTAGATTCCCAGAACTCGAGCAGAACGCCTACCAACGAGAGCGGAACGACTGCCATGACATCGCCGCCCGCCTCGAGACCGACGAGCCTGAAGCGCACCATGACGGACACGCTCGGGATTACCTTGCAGCATAAACTCATGGACACAATGTCGCAACCATTCTTGGCGGACCAGCAGATGTACGAGGAGCCAACAGTGTCACCAACCTTGGCGCAAGCATCTCGGCCATCCAAAAAGTTCCCAAGCGCCCTTGGCCCTGCAGTTCACGGTCACACAAATAGGTGGGTGCCCGCCGCCCAGGCTATTTTCACTACAGAGACAAAGCCGCCGTGGACCATCATAGCCGCGAACGATCTTGCTTGCCTCGTCTTCGGGGTTACAAAAGCCGAAGTTCGCAAAATGGGTATACTGGAAGTCGTCCAAGAGGAGCGGCGGGCATGGCTGGAGCGGAAGCTCCTGCGTGCCGAAGACGACGCAGAGGACGAGAGCACAGAGGGAGGCAAGCCGAGGACGCCCGCCGTGTCGGCTGCGTCGACCCTACTTGGAGGCCGATCTGGCATCACGGCTCAACTCCTGAGCAAGCCGAACTCGAGGTCTCAGCCACCAAAGTATTCCCCACGGAGAGCCCAGACGGTCCATAGTGGTGATCCTAGTCCGCCCAAGACACGAGGCACTGGTCAGCATCGGAACAGCCTGTCCCGCGGAGTCTTGCTCTGCGGCGATGTGGTCCCTATTCAGAAGCGCAACGGCGCCACGGGCTCAGCGAGCCTGTGGGTCAAGGAGAAACGGATTGGCCTGATATGGGTCCTGGAAGAAATCCACGAGGATGTCGCCTACCTGGAGCTGGACGAGGAAGGCGCCGTAAGGAGTATTTCCGGTGCCGCCGAGCCGATTTGGGGGTCCAAGTCGGCCCGCTCGGACTTTGACGTGGCCGAGTTGATCCCCCGGATTCCGAGGCAAGGCATCGATCCCACCATCGGCGAGATCGACTTTGCGCAAATCACGCGGCGGAAATACTTCACGTGCCCAAACAACCGACAGGTAAACGTGCCTTGCACCGTGGAGCAGGTCCGCGGCAAGCTGGAGTTACGGGTGTCGTCTTTCCCGCACATGGCCGGCATCGTGGTTGTTGATCCAGACAGCTTGAAGATTCGAAGCTCCAACTCCGTCTTTTGCGGCGCCCTGTTTGGCTACGAGAAGCCCGACGGGATGCCCATGAACTCCTTGATCCCCGATTTTGACAAGATTCTCGAGACGATGACGGAGGAAGACGGTCTGCAGATAATGGACGGGATGGTGGTTCCCGAGCAGCGGTTTCGCCGTGCATCGGCCTTTTTAGCATTGAAGGAGCATCGCCCCGACGCCGCCGCAGTCTTTTTGCAGCCAGACGGTCTGCCTGCGAAGCATCGGGATGGGTCAGACCTCAAGATTGATGTCCAAATGCGGGTTGTGGAAAGTGAGAAGCAGGCTAGCATCGCAGACGAGACCGTTGCAGAGGATAGCGACGAGGACGATGCCGACGGCAGTGACAAGCCTCTCTCGGTGCCGCGCAAGGAGATGGTCTTTGCCTTGTGGATTACCTATTCGCGGCATCTGCACGCACATGCACGACTGCACGTAGACTCGCCGGCCAACTCGGGCTCAACGACACCGCTTCGCCAGCCTTCTCCCGGACAGACACCCCCGGTCCACACACCGGTGGAAATACCGTCTGACGATGACGAGGCCAAGAAGCAAACTTCTCCGCCCGTCGCGACTCTGTCGAAGCAACTGAAGGATGCCGCGCTGAGCGCAGCCGCCAAGTTTACCAGGCACGCCAGAGCATCACCAAAGACTAGTGAAAAGGCCGCCGTGGCCAGAGCTGCCGAGCCGTCTCCCAAGACCACCATCGACGACTACACGATCCTGGAAGACATGGGCCAAGGCGCCTATGGCCAGGTGAAACTGGCTCGTCACAAGCAGTCCGGGAAGAAAGTCGTTCTCAAGTACGTCACGAAGCGCCGCATTCTAGTCGACACATGGACGAGAGACCGGAAACTAGGCACCGTCCCCCTGGAGATCCACGTCCTCGAGTACCTACGGCGGCCTGAATTCAGACACCCAAACATTGTCGAGATGGAAGGGTTCTTCGAGGACGACGTCAACTACTACATCGAGATGGCGCCTCATGGGTTGCCCGGCATGGACCTCTTCGACTACATTGAGCTGCGGGCAAACATGGAAGAGGCCGAATGCCGCAGCATCTTCGTGCAGGTGGCCCAGGCTATCCACTTCATGCACACCAAAGCACAAGTAGTGCATCGCGACATCAAGGACGAGAACGTCATCCTCGACGGCGAGGGCAACATTAAAATCATAGACTTTGGCAGCGCAGCATACATCAAGAGTGGCCCCTTTGATGTGTTTGTGGGCACCATTGGTAAGTCTAAGCACGCAACCCCCCTTTGCGGGATCGGCTGACTCACAACGAGGCAGACTATGCTGCCCCAGAGGTCTTAGCTGGCAAGCCATATGGCGGCAAGGAGCAAGATGTGTGGGCGTTGGGAATTCTTTTATACACCATCATCTACAAGGAAAACCCCTTCTACAGCATCGACGAGATCATGGATCGAGACTTGCGCGTACCGTTTACCATCAGCGACGACAGCATCGACCTCGTGCGGTGCATGCTCAACCGCGACGTCAAGGAGCGCTACTCCATCACGCAGGTGCTGGAACACCCGTGGTGCAGAGCAATCGACCCGGAGGGATAGAGGGAGGCGTCTTTGTGAGATAAAGGAGCAAGACGCCCAGCGGCAGGAGGGGTCTCTCGTGCAACTAGATCGTCGAGACATTTTTGGCACCCGTGATACCCACATTGGTGAAAGGTGGTGCCTCCCTGACATTTCAGCGCTTTGGTAATGGACATGACAGGATAGAGACGAACAAGGAGGGGGGGCGAGCGGGGGCCGGATGCGAGGCTACGGGGGTCGGATACATGATTTTGGACGCGGCAGGGGGTAGGATCCCTCGGCGGAATCATATTTGAACCTCGATTTTTATTCTTGTTTTTCAAGGGTGCCCCTTGCTAGGACGGCGGAAGGTAGAAGAACTGCGCGGCGCAGAAGCAGAGCGTAGGGGAACGACTCATGAAGCATATATCCTCGAAGAATGTGACATGACAACAGAGACCTAAACATGGCCGCTCGACGCCTTCCTAGCCCCAGGTCTACGTGGATGAGAATGAGGTAGCAGTAATAAAAGCAGTTCCTGATGTTAACCATAGCCCAGCTCGGGGTTCGCCTTAAAGTTGCAAAGACAGCGACACTCGGGCACGGGGCACTCGACGTGCCTGGCAAACCACTGTCTTGCATGGTCGAGGTGCAGGACGTGCTCGCACCGCAGGCAAAAGGTCGGGAAGCGGCCCGCCACGCGGCCCTCCTCCTTGTCCTCGGGCTTGACGGAGCGCGGCACGCCCACGACCTCGAGGCAGACGACGCACCGCGGGAGGTGGCGGCCGCAGTTGGGGCAGCTGACGCCGGCGTTGATGCTCGTCGCCAGCAGCGGGTTCCGCGTCTCGAGCATCGACGGCGCCGTGGCGGTGGACGGCGGCACGGCGCCCTGGTTGGCCAGGGACGTCTCGGCATCGCAGAAGACGCAGCGCAGGGCAATCTGCCGTGAGGGTGGCTTGAGCGTCGGCACGCCGTCTCGCTTGGAGCGCTTGGTGGACTCCACCTCGAACTTGGTGCGCTGGAAGAAGAGCCGGTGGCGCTGGAGGTGAGCGCGGTAGGCGTTGCGCCAGGCGCGGCAGCGGATGTCGTCCATGTAGCGAGGGTAGCAGGTGGACAGGACGAGGGTGGCCGTCTGGACGTCGTGGAACTTTTGCACGTAGCGGGCGAAGATGTCAACCAGGTCATCGTTGATGCCCGCGAGCACAATGCCTTCCACGTCCCCCTCCTCGACAGCAAGCGACACTTGGTCCTTGAGCCATCTGGTGAGCTGCTCGTCGTCAAAGTTACGAAAGGCTGCCACGGCGCGGTCTGCCAGGGGCAGAGATCGCTGGTTGGCAATGGTGGTCCAGTCTCCAGTCGCAATCAGGGACGATATCGCCCGCAGATACGGATCCGTTTTTGATGCTACCGCGTCGTCAATCTCTAGCTGCTCCTTGGCCGCCTGTTTCCCGCCGCGGCCCGTGAGCTGGAGCGCCAGAGAGACGAAGAGCAACTCCGGATGCGCGGAGCTGGCTTTCTTTAGTATCTGAATGGCCTGCTTTGTATCCCCTCTGAACAGTGCTCGAGAAGCCACCATGGTGTGAATGGCGGTGGGATATTCCGGATCAGCCTCTCGATCAACTCCATTGGGGTCATGCCGTTGAGGATCGCCCCAACCGCAGATCTCGAGGCACAGCTGTCGATGGTACGGCCTTTTGGTGGCAACGCCATCGAATTTTGGCAGTCGATGCTTCTTGCAGTACTGCCCTATGGCTCGCTCCCACTGGGATGCGTCAGGCACGGCGGTGCCAGGCGCAAGGCGGGTGCTTGGGTTTCTGCCTACGATGAAAGTGTCAGCGCAGCCGCGAGATGCGTCGAGGTGGACGCTTGCTTACCCAGATCATTTGTCCATATGGCATGGACCCCAAGGAAACTCAGGTCCATGTTCCCCAAGAGCATGCCTCCGTCGTCGGCGGCCCGCTCGGCGTCTTGAGGCCCTATCAGTCACATGCTCATAGGCTCAAGCCACGTTCGATTTTCTCAACTTACCGGCAATCCAGTCCCATATAAACATCTTCCAGGGATCATCTGAGACAATATTCCGGTTGGTGGCCGCATCAAAGAGATACTTTTCTTGGGCGCGGAGTAGCATGGTATGGTCGACTACGCATTGGGCTTCTCTAGGGAGCCCCTTTGCTGCGACGAGAGAGCTCAACAATCCCTCGTGGATCTCACGACAGGACCCCAGGCTATTTGATGCCAGAGAAATATCGTTGAGGCCATTGTCCAAATGACTGGCACCACGGTGGTGGGCAACAGAGCCATCTTCAGTGTGCGAGGCTCCATGTTCGTCACGCATAAAGGCGCGCAGGCTGCGTAGCGTCTGAGAAACCGACTTGGCATTGCGAAACGAATCGGGTAGGTCTGTGGTTATCCCATCCACGTGCTCGACAGTGGTAGACGCGGCCGATCTGATTTTCGAGGCGCTTTGCAGCCGTTCCTGGACATGGGCCTTGTCGGGTCCGAAGATGGGAACTTCGGACAGTGTCTCTTCAGCCAGAAAGGTACCCAGCATCTCTGCAGTCTGCGACGGCTCGAAGCGCATCATGTCATGGTACGGAGCACGTTCTGCGATGCGTTAGTTTCTGCAAAAGAGGTTTCCGTCGGGGTCCAAGTACCTTGCAAACCGCGATGGGGTGGCTGCCAGGGCACAAGGTTGAAGACATAGTCAGACGTGCGAGATGGCTGCTCAAGCACATCGAAGTTGCCATTTGCCCGTAAAACAAGGAGTCTCGGGCGCAAGACAGGGGATCCCAGTGTCATCCAATCAAACGACACTATGCGATCATTCCTCCTGGAGGTGTCTCGGTACGACACGTCCATTTCGTGAGATCGCTGCACTTGGAGAAGCTCAGGGCCCCCTTGTGGCGCGGCGCCAGACGACTGCATTTCTCTGTTCGTCTCCAAGACCTTGAGCTGTCCTGTGGGTGAGAGGGCAGCCAGCAGACCACGGCGGTCACGGCAGTACCGTAGTGAGCGTATGAGAGAGTGCTTGCCATCTGCGGGGAGAAGATCTGAGTTTGTCTCGATGACCTGGTTTAGTCTCAGGGCTCCCCCCCACGGCAGGTCGTCTTGTTCAACGGCCTGGATGTAGGTGTGCGAAGCCAAGGGACGGGACGTGACTCTGCGGTCCCAAATCATGACGCCCGGGTGGTCGAGGGCAGACGAGGCAAAGAAGTTTTGGTCTGCATAGTCAATGGCCAGATTGTTGTTACATTTCGTCTGAAAGGTGGCAACGGTTGTTGCATCTGACGACGGCCGGTATTCAGCTCGGAGCGGCGGCAACATGGGCATGGTTCGACTTACCACGGAGATCATGTATCCGCAACCCCTGGCCTTTGATGCCGGCCACTAGCGTCTGCGGACTGTCCTCGAAGAACTTGAGGCTCGAAACAGACACGCTCGGCTCGAGGCGTGTCCTGGCCTCGACAAGAGTGGCTGCTTCTGAAGGGAAGCCTCTCGCCTGGTTTCCCAATGCGGACAGACGATTGACGTCCCAGACTTGCAGGCTTTGGTCCATGCGCACACGGTCGAGACCAACAGCCAAGAGGCCGGTTGTGTTGAAGGCGACTGCCTGACAGGTCCTAGCCATCTTCAAGCCAATTTCAACATAGGCATTGGAGTTGTCGTCGATTCTCAAGAGGTTCACAATGCCCGAGCTGGTGCCGACGGCCAGCAGCTCCGGGTTGGCGGGGGACCAGTCGTAGGTTGTGAGGGGAGGGAAGTCATCGTGTCTGCTCAGCTTGGCGTAGTCGAACTGCCGCTTGTGGGCATGGCCAGTCGGCTCGTAGAGCTGGACAACGCGGTGCTGCAGGTTGATGTGCACGAAGCTGTCGACGGCAGCGTTGGCGGACCATTTTACGAGCCCAGGCTCGGGACGGTCCATGCTGGCGAGCCCAAGTCGAGCTCATATGACGGCTGACGAGCACGGCCACGGCGAGTGAAGCTGCAAGGCCACGGCACAGCGTCGAGTGCGAACCGAGAGGAGCCGCGCTCACTCAACCGTTGCTGGACTAATGGCCGGTTCCTGATTCACTGGGCATCACCTGATGCCATTGAAGCGGTCGCCAAGCGGTCGCATAGCATCGTTTGTGCCTTGAGCCGGGTTTCAGCGAGTAATGGGAGACAGGGAGCGCCGTGCGAGAAGATCAAGGTCCATGCTTGCACCGACATTCACAAGCTTCATGGTCTCTCGTCCGATGACCTCTTAATGGAGCTAGGGAGAAAGCTTACATAACCGGAAGCTTGAGATAAGATCGGAGCCCGTGGTTTTTCCCGCCGGCTCATCTGCCCCACATCAAAGTTGAAAAAAAAAGCCGGCGGGCGGCGCCTCTTCCTCGATTTGCATTGGCGCCGGCTTGAATCGCAACCGTGCGAGTGAGGCAAACGTCTCGTCACCATGGGAATCAAGAGACCCTTTGCCGAAGTGGGCTCGCGAGGGGCAGACGACGACAACGGGGCCGACCCATCATCCTTGGACAACACCAAGCGACGGAAGCAGCTGGGGAAAGCCAAGCACAAGGCCCGGCAGGGTACCTCCGAGTTTTCAAAGAAACGTGCCCGAAACATCCAAAGACTGTTGCAGCGCAAGCAGGACTTGCCCGCCAACGTCGTCAATGACCTCGAGCGGGAGCTGGAGGCCCACAAGGCGGACCTCGACGACAAGGCCTTCCAGAGGAAGCGGAGCGCCATGATTGCTAAATATCACATGGTTCGATTCTTCGGTACGTCGCTGGACGCCTGTCTACCAGCCTTTCTCCGAGGCGACGGCTAACAAGGTGGCAATGTTCAGAGCGAAGAAAGGCATCGCGGCTCGTCAAGCAACTCAAACGCCAAATGGAACAGACGCCCGAATCCGACGACACGGACCGGCTGAAGCAAGACCTACATACTGCCGAGGTTGATGAAGCGTACACTCTCTATTTTCCTCATTTAGAGTCATATGTCAGCCTCTACGGCAGCGCCCTGTCGGCGGAAGCAGATGAGGGTGGCAGCAAGACGCCTTCCGCAAAGGTGTCACTGAGAGCCGAAAGGCCGCCAATGTGGTCTGTCGTCGAGAGAACCTTGGCAGAGGGACCAGAGGCTCTAAGGAGGCTACGGGAGGCGAAGCCGGCAGGCGGCAAGGCAGTGGAGAAGACGCCGAAGCGTCAGCAGCTCAAGGTCTCTGCGACAGCGTCCAACGCCGGGGGACCGCCGCCGCCGCAGAAGCAACATAAAGAGAAGGGGCCGTCCAGAAAAGACGGCAAGACTGGCGTGCCAAGTACCAAGGACGGCGCCGCGCCACAGCTCAATCGCCGAGAGAGGAGACGGCTTATGCATCAGGCCAAGGCCGCGACTGAGGACGAGGACGGCGAGGACGGCGGCGGCTTTTTCGAGGACATGTAACCGGCAGTGGCCAGGTGAGGACGTGGTGGAACTCCGAGTAGATACCCCAATGATGAAGGAGGACATGGTCTGTGAAAGCTGGTTGCGGCAAACAATGTCCCTTTTTTTGCTTATTAGCGTTTTGCGCGATGGCATGGAAGAGGCCGATTTAGATGGAAACATGAAGTTTTCTTCGTCGGTGAGGACGGATATGCGGTTGTTGCTTGTCGTAGACCGACTGACATTCAATACTGATGCCCAAAGCCACCCACCCTCTCACTCGCACATTCAATGCAGCCCCACCCCCATTCACTCTGCCGCCGCTCGCCGTTCGCTCAACAAGCAATCTGTGCAACCAACCGCCATCCACGCCGTCTCATTGGGGGACAAGACTTCTTCTCGTCGGCAAGGTGGCTGGCAGACGAGGTTGGCGCGGTGATGAGTGCAAAAAACGGGAACCTCCCATCGCTCTAAAGCTGTGCCGCTGCAACCCCAGCTAAAACTCTGATAACTCGTCGAGCGCCGAAGAGTCGCAACCCCAAAAGAGACGCCCAGCCTCTGTCTACGGTTCGCGTATCGCTGCCCCATGGAGTCGACGAGCAGCCCGGGGACAGCAACAACGAGGGTGCCATGGCACCGCCTGCGAGCTTGGATCGACCAGCAGGAGGACTATGAGAGGACGCACAGCCGCCCCGCCCCGCTGGCGCAAATCAAGCTCGAGGCCATCTCCATGCTCATCCCCTTTGGCGATGATGAGCCCGAGGTTGGTGACCGAGACTACGTCAGCCTGCTGCTTCGTATGGTCCCCCCTCCCCCTCCCTGCTGCCTTGGATATCTCGTCGACGTGGGCGGGACTGCTAACGACCCACGGCCCAACCCAGATGAGACGCAGACTCGTCGTCTGTCGCCGCCCGTGTTTACCGATGGCGAACCCGCTCTGGTGCCCGTCGACGGCCATCTCCAGCCCAAATGGAGCTTTGTCTGCTCCATTGCCGAGTGCGGCTCCTTTCCTCGCGAGCGCCACGGCATCGACGCCGGGCAGCAGCCGCCGGCTTTCCAGGGCAAGAAGGTTGGTCTACTGTCCTATACCTACTCACACGATCCAACCAGTCAAGCTGACGCGGCGTAGAATGCGAAGCGGTACGCGGCCAAGTGCGCTCTGCAATACCTGCAGCAGGCCGTGGTCAAGGGCGCCGTCCCCGCCGCAACGCCGCCGACAAAGGAGCGCGCCGCGGCTGCAACCCAGTCTCCGGCGCTGTCTCCTAGCCCCGCCCGGGGGGTCGCGGCAGGAGGAGGAGGAGGAGGAGCAGCAGCAGCAGACAGATCCCCGCGCTTGCAGCCGCAGCCGTCCTCGGGGGTCCCGGGCTGCTCCGAGTGCGGATCCAGCAACCCGGACAACGGCGACGAAGCGTCCGTCTTCCGGCACGTCTCGGACCTGGCCACCAGCCTCAACCTGAGCAGCCCGCGGTACGAGGTCGTGCCCGACAGCGAGATGCCCGGCTTCTTCCGCGGCTGCCCCGTCTTTTCCCCCGCCGACATGGTGCCGCGCGACCTGGGCCTCGTGAGCGGCGTCCTGGGCAAGAAACAGGCCAGGCTGCAGGTTGCCGAGAAGGTGCTGGAGTGGCTCGAGGCGGAGAGGCGGAAGCGGAGGGATGTTTTTGACAGCCTGTACAGAAAGAAGTCTTGAAGGGGACTGCTGTACAAAGTCCTGGACGATGGCCTCGTTGGATGGAGGATAGCCAGACATCCAAGCCTGACACGAGCTAGGTTACTACTTGGTCCAGAGGAGGCCTTGGGTATAATCGAATGTCTTATTCCCGTGTCCCTTGTCAGGGCTGGGGTTAGGCGCAAGATGCCGGCTTCTAGTGGTGGCGTGGTGGATGCCTCGCGTTGCTCGTAAAGAGTGCCAGATCACTCGTCATGTTGGCGGCCACCTTGCCCTCCCCCTCCCCCTCCCCGTCCTCGTCCGCCACGTCGTCCGCCCCCTCCACCACGGCCCCGAGGACCTTTGCCTTGCGGCACCCTCCCCTTGATGCCCGCCGGCAGGTCTGCCTTCTTCTCGCCATCCTCCCAAAGCACGCCGACGTCCATCTTTCGGCCCGTGACCTTCTTGAAGAACCTGGTGCTGAGGAGGCCGCCGTCTTGATTCCCCTCGGTCAGCACGACGCCATTGTCGCTGCGCCACCACTTGACCCCCTCGCGCAGGCTGCCCTCGACGTCAATCTCGATGACGAGCTCAGCATCTCGCCTCATGCCGCTGACGACAGCCGGCCCGCCCTCGCCGCTGTCGTCCGGGTCGCCCGTCGAGCAGTGCACGTGGTTGCGCCCCATGGGCTTCAGCCCGCCCGCCGCCTCGATGGCCGGCCAAAAGGCGAAGTAGGTGCCGTGCAGGACCCTCAGCGGCACGTCTTCCAGCGTGATGGGCTCCAGCAGCGTCGACGAGTCCAGCTTGATCGAGTGGCCCTGGTTGGCGCGCACCAGGTAATCCGCCGCGCTGGCGCCGGCCGTTGACGGGTCCGGGTTGGTGGTCTCCGGGTTGAGCTTGAGGGAGAAGCGCTGCTTGTCGTTTGTGGCGACGAGGGACTGCACGTCTGCAAGGGTGACCTTTAAAGACCGCAAGGGGCCCCATGCGAGCTTTTGCGCGACCGTGTTAGCCATGGCGTGCTTGTGGATGCTTGGCGTCCCTTCTTGCTCAACACACTCTCATCTTTCTCTCGGACCTTTGCTCGCCGGCTCTTTTTGAGACGACTTGACTGGCTCTCGACACCGCACCTGTAGGCCAGAAACCCAACGCTTCCCCGACCCACAGCATACGGGGGAGTTGAAGCACTCACCACCTTGTCCAGCGGCGCAAACCCCTCACCATCCAGCTTGATCCCGGCCCTCTCCGCCTGGTGCCTCAGCAGCCGAGACAGCGTCCTCGAGACCTGCACATCCCGTCCTTGCCCTGTGCCGCCGCCGCTTTTTGCTGCGCCCCCGCGGCCGCCTTTCCTCTCGCGGCTCTTGGCGGCTTCATCGCAGACCCTGTCCTCGAGGGCTAGGCGGGCCATCCCTTCCGAGTTACCGCCGGGCTCGATGGAATCCGCCATCCTTCCGGCCCGGGAGGCGTCTGCGTGTCCTGGACGACGGGTTTGATGTTCTAGAGCTCGTAGTTGCTCGTCTCCCTGGCCCCGTACTGCTGCTGCTGCTGTTGTCGTTGAGAGCGGTGCTAAAGCATCCCTAGCCTCTCCAAAGTAGCCCGTGTTTCGCCGATTTAATGGGATGGATTTGTGTCCAAGGTGCTTGAAGGACCGCGTGAGCCGCATTTGTTGCGCCGAGATCGTTTATATAGCTTCCAAGTTGAGATGCGAGGTCAAGTTTTGACTCGAGTGCAGTCAACTCGTTTGGTTCGGTGAGTCAGCAGCAGCCCGTCCGGACCCTCACTCACTCATCCCTCAGATGGCACAGCACATGAGCTCGATACCAAAGGGAACACCATCTCACGGTCCGCACGCACGTTTTAAGGGCCAACCGATGCAGTCGGAGTTGGTTGGTGTGGCCAGTCGACTGCGGTAGGCCTCAATTTCATCTTCAAACTGCAATGAAGGCAGGCCTACTCATGCCATCATCAGTGAGCCAGTCACTGGATATCCATCCTTGAAAGGCAAAAGATGAATGAGCTACAGTTGCAGGTGCATATTGATTAAACTTTTACTTCATCCACGCTCATCAAAGACCAGGCTCAGCCGCCTTCACCGTCTCCGCGCTCCGTCCACCGTCTCATCAGGGGTCAAGTCGCCGACTCTCCTTGTGCTTCTGTCCGCCATGTGAGCGCGCGGCCTTTCCTTCCATCAACGTGACGGAGACGGATTTGAAGGAGGAAAGAAACGGCTTCAAGCCGGTGTACAACAAATCATCAAGATCAGCCCATCCCGTCCGTCGTCAATCGTTAAGTCCACGGCGCTCAGTCACGGCACGCGTGCACAACACCTCGAAAAAAATGACAACGCCGTGACAAAAGAGAAGGGAAGAAACTTAAAGCGGATACATTGTACAGTCGTGACTTCAGGGGCACGTTGTCGTCTAAACGTCATCTATACCCACCAGCCATCGTAGCTGAGGACGTCGCAGATATCATGCTGTCCCGACTGAGCCTCTTGATGCTCAGGCTATTCGCCCTGAGGTGCGATATACCCTGGCTCAGAGGAGGCGCCCTCGGTCCGTGTTCCTCGCTTGCCCGAGCGGGGGTATCGTGGTCGGCCACCGACCTTTCGAGATACCGTCTAGGCAGTGCGGGGCTCCCGCCTGCAGGGGCGGCCAGGCGGGAGGAATGGAGGGTCGTGGAAACGAAGCGGCGCCCGGACAAGCCAGTTGCAGACCGTGCCATGGGGTCGGGCGGGGTGATCTGCGCGTCCGGGGAGTGATCGTGACCCTGCTTTCGCATCATGTTGATATCGGTGTTGGCGCGGGATGGCGCATGAAATCTGGCTTCGTCGCCCTCTTCGCCCACTGTCCCCCTGCGGTTCCGCACCAGGAGTGACGTCCTCCGCCCTTCATCGGGCTCTTCCGTCCCCGCACGCCGGGTTCTCAGGAGAGACGTATTTCTGCCATCCTCGGGTTCCTCAGCGCCCGCCCTTCGGGTTCGAGTGACCATCAGCGATGATCTGCGGCTCGCGTTGGGTAAGTCGCCCATCGTGGAACGGTTTGGGCTGCTCGTATGTGGGGTGAGCAGGGTTGTTCCGTTGAGGAGACTATTCCGTCGCTCCTCCAGCCGGGACAGGGCCCTTGGGCTGCTGTTGGATTTGGGCAAGGCCTGCTCGGTGGCGACGCTGGCTCGGCGGGGCACGGGCAGCCCGCTGAACGACTTGGGCATCGTCGGAGTCACCGGGCCGTCGAGCTGGCCGACGGGGAAGGTCAACTGCGTTGAGTGAGCAGATCTGGGAAGAGCCGCGGCGTCTTCGCCGAGGGCGACGCACAGCTCCGTTAGACTGCGACACACGCCGTCGGCTTTTCTGCGAAGTTGGCGATCGGTGACATTGCCCCCCGACCCGATGGTGCTGGCTCCGCTGGAAATAGGCCCCGGGGTCCCCGTACTCCCCATCAGGGCCGAGAGTCCCATGGCGTCATGAGCCGCGGACTCGAGCGCTCGGTAGACGTCTGGGTTTAAAAAGGGCCTCGACTTGGCAAGGGCCGAGTGGAGGATGTGATGGGCCTCCTTCTGAGAGGAGACGTTGCTTGCCATTTCCGCCGATCGCCCTGCCTGCCGATTCGGCGACAGCGATATGGTCGTGCCCGTAGTTGTCGCCGTCGCGGGCCGCTCGTCTGACAGCCTCGAGGTTGCAGTTCCAGAGCTCGAGGGTAACTTGCCCGTGTGCTCGAGGCGGTGGATCCTTGATTTGAGCTCGTCCAGCTCGTCCCAAACCGTAGATGGGGCCGTGGTGGACGCCGTCGACTCTGTCCCCTCGATTCCATGAGGCTGCTCAGGGCTGGGCCGGTTTTGCGAGTCATAGGTTCGGACCAGGGGTGAAGAGTTGTAGGCTTTGTGGTGGCTTGGCCCTGTTGCGGAGCTCTTGTGAGACGACGACCGACTCGTCGCCACGGGGCTGTTGCCATCGGTGATGGAAGCACGCCTGCGTCCGTAGCCCGAGTTGTCCGGGTTTGGATCCTGGAAAGCCACCTGGAGAGAGCGGGAGACCAGCGGGGAGGGACGCAGACTAGTGCTCGAGGCTCTCGCTCGGCCTGCGTACGCGTCTTCGGCGGGATGGGCCGAGGCTGTCTTCTCCCTTGCCAGTGTTCGATAGGCTGTCGCACGTGAAACATCGGTCGCCTGGTCGTCTTCAACATCCCCCAGCCGAGGCCGATCTCGATGGTCAGAGAGCCGGCGACTCAGCGGCGGCGGTGATGTGGAGTGATATCCCGCGACAGCGGTCGAGAGTGGGCGTCGGTGCAACGAACGATGCGCCCGGTACTGCTGTCGAGTCAATCTCCAAGAACTTTGCACATGCATCACCGCAAGAGAAGTACGAGTCGGGGGAGGCCGCGGCCAAGACAGCAGTCAGGTGTGGTGCGGCTCACGAGTTGTGTGGCACTGGCCTCGCAGTGGACAACCGAGGGAAACCTCGCGATGAGGCCACGGCACGACTTGGCCACATGGCACCCAAACAGAATATGAAACAGGGGGGCGACTCGATGAAGGAAGGGCTTACACTTACGAACGAGTTCTGCTTGGTGTCGGCATTAGCGTCATCCGCCGCACCGCGCGCAGGCTCCTCTCGAGCGATCCTGAGGAAGACATCGCCAGTGTCGTCGCCGCTCGGGCCTTGCTGCCGAAGGTTGGGGCCGGTTGCGGAGACGTGCAGGGCATTATCGTCATATCTCCCCTCCAACGCGCGAAGGGTCCGGTCGTCAGCCATGCCGTCGGGGCGTGGTCTGCAGTTGTCTAGCGGGAAGCTCCTGCGCGAGCTGGAAGAGCGAAAGGCCCGGATGGGCGGGACGCGGACGGGCGTCGAGGCACCGCGTCGGGCGCTGCTGCTGTTGGTGGCGGAGAGCTTATACGAGACCGGAGGGCGGCAGGGCGACGAATGCCGACTCTCATCTGAAGAACTAGACTGGGACAGTCGCTTGGGCAGAATCAACTCCCGCTGGCCGCGAGCGCAGCCGCTGGACGATGAGGCGCGAAAAGATTGGCTGCTCCGGGCGGCGGCTTCGACGACGTGGCGACGCTGGGTGCCGAGAGACGGCGGAGTGCAGCCTGACGTCGAGGCGCCGTGGAGGGTGCGGGAAACCGGCGCCCAATGAGTCCGAGGCTTCGCAAAGTCAGTCTCGGCCGATCTTGAAGACGGCGACCAGGAGGGCGACGAGGCGGGAGACGAAGACGACGACGACGAGAAGGAAGACCGGTCTGCGACGACAGATGGCACCTCGGAAGTGGGTGAGGGGCGTTGGACGGCGGGAGGGGTGTCGTCGACAGGCTCAGCGGCGGCAAGGACGGTTGAGGGCGCAATGTGCAAGGTCGAGTGCAAGGTCGAGAGCGAGGCCGGGCGCATCGCCACGTCTGACGAAGGGCGTTGCAGGCGGCCGTGCTCGTCATGCACGAGTCCGGTTGGGGCTGATGGGGCCTGCTGAGGTGCCGGATCTGGATTGGACGAGAGGGGCGGGGAGGGGAGAGAGTCCGGCTGCGTCAGGGACGACAACAACAACAAGGCTGGGGGCTTGCGGGCGACTGCAGGCTGGCGATGAGGAGGAAGCGGCCTCGGGCTGAGTCTCTCTGACGATGAAGAGGGCGCATCGACGGCCGGGTGGGCTTGGTGGTTATGGCCATGTTCCCCGCCATCGTGGGCGCGCCATTTGTTGCTGCCCGAGTCAGGACGAGGTTTGGCGGCTGCGGCAGTAGCGGCAGGCGCTTTGCTGCCCAGACTTTCAGCAGCCAGAGCGCTGGGGACGGCGGGGCCAAAGGGGCCCGCCGCTATGAAACCGCCCGCTTCTGTCATTGCGGCAGCATCTCAATCGAACCGCTAAAAACCGGCGTTTTGTTTTTGGGGCCTGATTATTCAATGCGCCTCGCGTCCCAATGCACCGTCAGGGACAAGGGGCCGGGGTTGGGTCGCACTGCTGTCTGCAGCGCTCAATGCGCTCACGTGAGAGAGGTGCTGCTGCTCGGCTGTCGTCATGCGATGCGACTCAGTCGGCGGCTTCCTCTTGCACCGAAGCAGTTGTCGATGGGCCTCGGCAACGTCCAAGGGTCTTCTGCGAGATGTGATGGAGCTGCGGGAGGGGAGGGAAAATAAAGAGATACGGGAAGGGGGGGGGCACAGGCAGGTCCCTGGAACGAGTGCTATCGCGGCGAGACACGGACGAATGAGCGACAGGCAGGCAAACTTCCGGGCCGATTTGTCCAGCAGAGCTCGTCGACCAGAAGCGAGGCCGGGGAGGAACGAGGACCCGCGGGAGGCAACTATGGGCGCAGACAGGTCGAGCAAAGGCCCACGATCTTGGCCCTGGAGCCTTTTGAGGGGGGAAGGGGAGGATGAGGAGAGAAGGACGAGACAGAGCTCTACATATCAGGCAGGGTAGGTAGGCGAGATGGTTTGACGGCACAGGCATAACAGATTAGCAGATAACAATAAATACAGGTCATTGGCGCAAAAAACATGGAGTCAAAGGTACTCATTTGGAGGCGCCCGCGGGCGAGGGGCCCTTGCGAAAGGAGACACGGCTCTCTTTTTCTTTTTCCCTTTCCCTCTCTCTCAGCAAAAGACGGTGCCGCAGCCGCTATGGGGGGTTAGCGAGTGCATGCCATGATGCGAGTGATGGTGGGCAAGCCAACGACCACAAGGGCCCCCCCGGCCCAGCCGCACAAACCCCCCTGGCAGGCCGCCCACGAGGGACGAAGAGAGGCGGCACGCGCATGCACAGAACCGCGGCGACACGAGTCTCAGTCGCCGCCACGAGTCTCGAGTGTGGTGTGGTGTGGTAACAATGGTCCGCCGTGGACGAGGCTGTTCATCAGAGACACAAAAAAACGACAGTCGCGGATCCATCACACACACTCACACGGGGGCTCGAGTAGGTAATTAATTACCTTTGGTTCGCATTGCATGTACGGAGTATGTATGTGCACGCATGCACGCGCGCATGCGCATGCAGTCTCTCTCTCTCACGCCTCATCCTCGCTCGCTTCTCTCCATGCGCGCAACGGCTTCGTTCAACCGGTTGGGAGCGTCGAGGTTCCCGCCCCCGCCCCCGGCCCCGACCAGCTCATCAAACCCGTCATCATCAGCATGTGCATACAGACGTAAGCTAGTCGCGCACGAGAGCGGATCAGAGCCCCTGGCGGCTGCACGGCAGCGGTGGAGAAGCCAATGAATGAGCCGGCGCTGCATCTGTGTCGTTTCCGACAGGAGGAAAAGGGCCAGCTGACGAGGGAGCGCCCGGCGGCATGGCTCATTGATACTCGCGCCTCGATGTACTGTACTGCAACTCCGGCCTGGCTGTCGTCATGGCCCTGCCTGTATCCCGTACAAGGAGGCGAGACATGGCGATGGAGCTCGAAGCCGCCAACCCCAGCCGCTGTGCAAGCAGCCTGAGCTTCGCGAAGCGCGTGCCCGGGTACGGGCCCTCGGCTGGTGGGCTCGAGATTGAGCTGTTGCCCCATCCCTCTTCTTCATTAATCCGAGGCATTGGCCCCGGCTGTTGCTGTTGCTGCTTTGATTATGGCGGACCGGCAGCAAGGTTGTCGCGGTTGATAATTTGCAGCAAGGCGCACGCACGGCTGATTCATCCAGGAGGAGACACATACACATGCACAAGCGTGCTTTGGAAACACAACTAACCGTATGCGGCGTGTCTTGCTGTTGGTGTGAGGGCCAACAAATGCGCGGCGGCATCGCGCGTCTAGGCCGTCCCCGAGCAGGCAGAGTGAGAGGGAGCGCTCAGGCAGGCGCCCGTGGCGACGCGGAGCCACGACAATCATCTTCTTTTTTGTTTTTCCTTCTTCGAGCCATTGAACCGTTACCATGCGTACACGTATTCGTACGTGCAGAGCTGAAATGCAGTCCCAGGACAGGTGCCGAAGGCCAGCACGTTGATTGGCATGTGTGCGGCTCGTGCTTCTTGATGAATGAGTGTGTATCGCGATAATGATGGCGTCCCCGGATATTGCCTGCCTCACGGACTGGAGGAGCTTCATCTTCTGCGCATGTGCGAATCTCGTGGGGTCGATTCGCCCCTTTCTTTTGGCAGGGCTCGATTGTTTCCGTCTCAGCCACCGCCTGGTGTCTTCCTGACAAAAGGAAGCAAGCACCAGGAGGGCTTCGTTTTGTCCCCGTAAATTACACAATGCACGTTACGTGTAGATGTGCAGTAAGGTGGTTGTTGCGAACTGGAATGCAAGGTACGGGCAGTGAGGTTGGATGGATGCAGATGCAGGACGCACCCAACCGAAACACGCCGGCCTTCAGAGCCGTCCCGGGTCCGCGAGCTTGGTAGGTAGCAGCAGGAGATGCAATCACGATCTCAAGACGCCCCTTTTTTCCGCATCTCGTCTCCAGCCTGGGCTGCATATCCGCCTCGAGCCTGGGCTGCATATCCGCGGGCCCGCAGGCTACAAGGCAGACGGATCGACTGTTCAAGAGCCCATCCACGGCGATGGCGGCGATTAGTGGCAGAGAAGGGTTGCTGGACAGCTCGTGTAGAGGCGGGACCTGTTGAAGCCCCAAGTTATCCTGGCCAGCTCCGTCCGGGGCGGATCAACGACGCCCGAGTCTAATGTCCAGGGTAGCATCATAGCCCAGTGCCGGCGGGGACCTGTGTCTCTTCGTCTGGCCTTGAGTCTCACCAGCCGCTTTCACCTTGTGTGCGATCCTCCGCCACGCAAGACCCATCACGAATAGCCGCAAACAGTTGTCGCAGCACCCGTGGTTTCGCTGAACCAATAGGTCCGTCCTCGGTGACACGCTCGCTGCGGGCCGGAAGTCGTGCCTGGTCAGAAACGCTTGCGGGACGATCCCTAGGCACTCGAGCGAGCATTCGGGCCAAGGGTGAAGGAAGAACGTGGCCGAGTGGAGGAGTGCAGCTCGAACTCGACACTCAGCCCGGCTATTGAACGGCTCTGCCCTGCCGCGAGTATCGAGAGTGCTTGACCTCTTTTCCTTCCGAACCGCTGCCACCTGCGGCATCCGTGGAGTAGGTATGATGGGGCCACCAACGGTTTGCGCTCACCAGCAAGCCCACCTGGACCATGTTTCCACGATGATATGAGGAGATTGGAGCCGTTTCACGTTGCGAGAAATGACATCAGCCAGGGGTTCCCCGCTTCAGACCATGTCGTACTATCGCAGGCCTCGGTATATTTGCCCTGCTGGGGATAGCAAGGTTCCGAGCCGCCCGCGGCTGCGTCCGCTGGTCCGTTGGTCAACGACAATACCAGGCTCCATCTGGGGTGCGTTTCATGCTGCCACTAACAACGCTCGAGGGGAATAAATGCCACTCGTTGCTGGGGCCCAGGAGGACCCCTAGCGAGCACAGTCCATTCCAGTACCAAGTTGGCATCGCTCATGGCTCCCAACCCTTGTTCGGGAGGGGCGGGCAGATGAGATTGTGATGAGCCCTTGTGACGCGCAGAAGCGCCCGCGTAAAGCGCCCTTTTTATTGCCCGGTCCTGCGTTGCAAGTGGCACGGCAAGTTCAACGTCCACAACAGGGACAGCGGAGCTTGCTTGCTTGCCAACTGGGCCCACGTTGCTCATGTGTGGACAGCGTGATCGACGCCAGACCCGGACTTGACGCCAATATTTGTCGCTTTCCTTACCTTGGTTTCGTCCGCGCTGCGTCTCTATCCTCGGATCATCGGCCGGGCGTATTGTTGCGTCCATCAAAGGGCCAGCCACTATGAATAGAGCTGTACCCCTATAGCGGGTATGGCCTCGGCGGTCCACAGAGGGAGGAGCGCTAAGCCGCGCGCATCAAAACAAGCTCACCTCTAGGGAGAGGACCCCTTCCAACCCGAAGGAAGGCTTCCACGCTTGGGCGGAGAGGAGGATTGACCGCTCGAGACGAGGCACACGCCTGTGGCGTTTGAACTCTTGATTTCAACAGAGCGAGGAAGCCTTGGCCACGGCACACCTAACCCTGCACCTGATCTACCCGTCTGATACGTGAACGCTTGGTCGGCGAGTGCGGATGGCCGTGAACCGTTGGCTGCAATCGTGAAATCAGAGCCCATGTCTCTTGAAGGACCAGACATTGACTCTTCATGAAACTCGGATGCAGAAGGAATCCAAAGGCAAAGGGCGAAAGAATGTGGAGGGTGGCGGTGCTCGGATAGAGGAGAGGAATAGAGTTGTGCGGGAGACGCTATTGTCCTGCTGTATGAGCTTAATAATAGTAGCAAGCCTGGTGACGACGCATCACCCCGAACCATCGTTGCTGTCCCGAGGCGCTCAACACAGTGCAGAGCGCAAGGTGGCATGGTCCATCGGCAGTCTCCGTTTCATGGACAGTTTCCCCACCTTGCGGATTCTCGTCACGCGCAAAGCTTCAAACCGCTCAGAATGCCTCACACGACACCTCGTTGACTCATAGAATATGCGCGGTTCGTGTTTCTCCCTAGAGGATTGAAAGACGCTGCTGCAGCGGCAAGGCAGCTTTCGACTCGGCTTGCCACCACCTCGCAACGGACGGAAAGTGCATCCTCATACAGTCCTATCACCTGATTGGCACATGCAAGTGCATCTGTGATACGGGCGAGCGCGCGAAGCCAACGCGAAACAGCAGCTGCCGACCCAACGATGATCCCCGGCAGGTCTTATTAGCTATGTACCTACTGTACCGAATACTGAATAGCAACAAGTCGAGAATCCTACTGTACAGCGAGGTACTTGACCACAAACTGTGTACCTTTGCTAGGGCAGAGCCCACAGCACGAGGCGAGGTACTCTGCGCTGGACCCGGGGCATGAATGTGCCCTCGGGTTTTAGCTCTGCACGAGCTGCGAGAATCCCTGCCGAAAATGTACCTAAATTTGGACACATCTGTGTGATTGGTCAGACGCTGCCGTCTGGCATGCTGCGCCTAGCTATTTTTAGGTATCTGACCCTCCAAGCTTCTTTCTTGCCACTGCACGACGCTGCGCCTTACCCCTGAGGGCTTGAAATGGAAGCAGACTTGTCCTCTCAACAATGAGCCAGTTGGGATGGATGCACTGTACTTGCCCCCCCCGTACTGCCATGGTAAACGGGCACGTGCCACGGTTGATAATACAGTGAGTGTCTGGCTTCGTGGGCGGAAAAGTCATGTGCCCTGTTTTGGAATTCGCCTGGTCTACCAGAAGTCTACTTCGTGCCTGGGTTTACAGTGCCCAGACCGCACTGTACATGCCTAGGCAGCCTTGTGTGCCTCATTCCCGCTCTTTCAGAGCAGGCTATGTTCAGCACCGACAGAGAGAAGGCCCTCTGCATACTCTGGAGCCTTCGTCCGTGGCGGCAAATAGAGGTAGCTCTTTGCAGGCCAGGTGGCCGCCGTCCACTTCGTGCGAGGGGGAAACTTGTGCCCGCCTTACTCAACGGCGGGAACCTGCTCGGGCGGGCTCCCACACACTGTGCCGGGTCCGTCGTTTGCCAAACAAAGTGCCTTGGCTAAGGTTCTTAGGTTTCGAGTACCTACCTAAGCCCGCCACCAGCATGCAAGCCGCCGTCCACTGCACCGCTTGGCCTCCATTTCATGCGCCACTCCCCTCCAACCAGTCAGCCACTAACCGTACAGTGCGTGCTTTGTTGCCATAATGTACCCGCGCCGCGCCTCCCCTCGGTGCCTCCCCCCCAAACTGGGACTGACTGGACCACCACAACCGTCGTACAGTTCGGTGGGCGGTACCTTGCTCCATGTACTTTTCAGGCCAAGCCCTGGCCGCCGCTGCTGTCGACTCCTCCGATTCCGTCCCGTCCATTCGCCCATTCGCACACTCTCGCTTTATCCAAGCCATCCTTCCATCCCTCCCTCCCTCCCACGCTCTCTCTCCATCTCCCTCCTCCGGCCGCCTTCGCCTCCGTCGCCGCCCCGGTCGTCGACGACCAAAACCTCCAACGGACAGCACAGGCAGTGACAGGGCCATGTCTTTTTTCCTGCTCTAGACGGCTTCTTTTCCCCCTTCCGCACACGGCCCTTTAAGCGCCGATCGAGCCTCTTGTCTCACCTTCGACTTCCGCGCTCATTCCTTCTTCCCACCTCTCCCTTTCCAGCTCGACTGGCCTGGTTCGACGACGACAAAGAGCCGACGAAGACACGGCTCGTCCCCCCCTTCGTGCCTGACGATCACTGGTCCCGACCTTTCCGCCCTCGTGGGTTATTTGCACCGGCGTTGTCCAGCTGCGGCGCTCTCGGCCATCCCCTCGGTCGCCTCTTTTCTTGCCTGGTGGAAGGGGCCCACGGCACTGCTTATTTCCTCTTCAGCCTCGGACCTTTCTCTCAAACGTCGATTGACCGGATTCAGCAGCGCTGTCCTCTCCAAGTCGACCCCGATCGCACCGTGCTTCGCGAAATCGCTCCTTTCAGACCGCCCCGTCCAGTCCTTACCATCGTCTACTTGTGTTCCTCCAGCGAGGTGAATATTTTCCTTCTCCAGGGCCTTCTCTAGTACTGGCCGCGCGTTGTCGAGCGGACGGAAGAGCCGGGTCATTCCGGAGAAGGCCACAGACGTCGTCGCAGACAAGGAACACGGCGACGAAGCGACGCGATATCACGGAATCATGCCGTCGGCCGCGGCCCGTCGGATATACGAGGACCAAATACCATCATTCATGTCAGTCTTTGATCTCGACGCAGAGACCATGGCCGACCGCGAAACCGTTACACTTGTCGACCCTAGCAGGCTGGCCGGGATGGAGCCCAAGGCGCCTGCCGCCCTGGATCCGCCAGCACAGCCAGGCCTCGGCCTGAATGCGATGCCGTCGGAGGCAGCCCACAAGCATCACGACAGCACGTCAACACAAATGTCGGAATCGACAGACTCCTCACCCACCACGACGCTCTCGACCACGGACTCGTCGCCGCTATCCGACCCATCGCCCTCGTCATCCCCCGATTCTCCCATTAATTTAATACCACTGGGTAACTATCCGTCTACCACCTTCGGATGTCATGTTCCCCATGGCACCATGCTCAGCATTCCTGAGGCAAGCACGTTGGAGCGTCCCATGACGTCGCCCGCCCCTCGTCGGCCTCGCAATATGAAGGGCTTGTCTATCCAACCCCCTGCGTCTCTGACGGTTGCCTCGAGGACCTTGGCTACCGAGCCGTCCTCTCCTTCATTCACCTTTATCAAGCCCAAGATTCCGACCATGAAGCGGAAGCCGAGTCAGCTCAGCCTCAAGACAAGCACTTCGGATCTGATGACCAAGACATCAACGGAGATGCCGGCATCTCCAGCAATGCCTCCAATTCTACATCGCCGAGCCCTCAAGCACTCGACGTCTTCGCCCCACATGCTTGCAGGCCTCAAATCCTCCACCTTCGGGCCACCGGGCGGAATGATGTTTCCCAAAGTGCTAGAACGCAATGAATCAGGCTTATCGAAGGTTCTGCGCCCTATGAAGCCCGCCGAGGATGTTGAAATGGATACGGTCGTGTCCGAGACCGAGTCGCCGATCAAGACCCAGCTCGCCCATCGAGCCGACCACGAGCCCCACGACGGCAGCGTCAACAACGAGGATCAGAAGTCGCCAGGATACTCGGACGGCCCCGTGGCTATCTATGGCGACGATGTCTTTCTCTATATGGAGCCGACGGCGGAGGAGGCATCGCGATTCGACGTCGTCATCAACGTGGCCCGCGAGGTTAAGAACCCGTTTGACGTTGTGCAGTCAACTCAACAAGCCTTTGCTTGGCTTGGTCAGTCTCTGCAAACCTCGCCTCCAGGAGAAAGTCCCATACCCGATACAGGCCTCACCACGGCTAGCTTTGCGACGGCCTTTGAGTTCCCGCCGCTCGACGACAAGCCGTCAGAGACGCCCACTACTCCCAAAGCGCACACTTTTAGGGCCCCCGAATACATCCACATTCCGTGGGACCACAACACGAACATTGCGCCCGATCTGATGCGTCTGTGTGAAACAATCGAGAGCCGAACAAGAGAGGGCAAGAAGGTGCTCGTTCATTGTCAGCAAGGAGCCAGTCGATCGGCGAGTCTCATCATCGCCTACGGCTTGTACCGAAACCCCGACCTGAGCCTCAATGATGCCTACTACGCGGCGCAAGCCAAAAGTCGCTGGATCAGCCCGAATATGAAGCTCATGTACGCGTTACAGGACTTTCACAAGGAATTGACCGAAAAGCGATTGCAGCCGACGTCTGCGTATCGACCGAGGACGAGCCGTAGCCCAACCAAACACAGGCTCACGCTCTCGGTCGACGCTGCCGAGATGGCGTCCAAGGAGCCCCGAACTGCTCCCCTACCAGGTGAGAGCGATCGCGCCGGCAACGACGGCTCGGAGCACAGCCCGCAGCGCACCCGGGGCGGCTTGACGGCTGAGGCCAATATTCTGTCCTCGGGTCCGGCCTCAGCACCGCTAACCTGTACGTGGAGGGATCAAGTGCAGGAGAAGCCCCTTCAGCCAGTCACCAGTTTGAAGCTAGATGAGCTGCCTCAGCGGCCAAAGTGGGATGCGACAAGCTTTGGACCGTGCTCGATCATGCCCGACGCACCACAGGAAAGTACGACAAGTCAAGCGGACCAAGCCCCTGTCTTGTTTTCTGGCCTTGACTCATCGAGCCCGGATCGAGCCGAATCTGAGAACACGGGATCTGAAGGAGACGAAAGCCTCGAGAGGACGGTGATTGTGGTATCAGCGTGTTCTGATGATGAGGCTCTCATGTCACCTCGAGCTGAAACCATGACCAACAACCCCCTTCACGGCTTTACCCGTGTTGCTGGGATGCGGTTCGTCGAGTCGCCTGCGACGCCTACGGCGGGCCTCTTTTCTCCTAGGGACGTCATGTTCCCTCGAGATCCTTTCTCATACTTTGGACGGCCTTCGAGTTTCGGACGGCCCCCTCAAGTAGCCGACCCACGGAGTCCACCAATGCGGGGCGAGGCGCCGATCATTCGCTCAATTGACGACATGATATGAGGCTCGACAATGCAATACAACCATCTACGACCCTCGCCACTTTGGCAGGTCAATTCGACGTGCAATCTCGCGCTCTCGGTGAGAACGGCTCCGCCGACAGTCTACTCGGAACGCACCTCAGAACCCTCCCTCGATGCTTTTTGAAATTGTTTGCATGGCATTTGCAGGCGTCTCGCGTGCGCACACCAGGAGTTTTTATACCCCTTTGCACACAATACGGATCGTGGACCCGTGCGCGTATGCGCGGGACACGTTGAAAATTAGGGAATACGAACATGATTTCGCATGCAGTAATCTTCTTGTCCCTTCTTGATCTCCCATCGCTATTACCGCGCAATGGAGCATGTCACTTGAATTCGATTCTGAGAAAAAAGCGACCGACGATTTGACGAGGTCGCTGGCGGTACCACAGGCCGTTTATTGCCGTGCGCTGTCGATTTCACCGAACGCACGCTGCTTTAGTGATGATTTGAGACGAACGAGAGTCAGTTCCGGTTGTCATGTTCATCTGGGCTTATGGGCATTTTTCATGGGTCTTGGCAAGGAGCAGCCAAGTCGGATACATAAGTAGGAACGGACAAGGAACGGCGAAGGCTATATACGTTTGATGACCGCTGCGTGAGATGAGGTAGTTGGTGCATCCAAGCTATGGGCGCATACCGGGCGAGGCCCTGGCTTTGGAGTGGTTTGGGTTGATAAACGGCAGCCGTGGACGGGCTGTGTATGCGCACGAGCCATCACGGCGAGCGAGAGGACAAAGAAATCTTAGCAGTAATCAGAGTCTAACTATCTCTTGAGAGATGCGCGCCTCGTCCTGCACTGACTTAACATGCCGTGTCGTTGTAGCCATCGAGGATCCTGAATGCGCCATGCGCCAAGTCACAAAGGCGATGCAAAACACCGTCCATCTATCCATCTATATAGCACCCGTAACCTACTCCACGGCGTCTTCCAACTTGATACCACTCAGGGGCCTTTCGCAAGAACCTATCACGAGAGAGGAAAAAAAAAGCCAAAATCCGAGCGAGGTCAGGACTCCTTCTTGGAGGACGGGGCGGCGGCGCGCTTGGCGGCGTCCTTGGCCATCTTCTCCTGGCGGGCGATGGCGGCCTCGACGCCAATGCCGCCAAAGACGAGGGCTACGCCGAGCCACTGCATGCGGGAGAGGCGGTGGCCAAAGGCGACGACGGACAGGATCATGGTGAACATCTTGCGCGTGACGGTGACGGTGACGAGGAGGACCGAGGAGAAGGTGGAGAGGGTGTAGACTGCGCGCCCCACACATCCAGGCGTCAGTAACACGAAAGTGAGGCTGCTACGCTGTCCATGATGTAGCCAAGGAGAATGAAACGTACAGATAAAGACCTGGCCGACGGCGCCGCACGCCGCGAAGCCGAGGACGTCCTTCCAGACCGAAGGGTAGCGGGCCATGAAGCCGAGGGCGCCGCCGAGCTCGCCCGCGGAGCCGGCCACGTCCATGCCGAGCCAGTCGCCGACGCCCGTGGCGACGAGGAAGGGGCTGGCGACGAGGTAGAAGCCCGTGACGAGGGTGCTCATGACGTTGTTGGCGCACATCATCTGCGGGCCGCTGTAAGGGCGAAAGGTCTGGAAGATGTAGTCCTGCGTGCTGTTGGTCAGGCCGTCGAAGAGCAGGTTGATGGAGAGCAGCAGCAAGCCCCAGGCAAAGCTGTTGGATCCGCCGTCGCCGCTCGACGACGACGGCTTGTGCTTCTTGCGGCCCGAGTGCAGGGTGAAGACGGCGACGCCGGCCGTCACGGCCGCGACGACGAGGTATTTGTAGAGCGGGTAACGCCTGCGGAAGAGGGTGATGTGGAGGAACATGACAGGCAGCAGCTTGCAGCTCTTGGCCAGCAGAAAGGTGATGTAGTCAATGTGCGCCAGGCTCGCGTACCCAAAAGGGCTGGCCAAGCTGCTCGTCACGGCCACGAGCGCCAGCGGGCCGAGGATGCGGCGTGACGGGATCACGGGTGCCACGGCCGCGCCGCGCGGCGTCGACAGTCTCAGGTACACGAACCCGACCGCCGCGGCGAGCACCGACTGCACCGTGTTGAGGAAGACGGGGAAGTGCCACCGCTCCGGCGCCGAGACAGGGCCGTATGTCGTCGTCGTCAGCTTCTCCTGCAGATAGGCCCACGTCAAGCTAATCCAGACGGCCATCGTCGTCAGCCACAAGTGGCACAGCAGAAGCAGAAGGGGAAAGAATAAGAGACGCGCCGAGAGCCGACTCACAAGGACGCATAGATGCCCGCGACCGACACGACGAGCTGCAGCAGCCCGGCAGCCGGCTCGCCCACGACCCTCCCCTCGACCGCCCGCCCCTTGGCGCCGCCATTGGCCAGCACCCGCCCGTCTTTGCCGACGCCGTTGGCGTCCTCCCACGATGCCGTGCTCTTGTTGAAGTACTCGGACGAAGACTCGCGCCTGATGGCGGGCTGCTTCGCGCGGGCCATGGCTTGTGCGGGCGCGGGCCGCTCGAGCGCAGCGCGTGGCCAAATGAGGGCGATTTGGACGAGGTGAAGCAAATCCTTTCCGTTGCGCGGAGCCGAACGCGAGGAGCAGAAGCGAGAGTCTAGAACGGACGGAATTCACAAACTCATCCAGTTGAAGCGTTAAGAAGCTCGACCGGGCGGTGGAGGTGCGATGCGTTGGAACGTGCGACAAAGAGGAAACGACAGCGTCCGTCCAAAATCCCGCCGAACTTGACAGACTGGCTTTATCGGACAAGGAAGGGTGACGTCTACCCAGAAGAAACCACCTGGCTTCGCTAACTTTATCCTTACAACAGGGGGCCTTGAGCGGGGCCAGGGCAGGGGGCTGCAGCCGGGAGTTAGCGCTTCTCGTCCCGCCCTTGCAGCAGCCGCCTTCAGCACTTTAACCCTCGTCGTGAGCTGCCAAGCCACACTCACCCATACTCACCCACACTCACAGCAGTCACAGCAGTCACAGCAGTCACAGCAGTCACAGCAGTCACAAGCCATCCCAAGCACCAAGGCATTCAAGGAATGATGTCGTCCCTTTTGCGTACGGCATAACTACATACACTCCGTCGTGGCTTTCCCGAGCCCCCTCCCCGAGTTCTGCAATGACATAATCATGCCGTAGGGTATAGCCAGACTCCTAGTCGCCAACCAGCGATATCCGGGGTGGAGACCGTCAACAGTCAAGAAGTCAGGGGTATTCGAGGCCACCGATGTTTACTCCGTTTTGTCCGCAATTATGATAGCATTCCTCCGTCTGTGCCTGTCACCTCATTCGAGATGTCCGAAGCCCTTGAGTGATTGCCCGTGCGTCGTTCGATTTAAAGCCAAGTGAGATGTTGCGAAGGGGAGGAAAGGAAGAGGGGAGAAGGGAGACAGGGACTGATTGGGGCGGGCGTTGCTGCCTACAGACAATTCATAAACGGCGTTCCCAGGACTTGCCAAGACCAGACCCCAGGCAAAGAGCCGCAAACCAAGGTCTCGTTGTTGTCGAGTCAGGTTTAATCGCACCAGTCCTGACCGGAAGAGTCGATCATGTCGTCCTCGGACGGTGTCACCGAAGCCCCGCATGACAAGAACGAGAGGGGTTGAATCGAGAGAGGCAGTGCGCACAAAGACGAGCGACCAACTAGGCCCAAGCCGCAGAAAACAGGCTCGATGCTCGTCGCTCTCGACAGCGCGTCTCTGGCGATTGGTAATCTTGCTGCAAGGCGGCCCTAAGGCATGGTGAAGGACGGCGAGGTCGTAAGCATGAGCTCCTCTGCGGGGAATTGAGGAGACATGGTGAAAAGTTAATGGAAGGAGAAGACGGCAAAGAAAGATAGATGAAGGCGAGAAGAAAGATGACTAGGTCGAGTGCTTTTTTGTGGAGTTTTCTTCATCACCACGTCGTCCGGTCTCTGTTCCTGCGGAGAAGTTGAAGCCTCGCGGCAAGTCAGATCTGGTCATGTCTCAGTCATGAGCTTCCCAAAACCGATCCAAATACACCCCATAACAAAGCGGAACGGGAAGCGCAAAGCAACGCTCAGCAGGCCCTTGGCCATGGCTAAGCAGTTACTCCGGCTCCTGAACCTGGCTACGCCGCATCTTCTCGGCCTCGAGGTTCTCATACAGCAGGAACAAGGCCGATTCATTCGCCTTGGCTGTGCCCATGATGGTGAACATTCGCTCACCCGTCTCATCATGGGGAGCCTGGAAAAGTCAAGTCAGATTGTGCCTTGTTGGAAGCAGGGTAACGCCAGATCTACCTTGGCAATTGAGATGCGGGCCCCGGACGTCTTCCGGATCTCACTTATCTTGCTGCCTGCACGACCGATGATGCAGCCAACCATGTCGGCAGGGATACTGATGTTTTGGGTTTGGATTTCTTCCCCGTTCTCGTCGTGCGTGGGCGGTCCTCGCGAGGCTGCATCGGAGTCAGACCGGCGATTGAACGGGCGTCCGCCGCCGTTGCTACTGAAGTCGGCTCCGTTGCCGGTGCGCATCACGCGTGGACTGGCGTATTCGCCCCTGCCGTTGTTGTAGCCGGTACCGCCGAGACTGCCAGTGGCCCCAGGTTGCGTGCGAACGACGGGGTTGTAGAGGACAGTGCCGGTGCCGCGCTGCCAGTCATCAACCAGACACTTGCAAATCTCCCAGATGGCGCGCTGGATGCCTTCCGGGGTGCCTTGCACTTCGACGATCCGCTCGGTGGATTGTGGCAGCATCTCTTTCTGCGCGACCATGCGCACGCCAGACACGTCCTGGATGTGCTTGATCTTAAGGCCTTGTCTGCCAATGATGGTGCCCATCTGGTTGTGGGAGATGAGAAGCTTGATGGCTAATGGGGCAACGTTAGCAATGACTGGAGGCAGACGCGCCGAGGAGGATGAGGGATACGCACGGTGTGTGCCATTGCTCTGCGCAACGCCGCCCATGCCCATGGCAGGCGCGCCCTCGAGCAATGCGCGAGCTACTATGGCGTACGCTCTTGAGATGGCATCGCACTCGCCGGTAATGGTGAGGACGCGGTCGTGCACTCCCTGGACAACCTTGCTGACGCCAGCCTTGACGCCAGTTTCATCCCTCAAGTCGGCGACGTTCTTGCCACCCTTTCCAATGATAACCCCAGCCTCCTTGGAGGACACGATGGCTCGGAGCGTGAGTTGCGCCTGAGCGTACTCCTCGTCCGTCTTAGGGGCGGGCTCGCCGTCAGGGCCAAGTCGCTCGTCCATCTTGAGCTGGTCCATGGAGTCGCTGATATCGTTGCCATTGGCAGACATGATATCCTGATGAGCCGACATGGTGGCTGCGAGTCGGTAACTGCAGAGCTGAGGAGAGAAGAGGCGGTTGGGAGGTGTCGCGAGACGATGACGAGGTCAGACGTGAGGTTTCGCAGGGGTGACAAGAGAGCTCGATGACTTGTTGACACTGTCGCCAGCTATTTACGGCAAGTCAGCAATCATTCAAGACGGCAGCGGTCGAGCAGATATCGGAAATAATGCTTTTGCGTTCAAGCTTGTGGGTAGAGGACGACAGATACGTGTGTTGCGAGCACTGGGGCAAGCAAAAATCGGTCGGGGGGACCGAGGCAAATGCGCGCGAAGCAGCAACGAGATGAAGGAAGATAACCACACACTCACTCACCTGGATCTTTGAGGCCGGGAATTTGCGCGATGATGACGGAATGAGACGAGAGGAAGAGGGGGAGGCGGGAGCGGAGCAGAGTGAAAAGTCGAAAATTGAGAGACTTGAGTTGGTCGTGTTTCTCGAAAACCCTTTTTTTTTGGAGAAAAAAAAAGGCAGGAATGACGGTGACAGACGAGAGACAATAGCGGGGCCAACGGCTAGCAGCGCGGTCGCGAAACGCTAGAGGGTGGTGAGAAGGGGATAGCTGAGGACAAAGGCCGGTCGGGGCGCGGGGACGTCGGCGAACGGAGCGCTGAGGATTTTGTGGGTGAGAAGGCGAGAGGGCGCGAGAGAGGAAGCGGGAGAGGAAGAGGGTGAGAGGTACGCGGAGAGAGATGAGGAGAGGTGAGGGGGAGCGTGGTGATGGATGGCGGAGGCGGTAGTGGTGATGGGAGGAGGAGAGGCGGAGGAGGAGAGAAGAAGAAGAGGGGATTTGGTCGAGCGAAAGTCGAGCGAGGTGAAGGAAGGAAAAATGACAGCGGGCGTGGTGGCGCCAGAAGGAACGTCCATGTGGGTTGGACCCTCCTTCAAGGGACTGGCCTCTCTACAGTGAGTTACGTAGCTCCCCGCTGTTAGCAGGGCCCCGGGTGCTTGCCCAGTATTGGCCGTAGCGGAGTACAGTACCTTCTGTTCCGTCCTGCGCGTACCTCTAGTAATTACCTAGGTACCTGCCTGGGTACAGGGCACCTCGCTGCACGATTGCCTGTGGGTGGCACAGAGACATCCCCACCTGCTCCAAAGTCAGGGTCAACGAGGCGTGGCTCCTTCAGGCCTCCAAAAATAAATTCCGCCCTTTGCTCTTCCCCGCCGGTTGGCCTATGCTTTTTCTTTGCTTGACGAAGTTGGGCGGTATGGCGCACGCACGAGGCCCGGCGCCCAACACTTGACCAACCGCCTTTCCCCTACTAGTAGTACTTTGTCTGCCCTGTTTGTGTTTGTGTTTGTGCTTGTGCTTGCATTCGCGTCCACTGCCTCGACGGCACTCTCCACGTAGATAGAATGAACGGGCAGCAAGTACCTTACTGTACCTACCTAGGTGCACATCATGAGGTAGAGGTAACTTGCATGTGAGCCGCTCACGTTGCCTTCATTGCAGCAAGCCTGGCAGGTACTGTACATAGCGTCCTGCACGTCGGTACCTGAGCCAGAGTTGGCAGGCGCACACAAACAAGTTCCGGAACACAGGCAGGGCGGGCAGCCTCGTGCAACACACTGAGGGAGCATCCATGTATATCAGATGCCGTCCCCACTCCCTGGATACGCGCCCTTCCTCCTGTAAATACATACCTCAGGTACTTGGTGCACTGCATCTTATCTGCGCTCCCTGTAGAAGCAGACGACAAACATTCAACATACCAACTTCTGGGCTGACCCCCCGGCCCCACGAGCAAGTGCCTCGAATGTCAACTCGGCATTGAATGAGAGAATAACGCCGACGTGCACAAAAGTCCCCCGCGAATCCTCCGGCCCAACGGCTCTTGCTCCAATGTACAGAGCATTTACAGATACAAATGCACTGTCACGTATGTACATAGGAGGAGCAGCTGGCCACGTGCTCTTCCTCCTGCCCATCACCGTGCTGGATGAGAAATCCTCACAGAATGTGCATGTTGGTTATTCCAGACTGCCCACCGAGTTGCTTATATCGAAACAACCCACAACCCACATCTTCATTAGCCGGGCAACAGCGGGACCAAGAATGCTTGTAAAGGTAGCAAGACGTGCGAGGCCTGCCCCCCCCACGATGCCATCATGGAGACGCCGTCCGGTGCCGCCAGCATCGTCCCTGAGCATATTTGCTTTTACCGAGCCTCTATGCTCACTTCAAACAAATGGCAAAGATACTCAGTCTAGACCCCGTGTGTACATGAGTGATACCACCATTCGCTGGCTGCAAAAGCTTCGAGCTGTCATGCAGCCCGCGTTGGTCAAAGGAACTCGCCCACAATATGTGGTTGGGTTGCACAGCCTCTGGTTCGCTGCATTCTCAGTTGTCGCTCAAGGCCGCCATGTTGTGCAACGTACTTCAGCAGTAGCAGGTCCGGCATCAACACGCCGTTGTGCAACCCTCTTGCTGGCCTGCAAGTTGGTGCTTGTTGCCCTTCAGCCCTTGTTGGTAAATCCTGCGATACGAAGTGTAGTACTTTGGACGCAGCGACTGCATGGCCGAGGCCAGACCGACAGTTACAGTCCCTCTTCAGCCTTCAGTGCTGGCCTGCTCTTGTCATTATGACGACCGCTTGGAGGCATGTGCTCCAAAGACTCGCCAGCCAGAGGCAGCCAAACCGCCATCGAATGTCCAGGAAAGTCATCCCAATATCACCCCAGGCATAAAGTGGTTGCTGCCCAAGGCCGTTTTCCATCACCGACCGACCTAGGTTAGCTGCGCATTGTAGGGGGAGCACTAGGGTGCCCAAGATCAAACTTGACATGACGCGCCTCGCTCTCCCCTTTCTTCCCCGGCAAGGGGAAACCGGAAGCTAAAGTGAGAAAAGCGTTGCCAGACGCTGAATGCAACGTGATCAGAGCATCCCGATGACTTTGCTTGATGACTCACATTCCCTAGCATTTGCCCAGGGCGTCGAGCAACAATCCCCGCAAGTTCATCACCTCTGGCGCAACCGCTGCTCATGCTCGAGCCAGAAGTTCTTGCATGCCCTGTGGCCCCAGTGTTCTACCCACCACTCCCCAAAGCTATCTTCGACATTCAAGTCAACCCTCGCGACCCTCTCCTCTCTCTTCAGGCCACATATTAAGCAGGGCCCACGAGCCGTTGGCACCATCTTGGCAGTCTGAATCGGCATGTTCTCGCTCAGCTCGGGAACTCTGAGGTTTGCCTTGCCGCTAGCGTTTGCCGTGGCGATAGCCGCTCGCAGCCGCCCGACGTGTTCTCGCCAGGCCGCAACCACGTCGGCGGATTCGCGGTCCTCACGGGCAGACTGCGTCTTGTCCACTCCGGCCAGTTTCATGCCCTTGCTGCCTGCGGCGGATATCGACATGCTCTTGGATAGCATTTTGTCGCGGTGCCATCTGTGCTTCCGACCGGCAATGATCCTTGCTGCCGTGGCCCCTAGGAGAGTGTAGCCTTGTAGAAACTGAACGGCCTTGGGGTCCGAGAGAACATGCTGTTTTACAGAGTTATTCTGGCCCGCAATGGGCTTGAAGAGGGAGTTTCCTGAGTTGAAGAGATCGGGAAACGCAGATAGAATCACCGAGGGTGGTGGCACGTTGATCGGAGGGGGGCCGTCGTTGCTCGGCTCCGTCGCGGTGGGCTTGCCGCTGTCCACGACGTCCCAATCCCAGTTGTCTGGCGGCTGTGGACCACCCGTCGCTGGCTTGGTGAGTGTGTCGGCAGTGGAAAGGTCATCCCACGCTCCCCACTCATCATCTCCGTCGTTGGGGGGTTGTCCTCGGTCCGTTGCCGCGACCGAGGTTCCGACAATGGCCGACTGACTGCTTTTGTCTTTTGCATTGGAGCTGCTCTTCTCTGACGCTTTGTCCGAGAGGTTTGAAAACAAGTCTCGGTTTTGAGCCGAGGCGGGTTGAGAAGGTCGCGTGTGACTTAATGGCGACACTCCAAAGCTCAATGCTCCCAGAGATTTATCCAAACTCTCTGTGCCCTCATGAGCAAATGGTTGTGGGTTGTCTTCTAGACCGAGAAGATCAATGGATGGTGCGAGATCCAACTTGGAAGCGGCAACTGTTTGGGGCCGTGGTGAAGGCTGTGCGGCAGTCGCAAAGTCACCAAACTCGTCGTCATCGCCTTCCGCCTCTGCTCCCGAGAGCTCAAAATCGTCGGCATCAAAGAGCACGCTTGCGTCACTTGGTCCTGCTTGAAAGTGAATCTTTGGATTCCTCTGGGGATGCGACCACGAGGCGATAGGCGATTTCGACGCAGGAGGTTGCTGTTGTTCAACGTGGAAGAGGCGACTCTGGGATCCGGGATTGGCTGTCGCGGCGCCGGAGACGACTCGAGAAGGCGCCAACTGCTGAAGCTTGTGCTCGGGAGGCTGCGAGACAGTCAGCGATGGTGCCGAGTCTGCTACCTCGAAATCTCCCCATCCATCTTCGTCATCAGCCGCGGCATAATCTGGAGGCTGAGCCGGCTGCGAGAAGGCAGTCCAGGTGCCCGCCTCGCTGGGCCGAGATTGGGAGACTCCCCAGTTGGAGAATGGCTGTGAGATTGACTGGGCATTACTTCTGCCCTGCCCGAGAGCGAGGACATGCTGAGACAACCCTGGAGTCTGCGCCTGAGTCGAGGGCAAGTTTGACGGTTGACGTGGAGTGGATTCTGACGTGGGCGCTGAGTTGGACGAGAGGTCATTGAACTCGGCGAACAGATCCGCCGACATGGTTTTTCTGAAAGGCGAGGAGCATCGAAGAAAGGCGCGTCGGTGATGGAGAAAACGATGCAGCGAGCGCCTCCCGAGAATTGACGAAAGTATGAATACCAGTAGGTTGAATGGCTTGGATCCAAAGAGGATCGTCATTGGAGGCCAAGCCACGGGAGGTGCCTTTGGATCTTTGGGGTCGAGGCGCGAGCGAGCGTAGGAGGTACCCAGCCAGTACCTTGAACCGCCTCTTGGCATACTTTGTAGTGATCAAGCAACTCACGCCTGCGGATTCATCTGAAACAGTACTTTTACAGTACCTACTCCCCATATGCCCCCAGCAAACGGAGCCCAGAAGTGGCTGCGCATTTTGTGCCTGTACCGGAAAGGTACTCCGTAACTTACCTGCCTACCTGGCACCCAAGGCACTAAACCGCGTGACCGGAGACCTTCACGAACGTTGATAAAAGGGCCGCATGTCCAGGCCTGACTCGGGCCGGGCCATAGGAAGCTACCTCAAAAGCTGCCACCATGAGGGCCCTTGAAGAAACGCTGTGAGTGTCGCCAGAGTGACTCGCAAAGGGCTGGGCTGACGCGATGCCCTGACAGGTCAAGGTGGCAAGCAACAAGCGACTGTGTCGCCGACCTGCGGCGTGCCGTCAAGGACAACGGTCCCTCCAGCCCCTGCCTGTCTGGCTGCCGCTCCGTCTGCTGGAAGACGTTTCTCTTGTCCACGGATGCTTCGCGAGCGGACCTGGCGCAGGTCCTTCGCCGTGACAGGGAGGAATTCACCCACCGGAGAAGCCACTTCCTCAGGTTCATCCACCATCCCGAAGCCCTGGCACAGCTCACCATCGACCCCCTGGCCGACGATCCCGAGGTGAGCCATGGCCGACGCCGTTCCCCGTGGCCGAGCTGCCTCACTGACGAGACGCGGCCTGACAGTCTCCCTGGAACACTGTTCGCCGCGATGAGGTCATCCGGGCAGAGATTCGACAGGATGTCCAGAGGCTCCCCGACGAGGCCAACTACCACCAGGACTGGATGCAGACCATGATCCTCGATATTCTCTTCATCTACTGCAAGGTGAACCCGAACCGAGGAGGCTATCGTCAGGGCATGCACGAGCTGCTTGCCCCGATAGTGAATGTCGTCGAGCAGGACGCGATTGATCGCTCTGTGATCGGGGCCGACCCATCGTCCCTGGATCAGTCCATGCTCGAGGTTCTCGACTCTTCGTATGTTGAGCACGACGCCTACCTACTGTTCTCGCGCGTCATGGAGCGCGCGCAGTCATTCTATGAGGTCCAGGACTCTAGCGATTCCTCAGCAGCTTCCCGGATGGAGCCCGGTTATCAAGAATCGCGTTCGGCAATCGTCGAGAGAAGCAAATTTATCCACGAGGTCTGCCTGCACAGCGTGGACCAAGAGCTCGCCTCTCATCTCATGGACATTGAGATTTTGCCTCAAATCTTTCTCATGTAAGCACAACTCCAACCTCGACCGTTCTCGACTGAGTCTAAGCCGCGAGCAAGCCGGTGGGTACGACTTCTTTTCAGCCGCGAATTCCCTCTCGACCAGGTTTTGGAGCTCTGGGACGCCATCTTTGCCGTAGATCCCTCTCTCGACTTGATAGACTTTATCTGTTGCGCCATGTTGGTTCGCATCCGCCATCAATGTGAGTACGCGCCATGCGAACCCTTGCGCATCCTCTGACTCTCCGTCTCCAGTGCTGGAAGCCGACTACTCCGCCTGCCTTAGGCTTCTTCTCAAGTATCCTCCGCCCGCACCACCACACGGGCCACACACCTTTGTCGACGATGCTCTGTACCTTCGCGACCATATGAACGCTGCTGGAAGGGATGCCCTAGTTGTCAAGTATACCGGCAAGGCGCCAGAGACCTCAAGCGCCCCGCCGGGCTCACCAGACCGTCGAGGGCTAAACCACTTCCGCCCGCGGGGATTCGGTGGCAGATCGCCATTGCCATCACCGTCGCGATTTATCCAACAGCAAGGCCGTGTGGAGTCGCTATTCCAAGGCGCCGCCAAAAGCGCCAAGGGGGTCTTGGAACGGGGAGAAAAGCTAGGCCTCAACCAGGCTGTTCGGGATGCCGTGGTGGAATTCCGGCGAAACATGCAAACCTTCAACGAGACTCGGCAATCAGAAAAAACGCCGAGAAACGCAGGGGGCGAAGGTGCTGCTGCGGAAGCGCTTGCAGCGATGGAAAGACGCAACAAGCAGCTGGCAGCTCTCCTGGACGAGACGGTAGCGAACCTCAAGGCAGTAACCACGTCGAGCCTAGATGATAAGGCCAAGAGCCTCGACCTCATCGAAGTGGCGGCCGCCAAGATCCAGTTTGTTCAGGTGTACCTGAGTGACTCGTCCTTGGAAGTACCCAGCGGCGATGTTCCGGCAGCCAAGGAGCCCCAGACAGTCTCGTGGGAAAACACTACAGTGGATGAATCGAATGGGGAGGGGGAGGAGGAGTCGGCCAGCGGTGAGGCACGTGTCGACCAGAGCACGCCAAAGCCAAGCCACACCATGCAGGCTCAGGAACAGGACTTGGATGTCGAGGGCAAACCAATCCTGCCCAAAGCGGACGAATCAGAAGTGTGTCGGCAGTCGGCAGAGGAAGTTGCGGGCGCCCACGGCCAAGAGGGCAGCTCTCGCGACCTTGCCCCTGAGCCTGTGCGGCCCGCTGCCCCTATTCCCACGCGCTCAGCCCTGGCGCAGTCCTCGTTTTCGTGGATGCTGGAGCCTGGCGAGTTAGTCTCGAGCCAGCCTCTGCCGTCGGCCAGTCAATTCCCCGCCGCACAGCATAAACGTCCCTCGAGCAATGCCAGCCGTGAACGAAATGCGTTTCTGTTCGGCGAAGTCGCGACAGAAACAATCACGAAGGAACCTCCCAACGGAGATGAGGTTTTTGGGCTGGAAACTATCCGCAAGCCCAAGAACAAGCCATGAACGCCGCGCTCGACCTCATGCAGAGGGACAGGGGCGGTGCGCACGAGAGCGCTGTCGGCCGTTACGTTTTTGTACATGGCTGCTACGAGATTCATGTGACATGGGTTATGTACACTATGATTCGCAGTGTCATGTGATGGTCGGGGAGCGTCAAAGCTCTCATGCCGCCTTCGTCTTACTATCGACCACTGTTGTGTCTTCCGCTTCATCCGCCCCCATTTGTCCTTTTGTCATCTTCGACTTTCGTCTAGCGTTGATACAATTTCGCCGTGCAACAGCATTTCCAACAGCACCCCCCAACTTCTCAATACTTCAAGGACCTCGTCCTTACCCAAAAAGTAGCCAAGAAGGCGACGACCGAAAACGCCAGCGCTGGCACGAGCGCCCCTGCCGTAGCCAAGCGGTAGCTTTTCCGAACAATGTTGGCGATGGGCGGCGGCAGCTTCTTGATGTAGTCGATATTTTGGCGGACTCTGCCTTCCACCTGACGGGCGTCGTCGCTGTTGGGGAGACGAGTGGCGAGTTCTGCTCGCAGCACCTGCTGGAGGACGGCAGAGCTAACGGAAATGCCGACGCTGGAACCAAGGGATCTAAAGAGGTAGGAGCAGGCGACGACGACGGCGGTGTCTTGGGTGGCGGCGTTGGCGAGGAGGCCGATGAGCGTGGTCGTGAGGCCTGGGTGGAGATTTGAGCTTCACCAGTCTGGCTGCACGAGGCTCGGCGACTCGGCGCAAGGAGGAGACTTACCGGAACCGCTCCCGGAAGCCGTGAGCATGAGAGCAACAACCTCGGCAGCCGTGGCCTTGAACCACACTGACAAGGCGAGGGGGAGTATGCTGAAGGCTTGCACGCCGTAGCTGAGGACCGAGACGGCATAGAACTTGCCCGTCCTCTTGATGACCCAGCCGCCACCGACGGAGGCCAAGACGCCGGCGATCATGGCCGGCACCAGCAGGGCGCCGCTGGCAGCAGCACTGAAGCCCTCGCCGGCCTGCATGGACAGGGGCAAGAAGAAGAGCACGGCAAAGTTGCCTGCGGCGCCGAAGAAATTGGCGAAGTAGCAGGCAAAGAGTCCGCGGCCGAAGATGACATGGCTTGGAGCAAAGGGGTGCGTGGCAACCTTTACTTGGACGAGGACGAACAGGCCGAACAAGACGGGCGCCGCGGAAAGGGAGATGACGGTGGCGCGATGGGACCAGCCAAGGTTGGGGCCAGAGTCGAGGCCTGCAAGGAGGGCGACGACGGCGGCGACGAGAACGAAGGCGCCCAGGAAGTCGATTTGGCGCACCTTGGACAGCCAGTGCGATTGTGCAGGGCGAGGGACATCGAGGAGGAAGTAGACGGCGATCCAGCCCATGCAACACAGGGGCACCTGGGCGAGGAAGGACCTGAGAGCGCGTGAGCAAGCACCACTGCCCTCGCACCACGTTCTGCGGCTGAAGGTGATGCGACAAGGCCACGGGCAGAACGGCTTACCATCGCCAGCCGATGGAGTCGGCGAGAATGCCTCCCAGGGGCGCACCGGTCGAGGACCCGGCGGCGTAGAGGATGTTCAAGTAGCCCTGCCACACGCCCCGCTCCCTCAGGGGCACAAGGTCCGACAGCAGGATGGAGACGACGGCGTTGATGCCGCCTCCGCCGATGCCGGCGACGGCGCGAGAGATGCACAACTGGACAATGTCCCGGGCCAGACCACAACCGAGGCAGCCGAGGCCAAAGACGGCATAAGCAAAGAGGAGGCATTCCTTGCGGCCAAAGATGTCACTGAGCTTGCCATAGAGAGGCTGGAAGCTGGTGAGGGTGAGGAAGAACCTGAGGGTGGAGCGAGTCAACGGTCGTGTTCTTGTTGCCCCTTTTCGATCTCCCTAGACGTGGACGAGACCACTCACGAGGTGGCGATCCAGCTCATGCTGTTGAGGGCATTGAGCTCGCTGCCTATCTTGGCGTATGTGGCCACGGTCAAGAGCTGGTCGATGGCGACGAGATAGATCTTTTGTCCAAATGGCGCGTCAGTCTCAGGTGGGAAGCTCCAAGGCGCGGGTGGGAGAGACGGACACCAATTCCGGTGGCGGGAATGAAGAGATGCATCTTTCGGGCCATGGGAGGTGAATCGCCGTCGCGGGGATCGCCGTCGCGGGGCACGCCGCCCTGAGCCGAGCCATGGAGATGACGGCCGTGCTCGGGGCATGAGGAGGGTGCGGAGGCATGGTGGTGCTGCTGATGCCGGGCGGCGAGGAGGAGCGAGGATTCGGTGGGTGCCGGGGCCGGGGCCGGGATCGGGGCCGGGATCGGGACCGGGGGCGTGGCGTCTACGGATACCGGCATGGCCGATGAAGTAGCGGCAGAAGACGAGAGACGGAAAGGATGCGAGGAGGAATACTCGGTACGTGTATTGACGGTTCTGCTACGGCCCAGTCGTCTACGACACAAGAATTTGGGGGGAGGGGGGACGCAAAGGCTCTTTTGAGTGGCCTTGAGCGGCGCCTCTGTTGTTCTCGTCTAATTATACGCAGCCGTGTAACCGGTGCAGTTCCCACTGGCGTTATGAGACATGTGAACGCCACTGTCCATCTAGCAGCAGCAGGCCAATGGCCGGTGAGCGGACAAAGGGGGTCCAGTGCCGAGGATGTCGCGGGCGGGAGATGTGTACAACAAACATGTCAAGGCCAAGAAGAATATATATTGGCGTGCTGTATCCGTACCTCTGTATCGTGCATGGACCTACGGATCCTGTACAGCATGGTGCAGCACGGCGGGGAGAGAGATGAATGGAGGGCGCCGGATGATGCTATTCGCGGCCCTTGGCGAGATTACCTACCTAGGTAGGTAGGTAGGTACTTATTGGGCGGTGGCTGCAAGTACGGATACATGGGTGGGTCTTGTTTGGCACGTCCATTTCCGGGTGCACAGGGGGCCATGTGCTGTACTGCGACGCGGAGTGTACATGTGAGCAGGGCGGGCGTAGGATACTTGTTTGCTTGAGATGCCTTCAGTAACCTAGAGGGCATCCACCCAGCCTGCAGAGCGACGACGCCTGTTGCTTTTCTCCGTGTATTTGCTTTGGATAACTTGCCTGTAAATCATCGGTACGAGACGACGGAAGTCAACGGTTCGCAGTGTGTACAGTAATTTTCTCTGTACAGTAGAGCTGTGAGTGACGTCTCGTCTCGGGAGCATCCAGTGTCGTCATGAACAGGGGAGGACTCTTGCCCGGGTTGCCAGCATTGCATCACGCGCTGTGAACCCTTGAACCATGCGGCTTTGTGGTGCTCGATGCCGGTACGGCTGGGCCGGGCGGGAGGAGCTGAGCTTTCGGCCTTGGGACTCGGCCAAGGCCGGGCGGGGCTTTTAATCCGCATACGTACATAATTACTAACTTACTCTTCCAAGGTAGTTCGTATGTGTACCAGTTGTGCAAATCCATCTTGCGATTGGACAATGGGGCTGGCGTTGGCGGATCCTGTTTTTGCGACGCCCAAGCATCCAAACAAGGCCTTGTTCTTTATTTGCCATCGGCCAATTACAAAGAGCCAAAAGGGTGCCGCGGGACCTGAGACGGAACCCTGGCACTGCTGGAATAGGTAGTGATTACGGATAATATCCATCCATCATAAGTTACACGGTCGTGTCGTCCCACGGCTCTGTCGCTGTTTCCTCAGGCGGCCTCCCGCCCATCCGCAGGGCCCGGGCGGGAGCGGAGTGGAGCCGCTGGCGGGCTGGCTGAAGTTAGCGCAGCAGTACGTTAGGTCGCCCGCCCGTCAGTGGGCCAGTCAGTGGGCCAGTCAGTGGCCGTCACTTCAGGTGTTGCGCGAAGCTGGGCGTCGGGGGGCCGCCTGGTGTCTGTCACGTGACGCCCGTACACATGCGAGACATCGCCCGTCTTCGGTCTCGACAAGGAAACTGTGGTCGGAGAGGTTCAAGCGCGCATCATGACGCCCGCAGACGGAGCGAGACACAAAGCGTCATTGCCTCGTGCAAGGCCACAAGCGGCACGGTTGCTAACTCTTCACATGCAAGATACTGTACCTAGCCGCGCCTGGTCATCTCCAGGAACGGGCCAAGCCACCCCGGGCGATGCGCTGTGACTGACGACCCACCAACCTCGTCTCTAGCCCTAGAGCACTCATCTCGACACGGAGGCGGGGCCGCAGGAGACCAAGATAGGGGCGAGTCAAAGAAGGAAGGAAAAAAAAGGAAAAAGAAAGGATACGATCCTCCGCCGTGGATCCCTGGCCGAGGGGGCGCGGCTCATCACTCTTCACAGTCCTCGCCCGTCCCGCCCCTCCAGTTCCTGTTCTCTCGCGCACTCGCTTCTTCTCTCCCTGAAACTCCCCTCGCCCCCGTCCACCGACTTTGCGCATGGCAGCCTGTAAGCACCGTGAAATATCCTTTGCCGCCGTCGCCGCCGCCGCGAGACCCTCCACATTTAGCTCAGCTCAAGAGTCAGAGTCCCAAGGGCCCCCCCTCGGACGAGCCAGGCAAAAAGGGCACTGTCGCACCGTCCGCAAACGCCAGGCTCGCCGCGAGCGTGCCGAGGCCCTTGGACCCATACCAGCCCACGGCTGCGCCGAGAAGCAAGGCAGAGGAGCCTGATTGCATCGCAGGCCCAGACCAACGCCACCCTCATCACCATCCTCATCACCATCACCGTCGTCATCATCGTCGTCATCGCCATGGCGCACCTTCTTTCCGCCTCGTCCGAGACGCCTAAAAAGGGCCGCTCTCGCTTCTCAAAGGCCCTCCCATCCGTGCCCGGCCTCCCCCGCGAGCCCCGCCAGCCGCCTCAGCTGCCCTCGCTGCCCGCGTCTCCGCGCCCGCCGAAGCCGCCGGCCAAGGAAGGAGAAGAGGCCGACGACGACGACAGCGGCGGCAAGACGGTCAAGGGCAGCGTCAGCAGCAGCAGCAGCATCGCACGGAAGCCCGTCGCCGTCGAAGCGCCGCCACAGCCGCCCCAGCCGCAAGCCGCCGCGGCTGCCGAGGCGCCGCCGCCCGAGCCGTTGCTGCTGCAGCCGCCGGCAAACCCGCTGCAGTACATGGCGCCGCCGTCGCCGTCCGACTCGCTGTCCAGCCTGCTGTCGGCCTACTCGCGCATCCCGGACGAGCCGCCGTCGGGCGGCAGCGCAGGCGCCAGCACCGCAACCACCACCAGCATGTACTGTGCCTCTGAAACGTCACTGTCGCCCCCACCGGCTGCTGCTGCGCCCAGCAAAGCACAGCCCACCCCCCCCCGGCACCATGCAAAGCTGCCCCCGCCTCCGCCTCCTCCACCACCACCTGCCCATGACGCCGACCATGATGACGACAAGCAGCAACTCCTACAACCGCAACAACAACAACAACAACAACAACAACAACAACAGCGACACCACCACCACAATCAACCAACCCCGTCCCCCCCCTCCGACCTAGCGGCGCCCAAGTCGGCCCCCCAGCCCGAAATCTGGCGCCGCCGCTCCGTAAAGACAGACACCAGCCGCGCCCAGCTGTCCGGGCTCACGCTCAACCACAGCCACGGCTCGACGGCCTCGACGGCGCCCTCCCACGCCGGCCCCGAGCCCTTCTCCCTGCCGCGCAAGCCGCTCAACAACCCAGCGTCGCCCCCGTCGCCCCCGCTGCCGCCGCCGCCGCCGCAGCAGCCACGCACCCCGTCACGGTCTCCCGTCGTCGGCTTGCCTGGCCGTAACGTGCGGCCCGCGGCCAAGCAGCAAGCGTCGCCGCCGCCACAGCATCAGCAAGTAGCCGACGCCCAAGCCATGGGGAATGCTCCGTCGTCGCTGAGCCAAGTCAAAAACGCCGTGCGCCGCAACCGCTCTTCCGTCGACGGTGCCACCACCAAGACTAGCCGCACGCCCCGGCCGGGTGCACAGCGCCCCCCGACCCCTGAGTATCACAAGGAAGATGTCAAGACAGCGCCCCCCGTTGACGTCTTTGTCTCTCCCGTCTCCCCCGCGCCTTCAGCGTCGCCCAAGCCTGCTCAAACAGACTCTGGTCCCAAGACAGCGCCCCGCCACCATTCATCCGAGCAGCCGGAGCGAGCCCCCATCCCGAGGAAGTCGCTGCCGTCGGCGCTCCCGAGTCTGCCCGCCGCTACGAGCCTCCCGAATCTCCGCGATGCACTCCAGTCTCCGGCAAGCGGCCAGCCCCCTTCGGCCCGCCAGACGTCTGTCAAACTCACCGGGACCGGCCGTCCAAGAGAACCCGCCCTGCGAAGCCCGTTGTCGGCGACGTCCGATGCACCGCTGTCCGCCGCAGCCCGCGCTTCCTCGGAGACGCCAGGTCCTCAGTACAGGGGCAGAGACGGCACTCTGTACGCCGAGATGAGGGTGACGCGGGAGACCGACCCAAGGGCCACCTACTTCCCCGTCCAGACAGACAGGCCGTACGCCGCAGGCACCGTCATATCCGCCCGCCCGCCCAGGAACTCGCACTTTAACTGCTACCAGAACCACAGAACCATGAACCGTCGCTCGAACCGCAACTGCCCGCTCACCTGCCAGACGTGCGACAAGGCAGACACCGAGGATCGATGGGTGTGCACCTTTTGCCACCTGCGCATCTGCGACTCGTGCATGCGGGTGCTCAACGGGCATCAGAGGGTGTTGCGCCGCTTGGTCGACGAGCTGGCCGTCAACACGCCGCTTAGTTTGTCCTCCATGTCCCGGCCCGGATCCGCCCTCGGGCTGCAGGCGGGCAAGTCTCCGTGAGAGGTCCACCGCACAGTTCGCAGCACTACGTCAACCACCTCCTCCTCCCTCGTCTCTTCTTCTCTGTACTTTTACATCCTTTTTTGCATTTCTTTCCTCTTGCCGCGGCAGAGAGGGCGGATCAATGATTCGCAGTTCACAGGGACGTGGTGGTCTGTCACGGTCAAGGCAACGACACGTCGTCAGCCTCAGAGACTCGATTAACAAGGGACGCGCGACAGCACGCAGGAAGGTGATTATACGATATCGTTCCTTTCCCGGCGAAGGGGAGAGTTCATTCCAAAACAAGAGCGGAGGTGTATGGGAGACCCCATGGTAGGACAGCCGTTGGATCGGCACGGGACCGAGGGAAGCGCAGACCTTTTTGTTTGATGTAATAGGTTCGTTACGAGGATTATGACATGCATCGGATGCATCGGACTCTTGAGCAGTCGTCAGGGTCTTGGGTTAAGCGTCGTGGTCCCCATTTTTCTTCCTTTTTGGTAGTCAAATATGAAGTCCATGGCCCCGCGTGGATAGCCGGCGACTTGCTGAAAGCGCCCCCTGTTCTCGAGTGCACTCGTGATGAAAATGTTGGAGAAGAGCAAGAGCAGAGATGACGCCGAACGAGCTGGGAGTCCAAGCCGTGGTTCCACCTTTCGGCGACGCTGCGCAAATTGACCTGTTGTTAGGTAGGAACCTTAAACCGTAATGACTTCAGCGAGTTTCCGGGCACAGCCATTCAGGATGTGGCTGGAGGATGGCCTCCTGATACCGTACATATACGCTCGGACAACGCTGTTCTTGTTGAGAGGCGAGAGGCAAAGGGGAGCATGAAAGGTGGATTGGGGAGGAAAAGAGCTAGAGCATTACAATGAGCATTACTAATATTCGGCCAAGAGTCTCTTGAAATCCCCTCCTTTAATTGGTCGCTTACTGATTACTATTTGCCCCAGACTAAATCTCTATTTGACCAACAGCCTTACGCGCCGTAGATGCTCGATTGACTGCCCAACTAACGGCTCGACTAACTACCGGCTGACCAAGGAGAAGGGCTAGGGTTGGCGCAGGCTGCCTGAACAATTCTAGATGCGCCGGGCGAGGTCGAGATTGTCGATCGCTCGCTGCCAGTCTCGTGCCTGTTGGATCGAACTCTCGGCGAGACTGTCGTGGCGAGCGCGTTTGTCAAAGCTCTGGTATAAGAGCGGCAAACGAGGAATCAGACCGGTACCTGGCCACCCTGGTATAAGATGAAACGTCGGTACAAAAGTAACCAACCGTATAAAGCCACGGCCGAGCTCGAGAAGTGTAGATGTATACATACACGAGCGCGTGGTCCCTCGCCAACGCGGCAGCATCCCGGAGACTCGCCAGCGCGGCAGTGTCCCGGAGACGAGACAGCTGCCTGAGATCGAGTTCGGTACCATTTGCCCGCCGTAGCACCGTCTCGCCTGACCAGGACCTCACGCGCAAGTCCTTTGAAGCTGTGGGGAGGCTCTCCACCGCGCGCTTGTATAAGTCGAAGAACGCATCACTTGCGTCGATGAGCTACTCGGTGGCGGCGTCGTATAGGCCCTTTTGCTGGTACGAGGTCGTCCTGGTCAGGCCCGGAATCGGGGTTTGTCGCGTACTAAGCGTCTCGTTGGTTGCGGCACGCTGGCCAAGACAAGTTCACCTGCGGCACCTCGCGGAAGACGTCGTGCAGCGCGACATCCCTCGGCTCAAGGATCTGAAGAGGCTTCGACAGGACAGTGCCGTCAACGGATACCTTCCGGAAGCTGGGGTTCAAAATCTTGGCCCCTCGGCTGAGGGACCGGAAGAGGCTCCGACAGGACAGCCCCGTCCCAGACCCCTGTTGAGGTCGTAGTCGTCGCCGCCTTGTAGCTGTCGTCTCGACAGTTGCAAAATGTTACCATCCTGCCATACCTCCCTCTAGGTTCAAGGCTCACGCGCCCGAGTCTTCCCTGACCGAAAAGAAAGGCCCAGTCTTGCCGCCCTCTGCAAATACGCACCATTCGACGGATATGAACAACGGGCGGTCTGGACCGTGGGGCTTCCGTATAACCGATGTCACCTGGTTGCTTAGGCCAAGGTAAGATCAGTGATCCGGCTCTGCTTGCCAGCCGCTGTGTCTTTTCTGTTCTCAAGTGCCATAGTCGCGGACGTAGGCAAAACGGACACGATCCGGGAGCTGGGGTTCGACATATCGACGACACGGGCGGATGCTGGAAGAATTTACTGCCGACAGTCTCGTAAGGCGTCCGTATTCTGCGCTACACTGGTGCAAGTAAACAGCGGAAAGGTGAGGATGCCATCTGTCAAGCGGAGGCAACGGTGGAACGCTCCAACAGATGCGGTATGCCAAGGTCTGCACCTGTCGACACCTGCAAGTCTTGCTGGGGGCTTGAGGAAAGTTGCGGGCGGATTTGCATCTACGATATAAGAATATGTTCTCGGGAGCTGCATACCAACCCGGGTTCCGAGTATGCACGGTATATTCGCGCTAGCAGGGGGACGGCTGCTTAGAGACAGCCGTCCACTCTTCTTGCTCACCTCCGCCCGCCATTGTTTCGCTCACGGCCATGTCGTCGTCTCTTCAGCGCACCCGCTCCCTGCGCAAGACCGAACGGGCTCCCACCGCCAGGGCACAGCCGCCACGTCCATCACCCCCCGCGGAGCCTGACCGGGGCGACTCCCCCAGCCGCCTGCCCGTCAAACCGCCCCCGCCACGCACCACATCGACCTTGGCGACGGCCAGCGCTCGAAGCGGCAGCAGGCCCGTCTCCGCCATTCTCGGCCGCTCTGCGTCCACGTCCCAGAGGCGGAATGCTGCCGCACAGGAGCCCGTCAAGCGCGAGTCGTCGAGCCGCTACCCGCCCTCGTCGGCTTCCAACAGACCGCCTGCCAGGACCCGGCCTACATCAGCCGGTAGCGTCACGTCGGCATCGGCAGCGGGCGCGCAGGTGAGGCATGCTCCGGCCCATACGCGTGCTAGGAGCACGGCGACAGGCCTACATCACCACCCCGCGCCGGTGCTGCGCCCCCCCTCGCGCGACAAGCCCCGCGCGGCCTCGGCGGCGTCGCGCTCCAGCATCATTGCGCGAGGAGGCACCGCGTCGACAGCAGCCAAGGCGGCCCCTCCGCCGTCGACGCCGCCCGCAGCCGTGGCTTCGAGGCCGACGCAGCATCCGCGACTTCGACCGGCCTTTTCGACCCTGCAGCAGCACTACTCGCCCGCCAAGAACCTGGCGCCCAAGCCCCTGACATCGACGTTCCTCGTGCCCCCCTCGCCATCCAAGCTCCCCGCCAACGTCGCCGCCTCGGCCGAGACCAACAAGCTGCAGACAGAGCTTCTGCAGCTCCACCTCTTGCACCGCGAGGCTGCGCCCGTACAGGCTCAGTGGCAGGCGAGCGCGAGGGACAAGCTCGGCCGCCGGTTTACTCAGCTCGGCGAGGCGAGCAGGGCCCTGGCAGATACGCAGCGGGCGGGGGTTGAGCGTGACAATATCCTGGCTCTCCGCCGCTGGGGGAGCTCTGGCAAGGGCCTCGACGAGAAGATTCAGCTCCTGGGGGACATTTTGAGCGGGCTATGGACGCTCAGCGAACCCGGGGGGCGGTACGGTAGGGCGGTAAGACGCTTCGAACGATGGGCCCACCGCGTCCGCGACGTCGAGGAGGCGAGGGCCAGCTCTGGTAGCGCAGCGGTCCACCTGCAAAGCCAGAGCGCGCTCTTCATCGACGAGCTGGACGCTCCCTGGAAGGACGAGTGCTCGGCCATAACCCGCCGCCTACGAGACTGGCGGTCTCAGCTCCACGAGATTGACGACTTGGCTCCGGCCACCTCAAACGACGTGGACAAGGACACGAGCGGCGGCTCGAGCCTGGAGCGGATGCTGGCGGGCGCGCGGAGCCTGGCGCAGGACATGCTCGCGGAGCTCGGGGCCATGGAGGACATGGAGCGCGAGGCGCTCGCGCGGGAGGGCGAGTGGATTGAGAGGATGAACCGGGACGAGGCGGGCGGCGAGGGTACGGAGGCCGGCGCCATGTGGAGGACAGTCTAGGACGGACCATTACCCCTATTCTCCCTAGCGCAACAAACATCTACATTGGTCCTTTTCTGCCGAGCGGTGGACGGGGGAGAAGCCGGCGTACATGAACTGCAACCTTCTGTGAAGCTTCAGGTCCATTGCGTGCCAATTTATTCTCCGTCATGATCGATATATGGAGTGCAGACTGGCTACGAGTCTCGCTCGACGGATACATCAGTTCTTTGAATTCTCTAGAAAATTCCACGCCGGTACCCTGCTCGTTTCCTCCGCAAATCTAGATCCAGGCTATTATGATGGTCCTTTTCAACATCCGCTGCAAATCTCGCAGAGGATCAGCCAGTTCTCATTATCCCCTGCCCCTGGGTCATGGCCGTTGACATCATCAAAAGACGTAAACGGTTGGGAAGATGAAGACGTAAAAGTGGCGTTGCACTCGGTGAGCTCGAAGCTCTACCGCCTCGCCCCCTTTACAAGAACGCTCTTCTTGGGAAGCCGACGCCCTCGACGGCGGGCTCATCCACAAACCAGCTGCAGCGGTCGCCGGCGCCTTCGTTGACGAGGGTACACGGCAGCCCATCGGACGAGTCGAAAATCTGCTTCATGACGTCCTTCTTACCGGCTCCTGTGGCGACAAAGGCGACGCGGACGGCGTGGATGACAACGGGTAGCGTCAGGGTGATGCGATTGGGTGGAGGCTTGGGTGAGTCATCGATGGGAGCCACCCAGGCGTCGGCCTCGCGCAGCAGGTCGTGGCCCGGGAAGAGCGAGCAGGTGTGGCCATCGGGCCCGCAGCCGAGCAGCAGTAGGTCGAAGACGGGCAAGCGGACCGAGTCGCGGCTGGCGAAGCTGGAGACAAGTGTCTTTTCGTACCTGTCGGCGAGCTCCTGAACGTCGTCGAGCACGGTGGCATCGATGGTGTGGACGGTTGGTCGCTGGTCGGCGGGCAGCTTGTCGAGCAGCTCGGCCTTGAGGAGGCAGTAGTTGGAGTCGTCGTGGTCAAGGGGGACGGCACGCTCATCGGCAAAGAAGATTTCCCATCTTCTGAAGTCGATGATGTCGTCGGGGCCGGATGACGGAGCGAGCAGGGCGGCCGCAAGCGTCTTGGGCAGAGAACCGCCCGAGACAGCTACCTTGAAGACTTCGTGACGGGCGAAGCCGTTGCTCTGGCTCTGGACAATGTAGGCTCGCAGGGCGGGTGCCAATGCGTCGACGCTGGGGAAGGCGTAGAGATTGGGCTGCGTCTTGGGCATGGTGCTTGCAGATTTTGCGTCCTTCCTCTTTGTAGGGGGTTTCTATTTCCTTTTCCGCCGTGGACGACGTCGTCGGCTTGGTCGTGGTCGCTGGCGTGTGCAACGCGGCGAGGGTGTGCCGAGGAGCTGGGGTGTATTGGGTTGGTGGTGTGTTTGAGGGGGCGTGAATTTCTGCGAGGCGTGGCGACGAGGACAAGAGAGGGTCGGTTTGCGGTGGTGACAAGTGGCGGTGGGATGGCGTTGAGGGATTGAAGGTGCTGGGTTGAGGCGCGGGGCTGCCTTGTCGATAAGAGAGGCCTAATGGGGCGGTGAAACAGAGAGCTCTTGCCATGATGGAGGTTCAGCTATCAGGCGGCCCGACGCTGCCGGCCCGGATTGGGCGACGGATGACAAAAGCGCTGAAAGGGGTACATAAAGACTAATTACTCCGTACTTTGCTGGACGATGGAGGAATGCACGTGACATGGCAGGATCTGTGGCTGATGGCCATTTCCAATTTCCAAGGCAGGCGAGAACGAGGACGGATTATTCAATATGAAGATGACAGAGGGAGAGAGGAGCGAGGGATGAGAGCAGTTGGGGGCCACCGAAATACGTACATACAGCACACCGTATGCAACGGGGGGGCGCATTCTGGACCGCCGCATCGTTGACTGCTTTGGTCCCGGACATATGTCCGGAAACCATGCAGCATCTCGGCCTTGCAGCCAACATGTTTGCGGGGGAGCTTGGGAGCTTGGGAGCTTGGGAGCTTGGGAGGGGAGGGGTGGACATGACAGGCGCCCGGAGCTTGTCGCAAATGGCGATAGCCCAGCTGCTTATTCCTGTTCAAGCAAGGCATCCCTGGCTAGGCGGCGGCTGTGGCGTGATGCCTGTCCTCTCTTCAGCAGTGGCTTGCTTTTTGGTGGCCTCATGTCTGCCGAGGCCAATTGGAGGGCTGGGTGACCTCTGGACGCGAATGCACGGCACAGTGGAATAATCGTACGAGAAGAAGAGGATCGAGATGGAACTCTAGGTCTAGCTAGGCAACTTATGTATGAGCCAGGGAGCTCACCTAGGTAGGTACAGTACAGTTACTGTTGGGTGGGCGACTGCAATTCTAAATTTAGGCTCTTGCCCAGCGCGGCAGGCCTGTGTACAGTATCGTCGTACCTACAGCAAACCGGGGCCAGTCGTTTCCATTGGCTCGGCATCCGGCCATGCTCATGGTCCGCCGCCGCTCATACACTGATGACATGACATATCACCGGTGGTGCTGTGACCTGTTTTTACTGGAGAGTAACTTACAGCACCTACCTAATTACCTTGTACTGTAATTAGTGCTGGTACGGTAGTGGAGGCTGAGGTGGACGCGGAGTGGCGAGTGCGGGAGGCGCAGCTCCAGGGCCTCGGCCTCTGGGCCTCCTGTTGGCTTCCATCTTGCTGAGTGGGTGAGAGCGGTACGTACTTCTGGCTCTCGATCGCTCGAGGCTCTTCGCCGAGTCTTCATCGCCAAACCTATACCGGTGTGAACTGGCCCCGTCGTACAGAGCGAGGACCCTGCAGTATTCCCTTCATACTTCCGTGCCACGGCAACACGACAGCCTACTGGACCCCTTATTGCCTGCGGGCTTGATTGCGTCCAGTAGTGTGTTTGTTAGCAGATTCACTGGACTGGACCCTGGTTTTTCTCGCTCGTCCAGCACGGCACGTACAGCTACCTCCCCGCATGCGTCCTCTGCGTGTGCTTGGTGGTACTCGCTACTTGCTTTGGTGGCTAATCCGGGCTGCCCTATGCAGGCAGGTGCCGATCGGACCCTCCAATCCATCATGGTGCCCTCACTTTTCCCCCCCCCGGTCCACCGCTTTACTTTTCCTGTTATTTCCCCTCCAACCCTTCTTCGCACACACGCGCACACACGCTCACGCCCGCGCGCGCTCGCTGCCTCTGCATAATCGGCGTGCGCCGGGTCGTGGTCTAGACCACGGTCTTGCTGATTCGCCGCCCTACCCAAGGCACCACTTTATACTCGGCCCCTGCGAGCAACTCGTCGAGATACCAGTATAAATCCCTTCCCAGCAGACGTCGTCGACGGCAACCTTGCTGCCGCCTCGGATGGCCCTTGGCACTTGGAACAACGATCCTTCCCTGACTTGTCCATCATCTCGTCGGGCCTGTCACGGGACTCCGAGCTAACCCTCTCTCGAGACGTCGCTGCATCCTCCTGCCCTCCCGCTCGCTGCACCCGGCTTCCCACGACAAAGCTGTCCGAGGAGGGCCTCCATCTGGACCCTGTCATCATATGCCACCTCGGCCCTGGCCCTGGCCCTGAACAGGAGCCTTCTGCGGCCTGTCGTGAGGCCCTGCCTTGGCATCTCCCTCGAATCGACTTGCCCCACGTCAAGCCCCGGCCAAGGAACCAGACTGGGAGTTTTCTCTTCTCTCTCCCACCGAGCGGGCACCAACACCATCAGGAGCCAGCCGACTCCTGAATGACACCCTGACTCCTGAATGACACCCTCTTTGGCGGGGCCCCCTCCTCTTCTTTAACGCACTGGGCCCTGACGCATTACCCCTTCCGAGCTCCAACCATGGACCACGACGCCCGCCACGAGCAGCTGCTCGACCGCCGCGCTCAGTTGACCGAGGGGCTTGGAAGCTTGCCCTACGACCTGATACTCTACCTCGAGCGTGCTGTCGTCTACTCAGACCTGGGCTATCCTGATCTCGCCGCCGGCGATGCCTATCGGGCCCTCCTCTTGGCTGATGAGGTCGCCAATGAGGGGTTCGAGTACCACGATCAGGCTCTCGAGAGTCTCCTGATGCGCTCCGCCGTTCCTTGTCCCGAGGTATTAACCCACGGTAATCTTTCTGCAATGTGGTCGGCCTCCGATCCGGCCGACTCCGACGACGGCAAGACGGCCGCTCGCCGCCTCGCCACAATCGGCTCCATCCGAGCCTATCAGATCCTTTCTCTAAGCTTGCTGCTATGCGGCTGCCTCAAGAGCGCTGCCAGCTTTTGCTACAGAGGCCTGCGCATGACCCCTGACAACCAAGAATTGCTCAACACAAAGGCCCACATCCAGGCTGTTGGCCGTCGAAAGCTTCGCCGCGACGACTTTGACATCAACGACCTCCCCGACCACGGCTTGGTTCGCCGCGAAGTGTATCCCTGGAACGAGCACGAGCCGGATCGGTTTTCGTCCAAGTCGCTGGCTACCCTCAACGCAGACCTAAAGGTCATGGCTCCCAAGTGTGCCGTTCGGGTGGCAACCTTGCCGGTGCTGCTGGAAGGCGCCTGTGAGACCGACAGCTATGAAATAATCCCCACCTGCAAACAGCTCGGCGTCTTTGCACAGGAAGACATCGAGCCGGGAGAGGCTGTGCTCAAGGAATACTCGCTCTTGACGGCCAACAACCGACTCAAGGACTCGATCTGCGACGCTTGCAGTTCCGAGCTGCCCCCGCTCGGCAGCGAGAACGGCCCCGTCAACTGCGACGGGTGCCTCGACACCGTCTTTTGCAGCGGCTATTGCCACGACGAAGCCCAGAAGCGTTACCATCCTGCCGTCTGCGACAAGGATGTCGATGCCATAGCCAAGGATCCGGACGCCTTCGAAGCTGACGAGACGCTTTACCTGCTGCTTCTTGCCCGCGTCCTGGCCCTGGCCGCCCACCAGGAAATCAACCCGCTCGACGCGCGTGAGGTCAAATTCATCTGGGGCGACTTTTTGCCGACACGTGCCAACGACATCAACGTCGACCCAAACGCGGGACCTCCGCCCGAGTGGACGCTGCCTTTCTCCTTCAAGTACAACATTGAGACGCCGCTACACGTACTCGAGAAGATGGACGTAGACATTTTCGCGTCGCTTCCCGAGTACGACGTCTGGGTTCTCAATACGCTGTATGCCAAGTTCCGGGGGACCGCTTCGGCGCGGAAGAACCCTCGCGATGGCCGGCCCGACGTGGCAGCGGTCCATCCATATTGGTGCCTTGCTAACCATGACTGCGACCCCAACGTCACCTGGGACTGGGGCGGGCGCATGGTTCTCTGGGCGCGGAAAGAGCGCATCGTCGGCGGCAAGCCTGGGGGCATCAGGCGAGGGGAAGAGATACTCAATCACTATTGCGACGTGTCGCTTCCCGTGCAGCCACGGCGGGAGTGGGCGCGAGGCAGCCTCGGAGGCTGGTGCATGTGCCAGCGCTGCAGGACTGAGGCTGCCGCACAGAGTTGAGACTCGGGGTCAGGACGAATGATGACTGGACACAGGGATGAACAGCATGGGGAAAAACCTGCCATCAATCCCCACAACAGTTGAGTCCGTCGACGGACTGAACAGGGCGGCGGTGGCAGTGGGGGAGGATGACGGACCAGGATTGCGAGATGGTACAGATGATCGATCCCATGCGCCATGGTATGGCAGACACCCGCAGCGACCCCGCGTTTGCGTTGAACCATGCCCGGTCTTCCCGGTCTTTGCTTGGGTCGAGATTTGGGACGTTGGAATGATTTCGTCCTCGTCCGAGCTGCAGACGGCTTACTTGACACCCAGTCGTGCGACCCTCGCCTTGGCTCCGCGGGGTAGGGGTCGGCACACCGGCTTCGCCAAGGCAGGGGCGTCAGGATCGTCCACCCGACGTCTCCTGTCGTGTGAACGCTCTCAGTCCCTCTCGTACCCGGCGTTGACGGCCTGTCGAGGGTCGAAGCCGTCGGTCGGTCCTCAGGTCAATTGGGGGCAGAGGCGGCTGACCAACGTTGGAGGAGATGAAGGTTTGGTTTACTTGCGTTGTTTTTTGCGTCATCCTAGACATACACGTTCTGGGCAAGCCAAGACTTGAGCATCACATACACGAATAAGTAGTTTTATATACCGTGGATGGAAAAGCCAATAAACTTTTAAAAAAATCTCACCCAAAAAAAGGTTCGAGCGGCGACGATTGTGTGATGTTGATGACGAGAAGGAAGTAAAACAAGGAAAAGCCAAAACCTTGGAAAGCAAAAGGCAAGTCACATCCGCCCCGGGCACCGATGACCTTCTTTTCCTTGCGCCCCTGCCTCTACAGAACACGAGGAAAACATAAACGTAGAACAAAAGGAAGCTGTCTCAGTGATTGGACCCCGGCAGCGGGCGCGGGCCGACAATCTGCCTCCTCCCGGCCCCGATGCCCTGCGTCCCCCGGTTCTGACCGTCGCCGCCCGTGTAGCCGCTCCACTGGCCCACGTCCCAGCGGCCGTCGACGCCGCCGCCGTCGCCCGAGCGCACTGCCTTCGCCGTCTCCTTCTGCGCCTCCTCCCACTCGCGCTGGCGCTGGCGCTCCATCTCCATCTCGCGTTCGAGCAGCGACTTGGACGCCCACGCGTCGGCCCTGGCCTTGCTTTGGCTCTGCACCCGGCGCCGGTCCTCACCGTCGCGCCTCGCCGTCGCGTCGAGCTCATGCGAGTACGTCGGTTGCGGCTGCGAAGGCGACGGCTGCGACGCCGGTGTGTGACCGGCACTGACGAGGCGGTCCGTCCGGCTCTGCGGCGTCGCTGGGGAGCTATGCTTTGCTGGATCGGGGAGTGGCCGGCTTCCGGCGGTGGAGCTTCTGCTCTTGGGCCCGGCGGCGGCGGTTGGGTCGGGCAGGGGCCGTGGGGAGGCGACGGGTGACTCGGCGTCGGGCTGGGCGTTGTCGGGTGCCGCCACTTGGGCTTCTTGCGCCGCCTTTTGTTCCTGCTCTTGCTCCCACTGTGTCTGTAGAAATTCGCGCTCGTTCTTGGACCATGAGTCGACGCGCGTCTTGACACGGCTCGAGCTCTTGACCGGGGGCGGCGGGCGAGGCGCCGCCTTTTCGCTGACGGCCCTGCCAGGACGCGGGGCCCGCTGTTGGCGCTCGCGTTCGTACTCGGCCTCGCGTTGGCGAGCTAGCTCGAGCGCCTTTTCCAGCTCCCTGACCTGGCCGCTGGGGCTACTGTCCGCGTCGTCCTGCTCGGCCTGGTACTGGCTCAAAAATTGGCCTCGCAGTCGGTTGTCGCTCCGGCTCCTGACGCGGCGGCGCTCTTCTTCGAGGCGGGCCTGCGCCTCCTGCTCTTCCTGGCGGCGCTTCTGTTCCGTCTGCTGCCATTGCCGCTCCTGTTCATCCCATTGGCGCTGCTCCTCTTCGGCCTTGCGCCGCTCCGCCTCGCGTAGTCGTTCCGTCTCCTCCTCCCACCTGCGCTCTTCCTCTCTCTTGGCCTGCTCCTCTTCCGCCTCAGCCTCTGCGCGGCGGCGGCCCTCCTCCTCCTCTGATTCTTGGCGTTGGCGCTCCTCCTCTTCTCTTCGAAGGCGCTCCTTCTCAGCAAGGCTAGGGACCTGAGGTCCAGCCCCGGTGATTTGTCTCCGTCCACCAAACGAGATTCCCAGGTTGCCCTGGCTGGCGCCCCCCATGTAGCCATACTGGGCAATGTTCCACGCTGGAGACGTGACGGATTCTTGATCCCTCCTGCTCCAGGTGCTGACACGGCTCGGTGAGCCTCCGTTGGATGGGCTCTTGAGGTGACTTCTGGTAGGGCTTCTGGATGGGCTCCATCGGCCCGAGGCGGAGTCACCGGTCCGGTGGGGCAGAACTGGCCTGGAGGCGCCGTAGGCGGAGGAGGAGTTGCTGGCGATGGAAGCACCCCTGTTGCGGAGGGCTATCGGGGAAGCGGGACCGGTGGCCTGGGGACTCACGCCTCCTATTCGCGATCGGGGTCCCATGGTGGTAGGGAAGGTGACGGGGTCGGCGGCGTTGGCAGCTCTGCTAAAGGCGCCGAGGCACTGCAATACCTGGGTCGGGTCTTTTTGCTCAAATAGGTCGACGGTGAGGAAGATGTCGTGCTGGTGCAGGTTGAGGGGCGGGGCCTGGCAGGCGCGGAGGAAGATAGAGATGTTCTCCATCTGGACAAAGGGCATGGCGGACTGCTTGAACTTGACACCGGGCGGAGGAAGGGCCATGTTGACGAGCCTGGGGGTGGTGAGGAGGTCAGCCAGGGCGCGCAGGAGCCAGGGCGCGCAGGGGAGGCGGGAGGGGGCGGGGATTCGGCGCATACTTGCACAGGGCAACGCCATCTTTCAGGGCTTCGAGGAGATCAGGCGAAGGGAGTTTCTCGCCGAGTCTTTCCTCGATCCACGAACGGGCCTCGCTGGCAGCGGCGGGTGTGTATTTGTCGAGGCGCAGCTTGCGCAGGTCCTTGTCGAGGGACGTGACGGAAGCCATGGCGATTTATGGGCGGCGTGCCCTCGGAATCGGGAAACTCTTCTTCTTGGATTGCAGATGCAGTCTCGTGCTACCGGAGCCTGGGGTTTTGCGCACAGTCGATGCAGAGCAGGGGTCACTTTCGTGTTGCGCGTCCTCGAGGCCGTGAAGGCGTCCAATGAGAAGGAGGCGTCGTCGGAATGCAGTCGAACCTGAGAATCACGGACTTGGTATTTGACGCATAGCAAGCACCCCGGGGAAAAGAAGAGAGGGGAGGGCCGGGGCCTCGTTGTCTTCTGGAATGTCCTTCTTGTTTGTCGTAGCGGCGCGGGGCGGAAAGAGGGGGTTCAGCTGTCGTGTGTGCGAATATCGTAGGCGTTGAAGAGCGTCCGCGGCATTTGGCGGGGGATGCTTGTCGGATAACGACGATGGCTGCCGAGGCCGGTAATTTGCGTCCCGTCGCTGCCCGTCGGCGCAGGAAACAAAACAAACAAATAAAAAGATGGAGATCTGGATACTTGGAGAGAGTGAGATTGAGAAGGAGAGAGAGCATAAGGCTTGGTCCTTTGCTAAAGCAGCAGTGGGGACCCGAGTGACGTGGGCGATGGGCCGCAGCATGCCGCGTGAATGTGGCTGGTGCTGCACCGCCCCGACGAACTTGGCTATGGCGCAACCTCCATCTTCGACACTATCACCGCCTTTGACATTTTGCACGCAGGGACGTCTTCCTGTCCACCGGAGTGTTGTCTCTCCCCGACCGGCCGTCCCATGGCTCCCAAGCGGATAGGCCCCCTCGCGCAGGCCTGGCACGCGTGGAAGGCCCTGCAACTCCCGTGGCGGAAACGCTTCTTCGTCGGTGAGCCTCCAACTTCTCTTCTTCACCTCAGCTGACCGTCCTCCCTCTCCCTCCCCGTGCCTCGGCCACCTTTTACCCCGGCCCGTAGCTTCACTAACACACCTAGGCTACGACCTCCAGGGCAACACGTACTGGCAATTCCGCCTCACCACCCGCGGCCCTCCTTCCGACTACCCCGACTCCCATGCCGCCACCGAGCCCTGGCGCCGCATCGTCCACTACCCTCGATCCATGCCCTATTCCGAGGTCAAGGTTAGCCCGCTCTGGCACCAGTGGCTGCGCCAGACCCGTCATGAACCCCCGTCTCTCGCCGAGCAGCGCGACGACGTCCAGCGCCAGGAGCGCATCAAGCTGCTTGCTGCGCAGGCCGATGCGCGCTGGGAGGCCAAGCCCCGAGTCACAGACAGCCCCGTCGACGCGCTGCCTGGAGGCCCCCAGCCCGCTCAGCAGAGTCAAGCGCCGCGATTTGGAAGAGGGCAGCAAAGAGTCCAGCCGCCCGGAAAAGATGACCCAGAGACTACCACCAAAGCTCGTGGACCAGGCGAGAATTGGCAGCCCGCGCCCTGGAATCCCCGCTGATGGTAAAAAGACTCAAAATAACTCCCGAGGAGCAGGGCCCTGGTCGTGACAAAGTGGTGAGGCTGTGTGAAGGTGTCTTCTGGCTCAAGCCTGGTCCACGCCTTGCGTTGCTGTCCAAAGGGTTTAACTTTGTGAATATAAGCGCCGATGCGCTACGCATCCATGTGGATATAAATTACCGCGTCGCCAGCTGTCTTAAAAAGGACTGATAATCTACCTCGCAAGGCGGTTTAGTTAGGTAGGTGTCCGTGTCAATCAAGCGTCTTTGTCGTGCACTCTCCACGTCTCAGCTGCAGAATCGGGCCCCGAATGCGTGGAATGGGTCAAGCTTGTCGACGGCCCGCCATGTCGATACTCGTCTGTTCGTCAACAATATTAAACAGTCGGCCACAGGGCCCGCCATGAATGGGTCCGAGTTCATCATCGAACATCCTCCGAAACATCCTCAGTTGTCATCGCCGCCTCAAAGAGTCCACGTCCAGTGCCCCAAAGCCCTCACTGCGCCGTGTCCAGCCCAAGTCCCAACGCCCTCGCAATTCAGCAGTCATCCCAAGTCGTTGTCACCACTCGATTCTTCAAAGGGTCCATCAGCATCACTCCTCCGCATCAGCCGACGCCTCCAGCAACTGTAACAAAACGCGTATTCTCTGGGCAGAGCCCGCCAGGACGGCTTGCGCCACGACATCGCCGGCGTCGGCGCGCATCTTGCCCGTTCGCCTCTTCTTGGCCTTTACCTCCCGCGCCTCGATGCCCCTCTCGGCCGCTTTGGCGAAGCTGTCCGTATACGCGACCACGTCGCAGATCCACAGCAGGTGCATCGCGTTCTCGACCACCAGAGACAGCTTCGCATTGTCCTCTAGGCCAACCGTGTTGGCCGGCGATGACATGTAGCAGTGCTCCAGCATGGGCATGGTCAGGCTGCCCAGGGCGTCGCCTTCCGGGTCCACGCTTCTGGGGTCCTTGTACCTCGAGGGTAGCAGTAGGTGGAAGAGCTCCTTGGTGATGGTGACGTGGGTTTCGCGCAGTAGTGGATTATCCCTTTGCGACACAAACAGAGCAAACATCTGCAGAGGGAGCACCTTTATAGCTGCGGCAAAGTCTTCGTACAGCTTATTGAGATCCGACCGTTTGCCAAGGACATAGGTGGCAGCCGAAAGAAGCCGGAAGAACCTCAGTCGGAGATGGACAGATTCGACCAGCCCGGGATTCGAGCAGCCAAACGATACTTCCTTTCTCCCGTCGCGGCGTTTTTCCGGCGTCGGAGGCTCAGAGATGCCCGAGGAAATTGAGTCATCGTCAAAGTAGTCGCCAAACTTGTCGTTTACTAGGTCGAGGGCTTGCTCCCGTTTCCGTTTCCTCGACGCCTTCTTCGGCCCCCTGGGCTCCTTCTCAAACACCTCGGGAAAGGCAGATGAGGACAGGCTTCCCCCGTCGGCGAAGAGTGCCTTTATGATTCGCTTGTGTCCCGTCTGACGGCCGTCGCGCTGCTCCATGTACATGTAAATCATGGATTCCGCGCGCGAGGTGACGGGTTCGTCTCCGCGCTTGCCGCCGGCCTCGTGGGCCTCGTGATCGAGCCTCTCTCTCTCGGCCCAGTCGGCATCGAGGACATCGAGCAAGAGCTCGAGCCAGGCCTTCCAATAGCGCCACCGGTGCGGATGCACAGTCGCCGTGTTGAAAGTCCAGCCGACCGTGGACCACAGGTCCTGGCCTCGGCTCCAGACGCTCGCCTCGTTTGCCATTCTACCGCGCACGAGGTCGAGATCGCGGTCCGAGTCGCCATCGGACATGTCGCTGTCACTGGCATGGCCAGTATGAGCGGGCCGGCGACTCCGTCTCGGGGTCGAGTAGAACTGGAAGGCGGCGCGGAAACCGGCGTTGATGGGACCGGCGATGGTCAGGAGGTTGCGCAGGTAATCGAGCGCAAGGGAGGATACGATGAGGTGGTCTGGATTGTCCGCACGCGTCGTGTGCAGCGGGTGAACAACCAGCGTGGCCAGCAAGGCGATGTGGCTCGGAGGCGGCACTGGCACAGCTTTACGCGTCGGCGTTTCCCGGGAGAGGCCGGAGCCTAGCGTGCTGTTGAGCAGATTGATGGCACACGTATCTGAAGCTCTCTCTCATGAGTCCCATGTTCCCTGCGTGAACGCAGATTAAAAAGACGGGAAATGTCATACAAATCTGTTCCTCGAGGAAGATCTGGCAGTGATCCTTGAGCTGGCGGGGTAGCTGTCGCGCCTCACGGTAGGGACAGGGAGTTGCCTGAGCAGGACTGCTGGCCGTCGTCGACCGGTGCGCCTCGGAGTCATTTGCCGTGTAAAAGGAAGCCGGCGACGAGCTCCGGGTGGTTGGTGAGTTGGTGCCCATGGCCAGGCCCGGGGGGGAGAGAGTTGGAGGGCCAAGGATGCTGGGTGACGTGTGAAGTCCCGGCACGGCGATGCCTTGACGCGTGTGCCTGGCGGATGATTTTGGGGTGGGACTCCAAGAGAAACGCCTGGCCAATCGCGCTCTGGGTGGGGCTAGGTAATTGTTTGGCAAGATGTAGAGGCCTATGGTCACATGCGAAGTCACATGATGAATGACGCGTGATTTTACGTAAGGGCCCATCTCATCTTATTCTTCGTCACCAACTTGGCCGAGGTTCGATGCCTTGAAGGCGTCCGAGACCAATTAGCGAAGCTTCTCGTCAAAAAGATGCGCCTGTTTGGTTTCACCACGGCACCCGACTGGGAGACTACCGACACGCAGCTCGGGGCCTCGGCACTTATACCGTCTCCAAGAACAAGGTTCCTTTCATCAAGGCCTGCATAATTTATCACCTTCTCGCTCTTTCGCTCTTCAATACTACCCTTTCTTGTGTCAACCTCGCGGGCCCAGCCTCGGAGCGTGGCCATTGGCATTTCTGGAAACCAGGGCTTGTTCAAATAAAATCTCCGTTGCTGCCTAAAGGGTGACTCCAAGCACCGCTGTGCTACGCGTCCGGCTGCGTATAAATCACCGCGTCCCCAGCTCTCCTCGACCCTTGAGCAGTCCACGAGTCGTAAGCATCATGACTTGCTGCGAAGCCTCGACACTCTTGAACGACAAAACCAAGCCCAGCATGGACCCCTTCGAGACCCTGTCTTGCGAGCTTCGCCTCAAATTCTGAAATTCGCCGGCACGCGCGAGGACATGGTCCGACTGAGCCACGCCTCCCCTGCACTCTTCCGACCTCGACTAGCCTACAGAGCCTCGATCAGCGCTTACTTTCGTGGCAAGAAGATGCGTGGCATCTACTCGCCCGATCTTGTGCAAATTTGTTCTCTGAGAAGACAGACGGCAAGCAAAGCCATAGGGGCACGCGTTGAGGAACACATGGAAAGGCGGGCGGCCAAAGAAATCCCGGACCCGATTGATGAGCAGGACATTGACGCCATGAAATGGAACTGCCTCTACAAGGAGCTGAGGAGATACATGAACGACTATATGTCCAAGGCGACGAGCCCCATCTTCGTCGCGCATATATGCATTTGCCCGAGTGTCCAACCCAGAGCTGTGGGAGGGCATTTGCGTGCCTCGGCGACCAGGTGGTCAGCTACACGTTGACATGTTGTCGAGGACGGAGAAGCATTGCTTGCTCAAGACGTTTCTGCGGTTTGCCCTCTACTCAAGACTATACTCGGAGCATATATGGGGCATGCCATACGACCAAGGAAGGGAGAAGATGGAGCGTCGAGAGTCCTGCTGGTCGTGACTGTAGTCGTGGAAGTACCTCAACGACCTCAAGCGCACGACTCCGACACCTTGGGAGGTGAAAGCTTTCGATGCGTCTTGGGTTCGTCAATTGCCTGTACGGCGCGCTCGTGGCCCGTGTCGTCCCTCTACCCCGTGGGCACGGAGACGCTTGGGATGACACTCTGTACGACTATGACGACCCCCGACCGATCGATGAGAATCTCTCGGCCACGTGGAGCGATCCGAACGACAGTTTTGTGGCCAAGAAGATGTTAACAGAGATCGAGCCTCTTGCCCAGGACCGTGGTTTGGAAAGAGCCCGGTCATTTCTAGACAAGGAGATAAGCCGTTTCCGTCAAGTCTGTCGTGGAATTATCAGAACTGGTGGCTCACTCGCATCATGATTTCAGGAGAAGGCAGACAAATCATCGACTCCTATTTGGCCACTGAGGTCAATATCCAAGCCGCCAACATTTCTGCAGAGCGCGTACGGGAAAGTATTGATATTCTGAACTTCTGAAGCAGGCGTCGGGTGTAGTAGATGTCGAGACCTTCCGCATTCCCCAACCATACAGCAAGCAGTCAGTTGCGGAGAGTCAGAACAGTTTGCGGAGAAGCCGTCTGAAAATGTCATTACGATGTCGTCCTCAGCCGGCTCGAGAAGTTGGGCGTGAGGCTCGTCAGCCAGAACAACTTGTCAGCCCGAAAGCGTGCCGAAGACATCCTCCCTCTAACCTCCCCCGTTGACTTGTACACTAAATTCGACGAGACGACGACTTGCTTTGCGAAATCTCTGACACATCATGAGAACGGCTGACTTGGTCATTCCCCTAAGAGTTGAGGCCAGACGCTGACTTCATTGGGGCGCTTCTGCCCAGGCTCAGTCCGGCCTCCCGATATGGCGGCAGGGCATTCCAAAGGATGCCCGAAGTATGGCCCGCGAGGGTATATAAACAGTATACCTGCAGCGGTGAAGATGAAAGCTACAGCCACGCGTAAAACGGGGCCGAAGGGAATTCTCCTCTGGAGAGGGTCCGTAGCTTGCCTCACAGAGTCCTCCCTCTCATACAGTACATGGGCAATACCAATACACTGTACAAAGTATCAAGTACTTGCAGCCCTACGTCGACACAATTTGCTCCCTCAGCTGCCATTTCTTGCTGCCACGATGGAAAAATGTCTCTCTACCACGAGGCCGCCCAAGTCTTGTCTGCCCCGTCCGCAGAGGGCGGAAGCCTGAAGTCGCGCATCTTTGGCCGAAAGGACATCAAGTCGCACCCCAACCAGCTCTACGCCCTGGTCCTGGAGACGAGCAAATGGAGTCCCGTCGTCAAGGAGGTCATTGAGGCCACCGAGCTGCTCAAGCACGAGCGCAAGGTTGGTTGCCCTGCGGTTGTTTGAGGATATGTACATGCCTTGCCTTGCTCCTACTTGTCCGATTTGTGCTCGCTGACCTTTTGTGAGCTCCCAGCTTACCCCCGTCCTGTCGTTGCTGCTGGTCCACGACTTGCTTCTCACAAAGGGAGGCATCGCTCTGCCCCAGAGTCATGGCCTGAGGACGAGCGTCGAGAGGCACAAGGGCCGCCTCAAGTCGGAGCTTACCCGCGCCAGGCTGAGGCGCAAGGCAGTCTCGCTCGAAGCCTTGAGGGAGCAGGTTGAGAGGGATGCGGCCGGCGAGGAGGCCGGCTACCCGCGCTGGGTGCGCATCAACGCACTCCACAGCAGCATTGAGGAACAGCTCGTGTCAACCTTCTCCGGCTATGCCAGGGCCGGACGCATCGGCGACGTCGTCTCCAAGCCTGGCAGGCATCTCTATATCGATCCTCACGTCCCCAACCTCGTCGCCGTCACGCCAGGCATTGACATGAGCAAGACGGATGCCTACGCCTCGGGCAAGATTATCCTCCAGGACAAGGCGTCATGCTTTCCGGCCTATCTACTGGACCCTCGCTCCGAGGACGGCGACGTGGTGGATGCCTGCGCGGCCCCGGGCAACAAGACAACCCACCTGGCCTCCATCCTGCACCAACACAGCCCAGAGTTTGCGTCCAAGCCGCAGACAATTTTCGCTTTTGAGAAAGACACCAGGAGGGCGCAGACTCTGGAGAAGATGGTGCGGATAGCGGGGTCCAAGTCGATGACGCGCATCGGCTTTGGGCAAGATTTCTTGCAGGTCGACCCGCGCGATGGCAAGTTCAAGGACGTGGGGGCCTTGCTCCTCGACCCGAGTTGCTCCGGGAGCGGCATCATCGGCCGGGACTCGATGCCCGAGCTTCACGTACCAGGCGCACCAGCGGGACCCGGCTCCCCCAAAACGCGCAAGAGAAAATTGAGCCAAGTCCAAGACGAGACGGAAAAGCTGGTGCGGGACGACGACGGCAACGAGACGGTCATCAAGACTGAAAAGGACCTCGCTGCACGGCTGGAGGCGCTGTCGAGCTTCCAGCTGACGCTGCTGCTGCACGCGTTCCAATTCCCCGCGGCGAAAAAGGTTACGTACTCGACGTGCTCTGTCTATTCCGAGGAGAACGAAGCCGTCGTCATGGCAGCGCTGCAGTCAGACGTGGCGCGGAAGCGAGGCTGGCGCATCCTGCCGAGGGACAGACAGGTGAGCGGGATGAAAGAATGGCCGGTGCGGGGGTTGGCGGAGGCTTGCAAAGGCGACGCAACTGTGGCTGATGGGTGCATCCGGTCGCAAAAGGACGACGGGCGGGGGGTCATGGGCTTCTTTGTGGCAGGGTTCACCCGGGACGGCGCCGAAGATTCGGGTGCGACTGCGGCGGCCGGCGCCGAAGAGGACCCATATTTACGGGACGAAAATGGGCGGATCGTGCGAGATGTGCTGGGGATGCCGGCGCTCAACTCTACCGGAGAGCCGGTTCGACTCGTACCGCGGGAGGACAGGGAGGAGGGCGGGAGGAGCAGCGGCAGTGGCGACGAGGACGAAAAGAAGGACGACGAGTGGGATGGCTTCGGCGACTGAGGTCACCGGGCCGGGCGCGTGTGGGGGCGGACGAATGAAAAGCAGGCTGGCTGCTGTCTACGTCCAGGCTAGTTTCAGAGGCGTCGATTGTGCTTTTGACACTCAAGACTTCCTATTTATAGCAGCGACCCCGCAGTACGGAGCGAGCCGCTCGCTGTCTCTGGTTCTTGGTCGGATGGAACTAAGGTTGGAGATGGGAGGTTGGTCTCATGAAAGATGGCATGGCGTTGTCATGGTGGAGGGGGGGAGGGGGGCTATAGCGGCTTTGGGGCGAGAGGTGTCGAGGCGACAACTGAGACCGAGGAATAATCTAGTCTGTACTGCAGAGTAGGAAGAACAGCCAACAGCATTCAAGCGCTGACCGAGACTCGGTGACGGGTGACTGGCGGCCGAGTCGGGCCAGCATTCGGATCCGAGAGCGGGGTGTACCAACACCCCCCTGTCGTTTCTGGGTTAGCGCCACTGCCGCTGTCTCAGCAGTGCCTCGGACGCTTTTTTTGTTTTCGCTCAGGCTCCGGGCGAGCGAGAACAGGACAAACAGGACACAGACAGGGGCGCATGCAGGCAGCGGCTGCATCTACACAGGACATGCGCTGTAGAAGTGCAGCATGTGCATGATAGGCCAGCCAAAGGCACGCACAGGAGCCCCTAACTGGTGCCACCCACGGTTGTAGGGCACTTTTGGAAAGAGTGGAAGAGGGTGAGTAATTATATATCATGGAGAAAATAGGATGGATAAATCCCCCCAGTTGTGCGATGAGAAGGATCATTTTATCCCCAAGACCCCAACATTGCGAAATAAAAAGCAGCCGGGATCGGTGCTTTGCTCGGTGGGGCGCGGAGTCGGAGTTGGACTATTTTGCCGACGACAGCGGAGAAGTTCTTAATTGGCCGCTCCGCTAATAGAGATTGATGCCATGGACGGCCGGCTTTAGTGCACCCAAAGTCCGGAGCCGAGTGTGTACTGTATCCGTTTAGGTTGATTACATGGAACATGGAAGATCCAGGCGGCGCCGAGCCATGATGGACCAATCGGCCATCTGCTTGCTGCTTGCTGCTTGGACGCACGGGCTGACGAACCGTTGCGAGACAGACCGATGAGGCTCGACGAGGAAAAAAGAAAGCAAAGGGCGCGATACTTTCGCCGTCGATGCGCACACTGGCTGGCTCGTCTCGAGCGTCGCTGTCGGCTCAGCGGGCTCGCAAGCCCATTGCAGCAGGCACAAGCGGTATTACCAAGCCCCTGGGCGTGTATCAGCCCGTCGGGCCGTGGGTCCCGCCCGAGAGCCGCGGGGCCGTTGCTGCCTGCCCGGAGGGCCTGAAGTAGCCCCGAGTCTCCTCGACACGGGTTTCTGGGCCGGTTTGGTGCCGACGGCCCCGTACTGCCTACTCGATGGGTACAGCCGGGTAAGCAGTCAATCACCCGATGTCCGTCTCATCCCCGGCAAACCCACATTTTCCTTTTTTTTCTGCACACGCACACCAAACCTCCACACCTCCACATCCCCACGCCCCCCCCAAACTTGGCGAGCCTCAACGCTTCTCTTCTGCTCGCGTTGCCACTCGTCTCTCCCCGATGTCGCCATGTCTGCTCCCTTCCAACTCGTCGGCCCCCCGTCAGATGCCGACTCACAAACGCCCCCCGCCGGCTCCGTTGGGCGCTACGCCACGCGCTCCCTCCCCTCCCCGGAGGCGGCTTGACCCCCTTTGGCTTCCGTTCGGGGCCGTCGTCGCACACTCGAGCTCGAATATAAACTGCCTGTTTGGCCTGCTCGTCTGGCTGCATTGTGGTGCGGTCCCTCTTGCGAAGTTGTGAAACGTTTCCCATGGCGGTGCTTGTGTATAGTGAACCTGCATCTTGCCCCCCCGTCCCCTCCCCGTCCTCCTCTCCCTTTCCTCATCGCCTCGCCTGTGCATCTCTCATCACCCTTTTTTCCATCTCTTCCCTCCTTCCCGCCGCCTTGTCTCGGATCGCCTCGTCACGCTTCCGACACCGAGACCCTCCACCCGCCAGCGTGTTGCATCCGATGTAACGCGCCCCAAAAGCTTGTCCTTTCGTGTGTTCCATCAACGCTACCTGATCTCTCGATACCCTCGGCTGCGAGGAAAAGAGAAGGACTCGATCGAAACAGTGCCCCTTGTGGCCTCTACGCCCATAGCATCCCGCCTCGCCCTTCTCACGCTTGCATCGGAAAAGCACGGGCATCTTTGCCCTGCGCCGACTTGCAGCCATGGCGCCTGCTGCTTCGCCATCGACCACGGACTGCGATGTCGAGTCGCTGCAACGACCGCCCCTAAAGATCTCACACTTGAGCGTCCTCCTCGACCAGGCCGGCGTCGACGACCAAGTCCTCAACCGCAGCTATGCCGGCCACGGCACCGACGAGTCGCCCTACCTGGTCGACTTCCTGCCCAACGACCCTCGCAATCCCATGGCCTTTCCCAAGCCCTTCAAGTGGCTCATCACCTCCATCGCCGCCCTCTCCACCCTCGCCGTCTCCTTTGCCAGCTCCGCCTACTCGGGCGGCGTCGGTGAAATCATTGCCGACTTCCGCGTCTCGTCCGAAATCGTCATCCTCGGCGTCTCCATGTTCGTCCTCGGCTTTGCCATCGGCCCGCTCATCTGGGCCCCGCTCTCGGAGCTCTATGGTCGGCAAAAGCTCTTCTTCGTCACCTACATGGCCTTGACCGCCTTCAACGCCGCGGCTGCGGGCGCCCCGTCCATGGCCGCTCTCGTCGTGCTGCGTTTCTTTGCCGGTGCCTTTGGGTCTTCGCCCCTGACCAATGCCGGCGGCGTCATTGCCGACATGTTCTCCGCCTCGGAGCGCGGCATTGCCACCAGCATCTTTGCAATGGCCCCCTTTCTGGGCCCCGCCCTCGGTAGGTGTGCTCATCATCGTCCTTGGCTTCCGCCTCGATGCTGACCTGTGTCGACACAGGACCCATTGCCGGTGGCTTTCTCGGTGAGGCCGAGGGCTGGAGATGGGTCGAGGGCATGATGGCCATCTTTACCGGCCTCCTCTGGATCATCAACTCGGTCGTCTATCCGGAAACGTACGCGCCCGTCCTGCTCCGCAAGCGCGCCGCTGCCTTGTCTAAGAAGACGGGCAAGGTCTACATCTCCAAGCTCGACGCCACTGGGCCCAAGAAGAGCGTCGGCCGCCAGTTCAAGGTCGCCCTCTCGCGCCCGTGGATCCTCCTCTTCAAGGAGCCCATTGTTCTCCTGACGTCCCTGTACATGGCCATCATTTATGGCACCCTCTACATGTGCTTTGCCGCATTCCCCATCGTCTTCCAAAAGGGCCGGGGCTGGAGGCCTGGCATCGGTGGCCTGGCCTTCACCGGCATTGCTGTCGGCATGATGTGTGCCACGGTCGGAACCATGTTCGACAACAAGCGGTATAAACGGGCCGAGGCCAAGGCCAATGGCATGGCTCCCCCCGAGGCTCGACTGCCCCCTGCTCTGGTCGGGTCCATACTGCTCCCGGTAGGCCTCTTCTGGTTCGCTTGGACCAACGGCACCGACGTCCACTGGGTGGTGCCCATAATTGGTTCCGCTTTCTTCGCGGCCGGCATCGTTCTGGTCTTCCTGTCCTTGATGAACTACCTCATTGACTCTTGTTGGTGCCCCTTGCCCCCGGTTTGCAGAGATGGCGGCTGACAAGTACACCAGACGTCATCTTCGCCGCGTCGGTCCTCGCCGCCAATTCGGTTCTCCGATCGCTTTTTGGCGCCGTCTTCCCCCTGTTCACGACGTACATGTACGACGGCCTTGGGATCCACTGGGCGAGTTCGGTGCCCGCGTTCCTTGCGCTCGCGTGCGTGCCGTTCCCCTTCCTGTTTTACAAGTACGGCGCGGCAATCCGCATGAGATGCAAGTATGCAGCCGAGGCTGCCCATGTGCTCGACATGATGCGGTCCAAGCACACGCAGATGACCGAAGACGAGGCGGCCACGGAAGCCGACGAGGCTGAGAGAGAGAGGCGTAACAGCAGTGCCGCGACGAGGTGAGGTGCGTGGCCGTTGACCTTGTGAGAAGCCAGGATTGGTCTCGGTGCCGGTCCGGGGTCCACGATACCCATTTTCTTTTGTTTCTCTTTTCCCCATTTCCAGAGGCATTTGTCGACGCAGAATACTCGGCTCGGAGTTTAATGAGTTGCACCATCATGGCGGTTGCCTCGGAAGCACCCGATATTTCGGCATCTGTGGGGCGTTTGGAGTGACGGATACGCCTCATCAACGACGACGGTCTAGACGGCGATGCACGGGGTGCCCCGAATAGAGGGAGAGGCATCAAGTGACATCTTGGCTGTCGCACGGCAGCATTTTGGAGGGTCGAGGGCCGCTTTATATCCTGTACAGCGCATGTCGTGGGCATCTGCGTGCAAGGGTGCGTAGAATGGCGGATATAAGACACGACAGAAAGCAGCCGAATGCTCTGCTGTTGCAATATGGCGGGATATTTCGCTACTTCTCTACTCTGGAGGTTGGTAGAGGATTAAAGAGTTGCTATAACTTATACGTCCATCGTAAAAATGTCAGGATTGCAGTATTTGTTTGTAAGGCGATTAAACATATCAGGTACTCGAGCGCAAAGCTTCTCGGTGCTCAAGATGCCTAAACGATGCCGCTGTCAGGCCTGGATCGCGTTAATCGGCGAGTTGTGGCCTCGCTCCGCCCTGGCGGAACTGATGAAACCTGGAATCATAGTCTCCGAGCTTGTCTTTTACACCATCTCCATAACAAGTTCCTAAGCTGCCTTTGAGGCAACCAAGATGCAACTTGACTTTCATACTTTGTGTGAATGGGTTAGGGGATGGTTCAAGGTAATCTGGAGTTGCTCAGAGCCAGGCCTTGTATCCTCGACTTTCTCCCGACACTTTGGCCCAACCTCTTGGTTCAAGCTTGAAGGTCAACACCTGGCGGGAGATCTGCAGGGGTAGCCTTTCGGACCAAAGCTTTCCAAATATATGCGAGCGTTAGCTCTCGCAGCAAGGATTCACGCATTCGGCTGCCAGCAAGATTGGTTAGCACATCGGCAGTCAACTTTCGAAGCAATGCCCATAGGTCCGCGTGCTCAGAGTCGGCCATTATTGAAAGCAAAACTTGGTAAATTCCTCGTCGGCATGTGGTCGGAGTTTTTCAAAGACATGCAACGATCTGAGCTGCGGCTTTTGTTTTCCTCTTTCTCTTACAACTATGACGCATCTGGACCTTTACGCTGAAGCCCCTGATATGGCCCTCGGAACCAAAAGAGTTTCCCAACCGGTTCTCGTGTAAGTCTACCCCGCTCACGCGTTAGCAAGATTGCTTTGGCTAACAACTGCTGCCCGCAGTTCTCGGTACATGCTACGTTGAGAAAGAACAGCAACTGCAACAGCAGTAAGAGAAGTTTCTACGGCATCATGGGTTCGGAAGCTGTGGATGAGGTCCATGTTCCTGCGTGGCACTCGTCCAGGCAACACAGTCTCATCATGGGAGACATTCCAAGACGACTTCGAAACAGTCTCAAATACTATGAATTGAGCATTTCCAAGAACTGGCCTAGGCGCCAAGAAAAGAACTGAGCAGGCAATGCAGCCGTCTCGTAAAATATACACATGGCAAGAATCGAAGTATCAACAAGAACCCGGCGTTTGAGGTCTCATCCAGAGACCATTCTAGCCCCTATTCACATATCCCGTAAGATCCCATGTGAATCATTTGCCGTACCAGGACGGCGACGAACAATCAGACACGGCGCTCTGGGCGCCCTGCTTCGCTTCCAGAGGCTTCCTGCTCAAAGGCACGTGCGGCCTCGTCGCCATTCGGCTCAGGAGTGATAGCTGCGGTGCCGCCTCACGTGGTGGTGGAAATGCCGTCGACTCTTGGTCCCCTTCAGCGCAGCATGGCCATCCTTGCTGTACACGGAGAGAGCCCAGCCCCCGCCACAGACCTGCGATGCGTCACCTTCACAGGGCATCTCGCATTTCCCATCATCGAGGTGTTGGGAGCCCACCAGCTCGTTTCCGCAGTAGCACTGTCCGCCGTACTCGGTTCCGGCCAGTGCGTAGCCGGCCGCCTTGCAGTGTGAGATGCACTTTCCGTTGCTCATGGAGCCCAGATCGGCGCGGATGACGCCGCCGAGGGCTCGCTCGCTCGCATCCTTGAAACAGCCGGCGTACTTGAAGCCACCAACGGACCAGGTCGAGTTCGAGGCAGGCTTGGTGGGCGCGGCGGGCATCTGGCGCGTAACTGTGACGGTCCTGTGCGCGCAATCGGAGGATTCGGCGGCATCAGTCGGCTGCGATGGAGTGCCAGGGGCCGAATGCGACGACGCCTCGGCGGACTCAGACGGGACGGGGGCCTCCTTTTCCGGGTCTGCAGTCGGCCCAGGGTTGGTGTTGTGCGTCGACGACTCCGTGGACGGCTCGGCTGGCTTCTTAATAACCGGCGAGTTGATCTGCGAATTATCCTGTACCCTTTTGATCGGGCTGACCTTGCCGTTGGTCGGCTGGCCGGACGCGTCAGGGCGGGAGGCGCTCGGGGTCAATGCGGGCTTTTCGCCGGCAGACGGGCTGGAGCTATTGCTTCCGCCATAAGCCCAGCCGGAGACGCGGTTGTTGCCAGGGAGCGAGTCGAGGACGCCATCGACCTTCTCGTTCACCGAAGACTCAATGGTGCAGTCGCCCTCGTTGAGCCCGAGGGGCAAGTCGGGGCACTTGTCCATGCCGGCAGTGCCCGCGTTGCATGTGTCGATGATGCGCTGCAGCACCTTCTCGTCCCAGCCGGCCATGAAGTCGGCATGGAGGCTGAAGCCGGTAGAGTCTCCATTGGAGAGGATGAAAGGCTGCTTGTCCTTGCCCTGCTCCCAGCGATCCTTGAATGCCGGCGTGTTCCAGTAGATCTCGAGGAACAGATGCGGCACGTGGACATGGCCCTTGGGGCAATCCTGCTTGCCGCCGGCGCTCTCAGTGGGAAAGACGGCGTTGCTCTTGTAGTCGGTCAGGCCGGCGTCGGGGTTGTAGCACGAGGGGAAGTGGATGTCGGCGCGGAGGGGGGAGGCGAAGCCGTCACAGTTGACGTCGGGGAAGCCGACGCCTTCGCCCTTGTTGACGGGATCGCCAATGCCAGCCAGCGTGCCGTCCGAGTCGGCGGGCCACGAGGGCGGGTCGTAGCGGTTGCCGTCGCGGGGACAGGTCCACTTGATGGGGTTGACGGGCCCCTTGGAGGGATCCAGGTTGGTGACGGCGCCGGCGGCGGGCGGTGAGCGCATGTCGGGATCGCCGCTGATGATGCTGAGGCCGAGGGGAAAGGCCTTGATGTCGTCGTTTGTGGCCTCGAAGAAGTAGTAGGCGTTGGCGTAGAAGAGCTCGACATCCTCGAACTTGCCCGTCTTGGGGTCCCTGAAGTACAGCGAGGGGAACCAGTAGTTGCTGTTGTCGCCCTTGACCTTGGCCGTGGTGCACTTTGCCTTTTGCAAGTCCGGGCCCTTGGCGCTTGTGCTGAATCCGCTGCCGCCGAGGATGTTGTGGACGTGCGCCGACGTCACGCCCGGGTTGCGGATGGGGTCCATACGGCCCTTGGTCAGCTGCTTGTTGTTGAAGCGCAGGACAGCAAAGGTGCGTTCGTCCTTGGCGGCCGTGGCGCCCATCAAGGCCGCAAAGGCCGCTGCTACGGCGGGCTTCATTCTCGTTGCGGCAGTTGGAGGAGCGAAGTGGATAACAGAGTCGGGGCCGTGGTATGTATCAAAGGGGCCAGGATATATGGATATATGGATATAGGAAGAGAGTCGGCGCAGTGAAAGTGAATGAATGCCTAAAGGTGATACCTGAGCACCTCGGGGAATGAAGGACGCCGGCGACGATGAGTGACCAAAACGTGGTGCCGGACAAGGATCAACGTTCAAATGAAGGAAGGAAGCAAACAGAGCTCACGCTGTTTGAGTGGTAAGAAAGAAAGGACGTGCTCAGCGACGTTGGGAGGGGAGAGGGGGAAGAAATGGAAAGAATGCGGAGGCGGTTTGGGTATAAAGGAGACGCAGGAGAAGAAAGAAAAGGAGGCGGAGGAGGAGGAGGAGGAGGAGGAGGAGGAGGAGGATGGACGGAACCCACGTCCATGGCCAAGGCACAGAGGACGGCGTTAGGCATGCAGTACTAGACCGTATCATGTATAATAGGGACAGCTAGCCACCAACACGAGACGGAGCACGCAAGCATGCAAGTGATGGGCTGTAGATGCAAGCAACACGTCGATGGCCCCCCCTGTCCAGGTGGTTATCGGATATTGGTTCTACAAGCAAACGACGAGAACATGGGTCGGAAGAAGCGGAGAGGAGAGTTCGGGGGATAGGAGAAGACGACGCAATCAAGGGCGGACAAAGAGATCAGGCCCCGACGGGCTGTCGACGGAACCGCCAAGCACGGGGTCGGCCAACAGCTCTTGAAACGAGCGAGCAGGCCTCAGCCGGCGATGCGCGCAGTGTTCCTGCATAAGCACGACTCCCGGGCGCAGGCGCCAAAGCCTGGCTGCCGCCCGTGATTCGCCGCGGGCCCCGACAGTGGCCGCCCCCTCGCCTGGCGCCGGGGGCAGGGGGGGAAAGGAACAGAGAGGCGCCGTCGTCGTCATCCATGGCTGGTGCGGAGAAGAATGGACGGGACGGACCAGGCGCGTGGCATGTACTGTATGTGCATGCATACACACAAAGGCAACAGGGCCACACACACGCTGGCATCGATCAATAAGATGGACGCGGAGGGAAAATAGAGGTGGTGCCGCCGATAGAAATAAAAAAAGAGACGACGAGGAGAGAGCGAGGTGTTGGGTTGGTGATTGCCTCTAGGTGCAAGGAAGTTCTCCAAGATACATGCCTTACGTAAGGCACTGCTCCACGAGTTTGCTCCCCCGGTTAACCATCGGAGAAAGGAAGAGGGATTAACACGAAAGAGAGGCAGTACTAGGTACCTTACCTTCCTATATAACTACCTGGGTGCTGTACGTATAGCTACCTATTCGTGCCGCCAAGGAACTGAAGCGACGGGCCCGCACGTGTGGGGACAAAGAGCAAGGGCGGGGCCGGCCTGCCGATCACCGGCCGGGTCCACACGGAACTTGAGACGGAACATGGGACGAAAAGACGGGAGCACCAGGCAAGGAGAGAGAGAGAGATAGAGAGAGAGAGCGCAAAAAGAGTGCGTGCCGTACGGGCTAGGATGCAGAGTGGCCGACAAGCAAGTCGTGACAAAGGGGAGGACGCCCGCCTCTCGGCCACTGCCCGGCAGACACCGTGAACGCGCTTATTAGTTATTACTCTTCCCCCCTCCCCCCAGTCTCGCAGCCTCTGTCAACTGTCAAGGCAGAATCAAGATAGAATGTACAGTACAGTGCAATCACCCTCCCTCCTTCCCTTGAAGATATCCAGGGACACGCAGACGGAGTGCTTGTTGGCAGCAGCGACCTCCTCACATGCAGCGACAATCGTCTCCCTCGCTCTCGTTAGCCGCCACATGCACCCGTCCGGCCTGAAAGCCCTGCCGTGGCCCCGTCCGAGCCGACCTGGAGAACAAGACCAATAAGGAGCAAGAGAGAGCGCCTTATCCCCAATGCCACCCTACGATTACCCCCTGGCCTGGCCTGGCAATGAGCTGCATGCGTCGTCGAAACAAGGGCCGACGCCTCAGCCCACACACCCTGCTCTCGTCACATGGCAGCTCACCGGCATGGGGCCTGCACATCCAGTCCCCATCCAGTCCCCATCCAGTCCCCATCCAGTCCCCTCGCTTGCCCCCGTCATTCGGCCCGCGGCGCGTTGCACACAACTCCACATGCCCTGTCCATAGCACAAGCCAGACCCGGCGGCCCTCCTGTGCTTCCGTGGCAGAGCCGTGCCTTCAAAAGGATCCCTCTCCTGTCTCTCAGCCGCAACCCACTCGCCCGCCACGTCGACAGCTCTCCATCAACACGAAACATGCATCCTTGAGCCGTCGTGGGCATGTCCTGCCGATCCATCGACGCCCGTCTGCTTCACTGCCGGTACCACCCCGATCCGAGAGTGGACGTGGCACGGGATTTCGGACGAGATGCCAGAACCGAGACGACACATCAGTATTCATTTGGAGACAAAGGGACCCAAATGTCCGACGCCGTGTCATGGGTGTGGCGGCAATCTGCTCCGCGCCCAACCTCTATCGCCATCAAAGTGCATTGCCAGGGCACACGCACACCAAGAAAAGGGGCAAAGGGGCAGGGAGGAGGAGGACCAACAGACAAGAGGAACCATGCTTGCAAGGGACATGGCAATTCCCGAAATCCAGCTTTGTAGTTTGAGCAGTCCACGCCCGTTTCGAGCGTCTACAGCTATTCCAAGAGGCCAAGAAGCGGAAGACAGAAATCGAGGGCGGCGCGTATAGGCGCGTCCCATGAGCTCGAACCGGCCATTTACGCACAGTTCAGCTCTACATTACCGTCCTGCTTCCAGACCCAGCGTCGAGCCTCGTAAATGGGCTTCTCCACGATATGCTGTAGTACCCCTTTCTACGCCTCACCAGTCGGCGCCGACGGTCTCGAGGCCGCCTCACGCCGCCCGGTAGCTCGGAGGCTCCGTCGACATCACCGCCGTCATACCAGTGCCCTGTCGACAGGCCCCTGTAGCTCAAGATGGGGCCATGTTCGTGAGCGCAGTAGCCAACTTCCACAAGCTGGATCAAGGATCCGACGGTCCAACGTCACGCCGACGCACAAGAGCCGGCCACAAAGCCCGATCCGGAGGCGCTCCGAGAGAGGCTGAGCGCGACCATTCCCAATATATAGCGAGGCAGGCGGCCAGGGGCAAGGGATCCTAACCAGGTGGCTTGCCGTCGCCACCCATTGCGAGCTCGTTGGTCCTCGGCGCCTCTGGGAACCCGCTCGCTTGCCTTTCTTCCAAGATCCTTGGTCTTCGGCCTTCGCGACAGGCGTCCCTGGTGCTGGTTGGCGAGCGCGCTTCCGTCCAGCCCGGCACTGTTGATCTCCTCACCAACCACCCTCGGGCCCAATGTCGCCAACGTCTGACCCTCCACCAACTCTGCCCAGTCCTGAAGTCTCCCTGATGCCCCGTGGCGCGATGACGCCTTTTTCTGCGGGCGAAGCCGTGTAAGTCGCCCTAGCTGCTCGGCCGGAAGACGTGCACCCTCACGACTATGGCAGCTCAGCTTCAAAAGCATAGGACAGGTTTCGGCATCTGTCAACGGTAGGCCTCATCGTAGTGGACTTTGCGAGCTGTTCGCGGCGTTTCACCGCTAGGAGCTGTCAATTAAAACTCCAAACGCCCAAGTAGCCAATGATTCCCCATGCTACAATCCCTTATCCCCAATCTCCCCATCGCGTCGTTCTTCACGTCGGAGACAGGCTCGTGCCGCCTTTGCGCTGATATTGAATACAGCGTTTCTCGCGTCCCCCTCACACACCCCCCTCCTCGGGGCCATGGGAAGCCGAGACACCGACAACGGGATGAAAAGAGAAAGAAGAAGAAAACGTGGGACGCCATCCCACATTGAATTGAAACGAAAACGTGGCGCAGACAGGCGAGAATCATTATCATGCAGTACCTCAACAGCTCATGTCTCACATGTCTAACCCTCACATCAATGCCTTGGCCGTTCGTCGATGCGTCCGTCAACTCTGTATGCTCGGCTGCCGGCCCAAGGTCCTTTGTCCTTCATCTAGTCCCGAGCCATGCGCCGTCTCCGATGCGCCCGCGAGCCCTCCCCATCCTCCTCGTCCCTGTCAGACAAGGCCTCTTGGGCCCGTGGATTCCTTGATCTTTCATTGCCTTTCTTGATCGAGATGATACATCCTTGCTCCTTCAGCCGCTTGGCTAGATTGCTGCTGGGAAGCATTCCCGGAAACTCCTTGGCGCTGTAGACGTGGAAGACGTCGCTCAGCGTCTCCGTCAGGATGGGGAAGTGCCTAATCATGCCGGCACGCGCCGGGTCGATCATGATGAGAGTGAACTTGAGGCGGAAGGAACCTGGCGTGCGGCACGAGAGGTCCCCAAAGCAGAAGAAGCAACCCTCCACACCCTTCTCGTCCTGTCCGACAAACGGGGTCCCGACAAGCGAGCCCATCAGGCGGCGTTGGTGCTGATACTCGTCGGGCATGAGGGAAGCATCACGAGTGCCCGACTCGTCGCAGATGGCGCAGTTCATGACGTAGCTCTCGTAGCGCAAGTACGAGTGGGCCTCGTCCTCCGTCATGCTTGAGCTCTCGATAAGCAGCTGGACAATGGGAGGCGGGTCAATTACCCGCCTGTCCCTGTCGCCGAACCCGCAGGCTCGCGCCGCTTTCGGTTGCTGGCGCAGGCTTAGTCGAAACCTGATGTCGCTCAAAGCTTGCGCTCGGCCAGCTCCCAAGAGATTCGGCATCCCGGGCATGGGCGTCCCGTCCGCCGCCTGTCGAGTCCGGGTGGGTGGCGGCCTTGGCGTCGGGGTTGGAGGAAGGCCGGGAGGCGGTAAGTTCTGGCGGCGCGGTGCTGCAGCGTCACAGTGAAACTCAGCTGCCTGCAGGCGCGGCTGCTGGCCGTGCAACGGCGATACCTGGGGATGTAGCAAGTGCGGTGCTTGTGGTGGCCGAGCTGCGGTTGGATCGTGCGGCGAGTCGACTATGGCGGATGGCAATAACCAAGGCTCTCGGCCGCGATGCGATGGAGCCTGGGTGTACTCACCGGGTACGCCGCGGGCGGCGCCGGTGAAGGAGGGAGGCAGTGGGTGCAAGGGCGGGCGGGAGGCATAGGACGGGGTGTTTGCTCTCAGTCGATGCTCGAACGGGACCGCAGAGGGAGGGGGTGAAGGGTGGTGGGAGTGTAAAGTAGTCGACGATGCGGTCACGAGGCCGTCGGGGGGAGGCAAGAGTCGAGGGCCTCGCTGATCCGGGCCGACGGCAAAGCCATGGGTAGTGTAGTGATGGCGGACAGGTTGGTGGTGGTGGTGCCCGTGGTGGTGCCCGTGGTGGTGCCCTTGGTGGTGCCCTTGGTGGTCGGGTTCCCAGTCCTCGTAGGGAGGAGACAGGTCTTCAAAGGCTCCATGGCCACGGGGCTCTGTGTCGACGGCGGAAGGAGACATGCGGGATTGGTTCATGACGGCTTGACTGCTGGCATTTGTCACGCGCGGTGGATGGTGGTAGCCGGGAACCGGAGGCGTGGTCTCGCCCATGGCCAGGACGAAGAGAGTAGGCTTGGCGTACCCTAGCGCCAGGGCGCCCATTTGAACGAGCCAATGCCGCTCCTGGCTCCTGGTGCCGCCCAGATCGGGGGCTCCGAGGAAGTCTATCGGCGTCGGTTCCTGAGCCCCGGGTGCTGCAAGTCTGCCCTGACCTGGTTACCGGTGACGGAGATGGTGGAGAGGGCCAAGTCGAGTCCGCGATGCGGGGCACGAGAATCGACGAATAGCGCAGATCTGACAGCCTGGGAAAGTACAGTCGAGGCGGCAATATGTCTGAGATGGGACTGTTGATGAGCCTACGTGCATATGTACAAGACAGGCGCGCCGCCCAGAGCTCTTACATATGTATCCGTAATGACCAGAGGCGGAGGGCTCGACAGTCAGACAGTGACGCCTCATTGGGGTGCCAACACGGGACACCCTTGCGGGATGGGGCCGGCACTATCTGGCTAGGGCGGCATCGAGCATCGCGCCAGGCGGCGGGAAATGGGCGATGGTTGCTCTCTTTGCCGACGGGAGGAAAACGTCCTTGGGGAGCCGCCGCTTTGCACAGACTCGGTCACCGGGATCGAGGCAAAGATAAAGCAAAAGCAAGTCTGGCTCGCGCGAGCTTTGACGAGAAAAGCCCTCGACCCCCGGTCCCGATATGCACGGCGGGCGGAGCAGGGAGAGCGAAGAAAGTGAGCATGCGTAGAGGCATCAGTGGATGGACGTGTGTACGTGTGCGTATGTATGTATGCGTTGTTGATTGAGAGAAAATGTTGCTTTGTCAAGGCCACTCTTACCCCAGTCGAGAGGGAAAAGCTAGCCCGTTCCTCAAGCCCATCCATCAGGCATGCTGGGTGCATCGTACCTCTGCGGTTCTCCGCCCAGACGCAGGTAGCACCGCAGTGGGCGTGGTAGGCCAGGGGCCGTCAATGGACCCAAACAAGAGATAAATGATAGATCTCATTCGCCTACAGGCTTGGGGGCATCTCCCGGCCGAACGTATATGCAGACGATTGATTCAAGCTGACGGTGATTTGCATTCTTCGAGACCGCCTGTGTGCGGAGGCCGACGAAGCCCGCCAGCGAATGAGCTTGGGGGGGAGAGGGGTGTGTGTTGCAGGGCCGTCGCCTGGGGACCTGGGGGAGGCGGCATTCGACCTCGGCCGTTACCAGACAGGCGACTTGGCGCAACTGCTGGTTAGCGCAGTCAATGGCAGCGAGGCTTGCAGACGGCCACCTCCCTTACCAAACCTTGCTGGCCCGGTCCGACCAGACTCGGCATGCGTGACAGGACCGGATGGATGCCTTTGGCCGAAGCTTTTCGTCAACGGGACTACTGGACCGCGGTAAGTCTGGGAAAGGCAACACCTCCTCTCTAAAAAAGAAAGAAAAATTCAAGGTTTTGGCAGTCTTAATTGACGTGCCTCGCAAGTGCGGGCGTACCATGGGGGTTGGGGGGTCGTGGGCACGCGATGCCTATGTCCGACATGGTCAGCAGTCAATCCCTTGCTTGCTTTTTCCCTTCTCCTCGGGCTTCATCCACTCCAACGTGCTGCAGCAGCGCATCTAGTCGGGCTTTGGCCAAGGATGTCGAGAAAGAGGAGACGGGTCCGGTGGAGGCCGCAAGAGGCAGGCGTCTGACAGCCACAGCGCGGCCGAACGCGCAGCGAGGGAACTGGAACGGTGAGATCCATTGACGCCCTGGAGGTAGGAGGCCTGCAGGGCTTCCGAGTCATCGAATGTTTTTTTGGGAGTAGCTGGAGGAGCAAGAGCAGGATTGTGAGGGGAGCTCGGGTCCGTACCCCAGCGCTTTGTACGGGGCCGAAACTTGTCAGAGTGCTGAAGCAGTAGACAGTACCGACGAGCCAGTAGCCCGCCCGAGGGAGCCGCTTGTGTCTGGTACCTGGTCACTCCGCCGTGGCTTTTTCTCGAGATACCTACATACAAAGTACCTGACACGGCTTCAGCTGCGCCGACGACGTGTCTCTTTGGCCAAACTTCTCCTCCCCCCAATGCCAGCTCCAGCGGGCAAGTTGGCTCTCCCGGCTCCCGAGAGCGCCCCGGGAAGCGGGAACCATTGCGATGCCGTCTGGCGCTGGACCGTGCAGAAAGTTCGCATTGACCCGATCTGCACGGCCGAGGCCTGGCTGACCGACGACGTCAGCGTCTCCCAGACAAGAGCTCCAGCAACGGCTCCAGGTGGCCGGCTCCTTGCTTCCAAACCCACGGGCCCTCCGACACCCAACCGCGTGCCGACACGCGCCGACGAGGCACTCGCATCAGCTATCCCGTGCGGTGAGCTGTCCGACTGGCAATGCCGTCCCTGGGCCTTCGGACCTACCATGCAACTTGTGTATGTACAGTACACAAGAATGCACAAGTTCATGCATGGTGCTACCACACGTGCAGTTGAGATCGAGTCAGCACACCGCTCGTTGGACTCGACGAACGCTACCATGGCCAAGCCAGCCGAGCTACCTGCCTTGGGCAAGGCCGCAACCAAGGCGGCTCCCCATCCGGCTGTCTAGGACGAGTTCTACTTGGGATGCAGCAGCGGCCGTTGAGTGGTGCTCCTTCTAGCAGGCTTCAGCTGCACCACGGCGTCCTGCCGCCTCGCCCAGCACAGCGGCCAACCAACGACTCTCCCAGCCGTTGGACCACGTTGGCTGGGGCGGCAAGACGGTCCGTCCCTTGGACCCGAAGAGCCCAGGCCGCTCTGTGCGCTAACCAAATCTTACTACCAAGATACATACAGTAGAGCGCATACATGACCGAGAACGTCGTTGCTTTTGTCGTAACCCCCGGTCCTGGTTGGCTGCCCCGGCCATGGTGGGTGACGGAACATCGACCCACCCACGCCATTTTCACCCTACGTCGCCAAGCACCGGGAACGCGGGATTTGCTGCCCCAGACAGTCTCGTCATCGCCTCTGGGGCCCCTGCCGTCTCCCGCTCCTTGAGATCCGACGGGGACGCAAGATCCCTCATCTCCCCCGTTCCCCATTTAACTGACCGCCGCCCATGGGGCTTGTGGAGACAACCTTGCCTGGCTGGGGCTTTTGCTCGCTAAGATTGAAATGCAGAGAGGCGCTCAACCTTGCCCATGACACACTTGCGCGCGGGCGCGTCAGTCAACAGTACTGTGGCTGATTGCCCGGGTTTCCGGGTTCCCGCTTGCTCGCCATGGCCGGACAGACGCGTGTGAGGCGATTCCTCACTTCAGCCCAGCTCTGCCCGACTCTAGGCTGGGCCAATCATCGGCGTGTTTCAACCGCACCATCTGTCAGTCAGATACAGGGATTTTACAGCTGTCGCTGCAGCAGGTCAATTGATTCAAGAGCCCGCTGTGCCCAAGATGGTCTCGAGACCAACGACTCGGATCTCCTGGCTTTACTCTCATGGCGCGAAAGTGGCTTCTCGAGAAGCGCGAGTATACCGTCGGCGATCGGGCCTGATGACGGGACCCCGCGTGTCGGCTCTGGCTGCTGCCGAATGCGGGCAGCCCTCTGCTCATGCAGCCGTCACTTGTTCACCCATGTCTCGCTTCCCAATCGAATTGCTTTCCAGCGACCGATATCACACAGCGATCCGTCACGGCTGCCCAGCATCGCCTGCGGATCCGACTCGTGGCAAATGCAGTTCGGCCTCGTGCCCCTTGGTCGACGTCTACGTGTCCCTCTCTCACGTTGCACCCTGTGCCAATTGACGTCACCGGTGCAGGGCCGGCTCCTTGTTGACGGCCAGCATCCGAACAAGACACTCTTCTCACTTCCCAGAAGAACAAACGAGCCAATCAGGAGGGCATTGAAGAAATGCTCATAAGCTTTTGTCCCTTAGACTCGTCCCTTGAGCCCCTACTGGGCCGCCACTTACCATGCATGCCTAGCATCTTGTGCAAAGCCACGAGACTCGACCCTGCATACTGTAAGTGAGGGCATCTACGTATGCCGGAGCGTTCTTTCGAGACTGTTTCGCAGAAAGGGGCTTCGAGGGGGTTTCTTTTGCCTTCACAGGCCCCGCAGCCCATGCGGCTTTGGTCTCGAGCCGGGAACTTGGGCAACGGCCGGTAGAAACCTCCTCTGAACGGGTCTCGCGCCAGGCTACTTATAACGCGCATCTCGACACCCGTTAGCTCCGGAGGCACGGCAGCTCGAGGAGCCAAGGGGCGGCGCGCGACGCGACGTTGGCGCTGCTCGGCGATTCCCACCCGACTCTGGCAGACGTCGCTGCACCCGATGGGCCGCAGGCGTTCTTGACTCGATGGGTCTTCGACCGCGCTTCTGCGTGCCCTGCAGAGATGCGATGAGCCAATGGGGCTTGCGCCCCTGTCAAGCCAGCCTTGGCGGGCAGAGACGGCCAAGCTCGCCGTCCACACAACCTACAGTACAGGGCCTACTCCGTACTCACCTACCTTCACATCACTCGCGGTTCTCGGGCAGGCCGCAGAGGGCTTGGCGCCGCGGTGCGGTGCGTGCCACAATTGTGCGGCTGACACGTCGATGCGGACTCGAGGCTTCGGTATGATCCGCTGATCGGGGGAGCCCTCTCGTTCTCTGTTGATGATCACCGCTGCTCATCCAGGAAGTCCAAGGGAGCTAGGGTATGGGGAACCCCGCTGCCCTTGGCGACAATCGCGGGGACTGTCTGGGTTACGGCAGACGTTGATGCGGATGGACCCCCGCCTCCCCGATGAGCCCGGCCTCATGTCGCTTTGGGGAAGCCGATGATTAGTCTTACCCCCCCTCCCCTCCCCTTTTCTATTCAAGTGCGCAATGTGCTCGTGGAGTCAAGGATGGCGTTCTACGTACATTGATCCATTTAACGCCATGATTGTTGCGTTGCTCGTGCAACATGGGAAACTCCGCGGAGCAAGCGAGGCAAAGAAAGTAGGCCCAGGGACGACTCTTCACTCGTAGCAATATCTTTGCCGATTCTTGGCATCGACAGGCCTCATCTCAAGAGTGCAGTGTTTGGTATTGAAACGCTGCCGTCATGGCCGGCTCGTCATCATGAGTCTCGTATCGCCCGGCACCCGCATCCGGGCCTCCTTCTCAGCCCCCTGCCTTCCCAGGGCGTTGTTCTTCATTCCTCGTGGTTCTCCTCTTCTCCTCCCGCCTCTTCCCTTCTGGCATGGGCATTTTCCAAGCCACATGCATGTACCTATAATAGTGCATGTATCGAAAATGTCGAGTCTGTTTGGTATTAAAAAGTACAAATACCGTTCCCGGCAATAAGTCAAATATGTTCAATGAGGCAAATTCGCGAAAATGCCGACGCGAATGATGCCCCCCTTTCCTCATCGCTGCTTTTGTAACGCTTGCGCCCCACACCATTTGCGCCAGAAATGGCAACCCGGGCCCGTGTCCGAGAATGCCCAAGGGTATCAAAAGACACGAAAAAGAAGGGGAATAAAGAAGAGGCGCTATGTCGTGGTTCCTCGCAAGAGGGCGGTGGCCAGGACGGGCCGGGGGCCTGGAGATAGCGATTAAGATGTTAGAAAATATACGAAGCAGGTACTGTAAGAGATTGAAGAGTCGGGGCGCGACCAGGTGACGGCGCAAGTTCTGAAAGAGTCCCCGCAAGACTGCTTGACGAAATCGAACGTCTGGCCTGCTCGTTATAAGAGCGAGCCGAGAGTAACAAGGATGGCCAAGATGCTGGTCAGAAGGGCGAGGGACAAGGGCGGGGGGACGAGGGAGGCGGCGGCCTCGGCCCGGGGCAGCGTCGCGTTGACGAAACTGGGCCCGCACAGGACGTTGATCTGGTTGGCGGCGGCCTCGTACTTGTCGGAGACAAAGTCGGACCTGTTGGCCGACGCGGCGTGGTAGACGCGCATGGTCTCGCTGGTGCACTTGTTGCACGACGGGGTCGAGGCGCCCGGCAACGCCAGCCCGTAGGGCATGAAGTAGAGGTACGAGTCGGACGGGTTGTTGAGGTTGCTGACGGCGTTGGCGAAGCAGTACATGCCTGACGAGGGATCCTGCAAACACGAGGCCGTGTAGAGGGTCCTGTAGGCCCTGAGGCCGCGCCAGGCCTGCAGGACGCGTGACTGGCCCTGGTCCAGCTCGGCTTTGCAGTTTGCGACAGCGGCGAGATTGTCGGCGGCCCGGTTGAGGAATTCGGTGCAGGAGGCGGCGTTGGCCTTGCAAGCAGCGTCGAGGACGCCGACGATGCTTGGGAGCTGCTTCTGGGCGTCGAAGAAACCGTTCGATGTCTACATGTGTGAAGCGTCAGTCAAGTGGGTGAAGTGTCGCGAGCCGTGTGAGCGCACCTGTAGCAACATGGAGAGCGGGTAGCAGCTCTTAAAGGTCGGATCCGATAGCAGCGTGGTCATGAACTTGGGACACTTGTCGTCGGAGTCGACACTCTGGAATAGGGACGGCCGGGGATCGTCAAAGGGCGACGGCAGCGGAGACGGGGTTGAAGACGCTCTGCGGACGACGGTGGCCATGGTGGCCGGACTGCGGTCAAGGCCGGCTCCATGGCGTCGCTCAAGGCCGGCCTCAGGATTGCTTTGCTCGGGCCGCCGCGGTTGCGTCACGTCGTCGGTGGCCGGCATTGTGGGCGTAGGAGGGGCGATGGCAAGAGAGACCGAGGGCGCATGTTGTTGGGCCAGAGCGAGGCAGCTCCAGCTCGCGAGCGTGGCCAGAAGCGCCCACGACATGCGAGGCCGGGGTGAGGGATGCCGCGGGCGGCCGAGGTTTGGACAGGCGGTGCCGGGCATGGCGACAGGGCGAGACGAAGGCAGGATGCAGGGTCAAGTCGCACAACAACGGGAAGCCTTGCGCAACGGCGGGCGGGTGCAGGCTTGCACGAGCTCGGCTGTCCAAAGCGCCCGGCCCGGGGCGTGGCTGTGGCGTGCGGCGTGCGTGCCCCGGGGCAGGGTTGTTGTTGTTGTTGTTGTCGACAGTGATGGTGATTCGGCCTGGCGACGATTACACAGTCGGTGATTCGGCATTGGCCGGGACCGAGGAGATTAGGGAGCGAGACGGCTCAAGAACGTTGCGGCATGGCAATTAGGAGAGATTACTGGCGCAAAGGATGGGAAAACGAGCGGCTGAGCTGCAATGAGCTCTTGGGTAAAGTCGGTGGCGAGAGATGACGGTCCTCAGGTTGGAGGCATGCGAGCGAGCGAGCGAGAGAGAGAGAGAGAGAGAGAGAGAGAGAGAGAGAGAGAGAGAGAGAGAGAGCTGGTGAGGAAGACGTCTTCTTTTTTCTTTTTATTGCTTCACACTCTCTCTCTCGGCGTCGTCGGGGGGTTGGCACAGGATCCGAGACGCTGTCTTTGAAGAAGGGAGCGGCCGTTGAAGAGACACGAAGAAGAAAGAAGACGTCGAAAGTGGACGAGAGGGATGGATTAAAGGGGCAAAGATGAGCACGGGAAGAACGGTGCAGTGCCTTATTTAGCAGGGCGGGGCGGGGGGACCTGCAGGCCAAGGTAGCGCTGGGTACCGCGCAGGGTGCCTCGGCAGTGGGAGAGACACCAAGTACAGTCAGGTAGTTAGGTACCTACCTGGGTGGGTAAGGTAGGTACCTTACGTATACCAGGTAAGGTACCTCGGTACTTAAGTAGGCACCTACAGTTACCTAGGTAGGTACACTCCGTACACACAAGGCGACAGAGGAGCTCCGCTGCGGTGCGTGTGCTCGGGCGGCTGCCAACGAGGCATGTCCGTCTTCTTGGCGACTGGCCCAAGGCAAATATGGAGTTGCCGTCGGCCAGTCTAACCTGACCTGACCTGACCTGACTCATCACAGCCAGCCCTCGAGCACCACGGGCACGGGCACGGGCACGGGCACGGAGCGCTAACGGGCGTTACTACCTGGCAGATAGTACTACTAGTACCTACTAATGCAGCGTACAGTAAGGTAGGTATGCTCGCGCCTTGGTCACTGGCTCCAGGGCGCCACCGCGAGTGGGAGCGCGGTTGTCGGCAAAAATAACCGAGGCGCACGGGCCGCCGCCTCTGCAGGTACCGCCGCTGTACCCACCCGTCCCACGGCATTCCAGCTCGGACGCGTTGGACTGGCAAGTACCGTCTGGTACACCAGAGTCCACCCGGGCAAATCACCCATTTGCCTCGTTCAATGCGTACATAGTACGGCACGAGGTAGTAGAGCCAGATGGAGGCACTCGAAAAAGAATCCGCCGCCTTTTTTTGTAGCTTGCAGTTGGCGTGTTTGTCCCGTCTGCCGGGCGCCGTGGTGTGCCGTGGTGTGGTGTGGTGTGTGCTGTGCTGTGCTGTGCTGTGCTGTGCTGTGCTGTGCTGTGCTGTGCAAGACTGCTCTGCTCGGCGCTTCCCCAATACGATTCCCGCCATCACTCTCTCCGCCATATACTAATACCTAGGTACCTACCTAGTAAGGATCAGGTAACCACCTACCTAAAGACCTACCTAATAATAGTAAAGCACAAACAACAGATAGTTCACATGCAGGGATCCCCATCTCCATCCTCGGAAAGCGCGGCCTGTCCATCGACTCCGCAACTGCCTGCATTGGTCCCGACAAACATTGGCACCTCAACTTTTCTTGTGCCGCGTCTTGTTTGATAAAATAAAGGGCGCACTTCCCAGATCCTGCATAGAGCCTGACGAATGCAAAGTCTAGCCTCTCCGGTGACCCAGTGTCTGCATCGCCACCGGCCCGGGCGTCCGGGGCGCTTGGCGCTTGCCAGAGCGGGGCCTCGGCGCTGCAGCTGCAGGTACCTCAGTACCCGAGCAGTACCTCCAAGGTCCGCCTTATGCAGATGCATGACGTTCGCCAACTAATCTACACCAACTCATTGTAATGCCATCGAGGTTGGAAGCATAAAGGCGCACTCCAGGCCCGGTGCATAGATGAACTGCACGTGTGGCGCCATGCTCGACGACGTCGGCCATTGCGACGGCATCCCACACATTCATTCTATCCTGTCTCTAGTTACCTATGCTGTCCATCTGTCTGGCTATAAGCGCACCTACTGTACTGTACACGTACAGTAGCATGTACCTACACGTATGTAGTACACACGTGCTCCCTTAGGGGAAAAAGGGTCCCTTGTCTCAACTCTCCACGAATATACCAATTACAGTAATTAATTAGTAGACTAAACCCCACCCCCCGGCGACAAGTCGCTTGCTTCCGCCTCTGTTTCTCCCTTACACGAGGCCCTGTCTCCCCTTCCCGCCCCGGTCCAACCACCTACCAAGTCTGGAATGGTCAAGCAAGCACACACACATGGCTAGCCCTGCACGACATCAGACGACATCGGACGACATCAGTCAAAAGAAACAATAAGCGCGTCCGCTTTTTCCAAGAGACAAGGCGCACGGCTTGTCCGGCCGTCAAGCTGCCTCGCACGTCCATGCCCTCGCGCTCAAACTTTGTCCTCGTCCAGACGCACTGGCCATCCTGCTATCGTCCCATCTACCTATACACTATACACACACAATCTTCACACGCACAGGGATCCTCTCCGCCTATTCGCACCGCCGCACCGAGCTTGTGCCCGCCACGTGCCTCTCGCTGCCCGGCCTCTTCATCCACTCCTCCTCGGTGCTTGCTTCCCCCGAGTCTCTAGCCGCCCGTCAGACCACAGACGCAAACATTACCACGTTCAAAAGTCCTTTCCAAACCACCCACTTGCACGGTACTCCACGGTTTCAGGCATATGCACCAAAAGAAAAGCAAAGTGGTATTGGTTCCTCGACATGTACTGTATATGCCTCTGTATATACCTCCTCTTCCATCCTTGCTCCAGAGCCGTAGCGCGCCCTGGCCAATTCGCAGATATCCGGCCTCTCCGGGATTTAATGCCCCTTCTATAAGTGTCGTGACTGAAGCAAACGCCCATCCATGCTCGAAGCAACCAAACTCGCCCGCCAAAAATAGCATCATATCCACGTGAACACAACTTCCAAGCCATCTCTCGCTCTCCTATTCGTGCTTGGCCAGGCTCTGCAGGTTGACCAGCTCCGCGTACCGTCCGTTCCTCTTCATCAGCTCCGAGTGCGTGCCCGCCTCGACGATCCGTCCCTGGTCAAACACGTAGATGACGTCGGCCTTTTGGATCGTGCTCAGCCGATGCGCCACCGCAATCGTCGTCCGCCCCTTGGCCGCCTTGTCCAGCGCTACCTGCACCACGTGCTCCGATTCCGAGTCCAACGCCGACGTCGCCTCGTCCAGGAGCAGTATCTTGGGGTCGCGAATCAGCGCGCGCGCAATGGCGATGCGCTGCTTCTGCCCGCCGGAAAGGAGGGCGCCCTTGCTTCCAACCATCGTGTTGAAGCCCTCGGGCAGGGAGAGGATGAAGTCGTAGATGTTGGCCTCTCGGCACGCAAACTCAATCGCCTCGTCCGACACATGCTCATCGGCGCTGCCCAGAAGGATGTTCTCCCGGATGCTGCCCTGATATAGCGTCGGCTCCTGGCTCACCAGAGCAATGTGAGAGCGGTAGTCGTTGATGTTCAGGGAGCTAATCTCCTTGCCGTCAATGAACACCCCGCCCGCCAGCGGATCGTAGAAGCGCTCCAAGAGGGCTATCGTCGTGCTCTTTCCGCAGCCCGACGCGCCGACGAGTGCCACGTACTGCCCCGGCCGCACCGACAAGTTGAGGCCGCGCAGAACGGGCTGCTCGGGGCGCGTGGGATAGCGAAAGTGCACGTCGCGGAACTCGACGTGTCCGTCCACCTTTTCCAGGCGCTCTCCCTCGGTCGACCACGAGTCAATCGTCGGCTTGCTGTCAAACAATGCCTTGAGTTCCTGGGCCGCGTGGTGGGCCTTGCCCATGTCCGGGGCGAACGAGAAGATGGAGCCCGCAGACTGGGCGCCGAAGACGATGGCCATGAAGCAGAGGAAGAACTGGAACTGGTTGTACTCGAATTTGCCGATCAGAGTGCCTCCGTACCAGAAGCCGAGGGCAAAGCAGAGGAAAAGAAACGACTGCGAGGCGGCGTACAGCGCGCTCGACTTGAGGATCGATATCAGGCTTCTGCGCTGCTGCGCAGCCAGGGCATCGTGGTACATCTTGAGCACGTCGTGTTCACGCGTCAGGGAGGCAACAGTCCGGATCGCTGAGATGGCCTCGGATGCAAACGTCGCTGACGAGGCGTACGCCGCCTTGGAGCGACGCTGGAAATGAGCAAGCATCCAGAACCGAAAGAAGCCGCACCCCAAGAGAATCGGAATGGTGGAGATGCAGACAAGCGACAGCTTCCAGCCGATGGACAAGGAAACTGTGATGGCCGCGATGAGCGTCGTCGTCATCATCAAGAGCGTCCCCAGCGTCACGCCGCTGAGGCCAGCCACGTGCGTAGTCTCGGTCGACAGAAACGACGTCAGCGCACCGGCCGTGTTCTCTTCTTTGTCGAAAAAAGCCACGTCTTGTCGGAGCATGGTCCTGAACGCGCGGTCCCGGACGCGGTGGACGAGACGCTCCGAACACTTGGCAAACGCCACGCCCTGCAAGGAAAAGGCAAAGAACTGGACAAAGGCCAGCATCAGGAACATGGCGCTCCAGAAGTCCGAATCTTTCTTCACCTGGTGGCGGTTCTGGTCCGTTATAGGTTGAGACAAGGTCGTGATTTGCTTGGCGAAGAGGACTTGCAGCGAGAGACAGGTTAGCAACTGAAAGGTCTCCACCACCGGTCAAAGGGGGGAAGGATGGGACCAAGCAACTCACCTGCCGACGTCGGGTTACCGCCACCACAGATGACGCAGAATACCAGGCCAACCAACATCAGCTTCCATTCAGGCGCATTGAAAGACAAGATGAGCTTCATCAGCGTCCACAAGCCATCCCTCCCCGTCTCTTGGGGGCTTCGCTTCTGCAGAGCAATGCTCGAGGCCGACTTCTGCGTCGTTGTGCGTCCGAGCTTGGCGGCAATGTCGTCGTCGGGATCCGCCATGAACTCGCCCTTTTTAGTCGATATGCGGCGAATCAGCTCTGCCTCCTCCTCATTGAGTTCTGCCTCCTCCTCGGCCGTCATGGCTTCCGCGGCAGCAATGTTCTGGGCGGACACGAGCTTGAAGTAGGCCGACCCCTTTTCGAGAAGCTGGTCGTGGGTGCCTTGCTCGATGATGCAGCCAGCCGACATGACGACAATGTTGTGAGCATCTTTGATTGTCGATAGCCGGTGAGCAATGGTGATGGTGGTGCGGCCTGCAGCGGCAGCCTCCAGGGCCGCTTGCACAACGCCCTCAGACTTTGTATCAAGGGCAGACGTGGCTTCGTCCAGAAGCAAGACTAATACAGTCGGTCAGCCCACATACGCAAAAGAGGTATGCTCTCACTCGCAATAAACGTCGGGACTTACTTTTCGGGTCAGAAACAATGGCTCGCGCTATGGCAATACGCTGTTTCTGACCACCAGAAAGGAGGAAGCCTCGCTCGCCGACGTTGGTCTCGTAGCCTTCCGGCAGGGCCGACACGAAGTCGTGGGCGTTTGCTTTGACTGCTGCCTGGATGACAAGCTCGCGCTGCTTCTCCTCGTTTTCGTCCTCAAACTTGGTCCCGATCAGGCCGTGGCGGATGTTGTGGAAGATGGTGGTACCGAACAGGGTGGGCTCCTGGCTGACGAGAGCCATCTGCTGGCGAAGCCATCTCAGGTTTAGCTTGCTGATGTCGTGGCCGTCTAGGTAGACAGAACCCTCGACGGGGTCGTAAAAGCGCTCTACGAGGCCGACAATGGTGCTCTTGCCGGAGCCGGAAGCGCCGACGAGGGCCGTGGTCTTGCCGGCAGGGATCTCAAGGCTGACGTCGTCCATGACAACCACCTCGGGCCGGGACGGGTAGATGTGCTTGATGTTCTCGAGCCGAATGTTGCCCTGCAGGTTGTCCACCTTGGTGCCCTTGTCGTCGGTGGGGTCGAGGGGGGAGATGCGGTCGATGGTGTTGAAGATCTTGGCGGCGGCGGCAACGGCGGTGGTGAAGGCCTGGATGTTCGGGGTGACGTTTCCGAGGTTGAAGGCACCAATCATGACGGACATCATGATGGTGAGCACCTTGGAGAGAGGAATGATGCCGTCGACGAGGAACTTGCTTCCTTGCCAAAAGGCCAGGCCGTAGTTGAGGAAGAGGATGAGCATCATGCCAGCAACCATGACGGCCAAGGCGCTCTTGAGGCGGAAACCGAAGTACTCGGCCTTGGTGAGGTGCTTGTCGTACTGCTTGGCCAGGCGTTCCTGGGTGCCAAAGGCGATGGCGTTGCGGATGGAGCTGATGACCTCGTCGGCGAGGCTGCCGCCCTGGGCGTAGGCCTCGAGCGAGGCCTTGTTGTTCTTGAGCATGAAGCGGGAGCCGCCGCCTATGTTGAGGAGGAGGGCGAAGACGGTGGAGGAGAGGATGAGGGTCAGCTTCCAATAGTTGACGAATCCGATGATGAAGGCGGTGACAAATGTGGCCAGGGCGGCGAGGGTGAGCGACACCTTTTCCGAGATGCCATCCTGAATGAGGTTGGTGTCCGAGGTGATGCGGGTGGTGACCTCGCCGGCGCCGAGCTTGTCGAAGAAGCCAATGTTCTGGCGCATGCAGCTCTCCAGGTAGTGCTCGCGGATCTTTGCACTGATGTGCTCGCCCGTGTAGATGAAGCCCACGGTGCAGATGTAGGTGACGACGAACTCGCCAATGGCTAGGTAGATAAAGTAGAGGACGAACTTTGTCAGCTCGCCGACAAATTCGTCGTACGTCTGCCGTCCGCCAGAGAAGAAGTAATTCTGAAATATGCGCTGGAGATTGCCGAAGATGACCGTCATGAGCGGCAGAGCGGCACCCGAGGCAATGGCGCAGACTGCCGAGACGGCGAGGATGATGAGGTCATTGCGTGACGAATAACGATAGATGACGCCGACGCCCTTTTTGAGCTCCGGCGTGACGATTTGCCTCTTGAGGATCTCGGCCTGGTGCGCAGGCAGATGGCGGTAGAGCTCGTCGGGATCGTCTGCTCGCGGGGGCGCGATAAGCTTGGAGTCGATCTTGGCAAGCTCCTTTTCCTGGTCGTGCCGGGGCGGAGATTGCTTGGAAATGGGGGCCGAGTCGGTGGAGTCGCCCCCGCTGCTGGCCGAGGAATTGGAGGCGCCCTTGGGCATGCCACTGCCATCGGGGCTCTTTTCTGAGAAGTCGGCCGCCATGTTGGCCTGTTGTAAGTCGAGGCTCGGGACTGAGCTGAGACTCGTGGATTGCTTCCCGCCGTGTTCTCTCGCTAGCTGATTTCGGGTTGTTTTTTTCAATTATATTTGTATTTGCCAAGGAGGATACTGGCGCGGCAATAGTCGATGCCTGGTCTCTTCAGAGGGTGTCGATCTGGAACGTCGTCTCGGCGGCGAAAGGAAGGGGGCGCGTCGACGCTCGGAGCGAAACTCGGGGTCGAGGTCATCCGGCGAACTAGTAACGGATGAGGAGGAAAGAGAAGGCCGCGATGAGGGAAAGAGAGGGAAGCATGCCCAGTTTTGTCCAGGAGATGGAGTTGTTCGAGTGATGTTTTTTTTTCTCGTTGGTTGGTGGCCTAGGCAAGGCAGAAAGGAGGAGGGGGGCGTGTGGTGTGGTTTGAACCGAAACCCCGGGGGCAGACAATAAGCCGTCGCGGACACGGAAAGTAGCAGGGCCCGAACGGGTTGCGTCTTGCCAACTTGTACGATAACGGTTGCCGCCGTTGTGTCGGGAGGCGGCGGGCCAAGCTCCGCAGGTACCGCTCTAGGGTGTCTCGGTGCCGCAAGAGGCCAGCAGTAGATAGCGCGGTATCTACGCACGGCTGCAGCCACCGTTCGGCTACAGGTACTCCGTACAGTACAACGGAGCAGTAGGACCGAATTTCAAGCCACACGGCCGCGCGACGCAAACGAGAGCGAGCTGCTGCTGCAGGGGCCTGCCGGCGGACTCGCTCGGTGTGGATCGCAGTAGCGCCGCACCCCGCGACGGACCCGACGCCCGAGCCTGCCAAAAGGGCAGCATATTAATACAGGGATGCCTGCTATAATACCGTGTACGGTACATGGAAGTGGGGGGGGGGCGGACATTATTTCTCTGTCCAGTAAAGGGCACCCACGGCTGGCAGACCGAGATGAGCGCTCCATTCATCGCAAGCCAGCACTCTCTTGATGCAATCTTGAAGTCCCATCCATAGATACAATCCCCGCCTGTACTATACATGTATCTGCAACGGGACGTGGCGCTTGCTTGAGCTGGCGACAGCCGAAAGGAGCGCGCTGCTCATGCAGTCGATGACGGGGCTCTTGCATCCCTCTCTTGTCACCATGCCTCAAGGCACCCACCTGCTGAACCGGGTCAGCTGCGACGCATACGCTACATGATCACAACGTGCATGCTGCCTGGCGCAACGTGGGCTCCGAGCCGGATAGTCGGCTCTCTACATCTGTACTGTACATGGAAGGCGCAGAGACACTCGCCTCATCTGTTGCTTCTGCTGCTGCTGCTGCTGGTAAGACAACCAATGGCTTTAGATTAAGCGTTTGCGTTTGAGTCACCGCCGCCCGAGACATGCTGCCTAGTGGTGATAGTGCTGCAGGCAAAAACCAAGACTTATGCACGATCAGGGTTAAAAAAGGAAAACAGACGGTCAAGAGAAACATGTTTGTTTCCGGCAAGTGGGGCTCTTCGAATCGATCCTCGGGGTCTTGCAGTGACCCGAGCTACCGAACACCGACCCGCCGGGACCCCAACTCCGCACAGTCCCCTGCTCCTTACGGCACCTTGACCTTCGGTGTAGACACACTGGGCGCGAACCCGACAGGTGGCCGCTGTCCATTGATCGGACAGGGCGTCCATCCATCGTCCACAGGAACTGTAGGTCCCTTGTACTTGGTACCTAGCTGAGGCTGAGACGCGTGCGGGCTGGGCCGCCTTGGATCCCCCACATGCTGTTTCCGAGTCTTGGTGAGTCAGAGCACCGGCCAGCGAACAAGGAAACAGAAGAGTCTCCGACCGTTGCAACTCGCTTACGAGGCTGCTCGATGAAACGCCCTCCAAGCCGTGCATGTTGGGTGGGCTCGCTTAGTTTCTTCTCCCACGCCCTTCGGTGCAGCCAAGTGTGTTGTTTGGTCTGACGTTGCCCTCGCTCTGTACTCGGAAAAGAGAACCAGTGACGGCTACTTGCGTCTCGGCTCTCAGCCTCTCAACCTACTCAACCTAAAGGCAAGGTGCAACGGCCAAAGTGCACTATGCACGTAAGCGTCTCCCTGTCTGTGCCTCGAACGCGGGCTTCCCTTCTCATCTGCCTGCCTGGAACCTGTCCAGGGAACTTCCCTTCTGCGGAGTCTTGGGCGACGCTGACGCCATCGAGGGCCTCGTCTCTCCGTCATGAAACGTATCCGCTCCACAGAGCGGCGGCAACGGTGGAGTCATAGAGCCGGCAAGCCGCATCCCAAAGCGGGCGTCGCACCAGCCGGTCCCACCGTCTCAAGTCGCCCGGCCAGCAGCCCAAGCTTCTCACCTCCGAACCCACGCTTCCGCAAGGAGTCAGCGCGACCATGGACATGGATGGACACGGCAATTCTGCCCTAAAAGAAACTTGAAAAAAAAAAACCTGTGGCCTACTGCGATGGAACCATTGCTTATCGCTTTTCCTCCTGGTCATCGTCCGAAAGCATGACTTCGAGTTGCTACCCGCCAGCCAAGATGCGGATAGCAAAGCACAGCACTTTGTACGGTGTACCTACTGCATGTTGGTGGTCTCTTGCCGACGCCATACTTTGCCCCATGTCTGGCTCCGCCGCTCAGCCACACACGGCCGTTTTTTCACCACCAATCGCCGTGGAGCCTTCGGCCATCTCAGCCTTGCCAGAGTCGGCAAATTCTCCTTCTGGACATCGTGGCCTCTGCGCCCCTCCGTGATGCATCCTCATTGATATCCAGTCTCTCCTCAGCAGCACGCGGAGCTTTCTGGCACTGCCCATCTCTAACCAAGTCCATGCGCCGATGACACACCGGCCATCGTCACCGCCAACATGCTCCCTGAAATCCTCGTCATCTGCCTCACCTTTCCCCTGCTCTCCCTCGCCGCCCGTCCAAAAAACGCCATCCTCCTATCAGAGGTCCAGTCACTTACCCTCCGCGGCCATGGCGCCAAGACAACAAACCGTCGCGTCTCCGCCATCCCTCAACTCAAGTGCATCTCCTCGAGAGACGTGTGCAGGCTCTTCGAAATCGATGTCATGCGCTGCACCAACCAGGGTTCTTCCTACGGCGGCGAGGACATTGAATGGAGCTGCTCCGCCTCTCTGCCTGAGGAGCTCAAGCTCGGAAGTACCGATGTCATCTGCGAAGGCTACTCCTCGCCTGACGACCCTTTTGTCTTCAAAGGCAGTTGTGGTGTCGAGTACAGGCTGATCCTGACGGCAAAGGGGGAGTCCAGGTACCCAGACGCCTGGCCCTCTGACGGCTTCTTCAGCGACGGCTCTGGAGGCACCGACTTGTCGGCTTGGCTGTTCGCCATCATATTCGTCGCCATCCTCGGCTGGATCCTCTACTCGGCCTGTCTCGGCGCCCAGGGCCAGAGACGGCAACCCAGGGCCGGGGTAGGACATCGCGGCGGTGGCGGCGGCGGCGGCGGAGGAGGAGGCTGGAATCCTGGCTGGGGGCCCGGCGACGACCCTCCGCCGCCATATCCTGGTACCAAGCCCTCCTCTACCCAGTCGCAAGGCTGGACGCCGGGCTTCTGGAGCGGCCTGCTCGGCGGTGCTGCTGCCGGTTACATGGCCGGCGGTCGCAACCAGCGCAACGATGATGGCCGACGACCCTACGCAAGCAACTGGGGGGCAGGGCCTTCCGGCTCATCACTCTACTCTCCTCCCTCTGGCTCCGGCGGCAGCTCTTCCCGACACGAAAGCACAGGCTTTGGCTCGACTCGCCGTAGATAGGTGCCGATGCCTCGTATTAAGATTCTCCCGTTCTTCTCCCTCTTCATTTCATTGATTGTGCGTCGGAGAATCTAGTCGCTACGGCTTGACAGGTCTTCAATTATCCAACCCCCCAAACGCCGACCTCCGAGATCCCTTCGTTCATGGCTCTCCCTGATCTTTCATAGCATGTACACGTTGCCAGTCGCATCTCCCGAACCCCTGTTGCTCCTAAAAGTACATTGTCCAAACACAGTAGGTTTTTCGCCGCCGTTGCCAAGCGTGCGTCCAAGTGGCCGCTGATCGCCACGTCCTTGTCTCCGGATTCCAGTGTCCTCGAGGACGAGCGCGAGGGATTATGCGAAAGCAAGTTGAGGCTCGTTATGTAGTCAGTAGCCAGGTGACAATGCCAGCCGTTGTTGATGAGTGTCAGTGATGAACGGGCATCACGTCCATCTTGTCGAATGCCCGGGAACAGGTCGGGCACTTTCGCATGCGATTACTGATGCGATCGTCCACGCATTTGTTACAGAACAAATGCCCGCACGTCTTCAATGCCGTGTTTTTGAAATTGTTGCGGCAGATTGTGCACAGCGCAAAAGTCTGGATCCCTTGTCAGCCACAGACGTCCAAAGTCAGGGAGGGCAAGGAACTTCGACTCACCCGCAGCATCTCCTCTTCCTCCGACGAATTGCTGAGCGCCTTGTTTCTCCAAGTGTCCCGGTCCTTTAGAGTATGGTCAAGCCGCACCCTGAGCTTCTCCACCTCGACTTCTTGCATCGTGTTTCGCTCTCTGACAACGGCAGACGCTGCATCCCGAGACTTGACCAGATTGGTGAGATCACTAATCTGCCGATTCAGAGCATCCGTCCGCCTGACGGCTTCCAGGCTGGTCGTTTCCATCTTTTTGTTATCCGCGACAAGCGATGCGTTGGCTTGCTTCAGGTCTGCGAGCTGCTTCTCCATGCTGCCCAGCAGTGTTCGGTTCTGCGCCTCCAACTCCTTGAGCTGAGCAATAATCTCGGAGCTCTTGCCGTTTTGATGTCTCAACGAGCGGATCTCGTTGTTTCGAGTGTCGGCGTCTTTCCGGGCAGCAAAGTACTTCTGATCCGCCTTGCTCTTCTCAGCAATCAGGAGTGCTACCTTGTCCTCTAGGGCAGCAAAGTCCATGACTTTCTTCTGAGCCAAGTCCTTCATCTTCTTGTAGGCCTTCTCGATGGACGGCAATTCCTGGTTGATGGCCTGGAAGTCCTGCTGAAGTTTCTTGTACTTTTGTCGCAGCTCCTCGCTGGACAGCTCCTCGTCATCATCTGCTGGTGACACCATTTCTTGATCCTCGGATGGCTTGAGTCGTGCCACTTCAGACTCGAGCGCGGCGATATGATCGTCTTTGGCGATGACAAGATCCTTGATGTGATCCAATGATGCCCGTTCCTGATCCATGCTCGCCTTTCGTTGCGTGTTCTCGGCAAGAATCTCGTCCCTGGCTGAGCGCACGCGAGCTAGATCCTGATCTCTGGACATGATATCAGCCTCGAGCTCTTGGGTGGCCTGGTTCGCTTCCGCTTCCAGCTGGTTCTTGAACGCAGTGCGCTCGGCTTGGAGTTTCTCAGCTTCCTCGCGTAGGTGTCTATTTGTTGCCTCCAGGTTGTTGACTCGTTTGATGAGGTCTTCGTTCTGGCTCTTGAACTGCTTGAAGACATCTGACCGAATGAAATCGTCGTCCGTCCAAGCGTCCCGGCGCGCCTTCATGTTTGAGTTTTCGTCCTGCAACGTCTTGATTTCTGCTAGAATCGCATCCAGTTGTTCCTTTTGCTTTGCCGCCGACGCCGTCGCCTCCTCATACTTCAGCAATAGTTCGTCGGCCGTGCCGTTCGCTTCGGCCTCCTGGCTGCCCTCGCCAGACGCAGCGGCAGGCCGAGTTGCATTGGCAAATGCCTGCTGTTCCAGCTTCTGCACCTGCGCACTTTTGGCCCGGTCCAGTTTCTTCTCCGCTTTGAAGTATCTGAGAGTGGCGGCATTGAGCTGCTCAGAGAGCTGGTCTTTCTCGGCATCCAGACGATCCAGCTTGAGTAGATATTCTTTCTGGGCGGACAACAGGCTGACGACTTTGCCTTCCAGGGCAATAGACTCGGGTGCGAGCTCTCCACGTTGGGCTGCGATTCGGCCGAGTAAGGTCTCCGCCTTGGCCTTAATGGTCTTGCCTCTCTCCTGCATATGGTTCTGAAATTCGTGGAGATCCTTGAAGCTAACGCCGCTGAGATACGGGGATTCTGGCCAGTCTATGCTTAGTTCCAGGTGACTTTCGGAATCGGACGGCGCACATACCAGTTGGATTGACCGTGTCGGGGAGTTCACGGGCAGTCATGCTCTCCACTTCTTCCAGTAACTGTTCTTATGTCAGCCTCGTCTGAAAACGCGCGGGGAATCGGTAAGGGTACCTGGCGCCACCAAATGTCGATAAATCTTAGGTGATCGTCGTGGTGTACGCATCGCTTGTGTAGTTCCTCGAGTCGCGACTCGGCGGTGGCGGCCTTGCGGCTGTATTCTTGCATCTGACGGTATATCGCCCCTTTTGTGTACGCCTGGGTTTTCTGGTCAGTACGAACTGTCGTCCAGTCCGGTCGATGGCAGAGAGGTATAGTGCGCAATGGGGTCATGAGGAACGAAGCGTGGGATGAGAGTGGAGTGGGTAGAGCGGGTTCAGAGAGCTGCTGATTACCGTCGCTGACGAGCATCATCACTGGCTTGGTGAGCATCAACATCGAGCAACGGTGCCTGAGCAGGGCTCGGAGAAAATGCTGTGAGGGGAGACGTGTAATTTCGGCGAGGTGCAAAGGGGTATGCTCGATTGTCATGCGGCCCGCCAAAGCGGCGAGAACTGGTCCAAGGGCACGTACCTCGATCCAGCTCTCCTCCTTCATGTCGAGGGCATCGTCCTTGGCCTTGGAGCCGTTGACGGCGATCCTCTTGCTAGGGGGAGCGAGCTCGTCGGCGGCGCCGATGGCGGGTCTCTTCCTGTCCTCCATCTTGGAAAGCGTGGGTGGACGAGGCGAGGCGGCTGGAGTCGTTGCTACAGGCATCAGACCGCGTGTCCAACGAGATGTGAAGCGCAGCGCGGGGCAAAGTCAGGGGCAGGGCTCGACAGCGAAGTGGCCTCCAAGCCACGTCTCGTCCCGGGGCCGGCCGCGCAAGGAGTCATCCAGCGGATCGCGTGGAATTGCGTGGTTATGTTGAATGGGGGGGGGGAGATCGTTTGTTACAGGAGTTGAAATTTCCAAGTCGACTCACGAATCAAGAGGCCTGGCCTCAGCACGAAAGAGGCTTAGTCCTGCGCTATCCCTCATCGGGCACTCCCTTATCGATTCGAGGGCCGGGTAATCCTCGCTTGGGTGGGTCTGTTCCTCTGGAAATTGTCGCTGGTTTGCCGACAACTTCTCTTTTGCAGAGGCAGCCATTTCCCCGACGTCACGTCTGCACCACCGAACCCCCTTTTTTGCAGCGCCATGCGGTCCACCTTGCCAATTGATGCTACTCTTCTCGCAAACCTCAATCGCCCGTCATGAGTTCCATGTTCAAGAAGAAGGGCGGTCTCGCTTTCAAGCCCAAAATCCCCACGACTCGACCGAGACCCGTCAACGCTCCATCCGTCCCAGCACCGAAAAATGTCGAAAGCCAGCCGTCGATTGATTCGCCAATCGACACGGCCCTGAATGACGCATCCACGGCTTCCGAACCTGTTCAATCCTCCGTCACTCCTCCATCTGAGTCACAAATAGCGGCGGACACTCCAAACCAATCGTCACCTCCCCCTCCTCCATCAACCCAGACTACGACCGAGAAGCAGGCCCTATCCGATGTGCCGTCAGAGACAGGCTTGCTGCCTCTCGGCAGCCCAGCACCAGCAACGGATGATGCCTCTTCGATAGTAAATACTTCCAGTGATAGTACAGCAGCTCAGGCTAATCACACTCTCCAACCTGCCACCGACGGGGAGAGCACAACCGCCCAAGTCCCAAACCCGGCGACTGTTGCACCACCGTCCTCTCCGTTCAAAACATCGGCTGAGGCCCCGTCTGAAGGACATGCAAGTCGGGAACTTATCAAGACAATATCCCCTTCAACGCCAGACGTTGGAGCCCAAAATTCCTCAGATGCTTCGGCGTCTGCGCCACCAGCGGTTTCATCCGCACCAGAGCCTGTGGCGAAGCCGGCAAAGAGGAAAAACAAGCGCGCAGCGGCAACCCAAGAATCGAAGGACGGCGAGGAAACAATCAAGCCGCCGCCGAGACGTCAACGTAAAAAGGCCTCTAAGCAAGAAGGCAACGCTACCCCGCGACCTCGAACTCGGAAGCGCAAGGACGACAACTCCAATGATGAGGATGCTGCGGAGAAGAAAAAGCCTAGGAAAGGCCGGTCGCCTACGCCGGAGGATGCAGAGAATCAAGTGGTGGACTTGCAGCAACTGAGAATGGCTGACTTGACAAAGGATCTCCGAATAGGCAAAAAGTTTAGTCGACATGATGAGCTACGAGATCGAGAAAGAAAAGCCCGAATCAAGGCCAAGCTTTCAAAGGATGGTGACCAGGTTGACGACGAAGCATCGGGCTCGGCGTCTCCCGCGCCGGCCAAGCCAGACGGCCAAGCAAACGTGCCGGCCAGTGACCCGACCAGCTCTTCGGCGCCAGCTCCGGCATCCGGTCCGCAGTTCCGCATCGTGGACGGGCAGATTGTGCTCGACCAGAGCTCGCTGTTCATGGACCGCCATGCGCGTGCCGCCGCTGCACAAGCCGGGTCGAACATGGAGACGATTGAGGAAAACGACTTTACGCGGTTAATCACCAGCAGCTCCTTTGCGACATCTTCCAAGCTCAAGGGGCCAAACGTATGGACTGATGAGGAGACGGAGCTCTTCTACCGGGGCCTTCGAATGTTCGGAACCGAGTTCGAGATGATCTCCAAGATGTTCCCCGGCAAGCAGCGGCGCCACGTCAAGCTCAAGTTCAATCGTGAGGAGCGCCACAATCCGAAGCGCATCGACTCAGCCCTCATTGGGGAGAAGACGATCAAGCTCGATATTGACGAGTACCGGGCATTTACCGGCATCGAGTTTGAGCCTGTCGAGGCCATCGAGGCGGAGCAGCGCAAGATCCAAGAGGCCTATGAGCAGGAGCGGCAACGCGTCGCCGATGAGCAGGCTGAAATTATGCGCAAGAAGCGCGAGGAGCTCTTTGCCGACGACGGCGACGAAAACGCCCCGGGCAAGAAGAGGAAGGGCGGCAAGAAAAGGGGCAAGCAGGCGGTTGCCTACGGGCTCAACGGAGAGCCAATCACGCAGGATGCTTGAAAATGGGGAGACCAGCGACGGCCTTGGGTCAAGGTAGAGCAGGAGAATATCCAGGACCTCTTTAGGGGTAGGCGAAGGCGTTAAATCGGGACGGCATGATACCCCGCGGGGCATTTGTTTTCTACAAGCTCAGATTAGGTATGCAATCACTGAGCTTGAAACCAAACACGACTGTCGTCGACGGTTCCAATATAGATGACGAAGCAATTGATGATGATGGCTAGTCCTGTCGCCTCTAACAACGAAGGACGTGAGACACTATAATCGGGGAGTCACGCCGAGGCAGATCCTTTGCTGGGGATGCGGATTTTTTGTTCTTCTTCCTTTCGTGTTGAAATCACAGTGCCTCTGCGCTTGCCAGGAGCGTGCGCCAAAGTCGGAAGCCGACGGCCAACTGTACACGCAGACGGGTGGCATGGCCCGCGGTTTCACGACTCGACTAGATTACCATGGCAGCCACTCACGAGGCACATGTCATCGAATCGCCCAGTCCTCTGATGCTCCGAATCCTCCACGCTTGGTATTCCCGGTGGCCTTTCGTAATCATAAACACGTCGTTCTGTCTCGGATGCCACCTTGGTCTCCTCCTAGTCCCTGCAACATGTCAGTTTGTCGGGGGCTCGTCGTCCTCGGGCTGATCGAAGAGGAAGTTGGCGGCAAGTTCTTCGTTCTTGTCGCAGGCAAAGTAGGCTTGGATAGCCTGATCACGGTCGAAGCCGAGCCGACATAGCTTCTCATCGTTAGCCGAATTCAGCAAACCAGTGTAGCAAGCGTCAAGTCATACTCGCTCAATGGCATCACGCTCATCCTCGGTAACAGAAATCGCCTGTGCGCCAGGAGGCAGGGGCACATCGTCATCTGCGCTCTCTCCGAGGAGCTGCAGGAACTGGTCGGGGTTGGAGGCAATGAGCTGGGCCAGCTGGGGGTTCCCGGAGCCGAGCTGTTGGAGAATGGGCTCCAGCATCTGAGGTTGCTGCTGGACCACTTGGCGAAGCTGTTGGAACTGGGCATTGTCTCTGAGAAAGTCCAGGTTCCCCATGTCGCCGCTCTGGGCAGCGGCTGCTGCTGCTGCCGCCGCCGCCGCCGCCGTTGCGTTGCCGCCACCCCGAGTAGCAGAGCCGCCTCCTCCCTGTTGAGCGGCGAGGTCGAAGAGGTTGATCCCGCCATCGTCTTCGCCACTTTGCGCCTGGGCAGGAGGTTGCGTGGGCGCGCCGGAACCAGCGGCCGCAGGGGCATGGCGCTGCTGCTGCTCCTGCTGGACGTTGTCCGGGATCCCCTAGAACGCGCCAATGTCAGTCGACGTCGGATTGGGTAATGGAGGAAGACCAACGTTCAGCAGATATTCGACGGCACGGTCGGGGTTGTTGAAGGCAGCGCGCATGGCCGGGTCGATCTGACTCCTCTCAAAGCCCATTGCTTCCATGCTGGCAATGGCCTCGGCGCGCTGGGCACCCATGGCCAGGCCCGGGGCATCGCTGCCGCCAGCAGGAGCATCGGCAGAGCGTTGGGGAGTCGGCGTAGCTGGCGCAGCAGCATGGGTCGAGGAGGACTGGGCAGGGGCGGGGGCGGGCGTGTTGGCGACGGGTGGAGCTGGTGTAGCTGGAGGAGCGGCGGACGACTCGGCGACAGGGGTTGGAGCAGTCGGCTTTTCCTTGGGCTGGTGTAGGTGAGAGATCAGTATGCAGGCTCGCACGAAGAGGCAGAAGAGGACGGGGTGGGCACCTTGTTCACCATGCATACAACAAAGCCTTTCTCCTCGATGTTGTAGGATGCGACCGTTTCATCGTCCTTTAGGATTTTGCCTGCGCAGGGTCAGGAGCGGGAGTCGAGGCAGGGAGGGGCGATGGATCTCACCCGAGTAGATGAGCTTCTGGTGCTTGGGTTCCCAGCCCTTTTCGACCGAGATCTTCTCCTTGACGGCGGAGATCTGCCGCGAGGTCAGCGTCGTCGCGAGAGTGGCAGGATGCGCAGACGTACCTGGTCGGTGGGTTCGACCTCGAGGGTGAACTTTTGCTGCTTCAAATCCTAGGCAGGGGCGCAAAGTCAGCTCGCTCTGGAGCGATGGGGATGGCGTCGACGTACTCTGAAAGTGACCTTCATGGTGGACGAAGCCGGTGCAGCTATGCGGCTGCGGCGGACGGGAGGCGGGCAGTTGGGTGCTCGGGATCTGGACGGCGGAGCTGGATATGAGGTGTCGCAGCGGTGGCGATGATGCGGGAGGCAAAGAAGGCCGAGGAGGAGCTCGGGACGTCTTGCGCGCTCGCTTTGCGTGTGTGTGGTCGGGCTTGGCTGGGTGGGGTCGCTTCGCTTGGCGGTGGAGGAGCCTGCTGAGGTGGACTCGCATGCATCATCCGATGACTGCCTGGCTGTTGTCTCGCCAGCGGATAGGCGCCGGGGCGGGCGCTGGCTTCTATTAGTGGACCAGCAGCCGCTGTTCAGCGGGTGCACCAGGCGCTGGTGAGGACTGGAACCCGATGGAAGGGAGGAGGCATGTACCGTTTGCCAGGCTCTGTACGGGAAAGGGACAAAGACTTGTCCATGTCCACGATACCACCTCCCTACCACCTTGACAGCACAGGACGGGATGCAGCAGACAATGTCACGCCGCCTTGATTGGCGTCTCGGTGTCGCCACAAAGTGTCGACCGACTGTTCCCGACAGACGCATGGCGTCATCCTGTAGGTAAGACGGGATGGCGACGGGCAAAGCGATCCCACGACACGGGAGACACGGGACTCTGCGTGATTCAAAGGGCTTGCCAGAGCTGCTCTGCATAGGTAAGGTAGGCATACGGATAGGTACCTAGGTACTATGCTGATGCTCTGGCCGAAGTACCGGGTACTTGGCCCTACGTCCCCCAACTCCAAAGCCACCTTAACTTACTATTAACTTCGAGGTTCGCACCTCTGTGCGTTGTTTTGTTTTCCCGGCCCGCCTGCCCCAGACAAAGGAGACGTGTTCATCATCGACGTCGATGGTCATTGATTACATGGTCAAGGTGTATCATCAAGCCCTCTCTCGCCCTGGGCCGTCCTCATGCTGTTCTCTTGACGTCTGCCAGCACTGCTGGATCGAAGCCTGACTGCGGCCCGGGACTCAGCAGCCACGCCGGCACTGGAGGCGTCATCCTCCTGTCGCCCCCGCTGCTCGTCCGCTCCAGTCCCGCCTCGTCGTCCTCGTCCCTCTCGTCCACTTGCTGGCCATCGCCTTGAATTTTCAGCTTGGTGCTTTCCAGGCTCGGCTGGTGGCTGAGCGGACTGCGGAGGCTGCCGCTTCGCATTCGAGCCAGCGACTGCATGCTCTCGCGTCGAGAGATGACTTGCCCGGCGTTTGGCGACGCCAGAACGCTCGTCCCCGGCGACGCCAGAGGCGCCGGCGTCTGCGAATCGGATCGGAACAGAGGGTGAATGTGCAGCTCGTCGACGGAGCTCGACGCCGTCAGCCGCGCGTCTTCGCGCTGCCTCAGCGTGCTCGGGCTGTAGCTCCGCCTGGTGCGCAACGAGCGAGGAGGTTCCAGGTCTGTCGCCGTTCTCGGGCTCGGGCTCCGGCTGGGCCTCGGGCTGGCGGGGATGGTCTCGAGCCCGCGCGGCTTGGCCGATGGTGATGATGACATTTCCAGCACCACCTGTCTGTTATGTGTGTCCACCGACGACGTGTCCCACGAATCAAACGAGGTCTCCTCGACACTGCTCCCACGAGGAGTTGACTCCCGTGATGAGGGCCGCCGTTCGCCCGCTGGCAGCAGCTTCGTCTTGGACGAGCTGGGTCGGATAACCTGCGCAAACGGAGACGAGAAGAAGCCAGCCTTGGTCCCTGCCGACGGCTCAGCAATGACCAGCGGCGCCGGGCGCTCGACTGATGCCATTTCGCGGATGGTCTGGTCGCTGCCAGTCCTCGTCTGAGCATATGGAATGGACTTTACGCGAGAAATGCAGGTCCTCTGATCGTCGGCGGGCATCTCAGCCGGGTCAGCCCTCCCGACGACAAGCTCTCGCGAGGATATGAAGTGAAGAATCATTAGGACAAGCTGCAAAGCTGTGGCAAGCACCAGGGCCACAGAAGACCCAGCAAGCAACTGGGCTTGATATTCGGCAGGCGGGGGCGTCTGATCTGCTCGTGAAATGCTCAAGTGTGCTAGGGCCACGGCCGAGACGGCGGCGGCAAGGGCACAAGCCAGGAGCTCGAAACCAAAGATGACGTATAGGCATCGGCTCGATGGCACCCGGCCGGTTTGGAAGATGTGGGACGCGGCGAGCCACAACAGGACCACGAGGACGGCGGACTGTAGCGAGGCGGCGACTATGGTGACGGGCCTGAGCGACGCGTCGTCGACATGAGCGGCTGTGATGACCTGGAGGCAGAGGAGGGTCGAGGTGGCAAGGACAGCCAGGAAGCCGCCGAGGATGCGCACGAGGGCGCGAGCCATGGCCACTGGCCGGAGGCGACCAAGCCTACCGGCGGCAGATGTCGGGCCTTCTCTGCGGAGAGGATCGTTGCGGCGGTGAGTATGTCGGCTGGGTGTTGCAGGCGGCAGTCCGACGACAGCAGTGCAGCGCCAGCACGGTGACCGGAAGGAATGGCGGAGGGGTGGAGGATGGCGGACGAGGGCCTTTGTTTATGAGCCTGGCCTAGTGGGTATGGCGGCGGGTGCACAGCAAGGCAGTGCAGGTAGGCCACAGGCACCCGGGAGGGGTTTTGATGGATCAAACAGCTCGGGAAGAGGGAGGGAGGGGCATGAAGGAGGGTGTCGATGAATCGTCGAGAGAGTGCTTTTTAGTACCCAACAGGTGACGCAGCTCTTTGTTTGTTGGAGTCGGGACGACTGGACTCAGGATCGGATGTGGGGGAGGCCGGTGTGAGTGGCTCAACAGGGGTGGAGGCGAAGATGCAATGCGGACCGGGATCAACCAAGGCGTACGGCGGTGGGCATGGCGGAGGCATCAAGAGCCGGCCCTCGGAGGGTTGAGAGGCCGGAGAGAAAGGCACGGGGGCTCGACGAGCTGGTCTGATATAAAAACAAGATTCTGCAGGCCCGACGCGGTGGGGAGAAGAAGCGCGCCGGCGGGCGAGACGTCTGATGGCGTGGGAGGGTGTGACAGTCGACGAGCAGTACTCTGTACGGTAGAAGCTTTTGGTGCCTGCAGGGACGGTCTTCCTTGCATACGGGAACAGGGATCATGGTCCGAAGAGCTGGGAGGAGAACTGCTTGGCGACTCGATGTGGACGGGGCGAGACAGGCAACCGAGTCAACCGTGGAAGATGAAATATGTTTAAACTCAACCATACAATATGAAGTATGTATGCATGTTATGTATGTTCTACTTGCAACGACTGCCTATGCACATAGACTCGTGTGAAGGAAAAGGAGAGGAGGCAATGGAGGCGGCGAGGGAGACGGAGGCCGGGTGCTGCGGCGGCTGCAAGTCATGGCGGCCGAGTCAGGGCAGGACGACGGGCTTGACGATGGTGTCACGACAAGAGAGAGAGAGAGGTAACGTGGCACAGGCAGTTGAGCTTTGGGGTGGAACGAACGCGGGACGGGACGGGCATTTGTTGCGTGAGTGTGAGAGGTGAGACACGGTAATCAGTCTTGTTCAACACACCCTCTTTGGGGACTATAATACGAGATGAAAACTTATATGTCAGGTCGATATGGCCAGCTCTATCGCGGTCTCTCTCTCTCTCTCTCTCTCTCTCTCTCTCACTCCCACACACACTCTCTCTCTCCCAATCCCTCCCTCTCTCAGCCTCGTCGTCCTACTTGACACTGACAGGGCGGGCACACGACCAGGCAAGGAAGGACATATATGAGACGAAAAGAAGAGGAGAACATATACATACATACATACATAGCAAGAAGACGAAGAGGGTCTCCAGGGGGCGTGTGGAATCCACGTCCGTGGGTCGAGGAACCCCTGTCCCCCTGTCGGGCCCGATTCATACGACAAAAGGGGAGCCCACGTTGCTGGGCAAGCGCCAGCCAGAGCTCTCGATCCGTGTCTCTCTTTTATTTATTGTATTGACTATCGAGGCAAACAATATTTTTCGTTGTTGTTGACGTTTACGCCATTTTCGCCCCCTTCTCGACAGTGATGGCATGCCCTCTCCTCTCTCCCCTCCCCCTCCCCCCCCTTCTCGTTGCTCGTTCTCGGGTCAGCCTCACGCAGCCGGGCGAGGGCCGTCCCTGCAAAACCACATGCGCATGCGTGTTGGTCCAGGGCGCACAATACCTACATATATGTGTGCGACGATGGGGGCTCGGGGCAGTGCTGTTTTATATGACCAGCGTATCCGCCGTCGGGAAAAGCAGCGGCGTGCATTCTCGCCGCGGGCTGGCCGGTGCGACGCGAAGCTTTGCCCTCGACGCAGGCAGCCTCTTTTTTCTCTTTTTTTTTTCCTTCCCTTCTTTGTTGCTTTTCGCGATCCATTTTACACACGGTCCATGGGGCCCCGAGGCGGCCGCACGGGAGGCCCGCAGGCCGACGGACGGACGAGGGGACGCTCCGGCGGCCTGGGCGGGATGCTTGGCGTCCCGTCTCGTACATACATGCTCCGTACAGCAACTACAGTACCTAGCGTTGCTAAGTTGATACTTACCGTGCCCCAGGGCAGGGCCTTGATGCAGCAAGCATGGCATGGATGGTGGTGCACCGGAGGGCAGAGGGAGCGTCATTCGTCGAAGCCGGCGAGCCGCAGTTGCTTCTTCTTGCTTCCTTTTCCTTCTCGCTCTTTTTTATCATCATTGTACCGAGTATAGCCAGCTTGGTTGGTTGTCACTTCTCAACCCGGCGGGCGACAACTCCCATGTTGCTTGCCATGACCAGCCCAGCTCGTCCTCGGCCTTGAACCCCGATGACCTTTGTTTTGATGTTGTTGTTTGGTTCTCCTTTGTTTATATCCGGTTGATTCTTGTGCCCAGATCAGTCCCCCCGAGAAGAAAAAAATCCCCCATGTTGACGCGACAGAGCCGCGAGTGGAGACGCAAAACGCGTCGGGCAGGGATCCGGCATCTTGGAAGGCCTGCACACCACGCACGGTACGTTGTAATGACGAGATCGCAATGTCTTGGTCCTGAAGGCGGGGACCATGTTGCAACACACGTGAGGTTATCCATCCGTCGGCCGTTGATCCGCCTTGCCCGGACGTCATCGGGGTGCGAGTGAGACAGCAAAGTGTTTAATAGTGCCAGATTTCATCTCGGCGATCCCTGCTCGTGTCATGTCTCGATCGACCTGTCTCTCTCTCTCCATCTGTCTCTCTCCTCCCACACGAGACTTGGCAATGGCGGCGGCGGGGGCCGTGGATGCCGCCATGGAGCATGATGAGCGTCTCGAGCCAAAAGTGTAAGTCCATATCGAGATTTTCTCTCTCTCTCTCTCTCCCCCTCTCTCTCTCCCTCTCTCTCCCCTCTCTCTCCCCTCTCTTCCCATCGAACCGGGGCCCTCACCAACAAGCCCCTGGCAGAAGCTGCTCGACACCCACACACACACAGACACACTTGACACCTCAGAGACACCCATCCATCCTCCAATCCTTGATTCACCTCGTAGCCTTTTCCTTTTTCCCCCCTCAGTCCACCCATGCTCGTCATCTTGGCCGCCGCGGCACCTCGTCTATCAACCCATCATACTCACCACCACCACGGGGAAAAAAGAAAGGACAGAGGACATGAATGGGCCTTTTTTTTGCAATCACAGTCTGCAGGTCCAGCGCTGTTTGTTTACTTGCATATCCAAAAAGGAAAGAATAGATAAACAAATAAGAAAGGGAAAATAAGGAGGCAACAAGCCAAGATGCTGTGGGGGAGGCAAGAGGAGCCGCCCGCTTGCCAAGCCCCCAGCATCAATCGCAACGTCTGGATTAGTCCTTGGGAACGGTGACACTCCGTATGCGCCGTTTATGCGACCCCGGCCAGCAAGGGACTGGAAACCGGAGAAGCCTTGGTGCTAGCCATGACAGGTTCCATCGCCCGAGTCGAGTCTGCCGAGGCCGCAGCCGGCCACCGGATCCAGCAGAAGCCGGGGGGGCTGCCGGGGCCCAGGAAACACACAAGAAGGGCGGGCCCCTCCGCCCCCTCCCTGCCATACAACACGCCGTGGCCTATTACCAGTAACTACCATGCCCCATCCCGGTCTCTGCGGCGGCCCATTCGCGGGGAGCTCCGTCGGATATACAATTCTGGCCGACCGGATCCTCGGGTTCGGGGGCCGATGGGTCGACGGGTCCATACATATTGAGTCTGTTTTGTTATACATGTCGTCGACACGCTGGTCAATGCCGAAGGGAGGAGAGAAACGAACCCCTGGTTGCTTGCTTCAACAACGAGATGCCGCCCGTGGTCGGCAGACGGGATTGATCTCGTCGGGGGTTCAGTTCCAGCACGGCTCGTTGCGAGAAACCAAGGGCAGCCGGTTGTGGCTTGCCTTGCCGTGATTGTCATGTCTCGCCCGGCTTGTCCTCCAGACTCGTCTTGTCGCTTGTGGGAGACGGCCAACACCACTGCATGAATACGTGAGTTGGTGGTCGTAGGTTGTGTTGGTTCTCAATTAGTGCCAGGCGTCAGGCGAGTCTTTGACATCATGACCCCTCACGTCCGCCCTACCCTATACCGAGCCCCGATCCCGGTCAAGGAAAAGGCTCCCCGGCTGACATGCACCGACCGCGCTTCGGTCCGCTCGACGGGACGCTCAATTGAATAGGCAGAACGAGAGCGCTCCAGGCCGGAGCCGATTGACCGTCCACCATGACCAAGCCGCGCGTCATCTACTGGTTTCGGACCGACCTGCGCCTCCACGACTCGCCCGCTCTCAAGGCCGCCCTTGACCTGCAGCCCGCCGTGCTCTGGCCCATCTTCACCTGGGACCCTCACTACGTCTACCGGAAACGGGGCGGTCTGAACCGATGGCAGTTCCTGTGAGTCTCTTTCCAGTCGAGAGGCCTGGGCCTGACCATGTAATGCGCACACACCCGGCGCAGGCTGGACTGCCAAAACGATCTCTCGCGCTCCCTCACCAAGCTCAACCCAAAGTCCAAGCTCTTCGTCCTCCGCGAGGCGCCCCAGACGCTGCTGCCCAAGCTCTTCAAGGCCTGGAAGGTCACTCACCTGGTCTTCGAAAAGGACACAGACGCCTATGGCCGCGAGCGTGACACCCTCGTTGAAAAGGCGGCCCGCGACGCCGGCGTCGAGGTTGTCGTCCGCCCCGGCAGGACCCTCTGGGACAGCGACGCCTTGGTCGAGAAGCACGCCGGCAAGCCCACCATGTCCATGGCCCAGCTGCAGGCCGCCGGCGCAAAGCTCGGCCCCGTCCCGCGCCCCGTGCCGGCCCCCGACCACCTCCCGGACCCGGGCGAGATGCCCGTCGACTTCGAGCATGACCCGCCCAACGCCAAGCCCGACCACAACGCCGACCGCAGGACAGACCCGGAGTCGGCGTACCGAAAGCTCGCCGGCCCCAACGACGACTTTGCCATCGAGACGATGGAGGAGCTGGGCTTCCCCCCGGCAACGACGCCCCATCGCGGCGGCGAGACCGTTGCCCTGAAGCGGCTCGACAACCTCATCCGCGACAAAAGGTACACGGCCACCTTTGAGAAGCCCAAGACGAGCCCGGCCCAGTTCGAGCCCCAGTCGACCACCCTGCTGTCGCCCTTCCTCCACTTCGGCGCGCTCTCGGTGCGCGAGTTCTACTGGCGCGTCCAGGACGTCGTCGACGCCTACGGCAAGGGCGCATCGACCCCCCCGACGAGCTTGACCGGCCAGCTGCTCTTCCGGGACATGTACTTTGCCGCCCAGGCGGCCATCGGGCCCGAATTCGCCCAGACCGCCGGCAACCGCTACTGCCGCTTCATCCCTTGGCATCTCCCCTCCAAGCGCGACTCGGACACGGGGCTGGCGGCGGCGTCGGGCGACTATCACGTCGACTCGGACGAGGCCGAGGCGTGGTTCCAGCGCTGGCGCGCCGGCCTCACCGGCTTCCCCTGGATCGACGCCCTCATGCGCCAGCTCTGCGAGGAGGGCTGGATCCACCACCTCGGCCGCCACGCCGTCGCCTGCTTCCTCACCCGCGGCGGCTGCTACGTCGACTGGGAGCGCGGCGCCGACGTCTTCGAGGAGTGGCTCCTCGACCACGAGCCCGCCTGCAACGCGGGCAACTGGCAGTGGCTGTCTTGCACCGCCTTCTTTGCCCAGTACTTTCGCTGCTATAGCCCCGTCTCCTTTGGCCAGAAGTGGGACAAGGAGGGCGACTTCATCCGCCGCTGGGTGCCCGAGCTGAAAAACCTCGACGCAAAGTACATCTACGAGCCCTGGAAGGCGCCCCTCCAGGACCAGAAAAAGGCCGGCGTACGCGTGACGGGCGACGGGCTCTCGGGCCGCGACGAGGGCACGTACCCGAAGCCCATATTTGACTTTTCCATGCGCCGCGGCGTCTGTATCGAGGCCATGAAGAAGGCATACGGGGTCGGCCTGCACGGCGACGACCCCCGGGTCCTCAACGGCACCTGGCGCGAGCTGTTTCCCTCGCCCGAGGAAAGCGAGGTGCGAGGCGAGTATGGAAGCGACGATGGCGCGGGTGCGGACGAGGCCGACCAGGAGGAGCCGTCGGCAGGAGACAAGCGACACGCGCGCAAAGCCAGCTCCGAGGCTGGACCAAAGAAGCAGAAGAAGTAGCCGGGGTGCCAGGGTGAGGCGAAGGTCTCGAAGGGTGATGGCGAGGAGGCAATCGAACCAAACTTGAGCAACTAGTTTCTCTCAACCTGTGACTGTGTGAGATTTGCACCCAGCCCATACATCGCCCACAGCTCATTTCCCAAAATGCGGCCCAGTAACCAATTTCCGACACGAGTGAATTCTTGACGCGTCGGGGACGAGCCCGAGGGAGTTTAAACATCTGTCGCTGCTGGATCTGCTCGGTCACCCGGGCGGGAGAACATGGCTGCAAAAGGCGTCACGACGTATGACGATATCCAAGCAGCACGGCCGGGCTATCGTTGAAAGCTCCGAGGGTCAGTAGTCGGCCCGCCAATTGGCCAACCGAGACCACTCAACTGCCCACCGACGGCTTTCTTTGCTGCTTCGTGTGTCGGTAGCCTGCGTCGCGAGAGCCGCCTCGAGAGCCATCTCGGACAAGAAGGTGAACATTTCAGTCGAGCCTCTACAACCCGCAATGTACATGTGCTGCTGGGCCCGATCTGGGTCAGTCGTCCTCAGCAGCTTGGCCAGCTCGACATTGGCATCGACGTAGCCGAACTCGGCCAAGGGCTCAAACACCTCAGTCGCCTTCTCTGTCCGCCCCAGCTTCAAGAATGCTCTGCCAAGCCAGAGCAGGCAGGTCCACTTCCACTCGAAGCCCGATGACCCCGCCTTGAGCGCTCGTTGGAGCATGGCCACCGCGGCTTCGAAGCGGCCCTGCTTGAAGAGCCACTGACCCTCGACCATCAGAGCGTTGGGGTCCTTGCCCCTGGCCACCAGCTGCCGGAAACGAGCCTCGGCTTTGCCCATCTGCGCTATGGCCAAGTACAAGTCGGACATGATGAGGTTCCGGGCCAGTGATATGGTGGACGGGACGTATCCCAACTCCGAGGCGGATGCCCACATGACCATGCTCCAGACGGCGCCCCGCGTGCCGGGGTTGTGACGCATGATGCAGCCCAGGTCGTGCAGAACGTCAGCGGGAATCTCTTTCCCTACATCACACGTATGAGTATGAGTCGTCGAAGGGGGCAATTCCGCGGCCAGGGGCGGGTGCTTACCACGGCCGAACGAGATGGCCCAGGGGCTCGCGCCTTGCCGGACGGCTTCCGAGATCATCTGGGCGCAGTCATAGTACCCATCCGCCGACAGGCGATGGAAAACCTCGGGATCCTGGGAGACGATTTGATGAAAGGACTCGCGAGGGAATTCTTCCATGCTCAGGTTGTCGGCGCTGAAGGCGTTCCTGGGTGCACGAAGCGTGTCGTATGCTCGCCTCTGGCCGACGTTCCAAGGAGGATGGGCTCCGGCCGTGTGGCCCAAGCGACGAGAAAAAGCTGCCAACTGGGGCCTTCGGCACAGACCACGGGCCACTGGGCAACAACGCGCTGCCATTTTCAACAAGGGTGTGGCTTGATATCCGTGTCTTGAGTCTCAGGGTGCTCTCTCCATCACCTGCTGCTCATCTTTTCGGGTCTGCCAACCAGGGAATCGACGATGGACTTGGGGCTCTGAGAAACCGTGAGTTGTAACTGAAGACTCAGGGTACTGATTTGGCGCAAATAACCTGAAAATTGCTGCAGCGAGGCAGGCGTTGACGGTGGTGATGCAAATGAGGTGAAGGAATGCGGACAAAGACGAGATGGCGCCCCACTAGGCCACTGGACCAATCAAGTCCAGCGGCCGGCAAGGTGAAGCTCCTGCTCACCGAGAAACGGCCCCGCTGGAATATTTCTTCCAAAGAATTGCGCTTTTCACTCTCGGCTTCAACGACTACGAACGCGAGCTGCCACCCCCTACAGGAGAATATTTGCCGCGCCGACATCTAGTGCATCCGAAGTTACTGTCAATCAGCGTTCCACACACGGAAATCTCGCCTCAAAAGCCGCCAGGCAATCTCGAAGGACACCCGCCGCCTACAGCACACTCACCCAACAAGATGGTGGTGCAGACCCGTAAGCGAAAGGCTGCCCTGGAGCAGTCGGCCGGAAAGACCCAGGAAGCAGCCTCCGTCGAGGTATCTCCCAAGCGACAGAAGCTCCCCATGCGATCCAGAGCCGACGAGCCGCCGGCCCAGAAGGCTGCCGGCAAGGGCACGCTCATCACCTTTGACGACGATGACAACGCAGACCAGCCGGTAGCGGCACCGGCCCCGGCAGGCGAGACGGTCGTGCTGGGCACTGCGGAACAGGAGCTTAGTGACGAAAGTGACGACGACGCCCCTGAAGCGGTCTCGACGGCGCAAGTTGCGTCAGATATGAAGAAGTCTGCACAGGCCACTCAAAGAGCCGCCCGAGAGTAAGTCCTGCTCCCCTTTGCTTACAGGCCCGTTGCGGTCACTTGTCCGTCCAAAAGCAAAGATGTATCTCTAATCACATCGTCTAGACAAGCCACGGCCGAGAAGCGAAAACGCCAAGAGCGCGACGTCCTCCTTAAAAAACAGGCAGAAGAGCGCAAAAAGGCAGGTCAAGCTGCCGCTGCCATCTCACATGACAGTGAGGATGATGCCCCGTCAACCAAGAAACGAGAGGCCGCGGGCAGGAGGAAGCGGACAGATAGGGTCCAGGTTCCAAGTCTATTGCCCCTGGAGTTCCTCACCGACGACTCGTCTAGCGAGGACGAAGCAGACGATAGCAAAATCAGTGACAGGAGCGCGCAGCCAAGGCAGAGAAAGGTCGAGGCTGTCGAGAAGAGGCTGACGCGCCTGGACAGGGGGCCACAAGACGAAAGGATAGGGTCTACAGTGTACCGGGTGGCCGCCAAGCTGGACGAGCGTTTGGCGCCCAAGGTGAAGCGATATTCTCTGAGCGCAAGGGACCGGTTACTCCAGAGGAATCGGACGGCAGCGAAGCCGCGGTCTAGCTTCTTTACCAAGAAGTAGAGCCGGACGCGGGGACTGAGCAATGTTTTCGGGACGCTGGTCATCTCGTCCGAGCGACGCAGTGTATGCCAACGGGACGGTTCGTGATGGACGAGAACAAGCAGGGACTGCAAATTTCGGGATGCCCGGACGTCCCAGGCGACCGGCATACGCCACCAGAGTCAACCCAGCTGAATATGGGGCTCCAGCGCTATGACAATCCCATGTTGACTCTTTCTCAGCAGACAAGGCCGACCACTCGTGTCTCTCTCGTTCTCTTTATTTCCAAGAGGCCATAGCGGCCAGGAATCACCTTTGACGACACCTTGGCCATGGCATAATGCCAATGACAGTGGGCAGACAAGGCCCGCGGTTTTTTCTCATAGCCAGTCCCGCTCAGCATTATTCCTGGCTATTGCTGTTGACGAATCCACGCCTAGTCGTGGCTGTTGGAAGAGCTCTAGACAATCCATCATGCCATGGCTGCAGATTGCTCAGGAACATCAGACCATGGCTGCACCCGGTCACAATTTCGAGCCTTGTTTTCCCCCTTGGCGCTCCGCACGGTTCGATATAGAATTTTGAGCTGCATGTGTCTGGTTATCGGTCCAGACCGTGCACCGTTCATCATTTTCCAGGTGCCCAACGGAATTGCCTTTGATATATACAGTCTATACAGTCTATATCCATATATTATATATGACATCGAGGATGCTACAGTGTCGAGGCGCCGCCAAGTGGAGGACACGGGTGTCCAATTCAGTCTCTTACACCAGTATTATTTGCAATATTCTCTCAGTTGCCGCCGACAATGCCCCATGGTCGGCCACGCCAGTAGCAGACGGCGACAGACCTATCCACGGGGTCCGCCCGTCCGTCGATGACGCTGAGATGGGAGAGACACGGCTGTTTGGTACACACAAGTGGCGGGAGGCTGGCGACGGACGATAAGGTCTGCTGGCCCACGGGCCTTGTCTCCCGGCTCCTCATGTTACAATGCGCGGTTTTTACACAGACAAGGGAGAGCGGGCCGTTTGACGTTCACAATGCCGGTCCGCACGCTTCCTCCTCCTGCCCCGTCACTTGGCTGCTGCAATTGGTTCTCGGAGGGGGATGCAGGCAAAAACCTTGTAGCCGCAGACAAGGAGGCCGGCGTTGGGGACTGTCGCCGGCGTGATCCTCTCCCGTGCGGCCTTGGCCGGGAATCGACTGCCTGCTCTAGATAGCTTAACTCGGGATGCATAATAGACGACCCTCATCAAATGATCTTCACAGCCGGCCCACACGACTTTATGCGTCGGTGAGGGGGAGGGTGGAGTTTTGTCCGTCTTTTTTTTTTCCCCTTGGCCGGCCCATTTCAGCCAGACGGGGAGATTTCCGACGGTGCTGCTTGATCTCTCCCGGAACGGCCGGTGGAAGAGGGCGACAGATCGGCGCCGATGAGGATCTACGTATGCTCCAAACGAGGTGATACAGCGCCGCAGTTGAAGATGATGTGGGCTATTCTGCCAAGGAGCAGAGAGGGGATAACCGTATTGTAGCTGCCCGGCAAGCGCTCCCCTTGCCTACCACGGCTGCTGGGGTGGATCGAGCTGGGGCTGATATAAGTCGAAAAGACAGAGTGGCAGCGCGGGTTCGGTTTCTTCCTGCTCGGCTTTGTTTCTTGCCCCCTTTTCCCGGACGGCGGTGGATCTCTCTGCAGCTTGGGAAGCTTGCATGTGGCTGCAGTAAGGGGACGAGGATGTTTTGCCAAGAACGGGCGCGCATTTTTTACGAGTCCGTCTCGGGGAATCGAGAGTAGCCAGCCCTTTCTGCGAGGCGCTCCCGCGCTCTGCCTTGTAGCATGGGCGTGTATGGTCACGACCGACCACCTGACATAGTAACTTATGCCTACCCCTACACACCAGAGTTTGATCCAGGGTATCAGGCAGCAGCGAAAGGACAGGCGGGGAGCGGGCAGCCGATAGGTGTGGACAATTACACAGCGTGGTATGCCACGATGCTACCGTGCAGCTCGGGTGGACATGATGCCGCGGCGATGCATCCTGGCCGGAGAATACATACTGTACATACATACAGACGGACGGCAGTGCAATACGGAGGCTCGGGCCCGGGGTGCTCCCGGCCATAATGTCCTCCTGGCTTGAGTCCTCCTGGCTTGAGTCCTCCTCGCTTGAGCCGAGACGGAACAGCCGTCCATGCCCCGGGGAAGACGACTTGGCCTGAGGCCGGGATCCCCTCGTCAGCGTCCGTATTGGGTCGTGCATAACTGGCTAGACGAACGGCACGCTGGGATCCGTGATGGCTGTCAAAGTAGGGAAATTTCCCGGTTTGAAGCAACCGTCTCAACAGAGCCTACGCCCAAGACGGCGACAGGCACTCGACCAGGCGCCACGGAGAGCGGGAGCGGGTGGGTGTAGCAGGACGACACAGGGTATCCTCGTCGGCGTCGTCGTGTGAAAGCGTGGTGTGTGGTTTCGAATCGTGCTCTGCTCGGCCCGGGAACACTGGGGGCATGGGCTGTCAGGAGATATTTATTATCCCACGCCGACGTCTCGGAACCGACGACCGGCCGCCCATGTCATGAGGCCCAGCCGGGGCAGACTTGCGCGACTCGCCTTTGGCGATAAGGGGGCAGGATGCCGCCATGTCAAGAAGGTTTGGAGCCCCCGTGATGTGTGCGCAGACTGCGTGTGCCGCGAATCGAAACAACCCCCCTGATGGCATGCCACGCGGCAAACTTGTGTGTCTGCGGTGCCTCGAATTGCGGCTGATGGGCTGCAGCTCGCGCGCGCGCGCGTGGTGCCTCTGGTGCATCGATGGAGCTGCGCGCACAGACGGTTTCATTCATCTGTTGTTTGATTCGCTGCGTCGTTGGAAAATCTTTTCTTCGCCTGTTTCTTTCGAGGCGCCAGGACGCAGTCGGCACTTTGTGGTAGATGACGGAGCACGTGTCCTGGTGGTGACCCCAATGACGAAGTCTTGACGCCGTGCTATTTGCACAGTGGCTTGTCTTTAAACGAGCGCAGCTATTCACGTCCCTTCAAGATCTTGAGGCTGTACTGTACAGTGAATATGTATTTATTTTTTCCTCTGTAAATCCATCCCCTTGACTCTACCGCGGTACTTCTTTTATGGACTCGTGATATCACACGGTGTAGATAACAGGGGATGGCCGTACAGTACGTATTTCTCCGTCTACCGTCATGTCTCGTTTTTTCTTCCCTGCATGAAAGCATCTTCCTGCATCACACAACCCCTACGTCCCGTACCTCTACCCTGAGTTTGCACTCGCTCACCAGCAATTCATCATCGCGCAAGACGGAAATATTTACAGGAAAATGAGAAAAAATCGCAAAAAGAAACTAACAAAAAACATACAGCAGCCGGTATTCGCTGGTCGTCACCGACCCAACTACTAATCTGCCCCTTGCCTGGTTAATTTCCCGAGATCGGACGGGATCGGATGCTTTCAAGCAGGTGTGGCCGTATGTATCAGTACGTGCTGCAAGTTTAGGTAATGGATGCAGGGATCTGGGGTCACGTAGTGTATCGCCCTGCCCGGCATCCAAGCCCTGAATTTCATCATGGCGAGCAAGACTTGATACTGCAGTACATACACGACAGCCTGGGCTCTGTTAATGCGTGCTCATGGAGCAAGGCTACCAAACATTCGAGGTTGCCAGCGGGGAGGGGCCTAGAAGCCTTCTCGAAGGGACTCCCAAGTCTGACGTGGCAGTGTCAGTGTTTCGGACCTGTTTCCTCGAGTCTCCCGCTAGGCGCGAGGCGAAAGGAACGACAGCTGCGAGTCGTGCAAGGGCTGAGAGGTCAGTCTCAGTCGGCTGACACGGCTTCGAGAAGCCACGTCCGGCTACCTGGTGCCCGTGTGTCTGTCATCCAGCCGTCTGTCTTATGGAGCATTATCTCTGAATCATAAAGCGCACCCCCGCGTTTCCGGACCACAGCGGCCGGCAGTGTCTCTCTCTCTTGGTTTCAAAACCACAAGAGTCAGTCAAGATTCCCCCGTTTGCTGGCCGGCGAGGCAAACAAGAGACCCAGACCACGGAGGTTTAACCCCCCTCTGCACGGGTATTCTTTGTCCACACCCGCGGTGTATGCAAGCGCGAGCTCACGGCGCAGGCCAGTCCCCAGCCATTGGCGCCGTCACAAACGTATATGCACACGTTACTTCGTGTTATGCCCTCTTTGGGCTGTCAACCGTGGGGGCGCGGCAGCCAGCCCCATGTTCCAGCGGACGACATGGGGATGATGGTGGTGATGGCTGGTACAGAGGTATCTGGGAGCCCGAGCAGGATTCCCGACTGCGATCCCTACACACGCACGCAGCCATTCGGTGCTTTTGGATGCATGTGTACGGCGTCGTCCTTGGCTATGCCGTCCCGTAGCTCGTCTCGGTGCCTACGGAGCACTCGTACAGTACACACAGTCATCTGGATGCACCGACAGGCAGATGCATATTCGCCCTCACGCAGGCGCTCAGCGCTGAGCAGAGCTGGCAGGCCGTTGCCGCGCCTCGTCCAGCCCTGGAAACCCCCATGGCTGATGCACTCGTGGTTGCATCATATGCATGCACTTCATATACTGTATATCGCCAGTCCTTTGTATTGACGTAGTTCCGGGTGTTTTCTCGTCACATGGCTGCGCTGGACATTGGTATGTCTCACAAAACCATCCAAAAGGGCGCGCCGGATCGACTCCACGTTTACCCAATCCAACAAGCCGCCGTCGAGACAAAGGATCCGCTCTTCCGTGGGGCCTGAAAATCGGCGTCCGACAACGGCCTAGAAGGTGACAAAGACGGTGAGACGCAGATGCAAATCATCTGCTCTTTGTGGTATGTGGAGATTGTGACAAAACGTGGTTTCTACTTTCTAGAAGCAGCGCACGGTAGAAGCTTAATTGTCGCCGTTGCCCATCCATTCCTCGCAGTAGCCCAAACAGGGATGGCATGGGCAAGACAGTCTCTCGATTCCAATTAAATCGTACCAAGCCTCGGCGGCTAGTTGGTGACTCGGCAGCGGCCAATGTGCTGTCGTCGATATAGTAGGCAAAGGCCGGGGATGGATTGCTCGTCCCTACTCTCATGCCCCAGAGCTCTCTCGCACAGCTGCACAAAAGACGCTCGAGCCATGGATCTACGGCTCTGGGGAGAGGCCATCGCGAGCCCATGGTACGTTGTTCCACCAAAACAGGCCAAGCACCCGTCCCGTCCCGGCTCGGCCGGCCGACGGGTTGGCGTGGCAAAGCACCGACCGGACGTGCCAGGCCCCACTGCGGCGCGCGGCGTCCATCATCCCGGAGCGATACAAGGGGATGGGAAATTGCACGGCAAAGAGACTTCGTCGTCGCTTGAGAATGGCGCCGTGGCAGCCACGTGCCGAGCCAGTCCAATCTCCAAATCCCACGATTCCCGCCGACCGGTAATAAGCCAGGTTTATGTACATACTGTACATGCGGTAGGTGGCATGCAGAGCGTTTTTCCCGTCTGCACTTTGCGCCGGCAGTCTCTCCGTTCGTAACTGTATGTACACATGCGCCTGCATGTCGGTCGGACAAGAAATCAAACTGCATGCTGTGCGCCGGCGGCTTCGACTCTCCGGTATGTCCGGATCCAGGTTGAAACATACGCGGACTTGGCTTGATTGGCTGCCACACGGCCAGTCGTCTTGACAGATGCCCTGCCTTTCCACTTTTCATATCGTGCAAGACTACCCCTACGGAGTAAAGCAGGCCGATATAGAGGCTCGAAATAAGCTGTCCACCAAAGGCCTGGGCAATAGCAGACGCTGGCGTAATCGACTGTGGGTATTCCCACGATAGTACCAAGTCTCGGGAGATGATGCATGGGTCCGTAGCTCTTGGCTCGCTCATGCGAATTGGAAGTCTCTTTGATGCCTCGCGATACGGTGCAATATATCCGACCAAGCAGCCCGCGGGGGCAGCAGCCGGGAGAGTCCGCGTCAAGGTGATGCAAGGGAGGACAGTCGTCTCGCCTTCTGTCATGTACGGTAATAATTACAGTCAGTAAAGTGTGGAATAGAGTGCATGCAGTGTATTAACGGTTATGCCCCGACCATTTACGGCATCGGACAAGACTGACATGGGAGTAATAATGCTGTCATGGACACATCAGTCCTGGTTCAGCTTTGTTCCGCAACGCGTACTGCACTGTACAGTACTATACTGTACGGTACTGTGCCTCCGTGCGCAAGCCATCACGTGTTCCAGGCTCGCCTGAATGCAAGTCCGCGACCGTGATTCCACGGGCGCAAAGTATTTCAGGAGCTCGTGACGGGGATGCGCAGCCCATGCATGTCCCCCCTGGCCTGGCTGGCGGCCTCGGCACCACCGGCCCCGAGGCGACACGACGCCGACGAGGGTGGCAAAGGCACCGTTTACCGTACCGTAACCCGGGTTGTTTGGTTTGCGCGGGGCGACTATTGATTGGGTGACGCCTTGCCATGGCCGACATGGATATGTCCCCTCTTTCTCCCCCCCCCATGCCCTGGCATCCTGGAGAGTGCAGCACGGAAAAGCAACTGACGCATCGAAGGACCAGCGAGTGGATTCTAGATGCATCGGGCACCTGAATGAGCCCTGAATGAGCCATGAGCAGCAAGGAGTTCGTAACGGACTTGTTTGTTGCCAGCTGCTTATTGTCCGCAGCCGTGGGGAGCTAGCGGGCCATGCTAGCTGTCTTTGGGCACCCACTTAGGTTAAGGTACCTAACGTTGTCTGGTACCTTGGGTGAGTAGAAGACATCGTTTGTACTGTCTGTACATCCAAGTCATCGGGTACAGTACCTTACCTTACCTCCTTAGGTAGGTAGGTACCTATGTACAGTACGAGGTGTGGAGAGAGACAGAGAGAGAGAGAGAGAGAGGGAGATGCGCGGGGGAGAGCATCAGTCAGTCAAACATGGCAGGTCCGATCCCGCAAGGTGAGTGAGGCCTCCTCTTGCTGGCGCCTCGTTTCGTTTCTCGGCTTCGTGCTTCTGCTCCTCAGCGGCAGCCCACAGTCAGTCATGCACTCGCTTGCGCTTTATGACTTTAGGCGGCGGGGCCAACCAAACGACCCAAGGCGGCCCCCACCGTCCCCTCCGTGTCTCGGGTGCGACCAGCTGCGAATTACGATGCCCCCAACCGTCGCTTGCCGACGACGACAAACGAACGAACTGGGCAGACAGGCTGTGCCGGGAAACAGTGGGGAACAGGGTCGTAGACAGGGAGGAGCATCATCATCATCCAGAAGGACAAGAAACAGGGGCTGTATGTAGATTCTCCAGCCGCTCAACAGGTCGATACCTCTGTAGGTACTTCGTACGGATACAGTCAGTGCCTGCCAGTCAGTCAGTCAGTACCTACCTCATACGTCACCCTGCCAGCCAGCCTGCCTCTCTGCAAACCCCGTTGTCAGCCACCGCCCTTTCCATGCCACCAGCATTCGGCACTCCCGTCTAGTGGCTCCAGCGCCACCCAACGCGCGCGCACTGGCCCGCGGCCACAGCCGGCCAGCATCCGCGGCGGTCCCGTCTCTGCAGCTCTGCCAACGACTTTCTCTCTCGCGGTACGTGCGAGGTACAACGGCATGCAGACTCCTGGTACGTAGTGCCAGTGCCTGCTCCAGTGCCTGCTCCAGTGCCTGCTCCAGTGCCTGCTCCAGTGCCTGCTCCAGTGCCTGCTAGCGCCCAGGCCCAGCCACTTCAAGCCGACGAGGACCCCTGGAAAGCTTCCACCTGGGCTCGGAGTACCCTAGCCTCCCTCCCTCCCTCTACCAAAAGCATCTCTCGATCCAGTTCCCTGGGCCTTCCCTGCCTAGGCCTTCCCTGCCTGAGCCTTCCCTGCCTGGGCCTTCATGCAATTGCCGTCCCCGCCGCCGTCTCTCCGCCTCCTCCTTGCGCAGCAGCATTACTAAAGACAGGGTCTTGAAACATCCCCATCTTGGCGCCGTTCCTTTTGGCCTCTTCTTTTTGCTTGCTATTACTAGGCATACCCACCGCGCACACGCACCACCACCACCACCACCACCACCACCCAAACCATCACCAAATCCGCATTTTTTAGCCTTTTCCCCTCTCGCTTCCCTCTTCTACCACTTCGCCGTCTTCTGCGACTCTCGTCGAAACGAACCCGATCCACTAACCCCGCGGAGCCGACTCAGAAAAGGGTACCTGCCTGCCAGCTCGAGCCGGACCACGATCCATCCACCTCTCTTCGTCGTTTGCTCGCTGGGCCCCCCCTTAATTTGGTTGCTACCCACGCCGGCCTCCTCCATGTTCAGTCGCTCTCGACGGAGTCAGCGGCAGCGGATCAACGACGCGGGCCCCCCCCTCCTCGACGACTCCAAGGCCCAAAACATACACTTTGCCTCGCGCCTGACGGACTTGAGCCTAATCGTCAACCCCCAGGGCGCCTCTCGATCACGGCCCCTGGCTGATGATCCATTGTTTCCAGAAAAAGGTACGTTCGTCCCCTCCACGCCGTCGCCGACCGCCGAGCGCTAGCTAGCCCAGGCCCGACTATGTCATTTTTCCCCGATAGTCTTCTCGAGGCTGGTCCGCTTGACTGACACCTTGCCCAGTCAATCCTTTTCCTGACGCACAACCTCGAGGCCACTTTACCTATCGACGTGATTCTCTTGCAGGCTCAGCACCATCCCTTGTCGGCTCTGCTCCTCGAAGAGTCGGCGGCTTCGATAACAACGTCATGGCGAGCACTGTCGAACGGAGCCGCCACCGGCGCGAGAGGACCTTTGTCGGCAGCGAATGCGCCGTATGCGAGGAGCCGCTCGAGCACACGCTGCAAGGCGAGCGCATCCTCCAGTTCTCCTGCACCCACGTCTCTCATGAGGCCTGCTTCTATGAATTCATCCGCGAGCTCGAGTCGCAATTCTGTCCAACGTGCGATGCGCCGCTCCATCTCGACACCAGCCGCGGCGGCAATATCATCGACATCAGTCCGTCCCCCCCTCTTGCGAATGGCCTCGAGTCTGGCCACTAATCTAGGAGTTAGACAAAATCAGCAGCATGATGCGCTCCGCAAGCAGCGATGCGCGCTCGACGGGCACACCCACACCCACTTGGGACAACCAGACCATGAGACCACCCAGCGTTGACAGCTCCCAGAGGAACTACCTCCCCCAGCAGTCCACCGGTAACACTAGGGATAGCGTCACTCGAGGGAGCTACAGGGACAGCCGCGATGCCCCCATGTCCGATCGCTACGGCTCCTCGAGGCATGCGCGGAGCGACAGCGAGGCTACCGGAGTTGCGTCGAGCGGATATCCCGAGACGACGCAGAGCGGCCCGCCGTGGCGTCACGACTATGACGTGCAGGCCATGGAGTCTACACCGGGCAGCCCGCGCCCCGTCTCTCGCAACCCCGTCCCGCCTCCGACCGTGACGGTTCGATCAGAGTTCCCGACCATCAACAGATCCCGCCAGCAGCAGACTCTTACCTGCCTCGTCACCATCGAGGTGCCCGGCAACAAGTGGAGGCCAGACCCCGAGGACATTGGCGTGCAGTCGATGCAGCTGCCGCCGGTTAGCGCGCGCATCGACGAGGTGGCCACCCGGTCCGTAATCACGCCTGCATCGAGCCGTTTCTATCCCTACGAATCTGCCGAGGTGCTGGAGGAGATGACGGAGAGCCTGCGGAACCGCGTGGATAACTGGCACGGCTTGGACTTTAGCAGGTGAGCACATCTGCTGCTTTATACCCTTGATAAACCCCCTCTCTCAAATGGGACGCAGAGGCGGCTAACGATGGCCAGATTCGGCCAACTGCGACTGTACGGTACGCTCCGAGTCGGCAAGGACAAGGTCTCTTGGCAGGAGCTGGAATGCTATCTCTTCGCCGAGATGCTCATATGCGTCAAGGAAAAGAAGCTACCGCCCCAGTCATCAACCCAATGGGACGACAACGGCACTCGAAGGTCCACTCGCTGTACGCTCAAGGGCTCCATACTCATCAAGAAGCACCTGAACGAGGTGGCGGAGACGGGAACCATTGATGAGAATGTCCTGACGCTGAGCCTCTCCGTCGCCGAGCTCCCCCAGTTCCACTTGCGATTCGAAAACCGCAACCAGCTCAAGCTCTGGAACCAAGCCCTCCTCGACCTCAATGCCATCGAGGACTCCCCCATTCGCAGCCCGGACTTTGACCGCGGCGACATGTCCGAGACAGACGAGGAGGCTGAATGGCAACGATCGCGTCCGAAGAGAGTCTCGTCAACGGCGTCCTCTTGGGGCCCCAAGTCCGTGACGACGGCCCCGACCGAGTATACCAACTTTGCGGCCAGGAGCCCTCACCTGTCCAACGCAATCCACGTCCCCATCGATGTCGTCGTCGTTGTCCCCATATCTTCTTCGATGCAGGGCGTCAAGATCAACCTGGTGCGCGATGCGCTCAAGTTCATGGTCAACAATCTCGGCGAGAGGGACCGCATGGGCCTCGTCACTTTTGGATCAGGAGGGGGCGGCGTGCCCATTGTCGGCATGACAACCAAAGCGTGGCCCGGGTGGTCCAATATCCTGACCTCCATCAAGCCCGTCGGCCAGAAGAGCCATCGCGCCGACGTGGTGGAGGGAGCCAACGTGGCCATGGACCTGCTCATGCAGCGCAAGCACAACAACCCCATCGCCACTATCATGCTGATCAGCGACGCGTCCACCGCCGACGCCGACTCGGTGGATTTCGTCGTCTCTAGGGCAGAGGCGGCCAAGATCACCATCCACTCCTTCGGGCTCGGCATGACCCACAAGCCGGACACGATGATTGAGTTGTCGACGAGGACCAAGGCATCATACACCTATGTCAAGGATTGGATGATGCTCCGCGAATGCTTGGCTGGCTGCCTGGGAGGCATGCAGACCCTCTCGCACCAAAACGTCAAGCTCAAGCTCAAGCTCCCCGAGGGCTCGCCGGCCAAGTTCCACAAGATCAGCGGAGCGTTGCAGATCACCAAGCGTGCCACTGGCCGGGACGCCGAGGCCAGTCTGGGTGACCTGCGCTTCGGCGATAAACGAGATATCTTGGTCCAACTGGTCATTGTGCCCGACAGCTCGTCTCAGGAGCAGCTGCCTCAGGATCCTTGGGACAACATTGTGTCCGGCCTGGAAGCACTCGGCGGCTCCATGGACAATGACGCAGAAAGAGCCATTTCCGTTGAAGAGGTTCCTCTGATTCAGGCTGACCTCAGCTGGGGCGACATTCTGCGAGACAGCACGCTCACGCACATGCCGCGCCCATCTCTTCTAGCCATCACAATGCTGCCAGCCAGCATCGGGCAGAAGAAGGCCTGGCAGAACACACCGCCGATCCCCCCTCACCCTAGCATCGTCCAACGGCGCATGGAGCTGCTTACCTCGGACATGCTTACCCGAGCCCTGACGCTGGTCAGCCGCGGTCAGCACGATCGAGCGCATACGCTGTTGAACGAGACGAGGTCTATTCTCAAGGGCCTCGGCAAGGGTGGCCTGCCCCCCGTCCCTCACTCGGCCAACAAATCGACCCCTTCGACGCCTCACCCTGCCAGCGAGACGTCGCTCAACACCGCCGGGACGCCCGACCGGAAACGAAGCCCGTCCCCGCCTACTTCTGCCAACTCATCTGGCGGCAACGGATTTGCTTCGGCCCAGCTCGGCCGAAGCCGGTCCAACGAAGGCTTCGCCCTCGGCACGGGTATTGACCCCTGCACCGTGGCCGCCCTGGACAACGAGCTGGAGAGCAGCCTCGAGTGGATCAACCACCCGGCAGTCTTTGGCCGCGACAGCCGCAAGGCCGTACTGCAGGCCATTGGCGTCATCAGCTCGCAGCGTGCGTTTACGTTTCGTACGCCGATCGAGAGTCTCTGGTCCGGTCGCGTCAACGGCATCAAGCTCCTGGCAGACAGGAGCCGCGAGTGGCGCGAGGAAGGTGGCGGCGAGGGTGGCATCATGGAGGAGGCATAAAAGACAGCAAGGGTGCCGCCGCCCCCGCCGCCCCTGCACATGATTATGTCGGCGTCTGGCTTCGGCTTTCTTAATGATACCATTGGCTTGGGTCGTTCATTTACTGGACACGCCTCGATGCATTCACGACACACGGCAGCCCATCTTATCTTCTCACCTTCACTCTTCCCGGCCGCGAGCTTCAGCCATTTTTGGACCTGGATCATCGCACCCGGGCTGTTCTCCTTCTTTCTCTGTTTCTTTTTATCCAACTTATATACCCGCCACGCTGTCTACCGACGATGGCTGCGCTGTTGCCGGTTGTGGACTTTTGCTTGTCATGTGAATATTCTTTTCATTTGTTTTCATCTGCCTAGACACGATTGTCACGAACATTGGACAGGCCGAGTCTGCTCCCTCCTTTGGAAGCGATTCCTTTGTCTTTGTCATCCGTCTCTGGCGCCTCGAGTTGTGCTTGCTGCGCCTCAGTGGTTGGATATGCTGAGATTTCTTTGATTTTTCTATCCGATCAAGAAAAGTTGACTGGCAGCCTGCCAGTTTTGGGGTTTTCCCCTTTAACTTTAACACTGCTTAGCGCGGACGATGGAGATGCCAAGAACCCTCATGGACGTCTGGCATATGCCATCACTTGCTTTCCCTTGATTCTGAATAGCCTTGACGAGTAAAGTGAAGAGGAGGCGGTGGCGGGGATATGCTCATCTGGATATGTACTAAGATAAGCCGTGATGGTCACATGGACATAATTGACGACTTTTGCTTTTAAAAGTTTACCTCCATCTCTATCCGGTGAGGGCCCCCTGAACAAAGTAATCGGGCGGTCCATGTACGCTCTGTGACGGAACAGCTCAAAAGCGGGACTCTGTCCTCGCATGCCTTGATATGGACCATATTGCTTTTGCGTGCGCACCCCCATTCTCCATCTCTGGGGCACTCCGCGGGACCAGTCCCCGGCGACGAAAGGGCATTCGGTCAGCCTGTGCTCCCGCCCGAGGGTGGACCATGGGTGTGAGGCTGTTCCGCGCCTCCCCCGCTTCCGCATCCTTGCACTGCTATCCTGTGCTCCTCTCCCGCACAGCTAGTCCTCATCCCAGTTCTGTTGGGGGCGGACACGTTAGCAACCGACCGCTGCGAGGAGTGGCCCAGCGGGGGAAAGAAGGGGTTTGGTTATCGGCTTACAGGATTCGGCCCTGGGGGCTTGGGACCGCCGGCCTGCCGCGCCACGATGATCTGGTCGACGGACAGGACCGTCCGGGCAGCCTCGGTGGCGAGCTTGATGGCCCAGTGCTTGGAGGCAAGGAGATCCAGGATGCCCTCCTCGGTGGCATTCAGCGTGCCGCTGTCGTCGTTGTTCTGGTCGGACGGGTTAGCAGCGGCGTCCTGTAACGTCAAACAAATGGTGCCCCAGGAGCTGCTCACCTCGACATCGACGCCCGTGTCGCCGTTTTCGCCCTTGTGGTGGGCGGCGTATAGCCTGCTGAGGACCTCGGTCGCATCCAGGCCGCAGCTCTCGGCCAGCGTCCGGGGAATCACCTCGAACGCCTCGCCGTATTTTTTTATGGCGTACTGGCTCAGGCCAGACGTCTTCTCGCCCTGGGCCTGTATCCGGGCACTCAGTTGGGTCTCCGTGGCCCCGGCGCCGGGGACGAGCCGGGGGTCTCTGGTGATGGCCTTGACAACGTTGACGCCGTCGTCGACGGCCCGTTCGATGTCGTCGAGGTGGTTCTGGGTGGCGCCGCGCAGCACGAGTGTGGCGGTCCTCGTCACCTCGTCCTCTTGTCGGAAGACGGTGACGCGGTCGCCGCCAATCTCGAGTGTCTCGACGACGTCGATGGTGCCCATCTCGTCGGGCATGGGGGCGCCGAGCCGGGCGAGGGGCGTGGCGCCGACGACGCGGCAGACCCTGCGCAGCTCAAACTTGCTGAGGATCCTGATGCACAGGATGCCGAAGCGGTTGAGGTAGTGCAAGGCCAGGTCGCCAATCTTGTCGCCGCATATGACGACGCGCAGGCCCGAGTCGTGGAGCTCCTTGATGGCCGTCTCGATCTGGGCCTCCTCGCCCTTTGTAAAGTCCATCATCTCCTTGGCGTTGTGGAGGAGGACGGTGCCCTTGGTCTCGGTCTGGCTGGTGTCGATGGGGCAGGTGAAGACGGCCACCTTTGCGCGGCGGGCCTTCTTGACGGAGCCATCGGGCTCCTTGGGGAAGACCATGCCCTTGACGACGCGGCTCTGCTCAAGGCTGCCGCCCATGATCTTGACGACGCGGATGTTGTCGACGTTGAAGTTTGCCGGGTTCTTGGGGAGGACGGCGAGGACGGCCTCTGCGACGAGCTGAGCGAGAAAGTCTTCGTTGCCGCTCTGCTTGCTGGCGACGACGGTGCGGATGGCCTTTGAGAGCTCGTCCTGGTCACGGATGTCGTCGACGGCGTCGACGGAGAGCTTCTCGAGGGCGTCGAGGGCCAACCTCTGGGCCTTTTCGTAGCCGATGACCACGTCGGACGTCTTGAGGCCCATGCGCAGCAGGTCTTCGGCCTTGCGGAGGAGCTCGCCGGCGAGGACGATGACGAGGTTAGTGGCGTCGCCCATCTCCGACTCCTGCTGCTGGCTGGCCATGACGAGGAGCTTGGCGGCGGGGTGGACGACGTCGAGCTCGCGCAGGATGGTGGCGGCGTCGGAGGTGAGGATCATCTTCTGCAGGTGGTTGATGACGATCTTGTTGCGACCATAGGGGCCCAAGGACGTCTGGACGGTCGAGGCGATGGCGCGGCAGGCGTCGATGTTGCGCAGGACGGCGCCATCCTCGGCGTCGTAGCTGGTCAGGGGTCAGCCGCGGCATGGAGCTTTGTTTTCAGACGGCCCGGCCAAGGCGAGGGAACTCACTTGTTATAGCCATTCTTGAAGAGGCCCGCGTTGGGCGCGCCGGGGATGTTGAGAGACATGGCGAGAGAGCCGTGTCGGAAGAGGATGCCCGGGCTGTTGTCTGGTGGTTTTGCGGGAGAGGCGAGAGAGAAAATTGGTGTCGTGTACCTGTACCTGTACCTGTACAGGTTGGGCTCTGTGGTGGGGGCCAATCAGCGACTTGCTGTACTTTGTACTCCGTACTTGCGTTGTCACTCAATGGCAGCACTGTAGAGCAGCAGAGCAGCAGAGCAGCAGATGCTTGCTTGCTGGACCTGATGATGGGAGCATCCGCAGCACACACATGTCGCCTTGAGGGAAAATACTTGACGCGGGCTTGTTCATCGTGGGCTGCGTCGGCGGCGCATTATCTAAACCTTACTTCCCCTCAACCATGGCACACAACTCATCTACATCTGGCCGCTCCTCTGGCACTGTGCGAGTGCAGGCCTCTACAACCGCGTCGAGAGGATGGGGATCGAAACTGCGACGGGGATCTAAAGCCGGCAAGTTTCGCTCCAGTTTGAGGATAGATGCTGAGAGCGTGTCGTGAATATCGGCAAGGCGTATGGCCTGATACTCGTCTTCGCCATCGCATTCGTACCAGTACGTGTGGTAGTCGATGTTATTGACACGGTCAATCCTCATTTCGAGGACACGGCGGCCGACGGGAGGGACAAGGTTGGTTGAATTGCGCCTCGACTGGTAGGTTTCCCGTAGGCGGCGCGCCTCCTGTAGGAAAGCATCTTGGTCGGCACGATGGCTCATAACGACGCAAGTCGAAAACGTTGGGAGGAATAGTTAGATAGGTGGATGATGTAAGTAGAACAGTAGCAACAGTAGCGCCCACTTACCTAGTGTAGTGGATGCTATTTCAGGAAAAAAATACAGGTATGTCAGGTTAATAGTAGAGTAGAACTATTTGTACAAGTACCTGCAGGCTCCAGCTGCAAAGGAACAACGAGGTAGGTAGTTAATTAAGTAATTACTTTGATTGGCGGCCTTGGACACGCCCAAGGACCAAAGCCCATGGATGCATCGCAGCCTCGCCCGCTACTTTTCCAATTGGCTTTTCATAATCCTGCTTCCGCACCCGTCTCTGTACTGAACGTCCTCTTACACTCACCCCCTTGCCCCCCTTCTACCCCGTCCTTGGCCATCCCTTGCATCGCGCCGTCTTCCACGCCGTCGACTCCGTCATCATCGTAGGCGGCAGTCTCACCCGGCGATTGTGGCCTTTGCAGCATCAATCGTCATCCGCAATTGCGCTCCAACAAGGTAGAGCCAGCAGCACCTTGGAGGCCCGACGGGTTTGTCGCCATGGCGCCCCAGTCTTGTGAGTCCGACCTCCCTTGCATACCTGATCCACTGCCCTGTCTTTGCATCCAGAAACTGTCCACCAGCATCTTTCTGCTCTTCCCATCGCGCCGCCCGCCATTCGCAGCCATGCCGGCCAAGAGAAAGCTCTCCGATGCTGACCCTCCACCAGCCGTCCCGCCCTCGCTGCCGCCCTCGGTCGAGGAGGCCTACCGCCGCAAATGCGTCCAGCTCAAGAACCGCACAAACGAGGTCGAGGACGCAAACGACGCCGCCCGCCTGCGCCTCGCCCGGATAAAACGCCAGGTCGAGAAGCTCAGGATAGAGAGGGCCTTTCTGCTCGAGCAGCTGGCCAAGCGCACCAGCGCAAACGTCGAGGACTCCGAGGGCAGCCCGAGCCCGCCTCCCACAGTAGGCGCCCACCCTCCCCCCCATCCCGAGATGCGCTGCGGCTGTCGTGCCAAATCCATCGTAACCAAACCTCCCCCGTGGCCCACTCCCTGCCAACTCATACGAGACTCAATCTGATGGACACAAGCCGGCCGACTTACGCAACGGACTCGATGCTAATCCCCGGAAGCCCAAGGATAAGCCTCTGCGCATCAAGAGGGGTCATCGCAAATCCGCCGCCAACGACCCCGACCCAAAGGCCGGCACCGCCAACTCGTCCAAAGACCCCGGCTCGCCCGCGTCCGAGTCCCAGTCCCAACGACCCGAGAGCCAGCCCAAGGCCGGCAAGGTGGCCTCGGCTAACGGCGTGTCCAAGTCGTCGGGCCCGGCGACCAGCGCCTTTGAGCTCTACTGCCGGGACGTGCGGCCAGTCCTTGAGGCGAAAAATGGGTCGGGAGACGTCAACGTCGACGAGGAGCTCGCACGCGGGTGGGAGGAGCTGCCAGAGGCCGACAAGGACGAATTACGGGCCAAGCTGGACGAGCAGGCCAAGGAGCACCGCGACAAGGGCAGCAAAGAACCCGAAGAGTCCAGCAAAAAGGAACGCAAGTCGTCGGGCGGCAGTGCCAAGCCCGAGCCGCAAGACGACGACGTCGAGATGATTCAGTACGACACCGAAGACCAAGAGACGCAGATGGACAAAGACGGCGAGGATTAGATATGGCGACGCACAGGATGTGGACAAACGGCGTGCTTCTCTTTGGGGCGTTTATTCGAGGCAGGGCCATTGGGGTACAAGAAACGGGATTCTATGTCTTTGGGCCAGTTCACGTACAAGAAGCAAGTCATGTTTACTTGGACGCGGTGCGATTGAGGCTGATGGCCTGACGAACGTGATGTACTTGAATCGTCTGTCTCTCGCTCCGCCCCACGGCCCGAAGCACTCACCCCGCACCGACTGGTGAACGCCGACTTGATTCTGCGGAAGCCCTCGGAAGCCCTCGCCAGTCCAAGCTGAAAGCATATGCACGAGCCCAGGGCACCAAACTGACTCAGATTCTCTCGTCGTCGACCGAAGCACCTGCGAGCAAGCCTGTCTACTTCCCAAGGTCACCCAAGACGATGAATATCGAGTTCCATTCTGTCATCCCCATCCTCCGCATCTTCGACATCGCCAAGGCCGACGAGTTCTACCTCGACTACCTCGGCTTCCGCGTCGACTGGGACCACCGCTTCGACGAAAAGGCCCCGCTGTACCGGCAGATCTCCAGGGGCGGGCTGCGGCTGCACCTGAGCGAGCACCACGGCGACGGCAGCCCCGGGGTGCAGGTCCGGGTCATGATGGGCGGCCTCACCGAGTACCACGCCGAGCTGGCCGCCACGGAGTACCGCTACATGAGGCCCGGCATCGAGGAGGGGCCGGCGCCGGGGAGTCGGGAGATGGGCGTCATCGATCCGTTTGGGAACCAAATCAAGTTTTGCCAGGATGACGGAGACGAGAGCTAGGGTGAGGGAAGTAGATGCGGCGAGGGAAGAGGCAGCAAGTATTCGATAGGGCTGCTGGCCGTTGGTGGTTGCACAGCTCTTGATGGTTCCTCTATATGCAAGCCGTTGTCGAACCATATGATTACCCAACGCCCAGGCCGGGTGACTGGTTTGCTCTACGTGACACTGCTCTGGTCTACACGATGACGACTTCTGCGCACGGTGCGTCGTTACGGCGCCCGTCCACGAGTAGAAGCCTCCCGAGCCCCCGTGCAAGGCGCAAAGACACAGAATCGCCGGCTCTATAGCTACGATCTGGCGGCGTCCTTGAGGTCGCCATGCTCCCGGACAAGACGGGCCATGTCTCTACCGAGATCCGAGTTGAGGTTCTCGAACCCTTGGACAACGCCCTTGCGGTCCCCGCCGCGCTTCTCCTGGCTCATCTTGAACTTGCCCTCGAGCCGGTGAATGGCAATCTCGATGCCAATGATGTTCTTGGTCATAAGCTCAACGTAGCGCTCCGGCGCGTCGGACACCTCCCACGGGCCCGGCCGGTCGCCCTGCCCCGTGTACTCCATGATGGACATCTCCGTGTGCCGCGACAGGTCACGGAGCTGGCGGTCGAGGAAGCGCGCCGTCTGGTCGGACCGCGGGTCGAAGTAGACGGTGGCGGTGCCGTAGGCCTGGACGGCGGCGTAGTTCCAGGTGGGGACGACCTTTGCCGTTGTCGGCTTCGTCTCGACGTAGAACTTGGGCGTGACGTAGTGGTGAGGCGCGGCGGTGAAGAGGACGAGGACCTCTTGCTCGAGGGTGTTGGCATTGGCGCTGGTGGCAGCAGCCATCATGGCTTGGCTCTGGGGGTTCTGGCGAGCCATGTGGCCCCGGAGCCGGCCGAGGTCCGTCTCGCTCGACTCATCCGCGACGTCGAGGACCCAGGGTATGTGGCTGGACAGGATGAGCGGGTGCGCGGCCGAGGGGACGGCGGTGGTGAGGACGCCGAGGGGGTGGTCGCGGATGAGGCGGCGAAGAACGGGGACGCTCTTTTCGACGTGCTCGGCCGGGAGGAACATGGCTTGGGCGATTGGTTGCGCTGCGTATCAGTGGCTCAGGACATGGAGCTCTCCATTGATGTGCGCAGACGCGGATACACCAAACACAGCAGAGACGTAAGTCATGCTCTCCAGTATGAGTCTTAGTTAATTAGTGGTCATCCTGGCAATAAGCTCCAGGCAATTCTGCTGACCAGCCCCACTTCCCCCCGTTGCACCACTCGCTACCCCACAGGAAATTCGCGGTGGGCGGGAGAGGGCGCATGGGGAATCACCCTGAACCCAAACTCTGCTCATGGTGATTGGCCATCTCTTCTGGTTTCTGGCCCTTGCAGCTCATGCCATCCGAGTCGCGTCCGTTGCCGGCGGAGATGGACGTGGGGACGGACCCTTTGGAGGATCGGCGGCGTGCCTCCTCGGTCCGTACGGCGGTCGCTTCTCTAGGTAGACGGGATAGCTGGCCGGGTGCGGACAAGACGTGGACGCATCCAAGGACGACGGCGTTGTTTGATACTTCAGTACATACAAGAAGGCCAGAGAGGCTGAAGAGAGGCAGAAGAGCAAGATGATGATTATGGGCCCAAGCTGTGGGCGCGGGCACGAGCCTTAGGGGCTTTTGCCGCTCAGACTGACTAAGCCATAGCTGACCCAATCGGGGACTAGGCTCAACACCGCGGCTGAGCGAAAGCCCTCTCAACGAAGGCATCACAAGCAGTCAATTACACACAGAGAGCCCGAATTTTTGGTGTTTTCCGTCGCCGCACATCACATCACGTGCCCCTTCCAACGTCATCTCTCTCAACCAGAGGTTGATTTTGGGGGATTTCGTCGGACAATGCCGTAGGAGGCTTCCTATGTGGGTTCTTCTCCATGAAACCCTGTTTGTGAAGGAATTGCGAGGTCTCTTCCTTGGAGGGATGCGTGCCACGCTCGGCATCGAGCTCCCAGGCGTTGTACCACTCTGGGCGTGCCTCCTTGAGACCCTCGACTGCAGCAATGACGAGGAGCTTTTCGTCAAGCGTTGGAAATATAGTCGTAACGTTATTCCAGCACCAATGGAGTCTGTTGTTATACTCCTCGATGCGACGACTGGTGTGATTCCTAAGGGATAAACCTATCGAAGGGTTTATGTTGGCAGATATAACAGGGCGTAGTCTAAGCAATGAGGTGCTACGTTAATTAGACTATAAGAGTATGTAGACAAGCTAACCAAACCCCCCCCCTGGTAACCCGACCGACGGCCCACTTTTCGTAGCAGTCAAGCCGACCATAAATTGGACCACATACTCAGGATACGTACCTCTCGATGCATGCTGCATTACTTATCGCCTAGGGCATCCATCCAACATTGTCTTGGCTGTGTGTCTGTCGGACGTCACTCTCTCGCCCTCTTCTTCCATCTCCAACCCAACCCGTCGGCCCTCGCCGCCTGTCGCCGCACCATGGAGACGCCGCCGCCTCCAGAGCTACCAGACTCCCAAAGCACCGAAGACGTCGACAACCTCTCGCTTTACCAGCGAGCCCGCCGCTACCCTCGATCTCGCATCATCGTCGAGCCGCTGCTCTGGACCAAGCTGCAACTCGACCTGCTCCAATGCACCTTTACCGGCCCTTGTCCTGCGCCGCCCGTCGTCATAGAGCTTGATAATCCTTACAACGAGAGGATGTATAAAGCCTTTGCCGCGGCCTTCAGGGATCGCCGGCTTCGAGATCGGCCGGATGCTGTGCGCTATCTACTCGGCGCATATAATAGCCCGTTAATGTCCATGTAAGCAGCCTTCACCACAAGCTCATTGCCTCCCTGCCTAAAGCTGCGCCAATAGAAACGACATATACTTCGCCTTTGGATCCCGCTACCTTTGGCTTCCCTGTCTAGCCTTTGTCGTGCAAAGCGATAGCGACTCCGGCCCTATTCCTATCGTCGCTGCGCACATCGACCGTAGGCAACTGGTTCACTTACGGGAGAGGAAGATCTTTAAGCAATATACTGGTCGCCGACGCTACACACCAGGCCTTACCCTAGCAAGACTAAGATGCAAATAGTTCATGATTGATGAACTATTGCATGAGCCCTACATAGTAGCGCTCTTAATCGCCGTTGCCTAATCACAATGGTGGTTCGTCGGCCGTACGGGAATCGAGAGCCAAGCATCTGGTGTCAAGGTTCGTTGCCCCCTTTCTTACTTAGTGCTTGATTCGTGGCTTATAACGTTATGCAGCCTAGGGTGTTCTTTGCGACCGAGAACCAGGAATTTATATACCTCTATTTAGCTAACGTATCGTCTGCCTTTCTTTCTATGTTACACGACCCGCGAGTGCCCCTAACCACGCCTCAACCTCTGCGCATTCAAATCACCAAAATACCATGCAAACCACTCGACACGCTCCGCAATCGCCTCTTCGCCCTTTTCCTTTCGGCCACGATGCCCAACGGTGGAGACGTATCGGCGGACGTGTCGGCGGATGTGGTGCTATATAAATGACTTGATAGACGATGCTTCGAGTCGAGCAATGCATTTCTCTATAAACCTCATCCCTCGGAAATCCGTCTAAGGTCTTGGTAGCCTGGTATGCCTCGCCAGAAACAGTGGTCAAGTAGGTACTTTATGCATGAGCTTGCCATGCCGCAACCCCGGTCTGGTCACGACATGTGCTGTCATGGACCGTCTTCTACGTCCAGTGCTTGCCGCCGCCTTAACCGAACTAGCGGACGGAAATCACATATCCCTCAATCTTTAGACGATGAAACGGTCTGTCAGTCAGCCAGTTAGGCCTCGCGGCCTCTCCAAGCCGCACGTACCCAGGCTATAGAAGCTTTAGTTAGCTCTCGAGATACTGCTTTAGCAGTGGCATCCCGATCAAGTGACGAGGCAAGCTCTCAGCCGCGCGCCAAAGCGTGTATATGCAGGACGCGGTGAAAGTGCCTGCGGAGTGGTAGAGGGCCTGCAGCCTAGACACAACATTGACGCGTCAATATTGGCCAGTCAGTCCGCTTTGCATTCTATAGGGAGTGGAGGCGGAAGGGTTTAGCTCACCTCTTACTTCGCGCCCGTTTGCTGCTGCGGGCTGCTGCCTGCAGCCTATCTTCGGTTTGCCTATAGTGCTACGGGTGGCCGGCCTACCTTCCTCAACGAGTCAACACTATAGAATCTGCCCACATTGAACGACTAAGTCGATCTAACTGTCGCACGGGATTTTAGCAGCTTATAGCTTTGCTTAAGAGCTTAGCGAGCCGCTCCCTAGCTGCCTCTAGTCTATAAACCGACTTACATCTTCTTTCACTCTAGAGTCAGCTCCCAAGCTTATTCCCCGCCTGAAGCCATGTCGGAGAATAAGCCCTACTTTAATACCGTCACGGACAAGTCGACACTCGCCAAGGCATCGCAGGGCCAGCAAACCCTTGCAAGCCTCCTCAAGTCAAAAGGCTGGAAAAGCGGCGTCAGCAAATAGGGACAACAAGAGTTGATTGCGCACCGCGTCGTTTGCACTCCTTCCGTACCCTACCTGCCCTTTTTAAAGAGATTTAAAATTGCCGGCGATGCCGCTCCTAACGAATGTATCGTCGCGCTCGTCGATGGTCCGGGTCCCCTCGACCGACTAGTGCGCAACGCAGAGGCTCAGCTTGTACAGCGCTTTCAGCCGGAAAGCCTAGGCTACGTCTAGGCAGCCATGCGACCGTTCCTGCGACGCGGTGCAGGTCCCCCTGCCCCATCACCTAGCCACCCGTCTCGGGAGCGCAAAGCACCAGAACGCCTTGGAGGCGGCGTGCCGTCCGACCGGGCCGACTTTAGCAGCTCGCCTGGGTCTGAGCATAGGTCTAAGACTCCGACCTCTATCTCAAACTTCTCTAGCGCGGGTTACATAGAGAAAGCCGAACGACTACTTATTAAAGAGGACACTATCCAGCTAGCGAGCTTCTTTATTCGCTGTGTTCTTAACCATGCTTAGGCTATAGAGAAGACGGACCCTTTTCTCGAGTTTCGGAGTAAGCGTCTTACATACTCCTACTGGCTAGGTGGCCCGCAGGATGCAGTCATCAACACCGTCGATGATGGCCGGATAGAGATACACAATGCTGTGGGGGATGTAGTCTACTAAGTTGCGCTGCTCGAAGGCAAGAGAGCCCTTTAAACATTCACCGGCGGAAAGGCGGACATTACCGACGAGGTCCTCGGACAGATGATAGGGGAAGCTCTAGTTCTCTAGGAGAATGCCGAAGATACTAAGAATGGGATCCCTCGCACCGACTATGGCCGTGTATAAAAGAGCGATAGGCAAGTTTAAATTAAATTTCTAGCTAAGATCGGACAGAAATTTTTTATAACATTTTTAATAGTAAAATGTTTGCTTAATAGAAGAAGTGTTTGCTTGTTAACAGAGCCGCAAACTTTGCAAGTAGGAAACGAAACTTACAACCTGGCGTAACTATAAAGCCAGGTTCTCCAAGGGGCTAACTTTTCTCCCCGCGTTACCTCTAACGCCCGTTGAGCCACGAGCATGGCGGCAGCCGCAGACATTCAAACGCTCTGAGTCTGCCGCAAGCAGCATGAGGGGCCTGCCCTCCGCCTTTGAGGAGTTCGAGCCGCGGCCCGCGCCTGTAGGCGGGGCGAAACGAGGGCATCGCGAGCGCCCACGAGCCTTTATATTGAGGGCCTCAGCAGACCCAATTTCTGCGGCGCTGCCGTCAGTGCTAGCTGTGAATCAGCGAGTCAATAAGTGAGTGAACCGGCCAGTGTATTAGCCAGTAGATCGGCCAGCGAATCAGCGACGACTCCTTGATGTCGGGGGCTTGCATGCGCTCCGTTGCTTTCGTCGTCATGTGACGCATGGAAACGCCCGTTGTGAGGTTAGTTGTTGGCGGTGTGTGCCTCCGATATATAACTTTACGCCTCTGTTAGCAAGCAAACTCTCTCTCTCTTCTCCCTCCATCTCCTTCCTCCCCATCTTTTCGGCACCATCCTTCTTCTCCCTCCATCTCCATCCTTGCCATCTTTCGGCACCATCAATTCCAGAGCTTGCGGACCTCTAGTCTGCACAGTCACCCCTGAATTCCAACCGACAGCTCTCTTCTCGCGAAACAATGAAGAGATCCGTCTCCGGGGGTTCTTCCCATCCTCGTCGCTCCAAGAGGGTCGCAGGGCGCCTCGACGACCTCGGACAATTCGCCACAGACGTTCAAGCCTCAGTAAACAATATGGTGCCCACTGGCGGACGGCGATTCACTCACGCCGCAATTCTCGCAATTGAATTTGCCGTCACAGACATTCCAAGCGTTAGGCCGCTCCGCGCTGCGCTTCTGAATCTGCTCAGGGACGACTACAGGTGGACTGTGAACTCATTCACGATTCCATGCAACTGTCCTTGGAAACTTGCTCAACGTCAGACGCGCACTGCCATTCAGAGTTTCATCGATACGCAGTTGAACCGTCCTGCCAGCGAGCCTGCACTCCTTTGCCTTTATTTCTCTGGTCATGGGTTCCAAGGCTCAAACCAGGAGCTACACATCTGCGGCTCTATGTCGGGGCCAGTGCCTAACAAACCGTATTTCTCTTGGGAGCATATCACGGAGCCTTTCAATAAGGAAATACCAAATTCGCCCAAGGACCAAAAGCTGGTCCTCATGGATTGCTGTGCGGCGGGTTTAGCCAATCTGGCCATGTCAGACGTCGAGGTCATTGGCGCCTCCAGCTGGGAGTCGACTACGCCTCAGTCGCCCCAAGCGAGCTTCACCCAAGCTATCATCGACGAGCTCAGGAAAGTATCGCCCGCGCCAATCTCAGCGACGCAGCTGGTCTCGCAACTGCACTCGACGCAGTCAGTCGTCAGGAACAGGTCAATGCCTGTGCACAAGCTTCCCCTCGATCTGGATCAACCTCCTGCTCTCATTCACCGCATTGAGAAGACACCAACGCCGCCGCCGACCCAGAGCACTGCCGTACCGAGATTCTCACATGTTCTCATTGGAGTCACGGTAAGTCGCCCCGCTGATATGCCGGGGAGTCTACATGTAGACTGACAGCCGCAGGTGGAAAAGGAGGACACAGTTCCCGACAAAGCCGCGTGGGCCACCTGGCTCACAACTAATCTGCCACCATACGTCGGGCAAATAGACATCCAGGCTTCGTGGAAGACAGGGTCGGCTTTCGTCATTTTTGTCATGCCCATCGAAATCTGGCTTGGTCTCCCGGAGCGGGAGGCCTATGTCTTTCTGGAATACCATCGAGGATGGGACGCTGCAGCGGCAGCACGAGCACAACGAGCACTTTGCCAACCACCACCACCGCCCACGCGAGGCACCGACCGCGGTGTCGGTCGCGGAATAGCTGGGCAGTCAAGCTCGCAGCTGCAGAGCGATGAAAACGTGAGGCCAGGCACAGGCACGGGCAGCGGCGCTCGTATTCCCCAGCGCATGCCCCAGCCGGGACACGAGACACCGCTTGTGCTGCCCAACCCCAACGTCCCAAGGCCCGACGAGCAAAAAGACTCACGATAGGCAAGTTGGCAGAGGAGAGAGAGAGAGAGAGAGAAGAGAGCGGAGGGAGAGGGAGAGAGAGAGAGGCGAGAGAGGGACGTGGTCGCCTGCGTGCAGTACGAAATGGCTTGCTTGAGGGTAGTATTCTAATAGACATTCCGCGTGGCGGATAAATAAAATACCGAACCCGCCGCAACCCAATGCCCGCACGTCTCTATACGCCTCGCCCAGGGCCGCTATTGCATACGGCGACGGAAGGGCTAAGGAGGAGGACTGCATGTGTCAGCGTGACTTGAGTCTACGCCCCCACCATAGTGGCGTCGCCAAGTAGTCATAAGGTGCACCGGCGAGGCGTAGGGGCGTGACCCGTACCGCACAGGTAGCTTTTCCCGCCGCTTGCCAGTGACTCATCAGACAGACTCTTGAAATGGGCCTGGCTAAATACATAGCGCCGTGGTGTGTTCGTAAATGCGCCAAAGTCTGGTAGCTGCACTGCGTACAGTACAGTACAAGGGCTGCTGGCTATATGCTCTCGATTAACTACATTCGGGTAATGCTCCGACGGGACCTTGGTCGCCTGTCTGTTGACCATGCTTCGTCAACGAATCCGATGTGCTGATCTCCAATTGCACCCCACTGTACTTTCAGGCCACCCCACGTGACGGACAGGGAAGCTCCAGCGCCCACTACAGTGGCTGGTGGGCGCCCGCCTTGGCTCCATTGGCAGCCTCTTGCACGTCTTCCGTCATCAGTCCATCCAAGCTTGATTCACGTCAACACGCCTCAATCCGCCCGCTTCCTCCAAACAGCGCGAAAAGGCGCAGAGGAGAAAAAAACCTTGATCCAACAGAGATTGGGTTTCAAGGCCAATCGCAGGAGGGTGCTGCTGCCTCAATTCCTCTGCTGCTCCCCAAGCCAGCCCACCTCAGCATACTGCAGAGCAAAGCAAAGCAAGGCAAAGCAAAGCAGACTTTCCTCTTTGCTCAACAGCCCGCCGACTTCTCCCTCCCGCAACACCAGCCCTTCTCGATTTCGGATGGCACGCATACCCGAGCCTCACCGATAAACAGTGGCGACGCAGCCGACTCGTGGGAACCTCGCTCCGTCAACCCCTCCCCAGCAACGCCCACCATGGAGCCCGGAAACAACGACGAGAACACGCCGCTGCTGCTGGCCACGCCCGCCCCGTCGGCAGGCAACCGGCCAAGGAACCCGCGCACCGTCACCTTCAGCCCCGATCCCGTCACCCGCACCATCGAGCCCGAGCCGCACCTTGTCCGATCCACCGCCGCCCATCACCATGGCCTCACCCCGGGTTCCGGCACCGCCCTCGCGCCCCCCGTCCTCGCCGCCCTCAACAATAAGCTCCGGAGGCGCTACAGTCACGGCGCTTCCCCCGTCGCCCTGCCCCCCCCCGTCGGCTCCAAGATCGGGCCCCAGAGGAGCACTAAGAAGACGGAGAAGCTCAAGCTGCTGCCCAACCCGGACCTCGACGACGGCGAGGACGAGGAGAGCGGCCGCGATGTCTACTCGCAGTACACCCGCATCAAGGACCCGACTGCGAGAAGAGACGCCGCGCGCCTCGGCAAAAGCGACCGCAGCCGTCTCCCCCGCGTCACCGCCTACTGCACTGCCAACCGATACGACATGGACGGCCTCATGCGCTTCCTCAAGGGCCGTGGCAAGGCCCGCGGCGCCAACCCCAAGCGCATCGACGAGTGCATATACACCCCGTACGCCTACACCAAACCCGCCCAAGTCGCACACCCGCCATCCTTGAGGACGCAACCGCGGAGACACTCCACCGGCGGCGGCTCCTTTGACGACGATGCCCACTTACAGGCAGCCCGTGCCGACCTGCGTGACTCGTCCGCGCACGACTCGGGATATGGAGACGTCTTCGTCGGGGACGGCGCTCACCACGACGCACACGCCGACAGGTCTGACGAGGGACTGCTCTTGTCCAGCGTCGCCGAGGAGGTGCCAGTGCACGCGCCTGACGACCTCCCCGACTTTGACGTCCAGGTGCACACGCCAGAGGTCTTTCTCTTCGACTACGGCGTCATCGTCGTCTGGGGCATGCTCGAGTCTCAAGAGGCCAGGTTCCTGAGGGACATTGCCAAGTTTGAGGTGGAGAAGCTCGCGCCCGACGACGTCGAGACGGAGCACTTTAACTTTTACTATACCCGCGAATACCAGGCGCGCATCTACAACGACTTTATCACCCTGAGAGACAAGCACAACTACATGACCAAGCTGGCAATATCCCACGCTCTCGCGCAAAGCGTCAAGGTGCGTGCCCTTTCTTTCTCTTTACCGGGACGCCCCGTTCTCTCTCTCTCTCCGCGTACTTGATCACAGGCAGTGCTGACCAGATGGTGGGCGGTAGACATCCCTATTCGAAGAGTTGATTGCTTCCACGGTGGACACGTGCAAGGACATCCCCACGCAGATTGCGCTGACAGGCAAGATCGATCTGAGCCGGTCGCAGATCAACATGCAGATCGGCGAGCTCTTCATCCTCCGCATCAACATCCACCTCAACGGATCCGTCCTCGACACCCCCGAGCTCTTCTGGGTCGAGCCCCAGCTGGAGCCCGTGTACCAGGCCGTGAGGAGCTACCTGGAGATGGACCAGCGCGTCGCTCTCTTGACGGAGCGCCTCGATGTCATTGCCGACCTGCTTGCCGTCCTCAAGGACCAGCTGAGTCATGGCCATGACGAGAAGCTTGAGTGGATTGGTGAGTCCCTTGTCATGATGCAGAATACGCTTCCCCCTTGGCAACCCGCTCGACTCTTGCTAACCACATCCCCCTACAGTGATTGTACTGATAGCCATGGAGATCGTGGTTGCCGCCATCAACATCGTCGTGGACCTGTATGCGGGCGAAGTATAATGATCTTCTGGCCCTGTCCATTGCCGGCCGGTAGGCTGTTGCGACCTCACCTCCGCCCCGGAAAGGGGTTATGTGCCGACCTCCGCCGGAAATATTTCTCTTTGGGTTGGAAACTTTTTTGACTTTCTGCAACGGCGCGCACGGCAAGGTCTGATGGTATTGACTCGTCCATAGCATAGTGTTGGCGGATCGGAAAGATGGCGAGGAGACTGGGGATGAAGCATTTTCACATCCTGCCATGTCTCCATTCACTTTCCCCTATTATTATTCATCGTGCGCATGACTAGAGAGACATGCGAGGCTATTTATCCTTAGAGGCATTCATGGGCTGCGAGGTACATAATGTTCCTGGCGAATCTGGGCATAATACACTGCGGCGGTTGAAGACACGTCATGAACCATCATCAACACGAAGAGCGAGTTGAGCGTGATCATATTGAACCGTCCCTGTCGAAAACATGACGCCATCTTCTCTTCAATTCTCCATCCCATGACGCGTTTCTCTCCCTGGTCGTTGCCCAGCCATCGTGCACAAGCAGCACAGATGAGCATCCAGGGACACGGCTGCCATTGTGACATGGAATTCGAGCCCCGGGATGATGTGCGACATGAGCGTGAAGCGGTGCCGACCCTGAAAACCCCACGCCGAGTGCCTTGCCTCTCCGTGATCTCAAAATCCAACACCTGTGCGTGACATTCATCCTAGTTCTGCAGGAGCTTGACGTCAATCTTGAACCCGGCGTCATTGACGCGGTCGAGGTAGCCTTGGCCGAGACAGGCCGGTGTGTACACTCCTCCCTGCAGTCCGACATCGTCTTCCAAAATGGTCAGGGCCGCCTGTGCCAGATGAAGGGCCGTCACTTTTGGGTGGGTGTTAGCCGCAGGCATTCCTCGGTCATGCAGCGACGGGGACGACTTACGCTGGTACAAGCTTCCGTGGAATTGTGCGCGGCAAAAGGCCTGCTTGCCTGGGGACGAAGGCGCGTCTGGGGTAGCCGTGCCGCGGAACTCGACCTCTTCCTTGGCCATTTCCTCCTTGCTGATGCCCTGTCCCGGCTCATAGACAAACCTCTTGACAATTGCGCGCACAGGCGGGATAAGACTAATAACCATGAGGCTCGTAAGCAGCGCCCAGTGAATGACGATGCCGTGAAACCAGTTCCTGGGCTTGAGGTACTCGGCAAAATTGAACCTGGGCCCGTAGAACTCGTCCTTGCGGGCTGGGATCTGGGATAGGAGACCCCAGGAGCGCTCCACGATGGGGACGTCGGCCGCCCCAAGCACTGACGTGGTCTGTACACCGAGGTCGGGGATGTCGCGGATGCCAAAAAGCGTTTGCAGAAAAGACGAATCAGGGCGGGCTTTTTCGGGGTGAGGAATAGGCGACAGGCAGTAGGGTTCGCGGATCGCGCTGACTTCGCTCAAGGAGAAGTGTTCAAAGATGGTTAGGGCCGTGGCGAGAGTGCCGCCGGACGGCGTGAGGCTGCCGAGCTCGTCTGTCAGCCTTTCAAGCCCGCAGTGGCGCGGAAAGGGGCTGCTCACCTGGCCTTGTGCACCGAGAAGACGACGTCCTTGGTGTAGGCGTCGAGCTTGGAGCGCAGGAGACGGACCATGGCCCAGGTGCAGAGATCGGCAGCGGCAGACTCGACGCCGTTCTGGGGGATCATGATGGCGCCGCTGCCCTGGGCCACGTCTTGGTACTTTTTGATCATGCGAGCCACCCAGGGGACCTCGCCCGTGCAGTCGAGGTAGTGGGTGCCCAACTGGGCGCAGGCGTTGAAGACGCTCTCGCCGTACTTGCAGAAGGGGCCGACGGTGGTGATGACGAGGGCCGTCTTGCCGACGAGGGAGGACACTTGGCTATCGTCGCCGACGTTGAAAATCTCGAGTTCTGGCAGGTTTCAAGCGGCAAGATTAGCCCTGGGCACCGTGGCGGCTGGAGGAGAACAGAGCATGCAATGTCTTGCTCGCTAAGCATCCTTTTCCTGAACCAAACTTACCCGGTCTTGACATGTCGGGGTTCGACTTGGCGCACTCGTCGGCCAGAGCTTGCAGCTTGGATTCGGAGCGGCCGGCGATGGCCCATTTGAGACTGGGAGGGAGACGGGCGGCGACGTGCTCGACAGTCAAGCGACCGGTGTAGCCTGCAAGGTGAGCATGGAGCTGATGTAAAGCGGCGCGTGTGTAGATGGGCGGAGTTTCAATTACCGGTTGCGCCTAGAATGACGAGGTCATATTGCCGATGATGCTGCTTGAGCCCCATGGCAATGGATGGGATTATAACAGGCGCGAGGGATAGATGGGAAGGAGAAGGAGGAGAAGGGGGGAGGAAGGGGTTGATGGAATCAGGAGCTTGACGATGTGGTTGCTGGGAAGGAGCCAAGGTTCGCAGCAAAGTATATATCATGCGCTTGCTCGGGGTCGGAAGCGTGCAGTCCTAATGAGGCAACACAAGCGTGTTTATATACCTACCACATCAGGTATCGAGTATAGACGGACCAAGATTCGCGCTGACGGGCAGCATCGTCATGATGGGCTCAAGCTCCATGTCAGTTGGGGTCGGACAAAATGATCCTTGACGGGCAGACATGGCTTGCATAATGTCGATACCTCTACTCTAGTCCGCACTGGAAAAAGTACAGCTACTGGCGGCCGGGAGCTGCATCTGGTGCGCCCAAGGTACCGAGTACGTCTGGCAGCGACGGGCGGAGTTTTGCATCCACAAGAGGCGAACGTCGTCATTGATGAAGCCCGAATCTTCAAGGTGCGCCTAGAGTGCCCGGCGTCCTTTTCCAGAAACGGCGCAATGGCCGCCCGAGCCCAGTGCCCGGAAGCTTGACGATGCTCCGTCTTTTTGCCCGTTGCCTGCATCTGCAAACTAACGCAATGCACAGTGTAGACAGGCCATTGCGCGAGTGCCAGAGGTACAGTAGAGAGTTGCCAACTGGCTGATGGGTTGATGGACGCGCACGTCATGGACAGGTCACGTGCCGTTTGCCAAATCACATGACTGACTCTCTGCCGGAAGACGTCCTTTCTCAAAAGTGGGTCCGCGGCCCACACTTCGCTTGCCCATCCCGGCGCTCACGTGCTTGCCCTAAGGAAATCACAACTCACACACACCTTTTGCACTTTTTCCGAGTGGGTTCAGCCGCTACCGCAACAGTCGAGCATTCTCGCACGCCTTCCGTCGTCTTCCTCCCCCAACGACAACCTCCCTCACAAACTCGTCAAAATGAGCAAGCGCACCAAGAAGGTCGGCGTGACGTACGTACTCCCTCCGTTGCATCTGGAAAAGACTGTTGCATCGTTTGCTAACATTAACGACAGCGGCAAGTACGGTACTCGGTAAGTCGTCGAATCCACCGTCACTTTTGTCCCAGCCCGCTTCCCACGCGCCCTCGATATCGAAGCGAATTGGAGATTTGTCTTTGAGAATTGGGGGAATTCATCTCAAGAGCACTTTGCCCTCGACATCTGGGAATATATGCAGCCCGCGGAGACTGGAAACGCGAACCTGCTCCCAATCACTGCGAACCCAACAGCACAGAGAGGCGCTGCGTCGGCAACCAGTGCAGCGGGACTTGACGCTGACCACAATCGCCTGACAGCTATGGTGCCTCCCTGCGTAAGCAGGTGAAGAAGATGGAAATCACCCAGCACGCCAAGTACACCTGCACCTTCTGCGGCAAGACCAACGTCCGCCGCCACTCCACCGGCATCTGGAACTGCAAGTCTTGCAAGCGGACAATGGCCGGCGGTGCCTACGTTGTCGCGTACGTCCCGCGCCCTCCACCCGGCGTCTACGAGACCCCGCGGCAGCGCCAACTGGCGTGGTCGAGGCTAACACTGCAACAGCACCCCTGCGGCCGCCGCTATGCGATCGACTCTGCGACGACTGAGGGAGATTGCTGAGGTTTAAGTGGAAGTCTAGCCCAGGGACGGCGGAGATATTCGGCTTTGCATTTCGGTCTGGTGTATGGGGGACAAGGCTTGCGTGCCTGCACTACGAGTTGACGAAATTGGCGTCAACACTCGAACTCTTGGGTCGTAGAAAGGCCTGTCGATTAGCTATGAAACAAGGTTGCATGGTCTCGGACTGACCGAAGCGCAAGTCGGAAGCCGGCCCTTTACTCGCAGAGCGGGCGTGACGAGCCAGGTCGTTGCCCAAACTTTCCAAGCCCAGCAGGCGGTTATGGGGTCGAGAGGGAAGCGCTGCGAGACGACAGCGCGCGAGACAAAGACATTCCTCGTCCACGGAGGTGCCCCGACAAGAGTTGGAACCGCCCAGTCGTTCCACGATACATTGTATGAGCGGGAGAGCTCCCGGGGACGTAAGGGATAGATGGGAATGGAACATGTGGGCGTGAGAATGTGCAGGCATCGTTGTCATACGCTGTGACTTGGAAGCGCCCAGTCGCCGTCCGTCTCGGATATCACCACGTAGCGCCTGCTTTTCCTTCGCCTGTCCAGTCACAAACAAGGCCTGCATTGTTGTCGATGTCCCCCAGACCGGCCAAGCCACCTGTCAACAAGGGCGGACGAGGCAAGGCGTCGACCCGAGCTGACGAGCCGTCGTGATGGCTCCCCTTGGGCCTCGAAAATGATGGCTGCGAGATGACGGGCTGGCCCTGTGTCTCGCCCCACCACCGCCCAGCAGCCATGAGAACGGCCACAATTCAATGCTGGACTCGGCCGCTCGATTTTTATCTATCTCTTCATTACCCGGCTGGCGTGATTTTTCTGTTTCGTTTAAACTCTTCATGCAAGACAGGCTCACCCGCCTTGCCGACTCATCTCTCCCCCCCCACCCTCCCCAGCCGGTGCCAGCGTGACCTGCATCCGTCACGAACGGCGGGCGGTGCGCCATCGAGGCCACAAGGTATGCGTCAGGGGATACCTTGAAGGCGACGCGAGGCGAGCTAGACGGCTCCCGTCGTCATCCGCCGCTATGCTACTGGGGGTTTGCGTGAGGGCGCCATCGGTGGGCCGTGGCAGAAGGCGGGCAACGGGGATGAACTGCATCGGCGAGCGTTTCCGGGCTCTACTCTTAACTAATGGATATGTACGTGGATCGGAGGCGCCAAGGTGCAGGGCTCAGCATCCATTGTCGTGCGGGAAACGGACATGTCCCCCAGACGTTGGCGGCCTTTTTTTTCTTTTGGGGGTTTTTGGCAAGCGCCGGTGTGTTCACGGTTTGGAGGGCGAGAGAGGGGGTGCGGGAGGGGTCTCCGTCATGCGGTGGCAGTCAGGGAGGCTGACGATGCTTCCTCTGCGCAGCGAAGGAGTGGATGGGACTTGGCCAACAAGAAGAGGCCCGAGGTGCCAAGGACAAGAGTCAAGGGAAGGATACGTGTTGCGACTCCCCGCGGCCGGGACCGCAGGTGCTTCGACTAATAATAAGCCCAAGCAGTGACGCTGGCCCGGCCACGAGGGGGACGAATGACGCCGCGTCGTCACGGTTTCGAGACGAGAGGCGGCCGGAGAGCTAAGGAGCGTGGCGGTGATGGTGTGGCGATGGTGAGTTGGGCGCAATGCGAGTCCTGTGCAGTTGCAGCGTGTGGGCGAGTGTGGTCACGAAGCTATTATGTAGCCGTTAGCTTCACCCCCGCTTTCGAGACGGCTTCGTGGAGAGAGACAGAGTCATTCGGAAAGGGTTCGACAACAAAGGAGCGAAACAATCATGGGGAAGACCCCCGCAATTACGGAAGCCGGGCGTCGTCATCACGAGGCCTTCATCTCTCGGTACAGTCTACCTAGGTAGGCAGGCAAGGAATACCTCGTAATTACTGGGTAGCATCCTATATCCGTTGCAAAAGGTGACAGGTACTCGACGGCTCAGCTCAGGTCACGCAGAGAGACAGAAGGACGACAGCGGCCGTGTCTCCCACGAGTCACGGCCTGCCCCCCCTTTCTGTCTTCCCCTTTCTCTTTGTAAGCCCATGGCAGCTTGCGCCTTGCAGCCGAGGCCGGATCCCAAAAGCTTAGGCTGTCCGGGACCCTCCAGCCCGTGCGGCCACCACACACCGCCAAGGAGGGGCTGAACATGTCGAGAAAGGAGCTCTCGCGTCTGGCAGATCTCCTTTCTTGCTGGATGTCTCGTATGTTGCACGTTCGGAAAGGGGAAAGAAGGAAAAGTTCGAGCCACGGTACTTGGGGACCCGACGAGGATCCAGGTCGCGGTTCCGCCGTGTCCGCGCACCCCCACTCTCTAACAGACAGGACGCTTAGACGGACGCCCTTGTGGCACGCGGAGGACTGTCCAGTATAGGCTCCGGTATATAGCCAGAACATGACGAGCAGTCCGGTACTTCGCAGGCAGCCAGGGCCGCCGCCCTAGAGAAGCGGGTGTTCGGGGAGCGTGTTCATCCTCTGGCGTCAGCTTTCAATGCAGACTCGATGATCTCTTTCTATACCGAGCGGTGGAGGAGGCAGAGAAAGGAGGGGGGTGGCAAAGGGGGGTTCAGGCTGTCGGCTGCTTGCCTCGACCGCTCCTCCACGGCACAGCAACCGCATACACGCACCTTCCTGGGTAGGTACCTGGATACCTACATGGATTCGTACCTGCCTGGCTTACTCGGCAGTAAGGAAGGAGGCCTTTCCTGCCTTCCCCCGGGGAACCTGATGGAAATCCGTCTTTGTTGGCGCCCTGTGCCTTGGGGTTCCTCCTGTACCTACGGGGCAGATACGGGGCAGATAGTACCGCCTCACCAGCCTGTCCGCCGTCTGTCTTGCACACATCATGCGAGGAGCGCCTGATTCATTCTTTTGCTGCCGGCAAGGAGGAAGAAGGTACCCGCCTGTTCACCTCCTGCCTGGACGGAGTGGTACTGTACCTGCCTCGGGGAAGGGTACATATCACCCCCCCCCCCCTCCCCGGCACCTCAGGTAAGCAAAATGGCCCAAGGAAGCAAGTAGGTACCTCGCCCGCCAGAAACGGCCATCGAGGTACTTGCCCGCTAATCAACTCAAATCAACCCCCCGCCAACACCCAATGGAACAAGACGTGGCGGCCTCAGCAGCTGGCCACCCATTGGTCCCGCCCAATCCCCCTCCCCCCCCCCCCAAATAACTGCCTGCGCTAATCGCGAAAACCCGCCCCTCTAGCACCACCAGCTGCTAAACCTGCTGCTGCCTTTCTCCCTCCCCGACTCTTCAATTCCTCCATTAATTTTCCTTGCCTCGTCTCGCACCCGCCTCAAAGGGCTAAAAGTAGGTACCCTCTTCGTGCTACCCGCTTCGTGCCAAGTTCACCGAACACGCCTGCACCCCAGACCCATGCACTAACACATCACTGTCCATACCAGACCACCGCCTCAAAATCCAATCCGCCCCGACGTCTTCCTTGTCACGCCTTGTCCAGATCCTCGCCGCCTGCTCCCCTCTCCATCTATATTATCCTCCTTGGACCCGCGGCTCGCTTCTTTTACATGTTTTCTTCATTTCCTCTCCTGCTTTGTCCAAGCCGGCGTCATGTCTGAGCCCGAGCAGTGCATCATATGTCTTGAGCCCTTGCCGCGCCCCTCGTCCCTCAACGGGTCGGCGCCCGACGAGGCGGTATCCTCGACTGCTGATGACCATGGTCCTGCCGACGATGCCGGCCATCTCGACGTCGTGGCCGCTCTGGACGGCTGCGAGCACATCAACCACGATGCTTGCATCCGCTCATGGGCCCAGAAAACAAACACGTGCCCCATCTGCCGCATCCCCTTCCATACCGTGAGAGTCTACAACGGCGTCGATGGTGAGTAGGCCACGTTGAATCCCTATGCAGTGACCCTGGACGCGAGCTGATCCACAATCCAACAAGGCACTGCCATCTCCACATACGACGTCCAAGACCGAAAGCAGGTTGCCGAGTTCGATGCCCAGCAGTGGCTGGCCCAGAACCCAGATCCCGAGGACGACGAATCCAGTCTCCCATGCCCTGTATGCAACTCTGCAGAACATGAGGACGTCCTGCTTCTCTGCGACGGCTGCGAGGCGGCCTATCATACCCATTGTGTCGGAATGGACTATGTCCCCCAGGGGGACTGGTACTGCATGGAGTGCGTCCATCTCTTCGAGTTTACGGACGCTCCTGGCGCGTCGGACGCTGGGACACGGTCGCCCCGGCCACAAACCGTACGCCGGCCAAACTCCCGAGACGTTCGGGGGTACCACGTCAGGACCCGCGCACGGCTCAGGACGGTGCGCCGACAGGCCCGAAACGCCGAATGGCAGGGCGCCTGGGGCCAGTTTTCAGGCCGCTTCTTCGAAATGAGCGACCTGGATCTCGACAACCACGATGACGACGAGGATCTCGAGCAGTATCGCCTCTTTCAGCAACATGACCAGCGAGAGCTACAACGGTGGCAGCAGCGCGTCAATATTGCACACCGCCTCGGGGCCCGCGCTGAATTTGCCAACAGCATCCCGCCACAGATTAGCGAGCGCCTTCAGCCTCCGCCTCAGCCTGTCGAGGAGACGAGAGAGGAGCGGCGTGCGTGGGGCGCATTCGATCGTGCACGCGAGGCGGATTCGCGCAACGGCAGCGGCGGGCCTCGCAAGCGGAGAAACCGCTCCGTCACCGCATCGCCCTCGGAGCCTGTCCCGGAGCCGGAGAGGAAGCTCAAGCGCCCTCGAACTCGACGGCTCCCTAACCAGGGTGAGGCCTCGACCTCGGCTCCGTCTCCAGCCGCGCCAGGTCCATCGGTAGTGCGGCCAGCAAATGGGCTCTCCTCGAGAAACGGTCTCGGCCGGGTCGAAAACGAGCCGCCGTTGGTATCGTCGCTGCTTAAGGAGCTCGAACCCAATGCTCCATCCGAAGACGAGACTCCCGTATTGGTCACGAACCGACGGTCGCAGCCTGAAGCGTCTTCTCCGGCCATATCTCCCTCGCCCTCGAACCACAGTAGCCCTCGGGCTCTCTCTCTGACTCCCCCACCTTTGCCACGCACCAACGGTCGGGAGGCATCTCCCACCCTGTCCTTGAGCACGCATATCGAGCCGAGGTACCCGCCGGCAAACTACTCACCAAACCGAGCCACGAGCGACCACAGCGACTCTGAGACGCGGCGGGGCAGAGCCGAAGTTCGTCCCCTGGAGTTGCGTCAACCTCGACCCCGACGGCCGCGGCCAACGCAGTCGCGTGCGGAAGAGATGTCGCCGACCCGGCTAGCCATGACGCATGAAGAAAAGAAGAGCATCAATGCCATCGTCAAAGGCGCTTTGAGGCCGCATTGGCGAGCCCAGAAGCTGACGACGGAACAATACGAAGCAATCAATCGGGCGATTTCGCGGAAGCTTTACGACGAAGTGAAGGATGCGTCCGCGCTCGACGAAGAGACTCGCCAATCATGGGAGAAGCGAGCCACCCAGGAGGTGGCTGAAGCGGTCGCGGAGCTTCGGATTTGATCACGACGTGGACGAAGGGAACCTCTTTTTTGGCCTGGGCGTTTGAAAGGCATGTCGGCGATCCATGTAGCGTGATACCCAGCATCTTGCCGCATATGGAGTACGTCTCTTTGGAAGGGTAACGTGGCGCAACGGGGATCGAACATTTCGACGGCATGTGATCATACTGGTCGCGGCATCTCGACACAGCTCGAGTGTGCGGTCATCGTGGTTGAATATTGAACGAACGTGGCATATTTATCTCGTATCCTGTCTCGAGGACTAGACGGGTAGCTAGGGCGAATGGATCTCACGAAGCTTCGAGTTTGCGCAGTAGACGTTCGGTGGGTGCACATGTGCAGCCTTTTATGTGCATTTGGTCGTAGTCTCAGCGGGCGGGCAGACGCTGGCAAAGAGTATCCAATACGGAAATCGTTAGCAGCATCGTCAAGCACCAGCCGATCCAACGATTGTATTGGAATCAGTTGGTCGAGATGCGCGGCAAGTGGCTCGTGGCGCTGCGCGCTCTTGACGACGGTGGCTCTCACGGCCGGGGCGGAAGAAGAGATTGATTTGAAATGTCAGCAGTATCTATCTAACAGAACCCGGTAGAGTATTGCAGAAAGGGGGGATTCCCCTTTCTTCGCAGGCGCCGCTAGCGAAAAGACCGCTCTGGTGGTCACTCTGGGCACTCGTAAATGATCAGGACGTCCTGGAGGTGGGAACAGGTCTTGACGATAAGGAAAGGGTGCCTTTGGTAGGAAAGAGGAGAAAGGAGGGAAAGCGGACGGCAGCGGGCGAGAGAAAAGTGCTTGCGCTGGGGCTGCGCGCGGCTGATGCCTTAGGCCGAAAGCTTGGTTATGTAAGCCAGCTTGTGCCCTAATGTGCACGGTACGGAGTAATTAATTACTGTACCCCTACGGATAAGTCTGCACTCTACGGAGGAACGTGAGGCCGATACGGATAATAGTATCTCCCGATGCTGTCCGTCTTCAACGCCACGGCCGGAGGCCATGAGTACGTACCGCTAGACGCCGGGCTTGGCGGCCGGGGTTCGCTGACAGAAAAGTTCGAGGCGCGAAGAGCAGCATCCTCGCGAGACCTCGAGCGTGTGGCCAGCCTCACTGGCACAGCGCTCATCATGTCAGCCTCAAGCAGAGGAGGGCAAGCCATTCAAGGCGCGTTCCTAGGTAATCAGAAATCCCCTCGCCGAGGACCATTGGCCGGCCGTCTCAAGTCCTGACCAAAACTCTTCTCGCAGCTGCTCCCAAGATGTGCACACGGTGCGCAACGAGCTATGCCACCAGGATATCAAGCCGTTTCTACTCTACACCCACTGCCGCCGCCGCAGCGGCAGTGTCGGCATCATCAGGCCTCGAAGCGTCCGCGATTGCCAGCGCGCCACCGCCTCCCGAGCCCGCACGTCGCTCCGCGCCGCCGTACGACGTGCGGTCGGGAATCATCGTCACGCGGCCGCCGCTGCTGACGCGGCGGCTGCACCCGTTCGAGAACGCCTTCTTCTTCTACCAGAAGCGGCTGGAGGAGCGGCTCAACTCGCACTTCATCACGAGCATCTACTTCAAGCCCGACACGGCACGGCGGCTCGACTGGAACCTCAAGGTGCGCGAGCGCAGGGGCACCGTCGCCAAGGAGCTGGGCACGTACCACGGCAAGAGCTCCAAGGCGTGGGACGACGAGCTTGCCGTGGGCGACGAGCTCAGCACCCAGGAGAGCCTGCTCAACAGCCTGCTCAAGGACGCCGAGACCAGGGTGAGCGATGATGCCGAGATCATTGCGCCGGCCGATGTTGTCCCCGTCGAGCGCCCGATGGAGAGGGAGACGGAGGCGGATAAGAAGGGCGATGTTAGGAGATTGGACAGGAAGCTGGATAGGACGCTGCATCTCGTCGTCAAGGGCAAGGATGGCTGGGGCTTCCCTGCCGACGTCATGTCCGAGGACGAGAACTTGCACAAGGTCAGCAGCCATCATCTACCCTCGTCGACGCTTATCACTAACCCGCGTGGCAGACCGCGCAGAGGGTTCTGGACCAAGCCGCCGGCGTCAACATGAACACCTGGATCGTCGGCCGCGTGCCCGTCGCCCACGTCGTCACGCACCCCGTCCTCAACGCCGACGGAAGCGTCCAGACAAGGGGCTGCAAGACGTTTTTCCTCAAGGCCCGCATCATGGCCGGCCAGGCAAACATCGACGGCAACCCGCTGGGCTACACCGACTTCCAGTGGCTGACCACGGAGGAGCTCGAGGAGGAGTTGGCGCCGCGGTACCTCCGCGGTGTGCGCAACATGATGTCCATCAGGTGAAGGGGCGAAAAGATCCAACGCCAGCATGTCTATTGCCGGTCGAGCATGTAGACTACTCTTGTACAAAAAGATCGTGTCATATGTGCCCCAAGTGCATCGGCTCTCCTTGAGTTTCTCCCCTCATGACCAATGTGCCCCTGCCAGCTCGAGATTTTCTACAGCTGGGGTGCGGTTGCCCTACCTCGGCCATAAGTTTTGGTTTAACACATACATGACATGAAAAAAGAAGTTGCACAAGGCCGATAGGACAAACGTCAGTGCGTGATGCTTCAATCCCGAGATACGCCAAGGGGCTTTCTACACCGCAAGTAATAACATCGTAGTTACACAAAATCATAATCTCTTCCATCGTGAAACCACTTCGCAGCACAGGCCGGCTTCTTCGCGCCCCATCCCAAAGGGGTCTCGATCGCGCCCAACGCCAGACTCCCGCCTCGCGCCCATCCTCCCCTCAGACTACCCGCGTTGATGCGCCCCTCCGCTCAAGTCGGCTTAGCCTGTCCCTCGACAAAGTTGAGCGCATCCTCGGTGCTAACGCAGTTGATGCTGCTCGTTTTGTTGCGAAACGTGACGCCGTAGCACTTGTCCGCGACGTGGACGATTTCGGGCCGGAAGGTGGTGCAGATGAACTGCGTGCCGATCTCGTTGGATATCGACTCGAGCAGAGCGGCGACGGCGGTTCGGTACTGGGCGTCCAGGTTGGCGTCGACCTCGTCGAAAATCACCATGGGGCTGCTCTCCGTTGCCTGCAGCGCGAAGATGAGGCAGAGCGCACACAAGCCTGGACTGGTCAGCAAAGCTGCGCCTCCGCCTGGACATCACACGGGGAACCTACTCTTCTGGCCTCCACTGAGCTGCTGAATCCGCTGCTGCTCATCCAGGTGCTTCGAGTTAAAGGACACGCTGATGCCAACGCCAATGTAGTTCTCAACACTTCCTCGTGCCTCCTCGTCCGACTCATCCGGTTCTTGGCGGCGGTCGGTCCTGCGCTGGATCACAAGGCGGCCGTGGCCGGCGGGGACCAGCTTTCCGAAAATGGTTGCGAATTCCTTGGACACCTGCTTGAACGTTCGCTCGATGGCCTCGTCTTTCCGGCGATCCAAGTGCTCGACGAGCTCCTCGATGGAGCCCTGGGAAGCGTCCAGTTCTTTTCGCCGCTTCATCAAGTGGTCCTGCTGGGTGGTGAAGTTGTTGTACTGCTCAAACGCCTTCTTGTTGACGTGCTTGTACTTCTTCAGGGCCTCGTTGACCCTCTTGAGCTTGGATGTGATCTGCGCATGGTCAGCACGCCGCAGGCTTGGTAGGGTGCGGGCACAATTGGCACTCACGACTTTGGCCTCCATGTTCTCGTACTTGTCAAAAGCCTCCTCCGGGAGCACTCCGAGATCCCGGATGTTCTTTGCACACTCGGCAGCCTGCGCGGTGAGGAGCGCTTTCCGCTGCAGAGTCTTCTCCATCCTCTTCTGCTGCTTCTCTATCCGGGAAGAGATTTCGTTCTGTACCTGCTCGCGCTTCGCCCTGTCTGTCGATATCTGCTCCAAGCGGCCGTTGAGCTCCTCCATCTTGGCCTCGGTTTCTTCGAGACTCGTCTCGACGGCTCGCAGCGTCTTCTGCGCCTTCTTCAGCTCTCTCTGCGCCTCTTTCATCCCTCCTGCCGTCGCACCGGACGCAGAGTTCTCAAAAGCCTGGCTGTTGAGCTGGTCGAGTTTCATCTGGAGATTCTGGCGCAGGTCGACTTCGAGAAGTTGCTTCGTCCTCTCGAGCCGTCTGCGTGCGTTGCTCACGTCGTTCCACTGCTTCTGAAGCTCCTGCGCCCGGCCGCTCATTTCCTCCAGCTGCCTCTCCTCGGCCGCAGTGAGACTCTTTTTGAACTCTGTACCTATCTCGGCTTCGTGCGCCGTGACTTCCTCCATGAAGCCGTTCATGTTCTTCTCAACGGCGTCACGTCGCTTCATGGCAGAGTCGAGATGGGTCCTTTCATTTTCCACGTGCGCCGACTTGTTCCTGAGCTCGTACTTGAGCGGCTCGAAACCGTCCTCGGCCTGCCGCAGCTTCTGCTCGAGCTTCTGCACCTCTGACATGGCGCCTGTGATTTCCTGGTCTTTGCGCTCGATTTGACTGCGGATGTCGCGTGATAGCGCAATCAGCCTTTCGTACTCTTCCCGCCATTTGCTGGCGGCCTGGACGGCTTCGAGCCGTGACTTGCGAGGATCTATGTAGCCTCCAGTCATGGCGCCTCTCCTGTTTGTTGTGTCGCCTTCGGCAGTGATGCCATCGACACCGTGGCTTCGTGCATACTGGCCGGCAACCGCCAGGTTTGGGCAAACAACGGTCTTCCCGAAAACCTGCTGGAATGCCTTTTCGAATCTGGAATCGTATGTGATTTTGCTGATCAGGGGAACGGCGTCGTTGGACCTCGGCAGATTCACCTGGCGTGGTCGAAGCTGCGCCAGGGGCATAAACGTTACTCGGCCCCCACGCTGCCTGTACAGCGTGTCGGCCAGGGAGGTCGCAGTGTCGGCGTTGTCGACGACGTAGTGGAACAAGCTGGCGCCCGCAGTCTGTTCAACGGGCAATCTGTACGCATCGCCGACCTCGAGAAGGTCGGCCAGCGTGCCGTATGCGCCAGGAATATCCTGATCCTGCTTCAGGCGGCGAATGGTAGCCAGGCCACGAGCAGTTCCCCCATCGACGGCCTGTGCCAGCTCTCGCTCCGCCTGTTCTTTTTCTTGCCGCGCGTTCGCTATGACGGAGCTGAGCTTGTCGTCCTCGCGGCGAATGAGTTTTCGTTCGTCGTTGAGCTTGTCCAGGGTGAGCCTCGCTTGCGAGACTTGCTCGGCGAGCTGATTCCGGTCGCCGCTCCAGTTAGCAAGGCGCGACCTAATGTCCGCGATTTCCTGCTCGCTATCACCAATGGCTTTCTGAACCCTTGCGACCTCTTCGTCGGCCTCGAGCTTGTTCGCTTTTTGCGCACTAATGGTCAAGTCGAGCTCGCTGATCTCTTGTCTCAGCCAGTTGTCGCGCTCTGCCTTGTTCTTAAATCGGGAGCCACGGCTTTGCTTAGCGAAGAGACGCGCCCTCGACGCCTCGACCGCGTCCAGCTGCCGCCTGGCTCCATCCTCCTCCTGCTTCCTCTTGCTGAACTCGGGTAGGATGCTCGCCAGCTCGGATTCCTTGGCAGCTATGTCGGCTCGGACAGACTCCAGCTCTTCGGAATGCTGCGCTTGGGCTTGCTCTTGCGCCGAGTGTCCTTCCTTTAAGTTCTTGGCCTTGAGCTCGATTTTTGCGAGAGCCTTTGCGGAGTCTCGGCGGTCCTCCTCGTGCTGGCGCCTGTCGATTTGCAACAGTTCGATTTCGCGCTGCAGGTTGTGGATTTCGGCGTCGAATCTCGAGATTGCCTTCTCGCCGTCTATGAACTCGGAGCGGTTCGAGTCTGTGTTGTCGAGCCCATCTTGTCTGGCGCTGTCGATATCTTCGAGAGTGGACTGGATGGTCATCTGCTCCCTGTGGTGATAGGCGTACTCGAGACACCGCCTTTCTCGGTCCTTTTCCTGGAACCCTCGCAGCTCTTCCTTTTCCTCCTCAAGCTCGCTCAGCCTCTCCTTGATGTATTCGAGGAGCTCGTCGATTTTCTCACGCTTGTTATTAGTCTCGTTCATGATCTTGAGCGATTCGGCGCGGCGAGTCTCGTAGACGTGGGTGCCCGCGACCTCCTTCAGCAGGTTCAGCCTGTCTGATTCCTTCATGTTTGTCAAGGCCGTGACGCGACCCTGAGGGACGATGTAGTAAGGGTTGGATCGAGAGAATCCGGCGGCTTCCAGTAGGTTCATTACGTCGGCTTTTGTGACGACTTTGCGATCGACGGAATATTCATCCTTCTTAAGGCCGATGGTGCGCCGCAGGACGACCTCTTTGCTTCCGGTGGGGAAGCGATCGTCGCTGTTGTCGAAGATGATCTCGACATAGGCGGACATGACGGCCGAGCCCGAGCCCTCGTGCAGCAGGCCCTGGCGCTCTTCGCGGCTCATCTGCGTGTAGGCGTCGCTGAGGACGAAGCGCATGGCGGCGAAGAAGTTGCTCTTGCCGGAGCCATTGCGACCGACGATGACGTTTGTCTTTGGCGAAAAGGGTTCGATCACGGTCTGCTCCTTGTAGCTATTGCATCATCAGCGCGCGCTATTCAGGGACTGGAGGCGCCACGAACGTACCTCTTGAAGCCCTGGATGATGATTTGCTTGATATACATCGTCGGCGGGCGCTGGCGCTCAAGCGCGACATCCGAGAGGCCAGGGAGCGTCGGTGTCGACTTGTTGCGGGAGCAGGCTTTGATGTCGATGCGATGCGACGCGTTCTAGCAGGCGGCGCGACTTAAAGGCGGGAAAGGTCGCGTTGCGGGCGCATTTCTTTCTGCCTGAGGTATCCCATCATTCTCCGGTACGTACCTATTGAGGTACCATGTATCTGGTGGGGACGCCCGGATTAGAGATCCACCGTCTGGCCGACTGCCGGCCTCACACGTGGCCGGTTACTGCCGGATCGCTCTGCCTACCCTATACCGTAGCATCTTCCGGTCATCTAACAGGAGCAGAACTCTCCCCTGTAAAAATTCTTCCCCCGTCAGAGCTGTTAGCGGCTCGCTAGCAGGGGGCCGGATTTGCAGGCCACCCGACCGCGCTTTTGCTGCCCGGGTCCATCGTGGCCCTAACAGCACAGAGGAAGACATTAGGAGAGTTCATATTCCTCTGCAAAGCCGGTCTCGACAACACGTCCACACGGACCTCACAGCTTCCTTCGGAACCAAGGGCTGTGGGTATTGGAAGGCCCGCCCTTCTAAACAACGGTGGCTGGTTGCGCAGGTTTTTCTCCCTGAAGGCAAGCTGCACGACAGCCTCTGATTCCTTCGAGGGTTTTCCTGCCGCCGCTCCTGCGCTATTTCCATCGCCTGGTTACCGAAGCATGCACTGCGACAGCAGCGTTAGCGAGAGCGAGAGAATTCTGACCGGACAAAACCAAGGGTTGACCATTGTGGCAATCGCCACGCGCCTGGACGACCCGCTGACGGGCACCAGGCTCCGACACTGAGCGCCTTAGAGCCGATGAAATGCTGGATGGACTTCGGGAAGGCTGGCTGCAGAGGATAGCCACGGACACTTGTATTGACGGGCTTAGCGACAACCTACCGGTGGAGGGTAGGAAAGCCGTCTCGGGGATTGAGCCCGACAGCTCGCCCTTGCGAGGCCTTGCAAGAAGCGCTGGGTGAGGCCTACTGTGGCAGGATTTTCTCGATAGCCTAGCTCAGCACGTCCTGTGCCCCACCGGGACCTGAGCGGCCTTACGGCCGCTGGACGGAAAATACACACACACACACACACACACATCTAACAGGAGCAGCTCCTCGGTGTCCGATGTACACGAAGGAAAGCTCGCCAATACGCAAGTCCAGAGCTCGGATACGGCTTTTGTGTGAATTGCCCTATAACCTACTCTGGCGCGGGCTTCCACACCCCCCGGCCGCCGTTGCCGTTTGCGTGCGCATGCGTGGTAAAGGACACATGGTGGCAGCCCCGGATGGTGCCTGTGGAATGCGCCGCCTTGTTCAACCACCAAGGTGTGGAAGCCACTGGGCGTATTCCGTACCTGTCCACATACATGCATGCAGAAGAACGCACGCCACGAGTTTGCGGCCTCCATGTGCTGGCGGACCTGGCCCGCCAGCTGTGTCACTTTGCGGTGCATAACATCAAAGCTGACGCACGAATCAAGGAGATGTAGATTGCCTGACAACAAGGTTAGCCTTCCTCAAAAGCGTCACGCCAGCCACAATCGCGATGCTCCAGAAAAGTCTTTAGGGTTCGGCAGCGCGGCATATTGCAAAGGCCATGTGCAGTGTACGGGGCAATCACAAGCCCATCCCTGCCGGCAGTATTGAAGGCCAGACAAGATACATTTGGCCTCGCCTTTCTTTTTCCTCTGGCCCCCTCCTGATTCAGATTTCACGTCCCTTCCTCCCGCACGTCTGCCCCGCGTGGACGCTTGGCAAGAATTTTGGCATGTCTTGGGGGAAGGAGGAACGGATTCGGAGCGGTGTCCCAGAAGGGTTCTGTAGCTGAAACCTTGGAAGTGTATCGACCAAGACGCGTATGTATGTTTTTGCAAGCAACGTCGGTTTAGTGAAAGGGACGGAACAGAGCTGGTAGAATTTGAGCTTCTCGACACCACGCTGCAGCCCGCATAGAATCACTACGCAGCCAGTCAAGTAGCAGCAGCGGCCGTATGCCGAGACTTCTTTGCAGATGCCCACAGGAGGAGCCAAAGACGTTGACTGCTCGTCCCGGCCCGGCGGCGGCGGCCCTTGAAGCGTGGCACGAGATGGCCGCCCTGGCCAACCAACCAACAGTGGCTCTTTTTGATCAAAGTGAGATGGTGGTGCATGAGGGGTCGAGGGATGAAGAACGCACGGTAACAAGTACCTATATGTGGCAGGCATCCGAGGCAGCGGCCAACGCCCAACGATAAGCTCCTCTGCCTCACCCGTCTACCCGACCGGAGAAAATGCAGCGCAAGAACAGGCACATGACTCGAACAACAACGGTGCGCGGTTGGTCCGTAGCGGGTGGCTGTGGTCAACAAAGTGCCTTTGTGCCCGGTGGTGAAGATTGTCGCAGCAGAGTGTGGGGCAAAGTGCTCTCCAGGCTCTGAAAGAAGGTCGACAGAGCGCGCGCATTTTCAGATGCCTTTGGCCAGCTTTCCTTCCCTCCCGGCACTCGGACTAGTGCCCGGGAAGACCCACTCCAGACTGGCGCTAAGGGAGCATGAGAGAAATTAAGCGAGTAGCAGCCCGGGAAACCGTTGGTCGTGGTGGGAAGGAGCAGCGCGCTGGCGTGTTCGACGACCAGCTCCACAGGCGGCCTGGCAAGTACTTGCGTACGTAAGGCGGGCCAGGCGCCAAGTACAGGTCGGCGGGCGACAAGGCGGAGGGGTACCTGGCCAGGCATGACGGGAGCGGTACGTACCCATATGGCTGGAGTTTACAAGGTATAAAAATACAGGCAGGCACACATGATACAAAGGCCCGGCCTGCCCCTCCTCGATCGATTCCTGTGTCCAGCCAGAGAGCGTCGCCAGCGGCAGCAGCCCAGCGCAGCGCAGCGCAGGAAAGAGGCAGCAAAAAAAAAGGGTCACAGCGTCGGGCGTTTGCTCAAACCCCAGCATTTTACATTTTTATCCAGATGCCTTCTTAGGTAGTCGACCAGATCAGCAGCACAGAAAGCCTTCACCTTCATCTCTCACCATCATCACTCATCACACACCACCCGTCGTCGACCACGCCCAACTGTCTCCAGGCACACAGCCGACGACGCACCAGCCTCACATCAAGCCTCGACGGGGCCAAGAGAAAAAAAAAGAAAGGGCCGCACCGTCACACTCGTCTCCGTACATCCTTGGCTGTGGTCCCGTTGCTACCTACCACCCTTGCGTCACCGTCGGTGTGGTGCGTGAGCCTTGCACGACTTTCGGTGACGGACGATTCATCAATGCGACAGTCGCTGTGCCCCCCATTCAATGTCGCATGCGCGCGAGCTCTAACGCACTCGGAGCTTCGTTTGCACGCCCTTTGGAGGCGCAGTGCAGTGGTGCACGCTGGTGGCTCAATACAAAACAACGGGTATGTGATGCGAACTCGATGCACAGTATTTGTCCCCTTGGCCCGCCATCCCCATAGCCAAGCCCAGTCGCCGCCGCCTTCATCCTCTCATTCGCTGACCATGGCCCAAGGTCTCGCAAGACATGACGACGTGCAAATAAAGACATTCATCGCATTGATACACAATGGCTTCGAGGTAACCACCATCCGTCCACTCTTGTTTTGTACCCAGTGACTGACTTGAATCATGCAGGCTCGACCGACTGGTCACGTAAGTCACCACACTGCTTGCTTGGCGAGCGCGCTTCTCCTTTCTTCTGGCCTTCTCGCCCCAGTCGAACCCTGCTAACAAAAGGCATCGCCAGTATCCTGGAAACGGGGAGCACCCGACTGATCCGGGACACGGCCGTGAACCAGCTCGCCGACTGGCAGAAACAACATCCAGATGAGCTCTTCAACCTACTCTCCAGAGTAGTGCCCTATCTTCGCCATAAAGAATGGGAGACACGAAGCACCGCGGCAAAGGCCATTGGCAAAATCGTGGAGAACGCCCCCCTCTATGATCCCAACTCAGAGGAGGCGGCGAGCGAGCTCAAGAGCGAGCCCCTTGCAGAAAATGGCCATGTCAAGAAGGAGGAGACTGACAAAGAACCGAGTCTCGGGGATCACGAGTACTTCAAATTCGAGTCTCTCAATGTCGATGCTATTCTCAAATATGGCCGTGAACTGTTGCGAGGCGGTGGCATCGAATACAACCTGGCCGCCCTGAGCCCCCAGGCTCGCCTCGCACATCAGAGGAAGACGCTAACGGGACGCCTGGGCTTGCTTGGGCGCAAGTTCGAGGACGACGAGATGCCAATCGTGGCCGACGGCCTCGCCACGCCCATGACCCCTCTTGATGCACCTGGCAGCAACGGCTTTGGTCGTAGTGACAGCATCCCAGGCCCGGGCTTGTCATCCGAGGACTCGCAGCTGAGTTCTAGACAACTCAACGTCTTGAAGCGAAAGCGCAAGAGAGAGGCAATGAGGGCATCCCAGGGCAGAGGCGGCTTTGGCGATCTTTCTGTTCGACGATCGGCGACGGCGGGTCACGAGGGCCTTGGCGACGAAACCCCAGCCGCCGATGGCGATTCGAAAAAGAATGGCAAGGTCAACGATTATTTCAGCCTCGATCGCCCCGCCGATGTCGACGAAGACTCCAAAGTCGTCAGCGAGTTCAAGGGCCCGGACATTCCCATCAAGTCGGAGCTGGAAGCCGAAGAGACCATGGAGGGCTGCGAATGGCCCTACGAACGGCTCTGCGACTTTCTTAAAATTGACCTGTTCGATCCGTCCTGGGAAACTCGTCATGGGGCTGCCATGGGGTTGAGGGAAGTGATCCGGGCCCATGGCGGAGGTGCGGGAAGGATGCACGGCAAGCATAGGAAAGACAATGACGGGCTGAATCGCGCATGGCTCGACGACCTCGCCTGCCGCCTCTGCTGTGTCCTCATGCTGGACCGCTTCACCGACTACAGCTCCGACACATCGATTGCTCCCATCAGGGAGACCGTCGGCCAAACGTTGGGGTCCGCTCTGAAGCACGTCACTCCGAGCTCCGTCTACGACATTTATCAGGTCCTGTACCGAATGGTCATGCAAGAAGACCTGGAGCTTGAGCGGCCCATCTGGGCTGTCTGCCATGGCGGCATGGTCGGCTTGAGATATGTCGTGGCGATCCGGAAAGACCTGCTCCTGCAAGATGGCGATATGATTGATGGCATTATCAGGGCTGTCATGAAGGGTCTAGGAGACATGGACGACGATGTTCGCTCAGTGAGCGCAGCCACTCTCATCCCAATGGCCAAGGAATTCGTCATGATGCGGCCAGCCGCTCTGGAAGCACTCACCAACATCGTTTGGGAAAGTCTCTCCAACTTGGGCGATGACTTGAGCGCAAGCACGGGGCGTATCATGGATCTCCTCGCCACGCTATGCGGCTTTCCCGAGGTGCTGGAGGCTATGAAAACATCTGCAGCGCAGGACGAGGAACGCTCCTTTACTCTTCTCGTGCCGCGTCTCTACCCTTTCCTGCGACACACAATCACGTCTGTCCGCCTCGCCGTCTTGAAGGCGCTGCTCACCTTTGCCAACCTCGGCGCTGAAACGTCCCAAGGCTGGCTCAATGGGAGGATCCTCAGACTCATTTTTCAGAACATTCTGGTGGAGAGAGACCAGGAGACGCTGAACATGTCGCTGGAGCTGTGGGATGCGCTTGTTTGCTGCCTGGCAAAGGCCCCGGCGGTACTCGCAGACGAGTTCTCGCCACACACGGACGCGCTGATGCAACTTACGCTGCATCCAATCGGCGTCTCGAGGAATCCCATCCCCATGAACGCCACTTTGTTCCAGAAACCATCTGGAGGCACCTACACAAACGCCACTTCCCTGCAACCGTCCAGCCGGCGCATGTCGTCGCCCGATGGCTCAGACAGAGCTCCGAAACGGCGCCGCAAGTCCACCAAGCCGGCCGCCGATGAACCCGTCTCTACCGGCCTCACCCACGACGTCGACGGCCACATGATGCAAGGGGACGTCGACCTTGTTGGGATCGAAGTACTGATCCGGTCGCGAGTGTCTGCCGCCAAGGCCATGGGCCGCGTCATGTCCCTGGTGCCAGCCGCAAACCTCGACGACTACGATGCGGTGCTCGTTCCGGGTTTGACATCTGCATTCGCCTCTACGCAGCTCACGGCCTGCCTGGTAGTCGACGAGTATGCACAGAACCGCGGCGCATCCGAGGACACCACTAGATACAGAGACCATCTGCAGCGCATGGTGGAATCGAACCGGCCCTCGGCGTACAGGGATTTGGCCAATTCCGTTCAACGCGTCAGAACGTCGTGCCAGCAACTCGTCCATCTGTTCCGCGACCACGGCAAGGTGTCGCAAAGCAAGTTGCCGGTACTCCCCGTGGTGGTGCAAGGCGAGCCAGAGGCTGGCCCTGGTGCCTTTTCAATCTCGACGGCCGAGAAGTGCGTGGGGGATGACTACGAGAGGCTTAAGAAGCTTATGCCTCCAGGCCAGCGCTTGATTGCGAGCCAGCAGCTTGCTGAAGCCCGCGATGTGGCCGTCTCCGTCATTGAGGAGGCCAAGGCCGCTAAGGACGCGCGCGACGTGAGAATCAGGGCCGGCGCAGCCTGCGCATTGGTCGCTATGAAGCTTCTGCCAAAGAAACCCAGCCCCCTCATCAAGGGCGTGATGGACTCCGTCAAGGCCGAGGAGAGCCAGCAATTGCAGAGTCGATCGTCGGGAACCATTGCCAGACTTGTTCAGCTTTTCACCGAAAAGGGAAGGAAAGGGCCTGCCGACAAGGTGGTCGCCAACCTGGTCAAGTTTTCTTGCGTCGAAGTTGCCGAGACGCCCGAGTTTCCCGTCCACGCCAGCAAGACAAGCTGCATTCTCTCCATGCAAAAGGAAGAGGACAGGGTGGACCATCCAGACGCCGCCAAATGGGCAAAGGAGGCCAAGGCCGCCCGCATCACTCGACGAGGCGCCAAAGAAGCTCTCGAGATCCTCGCCAAGACTTACGGCGCCGAGCTTCTCGACACCGTACCGAGCTTGCGGGCGTACATGGAGGGACCTTTGGTCAAAGCCTTTTCTGAGGACTTGCCGGCCGAGGCTAAGGATCCTGAGAACCTGCTCGGACAGGAGATTGTTGACGCCATGTCCGTCATCCGCACAATGGCGCCGACTTTGGACAAGGCCTTGCACCCGTTCGTCATGCAAATGCTGCCGCTCGTCATCAAGGCCTTGCACTCGGAGCTCTCGGTGTTCCGGTACATGGCGGCGAAGTGCCTGGCGACCATCTGCAGTGTCATCACCGTCGAGGGCATGACGGCCCTGGTCGAGAAGGTCCTCCCATCCATCAGCAACCCTCTGGACCCCAACTACCGTCAAGGCGTGATCGAGGCCATTTATCACTTGATTGCGGTCATGGGCGACGCCATCTTGCCCTACGTAATCTTCCTCATCGTCCCCGTGCTCGGCCGAATGAGCGACTCGGACAACGAGATCCGCCTTATTGCAACAACATCTTTTGCGACCCTGGTGAAGCTGGTGCCCCTCGAAGCCGGCATCCCCGACCCTCCCGGTCTGTCACAGGAGCTTCTTCGGGGGCGCGACCGGGAACGGACCTTCATCGCCCAACTCCTCGACCCGAAGAAGGTTGAGCCGTTCCATATTCCCGTCGCAATCAAGGCTGAGCTACGCTCGTACCAACAAGAAGGTGTCAACTGGCTTCATTTCCTCAACAAGTATCATCTCCATGGCATTCTTTGCGATGACATGGGTCTTGGCAAGACTCTTCAGACCATCTGCATCGTCGCCAGCGATCACCACCAACGGCAGGAGGAGTTTGCCAGGACACAGGCGCCAGACGCGCGGCGGCTCCCGTCGCTCATTGTCTGCCCCCCAACACTCTCCGGACATTGGCAACAAGAGATCAAGACGTACGCTCCCTTCCTCAGCGTCACCGCGTACGTGGGGCCACCGCTGGAGAGGAAGGCGATGACGCATCAGCTTGGGCAGACAGACATTGTGGTGACATCATACGACGTTTGTAGAAACGACGCAGATATTTTGGAAAAACACAACTGGAATTACATGGTGCTCGACGAGGGCCATTTAATCAAGAACCCGAAGGCCAAGATCACCCAGTCAGTCAAGAGGTTCCAAAGCAACCACCGGCTGATCCTCACCGGCACTCCGATCCAGAACAACGTCCTGGAACTCTGGTCGCTATTTGACTTCCTCATGCCCGGCTTCCTGGGAGCAGAAAAGGTCTTCCTGGACCGCTTTGCGAAACCGATTGCGGCTAGCCGCTACAGCAAGGCATCGACCAAGGAGCAAGAGGCGGGGGCGCTGGCGATAGAGGCCCTACACAAGCAGGTCCTCCCGTTCCTGCTGCGCCGCCTCAAGGAAGAGGTGCTGAACGACTTGCCCCCCAAGATTCTGCAAAACTATTACTGCGACCTGAGCGATTTGCAGAAGAAGCTGTTTGAAGACTTTACTAGGAAACAGGGCAAGAAGCTACAGGCAGACGCCGGCCGCGAGGACAAGGAGGCTAAGCAGCACATCTTCCAAGCTCTGCAGTACATGCGTAAGCTCTGCAACTCGCCCGCGTTGGTCATGAAGCCCGGCAACACCGTGTATGACGAGACGCAGAAGATTCTCCAGAAGCAGGGGACGTCTATTGAGGACCCTTCTCACGCACCCAAGCTGACGGCGCTGCGGGATCTCCTGGTAGACTGCGGCATTGGCGGCGACGAGGGCGACTCGAATGACCCGCTGTACCAGCCCATCAAGCCTCATCGAGCACTCATTTTCTGCCAGATGAAGGAGATGCTGGACATGGTGCAAAACAAGGTGCTCAAGGACATGCTTCCGTCGGTGTCGCATCTCCGGCTCGATGGGTCCGTGGAGGCAAACAAGCGACAAGACATTGTCAACAAGTTCAACAGCGATCCGTCGTACGACGTCTTGTTGCTCACCACGAGCGTCGGCGGGCTGGGCCTGAACCTGACTGGCGCGGACACGGTCATCTTTGTGGAGCATGATTGGAATCCGCAAAAGGACTTGCAGGCCATGGACCGCGCACACCGAATCGGGCAGAAGAAGGTTGTGAATGTGTACCGACTCATCACGCGCGGCACGCTCGAGGAGAAGATCCTGAGCCTGCAGCGGTTCAAGATTGATGTGGCCTCGACCGTGGTCAACCAGCAGAACGCGGGTCTGTCGACGATGGACACGGATCAGATCCTGGACCTGTTCAGCCTGGGCGACTCGGGACCGAGTCTGATATCGGACAAGCCGCGCAACGAGATGGAAGGGAGGGAGGAGGACATGGTTGACATCGAGACTGGCGACGTGCTGCGACAGCCAGGCAAGAAGGCGTGGCTCGACGATCTCGGGGAGTTGTGGGACAGCAAGCAGTACGAGGAGAGTTTCGACTTGGAGGACTTTATGAAGACCATGTCCTGAGAGGCAGGCCATGCTGAGCGTTGATCAAGGAGTTGGGGCGTCGTTTACTTGCACCCTAGGAGACGATGGGCCGCGTCCATGTGCCCCTTTCTGTATGTATGTATGTATGTATGTATGGATTCTGGCTCGTTAGCCGACGGAGCACCATGAGCCATGTATTATATTGGCCTAAAAGAAGGCATTTACTCCGCCTCCTGTCGACCATGGTCTTGCCAGACGTTGTGACTGGGCAAGAACTCTGTTGGTGAGAGTGATTTCTCAATCGGCTACCTGGGTATAAGCTGGCGACTGAGCAAGCTTGCAACGGCCTAGTCTCGCTGTGGATGATCGGAATCTTGCCAGATCCCATCGAAGGGGTTCCCTCAGACACGAGAGAATTGCACGTTGGGGGTGCCTGGGGCGAGCCAATTTCAAAGAACATCCATAAGCCGGATGACAGGCCACTGGCCAGTCGCCCACAACAATCACAGCGCAAGGAGGGAGATGGTGATTCAAAGGTGGAAAGGAAGGAATGTTGTCAGTCTGCAATCGCTCTAGTCTATATACGAAATATCAACCCCCCCAACCCATAAACATTAAAATCCCAGGCGGCAATAGCGTACTTTAGGAAGCCAGAGTGCTGAGCCCGATGCCAGCCGTATAACACAAGAATCCAGTTAAACGAGAAAGCTGTAGTATTGCGCTCCGCCTAGAACCCCCCAAGAGGGTTCGGGTTGGGGATGACGTTGCCCCCCTGCTGCACCGGGGGAACGACAGACACCCCCGTGTTGGCAGCGAGCTCCTTGTGCCTGCGGAGGCTGACGGCAGGGTTGTCAAAGTTTTGGTTGATGACGCCAACCATGCCGTTCTGGCAGTGGGAGCCGGTCTGCTGCGGGCAGTAGTACCAGATGGGCTTCGTGTCCTGGACGGCAACCTGGAACACGTCGGGAGCCTGGTTCTCCTGCGTGACGAAGTTGAAGCCGGCGAAGAAGGAGGTGCCGTCAGCAAGGGGCTGGCAGGGGTCGGCAAAGTTGGACTGCGCAACCGAGTGATTTTTGGGGAGGAAGTGCCACTCCACGATGTCGCCAATCTCGGCGACAACATTGTCAGGGTCGAAGCGGAGGCCACCGAGACCGGCGACGACGGAGTGGGTTACACCGGTGAGAGACACCGTCCTGGTGGCATTGCTCCATGTGGTGCCAGTCGGCACGGCGGTGACCGTGGCGGCGGCAGCGAGAACAAGGACGCTGAGTGCTCCGGAAGAATGCATCTTGGAAGGGCGAGAAGCGGTGTGGTAAGCGGTGTAGATGGGATGGAGCTGCCGAATAGCTGAGGTATCTTGTTGTTGTTCTTGTTGTTGTGATGTTTGAGCTATTGGTGGTGATGATATGAGTCTTCTCTCCACGAGAGAGTCGTCTCGTTATATAGATAAGACATCTCGCCGGTTACCACCCGCAAGTTCCCATTTGCCATCATGACGCGGCTCGCCCAGCCTCCCGGGAGCGCCCAGAGCCGACCCAGCTCCGGGATCACCTCTCTTGGCCTCGTCCAGCTCCCAACAGCCCCCAGAGCCGGGCGCCCGGGCGGCGAGGCGGCCCAGCTTACCAACACGAAGCACCTGTGCCAAATTTATCGGCCTCTGCGAGAGAGCTGATGGACCACCTGGTCTATTGCTCTCGGGCTGGGCAGAGCCGTTACACGGACGAAAAAATAGAACGCGGGCTTGCAGCTGTGACACTGTTGCGGGTTGAAGCGGTTGTTGCGACGGCTGACGACTGCACTGCCGAATTCAATTGCGAGGCGAGGCGCAGCCGACAGCCACTCTTGTCAGATCTCACCACGTCGGGCCATGCACGGCTTTGAATGGGGATATTTTAAGGACGGCTGGAAGGTGTCAGCCCTGATCTCACCTCTCTCGGGAGCTGGGGTGAGTGTGGATTTTCCGATACGTGGGTGTGCTGGTCCGCCGTCAACCTTGACAACTCCATCGGCCAGACGCCTCGGCGCGAGGTTGTGTTGAACCAAGACCACGACGCCGTCCGTCTTCTGCCTAAGCACGATGCCGACGCTGGTGGATAACGGTCAAGGCTCGCGCGCGGTGTAAGGAGTCAAGGACAAGGACGGGCATGTATATGGACGCAGAGGCCGCCTCAGCCTCTTGGAGGCATTGTCCAGTCCCGATGTCACGACCTTGAGTTTGTTGATCGAGGCTGGAACGGGCCTGTGGCAACAGCCATGGACATTACTGGACCCGGCTCTGCTGGCAGGGGATTGAAGAACCATCCAGGTCCTCCAACCTTTGGGCGCTAAGCGGCCTTGGAAGCAAGCGGCCACAAAAGCTTTATACATGAAGCCGACCAGGTTGGTCTGTCACAAAATATTGTCGCGATAGCCAGAAGCAACAAGCTTATTACTCCGAGCGAGGTCTACACTGCTACAGTGCATACGCGGTACACTATGGCAGGTGCCGACGTTCACGGCCAGATCCGGGCCTTGTGTGGGGAGCTCGAGATTCAAATAGACATTGGAAGCATCAACGACACGTTTCTACCCGCTCCCAAACACCATGACGATCCGGACGCTGAAGAGGCGAGCCAACACAAAGCGTGTCATCAAGTCCGCTTTTCCACAAAGTGGAAGCCGCTATGCGACTTCGTCTGGGGAGTTGTCGGTGTTTCGGCTCTGGAAAGCGCTGTCCGTGGAATTCGCGCGCAGAAGCATCACAAAGTCATCCAACCGCCCGCCCGCCTCTGCCTGTCTTTCCAACAGCCTGGTGACCGCTGCAAGAAACCAATTCATCTGAGGCACCTGGAACGGAGACAAAATACTGGAGAGTCTGTTGGAAAGCCGTGGAGCCTTGTCCCGCGACTAGGACAATACTCAACATGCCGTCTTGGACTTAGGCAGCCGTGGCTGGCGAGATTTCGTTTGATCTGGTTGGCCGCTCTTCAAGGCAGGATGTCAAAACCCTCGCGAGTCTTGGCGTCGTCTTCATAGACGTCCAAGCCAACGCGTCACTTGGTCAGGCATCCGGTTCCATAACCATTAGGAGCAGGCTATGTCGGAGGAAGCCATTCGACCCTTGAATCTTCAAGGCAGCAGGACACGAAATGCTGTGCTGATGACAATCTCCCGGCTCCTTGGTCGTCAGGCCCGGTCATTTTGCTCCTTGGACTTGATGACTCTCCGAGGGACCTGGCTGTGGCTGTCACAGCCTACGCTGTGACTCCGAACGCCCTCAGCAGGAATAGGCTCCAGAACTTCGACTCGAGGGCACGCATCGGAAACCTCGTTGTCAACAACTCGACGAAAGTTTATTGGATCTGATTTTTCATCGAATGAAGATCATCGCTATGAGAGACATTGTCTTCACGATACCCCCTTGAAAGGCATATGCAAGCAATCTACGCTACTAGCTAGCATTAACGAACCCGTACAAAAACGAGAGATTCCAAAGAACCAAGAGACGGAGGAGATCCTCGACTAGGAGACTGATGTGAAAAGTTAATTAGACAAAAGACTTGATAGCATCATTTTGCCTTGTTTAAAGACGTGGGCTTTTTTCTAGCTACTAAATAGTTAACCCCACTCTTATATTAACTCCTGTCAGCAGGACAAAGACTTATAAACTATACCAATAACAACTCCACCGGGGGTGCCCCTATTTTGCTGATGGTCAAGTGGTATTTGCTATGTTTGACAACTCCGTTATTAAAAAGCTGGGACCGGAAAGACAACTACTCAAGTCGCCAAAAATCTACTAGACTTACGATTAGTTAGTAGGAGGGACAGCTTTTAGCATGAACACTACAGGTATAGTTGAGTTTCGGTATATAGCGCTTTCAGCTCATAATAAGACAGCGTATATATATTAGCTCCAAAGGCGAAAGTTATACGGCCCTCTCCGACTTCCATACAACTCCCACTTAAGTCCTCGCCCCTCCTTCCTCTCGCTCCATTCAACTCGAACATCGTCCAAGGCCGTTAGAGTACTTGTAGTAATATGGCTTCTCGTCTTTGGCATTCTCCACTCGCCACCGCCGACCGGGCTGAGATCGTACCTCAACGCCATGATGACCAATATAGCCAAGATCTCGCTTTCCGCGAAGTGGCGACCGGGACACACGCTCGCGCCGCTCCCAAACGTCTGAAGCGCAGCTGCTGGTGCCCTATGGGCTGACTGGCCCTCCTTCTCGATGAAGCGCTCCGGATCGAACTGCGATGCAGTTGGGCCCCAGGCCGACTCGCTGCTATGCATCTCCGCCGACGGGATAAGCAGGAACGCGTTCTTCTTCAGCAGCATCTCGTTGTCCAGCAGTGTGTCCCCGAGGACGATGCGCCCGGAGGCGTTTGTGCTCTGCACGCGGAGGACCTCGCGGACGAGCGAGGTCAGGAACGCGCCATCGTCGACGACTTTGCGAATATTGACGCGGCGCACTCCATTTCTCCTCGCTACTACTAGGAACTTGTAGATCTCCTTCCGCACTCTTGCGAGGAGCGAGGCGTCGGAGTAGACGTATAGGAGCACCCAGGCCGTACCGGCGACGGTATTAACGAGCAGGGCGATACAAACTGCCAGGTCAAAATGCGCAATATCCTCCTGTGAGACGCCATACTTGCGGTTGACCTGCATACGCGATTGGATAAGTGCCGAGGCGGTCGTATGCCCACACGCGGCATAATACCTACTCATAGCGTTAAAGAAAAGCTTCCGTCCGCGGCTGGCCTTGGGAGCCAGGAGACTAGGGAATATGTCAAGGCCTAGCAGGGCAAAGTTCTCGTCAATAGCCCTATAAGCGCCGTAAGTCTCCAGCTATCTAGAGGGTCTACTTGTACGCGAAATAGGCACAAGGTCTCGGCGACGTACCAGATTGCCCGACTAACCGCAGGATCCCGCATAGGATTCCTCTCAGCCCCATAGACGGAGCCGACGCCAAGGACAATGAGGATTAAAGCCAGCATGTTTAGCGAAGTGCCGGAGACGCTGTCTGTATCTACACTCCTAGAGGATGAACTCGGCCTCTACAAGGCCGAACGTTGCTATTTGCCGACGTCACCTCAAGCCAGGGGCCGCCATTAGGAGCTCTATACTGCGGCTGGACATGACGCCAGGCGGAACTCACATGCCATCATGCCACGTCTGTTAGCTGTATGTAAGTGCCGCTTACGTCCCACAGAACTGGGCAGGGCAGGGTGCGCAGAGAGGCGGACGGTCAGCGTGTCAAACTCAAGCCCTTGGCGTGGCAACCGAAGCAAGGACGCAGCACAAGACCCGCTTTGCTATCGAGGTCCAGGCTACCGGCATGGAGAGCCGGACGAAACAAGTCTAGAAGATGCACCTCTACAGTACGAGGTATCGGTAGACGCACAACTAACAGGCCAGCGTCCCCCGACCGCCTCCGGGCGTTTCCCTGTCGGGCCGTTGGCCCTGACGAACTAAGCCCCCTTTGACCTTTTCCATGCGCCTTTCCTCTTTAGGTGCACTCGTGACTCGTCATCGCCGCCCCACCTTCCGTTTGCTGTTTGCTCGTTTCGTTAGTCAGGGCCTTCCTTCCCTGTCTGACTGACTCCATATGCACGCCGGCAACGAATCGGACACGCACGCCCCGGCGTGGACGAAAGGAATGGCACATCCTAGACGCTGCTCTATTACCTAATACTCTACCTGTGATATTCGTGTCATGTCTCTCTGTCCCCCCGCATCGATGCCCTTGGCCACTCATCTCGGAAAAGCCCCCATCCCTCGGCCCCCATCCCTCGGCCCCCAACTCCGCCTTCTGCTGCCGTTTCCCGATCCGAATGCACGCACTTACACATCGCGCATGCATCAGCCGTACAGTGACAGACATGTGGTAGGTACAGTACCCTACGCCCGCTCACAGCGCTTGCATCCTACGCCGGACCCTGAACCGTATCGGACGGCAGGGCTTGCTGACGCCGAATCCAAACCGTGCGCTGTCAAAGGCTAGCGCCGCCTCGTCGGCGAGGATCTCGACGTCGAACGTGCTGACAAGGAGAGCCGTGGAGAGGAGCATGATGCGCTTGGCAAGGACACGCCCGGGGCACGCGTGCTGGCCACCTGCCACATTCGTACTGCAATCAGCGCCGGGCTTTCTCACCCAAGAAGCGAGACGGGCAGGGAACGGGAAATCGAGCCTACCTCCGTACGGGATCCAAGCCCCTTCGAGACCGTCGGTGGAGAAATAGACATGACCGTGAGCCTTGTCCCCTGGGCCCGCAGAGGCCGGCCTCTTCCTCGTCGGGCCACTCGACTCATCGCTCGGATCGACGAGGAACCTTTGAGCCCAGAACTGCTCCAGGGGCCGCGTGCCGTCCTTGGTGTTCCAGACCCGTTCGTCCATGTGCGAAAGCCGAGTGTTGACCAGGATCAGCTTGTTCCTGGGAATGGTCACGCCGCCCACGTGGAGCTCGTTGAACGGGGCGCTTCGCGGAATGTGGATCTGGACCGTGGACCTCAATGTCTCGGCGTAGATGGAGAGAAGCAGCGGAACTGTCTCGAGGTCCTGGACGGCCGTGGGCGATTGTAGGCGAGAGAGCGAGCTGCGCAAGGAGGAGACGAGCTTCGGGGAGCGAAAGACGTGCAGAGCGAGCGTCATGGACGATGGGATGACGTTTGTCACGGATCTGTAGCTTGACTGGTCATTTACCTGCACCCGGAGAGACAGGCGAGGCTATGAGGGTGTGTTCAAAACTTCAACGTACGCCCAGATGAATGCGAGGTCCGTAGAGGCAACGGATGCCTCGTCCTGGCCGTTGGCGCCCAGTAGGGTCGTGTACCTCTCTCTCATCATTCCGGTAGCCCACCCGGGGTCACGGTGAGGCTCTCCAGCGGCCTCTGCAGCGGTTGTCCCGGTTGGGGCGTCAGAGTGCCATCGCCTAACCGCCGCGAGCAGCTTCTCCCTGAGTCGATATGTCTTCGGGATGCAGAACCACGGAAGCCTCCTGGCCAGACTCATGACCCCTTTGTCGTACTGCCACAGGTCCCGAACAAAGTCTGGATTCTGATGGAGGATCTCGCCGCCGAAAACCGCCCGTATCAAGGCCGAGCCGTGGTGGTGCTCAAAGAACCGTGCCAGGTCCGGCCCTTCAGTCCAGGCTTGGCCGGTGACGGACGCTTGCAGCGACGTCGTCAGATGCGTCCTGAAGCGCTCTGTCGTCGGCCCGAGGCCATTCTGCAGCAGGCCTGAGACCAGATTCTCGTGCGTCATGAAGCTGATTCGCTCCCGGGGCCGCGGGCTGCTCCCGGGAATGGGCTTGTGCCTCGAGCCCGAGCTGTCGGCCAGGTACGCGGCCACGGCTTTCTGGTCCATTCCAAAACATTGCTTCAGCACCAGGCTGTACGCCCGTGTGACGCCGAGGTGGGTGCTGTGGAAGATCTCGGCCACGTTCTTGGGCCCTTGGACAAGGTAAGCTTCGTCGCGAAGAATGGCGACGCGGAGGGTCGAGGCATATGGGAATTGTCGTCTGCAAAAAGGCTGGTAAGTCCAACAAGACACCATCTGTGCTTGGGAAGCCCTCACGTTGCGTTCTGGAGGAACAGAAGTCCGTCGAAGACAAAGGGGATGGCGCTTCTTAGAAAGGGAAGCGTGTAGGGGACGGTATCGCCATGGTCAGGCCGCTTCTTTCGGCGTTTCAACGAGTAGCATGCCAAGAGCAGAAGTAAAAAGAACAGAGAGTATCCGGGCCAGCGCCAATCAACCAAACCCAGATGAGGCTTGCTCGTCGATGGCCCTTGACCTTGAGCCAGAGCAGAATCCATGGTGGCAGGCGGCCAGTGAGACATGGAGTCGAGGACGAGACCTCTCGGGCGTCCAGGAATTATTACACGTCCCTCTCAACATTTAAAGACTCCCCTGCCGTAACTAACGGTGCGCCGTTTAGATCAGGCTCCCCGTACGCAGTGACGCCCTGGCGCAAGCATCAGCACGCTTTCAAGCATTGCCCTGTCTGGAAGCTGCCGACTGTGACATCGGTATTTGATGTTGCGGTTGGCGGCCTGCCGCAGCTCATGCTCGCCTCCGCCCCGACTCGGCTTACGATTCTCGTCCTGTCTTTGTCTGGGGCATAACGTCATGTAGCACCTGGCAGGATGAGACACGTTGTTACAGCGTTCCGGCCCCATCCCGCATGTAGATCAGGCAGGAGTTGCGCTGAGCCGCCTGTTGGCTGGCCGCGGACATGGACACGAAAAGCACGCAGGAGCCGAAGCGTACAAGGCATCCGGGCCGTCGCCAGCCCGTCTCGGAGCTGTCTCGGTCCAAACGCATGCATCCGGCACGCCCGCGCGCGAGGAAACCTGGATTGAACCGGCCGAAGTCGTTCAGTCTAGCGAATCAACGTCTTTGTAACAACCTCTGGCTATCTTGCTATTTCTACGTTCCAATCCACATCGGGAGACTGGACGAGCAGCTCGTCGACGCATAGTGCTAGACGAACTCCCGTCAGCCCCTCTTCTCATGCTTACCCGGGGCCCGTTCGTGACTAGATGTCTCGACGGTATGGGCTACACGGGCCGAGCCAAGCGGCTCAGAGTGGTTCCGCGACGCCGGGTCCGACGAGTAGAACCTCTTTGCCTCGGCCAGGTCATCCTGCGACTTGGTGCTCTTCTTGGAAGAGAGCCGGAGGAGGCCTACGCGGGAGCCGGCAAACCTCTTGGTCTAAGAGCCTGCGTAGCTCCTCTCGCCAGCAGGTGGGTGCTTCTTTTTGAAGATGAAGAGCTGGCGAAAGGACGCGAGGCAGGCTACGATGATGGCTGGTCTCCTGTTAGCCGTGACGTCAACGGGTGAGAGACCGGACAGACATACCGACTCCCATCTCGACGTTGGACCACATATACAGCCAGTCTATACTAGGGTTCTGCATCTGGTCCGTCGACCCCTTAACCAGGATGACGCGGATCACGGCTACCACTATAATGAAGACGGTGACGGAGAAGATGCCGGCGAGGAGCAGCTTCTTTTTCCACGGCATCTGCACGTTCCAGAGAATCTAAAGCGGGATCGACATAACGAGCAGGTCCGTGGCCAAGTCGGCCGCCAGGTTGGCGTAAAAGGTGCGGTTCTGGTAGTAGATGTGATGGCTTCGGGTGCATTGGGCTTCTCGCAAGTCAGATACACGCGCCCGCCGGCCACCATCTACGCATCTGCGGGGGCTCACTGAGGATATGGATAACGTCGTTGACGCTGCACTTATAGTCGATGTCGGCCACGCAGGCGACCAATCCGGCGACGACGAGGGCACAAATCACCCACCACCCAACCTAGCCCTCGCGCGTTGTCTTAGGGCCTAGCAGGCGGCGAAAGAAGATCAGAAACAAGAGCTTCACAGCCCAGAGGCACGAATAGAAGAGCACGTTCCACACCACAATAAGCGGCATGAAAACGGCCCACTCGGCGACAAACTCGGGCGTCGCGGGCGCGCGTCCGGAGCTAACGTCGAACTGCCAATACAGCAGCGACGACTTCGTCTGCTAGAGGATAGACGAGACGAGGAGCATGAGCCACGCGGCCGTGACGAGGGCGTCGTCTGCGTGGAGCGTCTTGAAGGAGCGAATGCGGATGGCGAAGCGGAACAGGACGAAGACGAGCGAAAGGCCCGTCGTGGCCCAGGCGACGGCCTGCGTCGTCAGTCGCGTCTTCTGCTCATCCTGGGGCACGGCTTACCAGGAACGTGGTTCTGCTCATACGCTGGTCGGCGGGCGTGGCCAGCTGGCCCTCATCGGGAAACTGAGGCGCGGCAGACATGTCGGCGATGGCCAGGTGTGCGTCGTTCCTTGACCAACAGGCCTCAACATTGGGCAACGAAGAACGGAGAGTGGAAAGGCGAAGTCTCGCAGCTCATCCTCGTTCTTTGAGTGGGCAGAGCGCAGCAGGTCGAGAGAGGGGGGCACACAGTCTTGGCGGTCCAGGCGAAGCGGAGATCCTCGGGACCCAAGTCGTTATCGAGGCTTCGACCCAACCGATGTCGAGTGGTGAAGATGCTGGCCACGTTACGCGGAGGATGGGAGGGCATCCCGGCCCCCAACGAGCCTCCAACGAGCCCGAGGTCGGCTTCTGCTTGGCCACAGCCAGTGGGCAGCGCCCTTTCAAGCCCCTTTGCGCTGCAACCCATCCCAGGCCTGTCCCTCGACAGCCGGGTGTTGGTCAGCAACACGGCCGCCGCCCGCCGGCGATGCATCAAGACCCCCGTGGGCTTGCGCGACATCCGGAAGCGTGTGCATGGGACGGTGTTGTCGATGAGCTGCGAACCAACCCCTTCGGCTGTGGCACTTGCCATCATGTGCTGTCTGTCTTGGACCCCTAGTCATTCCACATCTTGGCTGTCTACACACGTTCTTCTACAGCCAGGTTGAGGGGCTCCTTGCTCCCCTCGATGTCCACGACGGTCTGTGGAGCGCTGCCGTCCGTACACTCCTGCCCCGGCCTCATGCCCCTGTCCCGGTCCGCCTCGGCCGCCTTCCTCTGTTTGGCCACCCTGACCGCATTGAGCCACTCCATGCCCAGCGTGAACGGCACCGTCGCGCCCAGCAGCACCGTAGCCAGTATCATGGTCCTCGCAATTGCCGTGTTCCAGATCTCGCGCAGCACCTCCAGCGCCTCCGGCGTGGGGCCCAGCGCGGGCATGTTGGCCGCGCCCGCCGTGATGACCATCTGCGGCGACAGGCCCGGCAGCCGCCTTGCCACGAGGTCCAGCAGCGTCGTGATGATAATGGTCTGGCCCATGGATATGGACACGGCGCCGCCGAGCTGGTAGAAGAGCACGGCGATGGCGTTGCCCACGGGGATGTCGTCGTCCGCGAGCACGATGGCGACGGCCGTGTAGGGCAGTTGCATGGCCATGGCCGTGCCGAGGCCCGCCACGACGAGCCCGGCGGCCCAGTAGAGCGTCCTGCTGTCCGGCTGGATCAGCGTCAGCATGGCCTGCCCGCCGATGGCGATGAGCTCGCCGACGACCATGTACGGGACGTAGCTGCCAAACTGCTTGACCATGCCACTCACCACGTATGTCTGAGCTCCGAAGAAGAACAGCACCACGGCGCCGGTCCAAATCGACCGCTTCTTCAGCACCCGGAGAGGTATCAGGGCCACATCCCCTCGCCTCCACTGCCAGTAGGCAAACAAGGCGGCGATGAGGAAGCCCCCTACTAGGCACCCGATGACGTCTGCCGAACTCCAAGCTTTCTGCTGGCCGCCCCACTGGAGCGCGAGCAGGAGGCAGCATATGGCGCCGATGAAGACGTCGCAGCCAAGAGGGTCCATGTTGCTGACCTTGGCCTTGAAGGGCAGCGCGCGGTCCTTGTTGGTCGCGCCACGGACCTTGAGGAAGATGGTGAGCCCCGCGAGGACGACTGCGCCGATAGGGACGTTGCTAAGCCCCAGGTCGGCCAGTCAGTCATGGCCACGCGTGACGGCATTGGACTTACATCCAGAAGCACCAGCGCCAGGTGCTGTGCTGCACAAAGACCCCGCCCAGGACCGGGCCGATGGTGACGGTGACGACAAAGACGCTGATGACAATGCCCATGTACAGCGGGCGCTTCTCCAGCGGCACGACCTGGCTGATGATGCTCAGCGCGCCCTGCAGGACGCCCGCGGCCCCGAAGCCCGCGACGGCTTGGCCGACGATGAACATGGGCGAATTTACGGCGGCGGCGCAGATGATGGAGCCGACTAACACGGTAAGCTCTCCGCCCTCACCAAGGGACACGGTGGGTCCAGGGACGCTCACCCTCAAAGATGAGTATCGACAGCCGGTACACGACATCCGTGGAGAAGTACTTGTACACGGAGCCGTACACGGGCTGCAGCGCCGTGATGAAGAGCAGGTACGCGGTGCCGTACCAGGCCACATCCTGCAGGGCGGCAAAGTCGGACGAGATACGCGGCAGGGCGACGTTGATGATGTTTGTGTCGAGGGCGATGAGGAAGGCGCCAAGTAGAGGCACGCGATGATAACGTAGAGCCGCCACCCGGCGAGGTGTGCCGACGTGTCATGGGCTGGCGTAGACATGGTGATGGCTCGCGAGTGTCGTCGATGCGCGGACGTCGTGCGGGATAGGGGAGGTGAAGCGCGAGAGAGGACTGCAGAGGCCAGGCCAGCAGCAGCCGGCCGTAGTTGAAGAGTTGGCCATGAACCTGAGTAGACACCTTCATGGCCTGCAACAGGCAACAAGACGGGCAGATGACGGTTGAGTGGACGGACGCAGGTTCTCGTGCCCGTGGCCAACCGCAGGACACGCTGGGTGCGCAGTGCGACCACCACGCTGTAACAGCCGGGATTGTGGGTTGGTGCGGAGGCGGCATCCTGTTGCATGTAGCACAGCAGAGCGGAAAGGCGATGGACCATGCAGGCGGGCGGCGCCGTGCTCGACGCAGTCAGAACTTCATGCGACCAACGACATCGCATTGCCGTCGGCAGCCCGGGGGAGCGACGACACTCGCTCTTGCGGCTCGAGGGGGCAAGCCGATCTGGAAAGTAAGCCAAAGACGGTCCATAAGAAGAGCATCAGAAGAGCACACCGGTACTGTCTTGCTTGGTCTGCCGCTGCTTACAACCAATCCAAGCCCAGACCCAATAATCTCATTGCAATGGCGAACCACGGTGTCAAGCCCGTGGCGCAGCTCCTGGCTCAGATCCAGAGCAACACCAGCGAGTATCTCGCCTTCTTCTCGGCCCAGGGCCTCCCCGAGCCCTCGTTCGGGGCCGGCGATGGGCTCAAGCAGGGTCAGCCGTTGCCCGCGAGCGTGCAGGCGGCACGGGACGCGGCTCTCGAGGCCACTGACGAGCTGCACCACCTGCTCCTCGGCCCGCTCGCCCTCGTCGTTGACTGCCCCGGCGACCATTACCTCATGCTGAGCCTGCAGTACATCTTCCGCCACAAGCTCGTGCGGCATGTGCCCCTCGAAGGCGCGACGACCTTTGATGCTGTTGCGCAGGCGGCGGGCCTCGACGTGCGCGATGTCACGCGCTTCCTCCGCTCCGCCATGACCCGACACGTCTTCCACGAGCGGCGCAAGGGCAGCGTGGAGCACACGGCGGCGTCGCGGGTGCTCGTCGACGACGACAGCAACGGGCACAGCGCCGCCATGGTCGAAGCGTGGGTGACCAACATCGCCGACGAGTTCTGGCCGGCGCTGGCGCGCACCGTCGACGCGACGCAGCGCTGGCCCGGCAGCGAGGAGCCCGGCGAGTCCCGCGGGCTACGCGCTCGGCCACGGTACGAGGCGCGACGAGAACCCGTTTGACGCGATCTGGCGGGACGCGGCGCGGCAGCAGCGCTTCATCGACGCCATGACGTACTCACACCGGCACGCGAGCTACAGCGTCGAGCACCTGCTGCAGGGCTTCGACTTCAGCGGCGCGCGCACCGTCGTCGACGTCGGCGGCTCGCACGGACAGGCGGCCGTGGCGCTGGCGGCCAAGTACCCGTCGCTGGAGCGCATCGTGGTGCAGGACCTGGGCGAGACCATCGTCGGGCTCAACGACAAGGTGCCCGGCGAGCTGCGCGCGCGGGTCCACGGCATGGCGCACGACTTTCTCGCGCCGCAGCCGGTGCGGGATGCCGACGTGTACCTGCTGCGCTGGATCCTGCACGACTGGAGCGACAAGTACTGCGTCAAGATCCTGCGGGCCTTGGTGCCCGCGCTGAAGCCGGGGGCCAAGGTCGTGGTCAACGACATTTGCATGCCCGAGCCGGGCCAGCTGGGCATCGCGGCGGAGCGGTCGCTGCGGCTGATGGACATTTCCATGAAGGCCTTCAACAACGCGAGGGAGCGCGACGCCGAGACGTGGGCGGGCCTGTTTGCCGAGGCGGATGCGAGGTTTGAGTTTGTGGGCATCACGGTGCCCGAGGGGGCGAGCATGGCCATCATTCAGGCGCAGTGGAGGCCGACAGCGGCGAGCGTAGGGGACACTGAGGGCAATCTAGGAAGGTAGGTAGGGACGTACTTAAGGTATCGAGGTACCTTAGATAAGGCAGGTACCTACCTACCTAGGTAGGTTGTGATGGAAGGTACTCTAGGTAGTCGGTAGTTAGTATCTAGGGGATGAGGGTGCGTCTGATGACTGCCTATATAGCTAAACATGTATCTAAGATAACTTAGGTACCTACCTATGTATCTACCTAGTTAGCTTAGGATCCGTATACTCTTATTTAGATGGCGAAGACAGCAGCTCGCGACACCCAAGTTTCGAGGCGGCGACACATTTACGTCTTCCTAGCATAAATCACGTCGATTGAGGGAACAGCTCCAACTGTTCCGCTTGTCAAGGCTTCAAAGCCGGGCAGCCTCGTGCACGCAGACAACGGAGGCCCCTTCGGTGCGCGTTGCAGCAACAAAGGACGCAGCTGTGAGACGAGCAAGGCATGTGACGTACTGAACGGAACACCAGCCGGGGATTACAGTATGGAGACTTCTACGGATATCTTATACTGTAAAGGAGAACTGTTTTATTGTGCTGTGTCTTCATTGGCTATGCCCCTTGCTCGGTACTTTACTTGCCCCTGCTCTTCTCCGCGAGCAGCGGCGCATTATCAATGTACATACAATATGGATAGATAAGTATCTCATGGCGTGTGTTTATGACTCTCTGGGCCCCCTGTCGGCTGTTGGCGACAGCACCCCAGATATCCGTAGGAGCACCCCAGATAGGTATCACCTTCCCACTGCTCCAGGGAGCGTGATGCAGCAGCAAGGGGCTGACGTGAACCCCCCCGGCCACCTACCTGCATTTGCCACCGGATGGCCTTCCATACATACGAGGCACTGCAAATGCCGTCGGCCAACAACTCCAGCCCGTCGCGGGCTCAGGATTCAATGTTCATCACCAACCTGCTTATGAAGCCGAGTTCGCGGAGCTCCTGTCTGCAACCCCTCTCGCGCCCGGCTCTTGCCTCTCTCTGACCCTCCTCTCTCGTGGCTTCAACACCACGCCCAAGCCGCACCGGAGCCCTCCACTGCCTCCAGCGTCATGATCCTCACACTCCTCTTCACCGCCGCCCTCGCCTACGTCATCTGGAGCCTCGCCTGCCTCGAGAGCAACGTCCGCAAGGCCCGCGCCATCGGCGTCCCCGTCGTCCGCCTGCCCATCGACGTCCACAACATCCCCTGGACCACCCTCCAGCCGCTCTCGTCTGGGCCATCCTCGACCGCCTTCCCGTCCCGTGGTCCTCGTACCCGGACTTTGTGCGTTTCGCACGCCGAGGATGGCACTTTACTGACAGGTCCGACACGCACCTCCGCCTGGGCCCCGCTTGGGCGCTCGTCACCCCTATGGCCATCCACCTGCAATTTGCCGACCCGGACGCTATCCGCGACATGTTTGCGCGCCGCGAGGACTTTGTCCGCCCCATCAAGGACTACAAGGTCCTCGAGATCTACGGCCCCTGCATCTCCACGGCCGGATGGGACGACTGGGCTCGCCACCGCAAGCCCCTCGCCGCGCCCTTCAACGAGCGCATCATGACCTTTGTATGGGAAGAGTCTCTCAAGCAGGCGGGCGCAATGCTGCGCTCCTGGACCGGCGACTCGGCCGCGGTGGCCGGCATCCCAAGCGTGCAAAAGGACACACGGACCCTCTCGCTCAACGTGCTCGCCGCCACGGGCTTTCACAAGTCATACGACTTTCACGGCTCGGCAGACGGCCCCGTTGTCGACGACGAGGCGGGCAGCTATCGTGATGCGCTGCAAACCGTCCTCGACAACTCCATCCTTCTCATACTGGTGCCCTTCCGGTACCTCGGCGCTCCCATTATGCCCAAGAGCTGGGCCAAGGTCGGCCGGGCAGCCCGCGTCTTCAAAAAGTACATGGAGCAGATGCTCCAAGACGAAACCGCCACCCGGGACCAAGGCAAGCCCGGCTCCGGCGGCATCATGACGTCCTTTGTCTACGCCCTCGCCGAGCACGACCTCAACCCCGAGGCGCAAAATGCAAAGGTCTCCAAGAGCGGCAAGAAGGGCCTCAGTGTCGACGAAATATACAGCAACCTCTTCGTCATCAACTTTGCTGGCCACCACCGCCAACACTCTGGCCTTTTCCATGTTCCTCCTCGTTGGCCACCCGGAGGTGCAGGCCTGGATCGCCAAGGAGATTACCGCCTTGACCAAGGACCTGCCCGTCGGCGAGTGGGATTACAAGACGCGCTTCCCGGAGCTCAAGCGCTGCCGGGCTGTCCTCCTGGAAACGCTGCGGCTCCACCCCCCCATCATGGCGCTCCCCAAGTGGACGTTGAAGAAGGCACAAACGCTTACCGTGGGCGGGCAAGCGCTGGTAATCCCCCCGGGCATCAGCACCAACCCCTACCTGATCGCCATCCAGACCCACCCCAAGTACTGGAGGGATCCTGTCAGGACAAGAAAGGGCCTATAATACGCGTTAGTAACACCTCTATTGGGGGTGCCCTCATTTTGCATGGTGTAGCGGTATTTTACCAGCTTGATAGATCCGTACGCCTGGCAGCCGTCACGGTGGATCTCGAACCCGGCAGCCTCACCGGACGCAATGGCTGAGGAGAAGGTTGTCGTGCCGCTCAAAGGTACCTACTTCCCCTGGTCCGACGGCCCGCAAAACTGCCCCGGCAAGAAGTTCGCCGAGGTCGAGGCCGTCGCTGTGCTGGCCTGCTTATTCAAAACACACCGCTTGCTGGCCAAGAAGGACGCCGGGGAGAGCGACGAGTCCGCGAGGAAGAGAGCCCTGGCCTGTGCAAACAACGTTGACATGGAGATGCTGCTGAGGATGGTGGACGCTGGTCGGACAAGGCTCATTTGCAAGGAGGCTTAGATCGCATGCTTTTGCCTGCAATCTCGTCTATCATGGGATTGGGTGAGTAGGCCATTTGGCAGATGGGTTGGAATGGACTTGGATTGCAATCCATGGATTGAGCTCGTCGGCGCTCTACGTCGATGTACGCAGCTCAGCGGCTTGCTCCACGACGTTCGCTTCATCAGTCACAACAAAGATTATAGTCGAGGTAGGTTCCACGCCGGCAAGTATTAATAACCACCCACCACCTGGTCTAGAAATGGACCAACCGTAGGGCCAGCTCGCTTCAAGACCATAGCTCTCTCCTCAGCATGTCGAACCACGCATACTCGTTTGGATACTCGGCGAGGATATTCGGCAAAGATTCATGCCAATTATCCTGCCAAGCCCCCGAGGAAAACATTGCCAAGGCATACTCCCAATATTCCGGATACCATCCTGCTGTCTCCCATCAATCAACACTATAGTCCCATCATCCTTGGCGATGAAGTCTTTCCTCTGCAAGTCACCGTGAGTAAATACTGACTTGTGGTTCTGTAGATCAAGGGGGAGCACATGACGGTAATATGAGGCTTTATGGTTTAGTCCACTATTGTAAAGGTATTGCTCGATCAAGGCGTCGTTGAGCCTTGGCTCTGAATCAAAGGGCCCGCTGATTGATCGGCCAGCTCCGTCCTTGTCTGCAGTCCAGAACATGCATGGACTCTTCAAAGGGCCGTTTCCCGATGCACCCGAAGTATCCAGGTGTGGGAATGCTCCGTAAAGACTCGAAGTGAATACGCAGTTGACTCAACAATTTCGCCTGCTCTGACGCGTCTAAGCGGTTCCATTAATCATCCAGCCTATGGCCTGGTATGTATTCCATGATGATGTAGCTGATGCGGCATGCCTGCGTATCTCTCGTGGAGTAAAGGGCAAAGACCTCTGGTACGGGGACCGAGCATGCTTCGCGGACAAAGAGCATGTTTTCGCCTTCGGTCAGACTCACGTTTGCGCCGTACTTTACGAGATGATAATCGCCGGAACGAACGACTCGTCTGCCGGTATACTCTTGAAGAATGTCTCCCGAAGACTCAATGGCCGCTGGCAATCGGTCTTGGGGAGCAAAGAAAGGCAGCTGAAAGGCTTTGTCCATGATTTCGTAGTGTCCAGGCATGCGGCCGCAGACGACGCACTGCGATTTTTTTTTAGATTTGGCGTCGTGCAGAGGCGTGAGGTCCCCAAGACTCGGAGGCAAGACGGTGACGCGCTTCAGTTTCGTCAATGACGCTGGGCCGACTCGGAGGGTAAGTTGCGGCGGCGGATTCTATAGCGCCTGTGTCCTGGGTGCTGAGCCCGGGACTGGCCGGTCGTTGTACTCTAACTCTTCAGTCTTCACAGTTCTGTTCTGTTGGGGCTTGATGATGTCGGCAGCCGTCGTTGAAGGCGCTGATCAGCTCGCACCGAGCCAAGTTGTGTGCGTGAGAGGATGCCAGCAAAGCATGGACGTGCGCGTGTTGGTCCGTCAATGCTGCTCAGTGTGCTGTGACCGAGAGTGGATATATAGATAATCATATGCTGGAGGGTCCATCTCGAGCGATGAATCTCTCGTGGGGATGTAATGACAGTAATTACCAGGTTAGACTTGGGTCCATATCAATAAGCTTAATGATAGGCGGTCTTAGGCTTATTAACTTAACCTCTACCCTAATTAACACGCTACCATCTCATGTCTACATACGTGCAGAAGGAAGACCTTTTCGGCATATCCAAACAGCAACGTTGTCTGGCTTCGATGCCTGCTTGACCAGGCTCCTTATAATCGAGGTACATACAGTACATATAGTAATCACATGCAGTACATACAGAGACTGCTTCAGTGCTTGCTGTACGTCGCCTGGCCCTGGCCCTCACCAACAACCCCCCTTCCATGATCCGGTTTCTGACATGCAGAGCGCCTTGATCCATAATTGGCCTACTGAAAACGTAGCATCGACGCAGATCAAGGCGGGGTTCCGGCACGTCGCTGCCGACAAGCCGGCGAGGCCTGCACGTCGCTGCCGACAAGCCGGCGAGGCCTGCACGTCGCTGCCGACAAGCCGGCGAGGCCTGCACGTCGCTGCCGACAAGCCGGCGAGGCCTGCACGTCGCAACACGGGCGTTTCGGGTGGGCGGCGCCATTAGATTTAACCTTATGACGGAGTGATCCTGGGTCATCATCTTCTCTTCATTGTCGAGGCTCAGCGACATGTCACAATGAAAGCCAGGATACGGCCGGGAAGTGCATAATACTGCAAGCCCGGACCTACACAGCACTGCAGGCGCAGCCACGTCATAATGCTCTATATCAGCCCTACAAAAGTCGGGCAATGCAAGTCATCGTTTCCTGTCATTGGACACCCTTCAAGGTGCACTGTCGATCCTCTACCGAATATGCTCTTGCGAGTTGTGACTGGCAGCTTATTTGTCCGTCTACTAGGCCGAAGAAAGCGAGCATGAGCAGGGTCGGACCGGGGGTGACACGCGCGGAGGGAGACCTGCTGCCGTGTGAGAAAACCCCGCCGTTGTCCTGTGTCTTTCTTTTCAGACATCCATATGCCTATTCCCTGGCGCTTTGTGGAGGGCGGCAGATCGGTCCATCTAGTGTGCGAGACGGGTGGCGAAAGACAACAACGCCAGAGTGCTCTGCGCAATCGCCATTGCAATTTGTGGTCCTCGAGGCCAAGGGGGACATCGGGTACCTTCAACCCCATGGGCGAATCCTGGTCTGATGACCTAGAGGCGAATCCTACAAGAGCTCCCTTTGATGAGACCACGATGGCCATGCATAAGTGCTGACGGAGCAAATCCAATGAGAAACTCGTGACGCAGTCATCGAGATTGAGATGAGAGACCAGAGCAAACGTGGAGTCTCTCGTCATCACACGTCCGTGTTCCTCGTACGGGTACGAGATGCGGCTACGGCTATAAAAGGGAGGTCCCATCCCTCCGCCACAGATGGGTTCGTCAGGACACTCTCTCCCAAATCATCCATCCCTGCCCCGTTAACCTCCTCGTCCAGTCTGAAAATGAAGCTCTTTACCAACCTCCTGCTCCTCGGGGCCCTGGCAAGCTCTGTTCTCTCCACCGCGATCCCCGAAGTGGCAGAGGAGGCCGAAGTCGGCGACGTTGCCGACTCGGGCGTCTCGACTCCCGACGACGCCCCCGGGTCCTTTGCTGAGGCCAGGGCGGTAAGGCAAACCTTCAATCTCCCACCTGAGAGGCGTCGGACACTCACTAACCGGCTTTGACTTGGCATGTATAGAGGTGCAGGGGAATTTGCGGTCCGCACGGCTGCCACTGCACTCGGCCTGTTCGCGTCTGCCCCTGCCGAGGCATTGGCCGTGTATGCTCTTGCAGGTAAAAGACACGGGACACAAGTCGGTGATGAAGGGTGGCGCCGCGATGTCATCAATGTGCTGGTCATGACTTTACTTTCTTTATGACGAATGAGCGCGGACACAGGAACAGTTGCAAAGTAGCAACAAAAAGATGTACAGACGAAAGAAGGGGAGCGAAATATGATACGGACGGTCAGCAGCAAGAGGGTGAAGTACACCCGTAGCATTCATTACAATTCGTTACCTGGACCAGCATTGCTGTCTCGTCGTTTCCTGTGCCTTTGTCGTAATCTCTACGCCGGTCTACAGTGCGTGTGTACAAAGTGCTGTCCATTATTTTCCACCCCTTCATGTACTCAGGTGTAACGCTGAGCTGACAGCGATGGACATCGGCCAAGATGAGTGGCTACTCGTCGCGCCGGGGGCCACGCGATGTGACAAGAGTCAACGGTGTTCCGAGGGCGTTGTCGACGATGACGGGTAACCGCCTGCAGCCCTCCCATTCGTCTTCTTATTTGATAGTTGCGCACCAAGCATCGGAGGAAACGAGAAGCCACCGATTCCAGTGTCGGCCAGCCCATCGCTCCATGGGTTTGAGCCCGTGCCGTGGAGGACTTCGGGCGAATGTAGCAGTGCTGCGGAGTGGCCTGTTCGTAGTGTAGGGCAGCATTCATTGTACGTGACGCTGTATGAATGTTGTCTCTTGTCTGGGAGCGGCAATAAGGTGTGGGCGGTACTCCTAGGGCAGGACCCTATTGTGACGGTATCTACATCGAGCCTTCGTTAGCAGCAAGGCCGACAAGATCTCGAGGCGGCTCGGTGAGTTTCCCTTCTTCCCGTACTCTAACTTTCAATAGCATATAACAGCCTTTCCTCTTTCACTCTTACTAGTGGTTGAGATTTTCGGAACAGGAACCGTCTAGGTATGCTTGAGCACTGCCAGACTTTAGTAGCTTAGACAAAGCGCAGTATCATGCCTACAGAGTAAACTAAGAAGGATGTTGTCGTATTAACGACTCTACGTAATGGACCTTTATAGTCCGGACCCTCCTTTCTCCTTACCTCAAGTGCCTCTTACTAAATCCGTTTTATGCTATTTCAGGTAGGTATGAAAGCTCACAACTTTAGCCCGTATATATAACAGCTCTTGCTATATAGTATATGCCGTCGACGAGTCATCGCGCTTTACCGTGCAATCAAGGGCGGGCTCAGACTGGTGTTGCTTCCGTGGCCTTTGCCAAGGATGCGATCTTATTTATCCCATCTCCAAGTGTTGGTCATCGATTATTTCCAGACCGAGCTCAACTTGCCTGTCATATCAGGGCATACATATAGCTGGAGGCCGAGGCCGTACAGTCAAGGTCACGGGATTTGTCACGTGCGGTGGCTTAGAGGATTCTGGGGCTCAGGGAAATGGCCCCATGACCCTACGTACTCCTACAAAGGCCCGCATCTTCCGAAGCTTCTTCTTCTTCACACGCACATAACATCATCAAGACACTTCTCTTAGGGCCACAATTTTTTTTTGGCTCATCCGCTGAATCCTCGTGCCATTGCCCCCATTAGGCAAATCACTAATTATTCTGACAGGTTCCTCTGGTGGCAGAACGCAGCCCTATGTGTGGGGCCCCCACTGCCCCAGACCCGCCAAGCCGGCTTAATTTAGTGGGTTCTTATTTCAATTATAGGCTATCTGTCAGCTGCCACCAGCACCTCCGTGGCAGCACCTCCATGGCATATTAGGGTCCACTGCCAGGCCATCTGTTGGAGTGTCACTTCCCTTTTGCCTGCACAATCCAGTGGTTTCCTCACATTATCCGTACGACGGCCTTGAAACCAGCCCCGTACTGTACTGTACTGCTAGAACTGCGCAGATCGGTCACAAGAATTGCGTTATGTAATGTGCGCGCATCTCTTTTGCATGGAGCAGCAGTAAGGTTCTAACTAAGCGTCTCACCTCTATCATTAAGGTTATCAGTCGGCCAATAGCGCGCCCGAGACGGAGCCATCGCTTGAGCTAATCATTAATAGTGCTGGACCTGCCATCCTGCTACAGGCCATGGGTAGAACTGGAAAAGCCAGCGTCACCGAGACTGTGCATAGGAGAAGAGTTATGCCGCGCACCGTCCCTATCATAAGGTGCGCGCATCTCCTTTGCATGTGCTACGTCAAGGTTCCAGGCTTCCAGCACGTACTTGGTACCAACGGCAGCATGCAAAGTCCACGTCGCCACTCGTCTCCGGCGCTAATACATACAGTGCATCCCTTGTCGACACCTGCCGGGATAGGTGGTATTGATTAACCAAGATGCCAAGTACCTCACTGGACGGCAGGGGCGCTGACGTGAGATGGGCTGCGCGTGGGCGTTTCGACGGCTGTCATTGGGACGATGATTTTGTCTACAATATGCGCGAGGGTGGCGCAACAGCATTTCGGCCTTCCTTTCTTGGGGTGCGGAGCTGATGGAAGCTTTTATCATGGGGAAGGATGGAAGGAGGGAAGGAGACATGTTGCAGGCGGCTTTTATATACCTGTATCCTGACTCCCTCGCCGTCTCCCCCCCCCTCGCCGTCTCCAGCATCAGTGACAGCAGGCCGTCTTCATTCCCGTCAATATGGCGCTCGACCAGTATACCTACGTCTTTGTCATCGGCACATTCTTTGCCATGCTCGATGCCTACAACAATGGCGCAAGTGAGTGGCCCTCCCTTCCTCTGTGCGCCGTCGACTCGCTGACCGGCCAGACGACGTGGCAAACGCCTGGGCGACGAGTGTCTCGTCGAGGTCCATCTCCTACAGACAGGCCATGGTCTTCGGCACCATCTTTGAGATGCTCGGGGCCATTACTGTTGGCGCACGCACGGCTGAGACAATCAAAAACGGCATCATCCCCAACGCCGCCTTCCGCAGCGATGCTGGCGTGCAGATGCTTGCATTCACCTGCGCCCTCGCCGCTGCCTCGTCCTGGGTCATGTGGTGTACGCGGCACTCGGCCCACGTCTCCTCGACCTACTCGCTCATCTCAGCTGTCGCCGGCGTCGGTGTCGCCACTGTCGGCGCCTCGCGAGTGCAATGGGGATGGAACAACGGCAAGGGTCTGGGTGCCATCTTTGCCGGCCTGGGCATGGCCCCCGTCATCTCGGCCGGCTTCGCCGCCTCAATCTTCATGCTCGTCAAGCTGGTCGTCCACATGCGCTCCAGGCCGGTGCCATGGGCCGTCTACACCTCGCCCTTCTTCTTTCTCATCGCCGGCACCATCTGCACCCTGTCCATCGTCTACAAGGGCTCGCCCAACCTCCAGCTGAACCAGAAGCCCGGCTGGTACGTTGCTGCCGTCACCATGGGCACGGGCGGCGGCGTCGCCCTCCTGTCGGCCCTCTTCTTCGTCCCCTTTGTCCACGCAAAGGTCATCAAGAAGGACTACACGGTCAAGTGGTGGATGTTCGTCATGGGCCCGCTGCTCTTCAAGCGCCCAACTCCCGCCGACGCGGCCATGGCCAATATCCCCAACTACGCCGTGGTCCAGGATGAGCCTGACGACCAGCCTCTGCCCAACTCCATGGGTGAGGATGCGGCAAAAAGGGCCGAGCTAGGCGTCGCGCCCTCAATGGAGCCGGCTGAAGGAAAAGATATCAACGTTGCCACAGCCGAGGCTTCCCTGGCCGCATCAAAGGAGCTCGCGGCCCAGGGAGAGAGCAAGCTGCATGCAAGGCTCATGAGGAAGCGCGGCCCCTTAGGCTGGGCACTACGGACACTCCGCGACAACCCCATAGGCGCCGGGCAGATCTACGAGCTCCACAACATCAAGACGCTCGCGAAGCGCATCCCCGCCATGGTTGTCTGGGGCGCTCTCTACGGCCTCCATTACGACATCCATGCCGCACAGACAGGCACTGCTGGCACCCCGGACGGCATCCGCATGCAGCGTGTGTATGCGCATGCGGAGAAGTACCCCAACGAGGTCGAGCACACCTACTCGTTTGTCCAGATCCTCACGGCCTGCACTGCCTCATTTGCTCATGGTGCCAATGACATCGGGAACTCGGTCGGACCCTGGGCTGTCATCTACTTGTCCTGGTCTACCGGCAACGCCGCTGCCGCCAAGGCTCCTGTTCCCGTCTGGCAGCTGGCCGTCCTCTCCGCAACTATCTCGCTCGGCCTGATTACCTATGGATACAACATCATGAAAGGTGGGTGCTAATCCAGCAGCAGCGGAATTTAGTGTATGAATGTTATTGGTGCTGACTGTGGTGTAAAATGCAGTAATGGGCAACAAGATCACATATCACTCGCCCAGCAGAGGTTCGTCGCTATCCCTCGGTGATGATTGCGTCGGCTTACTTTGTTGCAGGAAGCTCCATGGAGATGGGTGCCGCCATCACCGTCCTCCTCTTTTCCCAATACTCTCTGCCCGTCTCCACGTCCATGTGCATCACCGGGGCCACGGTTGGCGTCGGCCTCTGCAACGGCACCTTCAAGGCAGTCAACTTCCAGCGTGTGAGCCTCCTCGTACTGTCTTGGATAGCCACCATCCCCGTTGCCGGCACCATCGGAGGAGTCCTCATGGGCCTGTTTCTCAATGCCCCCCATTTTGCTTCTGGAGGGGGATGAAGGAGGATAGTGGACTGGAACGGAAAGCGATATACTGTATAAGGCTGTTGGGCGACTCCGTCGCACGTCAGCGAGCCAAGGAGCGGTTTTCGCACTCTGTCCACCCGTCAGATTTCTCATCCGCGTTGCAGCAGCCCACAGTCTCTAATGACCAAGTCATAGATGTAGTCGAGTGTCACAGCAATCGGCGGAAACCTTGTGAGAAGTCAGAGGCCAGCTTCGCGGCCTTTGGCCCCTACAACAACAGACTTTATAGTTACATTCACTTAAAGTCGCGATTTCGAACATTACCTAGCTAGGTAATGCGCGGCCGAAGGCTTGTGACACCGGCATGAACCAGCCTGCAGAAGTCGTCGTCGACAAACCAACTCACCGCTGTACGCGTACGGGGGCCCTTTGGCGAGATATCATCCAACCATTCACAACCCGCGCGCAGAAGGCGCGTGCACTACAAGTCTGCTCTGGCACCGCCGCCTTTCCTTTCGGTTGGGGCCTGACAAACCCTCCAACCAAGGACATGCTTTACCTGATCCAGGCAGCGATGAAGATTGATGGAGGAACCGGTTTCCTGCGTGGCGTCTTGTGACTCATGGACGCAGAAGCACAGCAAGTTGAGGAGAGCGCTTACATTCTAGGTATTCTGGAGGCGTACTGCAATCTTGTAAATATACCGCAAGGGCCCGGTTCCCGTCGATATTTGTCGATCAGATGACCAGGAAAAGAAATGGTAGTTGGCAGTCTCTGAAATAATCCAGTCATTGATTCCATCGCATCATGGTGACACTTGTGGCTATATCTGTCGTCTTCCGTCGCTGAACAAGGCTTTGGAGACCCAAAGCTTCGAGACGACGCTCAACAACCAGCTGTTGAGGAGAAGCATATCCAATACCCCGCGAACCTCTTCGTCTAGCACAACGCCGACAAGCTTCTTGGTGTTCATCTCATCCACGGTCACTTCAAAATCCCCGGGGACACACGCTTGCTTGATTCCTACTAGAATCACTGGCTAGAAGTTTGAGATGGTAGATGGAATCTGCGCGTGTGTCAATCGAACGAGACGCACCTAAGGCTGAAATCAGGCAACCATGAGGTCTTCAGTGCTGGAAAACCACTGTCTAAGTCAAGTCCGCTCTTACTGCGGCTGGTGTACTCTAATCTTGCTTCAACCCCCCTTCACATCTGTGTCGTTCTTTTCAGCCACCTCACGCTGGACTCCTGCAATTGCTGGGCTTCATACACGGTCATTATACTGACAAGTACAACACCTCGCGCCTGTTATGCCTTCAATCGATGTCGTTAAACTTCGTTGCGGGGTTGACCAGAAATCCATCTAGCCACAACATGTTGTAGCGTCCGCATTCGTCATTTCCAATGGGAACCGGCTCTGGCTCATTGGCAAGGCGTATGGTAAAGCCTTTTGCTAGCAACAAGCCCGTAGTCCTGGCTAGTTGAATAGCTTCAATGCAATCATTCGTCAAGTCGCCGACTTCGTCTCTAAAGGTAGTCCAAAAGACATCGTGAAGTTTGTCATAGTCGTCATACCGTATCCAGCCGTTTCGAAGGTGCAGCTTTCCAGTCAGACTCTGCAGGCAGAAGAGGTTGACACCGAAGGGATGGACGTCCGCCTCGGCCCAGTCAATTACTCCAACTAGATGGCGAGTTGCCTCATCGACAATGATATTGCAATCGCCAAAATCGGTGTGAAGAAGCACCATAGGAAGTGAAAATATAGCGTCCATTGAGTCAATGCACTTCCGGATAATATGGTGCAGTCGGACGGGAAGGGCCTCGAGCAACATGCGAAGTTCTCTTTCAAATGTCTCTCTAACCTTTGCACGGTAGCCTTGATCAACTGGCTGCGGCGTTTTCCACGCAACAGCAAAGAATCTACGACGGTTAGTGTGAGAAAACTGATATGTCACTCGGTGGGATATCTCTTACCGTGCCACATCCATCATCAGTCTCTGGCGGCCAGCGGAGTTCTCTGGTGAATTGTCGGGCAAATCATGCGCCAGGATGAAGTCCAGATGGGACACACCTTTGATCCGGCTCATGACGTATACGGAAAGGGGCTCCTTGGCTTCTGATGATTCATCCCCCATTTGATCCTCAAACGAGGTGGTCGGAACCAAAGATCCGTACATCTGTCTCGCCAGAGAAACGGTCTTCAAGTCGAGCTGTAGAGACTTGAAGCGGAACTGGACGACGTACTCAAGACACGGGCCGCAATAAACCGAGTAACTGCAGCTGCCTTGGACGACGACAGGGTGGCCGTGCCGCCAACAAGCTGCTCTGCTCGCGCATCGCAGTCTGAACGAGTGACGGACGTTTTGGTAAAGAAATCGGAGATTTCATCCTCCATAGAATACTCTGAATACACCATGATTATGAGCAGACGAGATATGTACGGAAGATGGTGTATGATCTGAGGCGGATGAGCGACGAATGGTATATGTATGCCTGCAAGCCTGGGAATTTTGTCTCACTACAGGCTCCAAAAAGCCCCATATGTGGCCAATCGACGACCTGCCCGCCCGCTCACGCCCAACGAGGTGCAATGCGATCGAACCAACAACACACACTGGTCGAGACTTGGAGGAACGATCAGAGCAGCAAGGAGACTTCCACAGCAGCACTGGCAGAGAAATGAACGGATGCACACACTCGTCGAGACTTGGACGGGGGTCGAGACTACGACTGCGGCGATACTGTCTTCCTTTTGTCCTCCAGCCCGTTTCGCCACGACTGATGCCAGGAGCAGCATCTGTCGAGGTTGCCTGTTGCGGCAACGCCATGTTAAGCTGAGCGCCGGCGAGAGTAAGAAATCGGTAAGAGAACTATCGTTGCCGGGGATTGCAGTTTAGTCCCACATAGATACTGCCAATGCCCTGCGCTTCTCCGGTGGTATAATCCGGCGTTATAGAGCTAGTGTTTTCTATGCTCGACTGTCGTTGTAATTTGGAGGTCAGGTGATGCCATGGCTCATTCGCCAAGCAAGCACGATGATGCGACGTGGCCAATCAGAGCAGGAGCATCCGTGGGACTTCCTACCCCTCCTCCACCAGCGGGGCTCGCCGGCGGTCGCGCGATTGGCCGGAGCGGTTCGTCCCTCCTGCTCCATCTCTGCCGGAAAAAGAGTCTTTGTCGAGGACGAAACGGCTCAGAGACGAAACGGGTCTTCGCCTCCAAGCAGGTAGCGGCTGCAAGCCTCTCGCAAGATGCCTGTCGACTACAGCAAATGGGTACGTCTCTCCTCGTCATCTTCAAGACCGGCCGGCTGACCCTGCCAGGACGCGCTGGAGCTCAGCGACGACTCGGACGTCGAGGTGCACCCCAATGTCGACAAGCGATCCTTCATCCGGGCCAAGCAGAGCCAGATCCACCAGGAGCGGCTGCAGCGCAAGCACCACATCGAGACGCTCAAGTACGAGCGCATCGTCAACGATGGCTTGTTGAAGCGCATCTCGGCTCTACTGGCGTCGCTCAAGGCCCGTGCATCGGAAGCGACGACGCGAAACCCGGGCGAGATTGCCTTCAAGGCCGTCATGGAGTCGGCCGGCGACGCCAAGGACGACCAGCCGCCGCCGCCGCCCGAGGGAGTCCACAGCGGCGAGAAGGAGCAGCCGACGTACTCCAAGATGATGGCTGTGCTGCTGGATATGGTGAACAAGGCCCTGGATGAGAAGAAGCCCGAGGACCGGTACGTCGCTATGATACGCGAGATCCAGGAACACGAGGATAAGGTGAAGACGCTGCAGAGTGACTTGATGATGAAGCTCGGCGACCTGGAGAAGGAGGACAAGAAGAAGATTACCAGCGCCGACATCCACACGGGCTTCAACAGCTCGCACGTCAGCAAGGCGGACCCGTCGGCCGAGTCCACCAAGGTGGAACTCCTCAACCCCCAATTCTCGACGTCGAGCGCCACGCCGGCCAAGGACGAGGGCGACGAAGTCGAGGCCTCTCCAGACGCCAAGAAGTTTGCGCAGATCAAGGCCAACGACTTTGCAGGATGCCTCGATTTCCTCTCGCGGCACCCACACATCCTGACGGAGCGTGAAACAGACGGCCTCCTCGTGCTTGCGTTTAACGCTGCCCTGGAGCGCAAGGACGAGGAGTCGCGGCAATGCGTCCACCAGGCACTGCTCCTGCAATACTGCCGGGGGCTGGGCAAGGACGGCGTGGGCCTCTTCTTCAAGCGTATCACGACAAAGGGCCACCAGGCGCAAGAGTTGTTTTACAAGGACGTGCAAGAGATGACGATGAAGATTCGCAACCGGTCGCGAGAGATATTGGCGGAGAGGGCCAAGGAAACGGAGAGCGACGGGGTGGAGCAGATCCAGCTGCACGCCGTAGAGCCCGGAACGGTGATCCAAATCCAGGTGCCGCCGGCCGACAGCCAGGATGGCGAGGTACAGAAGGCGCGGGAGGTGTATGACGGCTTCAGTGCGGACATGAAGCAGGCGCTGGAGTCTGGCGAGCTGGACCAGGTAAACGAGGTGCTGGGCAAGATGAAGCTGGAGGAGGCGGAGGAGACGGTGGCGCTTTTCGGAGAGGTACGTGGCCCTGGCTACACGACGAGAGCGGTGGCGATTTGGCTAACGTGACAGCGGCGCAGGCCAACATTCTTAGCTTACAGGAGCACATTATTGATGCGACGACGGAGGAGGGCAAGAAGCAGTTGGCGGAGATGGAGGCGGCGGCGGCGGCTGAGGCGGCGGCTGAGGCGGAGGACAGCCACGCAGACGACCCGGAGTGAGGGTGGAGCTTGACCAACAGGCGGCGGTCGGGGGGCAGGATAATTAGGTAGGCGGTATATTTGAGCTGCTTCAAGATGTATTGGCCGGGACACTGCGAGGTGCCTGGCAGGGTAGGGAGCGACACAGCCGGACTGGGGTGAAGAGGCACCGGCCAACGAGGGAGGCGTCATTGCCGTGCAAACGTGTAAGCAGCCTCGGGGCTCAAGAAGCGGTAAAAATAAATCATTCCCTGCATGCACGATTGAATAGCTGGCTGGCGTTGGGCGGCTTCCGGGTTGCCGCCGGTGCAGGGCTGCATCGAAGACGAATGTAAGCCGGCAGTACGAGATGCATTGAACGGGTGGTATTGGCCACAGGGCACTTGGCATGATGCGTATGCATATTGTGGCACGAGAGCATCGACGACGAGGGATGATGGTGTCAATCAGGTTGTTCTACAGAGTATGGTATAGCATGGCCATTATTATTCGAGAAGTTGTTATTCGACGGACTCGGGAGAAAGACGCGAGGATGTCCAAAAGTCAACGGTTAGGGGCAGGCTTTTGGTGGTCAGTCAGTCGATCGCCTATCCGTAGACGGAATTATTAAGTTATTTCAAATTGTTACTGCCGACAGAGAGGGCGCAATGGAGGTACAGGACGGGGTCTGCCAAGGTGGCAAGCGGAGGGGGGCCAAGCGACGAAGCCACCCCCTGAGGCAAGGATCCCGGAAAGGTTCTCGTCGTTGACAGCCGCCGGATGCTGTAATACGGCGGCAACATGTCGACAGGGAAAATCACCGCTTTGCGCAGCCCGAGGTACTGTATGCTGTATGCTGTATGTATCGTGTTGCCTTTAGAGTGTCTCGTCTGACACACGCACGTCGTTTCATCTTTTGACAGCGCCGTCTCTCTCCGAGTCCCGAGCAACTTGAAGTTATTACCTAATTAGCTGGCAGCCGGCAGCGGGCAGCCGAGGCATTTGTTGTCCAAGCATCCCCTGCCGCGGTCGAGGCGCAGCGCCCGTTATCCCTGATGTTTGGCCACGATTAGGCGCGACGTGTCCAACAGGGCCATCTATACGGAGTACTGGGACCGTTATGTCGTATCGACAATTTCCAGGAAAAGCGGTCGCTGCGGATGGCTGGGGACGACATACAAACAGTACTTGAGGCAGGTACTCGGTAGGTAGGTAGCTACGTACTTGGTGGTAAGTACTACCTACCTAGGTATGCTCCAAAAATACTGGCCGGCCCTGACTCGGGTACCCTCTCGCTACGCTGGTGCTCCCGTCTGATTGGGCACCCGTCAAGCGTACCCTGCATGTACCCGCCGTCTTTCGGCCCCCAGCGGCAGGCTGTAACGCGGAGCTAACCAAGTACCACTTGGTTCTGTCGCGCGTCTTCGCCCCGGAGGAATCCCATAGTGGCCCCTGCATTATTCAACCGTGATCCCTTTTTTCCCATCCTCCCTCCTTTCCACTCGCGCTCTCTCGCGCGCCTCTCTTTCAACATACTGTATAGTTTCTGACACCACATCATTACCCTTTTCCTCTATTCCCTCCTTCTTTCTCTTCTTCGTCTTCTTCTCCCTCCTCTCCCTCCTCTCCTTCTTCTCCTTCCTCTCCTCCTCCACGTCCCATACTGCTCCCCACTCTTTCGGGCCCCTCGTTTCAACAGCCTGCGGCCTCGCCTTCCTGCCACTCACTCTTGCTCCAGCCATTCTATCGTCTGTTCACGCATGAACTCGACTTGACAAGCAGAGATTTTCACCCCGGGCTTTCTTTTGCCCACGGCCTGCGAGCGACTTTCTCTCTCTCAAACCTCCTCACCGCCATCATGGTCGTCTCGGTACGCGCTCTCGCCGTTGCGGCTCTGGCAGCCGTCGCCGGCGTCGTCGACGCGAATCCCCAGGCCGCCCCGTCTGATGCCCCGTCCATTGCTCCGACCGCTGCTCCGCCGTCCGCAGCCCCCTCGGCAGGCCTCGGGTCTGGGTCTGGCACCTGCAACAACTCGCCCTTGCTGTGCAGCCGCCAGTACAACAAGATCACCCACATGGGCGCCCACGACAGCTCCTTCCTGAGAGACAAGAGCACCCGCAACTCGCCCGCCGGCAACCAGTTCAAAAACGCAACCATTGCCCTCGACGCCGGCTTCCGCCTGCTCCAGACCCAGGTCCACAAGGTCGACTCGGGCCTCCGCCTGTGCCACACGTCGTGCGGCATCCTCGACGCCGGGCCGCTCGATACCTGGCTGGCCGCCGTCGCCGACTGGGTCAGCCGCAACCCCAACGACGTCATCACCATCGTCGTCGTCAACTCGGACAAGGTGCCCGCCACCGACCTCGGTGCCGCCTTTGAGCGCTCCGGCATCACCAAGTTCGCCTACAAGCCCGCCTCGACCGCCGCCACCACCACCTGGCCCACCCTCGGGACCATGATCGGCCAGCGCTCCCAGGTCGTCATCTTCACCACGAACACAGAGGCCTCGCCCGCCCTGCCCTACATGCTGCCCCATTTCGTGCACATCTTCGAGACCCCCTTCGAGGTGACCCAGCTCAACGGCTTCAACTGCACCCTCGACCGCCCCAAGGCCGCCGGCCAGCCCACCCAGGCCATCTCCAACGGCTACATGAGCCTCGTCAACCACTTCAAGGACCAGCCCTTCGACTCCGGCATCATCAAGAGCGTGGCCAAGTCGATCGGCATCAACTCCGACATCCTGGTCCCAGACGTGGACAGGATCGACACGGTCAACAACCCCGGCAACTCGACCGACGGCAACCTCGGCAAGCACCTCGATCTGTGTAGCTCCGAGTGGGGGCAGCAGCCCAACTTTATCCTCGTCGACTTCTGGGACCGCGCCAACCCCATCGAGGCCGCCGACCGCCTCAACGGCGTGAGCAGCACCACGGGCCGCAAAGCCGTCGACCTGACGTCGGCGGCGCCCCGCGAGCTGGGGGCGCGCGCCACGGGTGTTGTGGTGGCGTGTCTGACGGCGACCTCGCTGTGGCTGCTGTAGTCGCATCTGTCTCGGGTGCGTTTGTGCTTCTGCCATTTTTTTCTGCATATCGTTTTCCTTTTTCTAAATCTCGGGCGCCGGCTTAATTGCTTTTGGGGTTTCAGCAAATGGGACATGATTGGGCATTACATTTTGAGCGCAAATATTCCAGCACTTGGATCGACAACGGCTTGGGGCTGGGTCCGGCTTGGGACGGGGGCAGTAGGTCGTTGAAGATACCACGGAGTCTAGCATATTATTACAGTCTACAGAATGGGGGTCAAGGCTCTCTGCCTCTTACCGAAAACAAAACACTGCGTGAACCTCGACTGCGTTGGGCACTTGAACGTCGGCATGACGTGAATGAAGAGCTTGGTCCTTGCTATTTGCTAGTGCTCGCTCGTGGTTCGAGTCCTGGCTGGCATGCGGCTCTGCGCCGTTGTCGGCGAATCAGAATCTAGTCCCAGAGTTACTCTTGGCATCTGGCGGTGGAGTGGATGCATGACTGACTTTCAAAACATCCATCCACCCACCTGTCCTTTCGCCTCGCCAGTCGTCGTCATCGACAAAAGAACGAAGAACGGGTACAAAGGCGTCTAGCTCAGCAGACGGGCCGAGCCGACCGACGACGACTCAAAAAGCAAAAAGCAAAAGGGCCGCCCGCCTCTGTTTCTTTTTTTTTAGGCGTCCCGACGTCGGGTTATCTTGGTTGCCTCCTTTTGCTGCTTCTGCGCCATCGTCGCACCGCTTCGAAGATGGACTATGCCGCGATTCCCGTCCCGCCGGCGTGCTACGTCGACTTTTGCCTCATCCCCGTACGCTGCCCTTTTTCCTTTTGATACGCACATACACACACACACGCACACACACACACGCACACTCCCTCGCTTTTCGCGTGCCTGCCTGGCCGGCTGGCCGGATCGATATGCTATACCTACCATTGGAGCATCCCTCTGCTGCTGCTGCTGATGATGATGATGATGATGACTGACCAACTCTGGGTGGAAACATGCAGGTTGGCACGGCCAGCGCCTCCGTCGCCGAGGAGGTGGCCGAGGTGCAGCGCGTCCTGCGGGCCAGTGGGCTCAAGTACACGATGCACGCGGCCGGCACGACTGTCGGTACGCCTCTCCCCTCCCCCTCTCGCCTCTCCCCAGCTCTCTCTCTCTGCATTGTCCCACGCAACCAACCGCCCCCGGCAACGAACCCCAAGGCTGACGAGTATTCCCCCCGCCCGCTCTCCAGAGGGCAGCTGGGACGAGGTCATGGCCGTCGTGGGCAAGGCGCACACCGTCGTGCATCGGAGGGGCGTGCTGAGGGTGCAATCGTCGATGCGTGTCGGGTCTAGGTAAGAGTCACGGAGATGTAGTTCTCCGTGCTTCGTGCCTTCTCCCCGCTCGAGGCTAATCGTGGCGCTGCCCTGTAGGACGGACAAGGCGCAGACGGCCGAGGACAAGGTCAGGAGGGTCGAGGACCTGCTGGCGCGCGGTGACCAGACGCCCGCCAAGGCGCCGTGACCGGTGGGGGGGCCATCATCGGGCCGGCCGGCCGGCGGTCCGCGCACCGGAGACCGGGACCCGGCGTCTTTCTCCACCCGCACGGGAGCACATGGACGCTCCGATTTGCCCGCGGCTGGATTTCTTGAGTTCCATTCCTTGTTAAGACCAAGTCGTTTGCCCCTGTTCATGACTGGTCCTTGCATAGCATACGTCATACACAACCGCTCTCCATCGTGCCTCTGCGCTGACACGGCGCACGATATGCCGCTCTTACCATGGCTACTAGTACAGACAACACAAACATACAATGCTCGGCCTCCCTTGTGCTCCAGTCCATGCCATTGATCTCGGATGACTCTTTTGAGCGGTCACAATCCATCGGTATGGCCTAGTCCGCCCTTTGTTCGTTAAACAGCCCAAAAAAGGCAAAATCTCAAGCCCGCATCGTCATCTTCTTCTGGCTCCTGCGCAGCTCCTTCTCCTTCTCCTTCTCAAGGTACTTCTTCTGCGCCTTGGCGTCCAGGCCCTTGAGCTCGGCGTCGCGCTTGGCCTTGCGCGTCTTCTCCTTTTCGTAGATGCGCTCCTCGTTGCGCTCCTCCTGGTCTGCCTTTCTAATCTGCGCAACCATGGCCTCGCGCGTCGCGCGCACCTTCTTCATCACCTCGGGCCGGAAGTGCGCCGCCTGCACGAGCCGGTCGGGCATCCGGACAAAGTAGGACAAGAGGGGTGCGAGGGTGTCGTAGCCGTTGTCCGACGGGAGGCGGTACCTGAGGAAGAGGCGCTTGCGCGGGTTGGTCTCGTCAAGTGTCTTGGGGCGGTCCGCCGGCTGGTCCGTCACGATGAGGTACTCGAAGGCGTCGCCGGCCGCCACCACGGCGTCGATGAGCTCCTTGGTCAGCAGCACGTCGGTGATTTCGGAGCTCTCGCTCATAACCGTCAGCCAGTTGGGCAGCTTCGAGTTGTCCTTTGTGGAGGTGAGCGTGACGTCGTAGCGGTCCTCTCGCACCCTCTGCATGCGGTCCTTGTTGACCACGGCCCACACGAAACCCTCGTAGGTGCTCTTGGTGTCTCTTGCCCGAGTCTCGCCGGGCGTCGAGGGCACTGTCAGATCTTCTTTGCCGTCAAAGGGGTACAGGAAGGCCTCCATGAAATCGGCCGGCGGGGCAAACGAGTCGGAGAAGAAGGAGGCGGCCGTCTCGACGACGTTGATGATGGGGTTGAAGCGCTTGGACAGAGTGAGCTTGACGTCCATAAAGGCCGTGTTCTGGCGGCCCGTCGCGTACGTGGCAAACTCGAAGAGCGATTTCTCCTTGATGAGGCGGTCGTCGTCGACGTCCGTCTCCATGGTGGGCGCGTCACCGAAGCCGACGAGGGCAAACTCGCTCTTGAGGACGCGCGCGTGGGCACGGATCCAAGCCCTGGCCTTGGACCGGTTGATGCGCGCGCCCAGGATGTGCAGGAGGAAGACAAAAGCCGCAACAGCGAGAATGAGGCCCTCGATCTTAAACTCGGAGAGCGAGTGGCGCTCGTGGACATTGTACCACTTGGTGTAGGGCCGGCCGGTGGGCAAGGGGGTGGTGGCAGCGGTGCCGGCGAGCGTCGCGGCGTGAGGGGCGGCCTCGGGGACGGGATCGGGGGCGGCGGCAAAGTCGGCAAAGTCTGGCGGTCGGGGACAAGAGAATATCAGCTCCATCATGGCGCCTCGACGTCCTTGCACAGACGTTGGTCGGCAGCAAGGGACAGACAAAGCAGCTTACCGGCCTCGGGCTTCTTGGCCGCGGGCTGCGACGGCTTGGCGCCCCCAAACAAGTTCTTGAACAGATCCGCCATGGCTGCTGCGGTGGATTGGGCGGAGCACAGGCGGAGGGGAGGGAGGGAGGTGAAGGGGGCGACGAGGACACAGTGAGCTTGAGCTCGGCTGGAAAATTGGAGGCTTTTGCGGAGGCGGTCCGGGGGGAAGGCGGAGTGGGTCTGGAGCAGCTGCACCTTTCGCCGACCCCTTTAGATGCATACCCAACCAGTACTGTACCATAACTACTTATGGACGATAACAACATCTACCTCCTAATAATAACCCTCCAGTGCCAGCAACCTCGCCCGCTCGCGCCACAGCCTGCGGCGCACAGCTCCTCCACAATGGGATACGCCAACTTCCTCCCCCTGATCAGCCCGCGGAAAGAATCGAAAGACGCGAAGGCATCGAGCGGCCAGATCGGTTACCGGCGGCCCAAGTCCCTAAGGTTTATGAACGCGGCCTGTATGTATAGCGCCAACCTGGACGTACTGCGCGCCATGAAGCCCACCGGCTTAGAGCAGGATGACCTGTGGAACTGGACCTTGGCAGTCGGTGAGAGGGCTGAGTGCGAGGCGTTGTCGGCTGCGGTCATGTATGGGAGAAAGCTGTCAGGGGCAAGTGTAACAGTATCCTCTGCGTCAACACCAGCAACTCAGATCCTGCTCTCTATGTAGGAGGCGCAAGATATGGTGCAATCGAGAAAGCCCTGTAACGTCTGTCTGCGGTCCAGAAGCGAGGCTTGCGTCCACGAGATTTCCAGTCTCCCTCCACCTCCCCGGGCCATCTCGGCTAGAGCCAGCCAACCAGCTCATCAGGCGCTTCGACGCTCACAAGCGAAAGGGATGCTTGCGTTAATGCCCTAACTCTACCAACTCCCTGGGTCACCTTCTTAGCGGCTCTTGCCAGCAGTTCTCTAAAGTCTGGGGAGAAGAGTTCATGTTACAGCTTATTCGTACATACAGGCACGAATTCCCTGGTCAGGACTCGAGACCCGTAACCAGACCAAAGAGCCAATTTACTTGCCGCAAACAAGATAGGGGTCGAATTACCTACTCCGTGATTTGCAGTTCACTCGTCTCTTTGTGAATACAGAATAATTACGTACAGGCATCTTCTGTGCAGTCAAAGTCGGGGCTTGCTTAAGCAGCTGTGGCGTTCGCACCAAGTCCTGCGCCTGCGCCACAGAGCCGTTGCCGCGCCAACGCCAGCGGCAGCATGAACATCGCCTCGCAACCCAACAAGACGAGGTGGCGAGAGACGCAACTCGACCAGTAAACTGACCAACGCTCGCGATATGAATACAAAATGCCCCGTACAACAGCCTCCCGCCAGTATGGAAAGCCGTCAAAGAGGACAAAGGCCGAGAGGCTCTTCGCCGAGCTGCCGCAGAGCCCGGTGCGCAAGCCACCTGTCGCAGTCGCAGTCGACCCCGTGAAGTGCATCGCAGAGCAGCTATCCGCCATCCACCTGGAAAACGAGCCAACACCAAGAAATTCACCGCGGAAGAGCGTCAAGCAGCAACCCTTGACGCCTCCACCGCGTTGTTTGAGCACCCACGATGTGACGGCGGGATGGACCGAGAGGCAGGCCGACGACCCGGAGACTCGCCCACCGGCCCCAAGCCAAACCGTCGCCGCGACCGGAAACGCCTCCAGGGATAGAGTGAAAGCCGCGAAAAAGCAGACGCCGGCAGAACCCCAGGGCGATGCATCCTTGCGGGTCCTGACGTGGGACGACGTGTGCCCCCCCGGTGACTGCATCGTCAAGATTGCCGAGGCGTCCTACGCAGAAGTCTACCGCGTGTCCAATGAGCGAGGTACCAGTATCATCAAAGTCATCCGCCTCGAGTCGCCCATCAAGCCCCAGACAAAAACCCAGGTCAAGTCGGGCCTCGTCGACGAGGAGCCGCACAGCCAAGACGACGTCAACGGCGAACTGCAAATCTCGGAGTGGCTGGCTGATATTCCCGGCTTCGTTGTTTACAAGGAGAGATATCTTGTCCAGGGCAAGGCGACCAAGCAGCTGCTGGAGACACACCAGGCCTTTCAGAGACGCATGAAGAGACAGGACCCCGGTCGGGCGCAGTTCTACCCGTCGCCGAGCCGCTACGTCGCCGAGACCAAGTTCCTGGCGGTGGAACTGGGGGACGCGGGAACTGCGCTCGAGGACTGGGAGCTGGCCGATGAGAGCCAGCTGTGGGATATTTTCTTGCTCGAAGCAGTCGCGCTGGCGAGGGCCGAGGATATCGCCATGTTTGAGGTGAGAGGCCTAGTTTGAGTCTTTCTGCCCGCCCTTCGGCCAGGCCCTTGTAGGGGGCCCTTTGGCTAACACGAGCGGCAGCATCGAGACTTGCACGAGGGCAATCTCTGTGTCAAGCGCGTGAGCCCACCGCGGCAGAAAGACGCCAAGCGTGGTGGCTTTTTTGGCTACTCGGGCCTCGACATCACCATCCTAGATTATGGGCTGTCAAGGGCACAAGACGTGTCGGCGGCAGACGCGAAGCCGGTGGCGTTTGACCTGGAGAGGGACCTCAGTCTCTTCACGAGCACCCACGCATCCCAGTGCACGGTATACCGGCAGATGCGGTCATTCCTGCTCCGCGCTGACCGCAAGTGCATCCCCCCGGAGGGCCACCGGACGCCGCACGCAAAGGGCGTCGACGGGCCGCTTTCATGGGACGCACACGCGCCCTATACCAACGTGCTGTGGCTGGCATACCTGTACCGCTACCTCGGAGACAGCTTCAAGGGGGCCAAGCGGGACCTGACTCGGTTCCGGAAGGAGACCAAGGAGATGTGGAAGCATCTGGACCCGGAGGCCGAGGACGGCGTGGTCTGCTTCGGGTCTGCGGCCGACGTGGTCTGCTTCGCGGTGGAGGCTGGCTGGATCCAAGAAGAGCAGCTGCGCGGGGCGGAGGCTTCGATACTCGACAAGGAGGATAGCATCATTGTCCCGCAGGCCGGGGGGGACTCGCCGTTGAGGCGACGATCTCCGAGGAGGACAAGGCAGCAGGCGTAGAAGAGCGTTCCCGTGTGGGAGGCGATGATGGTGTTTGGGGGGTTTGCGTGGAGTCACGAGATGGTGCGAGGGGTTCTTGGTTATGGATGGGAAGGAAGCATTTGCCATTGACCGGATGTATCTATCTAGAGGGCCCGTTTCTCTTGGCTCGCTGCCTAACTTAGCACCAACGCATATAAACTACTATACGAAGTAATTACTGCCTATCCAAGTGGCACGGCTCTCTCCACTCGGCGTTGATTCCTCTCTTTTCCCAAACCGGCTCTTTTACCCGTGATTTCCGGGGCTGCCGGTGGGCGGGCGGGCGATCGTGGAGAGGGATAGCTGAGGTTGCAAAGAACAACAACGCCAGGGGCAAGGGTTGGCAAACAGGCAAGTATCTCTTAACAGGTGCAATCCTCGCTGCAGGGGACCCCAGACCCCTCCTCTGCCGACAAACGAGGGACCACGAGACCAATTACGGCGCCCGCTGGCTGGCGTGTTTGTTGGCAGCCGAGGCTAAAAGAATGTTGACGACCGACAGCCACATGTCATGGCCCACTGGTGTTTTGTCTCGCGATCCCGCCCTTTTCCTTCGACGACGACTCATCACGCTCGTTTCTGTGCTGTACTCTTTTTTCCACCCACTTGCGACGTGCATACATACAGCAGTTACCAGGAACAACTGGCGCTGCCCATTTCTCCAATGATCCGGCCAATCGTTGTACAGTAATAACACCACCGCTCATCCCTCCTTTCTCCCGCATTCCGGCCTCCCGCGCTCCTTGACAACAACAAGCCCGACGACTTTCCCGCTTCTCCTCTTGCAACACACAACCAAAAAAAAGCGGCATCCCATGACGAGCTTGTAGGACAAGCAGACGAGACTCGTCGCCATGTCGTCCGCCAACGGCTCCTCGTCGTACGCTGCGACGAGCCCAGCCGCCCTCCCTGAGCCCTTCACCCGCAGCCTCCTCTCCTCCTCCCTCTCCTCCTACTCCTTCTCCTCGGCCGCCTCCTCCTCCACCGCCACGGCCGCCTCCCGGCATTCCTCTCAGGTATCCAAGACATACCGCCAAGCATCGACGCTCTTCCTGACGCGTCGCCTGCCCGAGGCGCTAACGACCCTGGCCCCCCTCATCGCTCCGCCCGATTCTGCCGACAATGGAGAGCCCGCGCCCGTCGCAAGGGCCTCGCGAACCACGCGCATCAAGGTCTGGAGTCTCTACCTGACTATCCTCAATGCCATTCTCGACATGGAGCCCGACGAGGGCAAGGAGACCTTTGGCAACCAGGAATGGAGGGCTCTGTGCGCCAAGGTTCGAGACGGCCATGTCTGGGAGGAGGTTGTGCGTCACGGCTATCACGGCGTCGAGGCAGACGTCGACTCTGACGTGGTCATCAACCTGTAAGTCACTCTGTCCCGCCCACGTCACCAGGCCGATTCTGACGGGCGACGGCTAGGGCGACGCTGCTGCTGGCGCATGCGCGCGACCAGACGCTGAACCAGCGCAGGCTGGAGACGTACCTGGCCTCGTCCAACGCCCCCAACCTCGACCTGGCCGACAAGCTCGCAGGGTCGCCGGCGCCGGCCTCTCGCATGGGCCATCGCTACCGGTCCCCAGCTCCCGGTACCAGCGGCGCCGATACCCCCCGCGACCTCAACGCCAGAGTCAAGATACTCGAGCTGTACACGCTGCACGTCCTGCTCCGCAACAACGAGTGGGACTATGCCCGTGAGTTCATCAGCGTTAGCTCCGTCCTCGACGACGAGCGTAGGGAAGCCTTCCTTCAGGCCCTTCAGAGCCTGCAGGAGGAGCAGCAGGAACAGGAACGCCTCGAGCGAGAAGAGCGACAGCGGCAAGAGGAGCAGCTGCGGAGAGACATTGAAGATGCCAGGCGGCAGCGCGCCGAGTACGAGGAGAGGGAGCGGAGACGGTTAGAGGAGGAGCGCACGCGGCGTCTCGGGAGCGAGGTCGACTACGGCATCGATCAGGCGCCCGGCTCGGCAGCCAACGGGAGCGCCACGGGGAGACACCACCAGCGGCCGCCACGGACACCCGTCTCGCGGCCAAACAACAAGGCCGTTGTGGCCACGACATTTACTGCGCGGGCGGGCATGATCGTGTCGCGCCTGCGCGCAGCCTTGGACGGGCTCGCTACCTCGCTCAACGGCAATCCAGCCCTGCTGACGAGGCTAATCTTCTTCATCGTCAGCTTGCTCTTCATGCTGGGCCACAGAGGCATCCGGCAACGCATGCAGCGCATACTGGGGGTGTCGTGGGGCAAGCTCAAGGCCACGGCGGGCATGGGCACCAAGGTCAGCTACATCTGACCTGGTCGATGAGGACACCGCCTCCCTTGCTGTACTAAAATCTCCTTGCATTTCTTGGCGTTGTATGGGTTTGGATAAGGCATCCACGAGTAGCAGTGTGAGGGTTTCACGCACCGACATGACTTGAGAATCACCACATAACTGCGAGACGGCAGCTTCAAAGTACATAGTGGTGCACCCTTGGACAAAAAACAAATTTCAATTCCTGTGTGGCCGCGTACGGTCGTTCAACGTGGCATGATGACTTGACGTGCCCCGTCTCCCCTTACGCCGTCAACGCCGAGCGCTCTATGAGCAAAAAACCACCAGCTGCCAGGCAAGAAAGTTCCGCTCTGCTTTATTATCCCCATTCCCTCCGCATGGTCCTGAGGCCCAACCCAGGGCGCTCCATGACTAGTAATTTGTAGACCGATTCGTTTTCTTTTGGTAAAATAGCTGCAAAAGACAGCATTGTCAGCGCTATGCTCAATTTTTCGATTCAAAAACACGCCCGCAAACATTGGATTAGGAGTAGGGACGCAAATAGCGTCGGGCAGGAAGGGAGCTAGAGGGTAGAGGAAAGAGGGAAGCGTACATCCGTACGCGAGCTGCCCAGGTTGATGATCTTGGGACAGCCGTCACGGTCCTTTTCGAGGCGGGTGCACTCGAAGCAGTAGAAAGCGTCCGAGATGCCCTCGCCGCCGCAGACGACGCACTTGTTCTGATAGTTGCCGAAGCTGCACTCGTCGCAGATGCGGACAAGGGTCGTGGGACGGACGTAAGAGTCGCAGACGGGGCATTTGCCGTCGCACTTGTCGCAGAGGCGGCCGATGGCGATGCCGGGCTGCTTGCGGCACATGACGAGATCGCTGCCCGGGAGGTTAGTACTGTGACCGTCAGCGGAAAACGGAGACTCACGGATGGTGGCGAGACATGATGCTGGACTAGTTCAGTTGAGCTGGAGATGTGTATCGCACGTGGAGAGGATGAGGAGATGAAGAAGAACGAAGCAGCGCTGTTTGAAGCTGGATAAATTCCGTGTAGGGAGTACGTGACGACAATGCAGGTTCGGGGAAAGCAGCAGCCGGCCGAGCTGTAGAAATGGGGGTTTCGTCTGGCCTCGGGGTTGATTTCTCAGCCTTGTCCGTGATTCACTGCCGTCTTCGACAGTACGCGGAACCTCGGCGCGTCAGCCAATCATGGAGCCTCACTGGTGGGGAGGAGAGCTTATCGTCGATAAAAACCCCCCACGCGTTGCCCCAGCGTAGCAATATAGGTATCTAGGTACCTTTGGTATGCAAAGCGGGCCTGCAGGTACCTGTCGATCGGATCACCACCTGACGAGAAAGGTGCTACGGGAGCTTTCATCTTGCGCCTCCCCATTTCATTCGCACAAAGACGAGCTCCAAACTCCAAAACGACCCCAGCCGCCCGTCTCTCCGACACCATCAGCCACATCGCTAGAGCTTCAGCTACGCGCCTCTCGCTGAACAAACCTAGTCCGCTCGAGCACCCAGTATCATGACACTTTGAGAAGCAAGCGCCGGGCAAATGGCTACCGAAGACGAGTGCGCAGCCCTCCAGTCTTGCCACCTGGCCTGCCCCAAGCTCTAACACCTTGACCGTCGCTTGCAGAGAGCGTTCCGCTGAAGCTCCGACGCCGCCGTCGGATGCGCGCGGGAAGAGCCCTGTGGAGGATGGAAGCCGCAAGAGGAAGATGTCCTCCGCCCAACGCTCGGACGATGGCACGGCGAAGCGATCCAAGCAAGAGCGCGACGAAATGCTCGTCCGATCGACCTCGCCCGACCGCAGACCTGAATCCCGGGACAGCAAGCAGAGTTCTGACCAAGGGCGGAGGCCTTCGGGTGCGACGGAAGAGGAGAAACAGCGCGGAAAGCGCCTGTTTGGCGGCCTCCTGAACACGCTCAGCCAGAAGACCAGCAACCCCCAGCAGCGACGCCGCCAGGAGATTGAGCGGCGCCAGCGGGACAAGATGCAGCAGCAGGCCGCCGAGGAGGACAAGAAGCGTGCAGAGAAACGCGCGGCGCTGCATGATATTCGCATGGAGCAGCAGATTACGTGGGAAGAGCGAGTGGTACGTCGAATCAAACGGACGAAAGATGCTGTCGCTCTGTCATACTGACCGAGGGACGATCCCGCGAATCAGATGCGCAGCAGGCACGCCAAGACGTTGAAGCTGGCGCAGTTTCTGCAAACGAGATCGACGCCCGAGATCGTATGTGATCTTTGTCCCAGCGTCCTACTAGGTAGCGGACACCGTTTGCTCACCTCATCGGCAGTATTTCCTGCCGCGAAGACTTAGCCGCAGGGAAAAGGACATTATCGAAGCCCAGGTCCGCAACTGCAAGGCCAGCATCTCCAGAGAGCTCGAGGACTTCAAAGGACGCAAGGAGCAGCACCTGAAGCGGTACGGGTCGAGGAGGGACTCGGACGCCGCGCCATCGCCAGCACAGCATCATAAGGCGGCGCAACACGAGCCAGCAGAGGATGCTGTCAAGAAGACGGCTGCGCCAGTCCACGACATGCACGACGACTCGGGTGATGTCTTGGTCGAGGCTGAAGAGGACACAGTTATTTACTGATGCGTCACGCAGACTCTTGATGTCGGTCGCTCTGCCCTCTGGTGCTGAGTCGCCTTGCAAAGTTTTCTTGCTGGCGTACTGGGATCAAGTACTCGGCTCTGGTTGTTCAGAGCAGCTACTCTGGTCAATGGCTTGGTATCATGAACAGCACAGTTCGCCGGTTGTTTTTCTGCTTTTACCTGGACGGCAAGCCTCGGCGCTGGAAGAATTAATCGAGAACGATGTCCACGAGGGAAACAAACAATACCAAAGCCCAAAGCCCAAAGCCTAAAGCAGGGCGAAGAGAGTAGCATAAGCTAAGGCCGTGGTTTCCGTTGCTTCCCGGGAGATGGCAAGGCAAGGACCCGATATGCCGGAGCATGAATGCAAGAATCATCATCAAGGACGCAGGATTGCGTGACTTGCTGGTCGGACTTTTGGCGGACGGCCGGCCAAGGTTGCGTCCGCCGTGGCTCAGAATCCCTTGCCCCGGTCGACAGAATGCAATGCCTCGGCTGCCGGAAGCACGAAGCAACAAATGCCGCGTCATTGCCCAAGCCCCTGGAGTTTGCTCATCCATTCGGGGGCACTGTACGGCCCACGCCGCCTGTGCTACGGATGCACGCGTGCGTGGTATTATGTAGAATCTGCCTGGGATACGTCGGACGTAAGATGGCACAGCAACTGCCGATCCGTAGGGAAGTGGGCGCAGTGCATGGCCGAGGACCATCAGCCGGCTTCCGTCCCTCGATGTCCAGAGTGGGAAAAAACCAAGACATGACGGGCGGAGGATGCAGATGCAGCTTACCAATGCGGCAATGGCCGCCTGCGCCGGAGCGCGACAGAGACCTTGCCTGTCGTCTTTCGGCCCAGCTGCCGGCCTTTCTCTGTCGGAGCTGTGAGAGGGACCGAGCGAGTGGACTTGGAACTACAGCGCAGTCCGTACGAGGCCATCACTAACAGGCACTGTCTACCCTGATTCGGGCTTTCTTAATACCGCCCTCAGCAATCAACGAAGAGGCAACGGCACAGCTTTCGCCCATGCATGACAGATGACATGCTGTGTCCACGGTGAAGAAGAGAATGTGCTCGAGGGCAAGGGGCGTGCTTGATGTACAACGCGGCATGGTGGTGGACGAAATGGCTGGTGCTCGCTCGCCCTCCGCGGTCCAAGCCGGATGGACCACTGGGGGCCGAAGCCCGAAGCCCGAGTGCGCGACGACCTCGGCCCGCTCGCTGCAGCCCCGCCCGCCCGGGACGGACAGCGCGGGGATGGGAGGGTATCGACAAGTGCCGGCGGAGCAGCGGTGCTTACCCCAACCAGGAGAAACAAAGAAATTCACATAAACCCAAATAAACCCGCAAGAGCGTGAACCCGGATCCTGGCCTCTGCGGCGTTGCAGAGATACAGTCTCTTGCTGCCAACGAATAACCTCCAGCGCCCCGTCGCCTTGACCTTGTACACCGAGGTACATACGCAGCCCAACCCAGCCTCGTCTCTCGTCACAATCGCCTGTCTTACTCTGCGCGCCTTGTTGGCCATCGCCGAGGCCCTGTCGATCCCCTTACGGCATCTTGCTCCCGCACGACGGTGCATGTATAAAACCTCCAAAGACCGGCCTCCAAGTCTCGGAATCGATTGCAGGTATGAGACCGTCGAGCCATCATGTTGTCCAAACTGACATCCGTGGTCCTCTTGACCCCGCTATTCGCCTCCATCGTGGCACACGCCCTTCCCGCTGCCGACTGCTCTGCAGGTGAGTCTGACCGACCCGTTGCACGCCAGCTCTGGAGCTAGACAAGACGCTTGTGCTGACGAGCGTCCACAGACACGGGAACCCATTCTTCCCACCAACCCCCACAGACACACTCCGACGTCATGGACACCAGCAAGCTGCTCCCCAACGATCCCCGGGTCCGCAACACCACCGCCACGATCCGCGGCAAGACCTATGCGTACATTGTCGGTGAGCCGCGGGACCAGCCGCCCGTCGACACCGTCTTCCTCATCCACGGCTTCCCGGACCTAGGTTTCGGCTGGCGCTACCAGGTGCCCTATCTCATGTCCCTGGGTTTCCGCGTCGTCGTCCCAGATATGCTCGGCTACGCTGGTACCGACTGCCCCGAAGACGTGCGTGACTGGTCCTTCAAGAACATAGCGGCCGACATCAAGGAGCTCGCTGGCAAGTTTGTGGGCGACGGGCAGATCATCCTCGGCGGACACGACTGGGGAGGTGCCGCTGTCTGGCGTGTCGCCTTGTGGCACCCCGAATTGATCAAGGCCGTATTCAGCCTCTGCACACCTTTTAGTCCGCCCAGGAAGGACTACCTCGACCTCAAAGATGTCATTGCGGCCGGCAACTTGACAAACTTCCGCTATCAGCTGCAGCTCAGAGGCCCGGATGTCGAAAACACCCTCCAGGGCAAGGACAATGTTCGCCTATTCCTCAACGGCATGCATGGCGGGGTTGGTCCCAATGGCGAACTGGGCTTTTCCGCCGAAAACGGCGGCGTTCTGTTTGATAATCTGACCAAGCTGGCAAGGCCCAAGGGGATGACGGGCGATGAGCTCGACTTTTACGTCCAGCAGTACATGCGCCAGAAAGCACCGCAGCTGCATGGCCCGCTCAACTGGTATCGCACTAGCAAGATCAGCTGGGAGGAGGAGCTTCCGCTAGCAGGCAAGAAAACCTCGCTGGAAATGCCGACGCTGTTCATCTCGGCGACAAACGACACGGCGCTGCCCCCATCCATGTCCATCGGCATGGAGCAGTACATGCCCAAGTTGACCAGGGGAGAGGTTCAAAGCTCGCACTGGGCGCCGACCGAGGCAAGCGCCGACGTCAACAAGCAGCTGGGCAAGTGGCTGGATGGTGTACTCAATGGAGCTGTCAAGTCGGCTTTGTAAAGATTTGATGATTATGTTGCTATGTTCCAAGAGCCGTTGATAGCATTGCGAACAAAAAGACTTGGAGGACACGGCATGAGGGAGGCGTGGGGCCACGAATTGGCTTTGATCCGGCCGTGAGATGCCGAGTGTCTTGGACCAACCAGGTCCTTTTGCCTTGCCACTTTGGTAGACATATATTCTAAGGAGAATGGTGGCAGCCTGTCAAGCAGGCGAGAGAGCAATATCGCAACGCAAGACGAGACTCGATGCCAGCCGTTGCTGGATCATGTCATGGAAGCCATCGGGTGTCTTGCTTCACTTGAGGGTGAACTTTTGGCCGGATACAACAGGTGCTTTCGAGGTTGACTTCTTGTTCGGTTTGCCACACATGGCACAAGCTGTAGGCGCTTTGGTCAGCGAGGCGTGTCAAGGAAGTGGACGGGCCATTACTTGCCGTCGTTCTTGAAGGCGCAAGTATGACAAAAGGTGTGCCCTTGGGTGATTTTGGACTTGCACTTGGAACAAGAGCTAGATGGAAAACAACATCAGCTGCGAGGGCTTGAGTCGGAGAGCTTCACGGACCTCGAGTACTGAGCATATGGGTTCTTGGCTGACTTGGACAGGAGCTTGCTCTGTACCAGTACCCAGCATTAGTTTTCCGGCGAGATGGCAGAAGCAACAGATGTTCCATACCTTGCTGATTCCGCTGTTTCCAAGAGTCGTCGGCTTGGCGGTGCCCTTGGCCTTTGAGGAGGAAGCGGAGGAGCTGGCGGCGGGTGAACCGTAGTACATCTCGCTCTTCTTCTTGACATCGGGGGTGGCGAGGGTGGTGCCCTTGGAGAGCTTCTGGCACTTGGCACAAACCATGACGGCTTCTATTCTGCCTGCCTGGGCGGTGGAGAATGGGTATCGTATTCCGCCCGGCCAAGTCGTCACCGCTGTGGAGGCTTGGTGGGTGGGTGGCGTTGAAGGTGAGGTGATCGCGGGCTGCTTGGCTGGAGGGTGACGAAACACCTGCCTTTTGCGCCGCGGCCCCCTGGCGTGTCGCAGGAAGTGCCATTCATGTACCCCGGGGTCTCGGATGCTAGCCTGGCGGTGACGAGGCACAGCGATCGCGTGGCAGGATACATGGCTCCGGCGCCCGGGGACCCGTCGGGACTTGGGCCGAGGCTTGGAACGCGGCCAGTTGCGTTGGTGTGGCTGGGCGGTTGGCGGGACATTGCTGCAGGCCTAGAATTTTTGGGTATTCCCCCGGCTGCTTTACTGGGGCTCGACACGGACAGCGGCCAATCTAGGGACCTTTAGGGGGGATGCCCCTTTAGGCGGCCTCCACTGTAGCGGGGATCAGAGATTGCGTTGGTTGGGCGCTGTAGCAATTGGGTGCTGCACTCTGCTTTGGCTGCGGCTGGCTGCTGATGGTGATCCAGAGCCTGCTGGCGTCCAGCAGAAAAGCCATCTCAAACCGCAAACCCAGCCCGAGCCTCGTGCCGCCTCCCCTCCCAGCGCCTAGCCTTGCCGGACAAAGAAAGAAAGTGCAGGCGTTGGTCCACGAATGACGCCGAGCCTCCTTTGAAGTCCCGTGGTCCGTTCAACTGTGCGCACGCAGGGGGCTGTGCGTTGGACTCGTACACGGTCGAATTTGCCATCCATCCCACGCCTGCGACACGGCATCACCACCACCTGGGGAAAAGACTCACATTCCGATTCGCCCACCCGACGACCGATTCTCGTCCCTCTCTTTCCCCTCTTCCACCGCCCGAGGCGCTGCCCAGACTGCCCGCGAACCCAAAGCCGTCCGTCGTCGATTCTGCTGCATGCGCGGACGCTACTCCGCCGCCTGACATCCCGACCGTCGCCCGTCTTCCGGCATGGCTGGAAGACCGCCCGGACGTCTCCACGGCGGATCGTCTGGGACCCGCGAGGACCTGCTGCTGGATCTCGAGAGCGACCAGCCGGCGTACAGCGGCGGGCAGCGATCGGCCCTCAACGACGACGATTTGATCCGAGCCCACGCCCTCGACGACCAAGACCCCCAGGGCCGACCGTCGGTGTCGTACGACGACTTCGTGGGCGCATCTAGCCCGTCGGCTAGTCGCTCTGGGCCCGACCAACGAGGGCACCGCACCCAGCACTCCGACCTCGACGGCCATCAGCGATACGCCGACGACTTCGACGACTACCCAGCCGACGCTGATTCATACTACCAGCATGGAGGAGGCGGAATGGCTGGCCAGACCCCTTCGTCCTCGGCAAGGAACATGGCGAGAAACAGGAATAGTGTCTTGAGCCTCGGCGGCGGTCTTCTCGGCAGGGTCAAGAACAAGCTCGGCATGGGCGAAGGCTACTCGGAGATGGACTTGCCCCTGACCGAGCCCGGCCAAGAGCGCGGCGCCCCGTCGGCTGCTTCACAAAAAGACCACAAGAGCAAGAAATTTGACATGGGCAACTTCAGGTTTGGCTTTGGGAAAAGCAAGCCCGATCCCTCCACCCTCGGCCCGCGCATCATCCATCTCAACAACCCGCCCGCCAACGCCGCCAACAAGTACGTCGACAACCATATATCGACGGCCAAATACAACTTCGCCAGCTTCCTGCCAAAGTTCCTGCTCGAGCAGTTTTCCAAATTCGCAAACATCTTCTTCCTATTCACCGCAGGCTTGCAGCAGATCCCCGGCCTCTCGCCCACGAACCGATACACGACAATCGCGCCCTTGCTCATCGTCCTGTTGATCTCGGCGGGAAAGGAGCTGGTGGAGGACTACCGGAGAAAGCAAGCCGACAACGCCCTCAACACCTCCAAGGCTCGCGTCCTGCGCGGGACCAGTTTTGCGGAAACCAAATGGATCAACGTTGCGGTGGGTGATATCATTAGGGTCGAGTCGGAAGAGCCCTTCCCGGCCGATCTGGTCCTGCTCGCGAGTTCCGAGCCCGAAGGCCTCTGTTATATCGAAACAGCGAACCTCGACGGTGAGACCAACTTGAAGATCAAGCAGGCCCTGCCGGAGACGTCCACCATGGTGTCTCCCGGTGAGCTCAGCAGACTGGGGGGCCGCATCAAGTCTGAACAGCCCAACAGCAGCCTCTACACCTACGAGGCGACCCTCACTATGCAGGCCGGGGGAGGGGAAAAGGAACTCTCGCTCAACCCGGAGCAGCTTCTCCTCAGAGGCGCTACCTTGAGAAACACGCCGTGGATACACGGAGTCGTCGTCTTCACCGGCCACGAGACCAAGCTGATGAGAAACGCCACGGCCGCCCCAATCAAGCGGACAAAGGTGGAAAAGCAGCTCAACTGGCTTGTCCTGGTACTCGTCGGCACTTTGCTAATTCTGAGTGTAATATGTACCGTCGGCGACCTGGTCATGCGCAGCGTGCAGGGCGACTCGTTCGACTACCTGTATCTGGACCGTATCGACAGCGCCGGAAAGGTCACACGAACGTTTGCCAGAGACATGGTTACCTACTGGGTGTTGTTTTCATCCCTAGTGCCCATTTCCCTGTTTGTCACGGTAGAGCTGGTCAAATACTGGCACGGAATCCTCATCAACGACGACCTCGACATGTACCACGACAAGTCCGACACGCCGGCCACGTGCCGCACCTCGAGCTTGGTCGAGGAGCTCGGCATGGTCGAATACGTCTTCTCGGACAAGACGGGCACTCTCACGTGCAACCAGATGGAGTTCAAGCAGTGTAGCATTGCAGGCATCCAGTACGCCGAACAAGTGCCCGAGGACCGCCGGCCAACCGCGCATGATGACGGAGAAAACGGGATATACGACTTTGACAGGCTCAGGGCGAATCTGAGAGAAGGCCACGAGTCGGCCGCGGTCATCGACCACTTCCTCGCCCTCCTGGCCATCTGCCACACCGTCATCCCCGAGATGACGGAAAAGGGCCAGATCAAGTACCAGGCTGCCTCCCCCGACGAAGGCGCGCTGGTGTCTGGCGCTCTGGAGCTGGGCTATCGGTTCACCGCCCGGAAGCCCAAGTCGGTCATCATCGAGGCAGTCGGCCAAGAGTTGGAGTACGAGCTGTTGGCGGTGTGCGAGTTCAACTCGACGCGCAAGAGGATGTCGGCCATCTACCGATGCCCTGACGGCAAGATCCGATGCTACTGCAAGGGAGCCGACACTGTGATCCTGGAGCGTCTCAACGACCAGAACCCTCACGTGGAGGCGACTCTGCGGCATCTCGAGGAGTACGCCTCGGAGGGCCTGCGGACGCTGTGCCTGGCCATGCGCGAGATCCCCGAGCAGGAGTATGACGAGTGGTATCAGATCTTCGACACGGCCTCGACCACCGTCGGCGGCAACCGCGCAGAGGAGCTGGACAAGGCCGCCGAGATTATCGAGCACGACTTTTTCCTTCTCGGCGCCACCGCCATCGAGGACCGCCTCCAGGACGGTGTTCCCGAGACCATCCACACCCTGCAACAGGCCAACATCAAGGTGTGGGTCCTGACGGGCGACCGACAGGAGACGGCCATCAACATCGGCATGAGCTGCAAGCTTCTGAGCGAGGACATGATGCTGCTGATTGTCAACGAGGAGTCCGTGGCGGCGACGCGCGACAACCTGCAGAAGAAGCTGGACGCCATCCGGACCCAGGCCGACGGGACCATCGAGATGGAGACGCTGGCGCTCATCATTGACGGAAAGTCACTGACGTATGCGCTGGAAAAGGACCTCGAGAAGCTGTTTCTCGACCTGGCCGTCATGTGCAAGGCCGTCATTTGCTGCCGCGTGTCGCCGCTGCAAAAGGCTTTGGTGGTGAAGCTGGTCAGGAAGTATCAGAAGGAATCCATCCTCCTCGCCATCGGCGACGGGGCCAACGACGTCTCCATGATCCAGGCGGCGCACATTGGCGTCGGCATCAGCGGCGAGGAGGGACTGCAGGCTGCCCGGAGCGCCGACGTGGCCATTGCACAGTTCCGGTTTCTGCGCAAGCTGCTGCTCGTCCACGGAGCCTGGAGCTACCAGCGCGTGAGCAAGACGATACTTTTTTCCTTTTACAAGAACATTGCCCTCTACATGACTCAGTTCTGGGTGAGTCGACGGCGACGGCGACGGAGGTGCGTTGCAGGCATCGCGTGCTAACACGATGGACAGTATACTTTTCAAAACGTCTTCTCGGGACAGGTCATTTACGAATCGTGGACGCTGTCCTTTTACAACGTCTTCTACACGGTGCTCCCTCCGCTGGCGCTGGGCATCCTGGACCAGTTCATCTCGGCGCGGCTCCTGGACCGGTATCCGCAGCTGTACATGATGGGCCAGAAGAACTACTTCTTCAAGCTCAAGGTGTTTGCCGAGTGGATCGGCAACGCCTTCTACCACTCGCTCGTGCTGTACATCTTCTCGCAGCTGATCTGGTACGGGGACCTGATCCAGGGCGACGGCAAGACGGCCGGCCACTGGGTGTGGGGGACGGCGCTGTACGGGGCGGTGCTGCTCACGGTGCTGGGCAAGGCGGCGCTGGTGACGAACAACTGGACAAAGTACCACGTGCTGGCGATCCCGGGCAGCATGGCCATCTGGTACGTCTTTGTTGCGGCGTACGCGTCGGTGGCCCCCATGATCAACCTGTCGACCGAGTACCGCGGGGTGCCGCCGCGCCTGTTCACGAGCCCCGTCTTCTGGCTGCAGACGATTGCGTTGGCGACGCTGTGTCTGCTGCGCGACTTTGCCTGGAAGTACGCCAAGAGGATGTACTTTCCGCAGACGTACCACCACATCCAGGAGATTCAAAAGTACAACATTCAGGACTATCGTCCAAGGTGAGCAAGAGAGCGACGCGTCACCAAGAAAGGAAGGCATGCTGACAGCGGGCCGTCTAGAATGGAGCAGTTCCAAAAGGCGATCCGAAAGGTGCGCCAGGTGCAGCGGATGCGTAAGCAGCGTGGCTATGCTTTTTCGCAGGCCGACGAAAGCCAGACGCGCGTGCTGCAGGCGTACGACACGACCAAGCACAGGGGCCGCTACGGAGAGATGGCGAGTTCCAGGCCAATGGGCAAGTAGGTGACATGTGGGGGATCATCGACGACGAGAGGTATTGATACCTACGATGGCGAGTCGCAAGAGTTATGAGGTCTTGGCCAAGGGGACGAAGAGCGCGTGCGGTCCAGGCCTGGCGTTTTTCTCGGGGGCGGGGGGAGGGTTGTTTTCGGCAGTTTCTCTTACCCATGCACCTGTTACAATGTAATTCGAGGCGCACGAGCATGAATTTTTTTTTGAGCGGAAGCCTTTCCATCGGTGCCCTCGGCGATGACTGTGGTGCCCACTCTGGACGGGGCAGTTCCAGGCGGCTGGGATGAGATGGGGCCAGGATCCATTGTGACTCCTTTTTAGAGTCTCCCCAGCGGCCCAATCTGCGTTGCGTAAAGGGGCCCGGCACCTGTTCTGGCTCCCTTTTCTTGACAAGTGAAGGATACGCATGGTTATATTGACTGGTCGAGTCGTACGCACACGCATATATATATATATATATATATATATATATATATATATATAAAATAAATATGCCGTACCCACGGAAAGACGGAAAACTCGCACGTATGCTCTCCCCCTCTTCGTACTACGGTTACCTTGGCGTAGAAGAGGTTTGCCAGACAGGCATGCGTCCGGACACTCCGACGGATAGCGATGCTTCGCACGGGCATACCCAGTAGAGACGTGCGTATTTACCCATTCATCCAAAAAGGAGCGGAGGCTAAATGCAGCAGCCCGCCGCCCTTGCACACACACACGCTTTAACCTGCCGCGCTCGTCCCGTGCCGCCCGCCCACGGGGACGGACACCCCGGCCCTCTTCTTCCTTTGACTCGTGTCTTGTGTTGTTTGTTGTTGATGCCTGCTGTTGTTGTTATTGTTGGTGGGCTTTTACTTGCAACTTTTTTTTCCGGGGCGGGGAAGAGAGGAGCTGAATATGTTCCCCCCCCCCCCTTCCCTTTGCTACCAATCTATACGGGGTACGGGCGGGCCATATGACCAGGTATTGGAAGGCGATGGGAGAGGTTGTGGGTTGAAGACGCCGTCGGCATATCTGTCTTTTCTTTCATGCGTTCATGCACGCGCATGCCTACCAAGCCGTGCGTGCCGGGGGCTGCAGGATTTGGCGTATCGCACATACTAACGTATCGCACATACTATACAGGCCGCAAATCTGCGCCTTGTTCAGAGTCGCACATGGGGAGACGAAGACGAGTGACAGCGTATTTCGCGTCGAGGGGATAGACGCGGACAGAGGCCTCGAGTGCAAGCGAGGGCATCTCCACTCTTTGTACAGTAGCAGTACGTGGGCTCATGCCCCCGAGGGCTCGGGTCGGGGCAAAACGAGCCGGGCGGGATTAAAAAGTCTCTGGGAAACTCTACCACGGTACCCAGTAGTTTCGTAGCATGCGCAGTGCAGTATTACTCATTACTGTAAGGTAGGTAATTAATAATAGCGAGCGGCTTGCTTTTGCGCACAAGGTGACGTCGGGTGCATCTACTCGGTATGTATGTACATAATTACTCTACTACATACAGTCAGTATCCCTACAGAGCCGGCCAGACAGACGAGGGAGAAATCCTTGCCAGCAACTAATTCACCTATGTACATAACAAGTGACAGGCAAACAGTCTCGTATTTGACACAGGAGGCGCCCTGCTTTGTCATGCTCACTGTCTCATCCAGCACGCGAGACTTGCATCATGCATGTAATTACTTGAAGGTTCTCGCCAAAGCCTATCCCGTTGTTTCTGCTGCGCAAGTAAACACGGAACCTTGTTCCCGTCATGGTCCACCAAATACCGACGACGCACGGCATGCAACACCATCTACCGAGACAGGCTCCGTGTGCTCCCGCGTCAAATGTACCAAATGTGCTCCGTCGAGGCAATCATCGCCATGCAATGCCACCTGTATCCGTTCCTTCTGCCCATCTATAGTACTTGTATCGTGTTGGTGTTTTCCCCCATCCATCAAGTTTCGTGACACATATCGGGTCCGCCATCGAATGCTCCCCGGTGAAGAAAGAGTGGGGAGCCCGCGTTTCGAGATGCGGTGCGAGAGACAAAAGCTTCCGCCCGGACAAAACTCCTCCGCCCATCCAACAAGTAAACTTTTCGGCGCCACACAAAAAAGACAAGACGCTGCCCTCGTCCTCGTCGCAGCAGGGTCGGTGGAAGCGGCAGTGGCCTGCACAATCCCGGGGCCGTTCCGAGCAGCCTCAGCGCCCCGCTCTCGGATCCGTCGTCTGCGAACCCCTGCCGACTGTGCACATGGCCCCATGCGTCCCCCCTGTAAGCCACCAGCATGCCCAACGACGATCCAGGAACCCAGGCACGCCCGGACGACTGACCCGCCCAGCAAGGTGCATCCCGGGCACCCATCAATGTCGGCATTCGTCCACTCACCAACCTGCTTGGCCGCACAAGCAAGCCCGGACCCGCTGCTGCAAAGTGTATCCTCGCTCGCATGAATGAGTCAAATCCACGTCTCCATCATCGACCAACCACGGGCGTCACCAGCTCGATGCTCTTGGGCCGCGAGTATGCGCCCGGGTGGCGTGACGGCAGTGGCCGGTCCTCGTACGTGTGTGTGTAGCCACCGCCGCCGTAGTAGTGGCCGCCGTCGAGCGTCGACGACAGGTAGGGAGCCGACGGTCGTGTGTACGAAGTGCCGGGGCTCGTCGCGACGCTGCGACCAAACGGCCAGATGCTGCTGCCGTTGCTTCCCGTCGGCGATGGCGGGCTCGACGGGCCGATGTTGAGAGACCGGAGCGCCGAAATGGCCGACGAGTGGTGCGCCTTGGTTCCCGGCGAGCCCGGCGGCGAGTTGCTCAGGTGTATCGACGTGGGCCGCGACGGCGTGGCTCGAGGAATAATGTCCCTGGGTTCCGGGTTCCCGGCAGCCGCGAAGCCGAGCTCGCCGCCCGTGTACGTTCCAAAGCGAGACGACAACGAAGCGGCCTGATGACCAGTCGCTGATGTCGAGCTCTGGTCGATACGGCGGCACCTGGCAAGAGAATCTTAGTAACGGGGAACAAGTCTTGACAAGAGCCGCCGGGGCGAGGTTGCCAAGAGGTCGTCGTCGAGGTCTGTGCCTCGGGGAGGGGAAGCGGGCGCACTCGAGGGCAGTGTACGTACGTGTCGGAGCAGTAGAGGAATTTCTCGTCGTGCGGCACAAACTGTTTTTCACAAGTCATGCTGCATGAAAAAGGCAGCAGGTCAGCCAAGCGTCGCATAATCAGGCTCGTGGCGAACGGCCGAGCGTTGTGACCACCACGTAGAGAGCACGGACGGCCAAGGCAACGTACCAGAACTGAGGGAAGCTCTCTCGCTCATCGTCCCAGCCGTCTTGCCAGCAGTCTCGCTCCCGGTCGCGGTGACGGCGGCCGAGGAGCTGGGCGCTGGCGGGGGTGTGGCGGCGAGTCATGGCAGGCCTCCGATGCTTGGCCGAAGAGTCGGTGGCGGTGACGGATTTGCGGACATCCGTCATGGACGTGTTGCCCGACTTCTTGCGGTGGTGAAGCATCTGGCGAGATTGAGCCGAGGCCAGCTCGAGGGGACGCTGATTGGCCAATGCGGTGATCTGAGTCAGGCCGCGTCGTCGGTCGTACAGACGGACTCGTGGAGACGAGGTTGTGAGAAGGCGGTCGACACGCAGGACAGGCCAGAGCTGTTGTCGACTCTGGCGAGAGAGCAGAGGCGAGGCGAAGCGAGAGGGGAAGGTTATGCACAAGGGGCCGTCGTGTCAAATGCTGGACGACCACGTGTTGGGGCAGACAGGGACGACAAGACGAAGACGGCAGGGTTGCAGTTGCGGGTGGGCGGTGGCTGATGGACGAAAGCACCGTCAGATAAGAGGGATGCGATATGATGGTGCAACGCGGATGGCAGGGCGGATATCTCTGTATCGTGCGGCGAGGGTGGGGGTGTCTGGACAACGGTCGAGTGTCGTGATTTATCGCGGCTGGTTGTTGGCCGATGTCGATACGGCGTTGTCGTCTCTTGCAGGCCGGGGAGAGAGGCGGGGGCGGCGGGGGGTTATGACTGGCGAATGACGGGACGGCGGCTGCAGGCAAGGGCAAAGGAGAGAAGGCCTGGCGAGGAAGTGAGGGGGAGAGGAGAGGAAGAAGGAAAACAAGAGGTAGAAAAGGTGAAGGAGGTGTAGATGGATGCGTGGTGGCCGTGTTTTGTAGTGTAGTGTAGTGTAGGTACCAGTGTGAGTAGGTAGGTAGGTAGGTAGAGAGGTAGGTACCTAGGTAAATGGTGGTGCCCGGCGTGTACTGTATGTACTGCCTTAGGTACCTAGAGTGTAGGTAGGTAAGGTAGGTAGGCAAGGTAGGTAGGTCGGTTAGGTAGGTCGGTTAGGTAGGTAGGTAGGTAAGGTAGATAGCCAAGAATGTGCGGATACTCATTTACCGCAAAGTACCTGCCTACCTTACTTGGCGGGCGGCGCGTATCGAGGTAGCGTAATGTATAATTTTAGAGTCTTAAAGGCTCCTCCCTGCGTGATTGTTGTTTTGTGCCTGGCCGATGGACGATAACAGCCGAGAGCGGAGATGCGACGAAAGTTTCCGCGTGTGACTGGAACCGGAAAATACGGGGGTGCAATGGCAAATCCAAAACCTGCTTTTGACTGGAAACAAATAAGACCTGGTCCTTGGACGGGTGCTTGAAACAGGCCATATGATTTGCTCGTGGTCAAGACAGTTTTTTGTTTTGGCCGTGCATGAGACTCTTCTCCCTTTTTCTTGCACCATGCAAGCAAGCTACGAGCGTCTTGACAATGCGCAGGTAACGGTAACAGCAAATGAATCAAAGGAAAAAGGGGCGGCGGCCGAGGGAGAGCGAATGAGCGGCGGAGACAATCAAGACAATCACGCACGAGGCCACGTGCCCGACGACGAGCTCTCGGCAGCAACCCGCACCCGGACGTTGCAATCACGACATTTCGCCTTTGGCTTTGGCACGGGGAAACGGAAAACCCCAGCCATCTCGGCCACTCGCTCGGCAACAAAAACATCCCCCCGGGTGCATGTCAGCATGTCCCTGTCCGGGGGCTGCAGCGGTGGCCGCCCTGGAGGGTTGACGAAGTTGTGTGGGGTACGGAGCAGTTCCCGGGTACGTACCCAGGTCGACAAGTACTGTACCGTACTGTACAGCCTCCCTACAGCCTCCCAACAGCCTCCCAACAGTCGCCGTCTGCGCTGCGCCGACCAACGTTGGCACTTGCATTCATGCCTTGAATAAACCGTCGCCGTCTTTCCCATCCCGGGGGTTGATGCGGCCGAGGCTTGGCCAGTCCCGTCTGGCACAGCGGCCGCAGCTTTACGGCCGGGCCGGCATCTGCCAAGGTTTCGATGCCAGGTCTGATTGTTGAAAGGCCTCTTGTTGACAGTCCAGAGCCAGGCCCGTCATGCCTTGGGCCACCATGTCCCTGGTCCCTGGAAACTCGGCGCAAGAGATTCATGCCTGCTTTGGCCTATCCGGACAGATGGCAGCGACGGTACCTGGGGCCAGCTGACGAGCTGCTCGTCAAAGCGTCCGCTGAGCACGTTTTCCCTCGACCAAAACGCCCACCTCCCTCCTCCTCCACCCCTCTGGGACGTCGTCGTCATCGACACCCATGTACATGCCAACTTTCTGCCTTTTGGGTTGCTTGTCAGTGTGTATCGCTCGCACTGTACTTATCCACCCAAGTCATCTGGGGCTTGTCCGTGCGAGCCCGTAAAACACCGTGGACAGCCAAGCATGGGTTTGAGAAATGTACAAGACACGGGGTCCAAAGCCCAAAGCGCAGCATGGGGAATGGACCAGGAACCTTCGGCAGCCCGTACTCTGTACTTGGACGGCGGTACGGGCGCACACGGAGCCGTCGGTACCTCGGAACCTCCCTCTCAACGTTGCGCCTAAACATGCTCACTGCCTCCCACTGCCTCCTTTGATCCGCTTCTTTCTCCTCCCTCATCATGCACTCGCCCACGCCTCCGCCGTCTGGTCAGCTCTACTCTCAATCCGCCGCTCCCTCCCTTCCTTCCCCCCACCGCCTCCTCCCTCTATGCAGGCTCGACGACAAGGCGGCAGATGCATCCTCCCCGTCCGCCCGCCCCCCAGGTCGTCGCTGGGAGGGCCACGGCACGGGATACCGTCATGCGAGCCCCGATTAGGTATTATGGAGCCTCAAGGTCGCCTGCCACCCTGCTGTCCTCTTCTCCCGACGTCGGATCGGCCATCAGGCTCCTCCCTGCCGCCGTAACAGGCCCACCCTCTCCGTCGGGGTGTTGGTTGTACGTCTCCTCCGTCGGTCAGCTTGACGAGCCGTCGAGGTAAATCCGGGGAAAGGTGCACCCGGACGGGGCTCATGCCCGTCTTCTCTGTGTTGGCGAGCTTCCTGCGGTCATCCTCTCGTTCCTCTTGTCCACTGCTGCCAAGCCGAGGAGCCATGACTATTCTGGGGTTCGGTTTGACACCATGGCTGGAATGCCTCACGAGTCTGCATGTCGCTGCACGAGTGACGAGGAGCGCCGGCTACCACGTGCGCCTTGCCTGGGTCGTGAGCGAAAGCTCTGCTGCTGCCAGCACCCGGATGAGGCGTCGCAAAGCCCAAGCTCGCCCTCAGCTCCACACCGAAGTCTCCCATGTCTTTGCACAAGCCCCTAGATGGCACCGGAGCAGACGGCGCCGGCCCACTGACAGCCAACTAACTTCTGCACGCCGCAGTCATGGACGGATGCCCGAGCGGCTGCTAGTGGAGCACTAGGAGCTGCCCACGAGGCCCAGAGTTGCTTTTGTAACTGGCCGGCTCCCGGAGGGGGCACAATATCTGCAAAATTTGCAACCATTTACTCATCAGGGCACGCCAACCTCATCAGGCCTGCCTTTGTTGGTGGACTTGGCTAGCCCGAAGGAGGGCCGAGACGAGCCATGAGCCTACGTCCCGGTCAGGTGTTCACCAGAGCATCGCATCCACTCATGATCATCAGACATGTCGCGAACTTTGCTGTCGACGCAGTCCAGGCACATTTCATCTCGCCCGAGACCCTGGCTGCCGCTTTCAGAACATGGCAGGCGTCACCCTGCTGGCCTCGGTCGATGAGACCGGTTTCAGTCGGCTTTTCATCTTGGATTTACAAAGTACCTCTTTACCGGTACATGGCCTCATCGCAGATTAACTGTCGTGCTGCCCCACACACATTGAGCGTCACCGCATTTTCGACAAGTTGACGACCGCTTACCGACAGTGGAGACGCGAGCCTCGTCGATGGGACGTGACTCTGGCTCACGCGAGTAGTTTAGTCCTGGTCCGCGTCCATTGGTGATTGCGAGCACGCGATTGCCCAATTTCCTTGGCATCAAGGGATGTGCTGTCTGCAGAGGAACGTGGCAGCGACGACGTCACGCCGTGAACCGGCCGTTGTCGCAACTTACGCCAAGTAGGAAACACCGTATCTGAGACTGTTCTGGCTCTTCCAGACGCGCCACTTCTCGCTCAGCCAAGCTCTCAGGCATGGGGGACTTTGGAGTTTTCAATCCACCCAGTTGCGGGCGCGTCGGGCACCGGTGGACCTTGGCTTAACCTCGGTACCGCGAGCACGCCTGATGGAAACACATGATTATGACCCGGGTTCTGCCATAAGGGGTCATTGGCATGGGGTTCTTGTGCTGTTCTCATGTAGGCAAGCCACGTCCGCAAACGAAAGATTCCCATGATTGTTCCCCCGTACCGCCCCTTCCTGGGATGAGATGACGAGAAGACCACTGCCTCTGTAGCCTGTCTGTCCATAGCCTTGCCGAATGGCATTAAGCTGCCCGGGCCAGCGCCCTGAGCCTGCACCGCCCTGCATAGCTACCACCCCCTGGCTTTCCCGTCATCCACAGTCATGTTCTCGCCCCAGAAGATGAGACGGTCCGTAGCCGCAACTTCTTCACCGCCTCCGTCCATCCGTCGAGGGGCAGTTCGAAGAGCGGCACGGCCTCGTCCACGCCGGTTTCCAGCGTCGACACGCTTCGCCACGAGCCCGCTTCTTGCGCAGCGACGGCGCCATGGTCGAGCCTCGCGCATTCTTCCAGGGTGAGATGGCGTGGCGTGCTGTGGTCCGACGCGGCGGCGGAGTGGGCGAGCTGGCATAGTGCTTTCTGGAAGATGGCGGCTACCGTCTCGACGATGCCGCCCTTTGAGTCATACAGCTTCCGCGCGTGGGGCGCAGAGACGCGCCACTCCGTCCACAGCAGTCTGGCTGCGCCGAGCTGTGCTAGCAGCATGACGTAGGATTCATACATTGCGAGCCTTGTCCGTGGCATCGCCTCGCACGCGCCGCTTAGATAGTGCATCACCACGTCTCGAAGCGACTCGGGCGCCACCTGGCCCTCGGCGTCGACTCCCGTCAAGACTCGAAAGAGGTGTTGACGGTCCCGCGCCTGCTGAAGCTGTCCGGTTCCACAATCGTCGCTCAGCAGAGGAGGAAACGAGGCCAAGGCGAGCTGCACATCGGCCGCCATTTTACGCTCACCCCACGCCTTGTGCCTGTAGCCGCGCTGCAGCCATTGGGACATCGCTTCGATGTCGCCCACCTCGGCGGATAGGTGCAAGGCGAGGCCACAGAGCGGCGTGCCTACAGACCGCTCGGGCTGCGTGATCCTCGCCGACAGGTTGCCGATAAAGGCCAGGGTCTCGAGGGCGGTGGAGCGCCGCGTGAGAGTCTGGTTCAGGACGCCGTCGCAGGCCCTCCTGATGCGGGACGTCATGGCGGATCGGATGGTGCGCTGCTTGGCGAAGCTGCCGATGAAGGTCCCCGCGGCGATGGACTGAAAGACGACGCGCCGAATGCCCGAGAGTGACGTCTGGTGCCGCAGGGCGTTGGACAGCTGCGCGCGCGTGGGGGGCTCCGACTCGTGTTCCCGCCGGGAGACCTGGAGGACGTCGCGCCGCAGCATCATCCAGCGTAGAAGCTGCTCGTCGTCTTGGAGGGCGTGCGGCGGTATGCCGTTGTCCAGGCAGACTGTATCCAGGTCTCCCCGCGTCCTCGGGGGCAGGTTGGCGCTCTCATCGTGGGCGGCATGCGTCTCTGGGCCCGATGGTGCCGGAGCTCCCGAAAGCGCGGCGGAGAAGATGTCGTGGGGGGATATCAGCCGAGCACTGGCCGGCCGTAGCAGCGACTTGAGGGCACCGAGGCGCGAGGCGTGGATCTGCTCCTTGAACTGCTCCACCCGGGCCCTGACAGCCGCGCGCTCGGGCGTCACGGCCCACTTGGCACTCATGCGCAGCTCATCCTCGTCGGCATAGGGCCGGACACTACTGGCGCCCTCGGCGTCGAGGTCGAGCAGCAGGTCCGACACCTCGAAGAAGTCGCGCTGGGCGGCCGGGTCCGGGTTCGCCAGGGCGCGCTGCTTGTGGGGGACCCAGTAGGGCGCGCCGTACTTGTCGACGTGGCGGAGGAACTTCTTGGACGACGTCTCTGGCACGCCATTGAGCCAGAGCTCCCGCGGATCGGGCAGCTGTCCGGTGGTGTCGGCAAACTGGCGGGCCCGCAACGCCGCCGAGCGCATCATTTTGCCCCCTTGTCAAGTCGAGGCCCGTCGCTCGGAAGCGAGACTGCCCCGGGGACCCGTGATGAATGATGGGTGACGAGGGCTTCGAGGCGAGGGAGGCGCTGCATTGGTCGAGGTGGTGGCCTTTTGAATGCAAAGGTTGAGTAGTCGTATGTTAAGCCAAGGTTCACGTGTGGAGGTAAGTTTAGGTAGCACCAAAGACGGACGGCGGTAGGGGACGTCTTACAGCTTCTACGGCCCGTCATTCAGGCTTGCGGACAGCCGGCCCCATCAGCTCCCCCACTCTCCCCCTAGTCGGAGCGCGCCGGACCTGTTCCCCGCGCCCCTGGAGGCGGGGATTCCAGGGGGCCCCAGCAGCCCTGAAAACGGGCCATGTTTCTTACAGTGTCAAGTGCGAGATGGGATTCAGGAAGAAAAGATAGGGTCAGCAGGGGCAGCAGAAATTGCGGCCCAATGCAGCCGAAGAGATGATACTTTGAAGGCTCGCGAGTTTACTCCATGCTTTAGGCATCGGTAGTCACTTGGGGGCTAGCAAAACCCTCAATTTACTTTGGTGCTTGGTCGAGTCATCATGGCGCTTTCGGCTGGTAAGATCGTGTACAGTCAAGCCGACATACCTAGAAAGTAGGTAGTTGAGCACCCTCTGGCCCGACCAAATTGCTGGTGCTTGGCTTGCTGGTCTATCTATGCCTTTCGTGCCTTTCGAATCACCCGACTGAACGAACGCTGGCAGTCAAGTCAACCGGGCCATCGCAAAGGCCAAGGCGGCCGAGACCAAAACTCAGGCGACCACAATTCAGAATTCGAGGCAACCGTGATCAAGATTCAGGCAACCATGATCCAAAGTCAAGCCGGCCATGCCAAGTTGTCTAATTCGCTCTTGATTCAAGGCTAACAGGAATTACATCGAGTAGTTGCATCCATTCTGCTTAGTAATGAGCGCATAACCTTCACGTCGTGGGTCCCGTGACCTGCTTGCTCGCAGTCATAAAGAGCCCATCCATCCTCTCTCTTCGCCGCCTAACTTCGCGTCTTCCAACCTCACCTCATCCAACCTCACCTCATCGCCACCCGCTCCCCAGTCTTTGCAACCACAAACGCGTCCTGTCCTTTGACACAAACAAACAATCAAAACCCACTGCTGATCCGCCACGCTGATTCTTCGACATGGCACCTCCTGCGAAAAAGAGAAGAACAACCCGAGCTTCTGCAGCGGCAGCAGCGGCCGAGGCTTCAGCAGCCGAAGCTGCAGCAATGGAGCGCGTGCAAGAAGTCCACGAGGTTGAGCCGATCGCCACCGAGCAGCCCTCGAGCGAACAAGTCTCGAAAGTCACACACACCGAGTCTGCGCCTGCCGAGACGGCAGTGGAGCCCATCGCAGAGACGGAGACGAGAGCATCACCCCATGGCAAGCAGCCGGGTGCAGACGTCGATGCCGCCGCCAAAGCCAAAGAGCGCATGGCCCGCTTCAAGGCCCTGCAGGCCCGTGCCAAGAACTCCTGCGAGACCAACTTCAAGGAGGCCACCAAGGAATCGCAGCGGCTAGCCAGCGATCCCAGCCAGATCACCGCCCTGCACCGCAAGCACGCCATTGCCTCACACAAGCTTCTCAAGGCCGAGGTGGAGGAAGCCGGCCACGACTTTGAGCGCAAACGGGCATGGGACTGGACGATAGATGAGAGCGAGCGGTGGGACAAGCGGGTCAAGAAAAAGGCCGCGCATCGCGACAACAACGCTTTCCGGGACGATCAGCAGGAGAGCAACAAAGTCTACAAGCGGCAGCTGCTCAACATCACGCCTGACTTGGAGCAATACGACAAGCAGAAGATGACCGCCATCGAAAAGGCAGCGGCGTCTGGGGGCTTGGACATTGTCGAGACCGAGGATGGCGAGCTCATCGCTGTGGACAAGGACGGATCTTTCTACTCCACTGCCGACTCGACGGCATTTACGCAGAACAAGCCCGACCGGGCGGCAGTCGACCGTCTGGTCAAAGACATGAGGCGAGCAGAGGAGCAGCGGCTGAAGAAGAGAAAGGATCGCATGGCCAATAACGGCGACGACGGTGATGTCACTTACATCAACGAGAAGAACAAGCAGTTCAACCAGAAACTGGCGCGCTTCTACGACAAGTATACTACGGACATTCGGGATAGCTTCGAGAGGGGGACCATGATATGAGAGGGCAGTTGTCGAGGCTTATATCGGGTACGAAGACTTCGGGTTTATATCGGGTGGGCAGACTTGCGATCTGTACAGTTGAGCGTGCTTTTTCCCGCATTTTCTTGTGGAGTTTATCATCACAACATGGTTTTCCGCCATGCCTTAGTAGCTAGATCTTCAATCTGAGCAACCTCGACGGGGCCTTGGACCGTCTCATCACTCAGTGCCTCAACCACTGCCTCTGCCACCTGCTCCACCTTGAGAGGCTTCGTTCCCGCGGCGCCCATGAAGTCGTTGAGATACTTGCCCGTCAGGTTGTTAAATATGGTGCCCGCGCCAACCATGGCGGCCATTCCCATGGTGACCTTGCGCGAGGCATCGTACATAAAGGGCGGTCGGAAGAAGATGGCGCGCATTTGGGGGAAGTTGGTGGCGATGGCGCTCTCGGCCTCCCTCTTGGTCGAGATGTACCGGGGAGGCATGATGGGGGCACCGCCGCAGGCAGAGATGTAGCAAAAGGCGTTGATCCTCTCCTCGGCAGCGTGCTTGGCGAGGGCGACGGCGCTATCGCGATTCATGACCTCGTAGGAAAACTGCTGCCTGGGGTCCGAGGGCTTGATGTCCTCGCCCGTCTTCTTGTCGAGTGGGTTGACACCCCTGCCCGTCGATGAGGCGAACATTTTGCGCAGGCCCGTGACGGGCGATTCCTTTCCGGAGACAAGTCCCTTGTAGTCGGCCTCGAGCAGGATGCCCATGCTATGGACGACGTAGCTGGCCTGCTTGAGCAGGGGCACGTACGTGGCCGGGCGGAGGACGTCGGCGCTTTCCCAAGAGACTTTATGGGACCAGGACGGGGGGTCGGGAGAGGACGTGATGGCGTCCCATTTCGGCTGTCCCGAGCGGCTGTTTCATAGGAGGGAGCGGCAGTGAGCATAAAGGGGCCGATCGGCATATGAGAAGAGAGAGATTTTTCTGCTCATACCACCTACCTGATGGAAGTGACGTCCCAGCCTCGGGCAACGGCGTATTTGCAGATTCGAGAGCCCAGGAAGCCGCTGCCGCCGCAGACGACCAGTCGCTTGGCCGCCGACATGGCCCGAGGTGAGAGGGCGACGTCCTCGGGGGCTTTGCTGCGACGACTTGTTGACGTTGCGGATCCAGACCAGCAGGGGCGGGCAGTGGCTAGAGGTCAAGAGGCTGCAAAGGAGAGCAGGTAATCTCACGAGCTGGGGTCGATTGGGGGTTTGGCGTGAGTTGGCGGCGTCGTGCGGTTGTTGAACAAGCGAAGGGAAAGGAAAAAAGTCATGATATCACCCGTACGTCGTCTATGGTGGTGGTGGTACAGTACAATGTCGGGCGGCGCTAGCACGCGCAGGGCTTCGACGGCAACCGTCACAAAACTTGAGGTATTGAATCAGCGAGAAGTAGAGGTGAAGCTGGAATCAATTGCTCGTCTTGAGAATCTGATGATAAGCTTGAAGGCGTTGAGTTTGCATGTGTGCGCAGACAGGCATCGCCGCATAGTGTAGGTACAGTACCTTACCTTCAGCAGTCCGACTTCAGTGACGTAGAGCCCAGGCATCGACTTCCAGGTACCTGCCGGCCTAGTCCCCCTAGAGATTAGCGCCGCATCGCGCCTGCAAGGCTGACAGAAACCTACCCCAACGCCTTGTCCCCTCATTCATTCTCTCTCCTCGCCTGGCCATCGCAGTTTCGCCTTTCCCGGCGCCTCAGCCCGCGCGCTCTTGCACTCCAGAACCAGCTCGCCATCGAGTCTCCCCCTGGACGCCCGGACCCCAGTAGTCATGGCACCCTCGAATCACCTGGGCAAGCGCGTCAAGCTGACGCAGATCCGCCGGCCCTTTGTCGTCGGCAGCACCGCCGTCCCCTTCTCCGACTCCAACCCAAAGCCGCCCGGCATGCCCGATAACCACACGCATTCGTGGCAGGTCTTTGTCAAGGGTCTCGAGGACACAGACATCACCTACTGGGTGCGTCGCGTGCAGTTTAAGCTTCACGAGTCCATCCCTAATTATGTGCGCAGTACGTGTCGCCCCCCACATTCCTTTTCTACCTCCCCAGAGTCCCCAGGGCTGAACTCGCTGTCCTGTAGTGGTCGAGGGCGAACCCGGGAAACCCTTCGTCGTCAACGAGACGGGCTGGGGCGAATTCGACATAACCATCAAGCTCTACTACGTCAACGAGTCGGGCGAGAAACCGCAGACGCTCTACCACTACCTGCGCCTCCACCCGTACGGCCGCACCGAGGAAGAGAAGCAGGTCATGCTGACGCAAAACGGCGAGGTGCGCGCCTGGAGCTACGAGGAGCAGCTCTTCAACGAGCCCTACGAGGCCTTCTACCAGCTCCTCACCGCCGGCGCCGTGCCCCGTGGCTGGAAGCCCTCGGCCGGCGCCGGCAAGGGCAAGGGCAAGAACAGGGCGCCCCCGCCGCTGCCCGCCCCCGACTGCGGCGACGTCTGGGAGCGCTCCGCCATGATCCCCAACCACAACCGGCCCGGTCAGCCCTTTAGCCGCGAGACGGAGTCGGCCGAGATCAAGAAGCTCAAGGAGGCCCAGTCCAAGACGGAGGACATGACAACGCAGCTTATGGCCGACCTGAAGGCCAAGGAGGAGCTCCTTGGCAAGCTCAAGGCGGAGAACCAGGCCGCCGCCGCGGCTGCGCGACCTGCTTAGAGAGCACGGAAGCGCAAGCCGTCGCGCAAGGCCAAGGGTGTCTACTAGTCGCAGACCGGGTTCGAGGCGGGAGCATGGCGCGCTTGGAGGACGAACACGTCTGAAGCATGGGGACAGGAGGAAACGCAGGTCAAAGGGATCTGACGCGACGCTCCAATCTCGGAGCAGCTAGTCCCAGCAGGCCTCAACCTTGCCGGCTCCTTCCGCCGGCGCCACCTTGTTCCGCAATCTCATGACGATTCTCTAGAGGCGCCTCATGACGGGGAACGGAATGCCCAGCGCAGCGAGCGACATGCGCATAACAGACGCGTCACAGTCGGCTGATACTCACCTCGCCCCCTCGTCTTTCACAAAAGGAAGAAGCATGTCCGGTGGCCAGGCATCTGAGTCTCAGTAGCGACTGGCCGCACAGCCAGATGCCACAAGACGCTTTTTGGCGTGCCGGTGAAGATGGCACCAGAGCCGGCCATGGTTGGAGGAATTGGGACCGTGTTGGGGGTTTTGATTAGAATAGGCCCAATAATCCGACGGACCGAGGCTGTAGCTCCAGGACACATCACAGATTATCCAAAGCAATCCAACTAGAAGCACGGCAAGAGTCGCCTGCATGGTTTTCGACAGGCGTCAAGATTGGAGTAGCGTCTAACTCGATAGCATGACCACGCCGCAGCCCAGCCCTTGCGTCCCCGGGCCGCACTCCTGCGCACAATCGCCAAAGCACTCCAAGACGCCCAGAAACGGCGCCCATCAAATCGTACACGCGCCCTGCTTCTCCCTTCCGTGCAGACGCTTTTCCCCCCCATGGTCGAATCCCATTCAGGTATCCCACCAGTCAGTACACGCGCGCCATCGTCGTCCTCGTTGAAACGGACGAGGAAAAGCTCAAGCGAGCCATCAGAGCAAAAATGAACAGAGGCAAAGAAGTGATGGAATCATGATCCAAAAAAAGGGGGGAGAAAGGAGGGCAAATGTGTTAAACAGACGACGTCATGAGGCGGTCACGCCTCCTCTTGGTCGATAAAGAGCGATTGTAAGACAAGGGCCCAACGCGAGGATCATTCCGCTATGGGAAGGGGGGCGAAGAGAGAAGAAACAGACCCAGGGCGCGGTGCTTCGGGAATTGTACACATTACCAATACATGGGTCTCCCCAGGACGGACGCATCAACGCCCACGGAACAGGGTTGGCCAGCGGAGAGAAGCGAACGAGAGGGTGTCTGGTCGCCAGACATATATACAGACCTCTCGGATCTGCACGCAAGCTCAGAGGGCGGTGGCTTCGTAGGCCGGAGGCGGGGGGTGTTCGGGCTCGTCCCACATGCTCGAACGTCGACGGTTCTTTTCATCGTAGACGCGGCGCGCGATTTCGCCGGCCATCTTCATGATCCACGCCTGCTCGAGAATCACAGACGACGTGTCGGAGCCGCCGCATCGCCCATGACGGATCGGGGCAGCCCACTCCTTGGAACCTAGGGCGGTCTTTTCCAAAACGGACTGGAAAGACGGGGCCGGGAGCTCGCCTGCAACCTCGTAGGTTCTGGGAGAAGCCGTATACTCATCATTCTTCTCGTATAGCTGAGACGAGAGAGTTGGGCGTATCGGCGACACGTCCTCGTGTGCGGGAACATAGCGGCTCCCGCCGAAAGGAGTATTGGAGAGCTCGTCTGCTTGCGACTCGATCTCCTCAGGAACAGGTTCGGTAAATGGGACGTTTACCGAGGCGGTATCTGAACAGGCTTCCGATGAGTCATCAATGGAGCCCGTTTCTGATTTGGAGCGCCTCAGATTGACGACGCGATTCTTCTTCTTGCGACCGGGTCGAGCGCGATGGCTGGGTCCGTACAATAGACCCGCGGTTGCAGAACCGAGGCTTACCACCGAGGCCCTGGATGGAACATGATCGTGTGCCGTGCTGCCCGAGTCGGAAAAGGTGTAGGTGGTGCAGCCTCCGGAAGGGAATGAGTAGGTTCTCGTAAGACAGGGAGTGGCGAGAGGCGGGGTTGCAGATTCTGAGCGGTCTCCGTATCCAGACCAGGCGCGAAACACGACATCTCGGATGCCGGGGGTGAAGAGCGAAATGGTGCGGTGACAGTCGGTCAAGGCGGCAAGGCGCAGTAGGTTTTTTTGAGAAAAGAGCGACTGCACCTCGCCGCCTCCGTTGAGGGTGAGTTCGGACACCGCGTTGGGGTCCAGCAAGTTGCCGTGGGCATCGACGGGATCGAGAGGAGGGCTCGCAAAGGGATCGGCGCCCTGCTCGTGGAAATCGTCCTGGGGCGTCTGAGTGCCCCTGTTGGCTTGGTCGGGACACCAGAGCTGGAGTGACAGTCGGTGGATGATGGCAGGCAGTTCCTCCATCATCAAGTTCCGCAGCTGTTGCTCGATGGTTCTCTGCAGGTAGTCGCGGACAAACTGAATTGAGTCAAAGGTGGACGAGACCTTGAGGGACTCGAGAGGATCATTTCGAAAGACGAGGGTGAGGCCTTTCTGCTTAGAGAAGACCAGGATGATGAAGGCGGACAGCTTGATCTCTGACAGGGTGATGGACAGCGGGATGGTGAGGCCCGAGGCAGCTGCCAGCGGTTGCGGAGAGGTAAAGGACGGCTTGGAGTAGAGATAGGTGTTCAGGGGATTTGCCTGTTGATTCGAGACCCACGTTAGTTTGGCTCTACGCCGGACCACTTATAACCCTGTCAAAAAAAAACGCGATTTCCCGAGACGCGAAATCCTGCCAAGGAAAAGAAAAAACAAGGGACTTGGCCGCATGACAATGGCCATGGAACAAGGCAGGATTGTTTTGCAATGTGGTTGGCTTCCGGTGCGCGGCGCGGCAGAGCGTGTGACGCAGGCGCCGGACTCGGGCGGACGCGGGAGCCGCTTGGTTCCGACGTGGCCGCGAGGCCACCTAGGAGGTGAGGCAGGCTGCCGCGGCGCACTGGGTTGAGACAGTCGAGTAGAATATTCGTCGAGAGAGTGCGCAGCCGGATTTCGTCTGGCTCGGTGGACGGGCCGAGGGCCAATGCGGGCATGCTGACGATCGGGCAAATTCGGAGCTCGTCGCGAAAAGCCGACCAGTGCTCGGGCAAAGGAGAAAAAACGGCCAACGTACCTGAACTCGCGTCTTGAGGGTCAGGTAGGCGTCGCCAGAGTAGCACATCTTGAAGATGCCCCGGAATCTATCCTCGGCCAAGTCTCCGATCTCGAGAATCTCCAGGTCGGGGGGCACGGTGCCGAGGTTGAGCTCGCTGACGAGGATGTCATCGACGATGATGGGCGGCTTGGGCGACTTGTTGAGCGCCTTTGTCAGGAGATCGCGGGCGCGGCGGTAGAAGTCGGCGTCGGCCGTTAAGGGCGACCAGTTGAAGTGGAAGGCCATGGTGAGATGGCGGCTACAGTCTCGAGACCATGGGTCGGACGAGGGCCCATGGGGGAGGCCCAGGAGAGCGCCGAGGTGGGAGAGATGGTGGACTGTCGACGACGGAGAAGACGAGTGATTCGAGGCAGAGAGAAGCTCGACTGTTGCTTGGCCTCGAGAGGGGCGAAGGGAGGCGAGGCGGGATTGTCGGACTCGAGATGGGCGTGTTTATCAAGGTCTAACAGGCGGCGGTGGATGTGCGACGAGTTTTTTTTTTGGCCCTTGTCCGGTCAGTGGCAAGGGAGGAGGCTATGACGCTACTGCCCGTACCTCTCAGGTACCTGCAGCGCTGTTGAGTGCGATAGCCCACTGTAACTCAGGTAGGGTAGCCGAGCTCTACTACCTAATAGTTACGTCCATCTGTTCCTCCTTTTCTGATCTCCTGGGTCAGTCGTATAGTATAGAAAGGACTGTAGATGCTAGAAATCCTTGCGGCAAAATCTGCCATCATCGGAGCACATCCTCTCTCGGCCTTTTTCGTGCCCTTCCGCTGTCTGTACGAGTCGGGTACCCGTGGGCGTTGGTGATGGCGGTACCTGGCCGCTGTGCAGCACTAACATCAGCAGGGCCCTTCAGGTGCACGCACCTGGTGATGACGCACTCACGGGAGCAACCAGTTCCACAAGAGACTGCTTGGATACCGTTATGCATGTTATAAACAAACAACCGCCGGCTTGTCTTTGCTGTATGAACTAAAGTCTTCCAACCTGCCCAGTAGAGAGACAACCCCGAGAGACGCGGGGATCGGAAGCCCTTGCATTCGCCTCCACCCTCTCCGAGATGCCGCCACCACTCTAGTCTCCTACAAGGAACAGCCCGTAATTATTGCTCTGTCTTGGACAAGAGCGCTGGTGGCACAGCACCTAGACGACGAGAGCAGGGCCCATCACCGGCAGGATCCTTTCACCAAAGGCCCGCGAAAGTCACCAGCAGCAACAACGAGGGTCATGCGGCCAGGTGATGGTCATGAGAGGGACAGGCCGAGGCGGATGCGCCAAGAGCTTGCTCGCGTGACGCCTGCAAAGCCGTAATGATACTTCCAAATTGCATCTTTGCTCATCAACTTCGCAAATAGGTCGACTCGATGCTTTCCGCCCTTTCCAGTAGCGCCCGTTATGCAGACAAGGGGCCATCCTTGTGCCACGCACGCGGATAGCACAAGTAAACAATCATCAGTCCGCCTCCGAATCAACAAACCGACCGTCAACAACATCAGGTCCATGCATTGCCAAAACGCCGTCCAGCGTTGGTTCACGATGCCGACTCGCTCGCGCCCGCCAGGGCATTCATTTGGTCACTGCCCGCCCCCTTGACGCACCAGTTTATTCAGCTCCAACTCGTCTATTCTAGGGCATGCCGTATGTATGTATATGCAGTTCCCCGAGATTGCTTTCCAGAATGAGAAGAGCAGAGGGAAAAGTGGAGTTATGCTTTAGACCGGTGCCTCGGCCAAGGTCGAGGCCCCTGTTGTCGCGCGGAAGCAACAACAAGACAAGGCTCAACGGTTGCCCCGATTCGACAATCGTGTCTGCTCGTTCCTGCGGATGATGCGAGGCTCTTTATCCCGGATCCACTACGATACGGGGACAAGCACGACGGACGACCCGGATACACGGTCCGCGTCTGCTACGCTGCCGAGAAGGTAATAGATCATGTAACCCTTACGGGTACGGACCAGATGCGTGACGGGCCATCTGTAATCTGCAGCCTGCAACCTGCACAGACGTACGTTGCTTAGTTATACTGACATGCGGAAATGGCTGCACATGGGTTACAAGTACTGTAGCCCGGTAGGCACAGGACCATCTATACCTGGCTATTGCACGGCTTCTCTGGTCAAACAAAGGTATCTGGATATCTGGATATCTGGACATACATGCCCGTGGCGTCATGATCCACGGCAAGGCGATGGAGGGCTTCGTTACTGCATGCAAAGTGCTGAACCACGACAAGCCTTCACCGGGCGGCCCTCTTCCCCGAGACTGAAACACCGATGAGGCCTTGTTGTACAGACGTTGCACTCAGTTCAAGCACACCTTGCACGCCTCACTCGGAGCCAGGAATGCACAGGCGTATCCACCCATGATGAGGAAAGGCACCTTGATAGTCCGCACAGTACTCCGTGTACACTAACGAGGTTGGACCCTGATTCCGGGCTGTTTCCCACGGTCTCCGGCCCGTCTCCACTGACACGATAATCATTGTGACTCGCATACCGCGTCCGTTACTCCCGCCGATAATAAACCGAGTAAAGGGAGCAGGCTTGGCTACGAGGACCATCGTTATGAGAGTGTGTGGTCATCCACTCTCGCTTTCGAGGCGAAACCCATGCAGCACAATTCACAGTCACAAGATAGACAGCAGGCAGGTACATAGATGCCATTCCTACCGCCCGGTAATTCGAAACACCGTCAGAGCGTAGGCCATTATTCTCCTTGAAGAAAAAAAGAAAACAATCGATGCCGGGCGGGAAAATAATCAACATCGTCAAGAGCGGTCAGCTCGGGAGAGCAAAGAGGGGCGATAAGGGCTTGCGAGAGGGCAAGAAAAGGGGCAAGGGACCCGTGGTGAGAAGGTAAGCCATTTCCGTCGTCGTGCAAGGTACTTTGAGACTCACTCGCGTCCGTCCTTCCTTAAATCGTTTCAACCACCCGCAAAGCAAGCGCCGCCCTGTTCTCTCCTTCCTCCCTTTATCCAACTTCTTCCCTCCTCTCCTCTCTTCCCCCTCTCTCCATCTCGCACAACCACTCTTTCGTCGCCGACAGCGCCCACATAGCGCTGGGTGACGACAATTTCCTCTCCCGTCGTCGCTCCCGCCGTTTCAGCAGGACCCCCTTTCTAGGCGGCCCTGGATGTGCGGCATTGCTGCTGTGTTCCCTCGCCATAAAACCCGCCTTGCAGCCGCCCTCCCACCCTCGCAGTTCCTTGCAACAGCCTGCAGGGTCCAATCATGACGCTGCAAGTCGTGCCACCCCAATGCGCTCAAGACTCGGCATCCAACCAAGGCGACTCCGCCGACGACGCCTGCTTCGACGACGCCTCAGACCCCGGTCAGAGCTCGACGTCTTACCAGTGCTCCCTCACCGGCGACTTGGACGATGATGACTCATGGATATCGCCCCAAGACATGGCCCTTCTCAAGGCCTCCAACCCCGATCTCGGCCTCCAGCCTCGCCAGCAGTCCCGCCTCCGGAGACTGCCCAAGGGCACCAGGCCCCTCAGGCTCATTGGCGAGGGCGCCGCCAACGCCGTCTTCCAACTCGACGGCGCCGCCGCCGCTTCCGACTTGAACGGTTTGTCCCTCCCGTCTGTGCGCCAGCCCGCTGCTCCTCTGAACCCTCCTCCCTCAGGCCTGCTACTGAGGGTTGCCAAGGTGCCCTCCCGCAACCACGCGCCCACCTACAACTATCTCGCCCAGCAAAGGTTCTACCAGACCTCCATCAAGCCTCGCCTGGGCGAATATGCCGTCCAGCAGGAGCTCGTCATCCTCCACAAGTCGGGCATCGTCGACATGCTCAACAGGCTGCTGCAAGACATCGACTCCACCCGCAAGAAAAAATTCAGAGGCTCCCTCATCGGCCAGACCGACTGGGGCTTCCTCGTCCAAGACATGCGACCACAGGGTGAGCTTGTTTAGCCGACACGGGTCCGCCCCCCCGATGCTTACTTGAGACCAGACCCGGCCGAATGCGTTCTCATTGAGTTCAAGCCCAAGTGGCTCTCGCAGTCCCCCAGCGCTCCCAAGGCCTCCGTTCGATGTAGACAGTGCGCCACAGAGCTGCGCAATCTCATCAGGGACCCGTCTGGAGATCGCATGCTTCCCGAGCACAAGCCCTGCCCATTGTCCCTCGTCAACAAAGATGCTCCTGCCCAGGTAAGCTCGCCGTTTCGGATCGCTCCGCACTTGGCCCGCGACGGCAGAAGCGACCACTTTCGACAGGTCCTTGGGACCATTGTGAATCACCCTTCCATCCGCGACTTGAAGACCCAGCAAGATCTCCTCGACAAGCTCGGCCCGCTGTACGCTGAGCCGACCGACCCCTTCCTCATTGCCATGACGCTGCGCGACTGTACGTGCTTTGCCCAGATCCACCGTCGCCGGCAATCCGTCAAGATCCGCATGGGTGACTTTGACTGGAAAGACCCGCTAGTCAAGTTCGACAGCTGGCGTCGCGCCGAGCAAGAGCTCATTGATGGCGGCTTTTACACAGCCGAACGGATCCTGTGCAATGGCTCGTACTACTATCCGCCGACATTCTGCGTGTTAGAGTTTTCGCCGGGGTCCCACGGCAGCCAGCCGAACGTGCTCGATGTCCAGGACAGAGATGAGGCTACAGTGAAAGTCGGAGACACAAGTGGCGCAGAGGCGGCCGGGGGGGAGGTGCCGTTCAGCCACAAAGCAGACGTGGTCGCCTTGCAGAAGCGCCTGGATCGCTTCAAGACTACGCCGATGAGCGACCTGGCTGCGGCCCTTCGTGAGCGTTTGAGCTTGTCTCCGGGGTAGTCCGCTCTTGTGTGGTTCCATCTACCCCAACTGTGTTTTGTTTCTCTGGCTTCGAGTACTTGAGAATACTGTCGGGATAATGGGGGCGTGGCATACTTTACAGAGACATGAACCCGGAGTACACTGGCGTCTCTTGGTCATGCAACACTGGCGTTGGTGGGACGAGCGGTGCAAAGGGGACATTTAGGAAGTGGCCGACAGCACCATACAACAAAACGGCGCTCGTCATGCAATGAAATTATGTTTACTACTTCTCGAAAGTGCGTCTGTAAACGCCCTCGTCTATTGAATGCCAACCATTTCTTCGGCCCATTGAACGACCGCTTTCTATAACCAAGATATCATAAGCCCCAACGCCAAGACGTGCATGCGTACACTAGCAAATGGGCGCGATCTATATGTCTGACACGGTGAAGCTCAGCAGGCTACCCACAGTGAGGCCTATAACCAGGAATAGGCCCATGAAGCCACCAGTGGCCTCGCGCTCGCCCGGGTCCACCCACTCGCCAGAGGCCATCATGAAGCTAGAGCCCAGCCAGCCATTGGATAGTCCGAACAGCAGTTGGACAACGAATAAGTAGAAGAAGTCGCTCGAGACGGCGGCGCCGCGGCCGCCAATGTTGCAAAGAAAGTAAAGCGGGAGCTGGGCGATGCGGACAATGGAAAGCAGGAAGAGCACGGCGGGCCTGTGCCTGAGGGAGAAGGGCAAGGCAGTGGCGACCCTGCCGCCGAGATCGCCGAGGTTCCAGAAGAGAAAACCGAGCGGGATGAAGGCAGCGGGGCGGAAGAGAGAGCCGGCATCCTGCTGCACCGAGACAATCTTGGCGGTGAAGACGGGGAAGAACATGGTGACGGTAAAGGTGAGGGCAACGCCGAGGGCGAGCCAACGGAGCTTGGCAAAGAGGCACCACAGCGAGCTGACCTTGCGGGTGGCGCGTTCGGCGTCGTGGACGCTCGCCATGGACGCCGTCATGCCCTCGGGCACGCGATTCTCCACGATGCAGTGGTACCTCCGAACGAGGGGTATGAGGGCGGCGACGGCGGCGACGGAGATGGCCACGGCGGTGAGGAAGTAGACAAAGGCCGACGTCTCGCCCTGGCCGGCGGGGCCGTCGACTCGGGAGGAGGGGTCATCGTGGGGCGGGAAGAGGAGGACGGTGGCGACCTGGGCGACGGCGGGCAGGACGCCAGCAACGCCCTGACCCGCCATTAGGGCCTGCGTGTACTCGGGCTGTGCGAAGCTAGCGGCGAAGGCAAAGGCGCCGTTCTGTATCAGACCCGTGGCCCACGAGGTCAGGGCAACCATGGCGAGCAGAAAGGCGAGGTAGAGGCCCGGCGCGGCGTCAAGGAAGAGGGCGGTGGAGCAGGTGAGGAGGGCGAAGACGAGGCTGTTGATGACGAGAGCGAGGTTGATGCGGAAGGGGTACGAGGCGGAGCGCTGCATGGAGGTGAGGACGACGAGGGTGCCGAGGTTGGTGAGGGTGGAGACGGTGAGGATGGCGGATTGGAAGTTTGCCGAGATCCACGGATCTGCGGCGAAGCGAGAGGCGAAGTAGGGCGCCGCGGCGAGGAACATGTTCCTGGGGGCGAGTAAAGACGCCGTCAGCGGATGAAGGGGCAGAGAGGAAGATGGGGGGGGGGGTGCGCGTACCAGGCCCAGAGCATGGCCACGCCGAGAAAGGCAAAGATGGCGTATTCAAACCACGAGAAGCCGGCGTCGGCATCATGGTCGAGGACGGCGGAGCGCTCGAGCGCTGGGGACTCGGCGTCATCGGCGCCGGTAAGGGGTTCGTATTCGGCGATGCTGGCGGGCGGCGTGCGTGCCAAGGCCCTCCTGGCGCGATCCATGCCGTCTGTCTCCAATCCGGCAGCCACGATGCGAGTTGCGGCCCGTCGAAAAGCCCGAGTAGGTCGCGTCGAGCCGTAGATTGGAGGGTTTCTCACGCTGAGGCCGAGGAACGGTGTTGGCGATACGGGATGATAGTCGGCCTGGAGGGGGCCGCGCTTGGAAATGAAGGGAGGAGGCGACGGCGTCGGACTGGAATCCGTTCTTTATTCCATCTCTAAGGAGAGAGGTGGGGCGCGTGACGGAGCTGCGGGTTGGAGAGGAGGCAGCGTCAGGTGGTTTGAAGTCGATGGCGGACGGTTGGTCAGGGGAGCCACGGTTAGGTCAAAGGAGAGGCTAGGTGGGAGGTAGAAGTAATTACCCCAACCAGGCAAGAGAAGAGGCTATTGAACGATAAGCCATCAAAGACACGGTACAGGGGGTTCTCAGCCGCTGCCCTGGCCATTCACGGCAAAGGGATGCCTGCTGATCAGCGCGGCACTCCCTTGCGTACATGTACGATGAAGAATGCTCATTCGGAGGGATTCAACGAAGAAGATCGCGGTGGACAAACAGCGAGGGGCGGCGCCGGGTGGGGCGAGACGGGAACATATCGAGGCCTTATCGTCGCTGTATGGACCGCGGCTCGTAGGTACAGGGTAATTAACAGCACCTACCAAAACTTGAGAGGCAGCTCATCCGCCATGGTGCCTGCCATCTGCACAACCCGAGAGCAAGCACAGGAAGGAACAACGAATTTACTCCTGAAGAGGAAAAAAGCAAAATTCCATCCTCATCCCGCCCGCGGTGCAAGCTTGAGCTCTACAAACATGTCCGACTCTGCCTCCCTCTGCTCGTTTGCGAATGCGCCCACCGACAAGAGACAGGGCAGGATATACAAAGTACATGGCCTCGTACCACACACACGCATGAGAGGGCGCGTCAGCGTTCGGCGCAGACCCGGCTGCCTCGTCTGTCCGAAGTTGGTGCGACACCATGTCGCCAACGTCAACAATCACCTTCTCCCAGAGCATGGCCGTCGTGCTGGCGGACCCGGAGCCTGCTAGACATTTGCCGGCAACAGGACGACGCGTCCGCCCGCAACCATGCCCGGGTCGCCCTGGTCCCGAGACCGCGATCCGCAGCCCCAGAGTAAGCGGCACAGCATCACCGACCGCATCCTCGGAACCTTTGGCCAGGCTCGCAAGGACACGGCTGCCTCGCCCCAGCGTCGCGCATCCTCGTCGTCGACGGGCCAGTCGCCCATTCCGCGCATCATGCAGTGGCTCGAGTCGTGCAAGGCCGAGCATGGGTTCCACTGCTGCGCCGACCTCGACGACGACAACCTTACCTGGCGCCCGCTCCGCCTTGTTGACACGTTCGAGCGCCGCCTGGTCCCTGCGAAGCCGAGAGACAGGTATGCTGCCCTGAGCTACGTCTGGGGTGTCGCGCCGCCGCGCAACGGGCCCGAGACGGCTGCCCAGCTGCTCAGCACCAACCTCGATGCTTTCCAACTGTCCCTGCCCGACACGGACATCCCCCGGACCATTCTCGATGCCATCTGGCTTGCCAAGAAGCTAAGACTCCGCTACCTCTGGGTGGATAGGCTGTGCATTGTCCAGGACGACGAGCAGGACAGGGCCGACCACGTCCAGCATATGGCCTTTGTCTTCGCCAATGCCCATCTCACCATTGTCGCGGCGCACGGAGACGCCAACACCGGCCTGCTCTCCCTGGACCCGCGACGGCCGTCACGTAGCGCTCGGGAGGGCGCCAAGGACCACAACGATCTTCTCCTCGCCGCGAGATGGAACACGCGGGGCTGGACGCTCCAGGAACTCCTGTACTCGCGCCGCGCTGTCTTCCTCTTCGAGGATGCTGTCACCTGGGAGTGCCACTGCGATCTCTGGCAGGGCAACACGACGGGCGCCACTCAGGCGACGCGCAGGAGGCGGCACGAATGCGCCAATCGCATCTCTCCTGCCGCCTTTGGCTTCCAGCATTCGCCGTGGCCCGATCTGGACGAGTACGCGCGCATTTGCATGGACTACAGCTGTCGGCGGCTCACGCTCGTCGACGACACACTCCCGGCCTTTGCGGGCATCACACACGTTCTCTCCCGCGTCTTCGCCGGCGGCTTCGTCTACGGCATGCCACTCTTGTTTCTCGACATTGCCCTACTCTGGCGACCGCAGGCTACGATTCGATGGAGAGCCCCGTCGCGCCCGCCCTTTATCCCGTCGTGGTCGTGGATGGGCTGGTGGTTTGATGGCGTCTCGGTCGACCTCAGTCTGTGGAGGGCGGCGGCCGACTATGTCGAAGAGACGCTCGCTGCGAAACGGGGGCGGGGATCCAAGCGGTTCCAGGCCTCCCACTCTTTTCGAATTCGACCCACGGTGGCGTGGACTCTCACAAACAGGACCCATGGGGTTCACGTGGCCAACAATGGACTGCAATATCGGAAGCTGAGGTCGCGCAGGAACCACAGCGCCACGCTGCCGCCCGGTTGGTCGCGCAATGGCTCTCAGTTCCGACACGATAGCGATGAGCTGACCGTCTTTCGATACCCCATTCCGGTCGAAGATCCCCCGGAAGCGGGCGACTACGAAGCCCAGCCGGGTGCGGATCCTCACCCGGGGACGCTGCTGTCATTCAAGACTACATGCGGCTTCTTCGAGGTCAACTATGCGATATCCATGGCTCCCCGCGACAAGCCCAACCCGCCCGTTGCGGTGGGCAATATCTGGAGCAGAGGTAACCGATGGATCGGCGAGTTTAGAGCACACGATGCGTGGCTGGGGGTGCAGTCGTCCAACTACGACGGGGACGAGAGACTCGAGTTTGTGGCCATTTCGACAGCCATGGAGCGCCGAGGGTCGTACGTGTTCAGCGCGGACAAGTTTGAGGAAAACATGGACGAGGACGAGATCATCGACATTGTCAACGTGCTGTGGATCGAGAAGATTGCCGGCATCGCGTACCGGCGGGGCATTGGGCACGTCCTGCAAAAGGCATGGGAGGCCGAGGCGTTGGACGAGGTTGAGGTTTTGCTGGGATGAGGAGGGCGTCACGTGTGGGGCATGTGCTGCACACTGTCCGCGTGTATGTAGGCAGGCTTGGACGCCAACGAAAGGCTGTTTGCGTTTCACTGGTTGCGGAGCAGATGGACTGCAAGGCGGAACGAAGAGGATCCGTGTATGTTGTATTATTGCGCGAGCTTTGAATGCAGGCCATCCCGGTGGCATGTGATGCTGGGTGTGTACCATGCAGACTACAGAGCACTGTACAACTTGGATCGTACCCTGGAGGGTGATGCTTGTCGGGCATTCTTAGTGGCAAAGGTGAGTGCCGGGGAAGAGAAGACGGCATACGCGATGTTAGGCAGTTGAGGCGCAATACGTAGCTAGCTTCGACTTCTCTCATGGGTGCTGAGAAGAGAGTGGCGATTTTAGCATTTCCTCTCTGATTGGGTTGAGATGCCGTCGAAGCACCGCGAGCTGCATTCTATTTATACCCAAGTGTCTGCCCACGTATCGTAGTATCTACTGCAAGGTTTGCCTTATTTTCGTCCCATTGTGCTACCTGGGGGACATGGAAGGATCGGGATGCTTGTTCTTGGCTCGATTGGCACAAGGTGATGAGCCATGCGGGCAGCGGCCGGCATGCAGACGGGCGGCAAGTTTCTGTTCCGACCCTTGCATCGACCTCACTCCCTGCCCCTCGCCCGCACGAAAGGTCTGCCGACGGACCAGCCGCGACCCATCTCTTGGGGGCCAGGCTTTTCGTTGGGCTCGGACAAGTGCCGCCGCTACTCGGTCACCCCCATGATGTCGTAAGTTGGTAGGGTAATGGGGCGAGGGTGAGGATAAGCTTTTGAGACATGGATTTCATGCCAGGCCCCCAGGCTCGGCAGAGAGAGTTGGAGGGAGTCAAGAGTGAGAGGGCAACGGCCGGACACGAAGTTCAGTTCTGTACGGAACGAAGACTGTACTGTAACTTACTGCACTGTACTCGGCGCAGGACATGGCCAATTGGCGACGGGCTTTTTCCAAGCTCCTCGACCCCGCGTTTCATTTCCCGGGCCCGTTAGTTGCATATGCGTAATGTGACTGCTGTCTTCTCCACCCAGGGAGCTGAGGTGAGTGGTTCCTGTTTTTGCTGCTCACATTCTTGCACGCCTACGTACAGCAACGCCCGAGTCTACTGATACTTGCGCTGGGCCGTCGAGGACATGCAAGCGCCGTACTCCCTACGGAACACGACTGCGTGGATTACACCGAGACTCGCCAACTGCAGCTTGCCTCTATGCGGGCCCGTGTGATGGCTCGAGCTGCGTACCATTCGTGCATACAGAAGAAGCTACGGTAGCTACGGAAGCTATGCGTCATCGGCCCAACAAACAAGGACCGCCCAATCGGCGTCGACCCATTCTAAACGGTGCGCCAGGGCTACCTTGCCTCGTCTTTCTCGGCACCCCCCCTCTCCACGCCGTTCTTCGGGGCTCCTCCCCTTTCGGAGATTGCCCTGTGAGTAGCCATGCGTGTCTGCATAAACGTTGTGCGGAGGGGAGAACAAGCTGCTTGGTAACCCGGTTCCAAAAAAGAAGCATGATTCCAAAAACGAGATGAACCAAGTACTCTCGGAGAGACAAACAGAGCGAAACTTAGACCGGGTCCAAGGGCGGACAGCCCCAACCCTTTCCTATCTCAGCTGTCTCTCTCCTGGCCTCGTCGACGCCAACCGAACCAGACCAATCAAGACCTGTCGTCGTCATCGGGCTTGGCACGCTGACGTGACCATTCTCCATGCCGGCGCCGTGGCCGTCTCTGGGAGCCAGCCTTACCCTCCTTGACCGGCATTCCAAGACAGGAACCAGTTGCCGGAGACCTTTCCATTTACCTTCTACAGATGCGTGCGTGACGAGGTGCTGGATGGTTCATTGCCTGGCCTCGTCACAGACTGACTAGACAAACACGCTGTCTCACAGATGCTATAGACCGCGATGAGGCACATTCATAACGATGGATGGGAGTCGTACAGACACAGCAGAAGCTCCTCCATCCCTCCTCGCCTCCCGCCTCTGCTCAGAGCATCAATCATACATACATATGTATTCGACGAACACCTCTTCGCATATGTACCACCCTTCGCCTGCATGCGCTCCTCGGCCCGCTTTCCACGCCCGGCGAATCACGTCCTGCCCCCAGCCACGCTTCCTCTCCTCGTTGGGCCATCGCGAGCAAACCCCGGACTCTCCTTGTGCAGGGTCCCTCGCCTGCCCCCGGCCTCATAGACCCATGGGACATCCCCCAGGGCCACCCGCCCCCCGGTCCCGTGTAAGCTGTGTGTGACACGTCTCGAGTATAAAAGGTCGTCACATCTCCCTCGCGCTGGTAGCCCTCGCCAAGAATCAGCCATCAGAGACACGCAAGAGTTTAAGACGACTCAAGCGAAGCTATTCTCCAGTCACGCCTCCGCCATGGTTCGCGCCACCTTCGCCGCCGCTTCGGTGGCCCTCGCCGCCGTCGCTCGTGCCTCGTGCCCTTGGACCGATCCACAGTCCCACACTCTGGCCGCCAGGGCCGACGCCAGCAGCTCTCGCGAGCACGTAGCCCAGTTCGATGTCGACGATGGCAAGGTCTACCTCACCAGCGACGTCGGCGGTCCCATAGAGGACCAGCAGAGCCTCAAGGCTGGCGAGCGCGGCTCCACTCTCCTCGAGGACTTCATCTTCCGCCAGAAAATCACCCGCTTCGACCATGAGCGTGTAAGCCTTGCCTCGCTCGCCAAAGCTTCTCTTCGCTCCTGAATCCCCTCCTCTGACATGTCACGTCCTTCAGGTCCCCGAACGAGCTGTTCACGCCCGCGGAGCCGGTGCCTATGGCACCTTTACCAGCTACGGCGATTTCAGGAACATCACGGCCGCCTCCTTCCTGAGCGCAAAGGGGAAAAAGACGCCGACTTTTGTCCGATTCTCGACCGTAGCCGGATCCCGGGGAAGCGCCGACACCGTTCGCGACGTCCACGGCTTCGCCACCAGATTGTGCGTATCCCTGTCGCGACGGGTTTTCTCTTGCTGACCAGCGTAGCTATACCGACGAGGGCAATTTTGACATTGTCGGTAACAATATCCCCGTCTTCTTCATCCAGGATGCCATTCAGTTTCCCGACCTTATCCACGCTGTCAAGCCCAAGCCCGACAATGAAATCCCCCAGGCCGCGACGGCCCACGACTCGGCCTGGGACTTTTTCAGCCAGCAGACGTCGACACTGCACACCCTCTTCTGGGCCATGGCGGGATACGGGATTCCCAGGAGTTTCAGGCACATGGTATGTCGATCTCAACCTGGGCGCACGCACCCACGGAGCGGTGGATAATGGCAACTGACAGACTTCTCCACTAGGACGGCTTCGGTGTTCATACCTTTCGTTTTGTCAACGACGAGGGCGAATCCAAGCTCATCAAGTGGCACTGGAAGACGATGCAGGGCAAGGCCAGCCTGGTTTGGGACGAGGCGCAGAACATTGCTGGCAAAAACGCCGACTTCCATCGTCAAGATCTATGGGACGCTATCAATTCCGGCAACTTTCCCGAGTGGGAGCTCAACGTGCAAATCATCGACGAGAAGCAGGCCCTTGATTTCGGCTTCGACGTTCTCGACCCGACCAAGATTATTCCGGAGGAGCTCGCGCCCCTGCGCAAGGTCGGCGTGATGAAGCTTGACGTGAACCCGGTCAACTATTTTGCCGAGACGGAGCAGATCATGGTGAGTCGGTGCGAACCTGAATCGTCCAAAGTGGACGGAAAGTGCGCGTCGGCCATGCTAACTCATGCGGCCGTAGTTCCAACCGGGCCACATTGTACGAGGCATCGACTTCACTGAAGACCCCTTGCTGCAGGGTCGCATCTTCTCGTACCTTGATACCCAGATTAACCGCCACGGCGGCCCCAACTTTGAGCAGCTGCCCATCAACCGTCCCGTGGTTCCTGTCCACAACAACAACCGAGACGGCGCCGCTCAAAACTTCATCCACAAGAATACCGCTGCCTGTGAGTCAAAATGGACGCCCAGCAAGGACCGTTTGATGCACGTGTCGATGCTAATACACCATGGCTGAGCCAGACTCACCCAACACTCTGAATAAAGGCTCCCCCGCGCAGGCAGACCAGAAAGAGGGCAAGGGGTTCTTCACCGCGCCAGGCCGCAAGGCCTCTGGGTTCCTAGTGCGCGAGAGGAGCGCGACGTTTGCGGATCACTGGAGTCAACCGCGGTTGTTCTACAACTCATTGACCAAGGTCGAGCAGCAGTTCCTCATCGATGCCATCCGCTTCGAGACGAGCCAGGTCGCGGCTCCGGTGCAAAAAAATGTGCTCGCGCAGCTCAACAAGATTAGCCATGACGTTGCCGTCCGCGTCGGGGTAGCCCTGGGCATGGAGGCCCCCGCCGCGGACCCGACATTTTACCACAACAACAAGACCAAGGGCATCAGCATCCTGGGTGAGAAGCTGCCCACAATTGCCACCTTGAAGGTCGGGGTACTCGCCTCGATCGGCGCGAACGACTCGCTCTCGCAGGCCAAAGCTCTCAAGGCTGCCTTTGAGGCGGACAAGGTCACGGTTGTCACCGTCGCCGAGACGCTCGCAGAGGGCGTGGACATGACATACTCGGCGGCGAGCGCGACGGGCTTTGACGGAATCATTGTGACCAGCGGCGCCGAGAAGCTTTTTGGCAGCAACAGCACGTCGACGCTGTACCCACCCAGGCGGCCGACCCAGATCATCACCGACGGGTACAACTGGGGCAAGCCGGTTGGCTTCCTGGGCACCGCGCAAAAGGTGGGCAAGGTGGCCGGCGTCGGGGACGGAGAGGGCGTATACGCCGCCAGCAAAGTCGACGCCATTGTCGAGGGCTTCCGGGAAGGACTGGCCGTGTTCAAGTTTACGGATCGGTTTGCCACGGACGACGGAGCGAAATAATGGATGCCTGTCTCACTGTCTTTAGGTACTTGACGTTCTTTTGGGCATAGCGGTGGCGTGACCTTTCATCCGTCGTGTTTGATGAATAGTCTGGTGGCCGTTCAGGTCCGCCTTCTTGCTGAGTGACATGGACTGTCCATGATTGTCTCAAGCGTGCCACGGGCCGCTGGTGATGGAAGGAAATGTGTCGTCTCTTTTGCTGTGCAGGCAGCAGCGCGTCTGTAGTGCAAGCAAGGAGAGCTACGCCGCGAAGCCTGCCAAACGTCATCGTGACGCATCTATATATCTCGGGTTCTTGCTGTACCCGGGCCTTGCTCGCCGAGGCACCGTATCAACCAACACTCGCATGAAAGGCGTACTGGCTGGTTGAGGCTATTGTACTTCTAGACCCTTCTCTCCCTAAAAAAAACGAAACTTGATGTTGGCAACTAACAACTGCCCATATCAATTATAATACAGGAGGCGAGATCTTTCTAAGTGGTCAAAAGTCGAGGGTGGCAGGACTTTATCAAGTGGGAGCTGGTAAAAATCAGACTTTATACGAGGCAAGATGTATTAGGCAGATCGAGGCAACATGCGTACCGCAATGCATGGCAACGCTTCATGACTCATTACCTGTTTCGGGGAAGCAAATGAGAACTACATAGTATCTCTACTAGGACATCATCTGCGGTGATCCTGACCCCTAGGCACCCTGTGCGCCCTGTCTATCCGCCCTGTATCTAGCCGCATTAGACGTAGATGCAGCTATAGCCGTATAGAACCTCGATGCAGGCGCAATTAATAGGCGTACACGCGTACCGGCCGTCGCCACGCACAGCCAATAACACGGCGCCTGCAACGACGCCGCCTACAACACCACAAACAGTCAAACACCACACATCGCGAGGCTGCAACACTGTCCACAACGCGTCTCCTATCTCTCGCTTCAAGTCACACTTCCCCGCTGAAAGGCTGGCCAGTTGGTCAGGCCCCTTTTGTATGATCGCTGCTCTCCCCTCTCTCCATATCCATTACGCTTGGCAGTCCAGCTTTTTGGCATCCTTTGAACATGTCGTACCTTGAGGGAGACCTTGTCACGCTTTCTCCTCCCCCAAGGTGTCGGAAACACGGGAGACATAGAGAGATACAAGCCCGGGAGGTTTCATCCTATTCATCTAGGTAACAGGTATAATGTCGGGCGCTATAGAATTGTATACAAGCTCGGCGCCGGTGGGGTTTCCACCGTTTAGCTTGCACGAGACGAGAACGAGGAAAAGTAGGTAGCTCTGAAAATTGTTGATGCTGAGCATTCCGCTTCGACTGCTAAAAAAGAGTGTCCTCAGTCGCTATGAGGAAGGCGACATCTACCGCCTGTTTGGCCGGCCGGCTGCGGGAGTGCTGGAGACCGAGTCCGGGATATCACCCGGTCATAAGGCGCCACGATATATAGAGTAGAGCGTAGACTTCCTATCCACTCCATCGGATATCATCCGCCCTAAGCTCAAACTCCATACTTTGGGGGAAGATATGTCGCGTAAGTGGCAGGATAGTACCTGTCAGGACAAGAAAGGGCCTATAATACGCGTTAGTAACACCTCTATTGGGGGTGCCCTCATTTTGCATGGTGTAGCGGTATTATACCAGCTTGACAGTACCATATGGGACCCTCAGGGGCAACCGACAAAGGATGCAAGCAAGGGAAAGCTATATGAACAGTGGTGGGATAGTGACGAATACTTCTTGCGAGACGTGGTTTATAACGTATAGGATGAACCAAAGAACCGTATTGTCTAGACCGGCACCCTGAAGTCGGAGCGGAAGTTTTTGGCGTGAGCATGAGCACCAACATTTTCCCCGGTACTTCTCCGATATGGTGTGGAACCTAAGGGCCATCAAGGTAGACAATGTCTAATTATCTGTCCGGCTATAACGACGAGTGGCGCATGCTGCTGGAGGCTCTGCCTAAGATACTAGAGCACGAAGCTGCCCTGCTCTATGAATCTTGTTAAAGATCTTTGTCTATGATCCGACAAGGCGTCCTATAGCCAGGGAGATGCTTTTAATTACCCTTAGTTTTATCTCGACGGGCTCAAACATTGACAAAGAATGGGCTATAGTTTTCTCACAAATAAGAACACATTGCGAATGTCCATTTAGACTAAATCAAGACCCACACAACTGGTCTTAAAGTGACAGCTTGGGCCAGCTTCACGAGAATGCTTTTTCGCGATATATCTTTTTCCTGAGGGTGAGCAACATTGATACGATTGACTTCTGACGGATGGCTCCTCGATCAGCGTTCCCAATAGTGTGAACCATTAAGAGGACTATTAGCGCACACTGTGGTTTCAGCGGACGGTTGTGGTGAGTCCGTCGCGCCGATAGCCTAAATCACGCTTCCATGTACGACTTGCTTCTAGCTCCTTGCTAATTTTCGTTTCTCTTTTTTCTCTTTCTTCAGCCTTCCTGAGTTGTCACCTCAAACCTGCGATGACCCTATTTAGCCTGTCTATGCCTTCCGTTGCATCATTAACACCAATACGGGCGTGTATTCTCTCAAGCTTCTGCCTGCTGATTTGGTCTTGCAGTCTTTAGGTCTTGTCGCATACCGCTGCACCAGGCAAAAATGAAATGCACACTCCAATAGGTGCGCTGATGCATTGACCAATATGTCGTATGTACTTTTATGCTGATTGGAACAGATCTCGGCTTCGCATTCCTTATGCTGGCCAGAGAGTCGATTGGTCTCGGCGTAAACGGCAGAATGCTGACGCTCAGTGAATTACGTTCATTTCGTCCTCGCTTCGCTCGACTTCGATTTCACCACAACTCGAATGCTGCTGTTGAAAGCGACAATAGGTACAGCTGGAGAGAAGACGGAGGGGTAAGGGAAGGTGGGAGACGCGGGGTCTCGGAGTCGTCGGTGAAAAGATGGCCTGGAGCCAAAAGTTCCATGCTGCTCCGAAAATTGCTGTTGGTTACTGCCAAGGAGAGCAAAGCCCAGAGAACCCAAGAGCTGGCAAAGGGGGCTTGAATGTTGGTGAACGGCTAAGAGCAAGCGAGGGACTCAAGCACTGCATTTATAGGGGAAATTGGCGGGTAATCATGCGGTCTTTTCTCCTTCAGACTGCTCTTGTGAATAGCTTCATTTTGCAGCTTCGCGGGCAGCTGAGGGAGAGGAAGGCAAGTAACTAACGCGACTGGCAGCGGCTGCTTGTAAAGGAGATTTTTACAACTTACAGCAAAGACGGCGTCTCACGAGAAAAGTTTCAAGCCGGCGATGTATTTACGTCCACTCCGTGTCCACAGAATTCTCGTGTCCCTTGGTCAAAAGGGTCGCTTTGCGTTGCTCGTCAGGGCTTTAAAGCTGGGCAGTCTCAGTCACGAAGTCAACGTAGGTTGTTGGGTGATGCGGGGAACAAGAAGTCACCTACAAAGACTCGGAAGGGATGGTTCTACGTGTGGTAAAAATTTCAACATGCCGTGCCGTGCCGTGCCATGCTGCGCCGTGCCGTGCCGTGCCGTGCGCTGTCCGCTTTTAGTCCTCGTTAGAAAGAAAACCTCAGATCCCTACCCTTAAGTCGCAGTAGGATGGCCCGTTTATGCGTACTCGGTCGTTGTCGATACTAGAGGCCATCCCTGAGTTATAGCACCGGTATGCTTCTCGAACTAAGAAATATTACACGGCAACAATGAGTACACGCTTAAGGGATTTATCGGTGATCTGCCGGATCCCGTTACTCGGCTGATTTGCACGCAACTTCCAGCTACGTGTAGACGTTGATCTACAACAATTCCACAGGAACGGGGCCCAAAGCTTTACAAATGCTACTGTAATTTATACATTATCCTGTTTCACAGTCCCTAAGCAATTGTGGTTGCTGGCTATACCGCTGCGGCCATCTCTAGCTCCGATATACCAGTGCTATTTCCCGATCACTTTAACAGCTGGAGAAGGTCTTTTTAGGCAGTCATTTATGGAAACTTGAAGGAGTCTCGGCCTATAATGAATAACATGGGGGGAAATGATCTACATTTTCAGTAAACTAGATTAAAACACAAATGGGCACAAAAGTGTGCCGTTTCCCTCTACCCCCTCATTTCGCGTAGCACCGGCGATCAGCTTGCCGCGGTCTTGATGAAATGCATGGCCTTCGAGACATGCAGTGCCTCCATATTGCCTAACCCACGGGCGTCTAACGAGCAAGAGACGGCTGCTCTGCCGATAAGAAACCCTACCAACGCTCTTGACCTACATCACGTTCCGACCACTCTTCCATTATTCGAGGCGATTTGCGTTAGCGCCGCACAGTGAGCGCGGCTCGTCTAAGCAGGCAGGGCCAAAAAAAGGACGGCACTCAGCAGTACGCTTAGCTGCTGTGTTGTGAATTTCTTACCCGTCGTAATGGCCACCAATTCTAGCCCCTAGACCCGTTCCCGTTCCCACCCCATGCTCCCCGCGGTAGCCCAATCAATACCCGGTTTGCCAAAGCGCCCATGTACATACATAGTTAGCTTGGCCTGTTCGGAGCGGCCCGAGACAACCCAGCTTCGTCGCGCCATAGCCTTCACCCGGTAACTGTGTCCGCCTGCCCAGCAGTTTAGGAAGCTCATGGGCTGTGGCAAAAATGGCTCGCGTAGAGCTCCAGCACTCACTGTACTGGATATTTGCTACTTGTCACAAGGTGCAGCTGCATCTGGACAGATCGGGCAAGCCATGCAGCCTTCAGACAGTGCCAACCTCTATACTAGATGCTATATAATGTATTGTTACATACTTCTTGATCGGGCATTTTCCATTGGTCTGCCCAGAAATATCACCGGGGTATCCTGGCTTTACTTGCAGAACCTTAGGGGCAGACTATCCGGCACACGAGCCTGCCTTACTGGCACACGAAGAGTGGGGAGGCTGTGGTGCATAGGACAGAGAGTCTTGTACAACTTGAATCTTTACTTTTTTCGGATATTTCCAGTAAGGTATTCACCCCTGATCCTAACCGAACCGCTTAAAAACTAAC